AGCTGTTGTCCGTCCAGATGTGATACCTGTCGGAAGGAGTTCCGCCATGACAAGCTAACCCGACGCAAGGAGTCCGTGCAACTCCGGGAGTGTCGTACGGGTCCGATGCCAAGGGTTGAGGAACTGCACTCGGACGATCTCCCAGAGCTTCAGGACTGCAAGGATGATGATGTGGATGACAATGCTACAACTCCAGACGACTCCGGACTTGAGAGGGGTGACCGTATCTTCACAACCATTCCTCCTCCGCCTCCGGAGTACCTTCGGAGTCTTCGGGAAGAACACGTCCGAGCTTCGGAGACGGTCTTGCAGCGCCTCGCATTGGCTTTCCAGCGCAACAAGCCCCACGATCCTCGGAACAGCGCAGTCCCGGGCTTCCTCCGAGAATTCGAGGACGTCTTTGCCAAGGAGTCCTTTGATGAACTGCCCATGCCGCGCCCGTGGGATCACGCCATTGAGCTACTGGACGGAGCGGAACCGACCTCTACCAAGTGCTACCCGCTGTCCCCTGCAGAGCAGAAACAGCTGGACGAGTTTCTGGAAGAAAATCTCCGGACTGGTCGGATCCGCCCCAGCAAGTCGCCCATGGCCGCCCCGGTGTTCTTTGTTAAGAAGAAGGACGGATCGCTCCGCTTGGTCCAGGACTACCGGAAGCTCAACAGCATGACGGTCAAGAACCGGTACCCACTTCCGCTCATCTCGGACTTGGTGGATAAACTCCGGAACGCTCGCTACTTCTCCAAGCTCGACGTCCGGTGGGGTTTCAACAACGTCCGGATCAAGGAGGGCGACGAGTGGAAGGCCGCGTTCCGGACTACGCGTGGACTCTTCGAGCCGTTGGTAATGTTCTTCGGACTGACGAATAGCCCATCTACCTTCCAGACCATGATGAACGACCTCTTCCGGGAGCTCATTACGGAAGGTGTGGTCATTATCTATCTGGATGACATTCTGATCTACACCAAGACGCGCGAAGAGCATCGCCGGGTCCTCAGGCGTGTCCTGGAGATCCTCCAGCGGAACAAGCTCTTCCTCCGAGCAGACAAGTGCGAATTCGAGCAGACTAAGGTGGAGTACCTCGGTGTCGTCATCTCCGAGGGTAAGATCGAGATGGATCCCGTGAAGGTTTCCAGAGTCGCGGACTGGCCGACCCCTCGGACTCGGACTGAACTCCAATCCTTCCTCGGGTTTGTCAATTTCTACCGCCGCTTCATCAAGGACTACTCGCATATCGCTCGGCCTCTCTTCGACCTCACTTGCGCAAAGGAATGGCAGTGGAACGACTCCGCTCAATCCGCGTTTCTTCGGATCAAGGAGCTGATCACTTCGGAGCCCGTTCTGGTCTTTCCAAAGGAGGATCGGCCGTACCGGGTTGAAGCGGACTCGTCGGATTACGCTACGGGTGCGGTCTTGTCGCAGCTCGATCCGGATGATGGTAAATGGCATCCTGTCGCATTCTATTCTAAAAGTCTACAGGCTGCGGAGCGGAACTACGAAATACACGACAAGGAGATGCTTTCAATCATCCGGGCACTCGAAGAATGGCGGCACTACCTTGAAGGCGCGGAGACTCCGTTCGAGATCTGGACGGACCACAAGAACCTGGAGTACTTCATCAAGGCCCAGAAACTCAATCGTCGTCAGGCCCGCTGGTCGCTATACCTCTCCCGCTTCGACTTCACTCTCCAGCATCGTCCGGGTCGGACAATGGGTAAGCTGGATGCTCTCTCGCGCCGCTCGGATCACTCGGATGGTAAGGATGACAACAAGGACGTGGTTTTACTTAAGCCGTCTTACTTTGCCGTCCGTGCCACGGGTGTCACTCTTGAAGGGGAGGAGAAGGATATCCTCACGGCTATCCGGACTGGAGTGCGAGATGCGAAGTTCAAAGACGCAGTGGCAAAGGCGGCAGAGGAGCTGAAGAAGACCCAGGGCAGTTGCAAGACAGTCCGAAGTGTGGAATGGTCCCAATCGGACGGACTCCTCATGTTCCGGGGTAAGATCTACGTTCCGGACTCACCAGACTTGCGTCGGACTATTGTAGCTCAGCACCATGACACCAAGGTCGCAGGACACGCCGGCAGATGGAAGACCCTAGAGCTCGTTTCGCGCAGCTACTGGTGGCCCAACATGTCCCGGTACGTCGGATCCTACACCCGCCATTGCGACCTCTGTCTCTGGACGAAGGCCCAAAGGCATCCACCCATGGGTGAACTCCATCCGCTTCCCATTCCGGATGGACGCTGGGATCGCCTGAGTGTTGACTTCATCGTCGAGCTTCCGGAGTCCGATGGGTTTGATGCTGTCATGAACGTGGTCGACTCCGTAAGCAAACGCGCCCACTTCATTCCGACTCACACCACAGTGTCTGCCCTCGGATCCGCAAACTTGTACCTGCAGAACGTCTGGAAGCTGCATGGACTCCCTCGGTCTGTTGTGTCCGACCGGGGTCCGCAGTTCGTTGCAGAGTTCACCCAGGAAGTCTACCGGATGCTCGGAATCAAGCTGGCCGCCTCCACTGCGTACCACCCTCAGTCCGACGGACAGACGGAACAGACCAACCAGGAACTCGAGTCCTATCTCCGGATCTTCGTCGGAGAGCGTCAGGACGACTGGGCTCGCCTCCTGCCTATGGCGGAGTTCGCGTACAACAACCGGGTCCATGCGTCCACTCAGCAGTCACCCTTCCTCCTGGATACCGGCCGTCATCCTCGTCTCGGGTTCGAACCTCACCAACCACCGTCTCGGATGGAGTCCGCAAACGAGTTTGTAGACCGGATGAAGTCCGCAGTCGACGAGGCTCATTCCGCATTGGTCAAGGCTCAGGACGACATGAAGCGCTACTACGATCAGCGTTGGACTCCTGCTCCGGAGTACCAACCGGGTGACAAGGTCTGGCTGGACTCGTCGGACATCAACCTTGCCCGACCCTCCCGGAAACTCGGACACGCACGACTCGGTCCTTACAAGGTCGTCCGGAAGGTTGGCAAGGCAGCGTACCGGCTCCAGCTCCCTCTGGGCTTATCCCATCTCCATCCCGTCTTCCCGGTGGTCAAACTCTCTCCCTTCGTTCCGGACCCCATTCCGGGTAGACGCCCTGTCGCTCCGCCACCTCCGCAGCTCGTTGACGGAGAAGAGGAGCATGAGGTAGAAGAGGTCTGGAATAGCAGACGGTTCGGTCGGGTCCTGAAGTACCTGGTGCGTTGGCGAGGCTATGGTATTGAGCACGACTCCTGGGAGCCCGCAAGCAACCTCCAGCATGCCGCCCGGAAGGTCAAGGACTTCCATGATCGTCACCCGGACGCAGTACGCGTACTCCGGACGAGTCCGATGAATCCGACGACTGCTCTACCTCTCCGGATGACTCCTGCAGCACTGGACCAGTCCTGGGAGCGTTGGCGTAGTCGGAAGGCCCCGGGCTCTGCGCAATCGTACTTCGACATCTTCTTGCAGCAATCCGGAGTTTCGGGGTTGGTGAATTCATGGCGCGGCAGGCAGGAATCTTTGCGTCGGGTCGCCGCAACCTTGAAGGGGGGGTGATGTAAGGGGACACTCCTATTTCCCCCTTTTCCCCCTGTCCCGTCCCCTTCCTCCTCGTCCCTTTCCTCTTTCTTTCATTCCCTTTCCTTTCCTTTCGTCCCCTTTCCTTTCTGCTTCCCTTCCGTTCACTCCCTTCGCATCCGAGCCTCGTCCGGTGACTCCGAAGTCTTCCCGCGCTTCGGACGCCTCGGACTCGCTCGGACTCGCTCGGACTCGTAGATACACTTCGGGGCTCGTCCGGGCTACCTCCATCTTCCTTTCCCACTTCGTTATTCCTTGTCCCCACTCCCCCAGGTCGCTGGCACGGCTCCTGTACATTCCCCTTCCACTTCATTATCACATGCCCTCTCGTACCTTGTGATATTCGTTCGTACCTGTGGCTGGTGTACTGTACAGTTACCCTTCATTCCTCCCACGCTACTACAGTATATACTTCGCTTCCTAGCATGGAGAATCCCCATCCTGTTCTCTTTGGATTCTCCCTCTGCTAGGTGAGCAGCTCTCTCATGTATTGTAGTTAGTCTTATTCATTTCTTTGGATTCTCCCTCTGCTAGGCCTGCGCTGTCGGCCATCTTGAGGTTGCCCTTACAATCTGGCTGGGGGCGCCCGGCATCTCGGAGTCGTCAGGGGAGCGAGGGATGGAGTTCCTTGGGTCCTCAGAGGTGGGTGGGAGTAGCAGGAGAGCGTCTGGAATGTCTGCAAAACCGGAGAGATGTTGAGAACAAGTCCGGAGTGGCGCAGGACGTTTTCCGTAGGGCTCTGGTGCCAGGGTGGGAGATCCTGTTCTGCTGTAAGGGCAACCTCAAGATGGCCAACAGTGCAGGCCTAGCAGAGGGAGAATCCAAAGATAATGAATAAGACTAACTACAATACATGAGAGGGCTGCTCACCTAGCAGAGGGAGAATCCAAAGAGAACAGGATAAGGATTCTCCATGCTAGGAAGCGAAGTATATACTGTAGTAGCGTGAGAGGAATGCAGGATAACTGTACAGTACACCAGCCACAAGTCCGAGCGAATATCACAAGGTACAAGGAAACATGTGATAATGAAGTGGAGGGTAAATGCACAGGAGTCGTGCCAGCGACTTGGGAAAGTAAGGGCAAAGAGTAATGAAGTGGGGGAAAAGGATAGAGGTGACCCGGACGAGCCCCGAGGAGTATAGATGAGTCCGAGCGAGTCCGAAGTGTCTGAGCGAGTCCGAAGTGTCCGAAGTGCGGGAAGACTCCGGAGTCACCGGACGCGGCTCGGATGCGAAAGGAGTGGGTGGAAAGGAAGTGGAAAGGAAAGGGAGCGAAAAGGAACGAAGGGGAATGAAGGGAATGTAGGTAAGAGTCCATGGAATGAAGGAAAGGAGAGAAAATAGGAGTGTCCCCTTACAGATACATTTGATTGTTCACACATAGATAAATAGGTAGTTTGAATTATGTAGCCCCTCGCGCGTTTGCGAGGGTCAACTGCTATTCCGTACGCCCGAGTAACTGCGAAGAAACGGTTATTTCTACAAGTAATGTAGCCGAATGAATATCATGAATAGGGTGTAGTGGGAGTATTGGAATTAGAGGACTAGTCGCGAAGTTCTTGACGAGACCAGGCGCTAATTGCCTAATGGTTACAATTAGGTAACCCTTGGCGGCCTGGTCTATAGCATCACAATTGCCAAGGCCGACACCGTTTTTGACCTCATCGATGCGAAGGAGCATATCTGAGTATTGGACAAGCGGATCGAATAGCCCACAGGCGACCCGCTCGTGGCCATCCGGCTTAAAGGATGGCCTTCCATATTGAAGGGTCGCCTCATGGAACGTCCCCTCCAGGAAGTGCATCACAGCGGGTCTGAGGGCGTTTTGATCAGTACACAGTTGCTGCCTCCATTCAGGCGAAAGTAAAGCCTCTATCAACCAGCGCCAATAACGAGCAACTCATCGAGACGGAGCAATCAAACAACAACCTCGCTATCTACGATGGCCGCCCTGATGGCCTCACTGGTCCTAGCATCACGATCTACCACCCGATATTTGCAGAGTTCCAACGACATTTGCGCGACATGCCAAAACCCGGTGATATTCCGCTAGAAGATGTTAGGGCGGCCTCTTTGTTCATTTCCACGAGCGCTCAGTACTTCAAAAGCGAAACTGATCGTCTGATCAAAACATAAGCGCCAGAAGAGTGTGGTTGAAGTGATGACATACTACGAATACTTGGAATATTGGCAGTACGTCGATCGAGTGCTTCCTCCGTGATAGTGTCAAGATTCGGCTTCGAGACCGCTATAGAAAAAATCAAAAGATGTCCTCTGCAGATAACATGGATTACTCACTACAGAGCACAATAAAGTAGAGGGTTCGGCCCTTAGAATCCAGGATTTCAGAAAGGGGGGCATCCTTGGACCAAAACTCGCAGACCCGCATAACTTCATCCACGGCCCATTCGAACCTCCTTTCCTTCACTTGCATGATGCTCCGAGCCCCTTCAAAACTGACGACATCTTCCGCAATCTACAAACAAAGTCAGCTTTCAATCATATATTCTGAATATCAACTTGCCGTCAAAACATCCGAAGTCGGCATCAGCGAGATGGAGCCGAATGTGTGAGTGCGAATATAGTCGAGTAGATCGCCCGCTGTGGCATCACTGGAGCCAGTATAGTAGTGTCCAAGGACGAGGGGAACACCTTTGCCTGCATCGACGATAATAAACGTGTGTTTAACTTTTGCCATGATAAGTTGGTGTTCGGAGTTAAGCGTGACACGGCACGTGACAGCCACACTGACAACGACAGTGGACGGATTCTTTGGCCGAGTTCGTGGCTACTGCTTCTATCGACGGTGAATGTCACGTTGCATGGTGCAGAATCGCGTCGCTTACACCTTACACCTTACACTAGGACATGTAGTGATTCATTCACTGTCTTCCAAAGAATCTTACGCGTTCGACATGAAACGGCCGATGCGCACCATTGCCCTTGAGCCCAACTTCGTTAAAATCAGTTACAGGTCTTTCGTTTGCGGAGGACTAGCCGGCACCCTTGTCTTACACGAAAAAGGATGGCTAGGACACAAGGAAACCGTTCTGCACTCAGGGGAGGGGCCGATAGGGCAAGTTAGATGGAGAGGAAGGTTGATCGCTTGGGCAAACGATTTGGGTGTCAAGATCTATGACACGGTGTCACAGACGCGTATTACATTCATCGATAGGCCGGCCGACAGCCCGCGCGCGGACCTTTTCAAGTGCACCCTCCATTGGCAGGACGACTCGACACTCATAATCGCCTGGGCAGACTACATCAAAGTCGCTCGCGTCCGCGCTCGTCCTCCTACAAATGAAGCTTCCTCCAAAGCTGGCCTTCCTCCCCTCATCGTTGAAATTACCGCTGCGCTTCAACTGGAATGTATGATATCCGGCATCGTACCGCACGAAGTTCTACAGATGGCACCGAACCCCTTGGCAGAATTAGGGACAGAGAAACTCACCGTGCACATATCCATGTCGTTAACATCTTTCCTCATCTTGGCATACACTCCGCCGGACACGGCCTTCACGGAAGAAATGACAGAGGATCGAGCGCAGCAGGCAAAGAAAGCTGCCGAACGCCCCCGAACTCCAGATCATCTCTCGCACCGGGGAAGAGTTAGCTACGGATGCCCTTACTGTAACTGACTACCACAGGTGGGGTTGCAATGACTATGTCCTCGCCGATGTCCTAGACACAGCAAACCCCGCAGCCGATGCTGGAATAGGCGAGAGTTACGTGGTAATGAGCCCGAAGGACATAGTCTTGGTCAAGCCGAGGGATAGGCGTGACCATGTTGCTTGGTTAGTTGAGCGGAAGAGATACGAAGAGGCGCTAGAAGCCGTCGAGCAGATCGAGGCCAGCGGTGAAGCTATTGCCGACAAGGGGGAGGACAAGGTTACTACATCCTCGATCGGGCAGAGGTACATTGAACATCTGATGCACGAAGGTGAGTGAAGTGAAGTCGTCTCCGCACAGGAATTTTGCTGACCGATGCTAGGCGAATTCACGAAAGCCGCAAAGTGCAGCGCTGGGAAAACTGGATCCTCCTCTTCGCAGACAAGGAGGAACTCCAGGCACGTGTCACCGGCGGATAATGGTCGTTTGCTCGTGTCATTCCCTCAGGCCGTGATCCCATATGTACCTACAGACTCGCCCCGATTGAGTCACCTAGTGTATGAAATGATGCTAGCGTATTTTATCAGCACGACAGACAGGTAAAGTACCAAAAACTCAATTGGGGTACCGGGTTTTGACAATTTTGGCAGGCTCTACTTCAAATCGTGAGGGATTGGCCGAAAGATATCTACAACCTCACCGCCGTAATTGTTGCTATTCACTCGGAACTCGACTCTTCAGCTAGTACTTCCACTTTTAAATCGTCGACACAAGAGACGACGCTGCTAATGGAGTGTTTGGCTGAGCTGTAGGAGACTCATCATCCGTGAAGAGTCGTCCTGACGTACTATAATCGTTCACAGATACACGGCTAACCGTCAACCCGGCAAAGCGCTCCCTTTCTACTTGCGCCTGCGATGGCCCAATGTCTTCGACCTCATTAGGGAACACAATCTCTCCACTGATGTCCGCGATCAAGCTCTGCTGTTGGTCGAATTCGATCAAGAGCTTATCGAACAGCGGACAAAGAATGGATAAGTTGTCAACGATAAAGAAAGTCCAGCGATCACGTTGCTCGTAGATCATATCCATTCAATACCTGTGGGCGCTCTTCTTATTTCCGCCTGGAATTTGTAGAACTTAACGAACCATAGATTGGCAGAGTCGTACAGCAGCTCCAAAGTCGCCCTTTCTATCTCTTTTTGTATCTCGACGCCCTGTTTGAGAAGGACCCTTATCTCACCACCGACTTTGCTGACATTCAGGTCAAGCTGTACGCTGAATACGCAATTTCTCGACTTATCGACTTCCTGCGGGCAAGCAATTACTACAACCTAGAGAATGTACGTGGTCTCAGTTTCTTCTAAACTTGGTTCGCGTTCAGATACGACAAACCTTCAAGGCGTATAATATCTGCAAAGACCGCGACTTGGTCACGGAGATGGTCTTCCTTCTGGGTCGCATGGGCAATAACAAACAAGCCTTGACGCTCATAATTGAACGGTTAGGCGACGTCGATAGGGTGATTGTAGTCTACATCACAATCTAATGGTGCCTAACTGTTTTGTCAGGCCATCGACTTTGCGAAAGAACAAGCGGATGATGATCTATGGGAGGACCTCTTGAAATATTCTGAAACGCGCCCAAGTGCGTCACTACACTTCTTTATCCTCCACGGCCAATACTCACCACGATTAGCTTTCATTCGTGGCCTACTTGAGAACGTCGGCGCGGAAATCGACCCCATTCGCCTAATACGGCGCATAAAGAATGGGTTGGAGATCCCTGGTCTCAAAGATGCTTTGATCAAGATCTTGCACGACTTCCATTTGCAGATCTCGTTGCTGGAGGGCTGTCAAACGATTTTGAATGGGGACAGCTCGGATTTAGCGGGGAAGCTGCACAGATACTAGAATTCCGGATTCTTCCTTGCTGGTATGTCGCTGTTTGCAACCATCATATCCTAAGTGATCAAGACTGTTTGCAACAGGGAAAACAACGTGTCCAATTTGTTCAAGATCACTTCATGGGCCGCCGCAAGAACTGCTGCTCCTTTTCCTCTGTCGGCACGCCGTTCATGCTTCATGCGTAGAAGGCGGGGACGACTTGCCTTCGTATTCTGAACTGGGCATACGCAACTAAACCCAATCCTCCTCCATTTGTAGGCGGTGAAGGGGTGGATGACGAGATATTCAGGAATTAGACGTTCGGCGCCTGCTATGAAGGTTCGTGAAGGGAGCAGGACAAGGTTGATCTACTTCAAAATCACGTTAACGAAGCCACGAGAATCTAAGCGACCGAGCGCAGACGAGAAGCTCTAGTTCCTGGAGGCTATTTGTTATCCTCCAATACCCAGCAAAGGAAGCTGTTCTATCTTGTCGCGTGTCTGCTGCACCACATGCGAACCGTGGCTTCCTTGCGGCAAAGATACGCTATAAAGGGTTAGATATAAGTTTACGCCGCAGCTGTGGAAGTTGGTTCAAAGTTACAGCGATCGAGCGATGGGAACTCACCGCACTGTCCACCTGGCTAATATCTAATGATCGCTCGATTGTCTCCACTTTCAGCAATGCGGGCATCGACGTTCATCATCAGCTACATTCGCATAAACATGATGCATAGCATAGGTGGGCATACAAGATGATGATTTTGATTGTATGGACGCAGTTCAAATCGTGGCTCCGAAACGTGCAACATCAACAATCACTACAGCTCCCTCCCTTTCATGCCTTCTTAGCCTTAGCCACTGTCTTTCGTACGACGTCTCGGCGGGCCTTCTTAGCAAGCATGATTTGGAAACGGCCGAAGTCGTTGAGCTGCCGTCTTGACTCGGTGGCCTTGCGCTTCTTCGCCCAGGCCGAGTTCTCCCATGCAGTAACCGTGTTCTCCTTCTCCAACTGCTTTTTTATCACTCCGGACCCGGCGCCACGGGGCAATTTCTTGAGAGCGAGGGGAGTGAGTGTCAAGTGCTTGTAAGGGAATGATTGGCGGGGGACGTTGGTGGTTGGGCCATCGATGATTGCCTAGGAAATATTCAGAGATCGAAAGATGGACGTGAATGTGCACGACTAAGTACCCGGTTGTGGTCGATGATTTCGGCAATGACTGCGATTTGCCCTGCTTGTGGGCCAGAGTTGATCAGGACAACTAGAGCAATCTAGGTCATTCGCTGAACCGCAACACGAGTGTCCTTTCAAGGGCGTACCTCGTCCGACCTCTACGAAACGCTTGAAGTTTGATGTCTGTAGCGAAGCCAGTCAGCATCATCCCGGTCTGAAGTTATACATCCACCCCGAGAACGAATCGAGAGACCTCCAGTCTTCGAGATACGTCCCGTTTGGCGTACAGACAACGATCGCAATACTCACCGTCATATTTAACGGGCTTGAGGAGGCTTGAGGATCGTTGGGGGTGGCGAGGACGAAGTTTTGGAGGGGCGTGTGAAAGTTGTTCTGAAGGCGAATAAGCGCCTATGTACTTGGATTGAATTTTGTAGGAGTAAACCTATTTAATCGCCAATCGTTCAGATAGCTTTAGGAATTCACTTGGGGTAAAATATATATATTAGCGCAACAATTTATCATATGCAAGATCTTTCTGGAGTATTTCACTCTTCAAATCATTGATTGTAGTTTGTGTTACTTAGTCGTGGAACAGAGCTACCCTCTCTGCTCATCTGACAAAGTTATATTATGACGAAGCTTGAAGAAGCTTCTTTATCCACTTCTGCTTGCTCGCTGAGGCATTCTTGGACACCAGAACAAGTCCTGCTCGAACCATACTTTTGATAGGAGATAGGAGTGGGCATGTCACGTGTAGTAGGGATCGTTCCTCGCCACTTTCGCCGACTCGGTCTTGCAAGGAATTTGAGGATGCGCCTGGTTTACGGCCGACTTCCGTCTTGACATGCTGGACGAATGGTCTTCGAATATCTTGCAACATGACCCTATGCGAATGTACCGCGCGAAACGCGATAGTACTCGTCGGACCGTGTCCTCAAAGTACCATATCCTGGGATTCATCTCTTCAGGAACGTATGGCCGCGTCTACAAGGCTCAGAGCAACGACGACGATGGTAAAATCCACGCAATCAAAAAATTCAAGCCTGACAAAGAGGGGGACGTGATAACCTACACCGGGATCAGCCAAAGTGCTATCAGAGAGATTGCGGTGAGTTCAATTTATCCGCCGTTCTTTCGTCGCTGAAACCCGACAGCTCAATCGCGAGATTGAGCACGAAAACGTGGTCGCATTGAAGGAAGTGATTCTGGAGGACAAAGCTATCTACATGGTGTTTGACTACGCCGAACATGATTTCCTGGTATGCTTTCAACCTTGCGCCATAATTCGTGACCTCATCAGGTAACCAGCAAGTGATCCATCACCATTCGCAGACCATACGCACTCAGATTCATGTTGCGATGCTAAAGTCGCTCACATACCAGCTTCTGAACGGTCTCGTCTACCTTCATTCTTGTCATATTCTTCATCGCGATCTAAAGCCAGCTAATATTCTCATCACGTCGTCCGGAGTTGTCAAGATCGGAGACTTGGGTCTCGCTCGTCTCATTTACCAACCACTGCAGCCACTTTTCGCTGGAGACAAGGTTGTGGTGACTATCTGGTACCGCGCGCCGGAACTCTTAATGGGGGCTAAGCACTACAACAAAGCCATTGATTGTTGGGCTGTGGGTTGCGTTATGGCCGAGCTTGCGCAGTGTCGACCTATATTCAAAGGCGAAGAAGCAAAGCTAGACTCGAAAAAGAATGTCCCTTTCCAGAGAGATCAGCTACTCAAAATCCTTGATATCTTAGGCACGCCAAAAGGTTAGTTTACGCAAGGAGAGGGAAATTGCAATTCTGACAAGGACTTAGAAAGTGATTGGCCGGGTATTGTCGACATGCCTGAATATCAGAATGTGAAGCGTTTGGATCTGTGAGCGAGCGTCGACCCTATTGGGGATATGATGGCTGAATCCCGAACACAGCTTCAGTGGCCAACTTACACAGTGGTGTCGAGTGCGCCTCCCGGGTCAACAGCTTGGCTACGACCTTCTCAACAAACTGTTCCAATATGACCCAGACAAACGGCTAACAGCACGCGCCGCATTGAACCATCCGTGGTTCGAAGAAGACCCAAAACCCACATGGAAGTAAGTTGGCATACACTTTCCTGGTCAGGACAGGTCTCTCAACTGGCCGAAGTGCTTTTCAGTCTATTCCTGCTCATCAAATTCCTCCACCGCGTCGAATAACGCAGGACGACGCGCCTTCTATGGTACCCATGGCTTCACAACAACCGCATCAGGGTCATGCTCAAGTCAGCGCCTTTCAGTCGCAGTCTAAGCCAGGTAGCTCGGCAAGTTTTGCGAGCCTTAGCGGAGGCGGCGGTCCGTACGGAGGACAGGGGGGCAATGGGAACGGTGCGGGCCGAAAGAAGGCTAGGATGGGATGAGGTATTGGCCCGGTTGGCAAGACACTTTCATGGTGAGGTTCTCTTTCGCTTCTTCCAGATTAATCGATCCATCCTGACGGCTGTAACCTATGTGTTCAGTCCAGTAGATAAGTTTCCGACGGCATAATTACTTGTTCATTGATACAGCCAGCCTTCTGACCACATTGCCTTTCGCCTCCGAACAGCTCCAGCAACTTCAATAAAGGCCAGACCCTGGTGCTTTCCGTGAATATTTATAGCAGAGATAAGAGGTATAAGGCTTCGATGATGGGAATTGACACTATTGGATCTCTAATAGGAAGTCTCCGTGGCAAAAACTTGGCACAACGACTTGTGCCATGCTTCTAATGCGATGCTTCCTTCGGTGTAGGTATGTCTGCCGTTCATTGAGATTGTTGAATAACCACATGCTTTCAAATACGTCGATACGACTTCTTTGACTTAGATCAGCTGGAACGCAGTTTACTCCACATCGAAAGGTGCTGTTGGGATCATTATCGGCAAAAGAACATACTCCGCTTGGCTTCGCAATGATTTGGCTCTAGTCCTTTCTACATGCTCACAGATTGCTCTTGAAGTCGTTAGGAAGCGTCGTGCTGTTCCTTGTGGTTCGTACGTTTCTAATTATCTTGGAAGATTGCGAGCTGACCAATACCCTGAAGTCTCTAGTGCTTTGCTCGACAAACTTTGCGCTACAGACTTTGTGGAGAAAGCGTTACATTCAATTATCGGAACGCATATATCTCCCCAGTGAGCCGCATGATGCATATCCTCAACATCCATACTATCGTAGTTCGATCATCGGAGCCCTCTAGCTCAAGTCTTCAAGGGGAAATTATATTCATACCTTCTGAGCTTCGAACTCCACATCTCTCCCTTACATGGCCATTATCATCGAGTGCATACACATGCTCCGCGCACAATCAACTCATCCCTCTTCGGTCTTGACTTGAGACCTCTGTTCCATCTCTCCGAAGAATCGAACCTCCCATGTGTTCATGGAGAGAAAACGGGATATCTCACAATTGATAAACCGTTCGGAAAACGTATAAAGGCCCTAGTGAATCGGCAGTAATGGCTCAAGGTCTTCAGCCCACTCAGATTCTACAGAAAAGTCCCCATGTTTGTTTGGTCTTTCGTCACTCTCGGCCTCGCAAGCGCTGCTCTTGCTTCGCCATTCAAGCGATCTGGCGGCCTCAGCGTCAAGCTGTCCGCTGCAGCTGTCTCGGTCGAGTCCATCGACGACCTCAAGCTAGTCGCTGAAGTGACTAACACCGGTTCCGAAGATGTCAAAGTACTGAAGTACGGCACAGTCTTGGACGACAAACTCCCAACCCGTATTTTCACCGTCACTAAAGATGGCTCAACCGTTCCTTTCACCGGCATAAAGGTAGGCCTGCGCATAGTGCTCTAACCTCACTCCGTATTAAACGTTGCTGTGTAGATTCAATTGTCGCTCGCTGACGCCGACGACACTGCCTATACTGTCATCCCCGCAGGCCAAACAGTAACAGTTAGCCACGCAGGTAAGCTCGCCGACACGCCGCAGGAGCTGGGCTGACACCTGTCTACAGTCGCCCCTCTGTTCGACTTCGCCTCTGTAGGCGCTGGGAAATTCACCTTCGAGCCTGTCACCACTTTCCAAGTCGCTGGTGCAGCCGAGAGAGTTGCCAACATCGACGACTTGACCAAAGTCGATGCGACTGTCTCCGCTGTTGATGTTGAGGTGACTGCTGATGTTGCGAAGCGTGAAATTCAAGCCCGCAACAAGCGTGCCGTAGACATCTGCACCACCAGCTCCCGCAAGTCCTTCATTGATGCCAGGCATGTATCATTCTCTACCACCTCCCTTCTAAGGCTCATCTACTTGTAGCTACACCGAGGCCAAGAGTCTTGCGTCCATTTCCTCTTCCTACGTTTCCAGCCGTGGGGCTAGTGACTCACTCTACCGAGCTTACTTCGGTGCTACCGCTACCTCGCGTGTGACTTCTATCCTCAATGCTGTCGCCAACGAAAACTCTGGTTCCCGCACGTATGTAACATGTTTCTGAATCTCTTGAGTTTCGTTTTGATGTCTTTCTAGTCTCAGCTGCACCGACAGCTTCGGTGCCTGCAGCAGTGGTGTTATCGCATACACCGTGATCTCCACCACCAACGTAATTCCTTCGCATTTCTCCGTTATCTCCCCACTAACAATCCTTTGCAGATCTACTTCTGCAGCATCTTCTTCAACGAGGTGGCTACTCCCTCCTTGTGCAGCGGTACGTCTGTTGCTTCTCGCAACATCCGAGGTGGAACTACTCTCCACGAAGTATGTGATCATGTATCAGCTTGTGATCTTAATCTAATTATGAACGTAGATGACCCACGCTGTCGCCGGAACCGACGACATTGGTTACGGCTGTTCGTTTGACCAGAGTTTGTCTGATTCGCAGTCTATCGCCAATGCTGATAATTTCAATGTGAGTCCTTATGTTAATCCGCCTGGAAACAGAGTTTATCAGTTGATATCATCTAAAGTGCTTCACCACTCAAGTCTACGCTAACACCAGGTGCTAAATGGTTTCCGCCGACTGTAGATACGACTCAAGAGTGTTTGTTACCTCTTTGGAAACTCTTTGGAAATATAGATATCTTCCTTCTGACAACAGGACAGACCGTGAACGATAAGTAAGGTCTATTAACTTTCGTTTCGTAGCTTTACATCCCGAGGCGCGGAGGACCTCCCCTAAACAAACGCGACTATATTACTTACCCCTATCCTATTGAGTTCCTCTTATCAAACCACCATGGTCAGGGCAGCGAATCCTCCTCTTACCTCTGCAGAAATATTGAAAGTGACCCGTGCTTCAATAAACGTCTTGAAGGCCCTTCGCTACGACTTCTGCTTGTTTGGCAGCGCAGCTTCCAACTACTATGGCATGAACTCTCGCGTAGCAAAAGACGTCGATATCATCGTGCTTTCTTGGGACGTAAACCAGGAGGAGCTCAAGGAGACATTTGTCCAGCGCAACAAGAACTTCTTTCAGGTCAAATCGACAAATTCACGGGCGACGTATACCGTTCTGTGGTACGAACTTCCGGGCGAGCGAAATTGTAAGGTCGACCTCCTCCGCTTGGGAGATATGCGTTTACCAGACATTCCACGAAACGTCGCCTACTACATGCCAGAACACCGTGAAATCCCCCTCTTACCGCTACTCCCGCTACTCTTCCTGAAACTCATCGGATGGAGCGCTCGTTTAAAGTCCAAACTGCCACACTGGAGAAAGAAAGTTCCGAACGATGAAGACGATATTTTGTACCTTTTGGACATTGCTACAAGCCGACCTGACATCGGGCGTCTTTCCAGCGTTCCTTGGATCACCGACGCATTCAGACGAAGGGCTCGAGCGCGCATCGACCGTTTCGTTCAGAAATATCCCAGCAGTATCCCAAATTGGAGGGCGATTGGTTTCAGATTTCCACGCGAACAATTTGAAGAACATTACGAGTCTACAGGTGTAGCTATAGGTAAGTCGAGCCAGTTTTGCAGGAATGTACGGATGTTAACTGCATTTGCCTGAGCCAGAGCATTACGCAATTTCGGCGTGGTTGTAGCAGCGTCAGCTAACGGGATACCTCGGCCACCTCATGCGAGTCGTTCTTTCGAGGATTTGCAAGTAAAAATGATCATGTCTATTGAATCATTAACCTGGAGATACACCCCGTCTATTCTTTGCCCTAGGATTGAAATCCCTCGTACTAGTGTCCATGGTTTATACGGGCAGGTGTAACATTATGCCGTACATATGCGTCGAGTCGGTTGTTGCTCGAAAAAGGCGAAACAACTGGTTTAGGAAGACCTGATTGTGTGTCCATCTTGGTGAGTTGGGGAATAGCGCAGATAGAGGCTTGGACATTTGTGCATGCATTCGAATCCGGAACCCACGTTGCAGGAGACCGAGACTGATCAAGCTCCGTGTAACAAGACCTCCCGTGGGGGCTAAGTAGTGCTGCTTTATATCTTAGCAAAGAAAATAATTAGTGGAAGCAATGTTATGTTCTTTCGCTTTCTCTCTGGCAGCCTCACTGAGGCCGGGTCGCGGTGCAGGAATTTCGAGCGCCCATCGAGCGCCCATACCACAATCGCTGTCAACGTGATGGTTCTGACCTGTTCAAGCACCAAACCCAAGCACCATGGACGAGGACGCAACGACGGTCGGGCAATCCAGAGAAAAGGTGATGCCAACCATGCGGGGCTTGCTTGTAGAATGATTCTGACTTTCCAGCAGACAGCGCCATTCTTGATTCGCGCGTTCATCAAAATCGGCGGTTTCCATAGACTTACAATGTTTGACGATGGCACACTCCCAACCACAGACGAGCAACAGCTTTTTACGTGGTGCGTCCACAGCGTGTACTACTGGTCCGTAAGGTACTGATAAAGACGCAGGAAGGATGCAACTTTGCGCGAAATAGTAACTACCCTCCGAAACACTGCGCCTACAGTACCAGAGTATCGCCACCCTCTTGCTCGGTTTTCGTTCAGAACCGTTTATGCCGATCCAGGCAGCAAAGGCAGGTTCTCGTCCAAAGATCTTGGCTCTATCTCCTCGCGCGACATCCTTGGAGAACCCGGCACCCTCACCACCGTCGCGCCCCGTCTTTTGGAAGACGAGGACACCGAACCCTCGTCAAGAGAAAAGGAGGAACGAACGTTGGACGAGCTCAGATTTGTGCCCGGAGATTACCTTATTGTTGCGGTGCTGCTTCCCAAGAGCGCTACTGCACCTTCGGAGTTGGCCATCAAGGGCGCCGGCGCGGGTCCTAATAACGGTTGGAAGGGTGGGGCAGGTCGTGGAGCAGATAGTGGATGGGGAGGGCCTACGGCAGCCTCTAGCGCTCCAGGACGTGGGGGAGGACATTGGAGGGGAGACTCGAACCCTCCTCCACCGGGGGGCGGCGGTCGAGGTAGAGGCAGAGGCGGGGACAGAGGCGGAGACTTTGATAGACGTATACCGCCCCCTCGAAGAGGTGACTCTCCGCCTCCTTCGAGGGGCGGGAGAGGTGGACGTCCGAGAACTCGTTCGCGGTCGCCCCGGCGGAGAAGATACGATTAGATGATCGCGCATTGCTCTATTTCGGTGTTCTATATTCGCTGCGTCCCAAGGCAAAATGTAGTATGTGTGGTTGTTCCTCCTATTTGATTGATCCACGATTTCCAGAATAACAACAACTACTTACTCGAAGAACATTTCCTTTCGGAACGTACTGAAAGCCGGCGTTAGCACGACTAACAGTAGGTGCGCGGTTGTAGGATCGTGCCGACGCTTGATGACTGAAAAATGGTTATGAGAAGAGCTAAAGCTTCCGAGGCATTGGGTGGGTGGGTAAGGCTGGCGGCATTCTTTTAGGACAATTGAAGACATCGTGGATCTATATTCAGTCATGAGCGCTGCTCCGACCCTTGAGCAGAATTGGGGGCACAACCCGGGGTGGGTGAGCCTGAGCGGCGGTCAGCTAGTGATAGACTAAGGCGAGAATGCCTAAACGACGAGCTATTGGCGAACGGCATTGGTACGCTTGCGTTCCCATACAACAAAGAAGGGACTTGCCCGTCATCAAACACATAGACACTTGTTTGGTTGTTGCACATAGATTCGACAGTAAATGGTGCGTCTGTTTCATATCGAATCCACGAAGCGACATTTTCGTGATACTGGCTCGTTATTCCTGCTAGGTGTCGCGTGGCAAATATAGCACTTGGATTCGCAGATGGATCTTCTGTATTTCCCTCGGGAATAGCAAGGTCGATCCTATCCTTCCATGGGCGTTCAAGCGTGTCGAAGCCGCTCGGGTGTTCAGGCAGCATAAACGCTGTGTAATCGTACCTCCTCTGCGCTTCGTCAGCCGGCGATTTCTCGATCGCTCATAACAGCCAAGAGTAACATAATCCTTGTAAGCGAACAATTAACCTGCGAATCTCGCTCTGCTGACTCTATTGTCCCCCTGGTTACTCTACATCTTCTAGGAGGGAACCTCTGACTTCTGGTCCATATGGAGGTGGTACGTAATCCTGCAAGATATATAAGCATCGCACTCGTCGAGAGCTGACGTTCAATGACTCGAATCGTCTCCTTCTCTGTGCTCTCTGTCGTGTTTCTCGACGCCGTTATTGGTGGCTTTGTGGACTCTGCGGCTGACATTGCTAGTGCATACGATTTCATCGTTGTCGGAGGTAAGTGTCGATTGTAGACGTCTTTCTAGATTCACTGACGCGCGCATATGGTAGGCGGAACCGCAGGCAATGTCGTTGCCAATCGCCTCTCGGAAGACCCCCTCATCCAGGTACTCGTCATTGAAGCTGGCGGATCGTGAGCTACCTTCGTTCCAATAACTTGTTTCTGCTTTAACACATCAACCGAATAGCAACGAACGCTTAAATGGGATCGAGATGCCATTTCTGCTCGCCCCTGCGTTTGATACTACTTATAGCTGGAATTTTACCACCGTTCCGCAGCCGGGGCTGGGAGGGAGATCTCTTCCCTTTGCGCGGGGCTTTGTCCTGGGAGGAAGTTCTTCGATCAGTAAGTCCCGCCATCTTAGTACATCACAAGGCGCCTTACGTATATGTCCAGATGGGATGATATACTCTCGAGGTTCAGCTGAGGACTACGATGCCACAGCACAGCTGACCGGGGACGAGGGCTGGGCTTGGGACAACCTCCAGCCGTATATTCGGAAGGCGAGTTTGGTTCCACTCATCCATAGATGTCGTTGTCTAATAGAATCCAAACTAGAACGAACGGTGGGCTGAGCCTGTGGACAACCACCCAACCTCCGGGCAATTCAACCCGACGGTCCATGGCTTGGCTGGGATCACTTCCGTCTCTCTGCCCCCTCTCGCCAAAGCCTTAGATCGGCAAGTGACGCAGACAACGGAAGAGAGCCCCGAGTTTCAGTTCAACTTAGACACGAACTCGGGGAATCAGCTCGGTATTGGTAAGGGCTTCAGTTTCAACTTCCAGCAGCGAGTGTAATGGCTGAATAGCGTAATGCACACAGGCTGGTTGCAGTCCACCATCACTTCCGAAGGGAGGCGCGATAGCTCGGCGACTTCGTACCTTGGCCCCAGCTTCATCAGTCGACCGAATTTGCATATCCTACTGAATAGTCAAGTCACACGACTGCTGCCGGCCAGCGACGAAAGCGACGATGACACTTCGTTTGACAGGGTAGAATTCATCGAACGGGAGAATGGTGAGTGATGCCATTCTCTTAGTATCTTCGATCTCACAGATACGCCAGGCACAGCGGGGCCAAAGCACGTCGTAACAGCTAAGAAGGAAATAATCCTTTCCGCTGGTTCCATCGGTACCCCTCACATCTTGCTTCACTCTGGAATTGGCGATAGAGACGAGCTATCTAACTTGGGGATCTCACCAACACACCACCTCCCCGGGGTTGGTAAGAACCTCACCGAACAACCTGCAGTCAACAATGTCTGGCTTGTCGACTCCACTAGTAACGATCCCGACGTTAGTGGCCTCCCAGCCGGCTTCTTCACTCACATAGGGTTTTTGAGGATTCCTGATAATGCAAGCATCTTCGAGACGGTGGAAGATCCTGCGCCTGGACCAAATACAGCTCGCATCGAATTCGTGCTTTTTGTGAGAACTTCATCTTCTGAATGCCCTGGGCTAATCAGACTGGATAGAATAGTGTTGTGGTTGACCCCATAAGCAGCGTTGGTTCCCTCTCCATCACCACCAACGTCCTTACTCCAATATCGCGTACGTGCCCACGCCCTTCTCGGTTTGATATGCTATTCACGTTTGCGAACTGAAAACAGGCGGTTCGGTCACGCTGAACTCGTCAGACCCACTCGATGATCCACTGATCGATCTCGGGCTTCTGGAACACGAATTCGAGTCGTTCACTATGCGCGAAGCCGTACGTGCTGCACAACGCTTCCTCGACTCCCCTGCTTGGGATGACTATATCATTGGGCCGTCTGAGGCCCTTGCTTCGGTAGACTTCAAGAATGATAGCCAGCTGAACGCGTATGTACGGAAAAATGCTGCACCTGCGCTGCATCCAGTCAGCACGGCCGCCATGTCCCCGTATAATGTCTCTTGGGGTGTTACGGATCCAGATTTGAAAGTCAAGGGTGTCCAAGGTGTTCGCGTTGTTGATGCATCTGTACTCGTTGAGTGTTTCTTGTCCTCATTTCGGCGTTGAGCGGTGGTTGACTGAAGCGTAGCCGCTGATCCCATCCGGACACACGCAAGCACCCGTGTACATTATTGCAGAAAGGGCATCCGATCTAATCAAGCTTGCCTGGAACATAACCGTGTAAACATGTGTACTATCAGAGAACTTCAATCATAAGGCAACATAACGCATATCCTTCCAATCAATGAAACTAGCTAAGTTCATGGAGGCACGCAAATCCCTGGGCTAGCAACTAACCTACATCAGTAGCGTACGTGAGTACACGACCGGAAGACTCACTGCATGAAAATGCGACGGTGGTTTGCCAGCGGATGCTAGAATCGTACCGACATTTGGTAATGCTCTGTGCAAGCATGTAACGCCTGCGTAGTGCCCATCTAGCTGACTCTACTTACCATAGCTCCCAGATTTAGCTACGATCGACTCGTAACATTTTTTTCTGCGCGAAAACTTGAATCCAAGCACCCTCCATTTTGCAATACTGTCAGGATATTTCTGAACGAAGCGGCTGATCTGGAGTCGAGCCCGTCGCCTGAAAGCTGTCGTAATCCAAGGCACACTGGAGAGATGTCCAATATCAGGCCTGCTTATAGCGATCTCTAACAGATTCAAAATATCTTCTTCATCATTCGGAACTTTCTTTCTCCAGTGCCAAAGAATAGACCTTGCACGTTTCCTCCATCCAATCAGTTTTAGGAAGAGTAGTGGAATGAGCGGTAAGAGGGGAATCTTGCGATATCCCCGCGACCGCACGTAGTAGGCGATGTCTGGCGGCATGCCCGGTATTCCCATCACTCCAAGATGGAGGAGGTCAACCTTGCACTTTCGCTCGTCCGGAAGCTCGTACCACAGAACAGTGTACGTCGCTTCCGGCTTTACAGAGTCGACTCGATAGAAATTTTTGTCGCGTTGGACAAATTCTTCCTTGAGCCACTCCTCATCCACATCCCAAGCAAGCACGAGAATATCAACGTCTTGCGCAACGCGAGAGTTCATGCCATAGTAGTTGCAAGCTGCACTCCCAAACAGGCAGAAGTCATAGCGAAGAACATTTAGGATGTTTATTGAAGCACGGGTCACTCTCAATACCTCTTCAGAGGTCAAAGGAGGATTAGGTGCCATGGTGGTTTATGGGTGAGGAGGCCTCGAGGTCTGAGCGTGAGTCAGGGGTAGTCATATCGCGTATGTTTAGGGGCGGTCTTAGTACGCGCCTCGAGGCTCGAGGATGGCAACCTCCTCCTCGTACCAGTTCATCCCACGCAAACTCATCAAAAGGAAGCCAAATGACAGCCATGACCCCAATCCGCCGACCGCGAAGCCCCACGGTCCACCCATTCTGCTCCCCGTAGCTGATGCAGCAAAGATTGACAGTCAATCGCAGCAGAAGCTTCCAGATGAACATATTGCGATATGGGTGAACCTCGCTATGTCTCACTACGCAGTATGGTCAGACCCTGATCTCCGCCGTGTGCTTGACTCTGGAGACCAAGAACTGGAGCCAAACTGTGAGCGACGCCTGAATCAACTTAACAGCGCCATCGTGACGCGACTGATCACTAGATATTCCCCTCAGGTTTTTGCTGCGCAACTCTCCGGTCCTTGCATCAGCAGACGAGCTAGAGCATGTCTCCGAGGCACAGGTGGTAAAAGCACTACGCGCCCATTCGCCTACTGTGTTCGACATTCGTGTGCTCATTTCAGAACCAACCAAAACGGCGTGGTCAACAGGGTACAATGCCAAGGGAAAAGAACGCGAAGATATGGGGGGATACGAAATACGACGGTTGAACGGTGGCAAGCTGGGCAGTCTGACGCGCGAAGATTGGAAGGCAAGGACGGTATACTTCGTATGTTCTATTCACATTTATCCTGGCGTGGCTTGCTCATGAGATGGCCAGGAAAGGATCCCCACGATCTACCGCACCATTCCCGCAATAGCGCAATTCATACTCTCCCTCCTCTCTCCGCTCACCCCGTCGCCCGAGTCCGAGCCCCACGACAGCACGCGCATCCAGTCCATCACGCTTCCTCCACATCACTTCGACAAACAGGGAAGCACGCCTAAATTCAAGGGCTTCGCGTTCGTCGTGTTCTCCGCGCTGGAAGATGCAAATACGCTCCTCACGCGATGGCCTTGGGAGGGGCACTGGAACTCGGGCTCAAACGAAGAGAAGCAGGATTTGTATCTGGATAATACTGGTACCAGCACTACAGAGAGAGAGGCCCGACGATTCGGGATGCGGGCACTGTCCCAGACGCGATGGGACGAACTAAAGGAGGAGTACCTCTCCTACCGAAAGACACTGATCGAACGGGTTCCCGACGACGGCACCGCACCCAACATTCCACCCACCGTTGCACCTCCTGCTCCCACTGTTCTTGCTAGTGTTCCGCCTTCTGATTCAGCAGACACGACGCCTACTATAATTCCCCCGCCTGCACCGCCTGGAAACACCACAGCAACACCCCCATGTCCCCATCCGAGTCTGGACGACCCGTACCCCTATGGATGCCTGGTCTTCGTCCGCAACATCCACCCCGCGACAAACAAGACGACGCTCCGGGCGCTGTTTTCGTCTGTGTTCGAAGACAAAGAAGACAAAGACGCGCGAGAGGCAATCGACTACGTTGACTTCAATAAGGGCATGGATAGTGTAAGTCCATGTGTTTACATACGCGTCTACTGTCACTAAATGTGTGTTTTCGTTTACAGTGTTACCTCCGCCTCTCCACACCAGCCAGCGCCGCCTTTCTCTCCTCGCATTTCTCTAGCCATCCTACGGTACAAGCACACGGCCTGGATGAAGCAGGATCGCAAGGCGATAGCAAGGGTATTGAAGTGGAGGTGGTGCGGGGGAAGCGGGAGGCGGTGTACTGGGAGAAGGTGCCAGAGAAGGTGCGGCGTGGTGCAGTGGCGAAGGCCATCGGGTCGATGAATAATAAGACTGAGAGCAAAGATGATATAGAGGAGGGCAGGCAGCGAAAGCGTAGGAAGCGTGGCTAGTGGTTAGTTAGTGTTATGCTCGATGTTCGATCTGGGTTGTCTGATACCTTCTGCCTCTACTTAAGTCCCAAGTCCATTTTTTGGATGATCCCACCACGCACCGAAGGACCGACGATGCTGATAGTGCTAGAGAAGCAAGAAGCAGGTGCATGGGCGCTGTAGATAAGAAAAGGTTCTCACAGCAGAGTCCTACCTTATAAAGCGACAATGTGACCTCCACCGCAGACCCCCACTCAACCACCAATGTCTCCGAAGACAACAGCCATTGCATCGGGCGCACCGGGCGCATCTCCAGCAGCGCGTCGCCTCCGAGATCGCGGGGTACCCGCGTTTCTCGTGTTCTGTGGGACTCTGGTTTGTCTGTTGACCTATTACACCTTGCATCGCCCGATCCAAGGCGCCGTGCACGACGATTCCGATTTACTACACACCCAAACCCCGAAGCCCAACTTGAAGCAATGCCTACCTGCGACCCCTCCAATCGCGCGTCCGCCCGCCCCGATCAACCTGTGGGCCCCCCTATCAGTGGCCGAAATCGCCCAAGTGCACGCCTTCCTGCGCCGCCCGTCACTCGGCCTCAACTTGACCGTTACCAATGCACAGACGAACGACAACTCCGTATTCCTCATTGAGACGCACCCCCCTCCGAAGGCGCTTGCCCTTGAATACCTCTCTGACCCGGCGACGAAGAGCCCACCGGAGAGGCATGCGCGCGTGGTCATGCATCTCGGGGGACAGGAGCAGCCTGTGATCAAGGACTATCTGGTTGGTCCGTTACCTGTGAGCGAGCGCACGATGCTAGAGGAGCGCAGGGGTATATATCATCGGGAAGATATACCGTATAATGCGAGGGGCTTCAATCTAGGGCCTGAGCTCGCGAGGCTTCTCGGGCAGATCATGCCTCCGCTAGCGGAGCCAATGCAGGTGCAGTGTCACTTTCTGCATGCATCGCAGATCACATTGGGTGTCTGTATATTGATTCGGTCTCTTATGTTAGGCATTGCTAGGGGGAGTGGCGAGGGGCCTGCCCAATGATACGTTGGTTGCAGGTGCGAGTGCGCCTTGGGGTATTGATGGCTCTTTCCGTCGCGCGTGGATATCGTGGAAGCGCAACATTCCCGGTTCGTGGATTAACCCGCTGAACCTCTACCTATACGTCGACATGAGCGGAACCGACAGCTCTCAATACAAAGTACTTAAGGTGCGTAGGGGCTCAACGCAACGACAAAAGTCATTATGGTCAACGTTGATGTTCTCGTTCAGCTCGTGTATGACAAGCAAGTCTTCCCGTCGACCGCAGCGTTCCTGGAAGCGTTCCACAATGGGACGCTGAAGCCCCTTCCGCCCGTCGACGATCCCAGTTCCAACGACACCCATCCCTGGAGCTCTCGATACCGTCCTGACCCATCCTTCAAACTCGACCTCGACCATCTCCCCGGTCCCCGCTCAGTCCCCTTCGCTGGACTGCGTTTTCGTGTGGACGAGAGGATTAAGTATGTGAGCTGGATGGGGTGGGGGATGTATCTGGGCTTTGATAGGGATATGGGGCTGAGTCTTTGGGATATACGATTCCGAAATGAGCGGATTATATACGAGGTATATGACGAGCTTCTGGACTTTAGGAATAACAGGCTGACAACCTTCACTTGTAGCTGGCTCCGCAAGATGCTCTTGCACAATACTGTACGTGGCAAACTGTGAAGTTTCAAAGGCAGGTTTAAACTCGTTTCCCCGTAGCTGGTACCAACCCGTTTCAACAAACTACCGCTTGGTTAGTTCCTTCCTTACATATACTGTACATTCATTAATGACCCGCTGAGCGATGTAGGCTTGACCGGTACTTTGGCATGGGACAGACAGTCAGACCCCTCATGCCATCGTACGACTGCCCACACGACTCGGTATTCCTTTCTGCAAACGTCTTCGTACCCAGCGAACACGGCGGAAACACAGTTGTCATCGATAGAGCTATATGTGTCTTCGAGATGGACACGACCCGGCCGATCACGAGACACACCGGGTATGGTGATGGGGAGTTTGGTGCGGTGAAAGGGTACGTTCTCGTCGTGCGCACGATATCGACAGTCGGAAAGTGAGCATCATTGTACTTCGTGTGCGTATGCTTGACGGTGCATGTTGGCTGACATAACTACTTTTTCTATCAGCTATGACTATCGTGAGTCCGATTTCAAGTTCCTTTGCTATACTAACATTCTGACGAGCGGTGCTTGATGTCGCATATCAGTCGTGAGGATCTAAGTTTCGGCTTTTCTCGAAGTATATCTGACGGATTTCGGTCCAGTGGGACTACACCTTCCATCTAGACGGCACCATCGAGGTCCGAGTTTCTGCGTCTGGGTATCTCCAAGGTGCACACTACGTGCCAGAGGAAGACCCTTATGGCTCCAGGATCTGGCACAATGCTAGTAAGTCGACAAAGTCCATCGGTTCTCCACGGCTCTAATTGCTATCCATAATTAAGTGGGTTCGTTACACGATCATGTCATCAATTTCAAGGTTTGGCAGTTAATTAATCTCTCAAGAAGATGGATAGACTCATTCCCTCTATATTGCCACTATCACAGGTAGATCTCGACATTCTCGGCACCAAAAACTCTTTACTCCGCACGACGACGTCGCAAGAGGAAGTTACTGCGCCATGGTTCGACGACGATTGGGGTCCCACTGTCGTTCAACAAAAGATCACTCGGGAATATATTGAAAATGAAGACGAGGCTCTGATCAAGTATCCGCCCAACATCCAAGGCAGTTGTGCAATCGTGAACCAAGAGGAGAAAAACAAATGGGGAACGGTTAGGGGCTACACAATCCATCCAGGGGTCAACTTCGTTCACAATGTGCGTGGGTTGCCTTTTGATCAACCCTAAATCTCAATCTCGCGTACATATGTTCAGACCGTGGTTGGCTCTCCGCGCCTCAAGGAAAATGCTAATTGGGCCAGGTACAACATGGCCGTCTCTAAACGCAAAGACAGCGAACCTTCCTCAAGTTGTATCTGGAACTTGCACCTTCCGGGGAAGCCTGTTGTCAATTTTCACAACTTTTTTGACGGAGAAAATATCACTCAGGAAGATCTCGTCGCGTGGGTCAACGTTGGTACTCATCACCTCGTACGTATTGAATGGGCCACTTGACCGTGGATCACCACGCTTATCGCTCTTTCTACGTAGCCCCAAGCAGAGGATGCACCGAACACGCGGACGACTACCGCAACAACGAGGTTCGTATTATAGTATTTACCTCCCCACATGTCGGATCTATCATTTTGATTCTATTTTCCAGTTTCTTCATTGCCCCTTTGAATTACTTTGACTCGGATGTTTCCTTGGATTCTCTCAATGCTGTCCTCTTGACACCGCCCTCAGCGCCTGGGGAACCGTATTTGCATGACAACTATGGCGTTGATCAAGGGACGACGTGCATCCCCGACCCACCTTCTCCATTCACCTATACCGATGTCCATGCCTACGATATGGACGGACGGAAGGTCTTTGGGACGGATCTGAAGAAGTTACAGACGATGGCCTACGCGCCACACAGAATTATGGCAGAGCTGTGATTGATGTAAAAAAGAGGTGTGTTCTATATTCTTGTCTTGGCGCCTCGCGTTGGTATTAATGGACTGCTTGCTAACCTAGTAAGTAGCTTGTATGTACAATAGTGCTTGATATATGTCCATCTAGTGTTACATTCGTGGTTTCGGCTGAGAAGGCATCATCTTTAGATGCAGGCCAGACGCGACCAATGTGTGGTTATCCTTGTCCCATATCTGCGCGTCAATTAGTGAGCTCATAAAGACCCTTTCTTAACGGCGACGGCTATACCTGACACCTCGCGCACAAAAGTGCACCCTCGCATATCATAGAAGTGCTGATCACTTGCAAATTTGTCCCTCTGCGACGTTAGTCCATCAACATTGTTTAGCGATAACGAAATGCGAAGTACGCACAGCGGGGCGGGCGTGTGGAACGTCGTGTTGATCGACTGTGAGACGCCGCTGAAATTACCCATTTGCCTTTCGTCGGCGTTACTGCGTGCTACTTGATGGCCCGCGCGCCAGGCAGAGAGGGGTAACGCCGAGCATCTGGAAGTAGTTCGTATTAAATTCACCAGGAAGCGTAGAGCTATACGGTTGACACGTACACGTCGACCAAGTATACTGAGCAACCCCCGTGAAGATTCCCCTCAAGATTCACCATATCTAACCATTTACAATTACAGTTCATTCATTCAAAGGTAGGTAAATCACTATTGTGGCGCCATGCTCCAAGGGTGCAGTATTCGGACGCTAACCTTCTGTGACTTGCAACTCGCAGACTACCCTGGATTCGGTGGTCATGGGCTCTTCGGGATTTTCGACGAGGGACACCTCGGTAAGCTGGATCCGCCTGCCGATAGCACCAGCAAACGCTGTTAAGTCGTTATGGTCGGTTATGATGCCTAAAAGCCGGAGGCAGATGTCCTTTGAACGATATGGTGCGTTTCCGGATATGCGGGCAATCGTAGCCTCCGAAACGACTATGGCCGCAACTCTTTGAGAAACTGATAAAGGTTGAGGCATGGCGAGAAAGGAGCAGCCAAACGCAGTAAATACGTTTTACTTTATATAAGGCCGGGACGGGGATATCGAATAACCGGTAAGTACTTCGAATTTCAGAGTTTTGGTTTTGGCTGAGACGCAATCATCTTGAGATGAACCCCAGATGCAATTAACCTATGTTTGGCGATATCCCATATCTACGGACGAAGTGAGTTGGGCAATATCCGTGTGGAGAAACGACCAGGCGCACCTGACACCGTGAAGCGAAGATTGCGCCCTCGGTCATGGTTGATGTGCTGATGATCCTCAGCTTGGTTCCTCTAAAATAAGTTCAGTAATTATTAAAAACGGGGAAAGATGAGTGGCACACATACACGGGCGCCGGCGCATGAAAGACCGTATTGATTGACTGCGATACGCCGCTGTCGTTCCTGCGGTCAGGCTGCGCTGCAAGCCATGCTGACAGGGGCAGCGTTGAGCACCTAGTTGGCAGAATTCAGGACCAGGCAAGGACCTTGAAGCACCACCGCAGGAAATCCTCACGAGTCCACAAGATAGATCGAACAACCGCCGTGCATATTCCCAGCGATGTTCGCCATTTCTGGGAAAGCCAACGGGTTACTACTTTTCTCCCGAACAAGCCCCTAGAGAAGCTCACCTTCCGTCACCTCCAGCTCGCACACCACCCTCGCGTCAGTCCTCAGAGACTCCGCCGCATTTTGAGTTATGGACACATCGGTTACGAAGAGGCGATCGGCGATACCGGTACCAAAGCCTACGCCGCCAACTTTAAAGATTTCCAAAAGTTTCAGAGTTACCTCCTTTGAACGGTCTGGTGCGCTTCCTGGCACGGAGGCGATCGCAGACTGAGGGATTCTCAGAGACGAAATCCAGTCAGTGATGGTCCTTGGACGTGGTTGTGTCATTAATGAAACAAAAGCTAGTCACGAAGTGTTCATTGTAGGTGACGGGCGTTACAAACCGGTGCCCTCATTAGCCGGAAATATAAGCGTTGGAAATTACTAGGGGCTCATATAGGTCCATTCTTTATTATTTATAATTTACCTCCTGACTTGAACTTCCTCCCTGGATTGATCGTTGAATGAGTCGCACTGACACAGAGACCTTCGGCATCCCATATCTACGGACTTTGTCAGGATACCAATAAACAATAGACGGAGGTTGGCGCGTACCTCGCATCTAGCGGAGCGTATCCGTCCTTGAATAGCTATGCTATTTGAGATTAGTCTCAGCTTGGCGCCTCTGCGCGCCACACAACGAGGCGGATCGTAAGCGCATACGACCAATGGATTTAATTGTGCTCGACGGACCTCGAGGCCGGTTTGTGCCATATAATGTTCATTGACTGCGAAACCCCTGAACCGTCTATGCCTAGCTCCAGCCCCAGAGCTACAAGCGCGGATGATGTTGCCCTATAAAATCATATTTGCGTTAGTTCCGGAATTTGTGTTGAAGACGGTGCTCACGGGTCAAATAGGTAAGCAGCGCACGCGCCGTGCATGATCCCGAAGACATTACACATTTCTGTCGTTCTTCTTGTCAACGGGAGTCAGTGGGCTAGTTATGCACTTACCTTCAGTAACCTCGATCTCCAAAATGGTTTGTGCCTCTAGAGTGCCTGCATCACGTTTTGAAAGATTGATTTCCACCAAATTGAGCCTTTGGCCCACGCCTGAGCCCCATGTATTTCCCGTGTCGACGAAGTATGCTAAGGCGTTTGCAGAGAGCTGCTTGTGTGTATCTGAGAAATTGCCTTTGATCTTCTTCACGTCAGCGTTTGGCGCTGGAGGAAGCGAGCGGAAGAAGTGCAGAGGATCCGAGTGAGAGGACATGGGTTCGGGTAAGATACTGACGGAACCCTTGGCCGTTTGTTTTATAGTCCAATTGCCGTTCATTGAAGAAGCGCTCGGTGATATACAGTATACCGAGGCATATCATCGCGATCCGTAAGTACGATCTGCCAGGATCCAGGATCTGAGGCCTACTTGGGAGACAGGGGACGGGATAGGGCGAGATCATGTGACCGGTAACACCGATGATCCTGTTCCGGAATCCCGTTTCCCTTCGATCGTCCGTGGTATTAATGTCTGCGCGTTATTGACACTTCATCTCAACCACTTCATCACAAGGTTTCATCAACGATGTCTAACGGAGAGTTAGACATGGACGCCGTTCTGGCACACTTTCCTATTAACCCAGATAAGGTCAAGCAAGTCTCCGGGAACGCGTCTTATGAAGCAAAGGAAATTGCGTATAAATGGCTCGCTGTGTTCCTATCTGCAGGGGAAGGCTTTTCTGGGAACGTAGCCAGCCGCGTCAGGATTATAGAGGCGTCCATCATCCAAAACCCAGAGGAACCAGAAAAACTGGAAAGTCGGGTAGTATGCGAAATAGACGTGGAAGAAGGTCAGTACAGCATACTCAATTGTCTTCGCCTTGGTTGTTAGCGACGTCGACCATCCCCACGCTACCGAGTTATTGCCGTGGGGCCATTCAATCAACGGAGCAAAGATGGCTGATCCATTCTGAGTTCATAGACATGCTTAACCCTCTAGGGAATTTACACGGCGGTTGTTCAATATTCCTCATTGACGAGTGGGTCTCCCCATTTCCTCCGTGTGCTGCCAATACTGAAATTGTCTTTGTTGGATACGTGTTAGATGTTCTACGTTACCCCTATCCGTGCTCCTCTACTCGCTAGGGAGGCCAACCAGCGGGGGTGTATCGCAAACCATCAATACAACTTTCCACGCACCCGCACCGCTGTATGTTCCGTATTTCCTTTCACACACCTTCCCTAGAATGACGTGTGAGTAGCGGCACGAAAATTAGGCTCGTTAATACATCCATGATTATTGAGGAACCTATGCTATGTACTAGATCTGAGGTGAGTTCCTGATCTTCTGTGATATCTTCTCACAAACATCGCCGTCTATAGGTTTGGGATGTAGACAATCACCGCTTGATCTCATCTGCCGTTCAGACAAAAATGTTACCGTCCCAACCCAAGCCAAAGCTCTGATCATTATTATGTATAATCAAAGGATAGACACCTTGTTTCCCAATGGAATACTCCGGCATTCTTCAATCTCTTCGTTATGTCGCCAGAGACTGTAAATACTCCCTAAGCTTTTCGAGGGCCTTGTATCGGTGCGAAATCGAATTCTTCTGGTCGGTTGGCATTTCAGCGTATCTGAAGATTTCGATCGCCCATTTTAGAAGTAACCACTAGGAAAGGAAGCTAAATACTCACGTCAACCCAGTTCCAAGCGGTTCGAAGCATGAGTCCCACCCAAAATGGCCAGGACCACGGGCAGGTACGATCGTTCCATCAGTACGGCCTTCGAAGAGTATGGGCTCAGTTTCTATGGCCCGTTGAGCTCGCGTGGAAGAAGAGAAGCCCCGGAAGACGTACCTGGTCCGGCAGAATACGCGAACGTACAAAGAGCCCAGGCTTCTCTCGTCGGGAAGCCATCAAGCATCTTGTTTAGACCATCTTGTCCGAGCGCGGTAAGGAAATGTTTGATGTACGGTCCAGGTAGTCCTTTCAGCGCCACGAAACACAATGCAGTGTCCTCCGTTATACATGGGCCCCCAAGCTATCATTAGGCGAATTTGTAAACTAAACCCAGCGAAGGATAGGTTGAATCCTACTAGCTCGGCGGCGTGTCTACATTTCGCGATCGCTACCTCTTGTGTTGTACCTTGGAGTTCAGGAACTACACACGGATAACAGATAGGGATCAGGATCAGATTGATCCCTCAGTTGCATTAGGCTACATACTGTCTAGTTCCTGGGAGTTGATTTCGATGGGATGGGATCCCTTTGAAAGAATGGCCTTTACTTCCTTGAGTTTATTGGCATTTCCTGTAACAAACGCTTTTTGTTCTCCATGAATTATTGTGTCCTCGAGAACGCAAAAAGGCAGCAAGACGGACTCAGCTTGGAGGTCATGATAACGCTTGACTGGGTGGCTTGAAAACTAGAAGGCTTGCGAGTGAATCAGGCTTCCGATTATCTATGACTGACTTCAGTGACTCGGCTTCGAAGTACCTTGACTTGACATTACTCCTCGCCCGATTTAGGTATTAGTCATCAACGCTCTAGCTTGGGGCTCGGCATCACGTGCATGTCCGGGATCTGCGCTTTGAAGTAGCCGACAGTGCCACTACTTTATGTTACTCTGATATCTCTGTGCCATTCACTTCTTCACCTCCAACGTTTGTCTACTTGTATAACTAGAGTATGGCCTCCAGTACCAAGGACTTCGACTCCGGCTCTGGAAAGGAGCTTGACATAAGCCTTGAGGTCTCCAACATCGCAGGGAACGCTTCCCCGGACATCAAGGCATTTGTAGCGAATCCCTTGTGGATAGCGAACTCGGAGACCAGCTTTGCGATAAAAATCGCGAAAAACATCGTGGTAACCGAGGTTTCCATCCTTCCGAAGAACGAGGAGCCGCTGAAGAAGGAAGCGAGGGTGGTGTGCGAGATGGCTGTAACAGAAGGTGAACGATTACGTTGAGAGCTACAAGTATACGACGCTGACAGTTCGGTCCATTTAGATATGCTTAATGGGGGAGGGAAGATCCACGGGGGGTGCTCTGCGACTTTGGTGGATATGTGGGTGGTTAATCTCCTAGTGTATCGCAGCCGCTGACGCGCGGGGACTTTCAGCTGCACTTCGTACGCTCTTATCGCGTACAATATGGCCGTGATCGGGGAGGCGACGCCTTCCGTTTCACAAGCCATTAACATGGTGTATCACTCGCCTGCAGACTTGTAGGCTTCTCATTTTGCGAAGCGAATACGAGACGCTAACGCATACGTGCAGAGGAGACAAACTCAAGATTGTCAATACAACCATGTCGGTCGGCGCACGGGCTATGTCCGCCCGTTGTGAGGTAATCTCTTGCCTTACGGTTCAACAACTCAAGCTGACACCGTGTAGATATGGAATGCTAGTCAACATAGACTTGTTGCTTCTGGTACTCACATCACCATGCAACCCTCATTGCCAAAGTCAAAGCTATGACTCGTGATATTGTCATTAGATTGTCCTATGACATTCCTAGATTATCTTATTGCAAGTACATATACTACTGCCGTTCTATATATAGCGACGCTTCGGTTGGAGGTTCTGCTTATCCCCCTGGAAAGATTTTGAAGTGGTTACGGCAGCTGTCCTTTGTTACGGGCCTTGGCTCACTGGCTGCTCCTAGCTTCGACCAACTGGCAACTTTCACAGGCGGGTGAATGCTAGCGTCAGTTTCTTCCTTCCCAAATCTCCCAACTGCACTAAACCGCAATTTCCATAGGTGTTAACGTTGTGCATCAGGCATGAACAATCTTACCGCCTAGGTTAATTTCCTGCAAACGTAACAAGTCATCACAGCTCGTATTCGCCTCAGTTGACAAGTGCTCGAGGCCATAATCTAGCCGGAGCATCGGGCGTCTTTCTCTAGCGCTGTTTGGTGGAACATGATCGCCGTTCAAAACCCTTCTCCTATGACCAAACTTGGTTCTTCCGCACATCGACACCCCATGTCGCCTACGCTTAAGGCACGCCCTCAAGCATAGTATTCGCTCATGGCCATGGCAAACACTCTCAGGGCTCCCTTTGCCTTATGAATTACGGTTCCATTCACCGTCGGCAATGCAGCAAGCGTTCTTTGTGAGACGATAATACAGTGCTCACACAACAACGGGAATTTGAATTGATCTTTGACCTCGGGCTTTTCGGATCCTGCGGTTGAATCGTCTGAACAATATTATTTGATTACCACGTCAGCAGACATAGTCGGGGGCATCGCGAACCGTGACCGACAAGAAGATATACAATGTAAGTAGTGTAAATCGATCGCCCCTCTCGCATCCCATTGTCAAGTGAGTCGATCACTTCCAAAATTCCATTCCCCACTCCCTTGTTCATAATCGCATAAAAGAGGCACAAGCCTCCCAATGGCAACCCAGGTCACTCATCCTAGTAGCCTATCACTCGCACTTCACAACGAGAATCATCCTCCTATCACCAATGGACGCTTTTACCGCTGCCAAATTCGAGGACATCACCGTCGCCGTGCCCCCCGTCAATGAGGAGGGCGGAGGCAATGGCGGAGGCGCGTACTGCGTCGTCGCTTGAAGTGTTACACGCTTCAGTGTGTTGCTCCCCTCATTAACTATCACTACTCGTGCTGATGCTTGTTGTTACCTCACAGCCAAGCTCAACCGTTGCAATTCGCTCAGCTCACCGGTATCTTTGCATGAAGGTGGAGCGTGTGCTGGGTGTTTGTGATCTGGATGTTTTGATTTATCTACGACTATGAGGAACGGGTTTATGGGAATTGTAACGGTTGTAATTGTAAACGAAATATTGATGATGTAGATTGGAAAGTGATTCAGACAAAATTGCTGTGGTGAGTGACGTAGCAGAATAGTAGGCAGTTTCAATGGAAACAATATCCTGTGCCCGATGTATAGACGGGCCAAATGGTATACGCCGCTAAATCTCGCGCTTCCCAAAAGTTCAATGGCTTTCTGAATTATTACCTTCGTGTCAGTTACACGGTTGCATATCTTCGAGTGCTAGTCAGTACGATTGCACCGCCTCAACATCAACGCTCTTCATTTCGCGTCTATTTCCCGTGTCTTGTCGTTATCTGAGGGGCTATAACTAGGGGTCATGGGGATAAATCCCAGGGCGATTGACGAAGTATCCACTTGCAATGTACCGAACATGTCCTGCTGCTGTTGACTATCAATCGTCCGGTATGGATGTGTGCAGCGGGAGCCTTCACGGCCGGCGGCTGGGTGTCAGCACTGCCATTTAGTCTTCATCAGCTTGCCTGGAATGAATTGATTATTCAGTACGAGGAGGTCGACATCCCCGAGGCGCGCCAAAACGCACGCGACTTACATGACTCCCTCAATCTCACGCCGGTTGCCCCAGCAGTCCTCGAGGCTTCCTCACCCCAAACCACCATGGCACCTAATCCTCCTTTGACCCCCGCAGAAATACTGAAAGTGACCCGTGCTTCAATAAACATCCTAAATGTTCTTCGCTACGATTTCTGCGTGTTTGGGAGCGCAGCTTGCAACTACTACGGCATGAACTCTCGCGTTGCGCAAGACGTTGATATTCTCGTGTTTGCTTGGAGGGTGCATGAGGAGTGGCTCAAGGGAGAATTTGTCCAACGCAACAGACATTTCTACCGGGTCAACTCTGCAAAGCCGGAAGCAGGCTACACTGTCCTGTGGTACCAGCTTCCGGGCGGGCGAAGGTGCAAGGTTGACCTCCTCCATTTCGGAGTGATAGGTATATCGGGCATGCCGCCAGACATCGCCTACTTCGTGCAGTCGCCGAGATTCCGCGAGATTCCCCTCTTGCCACTCATCCCACTACTCTTCCTGAAACTGATTGGATGGAGGAAACGTGCAAAGTCTATTCTTTGGCACTGGAGAAAGAAAGTTCCAAATGATGAAGAAGATATCTTGAATCTCTTGGAGATCGCTATAAGCAGACCCGACATTGGACGCCTTTCGAGTACGCCTTGGATTACCACAGCTTTCAGACGAAGGGCTCGACTCCAGATCAGCCGCTTCGTTCAGAAATATCCTGACAGCATTGCGAAATGGAGGGTGATTGGTTTCAGGTTTTCGCGCCGACGTGTATGTTACGAGTCGATTATGCCTGATGTATATGGTGAGTAGACTCAGATAGATGGACCATACGAGTGTTACATATTGGACAGAGCATTCTGGTATGCCACCGGTGCGATTCTAGAATCCGCTGATGTCTCACGAGACACCTCAGTCGCTTCGCCTTCTCAGGTGAGTCTCGTGGTCTTGGGGTCTTGAACGCCACTGATGTAGGTTAGTTCCAAGCCCGCAGGATATGCATATCACGACTAGTCTCATTAGTTGGAAGGGTATACCTTATTTATGTGTTGCGCTATGATCTAAGACCCCTCCTAGTATGAATATTTACACCTTGATGTTCCAGGCAAGCTTGATCATATAGATCGGACGCCCTCTCTACAATGAAGTACAAGGGTGCTTGCATGGGTCTGCGTGGGATCAGTAGCGATGCTTCAGTCAACTACCGCTCGACGCATACATTCAGAAAAAGAGATACTCAACGAGAGGATGATAAAGATACTTGTGTTATATGGAATTCTAAAAAAAAAGTAAATGTGAATGTCGGAACGTTGGCGAGGTGCGTAGTCACGTGAGATAGTGTTCAGACTTTTCCGGTCACTGAGTTCAATTAATTCTTGCAACGCGACCTCCAGCAGGCCACTATCATGTACGGTTCAATCTAATTCAAACGGTGTAGATTACTGGTGAGCGTTTACCATTCTTTTTCAAGTGCGATTGACCCACGATTTGCATTAGACCACAAACTTTACAGCTATAATTAATATCATAACCACAAAGGCGTAATGGGCGCCGTTGGCTCAAAAAACAAGGAGCCGAAGCCATATCCATTCCCATTTCCTCACCATCCGAGCCAATACAATCCCGCAGCCTACCCGCCGTGGGCGTCAGTTCCGTGGCAAGGGCAGTACGATGACAAGTACCTCTCGATGATGGGGTACCCTACCCAACATCGCAAGAAGAAGAAGGGAAAGAATCAAATGGTGAATCCGGCGATGGGATGGGCGCAGGGATACGCGCCGTTCCCGTACCCGGCTGTCCAAGGCTACCCAATGCCACCATATGGTGAGTCATCAATCGGCTGAGCCAGCAGACTCTCATTCTGTCCTAGCGCCCCCCGTGATCCCAGGAATGACATACGCACCAATGATGCCAATGCCAATGCCCCAACCCTCTGCTGCTGCTCCTGCGAACGCACCCGTCATCCCTCAAGGTGCCACAGGACCTGCGCCCACTCATCAGCCAGTGGTGCCTACCATGCCGACCGCACCTGCCCATAATATGCCTGGAACAGTAAACCAACCGCCACCGCTGTTTACGCCGGGTGATGGCGCCGCTCTTCAGTCCTTTCCGGGCGCAGAACTCACGTCCCCACCTCCCATCCGTCGATCGCAAACACCATTTCATCGGCGGGCTTCCCCCGAAGACAGCGACGAAAGCGACGATACCCCTCCACCACCTCAGGCAGATCTACAACGATCAGCATCACACTCGCGTCAAGCAAGCCACAGCGATAACATCACCGCGGTTCTTGGTTCACATACTCCGGCGCAACCAGGCGCTTTCGGTCCTCCTGGCGGTCATCGCCATACAACCACCTCGAATACGAACCCCAACCCCCTGCCTCCCCCTCCGAAAGACTTGTACGAAACGTCCCCCTACAAAAATCTCCTGAATTTGCCGCAGACTACGACTTTACTCCAGGCGGCTTATGCAGCTCAACAAGACGCTGATAGAAGTGGGACATCCGCGCCAGCTGCTACTGCGTCATCGTCACACCACCGTGCGCCCGTCGTGCCTTCTGGTGCAGATTTGTCTCGATCGCACACGGAGGCAAAGAAGAAGGGTAGATTTGGGCTCTTCAGATCACTCACTGGGGGCGGCGGTTCGAAGCCCAGGCACGATATCCCTGGCCCTTCTAATGCACCCCCAGCTCCTACGACACACAGACCGAATGCAGGGTTCGTCCCCGTATTCGCCCCGGTCAACGATTCGCACGCCCGAAGGGGAGCTGGCGATAGCCATTCAGTCTCTACTATGGACGCCCCACATGACGCCTCTTCGTCTGCGCATGCGCATGCACCCTCGAATTCTGCCCCAGGTTCCCACATTCCGATGATCGACCAGTCTTTACCTCCCATTCGTTTCACCCAAACCGGCGATCTTGCGGGATTTCTGAATCACTCTCCCCATCGTGTTCTCCACCAGCAGAAGATCTACCCTAGCGCAACACATCTATTTGAGGCGATGAAGTACCTCGAAGGTGGTCCTGGCCAACAACCGAGACCTGATCTCGCTGAACGAATCAGAGCGTGTCCGAACGTTGCTGATGTGTATCCCTTGAGTGCCGAGTTCCAGTCGAAGGGATGGGTTCGAAGCGACTGGGGACTGGTGTTCAATACCTGCGTGAGCCGTTCTATTCCATTGGATTTATCAATCGGACTCTGACGCCGGACAGATGGATGAGGTGCTGTATCTGAAATTCCGGCAACATCCTAATCTGCGAAATAATCTCATGCACACTGGGCTCGCCCCAATCATCTATGAGGACCCAAATGATGACTATTGGGGCGACGGTCCCCACGGTGAGGGCGCCAACGAACTGGGGTCAGCGCTTGTCAGAGTGCGGGCGAAGCTGAGAGCGGATGGTCTTGGGGTCTAGTCGATGGCGTTACGCTGCATCTTCTTTCCTATCCTTCCTTTGTTTGCGAAAGGCCGCCCCTTTGCTTCTATGATTCACGAGTTACACGAGCGTTCCGTCTGTGACGATCCATTCATGAAAACTACGATCTACTTTCCTTATCGCTTTGATCTGCTTGACTGCCTGTTCTGCATTTTCTTGGTTTCGTTCGGTCTCCTTGCAGTGGTAGTTACCAGTCAGCATGTACTTGTATCTTAGAGAGAAGTTAGTCCGTATTGTGGTGATGGGCGCGCACCGGACTCGGTTAACACAAGCCCAGGGAATAATACCACAGGTAGGTTTCGTATTCTCCGGCACCTAGCTCCAGTCCTTGGGCCAACCGGAGGCATCGCCTCGATCCGGTGAGTGGGGGACGGTTTTATTTTTCATCACATTTCGAAGAAAATGTGCCCGTGCGAACGAGGAAGTAAATTGCTTCCGCTACCCCTAACGGTAAGCGCCGTACTTGCCACGCAACCACTGCATCGTGCACACTCCTCTAATAAGACGGTTGCCCTAAGCCGCTACGGAGACAACATCATATTGCACTCTGGCCACTCCTTTGATTTATACCCCAACGTACCTGCTGGCAGTCACTTAAAGACAGTCATGACCTCCGTACTTCGATCGCACCCACTCCAGTCGAACAAACGCAGACTCGAGGCAGAATCAACTTCTACAAAGAAGCAGAAGCGTCTGCACGCCGAACTAAGGCTCGAGATACCACCGCTCAAGTTCCCTTCGACGCACTGCTCGACGGATGACGACCCGCTGTTCACCCCGGCGAGCTCAGGCGAAACTAGTTCTCGGGCTGACTCTCTCTTCGGCGAAGAAACGGCGTTCTCAACGGGGAGAACAGATAATCCCCCCTACAAGGAAACTATTGCGTCCGCATCCCGCACAGCGCCTCCCATTCCTGGATTCTTTTTCAATCCAGCTGTCGAAGTATCTTACGATATAGGCGCCCGCGTACTAGCACAATGCATGGAAACGTATTTCCAGAAGCCCGATGTAAACCAAATCATGCTTTTCGGCAGAGCACCTTCGCCAGGAACACCCGAGTCGACACCTGCGAGTACATCCTTCCCCCCGATACTCAACGAATTGTTGACATCACTCTCAAACGACCTTCGCGAATACCTCCCACCGGCAACTTACGATTTACTATTTCCTGCTTCACCGCGTCGGGCTCGCCAGGCTATCATTAATCTCTATCACCCTGGTGAAGGCATCTCGTCACATGTGGATCTGCTGGGCCGCTTTGGCGATGGCATAATTGGCGTCAGCTTCGGCAGTGGATGTGTGATGCAGTTCGACCGTGTGCACACCGAGGTGGAGTCGCAGGGCGAACCCAGTGTTGACCACACTCATGTTGACGCCACAACGACGTGTAATGCCGACCCTACGGAGGATAGGTACGATCTGTACCTTCCTGAGAGAAGCGTCATAGTATTGTCTGGTGAGTCACGGTACAAATGGACTCACGGCATCGCGCGAAGAGCCGACGACGTCGTAGGAACCGAAACGTTGCACAGAGGCACCCGCATGAGTATCACATTCAGGTGGTTGCTCCCCGGTGCCGAGATAGTTGGGGATACAGTCGGTCCTGCCATCTAGATCCTGAGGGCCGATTGCAGTCGCGAACGGAAGTAAATTGCACTGGATAGACATACGAGCAACCTCAGCATGTAGTTTAATCCCTGAACGCAGTCCGTCTTGTAGAATAGGTGCATAATTGCATAGGAAATGTCTAAGTTTGAAGCTCTAAATCGTATGTGCGAAATGCACACTTGTTGATGTCCCAGGGGGTCCTGAGCGACATCGTCGTCGAAGAATGAATAGCGTAACGAAGAAGAGAATAATGAGAGCCAGCACGCCCCCTACAACCACCGCAACCATTGGTTTTGAGTTTCGAATAAAAGGTTCTAATGCTTCTGGAATACTCGAGGTGGTTGCCGCTTGGTTTATGAGAAGGCGAAGGCTTAATGTTGATAATGATGGTGTAGGAGACAGATGAGGAGATTGTGTTGCGAGATGGGAGGTACGAGCGTCGGTGAAGCGCAAGACGGACTGCACGAAAGGGAGTGAAGAAGCCTCCGGGTGATCGAGCATCAAAGCAGTACGGTCATGGACCGATGATGTAGGTGTGGCCCAGCCCAAAACGAGCCTAGGAGATGAGGTCGCGAGTGGCATGAGACCTGCAGGGTGGCTTCAAGTTTCCTCCCAGATACAACGTATCATGGACGTTGGGTTCCCGTTATTGGACTGGATAGCTTCGAGGAGCAGCATGGATGTCTACAATCTGTGGCAGGGAGTTAAGCCACGTCAAAGTTTACTGGTCAAAATCAACTCACCCCCGCTTCGTGGTGACCTATTCCACGAGTTCATACCGACAACGCCATCCGAGTGAAGGTGCTGTTAGGTGATGGTACTGTGATCAGCTGGCTTATATAGAGATGATCTTCTTTGTCTGTAATCAGCGAGCATCTGCTAAGCATGGTGTTCGCAATACCACCATATGAAAATCGAGCCCACAAGAAGATAACCACATGTCCCTCAGGATATAGCGCAAACAAGTCATAGAAAATACTGCCCTAGAGCCTTGAAGTCGAGTAAAACTGGAACAAAAATAAAGGAGCCCAGGGTTTGGAATGAGGAAAACCTTTCATAAACGACCGAGCTTTGAAACTTAGTTTGGGCCGGGAAGCTGGCAGGCGGCTTGGCGCCACAATGGACACGTGGATGCAAGAGTTTTAGTTCTCCTGATTGAGCTCCTTGGCCGGGATACTTCCAAGAAAGAAAGTCCAATTGACATTAGTTACACTTGATTCTGTTTGCCGCACGAGGCAGTTCCTGGCCACGAATGTACGCCTACCGAGCCACCGTCTCAACATGATTCGGCTCCGCCTTATCGGGCTCCGACGATCCTTCATCCATCTGGATCTCGTTCTCCACTCTCTTCTCTTGCTCCTGACGCACATCTCCTTCGTACACTATTACAGCATGTGAGAAGTATCCTCATGTGTAATGAAGAAATCTCACAGAAGGCAAGTTCCTCGAGTGTCCTATTTGATGTCTCGGGGAAGAGGAACCAAATGAAAGCAAGCTCGAACCCAAGCCAAACGCAGTAGCTAAATACGGAGATTAGCGCTATATATCGTCAGTGGTGGAAAGGATATACCTGATGTAGTATTTCCAACCTTAAGTTGTGTCATTTAGCTGGTTGTTGCACGATTGATATCAAGCCACGTACCTGCATTAGCGATACCGATTGGGTTGACAAACTGGTTGAAGAATCCAGCTGCACGACTGAACCACTGGAACACAGTGATACCCTTGGCGCGAACATGATATGGGAATAATTCAACCAGGAAAGCTGATGGTGCATAATGAGAATACATCCGAAACACCCATGTCAATGGAACTCACTGTATGTCAGCGCGTTATACGCCACGTTGTAAGCTGGGCTGTATAGGAATATAAAACTAGACAAGGCGTTAACCAAGGGACTGTCAATGACAGTGCCTAGACCTACGCGATTACTGCGCGAGAAGATCCCTGGCTCTCTGTCATCTGGTACTGGGCCGAGGCAATTGTCCAGCCGATAAAGATGAGAAGAATTGAGACCGCACAGGTCTAGACAGCCGGGCCGGTTAAGGAAAAAGACGAAGTTATCCGCAATCCGAGCGAACGTACCAGATATGCCGTTCTGCGTTTGAATCGGGATACAGTTAACGCGAAGAAAGTGGCATTCAGGAATCCCCAACAGGTGTTGGCAAGGTTGATGAGATTCTTAGTGCGGTTATCGTGGATGCCAACGTTATCCAAAATGCGAGCCAAGAAATACCTAGTGCGAAGTTAGACTGTGAGTCACGTAGGGAAGCTGAATGTCATCGAACGTACGAGGTCAGCCCGTTTCCACTCCACTGCGTAGCCAATCCCAGGAAGGAGCCGATGAGTATACGTTTCCGCATGCCTGAGGTAGTGATAAGCTCCCTCCAGCTCAACTTCGATGACTCCATCTCTATCTCAAGGGTATGTTGAATTTGGGCAAACTCCGCCTTTACGAACTCGGATGTCTCATCCCCTTCGGCGTGGTATTTAGTGAGCACGGCTAGGGCTTCATCGTTTCGCCCCTTTGATACGAGCCAACGAGGGGATTCGGGGAGGAACCAGATAAACACGATTTGCATCGTGCTGGGAATAACTTGGAGGAGAGAGGGAATGCGCCAGCCCCAATTGCTGGCCATGGCAAAGGTTCCGAGTGTGACGCCGGCGGCGACAATGGAACCAACAAAGTAAAAGGCATTGAACAATGAACCCAGGATTGCACGTTCCTTTGGATGTGACAATTCTGTCGCAACATGTCAATCAACTGGGAGGATTCCTCGTGAAGACCTCTTACCTCCAATCAAGGAAGATGCGGCAATGATAGCGAATGGGATACCGAGCCCTAAAATGAACCTAGCGATCACAAACATAGCGACTATCAAATGCGTCAGTAATACATTGGGATACAACGAAAGGCGACGAACAATTCTGAGAGGCCGTCTGGATGACGGCACCAATGATCATGAGGACACTACCAAAGATGATAGCCCATCGACGACCCCAATAATCCGCAACGTATGGAACGAGGGGGAGTGCTACAATCGCACCGAGGGAATACATCGCGGACATAAGTCCCAACAATGTTGATCTCGGGCTATGGTAAACTACGGATGCCGTTGCGAAGTGTCAGAATATAGCTTTGATAGACGAGGCACTCGGCGTACATGTATCCCAGGAGTCCACCGCTTGTAACCCATTCATCATTGACGAGTCAAATCTTGAGGGCAAAGTTATTAACAGTAACGAAGCCGGGGCTTTAAAAGCTCACCCGCTTGTCATTTCGACTCCAATGCATGTCGGGACTAACACAAAGTAGAGTCGTCGAAGATTTGGCTTTTGGTACCATGGGACGGTATCCTGTTCAGCAAGCCGGGAGACGAGAGGGTCCGCAGCCGTAACGGTATCCCCGCTGTCGGACTGTTTCTTGTTAGACATAGCACTGCGGGGGATTGAGAACGGGGAGTGAAGGTGGGGATCGCAATCCTTACGAAGTCGCGGCGTTGCGCGTACTCTTTAAACTAAGGATGCATTGACAGCATGGAGCTCCGTTTATTTCGAGACCACAAGTTTCCTAAGTATCTCCGACTTGTGGGGTCATCTATCTCGTCAAAATCCAGCCTTGGCAAGTGCTGCCACTAGAATTTTGGACCGGTGCCGGTATCTATATTTGTATGTCAAGCGTCGAGGTGCGGTCTTCGTCTTAGTCAAATCTTCCCAATTGACAGAGATCCCCATGTACCCGAGATTTGTGTGCCTGATATTTGAGAATAAATATCAGTTTATGGGTTCGAGTGCAGAGCTTCCTACTGTTTTGACGATATCAATCTGACAGAATTCGTAAGGCAAGCCGGAAATCTGTGGGACGCCCGGCGAATCGTCGGGGGGTTGCAAGTAACAATCAGTAAAAGAAGCACTAACCTTCAGCAGATGGGGAAGACGTTGGGCCCCGTGTGACTGAACAAGCGACGCCAGCATTGCAGGAACTCAGAACAAATGGTACCGCTGCATGTTTACAAGTGTTCAATCATGCGGCGTTACTGCCGGCAATGTCAAAATGGATCCCACATGAGGTTTGGGCGTTGGGAGGTCGCAGGTTGAACTTATGAGCCTTATCGATCATCAGATGTGTACCACTGAGATCATTAAGGTAAGGCGTCCCGCTCGGAACCTCTGAGCTCAACTGTGTAATAATATTTTCATCAGCTTTCAAAACCAACCACGAAAATTGAATTTACGACTTCGCTGGTCGCTGCCGGCTGTGAGCCCCAGTCCATATTCTCTTGGGAAGATTCCTCGCATCAAAATTTCAATAGTAAGGGCCGAGTAGGTGACAAGTAAGTAATGGTTGACTTGCAAGATGTCGCAATGCTGTGGTCGTGTCACGCACCTGTCACACCCATATCTATCCAAGTCAGGGGGACTCAAATCAAAGTATTACGGCGCGAAAGATCCTATCCAGTGGCATCAAGGTGGCATGTACGTTAACGTAGAGTACGATTCTACATACGAGATCTGCTCATTGCAAGCTATTACGAAGTAAACTCAGTCTCGGGGTAAACGGACTATATTCAGGCCGTAAGTACCTATTACGAAGTAAACTACAAATATGTCAGTACATGGGATGGTATGGACAATACTAGATACTCACCTCAGTCTCGGGGTAAACGGACTGAGGTGATAAGATAATAAACTACACATTAAGTACACATTACGAGACACCGAGAATGAAAGAGAAAATGTACCGTATGAGCCTAATCTCTAACTCCTCGACACTGGACCATTCCACATGTAGCACGGTTTGCACAGGCGCTAACCTCAACTTCCAACACTCCCCCTCAAACCGTGCGCAATCCCAGTGCAGATGCGAAGTGCTTCGCCTTCAAGCTAGGTAATGCCTTGGTAAGGATATCCGCGGTCATCTCGTCGGTAGCGCAGTAAAGAAGTCGGATAGATCCGGCTTCAATGGTATAACGGATGAAGTGGTAACGAATATCGATGTGCTTGGTACGCGCGTGATAGTGGCCGTCTTCCGTAAGTGCAATTGCTGACTTCGAGTCGCTGTACATCGTTGTTGGATGAGGGAGTGAGCCAAAGACTTCGCCGATCAAGCGCCGAATCCAGAGCGCCTCTTTCGCAGCGTGGGTAGCAGCCACGTATTCGGCTTCGGTTGTTGACAGCGTGACCAAGCCTTGTTTCTTCGACATCCACGACACAGCGCCGCCATCCACCAAGAAGACATACCCAGAGATGGCACGGCGATGATCTTGTGACGCGCCGTCAGCATCGACGTACCCAACCAATCCATTCTGGTCTCCTCCATACACAAGCTCCAAATTCTTCGTTCCCAGCAAATACCTGAAAACTAGGCCAACCGCTTCCCAGTGTGCCCAGCCTGGATTATCCGAGAATTGCGCCAACGTTGATACTGCAAATGCGATATCAGGTCGAGTTCCCATGGCCACATACATCAACGCGCCGATGGCTTCACGATATGGAACATTTTTCATGCGCGCGATATCCGTAACTGAAGTAGGAGATTGAGAGCGGCTGAGGAGTTTATCGGGAATCATGGGTATAGACGAGGGTTTGGAATCGAGGAAATTGTGGCGAGCAAGAATAGAATCGATGTAGGAATGTTGGGAGAGGGAAATGGAGTGGTTCGCAAGGTTTCGAGTGACCTTGATCCCTAAGAGCCAGTGGATAGGACCGAGGTCAGTGAAACTATACTTCTTCCCCATTCCTTTCTTGAATTCCTCGATAAGCTCCTTCTTCGTCGCCGTAATCATGCAATCATCCACATGCACTGCCAAGATTACCAAACCTCGCTCCGTCTTGAGATAGAAAACCCCATGATCTGCCTCTGTTCGACGAAATCCCAAATCAGCCATAGCCTCGCAGAACGCCTCGTACCAGTTTCGCGCTCCCTGCTTCAGTCCATATAATGCTTTGTGCAGACGTAGCACCTTCGCCTTTCGGTCTGCATACTCGAAATCCGGCGGCTGTTCAAGGTAGACAACCTCGTCTTCGCTAAGGATGCCGTTCAAGAATGCGCTGTCAAAATCAAAGGATTCAACCGGCCAACCGTTACGAGCAGCAATGGCAAGAAAGAGACGGAACGACGAGAGTTTAGCAACAGGTGCGTACGTCTCATAGTAATCCATGCCGTGGATCTGAGTGAAGCCTCGAGCTACTAGGCGAGCCTTGTACTTCTCGATTTCACCAGAGGAGTTCTTCTTGATGCGGAAGACCCATTTCGCATCAACTACATTGGCGTTGGGAGGCCGATCGACGAGCGTCCAAGTGCCGTTCTTCTCCAAGCTTGCAATTTCTTTCTTGATAGCCTCAAGCCATTTCGGCCAGTCAGGACGCTGCCTCACCTCCTCATAGGATGGTTCAAGACCTTCACTCCCCCCCATTACTGATGCCATAGCATAGTCTTCGGTGGAGACCAGGCCCAGGTCCTCCGCAAGGCTAGCAGTGTCCGACGCGGCCGGTTGAAGCCCCTTTGGCAACAAGGGCGCACTCGGTCTCTCACTAGCCACACCTTCTCCTTCGCGAAGTCGGCGTACATATGCAGATTCCTTTCGAACACGGCGAGTGCGGCCAGTTTCTTCGGTGGTTTCTGGGGCAGCAGGCTGAAAATCTGGACCAAGGTAATCAGTTTCTGGTTCTGATTGATGATTAACCTCATCTGTTTTCTCCTCCGTAGGTAAATGCTTGATTTCGGGAGCGGTAACGGGCGCAGGCATCGGACGAGCTTCAGATTGAGTTTGCCGATTGCCCATCATCTCCCACTCCCCCCCAATCGGCACTTCATCCTCCTCCGCAAAGTTGAACTTCACGTTCCGTTCGACCTTCACCATACGACGATCAGCAAAGTAAATGCGGTGGGCCATACTTCTCTGGTCAATGCCAACCCAGCGCTCCGTCGAAGACCGACCATCCAGCTTGCTTGGATCGCGGGAGTGAACACGAACTTTGCATCCCCATGGATGAGTTTGCGCCAAATTGGGTTTCTCCCCGAACACCACCTCGAAAGGAGTCGTGTCGCCCAGAGCCCGTGTCGGCATCCTGTTCTTCAAATAGACCACATGGTGTAGAGTTTCGCCCCAGAGGAATTTCGGAAGGCCACTGTCATGAAACATAGCCCGAACACGCTCCATAAGTGTACGATTGAGTCGTTCAGCAATGCCGTTGTATTCGGGGGTGTCATGAGTTGTGAGTCGGTGAGTTGTGCCTTGCTTCGCCAGGTGTTCCTCAAATTCATCACTGATGAACTCACCACCTCGATCAGAATGGAACCGTTTGATAGTTACACCTTTCTGTGTCTTCCACCAAGCCTCGCACTCCTTGTAAAAGCGGAAGGCCTCGTTCTTGGAGCGTAGAAGATAGACGTGAGAGAAGCGGCTGAATTCATCTGTAAGGCCAAAGAAGTATCGACGTCCACCGATGGTTTCTGTAGAAGCCGGTCCCCACAAATCCCCATGCACGACATCTCCCAGCGCCTTCGCCCTCTCCGTTTCTTCCCTCTCCCGCTGAATTGGTTTTCGGGTCATCTTCCCGTACTCGCAGGCGTCGCACGGCGTGGCGGAGCTCGACTCATCAAGCTCAACACCATGGATTAATCCTTTCTTGACCATGTCTCGCGCAGCGGTGTGAGATACGTGACCCAAGCGACGGTGCAGTTCATTAATGGTTAGAACCTCTGCGACCTTTCCAGCGTAGTCCTGGCCTAGGCTTCGAGGGGTAAAGACACGATACAGCCCATCCTTCACCGGTACACTCCCCAGCAATTTGCCGTTTCCATCGTAGAGGTGACAACAATCATCTTTGAAGACTGCCGAGGAACCTGCTTTCGTGATGCGACTGATGGATACGAGCGTCATGGCCATCGCAGGAGCAAATAGGACTCCCCGAAGTAGGACTCGAGTGAAAGAACCATTGTTGGGTAAGACCACATACATATCCCCCTTCCCGATTGCGCTAAAGCTTTGCTTGTTTGCAGCGGTGATTGAGTGCGGAGGGATTTCTTCAAAATTGACGAATCGGTGGCGGTCACCCGACATGTGGTTCGACGCTCCAGAGTCGTAGAGGTCGACATCCATATCAATCATGCTGGATCGAGTTAGCATCGCAGCTTCAAACGCTAAAAATGCTGTGCTGTAATTGGTGTACATCCTGTGGTTCGGTGTTGGGACTCCCAAGTTGACTAGGGTCTCCCGGTTGTCCTCGGAGTCAGAGTCGGCAATAGAGATAAGGTCGGGAAGATTGTCTTCGTCTTCGGCATCACTAACGAATGGTGAACTTAGTGGTGACATCTCGTCTTCTGACATCTCGAAGAGTTCGGCATCAGCGTCGGAATCTGACATCGTGAAGAGTTCGAAATCGCTATCGAAGTCCTCGGAGGAATCCCACTCCTCCATAGCGACCCACGCAGCCTGTTCCGAGCCTCCTTCACCCTTGTCTTCCCCAGCATTAGCTGTGTCCTTCTCCTTCCCCTTCCCCTTGCCTTTGGGGCCTTGCCCTTCCTTTCCACCACCCTTTGACCAACAGTCCGCCTTCATATGGCCTTTCTTATGACAGTTGAAGCATTCAACAAGCTTCTTCGAGCCGCCCTGGGCCTTTCCCTTCCACTTTGAAGAAGATCCAGCAGCAGAGAAGGCGGCGTCCTTGTCATCCTTCTTTCCTGTTTTGGTACGGATAACTCGGCGGTCATATTCGTCGGTCAAAGTCATGGTAAGCGATTCCCAGGGTAATGCTTCGCCAGAAACACCAGTTGATACGTTGATAGCGGAGATACAGTTCTCGTAGGAATCGGGAAGCGAGCTAAGGATGATCGCGAAGAAGTCGTCGTCATCTGGTGGATGTCCCATCGATGCGAGAATCTCGCGTAACGAACGTAGTTGAGCAAGGTGGACACGCATATCCCCCTTCTCTGCCAATCGAGTCTCCTGCAGCTGACGCCGAAGATCTATGGCAACCAAGCGAGAACGTTTCTGGAAATCCGCGGCCAGCGTCTCCCATATCTCGCGAGCAGATCCTTTCGAACGAATCTTCATGAACAGTGAATCCGGAATCGTACCAGCAATTTGCTGCTTGACCACAGCCTCTCCCTGACGCCACTCCTTCAAATCCTCCTTCCATTGGTTCAACGCCGTGGTCTGGACATCGGTTACGGGGCTGGCCAGCACAGGAACAGGGTTGACCGGTTCAGAGCCAGTTCCATCGAGATGCTTGAGCAAGCCGCGTGCGTCCACAGCCCACATCAGACGGTCCCGATAGGTCACCCAGTTATTACCGGCAGCATCAAGTTTCGGAACACGCAAGAATTCGTCACCGAGTTTGATGGAAGTCATTTCGAGGAAGATAGTGATGAGGCGTAGGGTGCAAGTACGAGTTCGTAGGAGATTGGGTTTATAGATTTATAGGATAAGCGCAGGGCCCATAACCTATTACGAAGTAAACTCAGTCTCGGGGTAAACGGACTATATTCAGGCCGTAAGTACCTATTACGAAGTAAACTACAAATATGTCAGTACATGGGATGGTATGGACAATACTAGATACTCACCTCAGTCTCGGGGTAAACGGACTGAGGTGATAAGATAATAAACTACACATTAAGTACACATTACGAGACACCGAGAATGAAAGAGAAAATGTACCGTATGAGCCTAATCTCTAACTCCTCGACACTGGACCATTCCACATGTAGCACGGTTTGCACAGGCGCTAACCTCAACTTCCAACACAAGCGATATGTTTCCTGCTGCCAAACAACGTGGGGGATAAGTTTCACCGACAAAGCCAGCTTCTCGCGTCAGGGAGTCCATTCAGAGGGTCATTAGATCTAATACCAACAGCCAAATCAATAAAATCAAGGGTTTTGTCTCAGACTGACTACGCTAAACCGCCTTAGCTCGTTCATGAAACAACTAGGCTCTGAAACTCCTCTGGTCTTGTAGTATGTCTTCGCCAACGTATCTATCTGATATGTTTGTTTACAGTAAGCAGCACACCGTGATATCGTGCAGCCGATCTGAGAGATTGACTTAGCAAGAGGAGCGTTGCTGGTAAACACATTCCCAAACACGGCATACAGCAACCCTACTTCCTAGAAGAGGGTTACGACCCTGCTTAACAGACGATGATTCTGCTGCAAGCTCAAGCATTTACAGTAGAGCTATGGCGTCGGACTAGTATTATCTAGGGTGATCTCTACCACTTAACTGGGAAGACCCACCGAGCAGTACACCCACTTGCAACGATGTTATTGCATCTCCTGTTGAATTTCAGGGGCTTAGGAGCTGCTGACCGGAGATATTCACGATCGGACCGATTATAAGTAAAGTGCAATGGGCGCTTATTGATAGCCACTCCTTTCTTTGAATCCATCCACTACAAGTCGAGACTATGTTGATTAAAGTAAAGGTGAGCCACAATGAAATCGCGAAGCATCACATCCTGATGTATATCCAGACGCTAACAGGCAAAGAAGTCAGCATCCTTTCCATGACAAATTGGAATATCTCTGATTATCGTGCCTCCGTTCATATTAGATTGAACTTGACATCGATCCTGAGGATAAGGTGGGCAATCCTCAACTCATCGATACTACAACGCCGACGAATCAACGAAATTAACAGATCACAAGAATCAAGGAGAAAGTTGAAGAGCAATCGGGTGTCCCGCCACCACAACAGCGGCTTATTTTTGGAGGGAGGCAAATGTGAGTACAAACGTTTGACACTACATGCGGTGAGGCAGGGGGGATTAACATGATTCCGTAGGCCGGACGATAAGACGGCCAGAGACTTCAATATTGTGGCAGGATCGGTACTGCATCTGGTCCTCGCGCTGCGCGGCGGACGATAATAGCTTTGATTATCCACCCAGGATGCAATCGATTGCTTTGCTATGCATCCCGCAGATTCTTCCATGCATTACAATAGAATTCCTTAATTTACACTGATCCTTGATTGCTGAACAACGACACCTGCTCAGTATCACGGTGGACGTGCAACAGAAGCTGGTTCTCCCCTTTCCCCTGTTCCCCTGTCGCGCAGTCCCCTGAACTACTATGAGCAGAAGGAATCAAGCAAGGAATAAGGCATGAAAGGAACATACCCACACCAATGGATAATTCAAGGTGACCGCGAAATCAACTTATGAAGATACAAATGTGTTCCAAGCCTGAACCGGGGTGAAATAAATTTAAAGCTTAATGACAGAGAATAAACAAATGACCAAGGAGCGATTAAAAAGGAAGGAATTGGATAGCGCGAGTATGAGCTATGTCCAAGAAAAAAGTGGGTTGCAATGAATGAATACCTGTACATTTGATAAACTAGAAAAGAGTGGAATGATACAGGTGGATAGCGATCTTTAGTACCGCGAAAGACCACCCACGAGGACTAATGTGGGACTGTAGTCTAGAAGACGATCGAGGGGAGGGTGATGTGAAGAAGTGTGAGCCATTTCATAACCCTGACCAAGTCAGACCAACGGGTGCCATGAACCCACCAGCTTGGACGGAACTCTTGCCAATGCTTTGCGCAATAGCTATGCGTTTGTCCTCCCAAGCCTTCAACGCGCGTAGAAGTTGTACGATCTTGTCTCGTTTGCCCTGTCGAATGTCGTTGATACTCACGCTGCCTATCTTAACATCGTTGTCGAGCAAGAAGTCAAACAGCTTGAATAGACCGTCAAGTTTATCGTCGTTTGAGTCACGAGGGAATGCTGAGTCTGGGACGGGAGGTGACGAAGGGCTGCCTTTGATAGATTCCGCCAGACGAAGGAGGGCTAAGCCATTGCATAGCGGACCCAAAGGGTCGACTATCTGCAGAGACGATGGCAAGTGTCCATTTGCCCAATCAATCAGCTTATCGTCCACAGCAGGGACCTGAGCAACATTGTTAATTCGGATAAAAGTGTGAATTGAAGGGGAGACATACGGTAGACGTCTGTGATGTTTGCGTACTCAGACGCCTTGCTTCTCGAGCCGGTCTTGGCGGTACGGGGGACTTCGGTGCGGTGGGTGTATCGAGGCCTGACCCGTTTACATCATTATTGTCCTCGGAAAAGAAAGAGTTAAGTCTTGCGCGCTCTTCTTTTGGGGCAGCCAACCCCATCAATACCTCAGCATCCCTACTGGATAGCTGGTGGGGATTTTCACGGCGCAGTGCCTTCTGAGTAGCATCACGGGCAGTCGGCGAGGGCGGTCTAGGGGCGGGGTTCATAGCTTGGGCGACTGTGAGGGGAATGGTTGGAATGTTACACGATGATACCACAGGTTCTAGATGAACGTCAGCAAGGGTAGCTTCTACGGAGCAGTTGTAAGCTTACTGGTATAATCTCTAGCTATCGTAGCTTTCATCATGGCCTTCATCCAACCGCGGATAACGGTCTTCTCCTCAGAACTGAAATAATGTGTCTTGTCGTTTTCATGGTCAATCCGGAAACCGTAACGGCCAGGATCAACGTTCTCATCAACAGTGACCTTGTATCCGACAATGTTGATATATCCCTTGATTTTGGTTTCCTAGCGTGCGATCAGATATCTGACTGCTTGATACTTCATGCGAAATAACTCACTGCCCGGCTATTACTTCGTAAGCAGTATAGGTGCGGCCCTTTCAACACGAAGTATCTAGTCTTCCAAGTCTTGTAACGATCGGATTTCTTTCTCATCCAGCCGTTGTGGTCCGGATCGCCTATCTGTTCCAAGATACTTTGCCCTTGCTTGAGAGACCCGCCGCTTCTGCCGGTCGGGACAAGCGTGGAGGCTGATGCCCCGGTATCAAACTTGGGCGAGCTTGCCGACACAGTCCGCTTACGAAGAAGGGACGGATGGACACTGCTATCTTTCTCCTTCAGGTCTCGCGAGGAGAGACTATCATGAAGTCGTGGACTTGTCTTTGGTGAGGTACCCATCCCTTGGCTAGTCGCCGGTCGCTTACCACCGTATAGCCTGGAAAAGCTAAGCGATGATGATGTCTTCTCGACTGGTTCTTCCTGTGTGGTACTGTGGTTGGGCATAACGTGAGCAAATTTAGTTACGAATGGCATGCTCGCGAAAAATACCTCGGTGGCGGTTTCCTGCTCTTTCCCAACGTGTTTGCGAAGGAACCACCAAATATGCTCAACCTCTCCGCAGGCTTCGTGTCAACGCTGTTCTTGTTCCTTCTGTGCCTGCTGCCAACAGTTGCAGGTGCATCTCGCTCCTTGTCTGACGCCGAGTCCTTCAATGTAGGGGAAGTGCCAGGCAGCAGAGGAGACGATGAGCTATCCTTTGATGTGCGGTCAGGTTTGCCATCCCTCTCTTTGTGAGACGACGAAGAGTTGCGGGCCGAGCCGCCGAAAAAGCGTCGGCGCACGCTGCTTGCCGGTGCAGCTTCGCTCTGAACTCAAGTATAAGAACGCATATCAAAGTCATCATCGCTTAGAAACGTACCTCGCTGAATGCCTTTTCTTCCTCCGCCGGGGACGACTCATCCTTATGGACGTTGTTGAGTGTGCTCTCGCTCGGTGATAGGTTGAGTTGCGCAGGTCGTGCTTTCTAGTGCCGACATTAGCACAGGGTTTCATCTCCTATTGTTACCGTACAAACCTTTGCTACACCCGTGCTGTCTAGCTCGTTCAGACCTAGTCCGTTGGTGACACCGTTAGTGACACCCTCTCCAGAGTGTCCGGCACTGCTGCCGCCGCCACCACCTTGACTTGATCCGTCTGCGGCGGCGGTCGTCTCCGTAGCAGACGCTTGGCTGTTTGAGATACCACCATTGACAACTGGCCCATATCCGACGGGGCTATTAAGTGATTGATGTGCCGAGCTGTTATACGTATATCCGCCAAACGAGTGGCTTTGGCTGACATTCCTCGAGTGGACGCTGTTGCTGGCGACCGAGTATTGGGGAGTGGGGTAATGTTGCATATGTGCTTGCTGGACTTGGCTGAGGTTCTGCATGCTCAATGGTGAATGCATCTGAGGTGAGTGGGTCATGGGCGGCGACATGGGGGGAGACTGAGCATGCATAGGCGATGCTGGTAAAGAGTCCTGTCGTAGAGAGGAGGGATGGTCAGAATACACGATCGAAGGGGGACGGCGAAGATCGGTGATAGCATTTGCAATACGCATGCGCTTGCCAAAGGCCATGATCCCAATCTCGCTCTTCAGCAAATTGACATCGAGTTCAAGCAAGACGTCGCCAGTGATTTCTTGTTCTACGCCATACCCAGGATATAAGGAATGATTCCCAAATGAAATAAACCACATAACACACCAGTGAACTTGTCGCAGACATCTTGGTCGAATCCTTTACTTCTCAACCATTCTACAACTTCTTCCACGCTCCAATCACTAGGATGGGTCTTTTCTTTCTCTGGCTCCCTCTTTTCGACACCGTTCCCATTCGTCGAAGCGGCGGGGTTGATCGGTGCTGGCGAAGCCAAAGTGAGACCTCCAGGCGCAGAAGATGCAATGCTACTATGTTTTGAGTGCCCAAACCCAGCGAATCCGCCGACTGACGATAACGTGGGCGACGGCAGCGCAATCATCGACTCGCGATAAGGTATTCCGGGCGAGCTAGTTCTCCTCTCTGCAAATACAGACCTCATGTTGTTCGTCACTGGGCTTGCTGGGCCTTCGGAGTGTGAGGGAGCAATGAATGTATTCGACTGCTGCTGGGACGGAGAAATGGCACGAGGTGGAGGTGTGGACTGTGAACGTGCAATCTGGTATGTAGGTGAGATGGGCGAGGGCAAAGATAACGTGGCTGCCGTGCTAACGATCGGTTCTGTGTCGCGCAGTTCCGCAGGCGGATGTATGTCGTCAGCGGGAGGTTCCGTCGTGACCACAGGAGTTGGAAAAGATGCTTGGGTCACAGTTGGGAGATCCTCATCGCCGCCCTTGGTCGGGAGGTCGAGACTATTAGAATCCGAAGCCTTGGCAGTGGAACCCGTTGTTGTTGATAGCCCAGTCTGGCTGTCCCCGCCTGCTAGAGTAGATGAATGTGTGTCTCCTTCTGACTTAATGCTTCTCCTCTTCGTTGTCCTTACGCCAAACTCGTCTGCAGGACCATTCTCTTCTTCAGATTCTTCTGGTATGGCGTGGCCACGAATGAAGGACATGGTGTGGTCGCCACCTTCATCCTCGCTTTCGTCGCTCATCTCCACGTCAATCGGTGGTGCGATAATTCGCCCTTTACCCTTTCCAATTGACCCGCCAATAGACTCTAACTTTTCTGCCTCTTCAACTGCCTTCCTCGCCTTTTCAGCTAGCTTCTGCCTTGCGCCCTTATGCCATCCTTCCCCTCCATCGGACTCGTCTGTCTCACCGTCGTACCGAAGGCTATTGTTATCCCCGTCGCCAGTGCTCGCAAAGCTGAAACTTCTTTCGCCATCACCAAACTCTCCTTCTTTCCGCCTTCGTCCGAGTTGCTCGATCGCCTCTTGCACATCAGTCATTGTCGCGTTCATCACCCCGCTGTCGGCGGAGCCGGAGGAGCCCATCACGGCGCTCAGCGGGACGTGAGCTCGACCAGCATCACCGCTGGTTACCGAATCCGTTTCGGACTCTTCAGTAAGTGTGTGAAGTGCGTGCTGCGAGGCGGTCGCAGTCGGTGGGGGCTCGGTGTCGGCCTCTCCCTCAGCATCATCGTCGGATGTCGAGGAAGGGATAAGGACAGACCCCGTCGTCGGGGGCGCAGGTGTTGTATAAGCCTCCGGGAAGAGACCAACTTTCCCTGCTAGATTCCGGCCCTGTGAAATACACAGTACATGAGTATCAAGAAATTGGGAGCACGGCGGAGGTAAGCAGCCCGTCCAGCGCCAATGTTGCGAATAATGATGGGCTTACCTGCCACCATCCATCACCATACTGATCATCCTTCTCTACAACCTCAATTCTTTCCCCAGCTCGAAATGGAACCTCGTCCTCATGCTCTGGTTGGAAATCATGTAGCGCATAGACGTACTCGGGCATTGTGAGTGTCTTGGCCTCCTCTTGAAACGGCAAGAGTCGTAGCTCGCCGCTTCGGACGTTTGTAATGGTCGCCTCGAATTTAGCTTCGAACTTGGTGGGTAGTAGATGCTGGTAGTAAGTGAATGATCGAAATTCCTTGGATCAGCACCTCACGTGTATTCTCACGGCGTCGACCCACTCAGGGGCTGGACTGAGATGCCCTTGCTAGTGGCCGTCAGCTTGCGTGCTCACAGATGCGAGGCCTGACCGTGACGAGGTTGTCCCTTGTCGTATTTACACCTTGCGCCATCCTCGATCTTCTTGGAGAGTCGTGAGCGCGTTGATGCTTAGCAACGTGGATATTTTAGTACTGTTCACTGGATATACCCAGATGAGTCGAGTTGAGCTAATCACCCGGTACTCACTCTGTATAAAGAAGCCCCCCGGCGAGCGCCAGTCGAGATTCAACGCCATACTTCCATGCAATCCTCGTTCACCTTGCCATTCTTCCAAATTTCTCTCTTCGTTGGCACCACGGTGGCCATCTGCCCAGGGTTCAACTTCGGCATCGGCAATATTCGCGCGCTCGGGGGAGGCGTTAATCGCTGTATGTCGTCAGCTCTTTATTCGACCACTATGATCGTCTTGACATTTCTGTATACAAGGGGATGTCTTTAACAATACCTGCAACGTCGTGGACGGCCTTACCACCAACATCAACCCATGCACCCAGGGGATCTTCGCCTGCAGCCCTCCCCCAATGATTTTCAACGGATACACCAATACTCTCACTGGATTGAGGTTAGTTTCTATGCTGCGACGACACCTTATCATTTCGATTTATCGTCATTCTTGCCCTCGCGTATAGGTATGCATGCCGCACCGACGCAAATTCAGGCACCTGTGGTGGCACCATCGTCTCAGTCTGTGTAAGTACCAAATCTGAACACCTGACAACAGAATCCCGGTTTAACGAAGTGAGCTGAGATAGTGTCAAAATGATAGCGGTTGAAATGAGTACAGCCTAGTAGTCGCAACCAGAAGACACCAAGCTTGTAAGAACGCTGGCCAACGTCATGAATCCGAGCAGTTCGAATGAGCCAAATATTAAAACTATGGCCCATCATAGTTAGTTGAGTAACGATAGCATGCTGGGAGTACTGCGGCGCCACCAGCAATGGTCAGCAGTAGGAGCGAAGCATAAATCCGTACAATGCTGGCACTCATTGCAGTAGAATTTGTCACAGTGATACTCATGGTTTACTGTGTTAGGCTGACCTGTTTCGTCTTCGTCTCCTCTTGGTATCGCCAACCGAGATACCGCTGTTGTACGAACTCAGGAGCCTAGGAGCTAGGAGACTTGTTACACGTGATGCACCCATAGATTTCGAACCCCGCGACACCAAGGCTCGAACATTCTTCAATCTTCAATCTTTTCGATCGTCACCTTTAGGTCTTCTCTCAAAGCTACATGTACATCCATGACCCGGTACTACTCAAAGGATGTAGGGGACAAAAAGCGGTAGTAATCCACAAAGACTGTCAGCAACAGACAAGAGGAGGCGCCAAATCTCAACGGGCATGTAGGTCTCAGACTGACAATACACTGTACAGAATATACATCTATGCTACTTCAAAATTCTTGGAAGCTGTGGGACCGCGATATCACTCGACTCCGTTCAGACGGAACACAGACGCGTCACAAGTCCAAGATCAAGGCTCAATCACTGACACCTTTCATGGCACGAATTCTGAATCAGTGATTATAAATGTCGTAAGTGATACATCGATACACAGGACCATCACTCTAGTCCCAGCCTGTGCGCTACGCCGTGAGCCACGCGGTGGACTGCACGGTGGACACAGGACACTGGCACCACCAGGTCCGACAACGTCTCATGATAGTAATCCTGCTGAGCCATTATCTATAATTTTGGTACGTTAGTACGTCTTCCATCCTTTTGTCATTGAGAGAATCCCTACCTCCGAATTATAGCCTCTATATTGCTTTTCTACGTCATCCCATTGCTTCCAGACTCGGGAGCTGATCGCCGGTTTTTTTCGTATGAACTCTATGCCCCGAGTTAGGCCTTCAACGTCGGTGCGCAGGTCGCTCCACCAGTCAATAAAATTCCCGACGATTATAGCGAATCGATCCAGGACGGCTACGGTTAGCTGAAGAAGATCTTCGTCGCCCATTCGCTTCAATGCTACGCGGGAAGCAACATTAATATCGTCACCACCTTCTTAATGTCATCTACCTTGTAAGTCGAATTCGTGCTCTTCCGAGTCTGTATATGAGTACTGTTCAGGCTGGTGCAGCTCTAACCCCGGTGCAACGCGTTGCATTTCCTGTGAATGGCAGTCAGTGCCGCCATCGTTTTCGAAGCAAGGGAACATACGTCGTAGAGAGCTACTCTTATCTCCCTGAATCGCCCCGAGATGCTGGTCACATCATCCAAGACCTCTTTCGCCTTCACGAGCATGAAATCAACCATAAGGGCAAGCTCAAGCTTAGGATCCTCAAGGATCGCCTTAACGTCTCGACTTATCGCAATTCCCTTCTGCGCAATCCCGAGACTAGTGTCGATTGTGCCGACGTATACCCCTGCTTGCTCGACAACGTGCTTGTATATCTTCTTTTCGTGACGATGCAAGTGATGCACCCCAAAATGTTTCTTTTCCCTGCAAAGAAATCGGGCTTCAGCCTCATCGAACAGTGTTGCTTATATCCTCACCTATATTTCTCGCAAAAGACCTTCAGGCACACAAACGTCTCGTTGTTGGACTTCGTCAACCTGCGAACGACTTCAGCCCCTGATGGTTTGTGGAAAAGGTTCCCGGTATGCGTAAGGGTGTCGTCTCCCCCTTCAGAGCCCAGCGAAAGCACAGATGCTTGGTCGCTTGGTAACGAATTCTCTGAGCTCTCGCTGGACCAACTGTCCTTAGGTTCTATCTTTCCACAGGGGACATGCAGTGCAATGCATTGCGGGCGGCCAGCTTCGTGAAGGTGAGTTTTGATGCCTCGCGTACGGTTCACGATAACACTGACCGTCGGTCACGTCTGTGCTGACGAGTTCTTCGATCCTTGTGAAGGGTCCCGTATACGTTATCATCTTCTGAGGGAGAGCGAGAGGATGCCTATCCGCACCGTCTAATTGTGCCCTTTATAAGTATATCAACACACCTTTACCTTGCCTTCACCACGCCCCACAGATCTGGCACCGAACCAGCGCTTGTCGAGCATTATGGAACGTCTTTCAGGTTCTGTAGCCATCGGTTCAAGACGTCGCCGATGCAGTTGACAGCAACTCAGACGCCCATATTGTCTTGATCGATATATATTCCAGTCCTTCTACGTCCACCTCCTCCCCACTATCACATATACGATGAATCGAAGACGTTCACATGACGCTCGTAATGGCAATAAATGATCAATGAGAAACACATTCACGTTTGATAGAGAAACGATGTATATACATGCGTTACAGCGTCAGGACCCCCTGCACTTGTATCCACCTAGGACGGGAGCTCTACGCAATAGTATCGGTGTCGCTGAACTTAGTGTTCCTTTTCCATTTGAACAGTCCCGGACTCTTGTCACTTGAAGGGCCACCAGCGAAGTCCAAAGTCTTCCCAAGTCCAGCCTTCGTTGCGTTTAGTCGAGGCACCGTAATTAAAATCGTCTGGCGCACCTCTGATCTGTACTCGCGAAGGAGCACCTCCACTCTTTGCCACACCGGAGTAATTTGCTGCGCCAACAAGGACCCTACACGACCGAAGGAACGGAGCTGGTCCGAGTCCGCGGCCGCGTTGAACCAAAACACTCGGAACTTCGATAATAAATGAATGAGTCGGTCCAAGGTCGAATGGATGCAGGCCAAAAGTTCTCTATCTTTGAGCGCCCTGACAGCTTGAAACAAGGGATTAATCCGATGGGGTATAGATCGAGAGAGACGAGGCACCTACAGTCAGCGACGAGATCTCGGTCCCAAACATCCGAACTCGGAGACGGAATGTCGGCGCTCTGTCTTGATAATGTCCGGCTGAGCTCTTGTTGCAATTGGCGGAGAAGGGTTTGGTATTTCGGCAGTATCTCAGAAATTATGTGGCTACACTTCTCGGCGTGGCCGCGCATGAATGTCGCGGATTCTGCCGCTGCACGACTTTGCATAGTTCCTTGGATGGCGGCACAGAATTCAATAGCGGCATCGGAGAGAGCTTCCACGCTTGACAGCGTGTCTGTATACTGCTGGGCAAGACGATAAAGGCGACTGTAGATTCCCAGACGGTGGATGATAGTGGTCTGTCTGCTACATGATGTCAGAACGAGATGGGCGCTGGCTGAAATTTGGCGTACCTGAATCGCTGGGAAAAGGACTCCAAACAGACATTGATTGTGTGAGTGGTCCGGGACAGGATCAACACGTCAAACGGATTTTTGAGGGAATCGTATTCAGCTCCGGAGACCCCCAGCTCTGCAACTAGAAATCCGGATCTATTGCGATTTCATGAGTGAATATGGTCGAAGACGAACCGAGCATATTCTGACCTTATCGCGGGGTCGGTGGCTCGTCTTTTTGGTGACATAAAACGACCAAGTCGTCTTCGCCAATTGCTTGGCTGAATCATCGGGCTCACCCGCATGGCATCTGAAGAAGAGGTGATGGAGTAAATCGCATCGTGCAAGGCAGTGTGATACTCCTTCCATCGAGCGATCTCTGCTTGATAGTAGCCTCGATCTCGCGTCGCCCTCTTCAGACTCTCTTCAGATCGCGATAGTTTTTGGAGGTCGTCGGCGTGCCTATCCCAAAAGACGCTGATGTCAGTAATGGCGATGAGTGAATCGGAGAGGGCCGAGGAGGCGATCTTGAATGAATCACTGGTTTCTGGATGCAAGGCTGCTTGCGATGTCTGGATGAACGGTAGAACCGATGCTGGAATTGTGTCACCACACGAAGCATAATTCTAGATGACACCCTACCGTCGAACGAGGAGCCATTTCCATGTTTGCCGTTTCCTCTGCGGAATTTAGCCGTGGGTTCTTTGTCTTCGAATTCTTTCACCATCCCAGCGTACGCGGGCTTAAAACGGGCTATTTCACTGCGAATCTGCTGTGCGTGGGCCAATATCGCGAACCCTGCCACCGCATATTGCGCCTGGCTTTCGTGCTGGAGTGACTGACATAGAGCGAGATAATCGCGAGCATATCCGAGCGAGTGCTGGAGGAAAGATTCCAACGCCGCCCAATGAGTGCGAATTCTCTGTTTGTATTCGACGAATTCCATAAAGGTCGACGATGTTTCCGCGCAAGAGCGGCCCATGGCCACGTGTAGAGCGTACAGCGCCGACATGGCCTTTGAGATAGTCTCTGCGAGAGTAGCGACCGGTCGAGCGAGGTCGATGTCATTCTATGGACACAGCTTAGTGCTTTTTGGGGGGTAACGACGAGACTATTGGACTTACGATATCAGTGGGCGCCCTGGTCCTAGTTGACACGGCGAAAGCAGACATGGCTTCTTCAACTTGCGAGTGAGACACAATACAGATTTCAAATGTGTCTTGCCAAACGATGCTAATGTACCCTCCGCGCCCGGTGGACGTGCAAGACTGGCAGCATGGTGAACATGCAACGCGAGATTCGGAAACCACAGGACCATGCACAAGCCGCGAGGTTAGCTTCTGATCTACACGCAGGAACCGAGCGAATTTCATGATGGCCATCGATGAACATGAGCCGAACACCTACAATTTGTATTCGCCAAGTTCCGAGCCACTGGTAAATTCAATGCCCAAGATGCACCGAGATTGCGTGAGGCTTGCAACGGGAGCCGAAAACAAGGGGTGTCAATGTCAACGTTGAATTACTCTCAACATCCCCTATTTAAGTCGATAGTAGGGGAGACGGGTTGGTCGCGATTCCGAGGCCTAGTGACAGCAACAAAATGGATGGTATGTAGAAGAGGGTTCAGTGACCAGGGATAGCATGACTAACGGTGTCTTCAAGCAAGGAAACCATATCCACAAGACCAAGGTAGATCAGCAACAACACATATGTTCCAACAAACGGAAGTCGCAGCAGAAGCGCTGCCTCCAGATGTTGAAACTGAGGGAGGCACTGCTCCTCCCAACGATATCCTCCGCAAAGCGTCGGAGCATGCCAATGTTGTATATGCGTTAACCAAGTCGAACCACGAAACGTTTGAATGCCTGAAAGTATTCTGCGAGAAATACAAGTACGTGTCATTCATCAGAGAGTATTCTTGCTAATATCATAATGTTAGCGAGAAACAGACCTTCATTCACTCCCACTGGAAACACAAAGTTTACAAGCATGTTGTCGAGCAGGCCGGGGTGTATGTCGGTACAATTGACACAAGCATCAGGGTGGCCGAAAGAGGCATGTCAATTTCGAGGGGAGCAAAAGAAGCCCTCGACGACAAGACGGTTACTCCTGAGTTGCTTGTTGAGCCGATGCTGGAGCAGACGGGAGAGGCGTTGGAAGATATCAAAGACATCTCCAATCGTTTTCGAAGTATCCGCATCGCCCTGTTTGAGGTGAGTTAGCAAGACGATGTCATATTCGTAGTATTCAACAACGGCTATAGGAGATGCAGAGGATCCATCCCAGTGCACCCCAAGTGGACGCTTACCCACCGAGTACTGATTTGGTGAGACGACAGAGAGTCGATCTTAATGGTAAGTGTCTTCATCTTTCATACCTGGTCACGGTGGTAAAGAACGTCACAGAGTTACGTCGAATGGATGAAAAGGACCTTTTGAAACTTACGGTGCTGGTACTGGACCAGTTCGTTTCCATTGTCGGAGAATTCGTGGACTGGTGGAGTAGCCTAAAGGTTGATGTGGATCGTCTGACCGGCTCTATACGGTTCATTCGAAAGAACCCAGATATCAGCACACAGGTATACAAGCAATGGGAGAATATGGAGCAACAATACAAGATTTACCGATCCGAGGTGTGCCTTCATAACCGATTTCGTGGATGTCAAGTCACTAACACATTTCGTATCATAGATCATGACACAGCAAGACTACTATAATCGTACTTTGAAGCACTTGATGCCTAAATCATTCTTCCGCCGCGTTGCTCGTCGATTGGGTTTGAGCGAATAAAGGGACTCAATGAAGGTGGTCACTGGTAGGAGATACACCTGAATCCCGGGACCCGCAGGTCATCGGGATATGACCCAAATACAGTATATATCTTCCGGTTTGTGCATGTATTGCCGCTGCTTCAAATTTTGAAAGTTGTCCGAGCAACGGGTAGCTTCGAGGAAGCGATTGAAGTTATGGTTGTTTTAAATGATTGAATACGGGCTTTGTGACCGTCATGACTACAATTCTCATCTTAGTGTGAGAAATTGCTACATTGATCGTGGGAACTGCTGAAGCGCTACGGTACCGTGTTCCGGTCCGCTGGCTGCTACGGCGTGCATACGCTCTCCTCATCGCTGACATGTATGTTGCTTTGAGCTCGAAAACACTAATATTCATACGCTGATCAAGTATTTTAACGAGAATATTATATTTGCACTATTCATGGATCCTGTATCCCAAGGATCCGAGAACGCCGATAATGCAGCATTTTGTTAGGTGCTAGCAGAAGCGATACCAGGTTGCTGCCTGCTTTGTTTCTCCTGATTTATTGGTAAGGAGGCCGAAGGGATACTTCTAAGGAAGCAAACGGAAAAAGAGTTCGTAGCTTGAGTGCTGGTAGTTCCTAGCTATGAGGCATTTGCTAAGTCGCGACGCCGTTGCTTTGCAGCAGTGATACAAGCGAGGAGCGGATCCTCGTGTTCAACCACACCCGAGCCTAGCTGTGTCGTTTGTAGCACCTGGTCATTCTCATCCAGCACGATGGTAAGCGTGGCATCCAGCAGAGGTTCCTCAAATGATGTGGGATCCGCGATGAGTAGCGAGCTACTTGACATTCGTTTTCAGTAAAACGCAAAGCAGATGACGGTCGACCCACCCGTCAAATATTCCAAAAGACATGGACGATGGACTCCGCAGAATTTTCAAGGGTATTTGCGTTTTCCGCGAGCAGGTGGTACGACCAGAGATATCGTCGAACGTAGCCTGCGGTAGCGTCGCTGGCAGGAAAATGGCGTCAAACTACATTCCAGACGTTGACCGGGGAACTCACTGTTTCTCAAAGCCGCGACCATCGCCATCAAAGTCGCGTCGAACGCGTTTCCATCGTAATTGATGCAAACAGCATCAACATAAAGCACCCAAACAGCACTTCCAGGGTGAATGCAAAGGCTCTTCAAGTCCACCATGCCTGAACTAGCTATTCCGTATCAGAAAAGGGATTCCCCATCAGCGTTTCTGAACGTACTTACGATAGTAACACGTCGTTCAACCGGTCCGATAGCACTTGGGCTTCCTCTCCTGGTGGGCCTGGCTTGAATTTGGGAGAACATATTGCTGGAAGATCTAGGTTCGGTACTTTGTCGTGCAGGCGAGTTCAACAGCTATAGGTTCGTAATGAGAGCTGCACATACCCAAATAACCATCTTCTGGCTGGTCGAGCTCTGGCTCAGCGATCTCAGCTTTCACCCCACATACCACCGTGGTATTCCCTAGCCTTACCAGCGCCGAGCCATTCGCAGTAGATATAGAACCTAACCAATGACTGAGATGCGTCCTTCATAGATATCGTGCAGACATACCGACGTTGACTGAGACGTCGCGCCATTCATGAAATTCACGGCCATCTGGTCTCACTTTCTCCGCAACAAATCGTTCGAAGTAGGCGCGGGGATGGAGCCGTTGAAATATAGCAGCCTTAAGATCGTCCGTGGTTGAAGTTGAAGCCATTTCGGAAATTAGCTTGCAGGCTAGTGACCATATCTAGAAATTGATTGATCGGAATCGCGTGATGCCTCCTATCACTCCCTATTCCACCCCTATTACGAACAAGAACCCTAACACGATGCATGATGCACTTTCTCTACAGACAGTATTGGATTTTCTCTCGCAAGATGATGTCTGATAACTGACTCGGACCTCGGCAAGTGTATTATATGAGTTCCAGTCTTTCGGGGCAACGGAAATAACAATTTGTATCTGCGACAATTGGTAAGGAGTTGAGCTACAGAAGAATGATCCAAGCTACGAGCACCAGATGCTGCAAGGTCCTACGCTACCTTGCTGAAGATGAACGCCGCAATAGGGCCCGGCTTCACTGACTCAAGCTTCCACCCTGTCAGCCTGCCCAACTCTGCATACTCCCCGGTTGTGCGCTCCCGACCATCAAGTAAGGATAACATCTATGAGTTGCATTGAGGACCCGCAGAGCTACGGAGTATATATTACGAACCTGCATATCGGCTATGGTGATGAAACCTCCCGCTGCCACGCCAAGGTTTGCGAGCAGAGGGTACGGGGCACCTGCGTTACCACTTTGCTCGTCTGGGCATGCATGAAGAGCCATCATCTCGAAGAGAATGAGCTTGGAGGTAGACTTCGCGGCCGCGTGTATGTGCCCGAGGATCTTACGACAGTCTGCTTCGGGCCAGTCGTGGATAATACACCTCAGGAAGTAGACATCCGCTTTCACAGGCATAGGTTCAAAAAAGCTGTGGACTGTTTGAATGAGAGCAAGTCAGATCCCAGTCGCTAGGCTTATTAGGCACATGAAACATACCTTCCAATGTGACCGTCCCGTCATTGATGGCCTCGGGCCATTCATTTGCCCAATGCTAAGGCGTACGGTTAGCGATGAAGACATCTGTGTTGTAGTGTACTTACCCGCCTCGCCTCTTTCACGGCTCCCTCCAGATCATGCATGATATACTTATGCTGTGGAGCAGCACGCGCAATTTCCATCGTGACCACGCCGAGACTCGCTCCTACATCAACAATCGTACTCCCGGCAGGAAGAGCATTCCAGTCAAATACTGCGTATTTGTCAAGCACTTGCTCACAACGACAGCACTTTTGGGCTTACCTGAAGCAAACCCTCCTTGTCCCCACAGACTAGCGGGCGCCTTCATGGCAGTGGCAAACCGGTGTGCCCGCCATTTCTGTCCTGGTTGCTCATACCAATCAAACATATTCGTGTGCTGCTGAAGTGTTATGCTGAAGGGGGAGGCGTATCCCTTGGAATCTTTCATGAACTCCACGAAGCTTTGACTCCCCATAAACCCTTCGTCCGTGCTGTGAATGACAACTAAGCCCAAAGTGGATGCAACGGGGGCACTATGGACGTACGAATGACTAACGAGGGCAGAACTAGGCGCATCGTCGTATTTGGTCATCAAACTGTTGAAATCCAATGTTGAACGTCGGTACTCCAGGGAGTTGTTTCATTCACTCACTCTGTTTCGATGTCTTTGAAGGGCTTGCTCTTTACCAGCACGGACGACAATCGATTGTTCGCAAAAACGTTCGGACTGACTTCCCGAAATATATGTCGAGTGGCAAGATAGCGCAAACACCGTGCTGACACAATTAGGTTAGCGAGCCTGGCAGTCAATGGAGCTGTATTAAGGCGGTCATACCGACATAAGCGCCATCGACCCCAATTTGTTTGCCGATTTCTTTCGCATTAAGCCCCTGCATCGTACACATTTCCCTTTAGACCCCAACATAGTAGAGTGTCATTTACATACCTTAGGGCCCGCCTCCTTGAGTAGGTCTGCTACATTGTGATCGTTCACAAAGCGGAGCGTGACCGTGTTATACATGCCAGTTGCTTGCTCCAACAGGACCTCCAGCGGAGATCGTACGGATGTCGCGAGCTGTGTCGTAGCCGCTACGATCAGCCGAGTTGCCTCTTGAACGGCTTCAGCGGACGGAGTCGCTTCGAAAGGCTCGTCGAGTGAAGGGAACTTGCGGCCATCTTTGGTGTACGCGTTGTTCAATATCTTCACGTTGGAGGAGATAATTTCGACGAGAGCGTTCAAGTAGTCAGTCATGCTGGGCTGCTATGGGACGAGTTCAGAGCGAGGACTGACGATCTTTATATATGTTTCTCTTTATGGGTGCCAATGCGTTTGACCACGAGTCTCGACGGGGCCCACGTCGAGCTGAACTTGCGATATCAGCACTTACCCAACGAATTTCTCGTGTTCAGCTCGAATGATTTGCTTTTTTGATCAGTAAGCCCTTCTATGAACAAGCATCAAATGAATAACAGTGACTCAGTGGTCATTATTCTTGGGATCATCAACGTTGCTTCCTGCTTCTTTATGACACCAATGAGATCCGATTGGATGAACGGACGACAAGCGTCAATTAGAAGCGTACCCGAGTTAGGAAACCGACTCGGAGTGTTATAAGCAGAACGATATCCATACGTCTGTGATGTCAATGTCATAAGGTCAGCCAATTGACACATCATCGAGGAGTCCGCCATAAGTACGTACTGTCTCGCCTTTGTCTATTTGTGACCGAGCTAGGCTGGTCAGCCTTCTGAATGAGTGACAAATGCTGAGACTCACCTACTACGCTTGAAACGACGACTACATTCAACAGACCTGCAAGCATGAGCCTTATAGTGTCAGTCCGGCCTTTATCGAGTTATCCTTTTGCCGCCGATGGATCTCCATGACCTCCACGTAAATCGATCCCCTTGGAACAATTCTACCGCAGAGGGCCTTTGTGGTGACTTCATACGGGTGTGTTATAACTTCAGCGAATAAATTCTGGCAAGGATGAGAATATAGAACATATAGAATACTATTGAAGGGATGCTACCAGTAAGTGACTTGATGTACAATAACGGTTAATCGAGGTAGTAGGGTACTTAGACTGATATGAGAAACCTAATTGGAATTCTGTGCGCGGTTGCGGAGCTGGTGATAGTTGTTGATCATGCCCATCATATCGCCGAGGCCGCGTTCTTCTGGAAGCCATTCACCGTTGTTGACGCAGAGGATCCGCATGCGTTCATGATAGTTGAGGTCGGGAAGAAGCTTGGGCGTAATAAGGAAGTATTGCGCGCTGTCCTCTTTGCAGGTCACGTCGACCATGGAGTTGTGCACGTTCCGCTCGGCTCGTTGATCCATACCCTAAAATCCGATGGTGAGCAAGTCCCGTTCCCGGTAGTTAGCGCTCGTCTGACCTGGTTAATCTCGTCTACCAATGAAAATGGGGCTCGAGCCTCCTCGGTCAAGCTCATGAGATAGAGGATGGTTGTGAGTGATCGTTCCTAGAACATATATTCGAATCTGCATTTGTCTCGTAAGCATGGAAAGACCACTTACGCCACCGGATTGACGCTGCCCAGTAAGAAGCTGTAGCTTTTCGGTACTGCGGAATTTCACGAGGATGTCGATAGCCCATTTCTCATAGTCTTCATGCTCACTGATACGAATTTCGCCCGCACATCCAATGCCTTAGGAGTAGCGTAGGTAAAATGATTGCAGTCACGAGTTTGTTACTCACGATCAAACGCAGCGGAAAACTTCTTGCCAATGCTCTGAACCAGATCTTCGAGGGCAGGTTGCCAATTGTCCTGAAAGAAATCAGCCTAGTTCCGCTCTCAGTTCCTCGAAACACACACCCTGGCATTCTTGATATTGCGCTCAATTCTGTCGACCTTCTTCTGCTTCTCCTCCAGTGTCCTAGTCATGTTCTCGATCTACCTCCAAGGATGAGAATCAACACCGCTCAAGGGGTTGAATAGCTCACTTCCTGCTTGCGCCTTTCATACTGCTCGATGACACCAGGATTGGTATTCAGGTTCAGTTCGAGTCTATTGCGCTGCTCCTCAAGGTCTGCCTCCAGCTGCTCTGCGGAGCGCTGCTCGATATGATCGCCAGGAGGGGGAGTCCTGCCCGCGTCGTTGGCTTCCTTGACTTCCTGGTCCCATTCCATACGGATTCTCCCTATCTCGTTGAATTCCTCGTATATCTCTGGATTCGCTGCATCGGCAGCCTCAACAATGGCTTTGCTTTCTGCTAATATCACTTGCGTCGTTGCTTTGAGGCGTTTATACTCCTCATTTACTGTAGTGCAAGTGAGCACGAAAAGTCCGGGCAAGGGGCAAGAGACTACCTTCATGCCATGCAGCTAACGCAATTTCGTACCTCTCATCCTTGCGCTTGCAGAGTTCCGCAAGGGCTGCTTTATTGGCGCCAATTTGTAGGTACTCAAGCCCAGCTTTCGTTGCTTCTTTCTGTTCGGCAACGACAGCCTTGGAGAGTTCCTATATCGGAGTCGGGCATCAATAGATGTGTTTGTTTGTTGCAAGTCACGACATACAACATAGTCGCGTGCAAGCTTGGTTCGTTCTCGAGCAAGTCGATTGATTTCTTTCTTAATTTGAGCTCGCTTCTGATCTGCTGGGGGAACCTTTTGCAAGTCTTGAAGAGCTCTGGTGATTCGTTCTGTATTTTGAGGATACAATGTGGGAGAAACTCCAAGATACGATCAACATTCTTACCAAGCTTCGACTTCAGAGCTCCAACGCGGGCTTGTTCATCTTGAATAACCTTTCGACGAGCTTGGACCTCGATCTAGGCGGCTTGAGTACCAAACCCGTTTTATCAAGTTCGAGCTCACCATGCGTTTCTTGAAGCCCTCATCTTCGGCTTCTATAGCACGCTTCTCATCGTCAAGCTCTTTCTGCCTCGCCAATGCCATATCAAGCTCTGTCTGATACTCCCTCATTTCGGATTCGATGCGTGACTTAACCTCTTGATCGACTATCGAAAAATAAGTAAATGTCTGTAGAACTGCAAGATGTTTGAAGTGATACATACCAGATGCATTCACAAGGTTACGCGCCGGTCTGACATCTCTGGTCATATTTTGGACAGCGCGCTTGCCATACCTTGATCGGCTGACTTGGTGTACTACGTTTCCGACAATGAAGGAGGCTCCATTTCCACCCCTTCCATTAGGGCCAATCCTAGTGACGGCTTGCATCGCCCTTTGCACGTCAACTTGCCTCGATATTCCGATGGCCTGGGTGCATCATCAGTGTCAGCGTGGCGAGAGGGAGGAGAGGGACAAACATAGCGATGAAGCCCAACTGAATCCTTCAGCCACCATTCCATCCCTTTCGGGTATTCGATAAACTGGAGGGCATAACCATCGAAGCCAACCTCCTCCAGCTGCAGATAACCAAAGCAACATCAATCATTAGTATTTGGGGAGTCCGTCTCGAAGGTCACTTCTTACCTCGGTTGGCGACATCGGTGGTTCAGAAACGGATTCCTCATTGTAAGGCCTGAACCAGGTATTGATCCTGACCTTACGGTTTTGGCCAAGGGCGTGCTCCGTATGCATGTATTTGTTGAATAAATCATAGTCGCGCTGAGTCTGCATGACAAATGTCTACACACACATATGTCAGAAGTGCTCGACAATTTTCCTGCGACGCCCACCTTCATGGTATTTTGATTGAAGAAAGATTCAACGGCGTCAGCATACCGCTTGTCGGGGATGCTGACGGACAGGATAGGAGGCTCGAATATTTCCTTCTCAAATTTGTTCTGATTTGCACGAAGCCATCGAACTGCGTCTGCATGGTCGCGGTCCCAGCGCTCGAACTGCTGGAGCTTCCGCGTGCTGGCGTCATCCAGCTGCTTCAAACTAAGCCCTGATAAACGCCAAACAATAGATGATCATGCAACTGGGACGAACCGGGCGTTACAACCCTCAATACGACCTTGCTGCGTGACTTTCGTATTGACAATTTCCCTGTAACTGGCTTGCCAGGCGGCATATCGTTTCTGTAAGGGAATACGTTCCGCGGAAATTTGATCCTAATCTATGCGTCAGCGTGACAATCAAAAGGGTTGGGGAAAGTACTTACTGCGTCGCGTTTCACATCGCTAATATCCTCCACCTCTACCTTCACAGCCAATTCGGCTTCGTACCCAGCAATGTCGGATTCATATCTCTTCATCTTCTTTTGACGCTCCTTTTCTTGCTCCTTCAAGCGATGCAGCTTGTCTTCTTCTTCGCCCATTGCGGTCTCGAGTTTGCCATTACCATCCCACTTTTCCGTCATTTTCTTAAATTTTTGCTGAGTCGACCTTTTCAATTCCTCCCTGCGTTTCTCGTGGTCTTTGTGTTGAGTTGTCAATTTCCTGGTAAGAACTCAGTGACCAGATTCGCATGCAGGCCTAGAAGGATAACTCACTGCAAGAGATCATGGGCGGGAGCGTTCTTTTCCTTCAGCTTGATGACTTTTGCGTGGAGGATGCGAGACTGTTCTTTGACTTCGAGGCATTTCACCCGATGCTCCCTGTAACGCTGGACTGGCAGAAGGATTTCCAATAAGGCAATCTTTCAGAAACGCGATCAGCTTAGCGGTGCACTAGGCAGATTTTAGCGGGGACGTACATCGTGTTCGATTTGCTTGCGCTCGTTATATCTCTGCACCTCTCGTTCAAGGCCTTCGTTACGTTCTTGCATGGTCTTCAATTGATCACGTTCGCCTCCCATGAGCTGAGAAGACGGTAGTCAATACATTGACGAGTAGGAGCGACGAGCAGACGCACCTCTTGCAATTGCTTGAGTTCTTTACCTGCGGATATGAGTGTATCGTGCCAAGTGGTGAGATTCTCGTCCCCGGCGGCGCGTTGGGTCTCCCGCAAAAGCTGCTGGGGAGTCATTTGTGCGAACTCGGAAACTCTGTCTTGAGGCAAGAAGGAACTACACGCGGTAGATCAGTAACGGGTGCATGGTATGCAGGAGGTATCGCACCATAGATTTCCCACTTGGACATTGAGTTCTGCCATCTTCGCATTGATATCCCTACCGCTAGCTGATTTACCGTTCAGCAAGAATTGAGATGATTTTGATGTAGATTTCAACATTCGACGGATGATGACGTTGGGCTTCCCCAAGGACCCCTTCAACTCGATCTCAATATGTCCTTCTGAATGCCCGTGTTTCACAAACAGATTGAGATCTGAAGCACGGCCAAGAACCTAGGATTAAGCATTCAGCTTCAATACGCATTCGCTAGGGGTAGGTGTCTATTTCCTTACGCTCGGAGGGAAATTAAGTCCCAGACATATCGCACAAGCAATACTGCTCTTTCCTGTACCGTTTGGACCCAGGATCATGTTTAGGTACGCTCCAGGGAAGAATTCCACCCAATCGTACGTGACGAAGTTCTCTAGTTGAATTCGTACAATTGATCCAGGAATGAAACTATTGCCATCCATAAGGGAAAAAGGCCGACGATTTACTTGAGACTCACCCGTCAACGTCCCTGGGCTGTGTCTTTACGCGGATTCTTTCCGGTGGAGGGCTCTGGCTATCAGAGGGCACGGAGTCGCCATTCTCGTTCACGCGTGAACGCTTCACACCTCTAGATGACCCTTCCCCTTGATCGTCTGCATCATCCACTGGGTTCTCCGCATCTTCTTCGCCTTCTGCGTCTTGATCTGCAGTATCGTCCCCAGCTTCAGGCTCCTCCACTTCTGCGCGCGATCGACGCGTTCGTTCTTCCTTAATGCGGACACCAGCGGGAGCACGCCCTGACGTCGCAGACATGACTCTCCCAGGCATTGAGGACAATTTCAGGAATCGAGTATGTGGTAAATGTAATTGAGTGAGACGCGACTAGCCTTGCAAGTTCAGCGCGTCAGATTTGTTTTCGACTGTTTGGTCTCAATCGTGGAAGCTACCACCCTCACCTGACACCAAGGGGCCATTAATCCATTCCTGAGGCTTCCTCGGCGTTGGGCTATTCAATTCGGATTCAACCAAGAAATGAATACGTTAAACCAGTAAAAATATACGCCCAACTCAAGGTGTTGAGTGTAACACCGTCCCGTTCCCCCCTGTACTGCCATTTGTGACCAGGTTTCTCATACCACTCAAATAAATTTGCACGGTCTTGGATTGACATGTTGAGTGGAGAGACACACCCCTTCGAGTCTTTCATGAACTCTATGATGCTTTGGCTACCAATAAAACCCTCATCCGTGCTGTGGGGAAGTGAATTGACTAGAAACGAAGGTAATTAGAGGGTTCGGTGCACTTGCATGTGGCTTATGAGGGTAGAGGGGGGGTTTCCAAATATACGTGGAGAAATAGGCCAGAAACCACTGTATTACCCAGTCTGAGCACCCGGCAATAATATTAATGACGCGAACCTCATGCAACATCGATCATGATCAGTCATGCCTTCGCTGATCAATATCACGATGATTCCAGTTTCTTTCCTTCATGGACATTTCCTCGGTCGAAAAAGCATTACTCGCAGGTTCTTGCCCATCTGAGGGCTCCACTTCGCTGCCAGATCCTGTGCTGAAATTGGCCCGCGATGTTGGTGATGCAAGATTTCGAGACGCTCTGCTTTCCCCCTTGGCTCGGGATTTGTTACAACTACGCACCGTGAACGCAAACGATCCCTCTGTTTCATGGTTCCAATTTGTAGAAAGAGTTGACGACGACGTCGATGAAATGGGAGAGTTGGTACGCCTCCTCGTGGCCATAGCACTTCTGCATGCCTTCATCCAGGCCAACTGGACTGGTCCTGATCTAGACGTCAGACCGATAGAAATAATTCAGGGAGAAGCCGTCGGTCTCACGGACGAAATACTTCACATCAAGGCGACTTCCGAGCTCGCGTACGGTGGCGAGCCCGCTTACCATCTTACGAAGCATCCGTTCCTTCTGCGCCTCGCTCAGCTACTTTTGGAATCACCCTATCATCACTGTAAATCAATACCTTGGTGGAGGCTACGGGCCACGACGGTCCATCAGCACGTTCTAGATGAAACGGTCGCTCCGCCTCCTAGTGTGCTTGCTTCGATAGAGACCCAGACGGAGTCGATTTCCTCCGATCCTGAGCTGACGGGAAGGCTTCACCTAGAGGCCGGCCTGTTGGAACACACACTCTCTCAGGACAGGGCCGCATCGGACTATTTCCTGCGGGCCATCAAAGCGACAGGCCTGCAGTATGAGCTTACTGGAGCTCTAGGCAAGAGGACGAAGTTTCAGCAAAATGACCTTAGTCAACTCGTGCTGCTCGCCGAAAGTCAACTTTCGGTGGCAAGTACTTCCGAAACGAGCGCCACGGAGATCAGCGGACCCTCTTCTTTGCCAGAAACTCTTGCGCTTAACGACGACACGCTACTGGAACAGACTCAATTCACGACATCAGATCCCAACGCTGAGAAAGGTCGGCTTGGCCATCTCGATCCATCGTCTCAACCACCTCTGCATCCCCTCGATCAATGTATCTTGTTGTCACTCTGCTTGAATGTCCAAAACACCTCCCCTGCTCATGGTCTGACCGCCGAACAAATGACACCGTATGTAGCGCGAGTTATCTCCCATCCGCGCAATTGGTCCGTACACACCATGGCGTTGCTCCTTCGGTCGAGGCTCGAATCGTCGCGCACGAGGACCGTCGAACGAGCAACACTCCAGCTACAGGCATTGATTGATCAGATGCCAACCGCAGACTCTTCCGTTCCAGAGCGTCTGCGCTATTTCCACGACATACCCCTCCCGAGCAAATGGGAGCTCGAACGCGAGCTTGCTTTGCAGTTCCTGAAGCTAGGGGTCGTCAAATCCGCTCTCGAGATATTTGAGCGACTAGAGATGTGGGAAGAAGTGGTAAAGTGTTGGGGCTCCTTGGATAAACCTGAAAAGGCGAAGGCCATCGTCAGGGATCTGCTCGAGGGAAAGAAGGATGAAGCCGAGAATGTCATTATCCACGGGAAGGATCTGTCCAAGGATCGAAGGGTGTACCTGGATGCAGCGCGGGAGGCGAAGCTGTGGTGTCTGCTTGGGGATCTCGAGCCGGAGAATGCAGTCGAACACTACAATCGTGCATGGGATGTTTCCAAGCAGACCTCTGGCCGAGCCATGCGGTCACTTGGAGGGTACTACTTCGCCCGGGTGGAATATGACAAGGCCATAGATTGTCTGAAGCGAGCGGTGACAATCAACCCACTCCTCTCCCGATCTTGGTTCATCCTCGGTTGCGCATGTGTTCGAGTGGAAAGGTGGGAGGACGCCAAGGACGCTTTTAGTCGCTGCGTGGCAATCGACGACGAAGATGGCGAAAGTTGGAACAATCTCGCATCTGTATATCTTCGGATGGGAACTCCCAAACCACGAGTTACTGGTACCAGGCAAGATCAAGCTACGGTATGTGTTTCATCTTTTGTGGCGTAACTTTTCCGTGGTTCTGATGGTCCGCGAAGGAGGGGACAGGGACTGATGAGATGGCGCTAACATATGATGGGGAGAGCAGTAAATCCATCCCGTTCGCCAACAAAATGCTGGCGTTTCGCGCGCTGAAGCAGGGCCTCAAATACAGCTACAACAACTGGCGTATGTGGTCGAATTATATGATCGTCGCGATGGATGTTGGGGAGCTCTCTGAAGCATGTCGTGCTTTGGGTCGCATTGTCGAGGAGACAAGCGACAAGGTTGGCGATAAAGCTGTGGACGAAGACGTGCTTGAGAGGTTGGTGGATGCTGTCACGCGAGCCCCGGCGAGCCTTGGAGACAACGAGAATGGAGATGCCTCCACGCATAACCCCAACGAAGGACATGGTTTACTTCGTAACGTTACCATCTTGCTGGAGAAGACGATATTGCCTCGGGTCTCATCTCCCCGTATATTTCGGGCATATGCTCGGCTACTGACATGGCAGTCACGGTGGGAGGATGCCTTGAAGGCGTCCCTAGATGCATATCGAGTTGGAACGGCAGGGACCATGAGAAGGGGTGAAACGGATCCAGCGAAGTGGCGTGAAGCGGTGGTGGAGGTGGAAGAAATCGTTGATGTCTTGAGAAATTTCGGACCTCGGGTGTCAGGGAATTGGCGGTTGCAAGCGCATAGCATTGTGCGGACGTTTGCTGGCCGGACGAAGGAAAGCTTTGAAGATGAACCAGAGTGGCCTAGGCTCGAAGAACTTCGAGAAGAACTGAAGAACGAGTGAATGTGCCATTCATCGCCTCAAGGCCCCACTGCCCGGCATCCGGGGATTACGATACTTGGGTGTAGAACTGTAGCGAGTCGGCGTGGAAAACACATCAATGGCCTCCTTCCACATCAGCTACTCAATAGTTGTGATGCTATAAACATATACATTCTGATATTACAGGTCGCATCATGATTTGTGGCCAGCCGAGAAAGCTGTTGTTGCGAGGGAATGATGAGGTGATTGATTGATTCTGACAACAGAAAGCGAAGTGAACTATAGCTTATGAACAAAGGCCGAAGAGGTAGAAGTTCCGGCGCACGGCTACCAATTGAGGGCGAGTGACACGCGGTTCAGTGTGAGGGTTGTGAGGATTTCAGTGACGACGGGAAGGCCACCACTTCTAATGGTCAATCGGGCGTGAAATTCATCTTCTGGCTGACTCAGTTCCCACACAGCGATGGTGGAACGCCCGTCACTGCACTATACCCACCAGTCAAATATGTGGACACGATGTGAGCGACCGTCACTTGCCTCTATTCGCTGGGGACTTATTTTCCACTTGTACTCTTTGCTGCCATTCTGGGATTTGAAGTATCGAGAACTGAGAATGGCGGCGTTGGTGACGACCAAAAACGGGAAGAAATGAAGTGGACATACTTGCTTGAATCCCGCTTCTGCTTGATGGAGTTGGCCATTGGTTGTAGAGGTGAATTGCCGTAGGCAAGGTGTCCTTGCGATTGTCCAGGTCCAAAATACAGGAAGGACCTATCGGGTCCCATTATAGTAGGATGTTGCTGCGACCAAGCAGCCTCTCGCCGCAGCATGACAACAATATTTGGATTGTGAGGGACCTAATCAAAGCTGATCCAAGGTGCGTCATCATTCAACCTGGACACATACCTCTTGTCTGCCGACAGATCAGCGAAGGACGGTAGTTAGATGTCGCGGACGTACACGGTGAATGCATGCCGGCTTTCCAAGTCTTCGTATCTGCAATTACATGGATCCTCGCCAAACTGCAATAGTACATACGGCCCCGACATTGGTGAGATTTCAGGTTGATCAAGGAGGAAGAGGGAGAAGAGAAGAAGCTCTGGGCGCCCTACCTTGATATGTATTTCTGAAAAGTCCACCGTTCCATCCTTATTTTCCTCTTTAGAAACAAGGAATGCCGAAATGGGCATCCAAAGGACCCTGGTTGCCCTGATCGCGAGATCCACGTGGACAGATGCCACGAGGGTTCTGCACGCGGACGCAACGTGGCAACGGCCTTCGATCTCAGTCGAAGGATTTCGACTTTCGAGGGAAATATGTGCGAAGACCAATCAAATATCTCTCACTGGAAAGGAATGTTTACAGCATTGAGTGATGCTGTTGCAAACAAGCCACTCACAGGACTGAAATGGTGCAGAGTCGTGTATAGAATTTATCTGAAACTTGTGGAGTTGGACTACCGATATAACACTAGCACGGCGCGCAGCAACGTCTAGTCTTGCGGATGACATCACATTGCTGTAGTACTGGCAGGTAGTATGGTAGTAGCGCTCCATTTTCAAGCGGAAATATCATATCATGCAGGATTGTTGGATCACGTACGTGCCATTGATTAAGCACTAACCTGCACTAACTGGATTGGGGAATTGAGAGGGAGTCTCAGCGGAAATTCATATCGAATGGTTTCAGCGTTGGCGATTATGAAACGGGTATTCTCATGCCGGAGTCATTGAATCGCAAAGAATGACAATGCATCGGGCATGTTGCATCAGGGCTACATTCAAGCGAGAGTATTAACTTCATGCGGCCGCCGGAAGATCAACTGACTGAAGGCTCACCATATATATGTACGTTTTCCTCTAATCATACACTGAAGATCGGCGCATTAGTACATATTCCTTGACAATCTACCACTCCTTACCGTGGACAATCCCTATCGACGTGTTTGAATGACGAATCAATGCGGTGCATGAAGAAGACAGCTCACCATAGAAAAGCGTCCAAACCAGAACGAAAGTGAACATATTATCTTGGCCGGGATTCACGAGTTCCGTAAGTCCACCCGGGATGTATTTGGCTGGCTTTCCTCGACAGTTGATAAAGTATATGCATGACGAGGTGAACAGCGTCGAAATCATGAAAAGCGCAAAGCCAAGCCAATTTTGGAGTCCGAGGATGCCAGCGACGGCCCCGGCAAAGCAAGACGAGTAGAATTTGACGACACTCAGCGCCGAATTGTGTTGGACATTGGGCTGATAGTACGACGGAGCGTCGGGGGTCGACATCGGAGTCGAAGCGGAAAGACGGGCGGCAGTGAGGGAGGACGCGACGCACGCTTACTTGTCGCTTTATCCCACAGTCAGTAGGTTTTCTGATAATGAATGTGTCAGATATTCCCACGGTCAATGATGTGCATTAACAACTTCTGAAATCCTGATAATCTGTCTTTTTCCAAAAGGTATCCAATATGAGCTCGACGCCCGTTGGAACAGATTCTGATGGCGTTGACGTCTCTTCCAGCCGCTTTCTCTCTAAATATCCCAGACAACACATGCAAGAAGGGAGCCAGATCAAAGTCGGTGTCTTAGGAGCCACGGGGACGGTGGGCCAGCGATTTCTTACCCTGTTATCATCGCACCCATGGTTCACCATTGATGCCATTGGGGCATCGTCGCGGTCGGCGAATCAAAAGTATTACAAGGTTGTAAAGTGGAAGCAGACCACCCCCATTCCTGCGGGGGTGAGGGACATGATCGTCAAGGAGTGCCTTCCGGCAAACTTTTCCGATTGTGACATTGTTTTCTCCGGCTTGGATGCGGACGTGGCGGGGGACATCGGTAGGTCTCAGGACTTCATTTCTGAACCAGGATACGCTGACGCATTTTCTCCAAAGAGGCCGACTTCCGTTCCGCCGAGATAGCAGTATTTTCGAATGCTAAAAATTACCGACGGGATCCTCATGTCCCCCTCATCGTACCTCTCGTAAACCCCTCTCATCTTGCCATCATCCCCCAACAAAGATCACTCCATACCCCACCCCTCAGCAAAGGCTTCATCGTCACTAACGCAAATTGTTCTACCACTGGTTATGTGGTGCCACTTGCAGCTCTGGAAAAGGCTTTCGGGCCCATCGAAGCGTGTATGGTCACTACAATGCAAGCCATCTCAGGAGCTGGATATCCAGGCCTGCCCTCGATGGACATCATAGACAACGTGGTGCCGTATATCAGCGGTGAAGAGGAGAAGATGGAATGGGAGACACTTAAGATTCTTGGAGGCATCACGGATTCCGATGGTGGTCTGAAAGCTTTTGATATGCACGCTCGCCACCCGTTGCGCGTCTCTGCTTCGTGCAATCGCGTGCCAGTAATCGATGGCCACACTGAGTGTGTATCCATACGGTTCGCCAAACGACCACCACCCAGCCCCCAGCAAGTCCGTGAGGCCTTGGTTGCCTTCACGCCGGACGCTCAAGCCCTCGGGTGCCCATCGGCACCTCGCCACGCCATCGTTGTTCACGAGGAGCCTGATCGGCCGCAGCCGCGGCTGGACAGGTATTACCAAGACGGCTCTGGCGTTCATGTTGGACGCGTGCGGCAATGCCAGGTACTGGACATCAAGTTTGTGCTGTTGGCCAATAATGTATCCATCGGCGCAGCGACGAGTAGTATCATCAATGCGGAGCTGGCCGTCATAAAGGGTGTTATCAATCCGACAGCGGGAAGCACATAATGGAACACCCCGTATCTGTATTTCTAATGTTTGTATAGAACTTTCTAGTTATGTATTCACTTTATTCACGGGTGCAAGTCGGTCGAACAGTCTTCAATATCTATGTGAGTTTCTTTAGGTGTGCGTTTAGTTTATCCGCGCGCTTCTCATCGTGAGCTCAATCATCTATCCGTCTCATGCAGATGACTCATTGACATCATTAGTGATTAGAAAACTATAACTAAATCAAAAGAAGTCTGATAGAGCTGATTGCAACCGGCGACAGGCTGATGGAGAGATCTATGTGTCCCAATAGACGCACCAGCTGTGTTCTAAACCATGTTTTTTTTTTGGAAGCGATAACCGGATTGACCTCCGACGCAGTAAGCGACGCTTTTGAACAGATTATTATCTCACGAACAGTCAAGGCTTGGGCACTGTTAGCAGAAAACCTGGAGGTTGCTGAGAAAAGAAGCGAACGCCGGCGCTGCTCCCCTTCATGAGCGGTCAAACGTCAGAAATACGACTGGGGAACCCTATATATAAGACAAGGTCGGTTCGCGAGTGATACATTAGCCAGCATGACCGACTATCTTACCGCACTCGTACAGATCATCGCCTCCAATGTGAAGACTCTACAGAGCGCGTATGCAAAGAACGGGAGCAGTTACCCTTCGCTAGACGAGCCACTAGATCCGACTCAAGCAGCGGAAATAGCTGCCAACAAGGATGTCCAAGAAAATATTCGGTTGATCGTCGCGGCTGCAACCCAACTTGTAGCATCTGTTCGGTCCCCGTTCGATGTCTTGGGGGAGCAAGCGACTGGCATGTACAACACAGTCACACTCTCGTTCGTGAACGATCACAATGTAGCCGACTTGCTGAAAGAGGCCGGTCCCCAGGTACACAAGTGCATTCAACTGTGTTCCTAAGGTCTAATGAGCTCTGACTTACGCAGGGGCTCGATGCCAAAGAAATTGGCAGGAAGATCGGCGTCGATGGTGTTTACGTCGGTAGGACGGGCTAGCCTACAGCCGTATTCTATGAACGCTAGCTAATACTCTCTCCAGCTCAGTGCCTCCGCTACCTAGCCACCCGGCACATATTCCGCGAAGTTAAGCCCAATGTCTTTGCAAACAACCGACTATCGTTTGCTCTCGTCAAGAGCAAACCCTTCAAAGAGATTGAATCTGAGTGAGTCTTCAGTCACTCTTCCAAGTATGTTGACTCAGTGTCAACAGTACAATAACGAAATATGACGACGCACCTATCTCTGCTTTCGTCGGCCACGTGTACGTACAAGCATTATTCAGGTCGACGGTTGCATTCATCTAGAGCGCCGTTGTTGTTCATAGGACGGATGAAGGGCTCATCGGCAGTCAGAGCTTCATCGAGTTCATGAGACACCCGAAGGGCTATTCTTCGCCACTTAGCATGGCCCTTCAAGAACGTACTAGCATGTTTGAATGGTATGCACAACCGGCGCAGACATGGCGAGCGCGTCGGTTTGCCACAGCCATGAAGGCGCCGGCTACACTGCGGGGGCAGGGGGCGTATGCTTCAGGTAAAAAAGATATTATGTTGGCGTGGGCGAGTATCTGACATCAGACATACAGCACTAGACTGGAATGCCCTTCCAAGTGGAAGTACGATTGTCGATGTGGGAGCTAGTACGGGTGTAGTCACTATGGAAATAGCACGCTCTGCACCGCAGCACAAGTATGTCCTACATGATTTGGAAGGGGGCATTGCGGCAGCGCAACGGGTTAGTACATAATCTTACATGTGTGCAAGTACTGACATTGTCCACCAGCACTGGGCAAAGGAATGGCCAGAAGCCATTGATAACGGGATTGTGGCACTAGAAGGTATGTTCTGTGTTTGCCTGATACGCAAAGTTGATATCCTTTTGAGATTAGTCCATAGTTTCTTTGACCCCATGCCCGTTCAGGCGGATGTCTATTTCATGCGGGCCATCATCCACGATTGGCCAGAAGCGGAATGTCGCAAAATTCTGGGACATTTGAACGCAGCGGCGAAGTCTACTTCGAAACTCGTCCTCTTCGAGATGATGGCTCTTCATGCATGCGCGGATGACCTTGTTGGCAGCAACAATGCGCCATATCCTCTACTTGCGAACCTTGGAATCGCTGGGGCAGGTTTTGTCACCATGATCGATATGCATGTTAGTGCTATGCCACTTCGGATTCACGCAGATGCTAAAGGATATTGCTCAGATGATATCGCTACTCAATGGCCGAGAACGGACTGCGAGAGAGTACGAAGAATTGGGTAGGCAGACTGGTTGGAAACTTGAGACAGTGAAACCAGGTCTTGTGCCGGCCTTCATCTTCAGCAAGGCAGTGGAATAGGTGAAAGTTGCAAACCATGTTATCTGATTACGATTTTAGTTTTCGATCTCAACTCTATGATCTTCTCCACACTTGACGTGAGAAGTTTGAAGTCCTTGGATAATGGGCGCTGGACATCACATGGGCTCAACTCAAGATTCCATCGCCAGTTACAATGCGTTGGGTCGAGGCGTCGGGGACAACTCTGTGTGACCAAAGCTTCAGCCCTGGGCCGTCTTCGGTTAGAAGCTCGCGATGTCATCTTTCAGTTACACATGGACATTGCATATGGTGGGAGCCCTTCTTTGTCGGTTGCGATCAGAAAAACTGATCCTTTGGCGCGGCCCGACTCCGACCGCCAGACGTTGCAGGGCAATTCCACTGGATCCAGTTAGGCCGACATGAAGCGTGACGCTCGAATGACCAGCTTCGCGAGCTGGAGGCTTTGTCGATCCAGGCGATATCAGTCGCACTGGAAAACAGGCTGCGAGTCTCCAAACCCGTAGCGTCGGACACCTAGGCTATGGAACGCGAGAACGGATCGATCAACGCACTACTGAGTGGTGCATCCCACGAGTAATACCCACTTACTAATCTTCGTCCACTCTTATAGTCATGTTCGCAAGCTGACTGATGTTCCAAGTGAAACGTTGTTGGATAACTGCTGAGCGCTGACATATTCTCCTGCAGATCGACCTTCCCCATGAAGGCCGATAAGCCCCGCGGGCGCGAAGCTATATAAAGTCGGATTATCTATATTCGTAGGCCATCTCATCATAGCTCATCATTGCCATTAAACATGGCTGATTACTTGAATGCACTTGCAGAAATCATCTCTTCCAATGTAAAGATCTTAGGCGACGCATACGCTCAAGATGGCCGCAAGTTTCCTTCACTCGACGAACCGTTCGCGCCAACCAAGTCAGCGGAAGCTGCTGCTGTTCAAGAGGCTACTCGATTGATTATCGCAGCCGCCGCACAGCTCACAGCATCTGTCCGTTCCCCTCTCGAAGTCCTACTGGAGCAAGCGACTGGGGTGTATGCTACGGTCATGCTCTCCTTCGCGAACGACCACAATGTCGCTGATCTATTGAAGGAAGCTGGGCCTGATGTATGTCTCTATCGAACTCGACTGTTTCTGATCTGACGAGAACGCAGGGTCTTGATGCTAAAGAAATCGGCAAACAGATTGGCTTCAATGGAGCCTACGTCGGTATGTTTGCTTAGTGGCGATGCCAAACGCTAATTAACATAATATCAGCTCGATGCCTACGCTATCTAGCCACGCGACACATATTCCGGGAAGTTAAACCCAACGTCTTTGCGAACAACAGGCTGTCGTCTGCCTTACTTAAGAACAAGCCCTTCAAAGATATTGAAGCAGAGTGAGCATTATGTCCAAGTTTTCCTTGTATACACCAACTGAGCTTCATTAGTTCAATGACTAAATACGATGATGCTCCCATCTCTGCCCTCATAAGCCATACGTAAGTGCACCGAACCCTCTAATTACCTTCGTTTCTAGTTAAATCACTTCCCCACAGCACGGACGAGGGTTTTATCGGTAGTCGAAGCATCATAGAGTTTATGAAAGACTCGAAGGGATATGTCTCTCCGCTCAGCATGTCAAATCAAGACCGCGCAAATTTATTCGAGTGGTATGAGAAACCTGGCCACAAATGGCGAGCGCACCGATTTGCGACCGCTATGAAGGCGCCCGCCAAATTGTGGGGTCAAGGAGCCTATGCTTCAGGTAGGCGGAGAAACCACACCCAGAACTGAATGAGTACCTGACACCATATAATTTTCAGTATTGGATTGGCACTCTCTTCCCACAGGCAGTACGATAGTTGACGTCGGCGGGAGCACTGGCGAGGTCACTATGGAACTTGCACGCGCCGCGCCGCAGCATAAATATGTACTGCAAGATCTAGAAGGCGCCATTGTAGAAGCGAAGCGAGTGGGTCCACGTTGTCGCCATCCTCTTCGTAGATCTCAACTTTACTTTCCAGCGCTGGGCTAATGAATGGCCGGAAGCAATCAATGACGGGACAGTCACATTGGAAGGTTCGTCTCAAACTCCTTCCACACATGAGGCTCGCTGATCGACATCTTTGACTAGTCCACAGCTTCTTTGAACCCATGCCTGTCAAAGCAGATGTTTACTTCCTTCGAGCCATCATTCATGACTGGCCGGAAGCAGATTGTCATAAAATCTTGGGGCATATACACGCAGCAGCCAAGTCTACCTCAAAACTGATCCTTCTTGAATTGATGGCGGTTCATGCGTGCCCGGATGAGTTGACTGGCGGCCGTACCATCCCATACCCTCTATTAGCAAATCTTGGACTTGCTGTGGGAGGTTTCATCACTGCAGCTGACTTGCAGGTTGGTGTTGTACTACGTTTCTAGTTTGAGGGATGCTAAGACGAGCGATTGCTTAGATGCTAGCATTGGTTGATGGTCGCGAACGCACCCCTGGGGATTTCGAAGAATTGGGCAGAATGACTGGCTGGAAGTTGGAAACGATCAAACCGGGCCCTGGCATGGCAGCTTTCATCTTCAGTAAGGTAGAAGTGTAGGTGAAGTGCTGGCTGGAATGCGCCGTAGGCTTGTTACCTTTTAGTTTTTAGCTTTTAAATGTATCAGTGACTCAGGATCAGTTAAAATCAGGATGGAGATTACGCTCATTTCAAAGGAGTATATTGGGTTCGAAAGTGCTCCTATTGACTCCTGGATCCACGGGGACGATCGATCATGTTCCCACGTCAATTAATTGCTCTTCTACATCAAGTTGTTTCTACTAGCCGTTCAACATGGCAGCGCCTCGCCTAAACACTGTCTTTGATTATACGAGTCTTCGTCTTCAGAGATCTGGCGGAAGACTTGTTCGGGTGAAGCAAAGTACCACCAACCTCGATCTTCCAACTTCCAGGTCTACTATTCAAGATAGTCGAGGAAACTGGATTGCGAGGGATGCCGCCGGATTCCAAAGCGTGTACAAGTCGAAGCGTACCAACCAGGAGGATGAGAATAGTGAAGAGGCCGAAGAAGTTATAGACCCGAACCTTGAACCGGAAGCTGAGGAAACGAATGAAGACGACAGCACCGACAACGGCCAGTCTCAGAGAAGGAACCGCAAGGCTAGAGCAAAGGATGGAGGCGTAGCCAGGAAGCGTCGTAAGATAGTGCAAGATCTTGACTTTCTTGAATTATCGCCGGATAACGTCGACTCTCCGTCGACTCTTCCGTTACCAAGTTCTGTATGTTTTCCGTCGCGTCAAATATGGTATCACATCTTATTTGAGTCTTAGGATCTCTTGAAATGCATTCATCATTTTGCCAGTAACTACTACAATGAAAGAGGGCAACTGTTGAATTCTACCAGAGACTATCGCAGGAATCGCAAAGCCCGACAACTAGCGAAATTACACAGTAAAACTCAAGATAAGACCAGGGGAGAGGTTCAAAGGCTCGAAGACAAAGGTGACGTAGAAGAGGTAGAGGATGATGAAGATGACGATGAAGAAGAGGAGGACCCATCTCCGCCACGAAAGCGGGTCAGGTACAGCAAAGAAAAGTACATGTTCAGGGATATGTATAAGATCATGGATGGATCATCATTGATGGCCATAGGTTTATCTCTTCCTCAGCTGCGCCAACCAATTTGCTGGCTGATACCATATGCTAGGCATGTTGCTTCAAGAACATGTCGCACAACTCCTCACGCCGAAAATACCGGAGGGATGGGAAGAAGCCATGATACTTGCTCAGAACGAAGACGAGGAAGCCGCTGACGAGGAGTCGGCGCAATCGGATTCAAGTGATCTTGTGGACCAAAACGAGGTTCCGCCGTCTACAGACGCATCGCAGTTTGGTGCCGAAAGCACTGAAGACGAGGAGTCGGAACCAGAAACTCAAATTGACGAAACGGAGGACGAAGATGAAGTAGAACCACTTAATTGACGGTAATATACTCTATACCATTACTACGTTACACGTTGGCAGGATTGATCGTTTTGAATAGTCGAACTAAAAGTAGTGCATCAGTAAAATCATACATACTTTCGGCTTTTGGCAAACTTCTTGGGGCCGGAAAGGAGCAAAAGGCTAGGGACGTAGCTTCTGAAGGGCTTCAGTGGAGCAGGAGGCCCGCAAAAGTATCCACAAAGCCGCGAATGGCATTTTTGCGATTTTTCTGATGACTAACGGATCGTCGAAAGGGCATTTTATAAGAGTCGTAAAAATTAGCTATACACGACGCAGTAGTAATGTTATCCAACCGTAAGAAAGCATAACGAAGATACCCTGTGCTAACAGCCAGGGCTGAAGAAGAAAGTCTAGACGAAATGAGGAGCATTGAGAATAATACCCATAGTACATCCCGCAGCGACGCCGACGACCGGGACAGTCAAGACCCATCCGAGGACGATCCACCCAAGGTGCTTCCAGTTGAACGACTTGATGTCGCCATTGCAGAGGGCAACACCGAGGGTACCACCGGTTATGCACATAGTGGTGGAGACAGGGATGGCGTATTGGGAGGCGAGGAGGACTGTGATAGCGGAGCCCAACTCCATGCTGTATCCACGAGATGGGGAGTGGAGAGTCAGGCGATTGCCCAGGGTAGCCATGATCTTGTACCCGTATGTAGCAAGACCAAGAACGAGGAAAGAGGCTCCGGCGACGAGAATCCATACGGGTGTTGTGCTGTTCCTCCCGGCAGGTACGCCAGTATGCCATATCTCGAAGATAGCAGAGAAGGGTCCAACGGCGTTTCCAACTAGAATGGCATGTGGCTGAGCAACCGAGAGACTTTCTTATGGAAGGGAAGTACTCACGATCGTTAGCACCGTGGGCAAAACTAGCAGTGCAAGCAGTCATGACTTGGATGAACGAATATAAGTGCTCGGTTTTGTTGTCGTATTGGACAGCACGTCTGTGCATGTCGTCCAGATTGTCATTGGCCTGGAGGGCATGGACATCAACTATGAGGCGGGTGGGTCAGTCACGAAGCTGCGAAGGGGACTGAATATACTCACCCAACATGCCATGCGTGAGGGCCTTCCATAAGTACGATCCCGACTTGTACCTCAGAATTGTCCAGAGATTCTTGGGGAGGTACCATTCACCGACGATGGGGTGAGCGTCGACAGCGGCCAAAGCAGCCGGTTGTGGTGCAGGAGGGACGGCGGGGGCATCGGGGGCAGGCATCCTCTTGAAATCCTGGGATCCCGTTTCTGAGACCTTCTCCTCATCTACTGAAAAAGGGTGGGGTAAGTTCCAATGCTAGCGTAAGTCCCGGGAGAGATAATTACCATGGAATTGCTGGCTGCTATCGGTCTGGGGAATTTCTTCTTTCACGTGGCGGTAATCCGGAACAGCAGAGACAACTCCGTCGGCGGCGTCAGCGGGTGGTTGACGGTACCAGAGCATAGGGCCAAGGAAGAAGTGGTAGAAGCGAAGAGCTATGGATCATAAATTAGTTTATGCGCCCATTTCATGAGTGATGTGGACTTACTGTAATCGTTGCGGACTGTCTTGCAATATACATAGGGCAACCAGAACAATACGGACAAGAGACTAACAACAGAGGATGCGCCGAGGATGATGGCGGCCATCTGGTTAGGTGGCTTTTCATCCAAGTGAAGGGTAGGCGAGCCCTTGTAAACTAAGGATATGATCAGTCAAATGGGGGATGGATGGATGAACGGTGCTCACCAATGACCATGGTCAAGATAGCGCTGACACCGAAGAAGAAGATCGGCGCGGCGATGAAGCCAGCTCGGAGTGGGTTTTTGCGGAGGAGGACGCCGTATTTAGTGAGCATGTATACAACAGCAGCGAAGCCTGCAGAGATACCGGGGGCCTTGATGGACGGTGAGCGATGTGCAGTGCAGCGTTGAAGAGTCGACTTACTATGAGGAAGCCGGCGAAGATGGTGGCGAGACCCTTGCCGTCGTTCCATCCCCAGTTCACAGAATCCGCACCGCCCACAGCGACACCGACGCCAGCAAGGGCGGAAACGACTGAATGAAATAGATGAGCGCGAATTATGAGAAGACACGACGTGTAAACATACTTGAGTAAGTGGTTGAGACAGGCCAAGAATATCTTGTGGCGATCATCAACCAGCTAGCGGAGCAGCAAAGGGCCACGGTGAAACCAAGGAGTTGAACACCGGCATTATTTTGGAATGCGGCCAACGACTGAAGAAGTAACATTTAAGCCTCGATCGTATAATAATCCGAGAGTGCTCCGTGACGTACGATAATGCCGTTTTTGACCGTGCCAGAGACGCGTGCACCGACAAGTACACCCCCAAGGAACTCCATCACAGCAGCAGCCAAGCATGCTTGCAGGAGCGTCAGTGAGCGCGACCCAACAGATGTAGCGAAGGACTGTCAAGAACATGTCAAAGGGCGATCCCTGTTTGGTCAGTAACTGGACGCACATTAGCCACATCGTTAGCACCTTCATATCTTATCAGTTGGAAATCTCGAAGACAAAAAGCGATCTCTCTCACCGATGTTGTAGGAATCAAGCGCTGCGGCGAGGACACCGAAAGCGAAGAGGTAATCCCACTGGTGAAGAACTGGCATACTGGAACAGGCGGGCTTGCTACAGGACACTTTGCACGAAATTGTCTATATATTTGCATCCTCGACGAACGTGCGCCTTCAGCAGCACCGCAAACGGATACCTGTAATCACCCAGATCATATGGTTTCGGGCGCGCTTGGCAGGGGCTCTTCGTCTTGGAGATTTGAACTCGTCCTTGGCAGTCTCCGAGCCTCCAGACTCGGCACTGATATTGCGATCGTGTACCACTACGAAAATTGCATCGTCAGAAGTTCAAGTCTAAGTCATTCCTACAGCAACCATAGATACTCACTCAGTTCCAATGATGATTGTGTAACGACGGAGGGATTTTGCGACGGAGGAAAAGCGCCCGAGGTTATTGATCCCTCCCAGGATAACTTCAACTTGACACAACGGAACTTTCAATTGATTTCCGGTGTAAGTTTGAGTTCAATCGAGGAAGATGCCGATGCAACATACAACTCACCACAGTGACCCCAGAGCGAACTCCAAGAGACCCTTTTGCGACAATGGCGCTAGATTAGAGTGGGTCTAGTTCCCACTGTGGTCAAAGTTGATTTGAGTATCTTGTAACTGACCCGACTAGCCCACTACTACCACATCACTCATTCCCAAGAGGATTCGTCTTTAATGGGGAAATTATCGACTTTCATAGCCCCCGCGCTCGCGCTGCCACTACTGATTCCAGCTGTGGTGGGCGGCCATAGGACTCTTGAAATTCGAAAGGCAACATAAATCCTGTACCTTGAACGTGCGTAGAGATCCCTATGAAAATGCGAGAGGCCCCCCGAGTATGACAGTTCAAACTTGAAAATGGTGTGTGTTTCTGGGCCACTGCACGCGCCGTGATTGCCTGGTGTGCGTTTTTGGAAGTCACTATTCAGGGGCTTTCTCAGGAAGATAGTCTCATCCAGTCGTTTTCGTTTTCGTTCTTACGATGTTCATCCTCTGGACTTCATGTAGAAGCTGTGGCATATATATGTCTTTATTTTCTCAGTAGTAATTATATTGGCCTGTGTAGCTTTGGATTTCAGTGACTCTTTGTCGCATTTCCCTTCAGGGGCTTAAGTGACGGTTATATCGGATCGTCTACCAAACGTTCGTGTCCTGAGCCATATGCAGGTATCCGTCGTCCGAAACCGAAAACCAATGTCTCCTGGTCTGCGACTTGGCTGAATGGCCGAACTTTACTCCGTCTACGATGAAAAATTCACCAACCTTCCATAGGGGATGAAATATCAATCGATGAGGTCTTGTCCTCATGTTCCAACGTGTGTTGATGTTTCCGGGGCAGTGATGGCACCACCGCAAAAGCCTGCAAAATACAATATGCTATATACAATAATTATAAATATCATCGTGAATACATGACGTTAGGATCAAGGAGTCGATACAATATGGTCACGGTAAAGCTGGGAGTGGGTAGTCGAGGGTATGGTCATGAGGTAGTAGCCTGGCTGTCTAATCTGTACTGGTATCGCAACGCGAACTGGGCGCTATCCTTTGTGGCTATAGGATCTTCTACCGCAATGAGAGTTCGGCACAAAGCTTGCAAAAAGATGTATAGGATCACTTACCCGCGCTGCCGCTGCGAGCTCCTCTGACGCTGAGCTTGAAAGACTGTACAACGTCGTCCGTGGATCTAAGATTATTTCGAGCGTTCAACCTAGATGAACATTCAGCAACCTTCTGCCACCATAAATGAACCGGAGGGCATACGACGCGAAGAATGAATTTGCATATACTAAAAGGATGCGTTAGCTTATGAAACACGCTTCTGATATGCTAGAACGTACTTCGCGCGGTGCAAATATATACACCCATGTAGACGACTTCGAACGATGATGTTAATAACCCCTGGCGCCCCTTATGGAGCGAAGAGGGTCACTCACGGTTGTAAGGCATCGTCATTGACTGCAGAAGACATGAGTATGCGCAGGATGGAGCTAGTGGAAAACTGTAGCGTACCAAGATCGTGGTTGTGATGGCCATGACACTAAACCCAAGGTGAATACCGGCGGCGTACAACGGATAAATCAGCCAATTTCACCTGGTAAGCAACCCAGTTGCTACGAAGATATATTGTGTTTCAGAGACATTGTCAGTCTTTAAGCCGTTGGGTGCTTACACATAGTGATCATGATTATCTTGTCTACTAGCCTCGTCGACCTTGTTGGGGGGGATGGGATCATTAGGGCCGATGTCCTGCTGATAGATGGTGAATTTGTGAATTTACATACCGTTGGAATAGGGACTGCCGTTGCTGGAGGAGATTGAAGCAGAGCAGGGAAGCCATGGCAACATCAATGACGGCGGACAATATCCAACACGTCGTGGACGCCCATCTCCAGTGAGCGGTGAACTCGAGCAAGCCCCGCGTGAAGAGGACGGCGGAGACGAGGATGGCGCCGGCGAAGGTGACGAAGATGAGGAACCAGAACACCAGCGCGGGCCAGAGCAGGCCGGTGAATCTGCGTACTCGCTCTGCGAACCACACCTAAGCCGTGGGCGGTGATGATCAGAATAGAGGAAGGAAATGATTGATGTGGCAGAAGGTCTGACCTCGACGAGGCAGGCGGTGCATGCTGAGATGAGGTTGGATATGTTTATCTGTGTTGGCGGATTTACGAACATCAGCAGAGGCGCGTTCCGGTATTTGGTGATCGTGGCTTCGTAGAGGAGGTTTGCTACACAAATCATGCCCCCGAATTCCAGTACCCTGGATTAGTTCAAGATGAGCGCGGATTCAACTTGGACGGGAGAGTAGCTACCATATCACACCTGCCTATGAGGAGCAGATATAAACCACATAATGACAGACATGCAATCAGACAACATACCAAGATCTTCAGGGGTTTGGGGTCGCCTGGATAAGTCCTGAAGTAGATGAAGGCCTGCAGCGTGACGATGCCAAACAGCACGCTCGACACGAGAATGCCTATCTCAATGGCGGCGATGCTTGACAGGATGGAGAAGTCGATCAATGCTGACATGATGACAGTATGCCAGTGGGCGATGCAGCCGTTCGACGGTCTGACGCTGCCGAGTGACTGCTCTCGGTGAACCTCCGGCGGGTGGAGTTTGGCGTGAACTGCGTTGCAGTCGGGCGGAGAGCGGGGGTGAGTAGCAGCGAGAGCATATGCGGCTCTGTATACGATGGCTTTATGTCGTCCATGTGGTTGTGCTCTACTCTTGACGGCTGATGCCGGACGTGTTTATGGCGACATGTCCCATTGGGCCGGAGTCAAGGCGATAAGGGTAGACATGATCCTGCAGGGCGGACAAGATCTCTGCGATCAGCGAAGGGTGGCTAGGCGTCATACAGTCCCGCTCACTGAAGACGACTGCTAGATGTCGCGCTGAAAACGACACCAAATGCGCCGCCAGCAGTTCAGCAACTGGCCTGCGAAATAGACCATTCAGCGCGGAAATTCTCTGGGCAATATAGTGGCAGATATACCTTCATGTGCTCCTGTCTGCAAGTCTCCATGTCCACCATGGTTGTCTTGTGGTGCAATCGTATGTTCTCGCGGTGTATCACCTGAAACTGATTGCGTGCCACTGTTCCTAGACTTACGGAATTCATTACGCTAGTCGTATCCTGAAGTGAGCTCCTCTGGCGCATGATGTCTCTATGGTAGTCCATTCCTTCCTGGAGCCCGGTTGCCCTGAAGACATACACTTCGTGACAATTAACTGAGATGATTTACGCACTCACCTGTGCAGCACTATGCAGCTATCTCTCGTATGTCCGCGTTCTCACATTCCGTCCATCCCTGTGGGTAGATATGTGGCTAGTAAAAGACGGTTGGAAGTTTCACGGTTCTACTGTGATCAGAAGGGGCGCTGCAGCCAAGGTGCGTCGAATCGCTGAGGAGCTAACCTCGATTCGCTGGAATGATCTTCGCGGGCCTGAAGGCGAAGCTCAGTCGTTCAAGGCTGTCCGCGACCCCGCTATAATAAACCTACCTATTCAAATTTACTCTGATTGCAGTTGGACACTAGGATCCACTGTCTCGTTCTGTGATATCACACATATAGGGCATAAGATAGACGGGCTATGTATTTTACTACGAAGTGCTTGTGTCTGTCTGTCCCCCTCAGCTAGTAGAATATGTCTCGCTAGCAGCCGCAAAGCAATAATCCTAACCCTGCATCTCCTCCGCCAGGCTCGCGACCGACTTATCAATGAAATATATGAGCTTTACGTGCGTCAACCTTTCCTGCGGCGCCTGTGGAAGCATCGTGTCAGAAAAGAGCGGATCAGGTGGCTGGGCGGCCGCGTGGTTTGCGGCCACTAGCATTCCCAGAACCTTCATAAAATAGGTGATAGCGGCGGGGACGAGTCCTTCTATACCATTTTCTCTCAAGTCGAACACGCCCAGTGAACGACGTTGAGTCAGCACAGTATCGAGTTTCAGAGCGCCGAATGATTGGTCGTACGTCGTTTTGATAGCAAGTCGATCGTCCTTTGTGAATGTCGATTTCGTCTCATCTCCCGAATCGCGAAGTAGACGGCGAAGCACGACGTAGGCGAAGACCCAAGCGAACGATTCAAGATCGTGCGATTCTGAGTGTTCAACCGTCTTGTTTTTGACGATGGAATGCAAGATTTCTCTAGCCATGAACTGCACGGTGCCCTGAATTTGGTCGATATCAGTAGAAGCCTCGGTTGGAATCAAAGCTAAACTCGTACGGTCATCTGGATGCCTCGCCTCGGGACACTCCACGTCGTATGCTGCGGACCCCCAGGGATCTTCGTAACATGCACGACTTGGTCAATCCTCGCGAACTCCAAGTCCATCAAGAAGCCTTCTTCGCCCGCACTGGGGTTATTCGAGGCGGATATCATGATATTCCCGGCGCTGATGTCTCGGTGGAGGATTCCCTGAGCAACGAGCTGCTGATGACCTATTCAGCAAAATATACTGAGGACAAGCAGTCACGATGGGGGAGATCTGATGCTTACCAACGATGGCCGCACGGAACGCTTTTAACAACTCGAGATAGCTCACGAAATGCCACATCGGCCGCCCGAAGGTCTGCAGGATAAAGCGATGGAGGACGGCCGTCCCAGTCCCAGTCCCAGGTGGCGCGTCCGCTTCAGGATTCGTCTCAACCCTATGGAGCCATGCGCCGTACGGATAGTGACTACGCAGATTGTGCACCGATATCGGCATGCCGTTCTTGGCGTCGAACAGGACATCGCCTCCTTGTAAAAAGCGAGCTACGCCAGGGGGAGGGGCAGCGAGGCTCCCATAGATGAAACCCTCTCCAGTGCGTTCGCTGTTGCGCCACGCATTCTTAAGGATCGCAAGGGGTGCACCGTCGACGATAGTACACTTGCCAGAGTTCCAAGTAACCGGGATTACAGGCCAGATATTCGTGCCTCGGCCGATAAGGGATAGAGACACCCAAATGGGAGGGCCGACCGTCAACCATGAATTATGTACCCAATTTGTCGAAGTCACACCCTTGACCGTCATCGGGTACTCCATCGGGCACAATACCACGTACGGCGGGAAATCTGGTGATAGCCCTTGTGAAATGGCGAGCTCACGAACAGCAGGGTGAAGATCAGACGAGCGGCTTAAAGGTTGAACGGTAGGGTCGCATCCGAGCTCGATATCCGAGAGGCGAGGACTGACAAGTTGGCGGATCACCCTGATGAAAGTTCTGAAACCTTCACTACCGTCGCAGAAGTCGGATATAGGAGAGAGCGAGACACCGTCCCTGTCGAAGATGCCCACCATGAACTTGCGCCCGAAGATGAGAAGGCCGACTGAGAAGAGCTGGAAAGGGCGGCAAGACATATGGAGCCGAGCGTAGTCAGCGGCCTGGCAGACGACCTCGGAGATGGTAGCGTCTTTCGCAGAGAGACCTTGGCTTTCCTTCGGTTTGACTTCCACGAACCAGTCAACGTCGATCCAAGAATCACATTCGAGGACGCGGGACCCGGTTCCGTCTGGCGCAACCATTGGAAAGCCAGTTGTATATTCTTCGCCCTTGAGTTGCCTGTTCGCAGCGATCTTGATGTTCCTCGTCGCTTTCAGCTCGCCCGGGTGCGAGAAATTGGCGATGTGGTTAAACAATTGTTGCTTAAGACGCCAGGTCAAATCCACAGAAGAGGTAGAAATTTTGAGGACCCACCAGCGGTGGGTACATTTTCACCTCCCAACTATCCCCCTTCGCCCGTTGTTTGAGTTGCGTGTCATGGTAAACCATTTTGTTCCTGGCTTTGGCCGCTGCTGCCACGACCTCATCGAGTTCGTCGAAGACACCTCGGTGTTGATTTAAGGATATTTCGAAGCAAGAATCGACCAGTTCATCAGGCACCCGGCCAATTTCGAGGCGTTTGAAAACGGAGGAATCATCTATGTAAACCTTGCCGGCTAATTCTGCACGAACGACGCTACGCATTGTTGCCGAACTATATAGGCTTGAGATGAAATTATGGGCAGCTGTGAGAGGCTTTCGAGGAGAGGGAATGTCGGCCATGGTGGCAGGACAATAGGCGAGAACTCGTCGGAACGGAATGAACAATGGTTGAACCACCAGTCCACATCGACGACAACCTGCGCAGCGCCAGAGAATCCACCGGAGGGTACGACAGAGTGCCCAGGTCAGTACATACGCATTCCAGCTCTGCGCGTTCACTCACCTGTGGCTCGTCCGTAGATTGCGGCCAAAAGCCAGCTACGATTCTTATATACCCCCGATTTCTTCATTTATGATTTCCATTTCTGATCCCGTTCCTCTGGCCGTTGATTCTCTTGCACCCGTCGAAATTCATACTTATAAACCTACAAAAATATCTCCCTCTCCCCGTTCCGTTCCATTCTTTCCTCTTCTGACTGCTCCCCCTTCCATGAACCGAAAATGTACTAATATGTCCACCTGAATACCAGGTGATCACCAGATGGGTACCACTATTTTCCACTTATGGTATTGTTGTGGTATTCATGTGGCAATGAAGGGCAGATCAAGAAGATAATCAGGTGCCTATCAAAGCCAAAGGGAAAGATTAGGAGAGATGCTTCCGCTCGACGGAGTTTGCCCATTTCTCCCTGAAAGACTTCAGGATTGCAGGCAGCTGACGTACTTGAAACGGAAGCTGGTCTCGAACATCTCTGTGAGACTGCGCCATCGCCTGTCTTCAGGATGTAATCTTTGATACAATACTGCGAATCTATAGCCAATTGTCGCATTGATATACGCAGGGGCTAATCGTTTGGTCTCGCTCATCACCAAATTTGTTGATCGGCACCAATGGCCGGGGCTTGAGGGGGTCCCCTCGTACCTTTCTTTCGCGTACTACGCCAACCTTCTCACTTTGAAACGTGAAGTTGTGATGCGATCCTGTACTGACACCCCTAGAACCCTCCCCCTGAAAGAGAGCGCGGGAACGCCACTATCGTGGCGCAGATCACCGCAACAGGAATCCTGCTAGCTCTCCAAGACTCCATCACGACACTATGGTGGGTTCGACACGCTTTCGCGCCATTTCAAGCTAATATCACCATCGCGCTCCAAACAATAGGTCGTATGCCAGTTCTTCCTGAGAGGAACATGCAAATTTGGTGACCAGTGCCGGAACGAGCATCGTGCTCAGCAGCCTTCGGGATTTGGAAGTGAGTTGTTTCTATCGTGCAGTTTCTACGCGACGCTGATGCACTGTTAGACCAGACATGGACAGCATCGAAGGCTGCAGAGTCGAGCTACCCTTTCAAGTGATTGCCTTGGTTCATACCCTCAGGCTTGCTCTCAGCTGAATCGCCAATTCTCAGTGAAACATCAATGTTAAATGACTTGACGTCCATGAAGGACAAACCATTGTGGCCGCTATCATCCTATGGCGCGGCGAAGTACGAACCGAATCTCATCACGAGCCAGGAGGAATCACCAGAAGAGCTGCGAGTGCGTGCAGTGACAACGCTGAAGGCCGGGAATTCTGGTGAATATGTGAGTAACCCTACTGGTTGCATTTGCTTCAGACTTGCTGATACTTGGAAGATCAAATACGAGACGGAGAAAATAGCAGCTGCAGAACAGGTGTTTGCCGTACGCCGTATCTCGATTCCTCCCAATACCGCCGTGTCCCTAACGTCATACCTTAGAACGCTCGCAGGAATATTCAGGCGGCCTACAACCAAGCCGTAGAACTCAGCAAAACTGCCAATGGTGCCGTTCTCGCTGGTCCCGCACCTGCTGCTGCGACTGCAAGTACAACATCAGCATTCGGTCAGCCTTCAGCGTTCGGTGGTGCCGCGACATCTGCTTTCGGCGGGTCTGCGTTCGGCAAACCTGCGTTCGGACAGCCGGCATTCGGCCAGAGCGCGTTTGGGAGTCAACCCGCCGCGCCGTCAGCGTTTGGTCAACCATCAGCCTTTGGTCAGCCTTCCCAGCCTTCATCCGCCTTTGGCCAGCCTTCTCAACCCCAAGCCACATCCGTATTTGGACAAACCTCGACCCCTCAGACCACATCGTCGGTATTTGGGCAGCCAGCGCCAACACAGCCTGCGTCGGCGTTTGGACAGCCACCAGTGGGGGCCACATCTGTATTCGGGCAACCTGCGCAAACGCAGTCGACATCGGCTTTCGGTCAACCGTCACGACCTCCAACGACCTCAGCCTTTGGGCAGCCTGCGTTCGGTCAACCCTCCCAGCCCTCCACGACCTCGGCCTTCGGACAACCCTCCCAACCAGCCGCAACATCTGCCTTTGGGCAGTCGTCTCTGATCAAGCCCGCTACCGGTGCGTTCGGTGCGTTCGCCGGTAATAACACGGCGAGTGCGTTTGGCGGCGGGGGGTTTTCCGCATTTTCGGGCAAGCCGTCTGCGTTTGGTGCTGGGGCAAGTGGGGGCACCCCGAGCAACCCCACGAGGTCGGCTTTTGGACAGTCGGCTTTCTCGTCAGCGACTCCAGCGCAAGGACAAACTACATCTGCGTTCGGAAACCCTGGAAGCGGGGCCGCCGCACCGTCAGCGTTTAGTGCTTTCGCTCAGCAGCCGCAACCGCAAACAGCGCCGGGAGGAGCATTCAGTGCGTTTGCTCAATCGACGTCCGCTTTCGCAAACTCGGGCGGCGCGTTTCGAACTCCATCTAATCCTGCATCTGCATTTGGAGCTCCATCAAATACGCCGACTACGCCAGCAAAGCCCGCACCGCCTGGACCGCCTGATTTCGAACATTTGCAGTCCCCGTATAAACCCGGCGCGAGCCCCTATGATTCGCGTTTACCACCCAATTACATGGACATGATTCCCAAGGCCGCATTGGAGGCGTTCAAGGCGAAGAGGTTTGAATGGGGCAAGGTTCCGGAATGGATACCACCGATAGAATTGAGATGATTAGCGATACCAAAATAAAATAATGTATTCTCTAGGTGTTGTTTGGTGGTATCTTCCCGAGCAACGGTGTTTTGGGATCCCAATCTGACGGTAGTGTTCCGTCGTCCCAGCTCCGTAGGATATTCCCGCCCAATATGCCCATTCTGTACGAGGGGAACACATATAACCGCTCCAGTCGTCTATCCCGTAGTTTGTTCTTCGGCAACATGCCAGAGACGGCGTGGCGAATGATCTGCATTGAATGTATGTTAACGGAGCCAACGATACAGGCACGCTACGCACCTCGTCCGGGTTTTTCACCATCATGTCCTTGTATGGCGTCTCCTTGAGCCCACCGGGGAACATCGAGTGTTTGCGGAAGAGTAGTTGCTGGTCTTTCCGTCCCGTCACTTTGATGTTCCTTGAGTTCGTCACGACAACGTAGTCCCCGCAGTCCACTGTGAGATAGGTAGCTGTTAGACAAGGCTCGCAGCGTAGTTTGAGTAGCAGCGCACCACTGGGGTCGTATATGGGCTTGTGCTTGCCCATGAGGACAAGTGCGATGCGCTCCGCGAGTTTTCCGAGAATGCGGTCGGACGCGTCTACATGGTGCCACACGCGAGCGTACGCGAGGGCTGTCTGTTACGGATTGTGAGATTGCAATTCTGCATTATTTCTTGCTGCAACGTACATTTCCAATGGCCTGTGACATGGAGAAAGGGAAGGTGGTGGGACGTCGGGTAGGACTTGGAAATAACTTTGCTTGGGCGCTTATGTAGCGGGCGCTATTTGCGTAGCCGCCTGTCCTCCTCGTCCCCTTCTCCGTTGTTGCTTTCTGGCTCTAATCCTGAGAGTCTGCCGCCGGAAAAGATCTCAGGTAAGTCGTATACTGAATTGACCGTGGTTGAAGTTCAATAAATTAGATACAGAGTTGCCCCATCGTTCGCCATGGCCAAGACAGAAGAAGGGCAACCAGCCACCCCAGCGGCGGCTCAGCCAGTGCAGGCAGCTCAGCCTGCCCAGCAAGCTTCAACCCCACAGCCAGCCCAGCCAGTTCTGCAATACTCACCTGCACAATGGCCCCCTACGTCGCGTACGGACTTCACTTGAAGTCTCTTTGTATCCATAAATTCAAATCATGACCGGATAGACATTCCCATCGATCCTGCACTTCAAGCTCAGTCGTCTCATGCAGCGTAAAGGCCCCGTTCGTCTAACAAAGACGGTCCTTGTGTTGAAGTGCTATTTAGGACGACCCCGTATGCCCATTATCAAAACTACTACACTCAAGCGTCCTACTACCAGCAATATGCTGCGCAGACCGCAACTCAGGCGACCGCAACGACTGTAGCACCGATTCAGGCTGCCCAAGCACCTCGGACGACAGCACAGCAACAGCCTGCGAGCAATGCAATGGAAACAGATGTTGCCACGCTGAATGACGCCTTAGGGAGTGCTGGTGTAGATTTGAGGGTAGGTCGTTTAGTGATTCAAACACGAAACGTAGTCTTATGCCTTTCGCGCTTAGGCCGAAGAGGAGACGCTGCAACGGCAGAATGACCACCACCATTCTTACCGTCCATACGAAGATCGTACGCGCAAACAGCCCCCAATTCCTTCGTTCAACAACCAATTCCTTAGTCAAACGATGCGAACATTTGCCACCCCACACAAAGTGACCAAAATACCTGAAGACTCAGTCAATTACCTTGCATTAGCTCTGCGAACACGGTTACAGGACTTGGTTACGGCAATGATCGCGGCATCCCATCACAGAAACGATACGCAATTTGACAGACCTGCGTCGCTGTACGAAGATGGTACACCGATGTGGAGTCTGCTTGTGCGGAGCGACGTAGCGAAACAACTTGCTGCTTTGGAGAAAGTAGAAAGGGAAGAAGAATTGAAGGTACGACGAGAACGGAAAGAAAGAGCGGATATGGCTGCTGCCCAAGCGGCACAACTTGCAGCGCAGGCAGCAGGGGGACCTAATGCGATGGCCGTTGACTCGTTTGACGATGATGGTGGAGGTCAAAAGAAGAAGAAAAAGAAAGAGGGACCTGGCGTTACAGCGAGGAATATGTCTGAAGATGTCCGAAAGAAGATGTCGAATGCTGTAGCCAGTCAAGCTGCTGGGTTGGGTGGTAAATACGCCTGGATGACGGCTGCCAATGCTGCGACCCCAGCGAAGCCCAAACCCCCACCCGCTGCAACGGGTGCAACATCTCCTGCTACGACTACCACACCAGCCACAGGTTCCTCTGCGGCTAGCTCGTGGGCTCGACCGTACGTATCAACCAAGAAGGCACCTTCGTCTTCCTCCGCGCCTACTAATGAGGAGGATGTCCGGACGACCGTTACGATGCGGGATGCGCTATTCGTGATCGAGAAGGAACGAGGTCACGGAGGCGGTAGGGGTGCTGCGAGGTTGTGCATATGACGCTTTGTTTCTTTGCTTTTATAGTTTCTTGTTGCTTTCTCTGCAATGACGATGAATTCTATCAGGTAGACTGGTTATGGACAACTATATGGGATCTATACTGTACTTATGCTACAACTACATACTTACAAGAGATCGTTAAAGAACGAACGTGGTATATGACATGACTAACAGCAATAATGATGGTGCATAGGCAACAACGGTGTCCGAGGAGATATGAAAAGGACCTAGTTTAGACAGCTGTAGCGATGGTATCTGGGACCGGGTTGGCGACTGTGGTGCTCTCTCCCTGTTTGAAATCTTCGAGAGCATACGCTCCTCGGTCGTCACGGGAAGCCAGCCCTTGATACAGAATCACATGGATGAGCGTCGCGTAGCAATTCAAGAAGTAGAAGGAGACGGACCTGACGCAGAGGATGCGGTACCGGTGGTGTTGCTGGTAGCGAATTTAAAGGTGTGAACGTTCGTATGGACGTTCGTTTCATTATGTCGTAGGCTGTTCCTGGCATTGAGGCTGAGAGCACAAAGGTCAGCTGGGTATGGGCTGGACATGAAGAAAGAACGCACGAGACGTAGAAAGAGTTGGCATAAACTAAGGGGCCTGTCAGCACGTAGACTAGGTCGAGACGGTTCCCACTTACCCCGCGCGATGCAGATGTAGAGGCCGAGATAAATGACTATAATGCCCGAGCTATTATCATGTGCGCTGACAGCTGAGACCCGAACGTACGTTTGTATGGCATTACCAGGAACTGTGGAGTTGTGTCAGAGATACACAAAAGCGCGGGGGCGGTTCGACACTTACGCATATGGCGGTGACAATGTCCAGAACACTAAGCAGGATTCAGATCGAGTTATCTCCCAAAGGATATGTTGTTTCTCATACCTTGTCAACATTCCGGTGCCTGCGATTGACAGAATTCTCCGTGAGTGCGTGGAGAACAGAAAGCATGGTGAGAACGTACTTATTGTCATCAATATAATTTTATCAATCAACCGGTGTGATCTATATGGAGGACCATCATAAACAAAGCGGATGTCCCAAAGGAAGTGGGGAACGTACAGTTGAAGTGCTGATTGCCTGTGGCGCAGAAGACTCCATGACAGGCAGCAAGCGATCGTAGAGTCTATCACCGCTGATAGGATCCAACTCGCCGTTGATACCCAGCCCCAGTTATCCGTGAAGTTCTCCAGACCACCAGTGAACGATACAACGCAAACGACGATGGTACCGATCATTGTGATGAAGATAAGGAACCACAGGAAGATGGCTAACCAGAGCCACTTGGTAAACCGTCGGACTCGGTCGGCAAAGTAAGCCTATTAGTGAAATGGTATAATTTATTATTGTCCACTTCATTGTACCAGAATTTGACGTACCTGGACGATGCAACCAGAACATCCGGATAACAGAATAGCGATGTCAATATCGGCTGGGGGATTTTCGAACATATCCTGCGGTCGTTCTCTGTACGTTGTAATGGTGCCGGTGTACAGAAGGTGAGCAATGCATATCATGTGGCCCAGCTCTATCACCCTACAATACGGAATGGTTAAGTACATCACCTTGTATGGCAGGTCCAAAGTGTCACGTACCATAACACGATTGCCTATGCATGGTCCTTCAGTTTCTATCCTGAGGATCAACGACGGGGCAATAACTCACCAAGATCTTCAGACGCTTCCTATCATGCGCGTAATTGGAGAAGTACATGAAAGCTTGAAGCGTCACGATGCCAAAGAGAAAGCTCGACAAAATAATGCCGATCTCCATGGCCGCGACACTGGGCATTACCTCGAAAGGCATGATGAATGGGTGCTTCAGGTAGTGATAGTGCGAGCTGAGTCGTCCATAAAGAACTGGCGGGAAGATATACCTCCACGCAAAGGCGGTGTGGGGATATCAGAGAACTCTATCAGCCAGAAGGCGGTTGGAGCCGCTACGGAATGGAAGTGACAGTGGTGAGAGAGAGGGACGGGGGCAAATTTGCGGCGACAGGAAGATTGGATGCAAGGGGGATCCGTCTACACATGATTCGTCGGAATGATGCCTTATGTATGTTTTCAAGGACATATTCGCCGAACCCGATAAGCTACACCCGTTCAACAGGGTTCTTAGGCTTGTCCAGGGCTCCCCCGGCTGTCCCCTAGTTAGCGCCGATCATATATCAGAGTTCGCCATTTGCTCGATTTACTGTGCCCAAGTCGCCAGGCTGGTTCAGTAGTGGTTCACCAAGTAGAAGTTTGAAAATGCTTACCAAGTATAATGTCCCATTGATGGTAGTCAGGAAAGCAAATAGACTAGCCCGCACACGGCGGAGTCACCAACGTTCTTCACCAAAGCTATTTTACCTCAACTTGCAAACTGAATGCATCACCGCATCAGAATTGAGAACACAGCTGACGATGGAAGCTACCCTTCTATGGCCGCAAATCGATCACCAGAAACTTGGCGCTTCCGCTCGGCTTTTGCAAAGCATTCAGCGTCAGGAACAATGTACAGGGTCAAAGGTACGATCTGTGCCACATGGTGCGGCCAGTAAGCGTCGACCACCTTCGTTCCGTTTGGGTGAAATTGGCTTGATGTAAAGGGGAGCGGGCTGAGGTGACGAAGTTGCCGAGTCGGTATGCGAGAGAGACAGCTGAAGTTTGAGACATAAGGGATATGTGTTCAGTTGTAACATACATCAAAACGCGTCGCTTATCCGACCCTGTACGGAAACCGCCTATTCCATGATCTAGCTGCAAGTAGTAGCTATGATGCATCATAGCAGTATATACATTCCTTGTAATGCCACCGTTGATTAGTGGTCGAAGATACTGCTAGCCAAATCGTCTTGGTGATGTCAATAAATTTCAAAATGATAGTGCGGGTGGCATAACATATTAAGCTATCCACACAGGGAAATCCCGGATAAAAATACTCGACCGTCCGTCATTGAAGGCGCGGATGTAGAGCAAGAAGCTGCCGGTGGGCCCACGAACAAGAGACCGGCGTTATTGGCGTAGCTTCATCGTCACTCGAAATAGCTCCTTCGTAACAATTTCCTAACGGCTGTGTTGTAGTTCCATTACCATCTATGCGGTCAGCACATCAACACCATCGGGCGTTATAAGGACCATGTGCTCAGCTTGTGCGCTGCGAGCGCAATTCTAGAAAGGATAAATCATACGCTAAGTGGGCGGTCGAAAAACCTGCGAAGAATGACGTACCTCAGTGGAAGCAGTCCAGCCGTCCGGAAATATCCATGCAGTTGGTTTGGATCCTTGTATCAAGGCAGGCTGTCGAGATATCAGGTTGATGTTCACCAATATTAAGCTTAGGGTAAAGCAATGTACCTCAATAGTGAAACAATGACCTGGGGCCATTACTCCCGGCTCATCATTTACTGGAATGCAGATGTTAGACGGAAGTCTCTGAAACTTGAACGGTCATACTATCATGGATGATCCACGGCGGGTGGTGGAATACAGAACCAATGCCGTGGCCGGTAAACTGCGGAGAGATGGATACGTCGAATCCTTTGATGGACTCACGAATGGCTTGCCCTATATCTCGGAAGCGCATCCCTGGCCCACAGGCAGCGATGCCATGATGTAGAGCTTTATTGGTCAAGTCTACCAATTCCCTGCCTTTGGCATCCTATATAGGATTTTATTAGTCGCGACATTCGGAGAGGGACACGATATATGGCTTACCACTTCGCCAACAAGGAACGTTTGAGAGGTATCGCCGTGGAAACCATCCAGATAGACTGTAATATCTATATTTATTATATCACCATCTTCAAGTGGGCGGCTGGTCATTCGTATACTTCCATGAGTACAACTGACGTAGAGGTGGGTGGGCCACGAACTCGTCTGGAATACCATGGGTTATGATATTATTAATGCTTGTACAGCATGATCGAGGAAACCCGCGATACAATAGCGGAGACGGATATGCTGATTTTGCTATTATGAATTCATGGATAGCAGCATCAATCGAATTGGTCGTAGCGCCGACCTTCGATGATAGAACAAAGTTTTATTCCTTAACATCTATGTCCATACAACGCGTCCTCTCACCTTGACCAGTGTGCCCGCGTAGTCACGCACCGCTTTGGCTAAGGCGCCTGACTTCCTTACACGCTGTTCTTCACTTCCGCCCAATGGTATACAAGCATTGGGCGGGTAGGCATATGGGTCGCCTGGCAACTTTGTGCTCGATGCGTAGGGTGGTCGCAGTATGGCCTCAGGAACCAGCCGAGGTGTTATATGAGATACACCAAACACGAAAGGTTCCTCTGGCAAAATAACGCTGTATTCCCCGAAATCAAAATCGGAGGCTTCGAGCGCTGGAGCTTTCTGAGAGTATCTCCTGCACCCGGTCGCACTGAGAGCACTGCGGTTTGCCTTGTCAATCCATCGGAAGCGTAGAGGCGTGAGTCGTCGCGTGAAGGTGGCCATTCTGTCCGTGTGGCGCAGACGATCTGTGGTTCAATTTCGGCAATTAGCCACGTGCGAGGAAAGGTGTGAAGCCGTGTAAGGGGATCGCGCTGTCATGGGGTAGCTCGCAGGACTCTCGCGGCTCGAGAGGGCCGAAGACCAGGCCTGGGTAGCGCATGCCTAGCGCCTGAGGGCTGTTATCCCGAGCAGGGGAGGGGTCGAGGCCCGTACGACGGAGAGTTCACGAGCAGATGGTAGAGCGGAGTAAAAAGATTATATTATGTAAAGCCGTTTGTAACTACTTATCGTTACAGCTAATAGTGTATGGTACGTGTTGAACTACCGCATCACAGTGCCCCCCAGCTGTAACGACGGGGGTTAGCAGGGCGACGGATGAAGGAGTGTCTCTTCCTATCTTATTCGCCTGAACTCCCACTTAAGCCTTGGTTTCAAGCGGATGAAAGGCGTTCGGCGAGGGACGTGCGTTGTAGACGGTCATACAGGGATCTATGGGAGTTAGGATGTTTGGGCGCAGCTGTGTAGGAAGGCGCGGGCGTCGTGAAGTCGTCGTTGGGGGAATTAAATGGGGTTGCGTATATCTTCAGTGGATTGTCCCAGCGATTTGGTTCGCGAGGCGCTTTGTAGCGCGAATTCCGTTCTGCTTCTTCGGCGAGTTGGAACAGGCTTTCTCGTACTAAGGCGCCTGCCACTTGAACGCTCAGTCCATCTTCTGCGTTCGTAGCGAACCCCCGGGCTACGAGAGCTTCCGTAACGCTCCTGAATTTAATCCAGTATACTGGGGTCGATCCATCCCATGTGCGTACGACCGTAAAGACGTGAATTGCGACGTGTACATCGATGTAGTGCAGCAGCGCAAAGAGATCATGAGGGGATGATTCTCGTTGATCGAGGAAGTACAGGCGCCACACTGTCGAGACGAGGGGTTGCTGAGCGTCGTAGAGGGTGTTATCGGGCTCAGACATGAGGTCGTATAGCGGGGCGAGACAGACTCGCGCGGAGAGTAATCCTTGAAGCGGTACGGCTTTTTAAGGTAGAGGGACTCGGGTAGAACATGGGGAATTTTACGTCGACCGTACTTAGAGCGGTATTAAATGGGTCGTCCGCTGATTAGCGAGTCGTACTCCCTTTTTAACGAGGGGGCGTTTCGAAGTTCCGTCTCGTTTAGCCACGAGTCTTCAGCCGCGTCTAATCCCTTCCAGCGTATTAGGTATTGTCGCATTTTCCCTGTACGTGTTGAAGTCGTTCGATGACCGAGAATACGCTCGATTTCCCATTCTTCGTTAGCAGGGAGGAGGTCACGAGTTGAGGGGAGTAATTCCCGTTTACCGAATCGAGCGTCCGAGGGGACGTAACGTTTCAGATGACTTAGGTTAACAACGGGGTGCATTGGGTAGTTGGCGGGTAGTCGGAGACGATATACGAGGGGGTTTATACGTTCTACTACTTCAAAGGGTCCGATCATCCGTTGAACGAGTTTGCGACCGGTTCCCGAGGCTTCGACAAGTTGCAGGGTGTGAGGATTGACCAGTACTAGATCTCCTGGCTCTATAGGATCGACCGGTCGACGGTTACGGTTAAATGCCTTGACCTGCCGTTCTTGCGCTAAGATCAGGGAATCTCGCGCAAGTTGGCGGTGGTGTTGCATTTCTGCAATGAAATTGCCTGCTCGTTGACTGACTAAGGGCCGGGTAACGAATTGTGTATCGGGGACGACTCCGGCAGCGGCAATTCTCGGCTCGTAGCCGAAGAGTAGATAATCGGGTCGATATCCTGTAGACGAATGAACGGACGAATTGTAGGCGTGCATTAGCACGCCTAACCATTGCGACCACGAGGAGCGATCCTGGGCAATGTACGCGCGGAGCATGGTTTCAATTTGAGCGTTCAATATTTCCGTCTGGCCGTCTGTCTGCGGATGATGTGCCGACGAGAGAACGAGATGGGACCCGTAGTAAGCACAGACAGATCGCCAGAATGCGGATGTCCAACGTTTGTCCCTGTCACAGATAATACGAGTGGGAAGGCCGTATATGTTGACTACGCGAGAGATGAACTGCAAGGCGAATCCCACTTGATCCAGAGAGTTGAAGGTGGGTATGAGGATCGCGTATTTAGTGAGTTTGTCGACGAAGGCGAGAATGGCCGTAAACTTCTCAGTTCCGGACTCAGGCAATCCGGTTATCATATCCATAGACACGGTGGCGAAAGGGCGGACAGGGATATGCGAAGGACGGAGCCCTCCTTGTTTGCCTCGACGATCGACCTTGATCTTCTGGCAAACGTCGCACGACGCTACGAACGACGTGGCATCTTTGGCCAGGTGAGGCCAGTGGTATAACTCCCGTAATCGTGCTATGAACCGTTTTTCCCCGCTGTGAGCGCTTTCATGAGGAGAGTTGTGTATGAGATTGAGAATGTAATTGACGCGTGTTCGTGGTACACATAGTCGATATCGTCCATCGGCGTCTACGAAGTAAACGAGACCGTTATGACTGCGTTGAAAGCGAGAGGGGGTGAGAGGAGTTGCTGCAGCGTCGGAGTTCGAGGATTTATCGTGATAGTACGGGTCTTCCGCGTACGCTTGATTCCAGGCTTGTAATTCATTATTGCTTATGGAAACGAGAAGATGCGGTCGGGTGACTTCTTCGAGAAAGGGGTCTAAAGGTGTTCGAGATGAGGAGTCGTCAAGCGATTTATCTGGGTGCGTCCATAAGTCGTCCGGCGCGGGTGAAGAATGAAAGGGGAGAGTTTCAAAGTCGTTGGAGGTAGAGGGTTCGACGGAGGGGGCGGGGGAAGGTTCAGAGTCCGTGCGAGTGAGGGCTAAGCGTTCACGTTGCCGGCGTTGATTGCGAGTCTCAGCGGGATGAGCGTTGGCTAGATGTTCTTCCTCCAGGGCATCCTCGTACCACCACCAGACTGAGAAGGCGGAGCGGGAGGCTTCCTTTTTCCGACCTTCCACATCTTGCGCTATTCGTAGTTTCTCTTCGTTCGGGACGATGGCCTCAATACGATCTTGTGAGGGTGACTGGTGAGACGGGCGACGAGGGAGACGTGATAGAGGATCGACATTGGAGTGGACCCGCCCAGGTCGATGTATAATTCGTAACCCGGGGTAGGCGGCAAAAACAGCCCCCCAGGCGGCGAGTCGACGGTTAGAGTTCTCATATGCCTTAGCCCAAGTTAGCGCGGAATGGTCAGTTATGAGAGTTATAAGTTCTCCTTCTATGAAGGGTTGGAACTTTACCAACGCTTCCTTAGCTCCTAAGGCTTCTCGTTCGGTAGCGCTGTAATTGCGCTCGGCGGACTTCAGTGTTCGACTCCAATATGCGATTACGCGTTCTACTCGTGTGACCGAATCATCAAGTGTTGTCCCCCACGTCAAGGGGGGACCTAAATCGTCGTGGCCAGAGGGGTATGACTTGACTAGCTGCGGCATGGGGCTTTGCGCATGGAACGCCTTCTCTAATCGTTCGTACGACTTCGTCCCTTGTAAGTCACCGATGCGAATGGTTTGTACCTGTTGTAAGCTCGCTCCAAGGGCGAAGTCAGATGCGTCTGTGTACAGGCGATAAGGTGAGCCCTGTTCTGGATGGCCTAATACGGGAGCTTGTGCTAATGCATCTCGAGTATGGTTGAAAGCGAGTTCATGTTCGGCGGTCCACGTCCATCGTACCCCTTTTTTGAGGAGGGCGAATAGGGGGGAAGCGATGTGCGCGTAGTGTGGGACGTACGCCGAGAAGTACACCACCATACCTAAGAATCGTTGGAGTTCTTGAACGGAGGTCGGCCGAGCTAGTTCGGTAACGGCGGCTACCTTTTCCTTATGTGTGGATAATCCTAAACGAGAGACCTTTTGGCCTAATAGAAGAATGGAGGAGAACCCAATGAAGCATTTGGGAGGGGATAGGGTCAGGCCAACGTCTTCAATGGCGCCTAGAACAGCGTCGAGATGTAAGAGATGATCAGACCAGGATCGTGAGTAGACCACGATGTCGTCGATGTAGACCAATGCGAAGATCCATAGAAAAGGGGACAGGACCTCTTGCATGAGGCGTTGAAAGATGGAAGGGCCGTTACGAAGACCCAGCGGCATTCGTTTGAACTGGAATAGTCCTCGGTGGCAACGAAAAGCCGTGATAGGTTTGGAATCTTCATCCATCTCGATTTGTTGAAACCCAGCCAATGCGTCGAACGAAGAGATTACTTGCGATCCGGAAAGAGATTGGATAATTTCCGCTTGTCGTGGTATGGGGAATTCGTCAGGTACGGTTAGTGCGTTAAGTTTGCGATAATCGATGACGAGGCGTGGCTTGCCGTTACGGTATACAATCATACACGGAGAACCCCAAGGACTCTTGGAGGGTTCAATAACTTCCTGCGCGAACCATTTGTCGAGTTGAGCGTCCAGGACTTCTCGTTTAGCGGGTGAGGTCCCATACATGGGGAGCGAGATAGGTTGGACGCCAGGCTTGAGAGGGATGTTAGCCTTTTTGTCAACCCGACCCAATCGACCGTTTAATCCAAAGGCCTTGGCACGTCGTCGTAATACATCCTCGAGTGCAGGTTTGACTTCTAATGGGATATCAGGGCCGAGGTGTACGGCTGTCATAACGTCGTCAGACGATGGATCCTCAGGGGTAGCTGTCGTTTTTGGGCCCCATTGCTCCGAAGTCGCGGGAGAAGGAGGAGAAGGGGTGGGGGATGTAGTGGTGTTACCTGAATGAATATGTTCGCAGGCGCGAAGAAGGTGTTGCACCGCCTGGGCGTGGGCGTTCAACTGTGTCCAGTGTTCTGTGGTGTTGGGGGTGTCGAAATACAGTTGCGGGTCGAAGGCATATCCTACTACGTCACCTTTACGTAGGCTGAGTGGGTGCGCCGTAGGATTAGCTATGGGGACGAATGGAGAGTCGGGCGTTACAAGAGTTGCAGGCGCGGCCAATATGTCCTGTCCGTCTTCGGTGAGAATGGAGGATTCTATGAACCAGGATTCCTTTAGATCTTGAGGTAAGGTGATGGGTACGTTCAGGCAATGCCCTGGTTTGATGGACATGGATTTGGTGGCTAAGACCGGTGTAGGGGCGTTCGTTCGGTATATGAGTGGTGGACGTTTTCGGGCTACTCTGGCCTGTTTCCGTTGCAGAAACGTAGAGCCAGGGTACGTTTTACGAACGAGTATTCCCAGACGGTATCTGTTTGATGTCGACGCAGTTATGGGGATGGTCCCCCCCGACGCATATACCGTACATTGTCCCGATGCTTTTCGAATAACGCCGAGTTCGTACGAAGTCATGAAATCTTCTCCCAGTAGTAGTGGTACCTTCATGTCTTCGACAATGTAGGCCTCGATATCGAATTGTACTATACGCTGATCTTGCGTTTCTACGAAGATCTTGGTGTGGATGTACCCTATAATGGAGGCTGAGCATGTAAGTTGCTGTAGTTGAATTTTTGCTCCTGTTCTCAGAGACGGGCGTATAGTCGGTTCGATGGACTTCCAATAGTCTGCGGACATAAGAGTGATGTCGGCTCCAGAGTCGAGGCGAGCGTGAATGGCGGTTGAAGTGGGAGTCACGACGAAGGCCTTGATGCGTAAGGATCTTATGCCGACTGCGTTAAGGCCGGGCGGTTTCGAACGTGCTTTTTTAGCGATTACGATAGCTGGTAGGTTGGTCATAGAGAGGACGGCAGAGGTTGCACCCACGTCCCGTATGTCATCTGTGTCCTTAGACGTCCTCGCGACGTTGAGTACGTCTTGAGAGTGAGGTTCGTTCTCCTTAGCCCGCGGGAAGTACAGAGAAGGGGAGGAATCAGATTCAGACGATAGAAGGGAGGCTACATGGGCTTCATACTCTTGTTCTACTTTACGAAGATCCTTCGGGTCTTGTAAACCTTGTGAACGGAGTCTTTTCGTAATCGCAACCCACATTGAGTAGTGGGGGCATTCACGATAGAAGTGGAGGGGACTGGTGCAAAGTCGGCAAGACCCCGGGGGCTTAGCTCGACTAACTTGAGAATCGTTACGCGTAAAGGCGTGTCCCTCGAAGGTTTGTCCGTTAGGCCAGTCGAAACGCTTCTTCCCTCCCCGACTTGGTCCTGCCATCGGGGTTTTTCGTTTCCTATCGGTCGCAAGAGCTTCAGCGTTTTCTGTGTCGGATGAGAGGAATTCTCGAGAGGGATCTGGTAGCCCACTGAGGCTGTCGTCGCGTCTATCTTCGACGACATAAGCGGTTCGTCGGCGGGGACCCGGAGATCGATTGTTTCTTTCTTTCTCCAGGATTTCCTTGCGTTCTTGTTCCCAAGCGTACAACAGGCGAGGTTGTTCCGAGCTGACACGTTCGAGTAGCTCGCGAATGGTTTGAGAGTGTTCCGTAAGTATGTAGGTACCCCAGGATCGAGGTCGTCGGGAGAGAACTCGACTGCACACGATAGCCTCGAATTCGGCTTCTTCGGGGTAGAGTAGTCGAGCGTAGCTAATTCGGCGTAAAACCCACTCAAGGGGCAATTCATTCTTGAATTCCTTTCCTTGTCGGAAATACATTCGGTCAAATTCCAGTCCACGTTCGTGTCGCCATTCGTCGTGCATGAATTGTTCTCGGATGAATATAAGGAAATTGGTCATGCTTGACGTGCACGTCATTCGGTCTGATACGGGAAGACCATTAAACCAAGTTTTCGCGAGGCCCGAGAATCGAAAAGGAGCCACCCGTGCGAGATGGTTGGTTACGTCGTCTCCAAGTTGCTGGTAATAGGACAGCTCGCTCACGTATTGGATTACTGTAGTTGCGTCGCCATCCCATTCAGGTATAGCTGTCCAAGGTATCTTGGAGTTAATTTGCCATTGGAAAATAGGATTCGCGCGAGGGAGTTGCGAAGGAAGTCGGCCTCCTGCGGGAGGATCTGGAGGATCATACCCTCCGTCAGGGTCGTTAGGGTCCGGAGGGGGGCCGTTCCGACGAGGGGGATAGTTTAGATTATACGGCCCTCCAGGTAAAGGGTCGCCTTCAGAATTATCGTCGGGACCGTGACCACCTCCACGACCTCCACCAGGGTCTCCGGGGCCGCCGCCGCCACGTCCCGGCCCATTACCTCCTGGTCCATTTCCCCCCGTGCCTCCAGGGCCGTTTCCTCCCAATCCTCTGTTATTATTCTCTGGATTATCATGAGGAGGGCGACCTGGGTAGTCGTCGTAATTTGGAAAGGGTTTCCCTCCCGCATGCGTCGATGATCGTCCTCGATTATCTTCGTCTCTGCGCCCGGGAACTCTGGCGGATGATGGTCGATTTCCTCGCGACGAGCTGACGTCGGCGATTGGGGGAGGGGCCCATAAAGGCCCTTGAAGATAAGACGACGTGGGCATTCGTCGTTCCGTTGACGCGGTTCGGTGAGGGAGAGTGACAAGCGACCCTACGGGGCTTCCTGCCGTGGGGGAAGGAGGAAGGCTGTTGGATGTGATTAACGGGCGTAACATTGGCCCCCCAATTTCTTGGCGAGTAACGTGGGCAGAAGCGGGGCGTGCTCGTCGAGAGCGAGACGAGATTAGACTGACGCCTTGTGTATCTTGTACACTGCCGTACCCGGGTACATGTACTACGGGCGGCTTTGTGGCAAAGTGGACTTGGGGAGTTGTAATAGAGGGTAGTATATTGGGACCTGTAGAAGGAGCCCGCAACTCCGACCGATAGACAGGGAGGGACGCGTTCGTGTCGGGTTCCTTCAGTCCGCGCAGCCAGAGACGAACAGGTTCCTTCACAGTTTCCGGGATGCCTTTCCGATAATCTTCCCGTCGCAATAGTTGTAGGACGTTGGTCCGAGGAGAGTTGCGCAAGAAGGACTCGCGAACGTCGGTGATCGTAGAATCGAACGTTTTTAAGGACATATTATCTAACTGACCTAGTACGATTCGGAAATTGAGGAGTTCCGCTTCGATGCGTTTATACGCACAACCGATACGGTAGATAAGCACACCCCACGTGGCAGTGAGTTGGTAAACATTATCGCAGCCGTCGAGCATGCGTGAGCATCTAAACTCCGGATCGAATACGAATGCGTGGGGGTCGTCCTTAAGGATGGAAATTTCGTGAAGAACTTGGTGTGTCCCCAGGCTGATATGTCCTAAACGAACAAGGTAGGCGTGCGCAAGCGTGTACAGCTCGCGTCCGTCTAGATCAATCTTATCCGTCGTCGGGGGATTAGTTTCTCCGATGAGAATTTGGATTTCGTCTCGTAGGCTGGAGAGCCATATGCCTTCATTGTGAGGTGTTGTCCAACGGACAAGGACAGCTAAAAGACCTTCCTGAAATTCTGAGGGTCGTGCTGGCAATACCCCATTATGTAGGCCGTAATCGCGAAGCAAGGCCTCGCCGTCCACCTTCTGCGTATGGTAGCGAAGAAGGGAGGAGTCGATCTCTTCAACGCGAATGTCGATCCAAGCGGCCGAATGAATGAACATGCGAGGAGGGGAATGAGAGGATGTTTCAGCCGGAGGAAGAATTAGAGACGTTAGAGATGGAGCGGGAGAGTCGGGGAACGGAACCTTGGCTAAAGGGCGTTCGGTTGTAGGAGAATGTGATAGATCGACGACATCGGGGAGACGGGTCTCACGGGGGACTTGTACGGGGGAGGAGCCCGCGAGGGATGGCGATGCGTCGACCGGCATACTGAGAGGATGCGTGAGTGTGTGCGAGGGAGACGATCGTTTACGTCTAGTGCGTCTTCGAGAGGCGGAGGACGGCCTCTCAGCGTTGTCGTCTAATTTTGCCGGATCGGAGGGATTAGCTGAAGATGATCCCCGCGTCTGAACGGTTCGAGGCGCGATGAGGAGATCAGATCTGTTTCGAGAACGGGGAGGGCGATATATGTCGCTTCCGTGAGAGGACTCAGAGCCAGAGTCACTCATCAGCCCACAAGGGATGGAGCACCCGGAGTAGGACCTTTTATACAGGTCTGGGGGATTCTCATGGCGAGACCGGGACGATAGGAACTCGTCTTTACCGGAAGAAGAGTGGATAGGAAGTCGTTACGCGCGAGGAGAGTATTCTCGATCCATTGGAGTAAACGGCTAACGACCACGTAGTAAGTACAGTGGGCGGGTTCGCATGCGGTACTCGCTTGCGACGAGGGGGCCCCAGGTATACAAGGAGAAGAGCGGCGAATAGCGCTCGATTCTTCGTGTAGTGCGTGGGGTATGACAGCGTGGGGACCTCCACGGAGATGCCACCATTGTGAAGCCGTGTAAGGGGATCGCGCTGTCATGGGGTAGCTCGCAGGACTCTCGCGGCTCGAGAGGGCCGAAGACCAGGCCTGGGTAGCGCATGCCTAGCGCCTGAGGGCTGTTATCCCGAGCAGGGGAGGGGTCGAGGCCCGTACGACGGAGAGTTCACGAGCAGATGGTAGAGCGGAGTAAAAAGATTATATTATGTAAAGCCGTTTGTAACTACTTATCGTTACAGCTAATAGTGTATGGTACGTGTTGAACTACCGCATCACAAAAGGGGTTTCAGGAGGACTGGTGCTCCTTGGTACCGCTATCTCATTCCCTTCATGATGAACGCAAAGACGGGGTACAGTAGCAAGGAGGGGACCGGATATATACATTCTATGTATCCTTCAAGCCCTCATCATCAGCCCTCATACTCTCTGCCCACGCTAATGCATCCCGGCGCCCCTTATGAACATCAACAAAGAGCCAAATAACGATCGAGGCGCAGGCGCATAGCGCAAAAAGAAACGGAAAGCCCATCCAGTTGCTCCCACTACGGTCTATAATAGCTTGGATGACGTTCGGACCAATCATAGATGAGGCGCGGTTGGATAATCCAAAGAGGCCAAAGAACTATGGACTCGATATTGAGATACGGGTACGGTCCAAACTTGAGCACAAGAATGCTTACCATGTTATCGAATCCGGGAGGAGTGAGCTCTGCCATCATGGTCTGGGAAAAAGCGTAGTAGGGTGCCTGGAAGAGTCCGAATACAACGTTATATGCCCTGTCGTTATCATGAGTGAGTGAATCATTCGTGGATCAGGAAAACGTACCAAAACTCCCAAACATTATGGAATCTGAAATTAAATTGGTAAACCAGTTGAATCAAACCATTGATACTCGTCTTACCCAATCTTCGTAGTCCATATTCCCAACATTCCCCATAGTGGAATGAGCATGGTCACGACGTTAGTCACAACAAACTACGGTGCTCATCAGAACACTCGGAACAAGCTGTTGGGGGTTCACGCTCACCATTTTCTTCGTGCTGATCTTCCAATACCTCTGGATATACCAGAAGCCAAGCGTACTCATCGTGGACGTGATAGCCTGAGCGAGACCCAGATAGGTATTTTCAAGGAAGCTGAACGAGAATTTATCGTTCTGGCATATTGACACCAGTGTCCCCGTGGTGTTGAGTCCCTGCGTACGCCAGTGATGTGAATTTGTGGCCCACATACGGGCTGATGATACGGGCTCACGTCGGCTAACAGGAAGAACGCAAACAAGTAAACGAACGTGAATGGTAGCCGCTTGTATTCTTGGAGGGCCTTCCAGATCTAGTCAGAAATTTGTTGTTTCAGGGTGGGTCACGAGTAGATAATTTGATCATGGTCGTACTTGTTTCCACCCAATGGTGAGATAATGCTCTCCCCGCGGGACGGGTGGTCCTGGCCGGGGTTGCTGGAAAATGACTACAAACCGTAAATTGTCAGCCCGAACCGTCTCAGACAGGCGCCACACTTACACCACCATATACCAACTAGCACCCAGTAGCCATTCGTTCTAAGAACTCGTGAGCCGGAGAAATCCAGCAGGCGTGGATCAACGCTACGCACAATACGAGGGTGTAGTTGTTGACAAGCGGGTGGCCCTTGAGGGGGAGCAACACCGATAAATTGAGGCATAGAGTGACGATGTAGCCGATGTTACTATGCGTCTGAAACCTTGCATGGTAGGACCAGAAAATAACGAACACTGCAAAGAACACTAACCGTGCTAATATTGCTAATACGATTCTTCTCCATGCTTTCTTCAACTTCATAAGTTTCACGATCGATCTCGCCTGCATCATATTTCTCTCTGAGAATACGTGCATGGGGTGTATTGCGAGCCAGCCGAGGGAACGCAGCTGCATAGAATACCAACGTCGCGCCGTACGTTATAAAACCTATCATGTATAAAGCCATAGCAACAGGCCATCTGCTGGGAGCTTGCCACAGTTTGTGACGTCGTACGAAGACCGGGATTAGAGAGAAACCTACTAGTCAGGCTCATACTAGCGAACTGGGCGGCCCAGCAGATGCAGGTGATGACCAGGAGCAACCACCGCCCAAAGGTACCGTAGTCGGCAGCGGACCCGATGGTCGTGAAAATAAGAGTCATGACCTAGAAAATCAGATGGGATATTGGTAGTTGTTGCTCGTGGAAGGGGGGGTAGACTCACCGCGAATGAGACGCCATTGGCAACTAGGACGACGCTGGAAACGGCCTTGGTGCCGCCAGCCCAAGGGAGTACACACTGGCCTGAAGCACCTTCAGCGTCGCATGCAAAACCAGGTCCTCTGACTGGATCAAAGCCTGCTGCGAAGGCTAACGACTGAAAAAGCGTCATGGAGAATCCATTTGGACCGACTCCCTACAAACAGCATATCATGGTCAAGCCAAAGCTCATCCCCATGGGTGAATTGAAAAGAGTCATACATTGTCGCCATTGTAATATACTGGTTTCGCGCGTTAGCTACCGGTACTAGTTCATATATTAGAGGTGCAGGCAACGTACAATAATAGCTCCAAAGTTCCCTTCTGGTCACTACAGGCTCATTCTTGCTGATCGACGAGACAAAGGCTATCCCTTTGCGTCGTCTAATGCCCGGGCTTGCTACCACCGCTGTTTCTTCAAGACTTCCCTTCCCTTCGAGAGAAGACGCGACGTCAACTTGATCGGCAGATGTCTTGTCTTCTTGTGTCTTCGGCTGGTGGACTACGTCTACTGTAGGAACCTCGGGGGCCATATTGCGAGACATATCTCGAGGATGGCGACCAAGTTCAGAGATAAGGAGCTGATATCAACATTTTCGAGAGCCTGGCACTAAGTATCGCAGCGGCTACGGGCTTCTTTACTTCTTCGTGTGATCATTTCGCATCGTGGCTGGTAGGTTGGGGATAGATAATGGATCATGGGGCTCCTTGAGCACACGCAAGTCTAGACGCAAAAATAGGATGTCTAGGAACTCGAAGCCGTGGTCCCAGACGGTCTTGTTGGCCTTTTCCCTGCGTCTTGTTACGTTATAAGGATCTTCGAATCGTTGTCGCCGCGAGTAGATATCGACGCTGTATACTTGCGTTAGGTACCAACAAGAAGGGTTGGCGTCAAAAGTGGCGAAGACTGTCAGTGGTGAGTTCTCCAACTTAAGCTGAGAGGATGGAGACAATGTTCAGTAAGATACAGGTAACAAAACAATAACTAAACAGGTGCTACGATACGTTCACGTAGGAAATTGGACAAGATACCTGTCATGTCTACGTGCCCTTTCCCTAAGACAGTATCACTTTTTGCAATCATGGGTTGCGTTTTTGTGAGGAGCGACTGCAAATCAGCAGCCATCTCACCCGTCATCCCTCTCCGTAACCGACCAGCCAAGCTAGCAGAAGGCCTGGGTGGCCGACGCTCGTCCATCATCTGCTCCTCCCCATCAGTATCTCCAGCACCACCATCAAACTCAGGTTTGCATAGCCACATCGCCAATTGTGTGATAGCATATGTCAGAATCCCCTCTAGATTGTATCGCGCCGTTTCGACTCCCTGGCGAACGTTCAATGAGTCTGATCCGGATGGTTTCTGCGTCAAGCTTTCCCCAGCAGGTCGACCAGTGAGCTCTCGGAGGATATCAAGCGTAGAGTTTCCCAATTCGAGAAGAGTGCCTAACGATGCAGGTTCGCCGAGAACGATCTTCGAGTGCTAGAGTACAACAGCAATGTTCAGTTTAAAGCCTAGAGTATCCGAGTGAAGTGACGCACCGGAACAAGCCACGCCTCTTGGACTGGCCAATCTTCTTGGTCTTGCAGCAATACTGTGTCAGCTCGGCTGATGCTAATCAATGTGGAGAGAAGGTTGCTGGAGAGACGGAAGAAGCGATGGATGAGTTGGGCGATGAGCGGCCGTTTCAAGGGATCCGATATAGCTGACTCTTTATCTAGCTGGATGCGCTCCTCAGACGTAGTGGGCTCGATGAGGCTGGCGAGGTGGTTCGGATGCGTTACAGCGTAGTTCAATTGCTGAAGAAGAAGAAGGGCGCGCTCGGTGAAGGTTCGCAGCACCTTCTCAACAGCTGGGTGGATATTGGAAGGTGAAGGAGCGTTGGAGGCCAGAGTGGAGAAGACGTGGACTGTTTGTTCCATCTCTTCCAATAACGCGAAACTCAGCGAATCACCGATCGTCCAGGACAACGTTCTCGATATTTGACCGTCGTATAGTTGAAGGAGGCCGCTTGCCTCCGCATCGAAGTAGTGGCTCTGGCGCCCAAGAGCTGTCAGAATACCCGCCACAATGGAAAGCATCGTGCAATAGATGCGATGCGCCGGGCTACGCTCGCCAGGTACTTCGGGGATGGTGGTGTCAATCAGCCCAGAACTTGCAGCCGCACCAATGGGATTATTGCTGTACGCCGCCAAAATGCCCCCGCTGGCTAGGCGTTGTGCAGCAGATGGTATGCTTGCTAGCGCCATGTGGAAAGTGAGGATATGTGGTGTATAGAGCGGGTTCTTTCGAGATAGCAGCAGTGGTAAATCGGCAAGGCCTACAAGATCAATACGGGTGAAAAGATTGAGACTAGCTTGTAGAACGTCCCGTTCCTGAAAGCGAGCCAGCCATGATGTGGACGAAGCGTTGATGTCCTGCCGCGTGCATTGTTCAAAGACGGCCACTAGAAGCTCCATGTCACGGTCTAATTCAATGTCGTTCCTTGAACTAGCCGAGTCAAATACAATACTCAAGGCATCAACTACCATTGTCAATGTCGATTCGATCATCGCAGAGATATCCAAGCGCTGTTCTGCCGTTGTCGCTTTGGGCCGGGGTAGAATACTTCTTGCTTGTCGAGCGCAGAAATAAACGAGTTGTAGAAGCGACTGGTGGAAAGGTACAGTCAAGGAACCCATGAACGATCTCGATGGCGATTGTGCTTCATTGAGCGATATACCGTGGACGTTGCGAATGACATCTATGAACGCTTTGACTTCGTTTGGTTTCTCCGAAGACGAAAACCAAACGAGTTCGAGCATGCTGAGGAGTAGCGACAATCTGGTACCGTGTATGATGGCCATCATGTCACCGGACCGTTGCTCTTGAGAGATACTGTAGGACACGTTCGCGGCAATGCTTAACATTGTCGGTCTGATAGAGTCATCTCCTCTTAGGTAGGGGCTGGCTCGACGAAGGAGGGACTGCCAAGCCTCTGCGAGGAACGACTGAGAGTGGCTTAAAGATAAATTCAGGTTGATGGAACAAAGCTGCCTTTGAGCCAGATCCATGTTCTCCATGTAGTCTTCATTTGTGGGTAGCGGGGCGAAAGCGTGCAATCGAGTCTGAAGAAGGGACAATGAGAAGGTGAAATCATCCCCAAACGTCCGGGCTTGGATTGGTTCAGGACGCTCGAGCAGCTCGATGGAGGTCCCAGGGAACTGGGAATCCAACAGCTCCGTAAGGTGGTCGTGCAAGCTGGGCTCGTATGAATTCGAAGCCGCTTCAGAGAGCAAGTCCGTCATCTGATCTTCCTGTTTTAGGTGACCCTCTAATTGCGTGTAGCTAGTAGGCTTGGACGGGACAGCGTCGCGGGGGTGCGACTGGAAGTGGATGTTAAGGTCGAGGGTGAGAATGTGAATCGCATAAGCCTTTGCCATGGTGCGATACGCATGACAGGCTACGGCATCGTCTAAATTGGAACGATTGGTGCCTTCTACAGAGATAAAGCACTCCACCTGATAGTCGGGTGCTGGCGTTGACTCTTCGCAAGCAAGGGCTACAACCTGCTCCCAGAAAGCTTTATTCTCGCGAATATCCTCGATAATCACCTTGTGCTCCAGCCCATGCTGCCAGACAGCGTACAGGAAGCGCACGACAGACGAAAGAAGCTGGGGATTCATCTCCCACATCGCCTTCCAATTGACAAGCACATCCCGCGCTACCTCCAGTGCACTCGTTGTTTTCGGATTTTCTGCGCTATCCTCCACGAGCTTCACTTTGCCTTTCCCCTTGAACTCCGGCGGCGTGCGGAATCGGCCTGTGGCAAAGAGACTCGCAAGCGCCGGTTCTTTGTCCACGGCAAGGGCAATGAAGCTCCAGACAGCATTGCGCAAATTCAAATCGTCGTATGGATGTTGAATGATTCTCACAAGTGACGCGACTGTTGCTTCGGGATTCGAAAGGTGACCGATAATCGTAGGTGGTGATGGTTGAGACACGGATAGGGTAGTGCATAGGTGGTATAGAACCCACATAGCCTCCCGCGGGACTTCCTCGCCAAGATCACGATGCCTCACATACGATGCAAGAACATCGATCGGATCCAGCTTGAAACGACTTCCCTCCATAGGAATCGCTATCCCGCTGATACGAGAACACAGGGCTTGTTCCAGCAGACAAGAGGAGGTAGCCATGGACGACTTTTGCTTGCACAATAGGATCTGACTCATGAGATGCAAGTGCGACGATAACAAAAAGATTAGGCGTCTGGCTTCGCTGATACGCCTGGTGTCGTAAAGCTTGGAGACGATCTGCCCGCCAGAGCATACAGCAGAGACGAGGGGGTTGATTGCTGCTGTCGTGGCCTTGAGCAACAAGACATCGGCGATTGCTTGGCTGAGAGTAGGGAACGGGCGCTTCTCGAGCGAAGGAGGGGCATTCGTGAGGATGTTGCTATATAGCGAACTTATTCGCCGGCCGATTTCGAATCTATCTCCCAGTTGGGCATACTTCCAACCTAGATGCTCGACCCAAACTTCGGTGTGCACAAATCGTACCGCGCGCAAAAGGACTTCCTCCTTCACTTGCATTAGCCGAGGGTTATCTGGAACAATGGAGGTAGCTGCTTCCGAGAACAGTTGCTGTACCAAGTGCAAGAGCGCCAGTGTCATCGTATAATGCCCCGTTACTCGCTCAGCGGCCAAGGCAACCGAAGCGAATCCGTGGTTGCGCTCAGAGCCAAACATTGCTGTCGTGGAACGGATATACAACCAAACGCGCTTGGAATGTGCGGGAAGGACGAGGAGAGCGGACAAGACACTCATGGCGGACGTGATGAGACGTGCGTGTGAGGCGTCGCGGGCAGCAGAGTGTGTACGAGAGAGGGCCTCTTCAAGGATCATTGTCGTTAGCTGCACAACATTGGGCGGTGTGGTCTCGTCCAAGTCGGCGGAAACAACACCGTTTTCGCTTTCCATTGCTTGCACCAACTGCTCTGCCTGTACCGGGTTGTCTTGTATCAGGCTGCGTATGAGGTCGAAGCAATCCGTGATGAGTTCATCGTCGCCCTCTGGAGGAATTTCCACCCCGACGTCCTCTAATAGTAGTGTTGTGACTTGGTTAGAGCTTTTCTTCGCATAGGACACGTCGTGATATCCTCCACCAAACCCAGTATATTTCCGCCGACGATTGACATAATCTGTCAGTACCTCCAGCACCAATTTCCAGCCCGAATGTTCGTGTTGCCAACTAACAACTATGAAGTCCCCGTTGTCACCACTGAGGAGCCGTCCAGGGGTTCGGGCGGGTAAGATCGACCCTCCTGGGAGGTGTATGGGATGTAAATTGAGGTACGTCAGGCCGCCCGTGCTAGATGAGCTGTATCGCTCTTGTTGTCTTTCGTATTGTGCGTGGGCACCCGTGCAAGCGCTGAGCGGAATCACCTGGGAAAATGTCGGCAGCTTGTCCATGTAGTAGAAGACATGTCTATCGCATGTATCCCGATCTGTGGTGAGCCCCATCCCTTCATTAGAGTGATCCGCCGTAGACAGCTCGTCAGTGTCCAGGAACCCAGACCCAGTCATGGATCGCAGCAGCCTGATCAAGGGTTTGAGTTGTATGGGAAATCTTGAGCGCGCTACGTCGAAGATTGCTCGTCGTGCGATTCCGCGAGGCCAGTCTGCTTGCCAGAACTGCATGCAGATGCCGGAGATAGATTCACTCTCACTTCGACCAAACAACGCTATCCAGACCTGAACCAATCCATCAAAATCGGGAATGAGTTCCACCGGAACAAGCTCAACAAGAGCCATGAGCAATCCTGTTGGATGTATTGAGTTTCTTCGTTAGCGTAGAGGAGAGCACACACACCTTTTAGGACTGACCGGAAGGCTAGCCCATTTGGATCTGTCACGGTTGACCCGGTCTTGTAGGAGATGGCCGTCACGAAGAGAGGGGAGCAAGTGAGCAACGAGTGGATGAGACTGAACAACCCTACACCCGGGTCTAAGCACGTTTGTACCATCAGCTGGTCTATAGGTTCCCTGTCCTTGGAATAGGAGCGACCAAGCTGGCTATCCAGCGACTCGAAGAAGCTGTGGAAGTTTGGCGGCATCTCCTTCAACCCTGAGGCCGCCGCCCGTAGTCGCGAGAGGACGAATGCCCAGCCCAAGTAGGCGCACGCGTACTGACTGTGGGCATTCGATATGACTAGCTCGTGGATTCGTTTCAACGAATCCGGGTCGGCGATATAAAGGTCTTTGTTGGCAGGTTCGTTTGAGATCTGCACGGCCTCTGGCTCCGATAGCGTCTCTAGTTCCAGCACCTCTACGGTAATCAGCATCCATAGGGCTGCGCAGTCTTGCTGCAACTGTAATCCCTCTTCATCAAGCAGCAGCGTCGAGTTCTGTTGGACGGCACCTAGGTTGGTCGAATATGCCGCCTCATAAATCTCCACCACCAGCGGTCCACTACAAGCGACATACCCCCACATCGTCGCGAAAAGCACCTCTAGCAAGATGAGCTGTTCCTTGAGATTCTGTTTCGCCCATTTAGACGCCGTCCGCGGATCGTCACTGCTCGTCCCCTCCTTCGTTTTGCGCACGTACTCTGCGATCAACGAGCTGACAAACTGGCGGGGATCCGAGATGATTTTCTGCAGGATTTCATTCTCGTCCCCTCGGAGTAGAGGAATGAGGACTCGGAGGATGTGCAGCCGCTGCTCAAAGTAGAATGGTGTGATTGCTTCCAGCAGCTCTTCGGTCATGGTCGCATCGCCAAGGCCCTCATTGAATAGAAACGACCTGAAGAGGATCAGGGCTTGTATTTCATCGATTTGGAACTTTGAACTGATGGCGAAGACAAAGTCTTTGTCTGCATCCTCTACGCGAACCACAACTTTGTCTGGAAGTTCGACCGAGCCGCTTTCAATTTTCTTGCGAGATGCGTCGGACGGCTTGCCAAATGGTTCTGATATTGACTTGAGCTGGGATATTCGTGGAGTTAGGAAGTCGTTAATTTGATCTGGGGAGGTTCCTTCATTGCGACCGCAGAGAATGGTGTGAAGTTGCTGATAGGACCTGCAACGGGGTTAGCAAGAATCATGAGAAAGCAGCGTAGCGTACACATCTATCAGGTCCGAGCGTTTCGAAGATTCAGCGGCCATCGTTGAACTATGATTCCTCACGGCGGGAGGAGGACTGTGAGGAGACGAACACTGGACGCGCTACTGAAGCCCCTGACGCGCGCGGTCACATGAGATAGGAGATATAGGCGCCCGCAGGGGCTGGGCCTCGGGCGAGCAGGTTACTTCCAGTAACAAGGTACAACTGACGTTGAGCTGGCAAATCCTGGGCGCGGTACCTTCAGAAATGTCTGGTTCAGTGTTATCGCAAGGAATATGAGTTGCGAATTGAAGCGAATCCAGCGCTCGTGTAACTTTCGACTGTGACGGCCCGGGATTCAATCTCATCATCGGATTTGTTTGAAAGCTTATTTCAATGGGCAAATTCCTCCAAATTCTCATGCTCCGAAGGCCGCGCAACATAGGACCAGCCCGTCCAATCCCGTACATTGTACAACAAGGGCGATAATTACTATGAGTGGTAGATAGCACAACAACATAATAAGTAAGAAAATAAATACAGTATATCGAATCACAGCTTGCCGTCAGCGTAGCATTCATACATATAAATCGTAAGTGGTATGTCGTCGGATGCGCAGAGTGGGAATGAATGTACCCTGGAACGCCGGGGAAGGGTAGGACGATAAAGAGTAGAGGTCGACAGCTTCCGCGAGATTTCAAGGCGCTGTTTCAGGGATAGGCACAGGATCGTAGAAACTATCCTGGTCGCCTTCTGGCTCTCCTTCGGCATCCTCATCACCAGCGTCGTCTCCTCCGTCTACGCCCTTGTCTGCGTCCACCCAATGCCCATCGGTCGGAGGCTCTATAGCGAGGGTCTCTTGAGCTCGTGATGGCTCGGTGTCGACAGCAACAGTGAGATGCGGCGACGAGTCTTCCAATTGGGTCACAAGACTGGCTTCGAAGCCTACAGGGAAGTGTGAAGGTCGGGGGGATTTGGATCCGTCAGCTCCTGGCTGAATCGGAATTTCGTTGGCTTCTCGCGAAGGTGAATGATTCGAGACAGCATTATCTTCTTCCTCTCTGCTGTTTGTTTCGATTTCATTTGTTTCCGCGCCAGGAGTCGCGCCCATACCAAGAGCTGGGGACAAAGCGTTGCTACCACCCTCCGTGATGGACGCGTCCGCGTTAATCGAGGGCCCGACATGCGAATCGACTCCTTCAATCTCAACTTTCACAATTTCGTCGGCGCTGGAAGGGGTGCCTGCCTGAGTGGGACTAATAACGACTATCTGGCCCTCCGTGACAGATTCTGTCTCCTCCCGTAGCGAAGTGGAAGCTACATTTCCCGAATCGACGTCAACTTGTGCTACGACCTCGACATCGGTAGGCACCGAAGGATGAGTGGAAGCTGAAAGGAGGCCCACGTGGTTGGGCGGTGAAATCATACGTGCCTCGGGTATAGGAGCTGCTTTAGATGGGGATAGATCGCGCGATACAACGTTGCTCGTTCGTGCCCGCCTGGATCCCCTCCCAGTTCTACCGCTAGTACTCTCGGACATTTCGCCACTGGGGAGACTCCGCCTTGCCCTTCCCCTGGGTTTCTTCATGGCTTCCCTCTCCTGCCGATCTCGCTCTTTGGCCGTCAACGCTCGGATCCTTTGTGCTCGTACCGGCCGAGCATTCGATCCTTCAATGTCATCATCATCTACATCGTCCCTTTGCACCCAACTTTCAGACGGACGGCTGGATTCTTCATCGACAACACTTTCTAAACCAGTAGCTCGCGACGACGACGAGGGGCTGGTTGAAGACCGCCTCTGTGTCATAACCTCCGATGCCGCCGCGCTTGCTTGATCCGCCAGCACGTCCAGCGCACTGCGCACACGCTCTATAGGCCTAGTGCTACCCCCACTGTCCCCTGGATCGGCTCCATCATCCCTCACAGCTGCATTTTGTGGGGAAGCGATCAACCGTGCACCATTCGTGCTGGCGTTGCTGACTGAGGTGGAATGCAGGCTGTCATCATCGGCCTCGGTGTCTTTCTGTTGAGGCGACCGACTGTGTCCTTTGACGTTGCGCGATTGGCCGGAGACCCTCCTTCGCTTCGTAGGCCGTTCCCCTTGCGCCTGCTCTGCTTGCCTCTTCTTCATATCAGCCCTCTTCGAACGTCTAGCTCCTGTCGTCGCCACGCGTTGGACTTTCTCGGTTTTTGGTGGAACCTGCTCATCTTTGGCCAACGCCGTAGTCGCGTCGTTACGCCTCCTCGATGTACTAGGCTTGGTGCTCGCACCCTTGTCATCAACCTTCCTCTGCCCTCTACCAGCTCTCTGGGGCCGTGTATTGTTAGAAACCTCCTCGCGACCCTTATCTCCAGCAGCAGGGTCATCTCCAGGAGCAGTATCCATCATCCGTGCAGCGCTTAACAAGGAAGCAAGCGGGGTGTCTGCGCTGTCTTTCTGATTACCTACATCCTCACTTGCTCGCTTCGGGGTCGCCGAGCCCTCTTTCTCATTCACCATGGAGGCTTCTTTACCAGCGGTACTATTCTGATGATTCTCGGTTGTTGCTGGTTCACCGACTGTACCTCGGGTTCTAGCGCTGGTAGGACTTGCTGGCACACCGAGACCCATGCCGTACCCGCCTCTCCCTAGACCATAAACACTAGGTGCATAGAATCCGTATCCATACCACGGGCCGTACGGAGACGCCCCATTGGGTGTCATCGAGGCCGAGAACGCTGCTGGTGTGAATGCATGAGGCGAGCCAGAAGCCAGAAGCACGGATTGTCGCCTCCCTTTCGCTTTCGGTGTCTGCGGGAGTGCACCTGGCGAAGCGTAGACAGTGCGCGAGGTCGAGTCATGAGGCAGTGCAGCTGAAGCTAACTCCCGGTCCATTGCCATCTCTGAGAGTGCATTCGTGCGTATTCGACCGAGTCGCCGAGCGGCAAGTAGTATATGTTCGGAACGAGCATCGGAGAATAATGTGCTCGGGTGCTTGGGATGTTTGGAAGCGCTTTTCCTCACGGATACAGGGCGAACGGGCGAAGTTTGAACGTCGCCGTCCTCTGGGACAGATGGTGGTACTTCTCGTTCCTTTCCCTTCCCCTTCGGCACCAACGATATGTTTGGAGCGAGAGGCGAACGAAGGAGCCCTGTAGTGAGATACGCAGACGTTCCGTAAATGGTTGTCGGTACCGAGACCGAAGATTGTGGTTCAGGCTCGGGTTTCGACTGTTGCATGAGAAGCAGCGGCCGTAGCTTTGCTAGCTCTGCTTCTAGAGATGTCAGACGCAGCTGAGTGGCTGCAAGCTAGACGATCAGAGTTGTAGTGTCGATGTACGTCAGCATTTCCACGACACACCTTCTCCCGCAAGCTCTTATTGTCCGACTCGTAAGCTGCGCATTGCCGTTCGACGTCGCTGACATCTCGTTTTACGCCTTTGATACGCCCGTTTCCGGAATTCGCAGTGACCAGTGCCTCCGCTGTCCTAAGCCACTCTTCTCGCTCACTCTCCAACTTGGCCATGTTGTATTCCGCTTCCTCGATGAGCTTGTCGCGCTGGGCTACAAGCGCAGATATAGTCTCCGCCTGGTTTATAAGTTGTGTGGGCTCCACTGGTACGCGGCCGTCCTTCAATGTTGATGTCGATGCCATGGGCGAAGTGAGTTGAAGCACCTGGTCAGTGGTCATTTCGGAGGTGACATAGAGTTCAGATTGTGGGAGCAATGCGACGCACAATATCAGCTAGCTCCCGTTCCCTGTCATTCAGTCCCTGAGGCTCGGCCTCCATCTCCTGTACGCGGCGACGCATTCGAACCACAGTGTCCTCGTTGAAGTCAGATGGAGGCGGGGAGAAGTGCATTATATCAGAGAGGGCCAGAGAAGGTGCTTCTAGTGTATTCGAGCTAGTGTAAGTCGTTCCATGCGGCTCATGCGGCTCCTTGTCCATCGCGAGCGACAGCGAGGAGGTTCGGTAACGGCAACCATTTCAAACAGAAGTTCAAGTCCAAGATTACACGCGCATGATCACGTGCGCTGAAACTCTCTCGTAAGCCGATCAGGGGCTACCTTGGTTGCCACTGCTATAAAGATGACTTCCTTTAAGGTTTCGCACGGAGGCAAACTGCTGAAGCTCCTCCTCGACGCTCGTACCTCGCATGGATCTCCAAATTTTCAAAGCACTCTTCCTCGTCTACCTGCCGATATTCTATGGACTGGCAGGCATAGCATTGGTTTGGTTTTGGCTTCGCATGCCACAGTCAAACAAGCGCTACACCCACGGACCGCCTAGTTGGCCAATGATTGGGAATTTGCTACACTCATCAGCTCGACTCGACCCAGCTCGGAGCTCAGGATCCCGTCGCAATCCTCGCCCGATTGTCTCTCCTCCTCGTACTCATATCGCCAATTCCAGAATTTCTGCAATCTCCTGTCTACCCCTGAGGGACTTGGTGGGTGAGTTTTGCTCACCTTTCACTGATCGGACACTATCTGACTATTACTCATATGTTGTTCGATATTAAATACTGCTATACATCCGTAGGTCGTCATATGCTACTTATATTCGAGTCTGACTACATGAGACTAATATATTGTCAACTCGTCATTCAGCTCACAGCAACTGCTTGGCTCATTTCATCGACGCACAGACAGCCTCGCCCATACAACTGCAACACTCAGCTCGAGCTCTGGAACAAACTAGTGGATGCAGAGGCGAGAATGGTATCAAAGCCACCCTGCTAATCTTTTTCGCCGAGTTTGCATCGTTCATTGATGTGCTTCATTTCTAGCTAATCGACGACGAGATATCAGGGGGGGTGCATCGAGGGTCATTGACGGCTGGAAGCTGATGTGCCACACCCCAGCGACATTGTTCCAGGCAACCTACGAGATACAGATGCCCGCAAACCTAGGCATACCTGGACGTACACAAATCTCGCACCCTCTGGCCTCAGACTTCAGCACCATTGCCAGTGTCAGACAAGACAGAACATTCCTACAAAGTACATCGATATCATGTTTTAGCTCAAGCCTTGCAATTAACTTTATGCCTTTTCCATGCCGCCTTTTGGCAAGCAGCGCTACAATAGCTGACCTTCTTGCATCGAGCGCAACGAAGCAACTTCGGCTTTCCAGGTCCTCCACAGGCCGCGCATTGCGGCTCGTCGCCTGTATTCATCTCTCCTCCCAAGGGCGTCCCCAGTTCCTCCAAGAAAGCCACCGCAAAGAGCGGACTGATGGCCGCGCGCGTCACGTATGGCGCGACGCTCTTCCACTTGTGGCGCATAGCAAACGTCCCGACGTCCTTCCCGACCCCGCATGAGCAGATAGGCACTTCCGTCGCCTCGGTCGACAGTGGGATTTTGCCTGTCTGGGTGTACTCGCAATCTGGCCTGTGGTTCCATTTGCGACATCGTTCAGTGAAAGCGGGGAGGAGACGCTTCCAGGCGATCATCTCATCGCGGTGCGTGACGACGCTGACTGTGCCTGGAGACAGTGCATTCAGATCGTCGAAAATCTTGGACATCACTGCTCTTGTGAGCGGGAGGATGTATGCATCGACGACAACAGTACTGGACGCAAGATCGACACGGAGGTCCTCGACAAAGACAAGGGTGTAGATGCCGATGTCCGGGGGCATGTCGAGAGCAAACACCTTTGATTTGACTTGCTGGACGCCTGCCGCGATCAGCAGTATCGACGCAATGGAGTCTTTGACGTTGCAAATGGTATCTCGCTGCTCCTGAGGGACGGTATCCCGCATTGTTCGCTCACGTTGGGAAAATGCGCCGGCCATATGCACGCGTAGAAGACTGAGTCGCTCGGGGTTTTCGGTGTCCAGAATGGGGAGTGTGTCCAGGTCCAAGTAATGGATGTATCGCAAGAGGGGAGGGGCGTTCTTCACGAGCACAGGAGAAGGGTCGAAGAATCTGTGCAAGCGACGGTCGTCGTGGGCAACAGGCACATGCACCTCAACATAACTCGACTTGCGGGCAATCCTGAGCTTGACAGACCTCACGTCGACAGGAACATCGAAGTTGATGACATGCTCGATGCCCTGGATAATCACGGCAACCGTAGAATTACTCCGTTGTGCGGACTCGACCTCGGCACCGCTAGCGAGTGCCTGTTTCGCCTCGGGATCCACGATGTCCACCCTAGATTTGAGCAGCGCGATCCTCTCGCAACCAAAGTCCAGCTCGACGTCATTCGCATTCGACGCCGCATCGTGCACGAAGCTCTTCACGGGTGTCGGCAATTTCGAGAACAGAGTGCGTTCGGACCCGAACATCCCAGGGCGGTCGCGTACGATGTGTACATGCTGCGTATCCGTCAACTTCGTATCAAAGAGCGCGAGATGCATGCCGAGCCGCGGCATCAGCTTCAGCACCAAGAACGGCGAAGGGTGGATGGACAGCCCGACCTTGGTATTAGCGGGATCTTGGCGCAGAATCCATGCTGGCATCCAGACAGAAACGATCATGGGGGAGGTGCCGCGCAGTCCAGCAGGGTCTTCGTCAATCTCCACCATGTCGACTCCGGGCTCGGCCTGGTTATCCACAGCGCGACACGTCCCGAAGCAGAGCTGTATTGAGGAGAACATATTATGGGCGTACGGCAGGCGCACATCTGCGTGGAGGACAGGGGTGCCAACTTCCATGGGGTCGAGATCCGTGAGAATCCGAAGGCGTTGTCGAGGGACGACAATCACAACGCATACCATCCCAGGGATGTCCTTCCATCGCTGGAACCGGCCTCCACCACTATCTTTGGTTGACACGGCGGTTTGGTTGAGTTCGAGAGTACCGGGGGTATAGAGGCCCGTTAAATGAAGCCACCCGTACAGATCCTGGAATGAATTTGATCCTATAATCAAGCTCGTGTCGTCCTCGATGCGGCCTGTCAGCAAAGACAACATGAAGTCCCACTCTGTCGATACACGGTCTCGTATAGACCGCAGGAGGATGGCAAAGCTGCGTCGAGTGTAGTGTTTGAGTGCCAATCCAGCGAACTTTTGTGCGGACGGATTCGACTGGATCCCTCGAAGCTGCGATACATTTTCCGATGAAAACATCTTTAAGTAGACGCCATGCAGGAACCCAGCGAGCTGAGAGGCGTTGAAGACCGGCTTCGTCGCAGTGCCATCCTGAACAGAGGTGAATCTCCAAATGAACGTTTCTCGAGATTGGTGCGTAGCCGATGACGCGCTGCTGAAGAGGCTCTCGTTGACCTTGGATACCGACGAGAACCCAGAAGAGTAGGCCGTGGGTGCCACACCGAGGAGAAGCGACATGACCGCAACGTCGCCGCAGAGATGATGTTCTAGAGCTCTCTGCGAACTCTCGCCGGCAGGGAGAAGAGTGTCGGTGATGAGCACAGACGATGGAGACTCTTCGAGGAGGGGTATCGCTGCTGGTAGAAGGTTGAGAAGGCCTGTGTGATCGGCCAGGTTGGATGATTCGAGGACATTGAAGCGTGTTGGTGCTGGTCCAGCGTCACCGTAATCATCTTTATTCAGTGTGATGGTCTGGCTTGTCGAAGAATGTATGAATGGGGCGGTGCGACGATCGATACCCTCGTTCTTGGCTTGGAGTGCGTAGCAGAATGCGAGGGCGTCGCCTACAAAGTACCGAACAGTGACTCTGGGGGTTCTGACCGCGCGCTTGAATGAAGCACACCACCCCCGGAGTTCGTCCAGCGCGCACGTATCCAGGTCGCTCACTTTCAGATCGTCTTTGAGAACACTCTTTCCCCCTTCTACCGGCGCCAACACGGGAGCGAGGTGGAAATCGAGGATGGGGTCGGAGCCGTAGTGAACAAGAAAGCGCTCGCCGCCTACCGACGTGAATCCGAATGTCGGGTTCACATACGTGGCCTTTTCGGAAGACGTGCTGATCGACGTAACGCCGGTGTCCCAGTAGTTCCTGAAGTGCTTGTTTCCCACCAGCATCATGTCTACGAACCAAGGCCCCGACGTCCGGATGGAGGTGTCGACCTCGTCGTACTGTCTTTCTTGCTTCATCTCCTTCGCGAAACGAGCGCGTGCCGACAGCTGCTCACTTGCGGGGCGTGTGCCCATCTCCACATACTTGGTCCAGCAGCGGTTGAGCTCAGAACACGTGTGAGCAGAACATAACTTGATGAAGCTGGCGTAGGGAGAAGATGACCAAGTGGCGAGGTCACTGGAGGCTTCGGCCAGCTTTTGGGACTGTGAAACGACGAGGTCGAGAGTAATCTTGTCCAGATACAAATGGTAAAAGAGAGCCCATATTTGGGGCAAGGTATTATCCGAACTGAGATCCAGCTCGGTGATCAGAGTCAACAGCAGAACATTCCGTGCTGCGATAACTGTTAGCGAACTGTGATACTATGAAAATCATATCAAAGCGCGTACCTATGACTGCAGGCTCTATGTCGCAGCAGGTTACATCGAGCCGACGATCACCTTTCCATCTACTAATGAGAGAATGATTTCGAAGAAGCAACGACGTTTCCTTACCGGGATCCCCCCTGGTATATACAGAATGCAGGATGTTCCTTGGATCACCACATCCTAGAATCAATACGCGGCCATCATCTTCTGGCGGAATGGAATCCAGGAGATCCACAGCAGGGGTATTGCCCGTGGCATAGAAGTATGCCTTTGTTGGAAGATAAGTGGGGTGTGAGGACATGGTAAACAGGAGTTGAAGAGGAGGCTACCACCGTTATAAGTCGTGGCGGAAGACGAAGAAGCCTTTATGTAAAAAGCTTTATGTTGGTGATTGCACAAGCGAACTCTAATTTTCGATACCTGTGGAGGCCATATATCGTCAGCCAAAGCCACTGTATACACATTCCTGGAGTTTTCCTGGTCGCCGCGACTGGTGAAACGTTTTCGAAACTGGAACTGAAGTCGGATAGTCACTGGCAATAGTTACCTTTTGGGGGTGTTAGGGACCTAGGGTCTTTAAAGCTTTACGGTTCAAGTTCATTCAGATAATTTGCTTCCAGTTCTTTAATGACGCCGACATTCTCCGCGAGACGTTTCCCTTGTACTCTTTTTCTTTTACTTGTTATGCTGCTGATCCGCGCTTCAGGATCTTTCAAGTTCCGCCTTGCTAGGCTCGTAAACCAGCCTCTATAGAGTATGTCAATCGATACTCTAGACCGCCTTGCAGCCTCTTGAGCGCACTGAGGGGCATACTTCCTTCCCAGGCATTTCCTGTGCCAGTAACAATGGCCGCGATTCGAAACGTCGCTCAGACTTGGTAGATGCGTTTATTGTACGCCTGCTTCGTGATTCTTGTTGAGCCCCGTTTCAGGTCGTATCAGGGACTTCACACCAGTCCCTGTGGGCCGTGGATGAGGATACCTCTCCAGATCAAATTGAAGACTTCCTTACTCCACCAAATTAATAGCCCAGCGCAAGTCGATATCAGACCCATTTGGCAAGCATCTAGCAAGAAAATCGAAATTGGTCAAACTCCTAGACAAAGATGTGGTTCGCGTAGATGAGACAGCGACTTTGCCTTTCCTTTTGTTTTGGACATGCACCAAGACATTGGCATTTACGCTCTTATTTTTGTCGAGGACTTCCGTGTCGATCTTGCATCTAGGTAACGATACCAGTGGCCTAGAAATGGGATAAAGTCAATTGCAAGGCTTAATCGATGATGCCTTTCAAATTTCTGTACGTACCTAGATGTAATCTGTACGAATTGCGATGTTGTGCTCGACCGTTGCAACATTGACTCTGAGCGACGCGAGCCGACTTGGAGCCCACCATCCGACGCGTCGACTCGATATTGGCCACGTGATGGCATCTCGATCCTTTCACATTTCACTTTCCTTCCACTGAAATGGTACAATACAATGCATTGATTGCTTCGATAACCTTTCTTTCAGAGAACCACCATGACCACTCACGCGCTGCGCTTTCCCCCCTTTCCTCCAGTACCCCCAGGGACAGTGATCACTCCGTTCGCGCAATTTCGCGAATGCGGGATCCAGATCGAGTTTGGTGCTGGGGATGGAGATATCGAGCTTGACGGAAGGGGGATTCCCACCATAGAGCTTCGCACAAAGCATGATACAGATGAAAGCAAGAGCGAAGCTCGTAAGAGAAAGAAAAGTCGGCAGCGACAGAAAGATCGAGAGGAAGAGGAACAAAGGGCCCGTCAACGAGTAACGAACAACAGTGGCCCCAAGACCCCTGCGACGTTGGGGAAGCCTCTGATCAAAGAATGGTGGCAAGATTGGGAAGAAGGCGAGAATCTACGGCGTTCTACGGTTGCTCTGTATGACATGTGCTTATTCGTTGGGCACGATATACTGACTCGTCCCGAGTTCGTCTACACCATTAGATCGTATTTCCGAAGTTGTACATGACTTCTGGAAGCATAGGAGGTGGCCTCCGCATTCTCTTGGAGTCTTTCATTCTTGGGATAAGGTGGACCTCTCCCATCTGCCTTCAGATGATTGCCAAAGGGCTAACTTGCTTGTAGTTCAGGTATTACATTGGGATACTTGACAATCCAGATCAGCAGGTACCTGGCCTCAAATCGAAGCACAAGTCTGGTGAAGCAGACGAAGACGAAGATATCATATCCGATGAGGAATTTGATGAGGGCCCTACCGTTGACAATGTGCACGGCGCCGAGCGCGCTCGTCCTGAACGATCCGATGCCGATGTGCTTAAACCGCCTCTGCATAAAGGCCCATCCGCTGAGGAGAAACTCGCTGCCTTCTTAGCGGACCCCGTTGGATCCACTAAAGTCTTTCTTTCGTCTTATATGCGAGTCCGAGGGATCATGTGGTGGGCACTCCCGTTGTCCTCTGAGATGTCACATTGACGTAGACAGGGCCGAGCGCAATTTGGTGTACGTACCCCGGCTGCTCATGTTTTTCTTCGAGTACGTCTTGAGATCGGCGGTATTTGACACAAGCCGCAACCCCTTCCAAGCCGACGGTTACCCTCAATCAGAGATCGACGAGATCCACCAAGATATGAAACGTATCCAGGAAGGAATGGTCGCTTCACTCGAGGTCGCAAAGCAAGCACTTGCTGAGCTTCCATTAACCGCGGTGTTGGCGCAATCAACGGATCCATGGGCCTTGAGTGACGCTGCTAAGGATCACTGGGGCACGAAGGCCAATGGTTATCAGCAAGTAGCCTACGTGCCCCCAATTGTTTACCCGGACACTAGCAAGGACGAACCAGCTGCAAATCCTGAAGCGGAAGACGGCGTGGTGGAAGTGGAGAGGCGTGTTGTGGAGGTAACAGGAATTGTTCAAGAGGACGATCACGGAGGCAGGAAGAAGAAGGGGAAGTATATCGGTGCGGAACCAACATCCAAGCGGGTCAAACTCGATGCGAGTGTTGAAGAAGACGACATCGAAGTAAGCGTGAAGCGGATTGCTTCGAAGGCAGAGCTGGGTAGTATGAACGTCGACGCCGTCGTCAATCCTCCCTGGATGAAGCCGATCGAGGGCGACATTGAAGTGGTTGAGGAAATGACACCCATCGTGGATGCTGTAAATGATGTTCCCGAGGGGTGGGGCAACTGGGGCGATGCGAGCGAAGGAGACTGGGGGTCCTCGACGGGTGTCTGGGGCCAGGAAGGCAACGGTCAGACCAGCACAGAAGATTGGGACCAGACTACATCCGCAGCTGATTGGCTGGCTACATCTGTGCCAAAGCTGACGGATGTCCTCGGTGGTCCCACGACCTTACCCGAAACCCATACACCGGGCGTTGTAGAATCGTCAATGCGCCGAATCAAAGCGGTGTTGAGGCCGGGAGAAGGAGTAGCCGAGAAGTACCTGGGAGGTGAGGTGAAGTTCGACTCGAAGGACCCCGAGGAGATGGAGGCAGAGCTGGGCCGCAGATTTTTGCGTGTCGTTCTGGAGCCGTGGTTGTACACCGACGTAAAGCAGGAAGTAGGAGACAGATCCCGCGGACGCGTCGAACGGCGCATTCCCGCTCCGCATGTCCAACGAATCCCTGGAATGGGATTGCCAATGTCCGGTGGGCACAGAATCACGAAGGTCCACAATATGCTTGGGGACGACATCACGATCCTCATCGAGGCGAAAGGATCCAAAGGGGCGGAGACGATCGAGTTGTTCGAGAAGGCTGTTGGCATGGGTTTGGGCGGGTACTTCATTGAGCTCGCTAGGATAGAGGACGACGACAAAGATGAGGATTCTGACATCGAGATGGAGGACTGGGATGAAAGGGTTAATGCCGGAGAAGGAAACGATTGGAGGCGTTACTGGTACATGGAGGAGTTGACGAGGGTTTACCCAAGTTACTGGTCGCCATTGGGTTTGAAGGCAAAGGGGGGTGAGAAATGAACACAAGTCGAGCGGCGATCCGTCCGACTATCTTCGTCACAATCTGTTCTTTCTTGACAATGGTCCTCGCCTTACATACACAATCGCCGCATCAAAGAAAACAAATGTACAACACTTACTGATCTCAGATAATTTTGGAAATGATTTAACGCTTTCGTTGACTGAAGTAAAGTAAGTACATTCGTTACACGGAAACCCCGGGTTCTATCTCGCCCAAAAGCATTGTTCCATCCTTGCTGCCAGTCAGGACTACGAAGCAACATTTAGAATAAGAAAAGAGATGATGAATGGAAACAACCCAACTGATTGGCTCCTTTGGATGGAAGTCTACGGCGGTAACGGTACCCTTGTGCCCCGGAAGCTAGGGAAACAAATGAGAATTGTGCGGTGAAAAGAAGACGAAATTGCCCACTTTGTACAGGATTTTGCCGCTCTCGACCTCCCATATGGTTACCATTCGATCAGCTCCGCCAACTGCTACTCGTTGCCCACCATCATCTTTACTCCAGGCTGCTTTGAGCAGCGTATTCTCGAATCCGGCAGGGGCCCCCGTGAGGACTCGGTGAATTCGCGAAGGAGATGGGGAGAATGGTCGAACGTCATGGATGATTGTTTGCGAAGACAGGGAAGGGGATAGCAAATAGAAGCCGTTAGGGGAAACGGACAGAGAAGTCGGGGTGTCCGTATGACCCATGAGACTATACACTTCCTGTCCCTTTCGTATATCATAGACATGGATTTCGTTGTCAAGCGCTCCGATGTAGAGATTTGCGCCGTCTGCACTCCAAGCCACAGCCGTTACTGGGCACCCGATCTCGAACGATGATATGGGGAGCTTTGTGACACCATCATCATCAGATTCCCATATTTTTACGGTGCCGTCGTCAGAGCCAGTGGCGAGTAGTTCAGTGCCCGAACCCGATGCCATGGTTCGGTCAAGCGTATTGATGATCTCCCTGTGGGCGCGAACCTTGCGAGTTCTTTGACCTGTGTTGACGTCAATCGAGCAGAGAGTGTGGTCGGCCGAAACGGTGTAGATAGTAGGCGAGAACAAGGACCACTGAAGGTCGAGAATGGGGGCCTTCGTCAAGCTGGAAATCAAACCGTAGTTTGTATTGGGGGGATAAGTCTTCCATAGGGCTTCCAAGAAGACCGAGTATTCAGTTCTAGCAGATTCCCCCTAGCTGTAAGGCCACTCACAGACACTTCGGTCCGCCGAACAAGCAGCAATATTCTGGCCCGTGGGGTCGAATCTACAACTCAAGATTTCACCCTGAATCCAGAATCAGACGGCGTGATACAAGGTCGGATATCAGACGTACTGAGTGCGCGCCAGCAAGACTTATTATGGGTGCCTCAAGACTACTCGTCCGCTTCACCGTCCGTATGAGCCCTTTTTGACGTTCATCATTAGATGAGGAAATAGCAAGTTGACTTGTGGGGGGAGTCGAGGACCTTGCCCTTTTAATGAGTACGCCCTCTGAGGGCGGCGACCGTTCTCGTTTCGACATTTGAGGGGACGACGGTTGTAGACAAAGTTCGGATATCAGAAAACACCTTGAAGTTTGGGAAGCGCGTCGCGTCGGGCGCTTCCAAATTGGCGCCCGCGGTCAGGGGCTCCACAACGTGCAGGCTGCATGTTGTCCTGAACCACAACCTTCTGCTGAACTGCTGTCCCCGGGAATGTCATAAAGGCTTTGTACGTTATCACCACATCACATACTCAATTGCCATGGTATTCGGCCTTTTCTCTCGCAAACCAACCCAAAATCTTGAACCACCTGTCGAAGAGCAGCAGCTTCGTACACCTTCTCCTTCGACCATTCAAAGGGATGCTTCCCCATTCCCCCTAGTTGAAGAGTCTGGCACAGTACTAGACCAAAGCGATCTGTACAATCTCATTCGTTCGGTTCCCGCGAAAACGTTGCACGATTACTCTCTATCGAGATTACAACCCTCGTCGCCTGCTCCAACTGCAGATGGATCTCTTCCCCCGCAGATACTGGCCGGTTTGACGGCATTCTTCTCGTCTCTTACGCCACCGCCCACTCTTCATTGCGTCCGCTGTCATAAATTCTATATGGATGTCGAGAACGACGACCGGGCGTGTCGTGTTTCCCATGATGACGATTCAGCTGAAGTAGATCGACACGAGACGCTGTGGGAGTGCTGCGGTAAGACAGTTGAAGGAGATGGGGATATGGGACCTCCGGATGGATGGTGCTATGAAGGGATGCACACGGTGGGTCTGACACACCCTGAGGTATAACAATGTCTCACTGCATCTCTTCTAGACGGATACCAAGCGTGCACGATTTCGCGCAGACTCTACCCTTTACGACGATAAGCTCGTGTCATGCTCTGTGCTTCGCTGTCATGAGCCTCCAAATTCGTCTCCTCGATCAACACGATCTACCAAGAGCCGCAGAGCACGAGTTACTTCTCCTTCAAAGCTATACCGTACTACGACGGCGTCTGCAAGCCCTGTCAGAAGCAACGTCACTGGGAAGCGACGACGCTCCCTCGAAGATGACGAAACTGCTGATCTACCGGCAATAATATCAAACGGTCACAAGGGCAAGGACAGAGCTTCGCGGCTTGATGAATCTGACGAAGAAGATCGTGGGCGAGCGCGCGCTCCTGTAAAGAAACGCCCCCGGAAGAGCATTTCTTCACCTTCACGCACGTCGGAGACCCTTGTCGCTGAACGCAGCGACTCGCGGCCCAGATTGCCGCGTCAAAGTACGGAAATACTGGCTACTGCACTCCAGAATGAAGCGTCGCGGGACGATGCTTCTGATATGGGGCCTGCAGGCCGCACGCGTTCTCGGTCACGCTCTCGAGTCCGTCCGAAGTCTACTTCTTCCTTCGCCACTTTTGCCGCGGCCATGATCAACAATAGTGCAAAGGCCTCAACACCCACACCCTCCTCGTCCAAAAGAAACACCTCCGTATCTCCCACACTAACGAAGCCCGCTCCTAAATCTGCCTCGAAGCCTCCGTCCAAGATAGCGTCGATGAATCCGGCTCCAAATACCACAGCACATGGGAGAGGAAGCAGTATATTCTCTGCTACATCTGAGCAAACCGACGTATCAGCCAGGGCGCGTACACCTGTATCTACTGCGTCTACCCCCAGTACTCCTAAGCACTCAACAGAGAGGCTCCCTCATCGTTGTGGCTCGAGAATGTCTGTCGTAGTGGAAATCCCGGTCTCGCGCTATTCATCTCGTTCACCTGCTGCCCCTCCGCCATCGAAAGCACCCAAGTCTGGAGCAAAGCCTAGGAATTGTACATCCGATGACATTGGCAACCCTCTGAAAGGTCCCGTTGGCAACAAGGGCACCCCACTTTTGAGCCAGCATCTGTCGCAGGTCGTGGCAAGCAGCGTTGATGGAGAAGATATGCTGTATAGTACCTGAGGACCAGATGCCGTTTTGCTACCAGGTGAATGTACCTGACACCCTCCTTTGTGCCTACACTGCACCCACACTCACTATATTTCACTGATTTAATCTGTACCTATGTACCCGCGAAGCAAGATTGCAAACCTATTTATCTCATGCATATACATATACGCTGTCAGCGTGGGGAGCGCCGCATGGAATTCAACGAAGCAAAACAGCACCCGTTGGCCGGATGCAATGTGCTAAATCTGTAGCTCGAGGTACATATGTACTCCAGATGGAACGAGACTGGAATCGTGCGAAACTTTAAGCCTGGTTTTGATCACACTCCATCTGGAACGACCTACTTCTCGGTTCAAACTGCTTATGCCGTGCGGCTTCCAGTTCTCCCGGACAGGGCCTAACTCCTGGAGGTGGATTTGGTGAAGTTTCCGATGGCACGTTAGCCAGAGATCAGTATACCATAACAAGCAGTGCTCCCCAGATCCACCCCCCAAATATAACTCATAGTTAACCACGGTTGTGTGCTTGCTGTTTTCTCCTGGAGCGATGAACTGGCATAGATCTTATGGTTGACCTCCGACCCTCCCTGCGAATTTTCGCACCGTTTGGGCCGTTCCCCGCTTGTTGGTGCCCCTGGTCTGCATACTTGAAGGTGATGCCCGTTAACCGAGCTGACCGACAGAAAAACAAAGGTGATCCTGATCCCTACACAACGCATCGATATCGATGCGAGCAAATCATTCAACTCCGAACCTGGACACGAGGCCGACATGGAATTGGGGTTAGCTGTTCTCTGTGGCAGTGACCATCTATTGAGCGTCCCCGTCACCTTTGCCGTCATCTTGTATTTATCCTAGGTCCACTTTGACATCAATACGCCGCCGCTGGACTATATCGCCTGTCGTGTGAAGGGCCCTTGTGAACAAAATTCCGTTCCAGGATGTTGCGACCGATCTATCGTCCCAGAAGCCGGTCAGAGGTTTTGCAGTTCAAATTCACGAGCCACCATATGCAAGTCTTCTATCTCAAGTACATCGACTCCCGACGGAGCTGTCATAGAGGGTTAGGCCTTCAGGATCTTATCTTCCTCACGCAGAGGGTATATAAACTATGTCGTCGCATACTAAGGTATCCGTACCCGGACGCGCCTCTGGATAACACCCGATGTTTATTTCCTTTGCTACGGTCGTTTTCTGCTTGATCATTGCTGGCTTATACTGGCGGCGCAAGCCTTCCTGTTTTCCTCTACCTCCAGGTCCAAAAGGATACCCTATTATCGGGAACCTGTTTGATGCCCCTACACAACATCATTGGGTCAAGTACTTGGAATGGTCGAAGAGATATAGCAAGGCCTCCGTAGTTTCAACAGCCAAGCTAGCATGACTTACGCACCTTGTAGATTCGGACGTCATTCACTTTCGTGTTTTTGGAACCTCGGTCATTGTGCTCAATTCTCTCAAAGCCGCACAGGATCTTGTTTTTGCACGTTCTTCGCTCTACTCAGATCGGTATATTCAGCACTCGTTGCCACGATTATCCCATTTACATTTTGTCTCGTCCTTAGGCCAACTAGCACCATGCTCAACGACCTGTATGGACGAGCAATAACCCTCACTTACACGCAATTGACGACCCATTTCTAGCCTAGGTTGGGGCTCTTTGTTCAGCTTCATGTCCTACGGCGACGCTTGGCGCATTCGTCGTCGGGCCTTTTGGCAAGAATTCAATGCCTACCGTACGCTGAATCATCGACCCAAGCAACTGGACACTTCTCGTGATCTCTTGCGGCGACTTCTGAAGGAACCTGAAGAGTTCCTGCATCATATTAAGTAGTACGTCAGTCCCATTCAACATTGTGACCAAACATAACTGTCTCCGGGATTAGCACGCTTGCTGCAGGCGTAATCTCCGTTGTCTATGGATTCGACGTCAAGCCTGAGAACGATCCAAATATCACCCGTGCAGAAAAGGCTCTCGAACAGCTCAATGAATCTGCGATCTCTGGGAATTTCCTTGTCGACATCTTGCCGGTTCTTAGATACGTCCCAAGCTGGATGCCCGGTGCTGGTTTCAAGTCATATGCAAAGAAGGCCCGACCTGAGACACTGGACATGTTTAATGCCCCTTATGACGAAGCTTGTAGCCGTATCGTGAGCCTGAATTTACTCTGGCATATAGATTGACGTCCAATAAAATAATTAGCAAACAGGAGATATTGATCCAAGCGTGATATCGCGCATTCTCGAAAGCGGTAATTACACCTCAGACCGCTGTGCGGATAGAGACGTTGTTAGAGACGTAGCGTCGGCTGCTTATGCAGGTAAGCTAGGACATATTAAACCCTACTATGCTGCTCTGACGAAATCGGTAGGCGGTGCGGAGACATCACATGCGGTGCTTTCAACATTCATCGCAGCGATGCTTCTTTACCCAGATGTTCAAGCTAAAGGACAACGGGAGATAGATTCGTATATTGGTGCCCGACTCCCCAACTTTGATGACCTACCACATATGCCATATGTTCATGCCATCATGTTAGAAGTGCTGAGGTTAGTTACGAGTGTCTCTGTAGTGGGTGTATACCTATCACGGCACTTATATAGGTGGCAAGCGGTGTTACCGTTGTGTGAGTCGTCCTCGATTGTTCCGTTACGGAACGTATTTCTGACGTGCCAATACATAGCGGTTGCCCATCGACTCACGATGGACGACGAATATAACGGTTATTATCTACCCAAGCACTCTACTATTTTCGTCAATACCTGGTAAGCCTACATCTGCTGGTCAACGCCGTCGGTAACCAGGCTTCCGCGATCATTATTAAGGGCGATCTTGCGGGATGAGGAATACTACCCAGACCCAGACAGCTTCAAGCCGGGGCGATTCCTCAAGGACGGTAAAGTTGATCCCAAACACAAAGATCTTATAGTCAATTTTGGATATGGACGGAGGTATGATTCATTTTCGCTCCTGTAATTCACCATCAACATTAAGGATGCATTGCGCAGGACCTGCCCCGGGCGTTTCTTTGCCATGGACTCTCTTTGGATCTTGTTAACGTCGATGCTTGCTGTCTTTGACATTAAGAAGGCAAAGAATGCTGACGGACAAGAAATCGATCCTCACATACAGTATCTTCCTGGATATACAAGGTACGTCCCTCTAAGCCCACGAAGTAGCGACTTCCCGAGCTGATTTGATTACTCGCAGGCATATCAAGCCATTTAGATGTTCTATCACACCGCGCTCCCCTGAGGCGGAGAAGTTGATTCGTGACTCTGATCTCATGTGATGGAGTTCCTGGGGCCTTAAATTAAACGTTGTAACTGTACATGAAATCCACTGGGAAATTGTACCGGCACGAAAATCCACTGGATTATGCCGACAGAGTTGCTAAGTTCAAGCCCCTAACAACACCCTGGCAAATTTATTCCCACGGGACAATGGATCCAGACAGACCATCATGGAGGTAACGCCACAAAGTAGGTTTTGCTGTCAATACCAAGCCCTGAGGGCAAAACTTCCAGAACACGTCCTATTTTTTTTTCCAACGGTTGAAATTGATATCAAGTCTTTATTTGAGTTTAATATTTATCGTGGGCGTAGGTAATGGTTGGTCATACAACATATTGTACTTGTAAAGGAAAACAATAATGATACGATGAAAGCAGAGTTCATGATGCGTAAAATGCGAAGCAATGCAGAGGAACATGATAGCGATGAGATGAAAAGATGCCTAAGCCGATTTCAGTGGTGTCTGGCGAGTAGACATAGACAGCGCCTCCAATAGGAGCTCCCAAACCCCATCCATCACTCCCCATACACCAGCGTCAAAAATGCCAAGAGCGCGAACGTTTTGCCATAGTGACATAACTTTGTGAATGGATTGGAGGAGGGCATGTGCCGTGTACGTCTGAGCGAGGTGTCGCGCAGCCTCAAGGACAGCCTGAGTGTGCTCCTCCGGAGAAGTCTGCGCTTCGGGGTGTAGGGATGGTGGGAGCACGCAGCCGACAGGAAGAAGAGATGTTTGAAGACTCTGCTGGCGCTTCGTGTATAGGTACATTTGCAGAAGGGGGAAGCTCTCGGGCGCCGGGAGGCCGAGAGGCTTGACAGGAAGTGTTGTTTTGAAAGGAGAAGAACGGATAGGCTCTGAAGGCTCAAGGACTGGGATTCGCGCGCAATTCGCTGCGAGTATGAGGCTGTGAACGGGGTGCACGGTGACCTGCGTAGGAGGCACGGGCTTCTCTCCCTCTTTGGTGGGAGGTTGACGGTAAATAGCAAGGAGATGGCTTGGGAGAATGGCGCCGGCAGGGGCATTGACCGAGACCTCCAACTCCTTAGGCCACGTTGGCGTTGTAATTGCAGAAGTCTTCACAGCAAGGAGACCGGATACAAAGCTATCATTGAAGGTCGAGTGAGACAAGGGATGAAATGATTCAACGGAGGAAACTCACGAAGAGGAAAACTCTGGCAAGCTATCTCGCAAATACTCCACATTGGTGTGTGCACCAAATTGAGCGAGCGCCGACAGTGGAATTTCTTGGAAGGGCTGGCGAGGAAGTACTCGTGGAAGAGTGACTGGGACGGTGGTAGGAGATGGTGTAGATGTCTTTGGCTCCGGCGTTGCGACTGGCACGGTGATGCTGTAGCGTGCAACACGACGAACTTTGACTTTCGCGGCATGAGTGAGCTTCTGAGCCTGGAGGTACTGCGTTCGTGCAAAGGCAGACGCGCTGACTCTTCGGCAGTGAACATTGGAGCGAAGAGTGGGTGTTCCGCGCTTGGTGAACGCCCTGACGGTGGGTGGAAGGTTCTCAGTGTTGGAGACGTTCCTGTTCATGTAGCGATCAAGGAGAACCATGGCGATTGAGAAGTTGGTTGGTGGGGAAGAGACAGCTGCTGGCGGTGACAAGAAAAGTGAGGGAATCGGGACAGAACCATGTTGGCCTTATATAACCCGTTGCATGTTGGAAGTAATTGGATTGGTGTGACATGTGTGGTCGTGACCGATTGGTGTGACACAGGGACCGGACAATGCATAATTGCCATATAAAGCAGTTGTTAGTGACAATGAGTTGATCGATTGATCGGACAAGTCAATTGCAATGGACCCACAAGGACCCACAAGTCCTTAAAGAAGTAATTTCTTGCTAGTCGACTACAATCCGCATCAACGTGAGCACTTTGTTGTTCATTTCAATCAATCTCGAGCCACATAAGACCTTCAGCCCGCATCCGCATATCAACCATGAGAGTAATTGTTTAATCATGCGACGGTCGTCCAGGGCAGGAAGCGGATACTTATTGTTGATGTGTATAAGTTTAAGGTGCGTAGGGGCTAGTGTACGCAACGCAGGTCAGAGCCTGCCGGATTTGGCACTCTCTTATACTGTGGGCCCTCTTAGTCAGAAGACGCCGTAAATTCCGAGTCAAAGGTTGAAGGCATCCCTTAGCAAATGGGGTAATTGTCCTTGCTGAGTGCGTACGGGCCCGGGTGGCCTCCCATGGCCGTAGAGTATGGTTTAGCACGTAGTACGGGCGTGGTCTACATGGCGCTTGAGATGACAACTTCCGCCGAGACAAAGAGGGCGTAAACGGTTTGACCGAAGGCACTCAGCTCGATATGTTGCGTTATGAGGATATGCGAACTCGAACACTCTGTCCCACGCGTAGATATAGCCGTTCAGATGCGATAAGATTTCGGGCAAACGGAGGTAAGTGACAAAGTTGATCAAAACTTCCCACGCAACAAACTAGCGCGTGCGGCCTCGACAGCTCTCTAGTTAGAGGTGAATGAATCAAACCTTCCACGATGTAAACACTAGTGTCAGGGCGGAGCGTAGCAGCGCGCGCGGACTTCGCCGCGAGAATCAGCACTCACATCGGTGGTCACTAGTATCAACGTACGTCGTGAAGACCTTCGGTGCCTATTGAAGGCTTGCCTTATATTCAACCTATTCGCTAGCGCCAGAGGAAGTTTGGGAGTTCAACAAATAGGACTGGTCTTGATCGTGGACGATGCCTACGCACCTCCTGCCGAGGAGGGTTCGTAGATCTCATCGAAATAAGCGAGCATACCACGCAAGGTGCCCCCAGGACTTGGTAATGTAATGCGTTGGCTCTCATTGGATGTGGATGTCAAAGTAATTCATGCATAGACAAGTAGGCGCCATCGAGGGTATCCGATATACGTCCCGGTCCTTTCGTAGGGAATTACCATTCGCGGCGTCGTCCAACGCCCCAACACGAGTTTCTTTCGGCCTTGGGCCGCGAGTCTTGAGTGACCACCACTTCAGATGTATTGTATTGATTGATATAGTGTCCAATTTCGATGATATATAGAAGAAATATTCCCACTTCATCCTCTAGAACTCGCTGCGCCGCTCGGTGTAGCTCGGTTGCAGCGACGCTTCCTGCCTTCCACCACAGTGCGTATCACTGTGTATCAATATGATGAGAAGGACCTCGGATATGATCCCCGGCGACGAATTCTTTTGGGGCATTCATCACCAACTTCCCTTTCCTTTCCTCGTTCTCGAAAGGCCAATGGTTCTTTCCTGGATGAAAAGCCGCATCTCGCATCTTCCCTTGGTGATGAAGGACGCACTCGCCGAGTAGAAACTGGTCTTACCCAAAGAACTCACATCCACCCGACGGAGTTCTGATGGTGCCATCTCTAAACGAGGGGCCTCAAATGGCTGGTTCCGAGGGACAACACCCGATAAAGTGTTTACCGAAGTGCCTTGGGTGGATTAACGCCAACGTTTCTACCTTGTTCATGATCCCTCCTTCGTCGTGCCTGAGCCTCTGGTCAAAATGAACGTATATCCCAGTCATATGGGGTCTAGTCAACGACATGGTCAAAGAGTTGATATGAGTCAGCATTGGATGTTGGTAGTCAACCGGCTTCTCTCCCGTGATATTCCAGAGACAAAACTTGTTTGATTGATCATGATATACATGGGGGCAACTAGACTACATTTGCGCAACCCAGCAATCCTTTCAACCAGACCAAACGGGGCCACCTGGGAAGGTGTAGCTCTGGAGGTTGTTGTAGATGTTGACCTACGTGGATTGTCTGAGTATATGGCTCATAACGGAGCGGTCAAGACACTTACGGTAACGCCGGGGTCTGATGGGGAGTAGGCACCAGGGAGAGCAATCTTGGGTGGACTGGCACTTCCTCCACTGGAAATCTTAACTTGGGCGCAGCCGATGTAGAACTGGGCACCAGGGTATGACTGTGCGACGTGAAGGGCAATCATCTCCGCGCGAAGGAGATATTCTCCGGCTGGGAGGGAAGATGGTATAACAACGCTGTGCTTGCCTGCAATATGGAAATCAACTTGAATACAGAACGAGCAAATCAGACGGTTAAACTAACCGTTGTTGGCATTCACGACGTCGCTGGCCCACTCCTGGGTGGACGGGTTCAAGAGGCCGGACTGGTACAGCTTCGTCCAGACGACACCTTGTCCGTCGAAGTCCGCAGCTGTTGAAGGTGCTTTGGCAATGTAGACGAGAACGGGAGCTTTGTGGCCACCAGAAATAGCATCCTCCCCAGTTCGTTGAGCGTGTTGGTGCCATTCAAAGCTGCAAAGAGTTCAATCGAATGCTATTGTATAGGATTCACTGCACGTACGTGATATTGGCACCTGCGGGGATGGAAACGGTGGAGACACCTGCACCAGAAAGGCCGTTGACGTTGCAGGTCAAGTCCTTGGAGGTAACATCGGTGACAGGGTTGTTGTTGGGGGGAATGCGCAGGCCTGTGTTCAGGCCTTGATCAACCTATGATAAGCACCTCCAATGTGAGCAAAGGGGTCTTTTCGTTGACAACAATGGTATTTACCCCGTTGACCCAGATGTACTGGAGGGTGACTATAGACAATTAGCTAGAGTCTCTCGCATATAGTATACTCAACAACTTACAGTGAGCATTGGCGACCGCCGCCAGTGAGGCCAAGAGGGCAAGAGTGAACTTCATTGCTTTTAGTTGATCGTCGAGACACAGCCAGGGTCCCTTATATATACCGGGTGGGTAAAGGTATGTTGCGCTATTTTTGCGAAGTCAGTTAAACTGTGTAATCCACCTGATACGCGAGCGGTAGGACTATGAGTAATTGACTGAACAGTGAAGTCACGATGGTGGTACCATACCGAGGTTGAAGCGGATCACCACTTTGGAGGGTTTTCATCGGAATGACCTTGGCACGCACGAAGTTAGCGAAGTAGCACGCATGGTCAAGAAGTATCAAAATACCATCAGTTGGAGTTATCAGCCGTAACCTCGGATGCCCATCTGCGGGGCTCGAGATAATTGCATCATTCGAACCGTGAAAGAGCGCGGGTTCGTGATAGAATTATTCCTAGTCAAATGTCTCTTTGAACTAGTCCGGCAGAGCGATACCCGTGTCTCCTATCTCCGCAGGTTGCCTTCACTTCGGAGGAACTGGATCAATTACCTCCCGGTTGAACGTCGAACGTTGAACAGTAAGCTGGTTCGGACTCCGATCTCTACCCACTGCGTGATCGTGTCACGCCATCGTCACGCCAGTCACTTTCGTCTTCCCTCCTCTCGGTGAAACCATTGTTCGGCAGGAGTTCAAGAAGGCGTTGTCGGTCGCATTAATAGGCGCAGTACATGTCAGTCCTACTCGAGACGTCGCTAGGAGACCTCGTTATCGATCTTGAAGTTGACGCATGCCCAAAAACTTGCGAGAACTTTCTCAAGCTATGCAAGATCTATTACTATAATCTCAATGCTTTCTTCAATGGTGCGTAGTTCTTGTGCTCCATGATCCTGGTCGAAATTGAATTGTTTTACTGATGCAGAGCTGCAGTGTCGAAGGACTTTCTGGCGCAAGCAGGGGATCCAACGGCGACTGGAACAGGTGGAGAATCAGTATGGTCGGTCATAGCCACAGACAAATCGGTTCCACGGTACTTTGCGCCAGAACTGCTTCCAAAGCTGAAGCACACTCACAGAGGCACCGTCTCGATGGCTATAGCGCCTGCACTTGAAGGGCAGGCGGCGGGATGCGGGAGTCAGTTCTTTATCACACTGGGCGACAACATTGACTACCTAGATGGCAAGCACGCTGTGTTCGGCCATGTGGTCGAAGGACTCGATACACTGGACAGATTGAACGAGGTGTACGTTGATCAGGAGGGGCGACCGTTAAAAGACGTTAGGATCCGGCACGTGGTGATACTAGGTACGTTCAAATACCATACGGCGTACAGCAACGCCACATAATGGATGCTGTTATACAGATGATCCATTCCCCGACCCTCCCGGCCTTGTCAAGCCACCATCTTCTCCCATACGCCCTCCGGATAACTCGACCCGAATCGCAGAAGATGAGGACCCTCTTGCCACGCTGCCCGAAGAGGATGAGGAACGCATACGTCGGGAGAAGGCTGCAGCTGCGTCAGCACTTACGCTCGAGATGGTTGGCGATCTCCCTTTTGCGAATGTACGGCCCCCGGAGAACGTCCTCTTCGTATGCAAACTGAACCCAGTCACGCGGGACGAAGATCTTGAGCTTATCTTCTCGCGATTTGGGACAATAATGAGTTGCCAGGTTATTCGGGACAAGAAAACTGGCGATTCTCTACAATACGCTTTCATCGAGTTCGATAAACGCGACGAAGCTGAAGCGGCGTACTTCAAAATGCAAAACGTGTTGGTCGACGACCGGCGGATCTGGGTTGATTTGTGCGCATCCGTTTCATCATTTTTCATCATCTATCGGTATTGATCGCTCCGTAGCTCCCAATCTGTGGCAAAAACTAACACCTCTTGGTCAAATGATATCAAGAGAGGTCCCCGCCGGAACGGAGGCTTTGCCGGTCGAGAAGACCTCGAACAGACAAGAAGATACAGAGCTGATGGCGCTGGCGATGATAGCCATGACAAATACGGCATGGTCTTTGACGTTCCCAGTAGTAGCAATGGACATCGCCGAAAACGCAGCAGAAGCCGAGAGAAGGACGGCGTTCGAGACGATCGTAGAAGGAGATCAAGGTCGCCCAAAGCAAGCAGTCGTGGTGGACGCCGGAGTAGGAGTAGAAGCAGAGATCGTCATTCTGGGCGGGCACGGCGCTATTGACCATCAGTTCCACGGTGTTTGTTCTTGATTGTGTCAAAGTGAGTGTAACTTAAGGTTAGATCATACTTCATTGCCTTCCATATATTATACCAGTTCGCTGTGTTACTGTGCTTTCCTCACTCCTCATTTGGGCGCCTACCCCAGGACTCTGAACCGCCATGTCGTCCATCTCTACGACCTCCCCCGACGCTGATATCATCCTTCTCCCTACTGGCGACGGCGCCGTAGAGATACACGCCCACCGCTGTATTCTTTCGGCGGCCTCGCCTTTCTTCAAAACAATGTTCTCACTTCCTCAGAAGGATGCTGGTGGAATACAGGTCATACCGCTTCCTGAATCGCCATACGTTGTCGATACCTTGCTTCAGTTCATTTACCCCGTCCCCGACCCTTCGATTTCGTCTTTAGGCGAGCTTGTTGACATACTCGCTGCGGCCACGAAATACGACTGCGTCGCTCCCCTCGCTTCCTTGCGAAGAACGCTCATATCGCCTACCTTCCTCCGCGAGGAGCCTACCCGCGTCTACGCAATTGCATGCCGCTTTGACCTGCAGGAAGAAGCGAGGATATCATCCCGATATACGCTGGATGTCAACGTGCTTGACTGTCCACTCTCTGAGGACCTGAAGCACATCTCTGCTTATTCCTACCACCAATTACTTGACCTCCATCGGCGACGAGGACGTGCCGCACTAGATCTACTTAAAGCCGGCGATGAGATAAAGTGCATGCAGTGCAATGGGAACTCATTCAGCGTGTATAGTTCCCCGAAGTGGTGGTCAGAGTTTGAGAAGCGGGCGAAGGAGGAACTTAGGGCACGGCCCACAACTAACGTGATCTTCACTATGGAATTTCTCTGCGAGGTTGCCAATGCTGGGGGATGTGTGCGTTGCCCGGGAAGTGTTTTGAACTCGCATAGGTACCTGACCAAATTGAAAGAGAGCATTGATGCATTACCTGCCACTATATGAACTTATATGTAAATTTGTAACCTTTCATGTGGATATTTAGTGTACGGCATGGAATGCCCTGATACTATAGCACTTCTTTCTCCCCGCCTTGTGGTACCTACGATTACTTCTATCCAGAATAACGATCTTATCAGATATTCGGATTAGAGCCGCCCGGCGAAGAGTTGTGCAGGATATTATAAGTTATGCACATGCTTGGCTACTGGGAATCTTCAAAGATAACTTGAATCGCAACCACCATGTCCACACCCCAGCTCGCATCCTTCAAGGTCCCTTCTATTGAAAATGAGCCTATGGTTAGCGTAAATACACCTTGGGGAGCCTTTCATTGCACTGATACGGTGACTGGTAGAAAACATATGCCCCAGGATCGGTGGAACGCAGAGCCCTAGAGCAGGCGATAGCTCAAATGGAACAAGAGCTTCCGTTCGAGGTCCCCTGCATCGTCAACGGAAAACCAGTACGTTCCCATTATCCGTAGGTCGGGCTCCTATTCACTACTGGGATTGGGAAATAGGTGAAAACTGGCAATCTTGCTAAACAACCAATACCATCGGACCATGCTAGGCATCTCTGCTCCTATCACGAAGCAGATGTGGCGACAGTGGCGAGCGCGATTGAGGGGGCTCTAGAAGCTAAAGCTCGATGGGAAAGCATGCCATGGAGCGATCGTGCTGCGATCTTCCTCAAGGCTGCTGATCTGGTCAGCGGGAAGTACAGGTATAAGCTTATGGCTGCGACAATCCTCGGGCAAGGAAAGAACGCATGGCAGGCTGAAATCGATGCTGCTGCAGAGGTGATGGCGGCCGTGGATTCAGGGGCTATACAGTTAACCATAAATTCCACAGTTGACCGATTTCCTGCGCTTCGGCGTAAAGTTTGTCGAGGAGCTATACTCGCAGCAGCCTAGCAAGAACTCTGCCGGAGCATGGAAGTGAGTAAAAGAAATGTCTCTCCCAACGCCACTGACAACCTTGCTGACAACTTGACTCAGCCGCGTCGAGTATCGAGCTCTTGAGGGGTTCGTGCTCGCCGTTTCTCCATTCAACTTTACTGCCATTGGAGGGAATCTTTCGGGAGGTGAATTTTTTATTGCTGGCCACGTAGCGTGTGGTATTTTACTAACTTTACCCAAGCCCCGGCACTCGTCGGAAACACTATCGTGTGGAAGCCATCTCCCGCGGCGACGTATTCGAACTATATAATCCACCAGATATTCACGGAAGCTGGCCTTCCTGCTGGCGTCATCCAGTTCGTGCCCGGCCCACCGGCCGAGGTAGTAGCACAAGCCATCTCTCATCCAAGCTTCGCGGCACTCCACTTCACCGGAAGCACCTTCGTATTCAAGAAGCTCTGGAAGGACATCGCCTCTAACCTGGATATCTACAAGGGGTACCCAAGGATTGTGGGCGAGACGGGAGGTAAAAACTTTCACGTTATCCACCAGTCAGCGGAAATTGGCAACGCTGTTCTGCAAACTATCCGCGGTGCTTATGAGTACCAAGGTCAGTGAATTGCGCCTGGGATATTATCCCTTACCTGTCGAACGTGCTCATTCTGTGTATAGGTCAGAAGTGCTCTGCCCTATCCCGTGTATATGTCTCTTCGTCTGTATGGAACGGCGGTTTCAAGGACCTCCTATTGTCGCAGGTGGCTAAGATCAAGGTCGGCGCGCCGCAGAGCTTCGATAACTTCATGGGGCCAGTCATGTTCGTTGTGTCATGACAAATGCATTCTCCTATGTATGCTCACTCCAGATGCGTAGTGGTCGGCCTGCTTATGATAAGATCATGGGATACATCCAAAAGGCCAAAGAAGCCGGTGGCGAGATTTTGGCTGGCGGTACCGGTGCGTCACGCTGAGCATCATTGACAGCGAAGTATTGACCTTCTTACCAGGCGACGATTCCAAGGGATACTTCATCCAACCTACTGTCATTGAGACCAAAGATCCAAAGATGATCACTATGGTAGAAGAAATCTTCGGACCAGTGATAACTGTACGAAATCCTCATTCTTCCGAGGTTCTCTGTGTTGGCTGACGTTACGTCGTTTCAGGTATACGTATTTGAAGACAAAGATTTTGAATCAACCCTTGACTTGATTGACTCTACAACTGACTATGCTTTGACTGGCGCAATGTACGTTTTTGTTTTTGCCGCTTTCATATAGGCGCTTACCGCTATGCCCTTTTCAAGCTTCGCTTCCGACCGCCATGCACTCCTCACCGCAACAAATAGACTTCGCAACGCAGCAGGAAACGTGTATTATAACGAGAAGTGCACGGGCGCCGTCGTCGGGCAACAGCCATTCGGCGGAGCCAGGGCAAGTGGTACGAACGACAAGGCGGGTAGTATCAGTATCTTCTACCGCTTCGTCAGCGCGCGCAGTATCAAGGAGAACTTTGTCGGGTTGGAGGATTTCCAGTATCCCTCCAATTTGATATAGAGCCTTACTATGCTCGCTGAAAACAAAGTAAAGACTACCATTTTTGTGTATCACCATTGACATTATGAAGCATAACGTATTGCATCAGCTCGCGCCGCTGTCGACGAAACCGGTTCCCGTATGAAAAGGCGCCATTAGGGTAAGCAAATCGGTAAGCATTCATATCAGTTCTCCTTTCACCCGCCAACAATCAGGGGTATTGCTGGAATGTGTAATCCTACGCTGACAAGTGCTTGTAGAGGCATTGTCAGCACAGACTCAGATCAACGGATGCATGTTATAAAAGACGTTACAGGTGTATTCGGAAATTGTCCAGGATTGATTCAATTGCTATCACAGATACACCATATCATCATGTCTTTTTCCAAACTCTTTCAACCAATTGAAGTCGGTCGTATGACCCTACAACATCGTATAGCTCTCGCTCCCCTTACGCGCAACCGTATCGACAAAGAAGGCGTCCCCATTCTCCCGATCGTCGCTGACTATTACGCCCAACGTGCAAGCACTCCAGGCACATTCCTAATCGCAGAAGGCACTATCATCGCACGTGAGGCTAGCGGAGCCGACAACTTCCCCGGCATCTGGTCGGACGAACAGATCGCGAGCTGGAAGAAGGTCAGTTTCGTCGAGCATATTAATGCATAAATGAGGTTGCAGTTCTGTGCTGATGCCGAGAACTCGTAGATCACCGAGTCCGTGCACGCACACGGCTCGTACATTTACCTCCAGCTTGCGGCTTTTGGTCGTTCCGCGATGCCCGACGTCCTGAGCTCAAAGGGTCTAGAGTATGTGGCGCCGTCAGCAATCCCCCTTAGCTATCAGCCAACACCTCCTCGAGCACTCACCACCGAAGAAGTCAAAGAATACGTTCAGCTCTTCGCCAAGGCCGCATCGAATGCAGTGCATCTCGCTGGATTCGATGGCGTAGAAATCCACGGAGCCAACGGCTTCTTCGTCGACCAATTCATACAAGACATTTCCAACCATCGGACCGATGAGTACGGCGGCAGCGTAGAGAACCGCGCGAGATTTGCCCTCGAGGTCCTAGAGGCTGTGGCGAAAGAGGTGGGGGCAGATAGAACGGCGATTCGGCTGAGCCCTTGGAACACATTTCAGGATATGCGGATGGCCGACCCCAAGCCTACTTTCGCGCATCTAGTGTTACAGATCAAGGAGCGGTTGCCTGACCTAGCGTATCTCCACGTTACAGAGCCGAGGGTAGCTAATGAGCAACGAGAGCTGGAGGACGTTCCAGAAGAAGAGGAGAACGACTTTCTGAGGAGCATTTGGGCGCCGCGTCCGTTTGTTAGTGCTGGAGGGTATACGAGGGATCTAGCGATCAAGGCAGCAGAGAGGGGCGACGTTGTCGCTGTAGGGCGCCACTTCCTTGCCAACCCAGATTTACCGGTGCGGTGGAAGGAAGACCTGCCCTTGAACCGGTACGACCGATCGACGTTTTATGTTCCCGGGGATGCATCTGGAAAGGGCTATTTGGACTACCCCTTCGTGGACGGCACGACATCAATACCGCCAGCCGTCACCGAGAAATATCTCGCTCGTCCCGACAGCAGTGGCGGTATTCCTATCGAGCCGCAGGCGTAAAGTATAGATTTTGTGGCTGTAACTTTGTGCCTTGCTGGGTGTTTCCCTTCTCGTAGACCGTGACCTATCCTATCCCTTCATGACTTTTATCCTTTCCTTCGTCGCAAAAGTGCCGGTCACTGCGCAAGTAGGAGGATTAGTCAGAGAAGCCCAATATTAATGTATCAACACCGGTGTTCTTGATTCTGGGATTAACCGTTAGCTGCGTCTCTGAATCGCCGGCATGACAGTGGGACACACCACTTTGCCACATCGTTGCAATGCAAGCAAAGTACTACAGTGGAGACAGCACAACGTCGTGATGGACAGATGCAGTTCGGTGAAGAACGTACCGATACCTCCTGATGAATGGTCCACACAGTTTCTAAATGAACAATCAATATTCGCTACTCCGTCACCTGCGACCAACTGGCATTTGTGGGCACTCAGTACTCAGCACTCGGTATCTGTCTAGCATACGGCTAGTCTTATCTCAACCCATCCTAGGCTTGAGTAGCTGAGGTCGACAGGACACTGCTCTGGCATCAGAGCCTTCGAGACCGAAGCCATCAATTACCATAATCGGACCCAATCCCATGGTAAACGGCAGAACTATCAGCGCCTGTAATGATACATGTAGCAAAGAAGAGGAAATGACGGCCTGTCGACCAATCTCTATTTTCAACCAGACATTTTCTCTTGAATCGGAGATATGGTCGCTCAGTGCGCTGGGGCAGAAAGGTGGTCGTAGAGCGGACCCATTGCAGGCTATTGCGATGTTACATGAGTTGAGTTGAATAGGAAATGGGTGTAAAACACGAACGGGTGTGTTGCGCTCCCTGAACGACTGAAGTGAGTAACATATGGTATGAAGTAAACGTTGGACTAACCATTTGGTACCTCCGGGGTATAGGGGAGCTGAGCGACGGCGACGGCGTCAAGAGAAAGTCCGGTATCGTGACCATGAAAGATAACTCACAAATGACTGGGTCGGGGTGCTTCTTTTTGGCGAGGTTAGCCTCAGCCTTCTCTAGTATAACAGCAAGGGCCCTCGGGTCATGGACGTCTCTACCATAACAGATGGAAATTACGGCGCACAACGATAATGAACTCGGACTCGGGCCATCTAGGAGCAGGGTAACTCACCTGTTCCGCTCGAACTCAGCCCGTATCATCATGGCCTCCGCCCTCCATAGATCCCTTCGAACTGTCCAGTCCAGCGAGTTCTTGAGAGTTCGCTTGTAGAGGGACATTACATACGACCTGTGCGCTGCAGTGAACGTCGACATCGTTGAATGTGGAACTTCTGAAGCAATTTCCGAAATAACCCTGAACCTTTTCAACGATTGCATTATGTAAGCATTTGCCATTCTTGCGCCTGTTTTGGACCGCCGCCGCTGGGCCAGGCGGCCATCCGAATGGCTTCCAGAATCCACATTGCTGATAGCGTACGACCGCGTCGGGCACTCGAAATACCGGGGTTATTGCCAAATGATGCAGCAGGAGTCCTCAGGCTGCACGAGTCAGCATTAACACTCATAATAGTTAGCAACCCATTTGAAATTTTGGATTTCTAACAAAGATTTGAATTCCTGGCCATGAAGCGCTTAGCATCATTAGTACTTTCTTCAATTCTTTCATGGTTTTGTTGCTTTTGCTTATGCAGGCCCTTGAGGAGCCAAACGTCCGATCTCTTGCGCGACGCATCTTAGTGACTGTGGGAATATAACTTCCCACAGTCTATCGGCTACTGAGCCATACATGTGACTCAAAGTACGCTTTCCTGAACGCGTGCCTCGTCGTACCAACGGCGTAGTAGCCTCATTCTATGCACAGAAATGGGTACGTTCGTCGCGCAGGCTCACAGATACTATAATAACGCAGAGCGCAGAATCATCAATTTCCAAGCAACTCGTCGACAAGATATATGAGAAGCGCAAGGCTGCAGCTCTCGACCTCGAGAAGTTAGTGCACTCGCATTCTTCGCCATAGCTGCACGCACTAAACCGACGCCCCAGGCAGGTACGCGAGAGCCACCAGCAGGGCGAGCACCGCCGCATCAGCCAGATTGTCGACCAGCTTGTCGAGATGTTCAACAACACCACCAATCCGCTGCATGTGCGCAACGGAGGCCTCATCGGCCTCGCTGGGACCGCAATCGCGCTGGGGGTAGACATCGCGCCGTACATGGAGAAGTTTGTGGGACCGTTGCTCGACTGCTTCGTGGACACGGAGAACAGGATTCGCTACTTCTCCGCAGAATGCTTGTACAACATAGCCAAGGTGTCCAAGGGCGAGATATTGGTGTACTTTAATGACGTTTTCGATGCATTGAGCAAGGTGCGCGAGGAATACTATATATTGAACACACAGCCTTCACGCTCCATATCTAGCTGTCTGCAGACTCCGAGCTGTCTGTGAAGAACGGTGCAGAGCTGCTGGATCGCCTGCTGAAGGATATCGTTGCAGAGTCGGCCTCAGTGTACATCCCCCAATACGCAGAGACCGTGAAAGTTCGGGAGGAGAGGAACGGCGTACTCGTTCCCTATCCCTACGGCAGCACCGACGGAGACATGAACAAACGAGCATTCTCTCTGGCGCATTTCATCCCGCTGCTGAGCGAGCGCATTTACGTCGTCAGCCCGTTCACGCGAAGCTACCTCGTCTCGTGGATCACCGTGCTTGAGTCGGTCCCAGAACTCGAGATGCTCACGTTCCTTCCTGAATTCCTGGACGGCCTTCTGTGAGCAATTTATCGTAATCGCCTGCTTGGACCTGACGTTTCACAGAGGGTACCTCTCCGACCCGACTGAAGACGTCCGCGTGGCTACGGAGTCGCTCTTGGGCGAATTCCTCCACGAAATACGCCGCATCACCGAAGCGCGGAAGAAGTACAAGCCCACCGACCCCGTAGCACCAAGACATACTGCGAACGAGAATCTTCCCGACCTTACTATGGACGGGGCCGAAACCACCGCGTTCTTGTCTGAACAAGGGAGTCATAGCAGTTTCGAAGATGAATCCGCACTCAAAGACGACGAAGCTTCGGATCACGTCTATAGGGATACCGGAGGTATGCCAGGACTTATCATTCTATGACGGCGCTTTGATACCCCGCCAGTTTGGTTTCCTGGACAAGGAGTTGCTATCCACTACGAGAACATTATCGAAATCCTCCTCAACCAGTTCACCGACGACCGTAAGCTCTCTCGTCTCCACGCGGTCTCTCCTTCACCTCAAACCAACAGATGACGAAATACAACAGTCAACTGCGTTACAGTGGTTCGCCGAGTTCCTGGGATTCGCGCCCGAAGTAATAGTACCCTTCACTCCGCGCCTCATCCCCGTGATCTTGCCAAACCTTGCGCACCACGTTAACATGATCCAGTCGGTGGCCATCCGGACCAACAAGCTGCTCCTCAACGTCATCCAAACGCTCCCTCCGCCCCCAGAGACGCTTCCCCGGCCCCCAGTCCTCGAAAAACAGTCCTCCTCACGTATCCCACCCGTGCCGGGATCCCCTACGCCGACTACTGCGACGAACTCGCGCCAGACGACGCTGAGCAGCAGCCGCGAGCTGTCTTCGCCCGACTCCGCCCAGGATCCCGTCATCCAGGCGCCAGCGAGCATCTATTCACAGAGAACTCGCGGCAGTGTCGTTGATCTCACCGCTAGGGCAGCTGCTGTTCCTGTTGAAGTTCCCGCTGTAAATCCGCCCAGTCGCTCCAATTCCCCAATTCCACTTGCCGGCCAAGGGCCAGCGCTGCAGAATGCCGAAAGCGAGGGAGAGCAGCTCAATTACCAGGAGACGGTCAACGAACTGACACTTCACTTTATGAGTGAATTTGAGGATACGAGAGTCGCTGCGCTGAAATGGCTGATTATGCTGCACCAGAAGGCACCCAAGAAGGTAAATCCTCGTTCCGCTTTTCACACATTCTAGGTTTTGATCGTTTTCGAAGATTCTAAGTATGAATGACGGCACGTTCCCTGCCTTGTTGAAAACACTATCAGACAACTCGGAAGAGGTAGCGTCTATGTCACTTTCGATCTGGCTGAACAAACTTCTAACCTTGTAAAAGGTGATCAAACATGACCTGCAACTGTTGGCGCAAATATCTTCGAGTTCGGAAGAAACATATTTCAAGGCGTTTATGATCAATCTCTTGGAGCTGTTCAGCACTGATAGGCGGTTGTTGGAGACGCGGGGCAGCCTCATCATTCGCCAACTGTGCCTGAATCTCAACACAGAACGAATATACCGCACCTTTGCTGAAATTCTGGAAAAGGAAGACGTGCGATTGATATTGCATTCCTACGAAAACTCGCCGCTAATGTTAGTTTTTTCTTAGGACCTGGAGTTTGCTAGTGTTATTGTGCAGAAGCTCAACATCATATTGATAACCTCGCCCGAGCTCGCTGACTTCCGGAAGCGGCTGAAGAGCCTGGAGACGAGGGTGAGTTACGTATGTCAGCGTTGCCCTATATCTGACTGAAAGACGGAAATGGTAGCAAGATGGGCAAGCCCTGTTCACTACCTTGTATAAATCCTGGTGTCACAATGCGGTTGCGCTGTTCTCGCTATGTCTCCTAGCGCAAGCCTACGAACATGCGTCGAATTTGCTGTATATCATGGCAGAGTTGGAGATTACTGTGCAAATGCTTGTTCAGGTTGATAAGCTAGTGCAGCTCATCGAGTCTCCGGTCTTCACATGTAAGCATGCTCCCAGTTCCATCAATTACGCTGCTAACATTGAAGTTTATTCAGACCTTCGTCTACAACTTCTGGAACCTGAGAGACATCCTCATTTATTCAAGTGCCTGTATGGCCTTTTGATGCTTCTACCTCAAAGCTCCGCCTTTATATCACTACGGAATCGTCTCAACGCTGTGAATTCGGCTGGATTTCTACATATCGCTCCCAAATCGTCTGTGCCCCCTCATCTCCACTGCGATATGTCGAGCTGACGTACCTCACCTAGATCGATGGGCGGGTTATCTACTAGATCGAAAATAGGTCGGGATGAAATCAAGTGGCAGGAGCTTCTCACACATTTCAGATCGGTACAAGCGAAGCATGAGAAGGCGAGGAGGCAAGCCCTGGGCGCCGACGTTCCCTCGTTCTCTAACCTCGCCGATATCGAACGGCCCGATGTACCAAGTCACCCGCCGCCCCCGTCAGGTCGGATGTCCGTGTCGAGCAATCGCCCACAGATTCGGCGCAAGGTAACTGGTGGAGAAATCATCAATGCGAATGCGAATATTGCGACTGGGCGAGCGGGCGCCCTTTCGCCACTGAACCCTCGTGCGAGAGTACCTGCGCTGGTCGCGACGTCGATGAACGCGCAGCAGACTCCTACACCAGCAGGCGCGCTGGGTAAGGGGAGGCGATCGGTGGACTTGGGCAGGAAGTAGCGACAAGTTGGCGACGCTTGGTGACGCTTTGCACATCAGTGGACACCCCAGTGGTCACGATTATGACGATATTGTACATGGAAACGACATTATAAAGAACACACGGACTTTAATTCCTAAGTAATGTCGGTGCTATAGATTAGCTGATGGGACTAGGATATTCTCTCTGATTCTGTTGATTTCGTCGTCGGAGAGGTTGATGTATTTCTTTAGATATTCCTCTACGCCACCATAGTTCTTGTCCAACAACTCGAGGAACGATGTCATCGTGTCATGTCTGTAATTCGAGTAGGTGCCAAGTGCACTTGATAATCGGCTTCCGGACATACCTGCAAGTGAACATGTTCAATGCTGCCTCGTTGTTAGAGGCAAACAGGGGCTCCTTGGCGAGTCTCGCCATGATCATCGGGCGGGCTGGCTCACGGCCAACTCTGGTCAGTGCATAGTCCTTTGCGATGGCTTCGTTGTCCACGCCAGCAAGCTATGTCGCAATATCATGAGCAAATGACGCTAAAGCGTTGGCCAATAAATCTAACCTTCAACAGGAGAGCAGCCAGAAGGCCTGTTCTATCTTTTCCTGCTGTACAATGGAAAAGGCAGCCCTCTGTTGGTCTGTCGTGAATATGTCTGAGTACAGCGCCGAAGGCTTCCCCTCCGTGATCTAAGATCTGCGAGTATAACTCCATGAAGGCCTGTCGTGACAAGTTATTAGTGGCGCTATTCGAATCAAACACAGTCGGACGAGCCTCTGTTTTACCACTCGCGTAGAGTTTGTACCTCCTAAATTCAGTTTGCATCAATTTCATCGAAGCTTCAAGAGAGGGGAGTGATTGGAGGGCGGCGCCGTTGTAGGAGGCCTCGCACTTACTTGGCCATCATTTCCGGGCTGTAGTCTTCCTTCTGGAAGACAGGTGCGCGTATAATCTCAATTCCCTCGATTTCCGGCACCGGGGTATCGTATTTCTCGATTTCGGTATCGGAGCGCAAGTCAAAGACTTTCGTGATGCCGAGTTCTCGCAATCGATCAATCCCTGTCAGAAAGCACGTCGCAGTAAATATGCTAGATGATTGAGCGGGTGAAGCTTGTTCGGATTTCACCTTCTGGGGTTATTCCAGATATTTCCGCAGACCTGAGCATCAGATTGGGCTTGGTTAGTTTGCCCGGATGAGTGTTTGACAGGTATGCGCCCAGATCGCGGACATTGATGACCCCGGGGATTGTGATGAATGGGGGGTTCGAGAGCACAGAGGCAACATACGAAGGATCCAAGGCCTCCAGGTCGTCCATGGTGAATGCCGTGTCGATACAAGCTTTAGGAAGTGGTTCCTCCGGACCCGGTCTTCTTCAGGCGCGGTAGGACACGTGCTAACTATTCCTTAATTAGTACACATGTGATGTCTTCAGGGCAGGTAGTTTCGTGTCTAATTTCCGGCGCGTGTAGGTTTCTGGTTTTTGTTCTCTAGTCGATTATTCGCCACCAGTCATGGATTTCGCTGGGCTCTCTTCATCGCCACCAGCTCTACGCTCGTCATTACCGCCTAGCAGCGCCCCTTTCCCGTCACATCCTACCAATGGCTCATCTCCAGGTCGACCAGTGCAAGATGCATTGGCTTTAGGCGACGATGAGGCTGAAGAAGAAACCCAAGATACCGCGGGAGGACGAAGGCGGCGTCGGCCGAAGGGCAATGCTGCAGATGTGCCGATCGTAAAGGATGCAGTTGGGGAGAGCGTGGCAGACAGCTTTGAGACCTTTCTGAAAACGTGCGCCATATCCTTGTTATATGAACAAACCTTGCTTTACATCAGGCTTGCAGGTTTACTGAAGATGTCAATCTGGCAGCTACTCCGGCATCTGATGGCGACATCCCTGATGTTGCTGACGGCGAGCTCGTATATATTGAACAAATACATACGATGCGCGAATATGAACTGACTACACTCTACGTCGACTTCGGACACATCTTACAACGCGACGACGTGCTTGCTGATGCGATACAGAAGCAATACTACCGATTCTTGCCGTATTTGCGACGCGCACTACTTAATCTAGTCACTGAATACGAGCCAGAATACCTCAAGATCAACCCCACTGCAGCCACCACCGATTCGGCCAATTTGCAGTCTCGAGAGTTTCATATAGCCTTTTACCATCTCCCCCTGGTATCCGGCATTCGTGATCTTCGCACAGACAAGATCGGGACGTTGATGAGCATCAGCGGAACTGTTACTCGGACTAGTGAAGTGCGACCAGAGCTACTCTTCGGCAGCTTCATCTGCGAGGTGTGCGGGGGCCTCATCAACGACATTGAACAGCAATTCAAATATACCGAGGTGCGCTATCTGCACCCCGCCCATATCATCTACTGAACCTCCGTAGCCTTCGTTATGCCCCAATCCAACGTGCGGTAACCGAGTTGCGTGGCAACTGCAAATCGACACGTCCAAATTTACGGACTGGCAGAAGGTGCGCATCCAGGAGAACCCATCTGAAATCCCCACTGGCTCTATGCCACGGTCGCTTGATGTTATCCTACGAGGGGAGCTCGTGGAAAGAGCGAAGGCTGGGGACAAATGTGTTTTCACTGGGACGTTCATTGTGGTTCCAGACGTCAGCCAGCTCGGTATACCTGGAGGGAACAAGGCAGAGCTGCAGCGAGAAGCAAACCGTGGCGGTGCGGGGGGAGCAGCTGGAGCAGCTGGGACGGGTGGCGTTACTGGTCTGAAAAGTCTTGGTGTCAGAGACCTTCAGTACAAAACAGCATTCCTTGCGTGCATGGTTCACGATGCCGATGGCCGTGTACGTTCTGCGTAATGATCTAGTCCTTTTTACTTGATTCACCTTCCTCAGGCTGGAACGAACATCCGTGGCGAGGAAGATGCCATCGAGGACAATGGACAAGCGTTCATACAATCGTTGACCGAACCGGAATTCGAAGAGCTCAAGAGTATGATCGACTCCGACCACATCTACTCGCGTCTGGTGGAGAGCATCGCGCCTACTGTTTACGGACACGAGATCGTCAAGAAGGGCCTTCTACTCCAACTCATGGGCGGTGTACATAAACAAACGCCAGAAGGGATGCATCTTCGAGGTGATATCAACATCTGTATAGTTGGCGACCCTTCCACTTCCAAGTCCCAATTCCTCAAGTGAGTTTCCCGTGTCTTCTCTCTGACATCGCTTGGTACTCATTGGGGTTGGTAGGTATGTCTGTTCTTTCCTTCCCCGAGCGGTCTACACGTCCGGTAAAGCCTCTTCGGCAGCTGGTCTAACAGCGGCTGTCGTGAAGGACGAGGAGACGGGGGACTTCACGATCGAAGCTGGAGCGCTCATGCTTGCCGACAATGGGATCTGCGCCATAGATGAATTCGACAAGATGGACATATCAGATCAAGTCGCCATTCACGAAGCCATGGAACAACAGACCATCTCAATCGCCAAGGCAGGTATCCACGCGACCCTCAACGCCCGCACGTCTATCCTCGCAGCAGCAAATCCTATCGGCGGGCGGTACGACCGCAAGAAGACGCTTCGTTCGAATTTGCAGATGAGCGCACCGATCATGAGTCGTTTCGACCTTTTCTTTGTCGTCTTGGATGAGTGCGACGAGAAGACGGATCTGAACATTGCCAGACATATCGTGAATGTGCACCGATTCCAAGATGACGCTATCCACCCTGAGTTTAGTACAGAGGCGCTTCAGCGGTATATCCGCTATGCTCGCACGTTCAGCCCCAAAGTAAGCCCAAGAGTACTTCGTGATAGTGCGACGCTCATCAGGGAATACCTCAGCTCACACCAGAAGCCGCTGATATACTGGTTGAGAAGTATCGTATTCTCCGACAAGACGATGCCACAGGTGCTGGACGAAATTCCTATCGCATCACCGTCCGTCAACTAGAAAGTATGATCCGTCTCAGCGAAGCCATTGCACGCGCAAATTGCACTTCAGTAGTAAGCATTCTTTATCCCTGTCACCTATGTGCAGTACCTCTAATTTAAATGAGGACAGATCACCCCTGCGTTTGTACGGGAAGCCTATACCCTCCTCCGCCAGTCTATTATCCACGTTGAGCAAGATGACATTGACTTTGACGAGGAAGAACTTGAAGGAGAACGAGGCGATGCTAGACCGAAGGCGACGGCTCCCGCAGATGAGTTCGACGCGGAGAACGACGTGGAGATGTCTGCGGCAGAAATCGAGGCCATGCAGGAGATAGAAAACTCTCTCGGCGGGGACCCCGCCCCAGCTCAGCCCACATCCGACAGCGCGGCTGCGATGTCGTCAGGTGCAGGTGCTTCGACAGATACACCAGCGCCAGCTCCTCCCAAACCCAGAATGATCATCACCTACGATCAGTATATAACGCTGCAAAGTCTCATAGTGATGCACCTTTCCAAGGTCGAGCAAGAGACAGGCAATGGACTAGACAGAGACGAACTCATTGATTGGTACCTCGAGTCAAAAGAAGCCGAAATCGACGATGTCGCAGAGCTGGACCGTGAAAGAGAACTGATCACTAAAATGTTGAGGAAACTAGTAAAGGTTGGTTCTTTCAGCGAGCTGCCGCGGCCTGGGTCTAACCTTTGACAATAGGACAACTACCTCATCGAAGTGCGCGGCGACGTGCAAGAGTCACTCCCGTCCATCGACGAGCCGAGTGCGGATTCGTCTGCTCCCGTCGACGGTGAGAATGTCCGTACCTATTATATGGTCCACCCCGCCGTCGATACAGACGGCTTCTCGACGTCTGGCATATAGTGCCAAATCTGCGTTATTTATTCGCTACTTGCTGTGTTTTCAGACATCTGCCGACGGTTATTGCTTGTACTTCTACGGCAGTTTAATTTATATAAAGAAGGTATGCTTCGCCAAATCGCGGCGGAATGGATGTAGGATTGCCTTCCAGATGACGGTTACTCGAGCTGAACCCTCCATTGTTCCACTTTCGCCACTGAAGCAGCTTGCTCTGTTGCTTCGGCCCTTTCTTCAGCCTCTTTAAATGCGCGCAATATCTTTTCTGCACCCAGATTAATGTATGGCAAGAACGTAATCACATCAAATTCATCTCTATGCCCCCGCTTTGCTCCCCATTCATCTCGGGCAAGGTTGTGTGATTCTGTGCCCGCACCATCTCGCGCGCGTCTCCCAACCGATGCCAGATATTCAGCATGTCTTGCATTACCAACGCCTTGCGGATACAATTGGTCTTTGAAACCATTCGCTGAGAACTGCTCCCGCAGATGTGGAGTGCCGAAGTGTACGAGAACAGCGCTAGCATAAACAAGGTCGAGAGGAGGCCACTGAGTCAGATCATCGCAGATACGAACGGAGGTGCCCGATTGAAGATGAGGGTCGCCAAGACTGTACGGATCGTCGATGAATGCATATGCTACGCATTGTAGGTCGCTCCGGCCTTCGTGTCTTCGTGGTGAAATTGTCGCGGCGAGATCTCCCTGGGCGCCAACAACGGCACCAATGGCGTAGCGGAGCCGTAGGGGCGAGAGGAGAAATGGCGGACATTCTCAGCAGATATTTAGATACAAGGAAACCATGTCCAGTTCGAAGGATCCAGGTAGACCGCTTTAGAGTGGAAATCATTGGGAAACGAGGCGTAAACAACAATTTCAGACATGGTCGACTACATTGACGAGCTAGATAATAGTAGACAATCGACTCAGTTACTGACCGTGGTACTGTATATTCCCACGGTCACAGCTGGCTCGTTTAGGAAATGCGACAATCATATGCCACTGAAGCCCGATCGCGCCTCCTCAAGGCGTTCACCACTCCTCGTCGTTCCCAACTATGAACTACATTCGCGGTGCCATCAGCACCATCAGCGCACCGTACCAGTACTACAAGGAACTCCCGCCAATCAACCCCTCAACTTTGACTGGTGCCATCGACGTCATTGTCGTGCAGCGAGCGGGCAAGGGTGGTGAGACTGAACTTGCATGCTCACCGTTTCATGTGAGGTTCGGGAAATGGCAGGTATTACGGCCGTCCGAGAAAACTGTGAGTTCCGGCTTATACTAAATGGAACGATCTAACCGTGGCTCAGGTTACGGTGACGGTTAATGGCAAGCCAATACCGTTTAATATGAAAATTGGGGAAGCAGGAGAGGCCTTTTTCGTATTCGAAACGGACGATGATGATGTGCCGGCCGACTTAATAACAAGCCCGATTCTACAGCCGACTCGACCAGAGGATGACCCGGATGTACCAGATGTACCAACAGATCGTTTCGGCGCAAAACCTGACTCGGATGGCGAGGAGCAGGAGGAACAGAAGCAGGAGGAACAGACGAAAACAGAGACTCAAGAGCCAGATTTCTTAGACCTGAATGACTCTGGCCAGTCGCGTCCCGAAGGTAATACGGCTGCTCAAAGTCTTCCCTCGCCACCTCCATCCCCTTCGTTAAACCCTACGCAGGTCTACGATGACCCGGACGCCAAAGTGGACGCTATGCTCAAGACATTGCAGAAGGACTTACATCTCCACGATGTTGAGTACAGACATGGTGAGTGGGACCAAGCTGGAGTAACGGACTAAACGTAATTCGCCGTGGTAGGTGTTGCTCTTGATGCAGAGGGTTATCATACGCATGAACATCATCATAATAGAGAAGCATCTGAGCAGACCATCACGGATCACGACTCCGACCTCCTCATTCCGCACTCTCAGTCCCAATTCATAGCTTCGAGTTCCAAGGCTATTCCCTTCCCCCGTGCCACTTCCGAACCTCCTCCAGACTTCGAAGAAGACGTTACTCCCCCTCCAGTGAGTACGTCGTCGAAACCGAACCAATTGTCCATCTCTCCACCCCTACAAGCATACTCCTGGGAGTGGGGTGCATTTCCGCAGCCGTCGCCAATGAAGACCACATTTAGTAAGAGCGGCCGACTAGAAGCCCACAGTAAAGGGAAGCGAAAGGCGACAACTGCCGACTCCATGTTGACGGTAGAAGATAGACCGAATAGAGAATCTGGTGATCATCACAGAAGTCGAAGCGTACCTCCCGTCATCGATGGCGTTCCAACGTTGCGCGGAGACGAGGATAGCTCAGATGATGAAGATCTCAGAGACCATCAAGCCGCAGCTGGCTACGGTGCTGGTGGCCGCCTCGCACCCAGCAAATCTGACCCAAAAAGATTCGCGGTGGTCGTTGAAGGTCGGAAGATGCGATTTGATTTGAGCATCGTCTCGGATGCTGGGGTGTTCCGTACACCGGATGAACTGGAAGCTGCCAGGACCTTTGAAGAAGGACGGATCGAATACTCCAGATTCTTGGAGGATGGGCAGCTGGTGGACGATCCTAAGCTGGTCATTCGCTGGGCGGGGGATCAGTGAGTCTCCTATTGCCGCCGGCTAATGTATTAAGGTCTAAATATGTCATAAAGTTATATCACCCAGGATGATGGTTCACCATTGAAGGATGCTCTGTCACTCTGGCGGCAAGCAGCTTTACAAGAGTCGGCGAGCCGCTTCCCTCCACGGCCCATATCGCCAGTCTCGGACGAAGAAGAAGACGAAGAAGATTCCCCACCAGATTTCTCAGAGCAAACGCCTCCTCTTACCACATCCCCAGAGCGAAAACATCATGATCGAGCGAAGTCGGAGCCACCAGAAACGGGCTTAGCCCCTCCAATAAGCCGAAAGCCTACATCCTCTTCTTGGGTACGGTGGTGGAGTCTGAGTAGGACGGTAACAAATGATCCGACACCGACCGGTCCTCAGGGTGGTAGACCTGAAATACGGGAATCTTCTTCGGCGCCGCCAGAACCTGTAAGCCCATTGAGTAATTTTGACGACTGGGAACTGACCTGGACCCATTAAATGACTGCTAGGAAGTACAACCTTCGTCAGTTTCGGTCGAGAAGTCATCCAAGAAGATCCTTCCTGCAGAATCAGCTCCGGCTCTCCCCTCGACGCCTGTTCAAGACCCACCGACCGATCCGTTCCTGAAGACTCTGACACCCAAGAATCTAGCTTTGGCGGATAGTGCCATTACGAGCAGTCAGTCTGTGAAGAAGAGACGAAAGTTCGTGAAGACGCTACGGCTGACGTCCGATCAGCTCGTGAGTCTTCTAGTGCTTGCGAAGGGCTCCAAACATGACCGTTGTTCAGAAATCTTTAGAGCTGAAGCCTGGCCCGAACTCGATCACATTTTCCTTGTCTTCTACGGGTGTTGTTGCGTGTACAGCGAGGATATTCGTTTGGGATTATACAGATCTAATTGTCGTATCAGACATCGATGGTACGATAACCAAGTGAGTCATTTCGAGAAGCCCTGGTTCTTTCGAAGCGGTTCCTAATTCTAATTCCCTCTTCAGGTCAGATGGGCTTGGTCATGTCTTTGCTATGATCGGGCGCGATTGGACTCACCTAGGCGTGGCCAAACTGTATACCGATATATGTCGAAACGGATACAAGATCATGTACCTCACGTCTCGCGCAATAGGCCAAGCCGATGCCACTAGAGGGTATCTCAAGGGTATCAAGCAGAACGACTACCAGTTACCGGAAGGTCCTGTCATCATGAGCCCTGACCGCTTGATGGCTTCACTGCATCGGTATGTCTCTTCTTTGATCCGCCCAGGACTAATATCGACCTCTTCTTGTTAGTGAGGTCATCATGCGAAAGCCCGAGGTATTCAAGATGGCCTGTCTCCGCGACATTCGCCAACTATTTGGTGACAACGCCAAGAATTCTTTCTACGCAGGCTTTGGGAACAGAATAACCGACGCGCTGTCATACCGGAGCGTTAACGTTCCAAGCTCAAGGATATTCACGATCGACTCATCAGGAGAAGTGAAATTGGAACTTCTTGAACTTGCTGGATACAAATCATCGTGAGTGACATCTTCTTTGGTGTTGGCACATCTGAGGAAGATCTTGCTCTAGATACATCCACATGACCGATCTGGTGGACCAGATGTTCCCACCCATCCACCGAAAGTGGGCGGCAGAGTATACGGATTTCAATTATTGGAAGGTCCCGATACAACAATTCTCTTTGCCCGATTTGTCACCGCCGTCGCCGGCCTTGAGCGCCCGTTCAGATACCTCGAACCAAAGTACACTCGCGCGCATTCGTAACTTCAGTCTTGTTGGCTCTCGACAACCCACCCTCGTGCCGACGCGGGAGAATGCAGGAGGCGAGGAGGAAGGGAACCTGTCGCGGCGAAGCTCCAGACTCATACAAATGTCTTCATTCGAGAGGCTGAGCAACACACTGTCGAACTTCACGCAGGCATCTTCGGGTAGTGATAAACGGCGCAGCATGAGTCCTATGTCACACTCGTCCTCCTCGAATACATATGCCGACTCGGACGATGAGTATGACGAAGACGCGGAAGATCCAGCACATAGAAGGAGAAGGGATAGGAGGCGCAGCATGACCAGTATGCCTGGATCCTTGGATGACGAACAATTCGGGTTTGATGAGGAGGACGAAGAAGACGAGGGTGAGGGGTCAGAAGAGTACGATAGCGAGGGTATGACGCAAGAGGATCAAGAAGCCGCCGCCGAGCGGGCACTTGATGAAGATGTAATGAAAGTCGCTGAAATGGACGACATTCCGTATCTGTAATTTCAACGCTGGGACACTTACAAGTCGATTTACGCTATATTCACTATTCGCATATGTAGAACGCAGAGCACAGATCCATTTCAATCACGATAACAATAGTTAAGGAAACCCAAAGCAACCAAAATAAATAAGAGGCAGGTATCAGTTACACAGTTGTTTTTCAAGGACACATGTCACTTGATACACCGACAATACAGGATGCAAATATCAATAGTAGATTCCGGTTCAGTTTTTGCCAGGGAAATGTCCGCGTCTATGATGCATTAAGTCCGTGCATAAATCCGTGGAATAGACAGTATCATAGCTGTTCAGAGCGTCCAAGTTCTATATCTTGTAATTTTGGTGGATCAGGATGATCAAAGTCGGAGTATTGTCTTGAATTATCCGAGAAATGACGAGAATCTGCAAGAATCTAGTCAAATATTTAGGTACGAATCCGCTGCAAGGCTTAGGTGGACAACCGTACCGTGGTGAATCCAGAACGCGTACCCTGATTCATAACATTCTTAGCATGCAGGATTCGTGGTGTTCAAAGCAGGGCACAGGAACTTACAATCTGCACCGACGACTGCGACTCTTTTCGAGGACCTTTGAAGAGGACGTTATTCGGGTTGTTCAGCACCTGTCCAAAATCGACACGAGCATTGAGCGATGCAATCAGCGTATTAGAGTACAGTTTGCTGAGCATGAAGTCAGGAATAAAGTTGCTATTGACGACGCTATGTTAGCGAGATAATCAGAAGGGACAAAAGTAGCACGTACAACCCCGAATCCTGGATGGAAGGGGTCAGCAATGCGACCTCTTCTGTAAAAGTCTCTAAGATCCACGTACCCTCAGTGTCAAGGCGAGGACGACATCAGCGATGGCAAACACCGCCGTAACGAAGCCCGTCTGAATTGTAACTACAGACGTTTTCAGTCCATCAGCCATTGATCGTTTGGATTCGACATACATGTCATGATCTTGTTGATGATATTATCGGTCACTTGCATCCCAGTCCGCTTGCGGCGCTGTCGTTGATCATCAGCATGCATAGCCCCACATAGACAAGGAAACATACCAGAGTCATAACCAGTGCAGTCGATATAATAACGTCAGCAAGCGCCGAACTACCTAACCAAGTCCCAGTGGCGGGGTAAAAGGTTTCGAAACGCGAAAAGTCGGGGTTGAGGATAACAAGTGCAGACATAGCGATACCACCACCTGAAACGATGGTTAAGCAAGTCATAACGAGATGAGGGCAGGTGCAAACACACCAAGAGACGTGATGGCAAGCAGTGAGATGAAGATGGCCACAATCTTTGAGGAAGTAAGAACACTGATGCGCCATGCAAGGAACAGTTGCACTGGCGTAGATATGAGTACCTTCACCGAATGGTTAGGTAAAATGCACGGAACATGGATTTCGTAGACCTACCGTCGTGATAGCGTCTAATGGGAGCAAGAGTGTTAACTTTGATTCAACCATGTAACAATGATAGTTAAATACCAGCAGGAAGCACTAGTCATAATAGGTCAGAAAATAGGGAAAAAGATGGAGGTAAAGTCATACTCGTTGGGGGTTTGGGTGGGCCGGGTGGTTTTGGAGCCCCTTAGAAGAATGTCACTCAGAGCTTTCCAGAGAATAATCGAGCTAGCTCACCCATAGGCATGACGAATACTTCGTACATCATGTGAATCACGCACGCGGTGCCAAACGTCTCCAGAACCAGGAGGTAGATAACCTTTGATAGAAGATAATGTCAGTGTACGAAATACGCAAATAATAGTTTGGAAATCCTACTCACTAGGTAGCGAATCAAAGGCTTATCGGAACTAAGCATGATGAGAAAGCTTCAGACCGACGGACGGGGGATGAGCGTACCGTTTGTAGACTTGAAAGTAATTAAATATCTGGCGAAGTGATTTAAATTGTGCTGAATCAAGGGACAGCCATGAGGAATCCCAACCTGGACTACAAGAATCTGTGCAACACCATGCAGGTAAGTCAACACCCGAAGGAGGGCAAAAACAGACTGACCCCGTAGAGTATAGTATTAAAGAAGACACCCAACAACATAGGCCCGAAGCTGCAAATTCAGCATATGCGTTCAAGGGGTGCATTAGGGGTTGAGGGAAACGGTTAAGCATTAGTATTCCAGGTGTTAATGAGGTCGAGGGAAGCTGCTCACAAAAGTTCAGGGTTTGGCTTCATTATGGCCGTCGAGGCATATAGTGAGGTACTGACCCTGGTAGACCAGGTATTTATCGACAGAGTTGGTAGCTCCTCTATTGCAACGGATTTATGGGCGTGAGAATTAGTCACTGCCCCTGAGTGAAACAATGCTGCCTGATCGCCTCGAAACGAAGGGAATATACGCCCATAGGCTCTAGTATTGTGAATCACTGATGTAGGAGCATGCAAATTGAGGGTGTCGTTACGTTTCAGTGCGAGCCGACCTAGAGATCGGGATCAGAGTGGCGAAGATAAGGCAAACGGGCGTATCTCTCGAATCGCAGTGGATGACCCGGAGCAGGATTGATGGAACCATTGACACTTCGCTTCGCCAGAGACATAATATGACAAGTTTGATTGATCCTTTCGGCGGAAGCCAACTTTCCATCAACGTTCTTAGTTTCGGGATGGGCAGCTCGTCGCATCGTGCTGCCGTGATGTGCTGTGGATAGAGGGGTATTGACTTGTCATGTAATAAAGTTTAACATCACAAGACGCAAAGGACACCATGTACCTCTGCGGCCACTGCCCCTAGCACGACGTGCCGATATAGAAGGGATCAGGATTTCGGATACACTAGATAGCTATGTTAGTGAATTGACGATAATGATCAGTTGCATGCAGGAAACTAGCAACTTACAGGAAGCTCTTGCGGTCACAAATGATTTAGCGTCGGTGGTCTAGCGACACAGGGGAATGGAGATGATCTATCCTATGAATATAAATATCAAAAGTGGTTTCCTCCGATAGAAATAGTTGCAGGGTATGGGGTGTGAGTCTCACTCGGAGCCATCTCCTCCGGTGGTCTGAGAAACCATGGGATCCAAAGGCTAAAAAACCATTCATTTTGTACATCAAACACTGAAATCATGGAGCCGCGCTGATCAGCCATTCTGTAGAACGTTGATAAATCTCAGCAGTTTCCCTCATAGTCGCACCGGAGTGTACTTACTCAACACGGTCGCCATCACCGCCCACTCAGCCGAAGATAAATCCAAACAACTGTGGCGGCTGCGTGGAGTCCTACATGGGGCAACGCTGGCCCTCCACTGCATCCCCGAAACTCAAATTTTATGGTGGCCTGGCCTTGCGCACCTTCAAAACGAGCTTGAATGCATTGATGTCTCACCGGCTCCCATTGCGAAATTCAGCGTCGAAAGTAATTATTGAACGAAAGCCTTCGGAGTTTGAACTTCAATTTCAACGTTCCTTCTCCAAATAAGGCCAAGTAACCCCTTCTCGTTGTGTCGTTTTGTCCAAGTTTTGTCGAAGCTTCGCTTCTTCTCTTCATTATGCCGGGGCACGACAATCAATATCCCCTTCTATGTGAGAAACCAAGGAAACTGAGCCACTATCATGAGTTCCCAGCGGGATGCGGGGTTCAAACTCCAAGTCCCTATGGTGTCGTCGAAGAAACACTGCAACGTGGGCGTTGTTTTCATCATGCTTGCTTACTTTCTCGCCGCTGACTTCGTGCTATTCATAGGTCTGTGTTGCCGTATGGTCCCGTGTACGCTACTCAAGAAGTTGGAAGATAAATAAATATCTCTCAAGTAAACCTTGCCGCTAGATGAGGCGCCAAGGGAGTAAAAAGCATTCGCAGACTTGTTTGAACTCCCGGCCGGTATCAGACACAAACAAATCGGCCATCGCACAACCACAGACCCTCGCCATCACCCTCTGCCATCCTTTCTTGAGCTGCTGGTGCGCCACAATCCGGAGCGTTCCATTCGCAGAATTTTGACCCGGCGTTGTTCCACTCACCATCTTACAACTTTCTCAAGGATAAGACGTGTACTGAACGATGAGCGTCCTGTTCTATCGCACGCAATGCTAATGTATCGCGCATTGGGATCACAAATGACACACGGACGCGGGAATATAGGATGTCCCATGGGAGATTTGGAATATGGCAGAATATGCCGGATACCGGTAGGCTGGCATATATAATATGAAAACTAGGGAGACGATAGTATATACAGCCCAGGGCGTTTGAGCTCCCATATCTTTTACCTTGGCCCACAGCGTGTCTCTATACCGGCCACTAACTGACAAAGAATACACCGCGAAATGTCAAGTAAGTCATGATTATCACTTTTGTATGCTGGTGGACGATGAAACGCCAATTCATCGCCAGCTGGTAGCTACGTCGCTTTACCCATCGACGAGTCTCCCTCGCCTTCTGTCACCGCTTTCCTCTCCGCCTTTGGCTCTGTCGCTATCCAAAAGGCCAACGCTGGAGTTGTCTTCCGCATCTCCCCATCAAAATGGGGGATCCTCGCCGACGGTGTAAAAGCCAGCGTCATCGCGGAGGCGTTCTTGTCTACTTCTGAAAAGTGGGAAGGGGGCCCTACCTATACGCATGCGCAAGGATCACCGAGGTTACAAACAATGGACTTCTTGGCGTCTAAACTGACCCCACCGAAGCAAGGCGAGAGTAATCTAGCCTGTGGATTAGAAGTGCGGTTCAAGGCGAAGGAGGGAAAGGAGGAAGATGTGAGGCAATTCTTGAAAGTGAGCTTCGGATTCTCATGTCGCCTGAAGCAATTGTTCACACGGAGTGTGTATAGGGAGCAGTTCCATTGGTTGAAGCAGAGCCTGACACACTGTTGTGGTACGCCATTGAGTTCCCAGATTCCCCGCGGGAGTTCGGGATTATCGATGCATTTCCGTCTGAGGCAGGGAGAAAGGCACATTTAGACGGCAAAGTCGCCGCCGCACTATTTGGACCAGGGAAGGAGCTCTTGGAGGGGGATCCAAGTGTGCAGATGTTTGATGTTCTGGAGGCGAAGATGTGAGCGTCTCTCGCGCTATCACGAACTTCCAGGAAAGAGAACGCTCTACATAGCGGTGCTACCTATACTTACTGACACGAGTCCATTTGGATATCGACGATAAGAAGTACGCTCGACGTACCCTACCCCCACTGTAGTTTCTAAAGTGTGCAATCAGCAGCGTGCGCCCTCTACTTAGATCACTACATGGTCCTAGTCAGCACCGGTAGTCACACGCTTCTTTTTGACGAGCGTAGCGTTACCAACACCCAATTGAAGGTAGGCGAAGTCGTGAATGCAATATTGTATGGGTACTGTAAAAATACTAAAGGCGGATCCTAGATTGTAAGTAAAGGAAGCAAAGATACACGAGTACAATCAGTCACCCAAACAATATCATGGGCGACCACCATCAAGGAATATCTTGCTGAGCGGACGATCGCGGTCGCGATTCGGACGTTCCCTCCGTCTCCCTGTTCTCATGGTGCTGAGAGCATTATCGAAATCACCTCTGCCAATGGAACGCTGATTGGGCCTAGCGGTGGGTTGCAGGTAACTAGAAGGGGCTACGTTCTCTTTGATAGTCTTTGGGAGAAAATCAGTTTGAGTATAAGGGAACACACGCCCAAGCTGACCTTCTCAGGCGCCGCTTGTGCCGGCTCGTGGATTTCTGGTGGAGGTGGAGGCGGTAATATCGTAGCGTTGGAAGATATCAAATCAGTAGCACATTTCTTTTGAAGGGTTAGCGTATCTCGGGATCAGGCAGGGTGGGATCTACCTGAAGGGAGGAGTAGAATGTTGCAATCATTCCAAAGAAATCTTCAGCCTTAGGGGCGTCAGGAGAATCGGGACTTTCTCCATAATACAAGAGCAAGGACTTGATTTGCTGGTCGACCGAGTCTCCCATTAGCTTCAGTTTGTCTATCTTCGGGGTGACCTCCTTGACGAAAGGCTGAAACATAAACAATGAAGCAATCTAGCGACATCAATCCAAGTAGTAAACCAACCTCCATTATGTATACGAAGCGGTCCCCTTCGGGGGCAACCCTAAGAGCTTTGATTTGAGCTACTTCACTCTTGACTTGCGCTAGGCCAGAGACCAAAGAATTCACTGTTTGCATGAGGGTCTGCATGGATGCTGGCAGCGAGAGTCAGCAACAGAGAAAGGAGTCAACAATTGAACTCACTTCGAGTGGCAGCCTCGAGTGGCCGTAGGTCTTCTTCAGTCGGTATCAAGGTGGGATCCGTCCTCAGCAGGACACGCGCAAGGTAATGTAGCATTGTAGGACAACTACTGCCCCCTCGCGCTGTCTTGGTCTCTTGTAACTGCAGGCGACGTCGTCAATCTTGTGCAGAATGGAAAGCAGAAAAGAGACTAACCTTTGTTAGCGCTTCAAGCTGGAAGCCACGAGCGTTGCCTCGAAAGGATGAGCCATTCAAAGCATTCCCTACTGAAAGTACAGCCTGCGATGTGTCAACAATGTTTCTCTACGCGCAGGGTAAAGGATGGGCACCTGCAATATCTTCTTAAACTTCAAGGAAGATCGAAGGTCGCCAGCAACTACCCGAAGCGCCTGTAGCTCACAGCACACTTCATTAAGATCCAAGTCTAATTTATGACGGTACAACATGCAATCCAATCGCTCTGTGAGGCGAGGGATAGTCATGATCTAAAGCGAATGGTAAGATAGTCGTTGTGGTTTCGGCCGGCACATACCTGACTGAAGTACTGATCAGCTTTTGCCAGCTTAGAAACGTCGTCGAAATCCCTAATGCGATTTATCTTGCCATAAAAGTGTCAACACAAAAGGAGAGCATGCAAGAGCATGGGATCTCACTTCGTCATGAGTGGGCAACTGCTTGCTGATCGCCTTCAATTCGTCGACGTCAAGTTTACTATCATCCAGATCCAAAATTGCCTTGCGAATATCCTTGTGGCCGACCTTGATTCGAGCCAACATGATAGCTTCACAATTTGATCAATACAGAGAGGAAAGTTTTGCGAAATATCAACGCACCAACGTTATTGGCTCGTGTGATGTCAAGGAGCGTCGTGACATTCTTCTTAGTTGTTGGGCTCTTCACAAGGGAGGATGCGGCGGGTGTGTTATCCAAGGTGAATGTTTCCTCTAGATCGTCAATCTTGAACGCGGTATCAAGTGACGCTTCATTCCAGAAGGATGAGGCGACAGCAGGGTTGGCAAGTTTGTTCCAAAAGAAGGGTTTCAGCTTCTTCGACGGACGAGAGGGCCGAACGGCCACTCTAATAGCGACCCCTGGGGGAGGGGGAGGTGCTGGTGGGCCACCCGGCGGCGGAGGAGGAGGAGGGGGAGGAGGAGGGGGAGAGATGCCACTCATACCCAATGTTGGCGGGGGTGGTGGTGGTGGTGGCGGCGGCGGCGGCGGGAATGTGGTGGATGGGGTGGGTGAGAAGGATGACGGAGGAGGAGGAGGAGGAGGAGGAGGAGGAGGAGGAGGAGGAGGAGGAGGAGGTGGTGGTGGTGGTGGTGGCGGCGGCGGAGGGGGCGGCGATGCTGAATGTGGTAGAGAAGTAGATGATTCTAGTAGAGAAGTGGATGGTGGCGGTGGCGGCGGAGGTGGCGGTGGCGGCGAGGATATCTGGGGTTGGCTCTTCGATGTGTCGGTGGAATCGGTTGACGATGTAAACACTGAGGGAAGGGTCGCCATCCGCTTGGGCTTAGGAGCAGGTGGGGGCGGGGGCGGGGACCTGACCTTGAACTCTTTCTCCGTCTTCGGCCTAACTTCTAACTTCGCCTTCAATTCGATTATCTCTTTGCGCAGAGCAGCAATCTCTTCGTCTCGTTGTGTCAGTCGTTCTATGGTACGGTTGGCAATGAGTTCAGCATCCATTTCGGCTTCTTTTGCAGCTTCCCTCATTTCATCCCGAGACATGAACCTTGTGTAAACGGACTCCAAAGCGCGTTTGAGATAGGTTATTTCTTTATCCCTGATGTCCACCGCAGTTTCGAGTTCCCCAAGCTGGATAAAATAGTCAATAAAGGTGATGAGGGGCACTAAAAGGGCATACTTTGATCTTGAGTTTAGCGATCTCGTCCATCAAAGCATTCCACTTTGCTCGATCACGCTCTCTCTTAGCCTTCTCATCCTGCAGATAGCGTGAGTTTGTATGAAGAATCAGTCCATTGTACATACAGCATCTCGTCCTTCAGAGGGATTTTCAGCTTTCGACCTATCCAAGTCTGCCTGGAGTTTCAGCACCTGCTTCTCCTTCTGCACTAGACGTTGGACTAGCCCATGGAAGTTCTACAACGCGGGAGAGTTGAACTATGTCCATACGTGTCAAAACCATTCACATACCTCGGGGCCTCCCTTTCCTCCCTTGGCGTGAGGCACTGCAATATTCAAAGGAAGGGATTTGAGTGTTTGAAGCTCAGCGAGCTGCTGGTTGAGTTCATCGCGAAGCTTCGTTCTCTTGTAATGGGCACCATCAAAAGAAGAAATCCCGCCGTGTGATATGAGCTGCGTACCTCTTCGCTGAGTTCCTCTACTTGAGACCTTAGCGCTTCAAGTTCCTCTTCGACTACGTTTATGGATACTGAATCCGAGGGGGGTTTGACTTCGAGTTCTTGTCCAGTAATGTGCTGAACCGAGTCAGCAAATTTCTTCATGAAGACATACCAGCCTTTGTCACTATATACATATAAAAATCTGACATTTACGAGAGAATCATCAAACTTACAAATCATCAAGCAAAGCTGCCTGTTGAACGAAATTGTCTAGGATGGAAAATAAGTCCGCCTTCAGCTGCCTGAGCATTCGCTGGATCAGCAACAAGATCAGGTCTGACACTACGAATAACATACATTGCGGTGTCTTTGGAGAGGATTTGGCTGAAGTAGCTGAGTATCTCCAACATCATGGGGTACAACTCTCCGTGTTGCTTCGCTAAACGAACGAGATCTTCAAGCTCGACGTCAGAGTCTGAGAGTGATCGTCCATGGCGGCTGTCGCTGTGAGACTCTATGAGTGCTTTGGCTCGTTGGCGCATATCCTCTTCATCCTCGAACTTCTCTTCTGTGTACACATCCAATTGTGTCTTGAGGGAATCGGGAGGATTTATGTACCTTAGGGTCTACACGGCTATCAGAGGATTCCCGAAGGCGTTGGGATCCTTATGCTTACCACAATGATCTCATTGAGTCCTCGTCGACTTAGTTCCTCTCGTAAAAGCACACGGTCCTCCAGCGATTCTGGGCATGTCGTCAGAGCATTCAGCAATGCCAACGTCGCAGTCCTGGCTTCCCAGATCCCTTCTTCCTCGTTGCCGAATCCAACAATTTCCTCCCCGTCACTGTCGTTATGGATGTCTGGTAGCCGCAGCGATTCAATAAGGGTATCAAATCGAAATTGTTCGTCAAATGCGACGCGATAGTCAGACAAAGCTGCCAGAACTGCGCGGTGGCCATCGACGAGCGAGACGACACATATGGCAGCAAGAAGCTCGCAGGCGAGAGTTCGGATTTTAAGAGATGGGATGTTTAGTGAGTAGGTTATGTGGGTGATCATTGTGGGCGAAGCCAGAACTTCATTAAACCCAAGCTTAGGACACATGGTGTGAAAACACGACTCTTTGAAGACGATGAAGTCTAGCTCACCTCGGTATTTAGCAATGCTCTGAAACATTTAATCACCTCCGCTAAAACTGTGTTTTCCGCCTCATTCAAGAGTCTCCTCTTTCCGCCCTTGCCAACGAGTGTCGTTAACAACCCGCCCAAAGCTATCAATCCTTTCTCCGCAGTGATGAACTCTTCGATCCAAGCTACCTTGGCCGTAGACAAGTGCACTCTTAACGAAATCAGATGACTTGCCAACTTCTTATCCATTGCTTTTGGTGATTGCAACCTTTCTACATACGATTTCGCGGTCTTCAAGCCATCACCAGAGGTCATGGTGCTGGACGATGTCCACCATGAGCCCCACAGACTGCCTGTCGTTTGTGGCTGCAATGGCTGCGCTTCCGCTGCTCTTTCCATCTGAGCCTTGCGACTGGGTTTGAGGTCTAACGCCACATCGAACTCGCCGCTCGTACGCTGAGGGGACTCGGCAGTCACGACAGGAGGTGCGCTAGCACCCCAGCCCGCCATTGAGAGACGTCGCATGAGGCCAGTGTCACCCGTCAACTGGGGGACAAGTCGCGGAAGCAGCGCGCTGGCACTAGATGGGCCATACGAAGCTGCGTAAGAGGGTGAAGTGGGAGATCCAGGTGCTTGTTTGGGAATGGAGGCGCGTAGAGCACTGTTCTGCTTCAACAAGTATCGTTTGCGGCTGGGAGGCAAGGAATGCATCGCAGCACGCTTCTCGCCTTTGAGGTTGAGATCGTCCTGTGTATTATGGAAGCGTCAAGGACGACGTGTAACTCTCGAAGAGAGAAGACGAAAGTACCAGCATCTGTTCGAAATCACCGGAGTCAACATCAGACTCTTCACTTTCACTGGTGTCGCTGACTTGAGCTCTGGCGTCTTTAGTCGCCCGCTTATCCAGAGGCTTTGGCTCGCTCACAATCGTGCGTCTTTTCTCGGTTGGCGTTGGAGAAGAGGTGGGTGAAGTGGGCGCAAGCCAACCGTCGAAAATATGGGACAGACGATTCTGCGAGAATGTTCCTTGGTGACTCGGTGTGGATGGCGATTGCGTGGTAGCATTGTCGGAGACTTTTGCCGTGCCATCTCCTTCATCCATCTCCTCTTCATCAGACTCCTGTAAGGCTGCCAATCGCCGCAACGTCGACTCTGTCGGTTCAACGGAAGCAGAAGAGACGGCGCGTGATTTGGAACGGCGATACCACTCGTCAGGGACACAGAAGCGAAAGATACGAGAGGCTTGTGAGGAGAAAGGATTTGGGCAAAAAGCAGAGCGTGTTATGGTAAACATGGAAGCAGACGGAGGGAGACGCGACCCGCCTGCGTGTGGATTAGCAGGATGCGAGACAAGACAGGCATGAGAATAATTACGATCTTGTTGCCCATCGATCCACGCCTCCTCAAGCACATACTCTAGCGCGCCACCTCCAGGCACAGGTAGACTCTTTGTGAGCCCGAGTTCCTCAATCACTAGGTCGATGACCTGTTTCACTGTCATGTTTGGATGAAGATATATCTTGTATTCGTAGCCATCATGAATTTCTGGCACTCGAAGAAATGAGACCGTGAGTGACAGCTCTGGATTCAGCGAGACGAGGCGTAATACAGGGTTGTGAAGGTGGGAGGTCATCGGAAATGAAGAGAAATGTCGTTTCGAAGGTGAATCCGGCAACGCTGTCTGGAGCAATGGTGCGACAAGTGCACCAGGCTCAATGGTACCTAGAATAATCAGTTTACGTGGGCTCAAGGGCCAGTATACTAATGCTCACCATCACCTAACTCCTCAAGGTCATCTTCTTCCCAAGACCGTCCGCTACGTTCGACGCGTACTCGTTGCAGGGCCCAACCAATCTCCTCAAGTCCACCTAATGCCTCTTCTTTCACTTCACTCTTGGAGACCAGCGCATCAACCACATCCTTTGCTGTGCTTGTTGCGGCGACAGTGGCAAAATGAACCGTTCCAGAGGTCAATACGGTAGGAACGAGGAGAGTGTCATCCGGCATGACTTGGTTTCAACTTCGTGATGCGCCGCCACGCCTACAAGTAGTATCGAGTTGGCTTAGCTGCCGTCGATGAGTGAATACTGGACAATATCGTGGTTGCTAGCAGTACAGAAGGAGATCGGCACGGAGCAGTGGAATTCAGTAGTGCATGAAGGGAGATAGTTCACGTGATCTACTACCTAAATTCGTGATTAAATTTCTGAATCTCCTCCTTCCAGTGCCTTGACATCCTAGCCATGGATCCTCATTCGACACTGTCTCAATTCAACCAAAGAACACCGAAGATCGGTCCACTATCGTCGAAGTTACGCTACGCGGAAACTCCGACTAAGCTACTGGCCGAAAAACGACCCAGTAGTGGCGTCCAGAAACCTGTTACCATGCATTCTCCATTTCCCTTGGTCCGACGGCCAATTGCTACGAATTCGAGGATCAAGCAAGACGAAAAGTATAGGAAAGACATGTATCTGGTTTTCGTCAACAATGCGCTGCAACAGAAGGCAGGGGTGCGCATATCATCTCGTGTGATCACATTGTTCCCCGGACTGACTACGAGCGAAGGGATTGAACGAGCCATTCAATGAGCTCATGGATCAGTTCAATCCCAAACGGGCGCCTTCTGAACGGGCGCACCTCCGATCGTGGTTGTCGGCGCTGTCGCACGTTGTCTCCAGACTCGATCGTTCACATTCCGTGTTGGTAGAGGCCATCGTAAACATGCCATGGACGACCTTCAATTCCGCTACCGTTAGATCATATACGGTCTTTATCGGCATGCTGGTCAGCGCGAGGCCGGAATACCTATCATTGGTGCTAGCGAAAATCGCTCAGGGATTCACACATCGTACGTTCTCCACTACGTCTCGCGGAGGCAGATAGTGAACATGTCCGCAGAGTCCGCGATCCAAACCCTCGACCTCGGCGAGGCAGAGAGCTCCGCTGAACCCCTCACACGACGCACTGTCTACGATCGGCTTCACTATCTCCTCCGCCATCTTCATTCGTTAATTCCAACGCTGTCCTCGACACTCCAGCCATTACTTGTCCGCAACTTCCCCCACAAACGCCAGAATCTAGTCACGCAGACTACATACATCCGAAATCTCCTCCATGTCGCTTCATATTGCCCCGAAATCGGCGACAAAGTCATGGCCACGATCATTGACCGAGCTATTCAAATCGATGTAAGTATCCACCTGCTGGAACGGAGATGTTTCACATCTCATTCATGTCACAGGTCGAGATCCAAGTCGAACTAGAAGAACTGGAAGACGCCGACATCCCGCAAGACACAGACATCTTTGAAATAGATCCATTTGATACCGCCGTCACCCAGGACCAACCAGACTCTGACGACGATGACGACAGCGAAGACGATGATGATGAAGCGTTGAGCGACATATCGTCGGACGGAGGTGACATGGACGACTTGCCACACATAATTGAAATTCCAACAGACGCCCGACATATCCATGCCATGGTCAAAAAGCTAGACGCAATACTAACTCTTTTGTTTAAGCATTTCGAAGAAACTGTGACGCCGCCTCCCCAACTGGACTCATCTCTCTCGTCTTTGCCCCCCCTTCCGTCATCGCCATATGATGCCCCATCGTCCCCAACACCGGACTCCGTCGAGCCCCTTCAGACCTCAAATGCATCTGCGCCTGCTGTCCTTGATACCCCCTCGGAGCCAAATAGAACCCGACAGCGCACCCAATTCCACACTCTCCTTTCCATCTTCGACCGCACAATAATAAAAACCTTCAAGTCCCGATACACTCAGTTTCTTCTCTTTTGGTATTCCTCACTAGACCCTGAATACACGGATTTATTTCAAGGTCTTCTCGTCTCAAAAGCGCTGCTAGAAGAAGACCTTCCCGCCGTTACACGTTCCGCAGCCGCAAGCTACATAGGGAGTTACATCAGTCGGGCTAAATTCATCGACCGGGATGGCGCGCGGCGGGTGGTTAATGTCCTGTGTGATTATGTAAAGAGTCACCTAGATAGGCACGACATGCTCGAGCAGGCCAACGCTGAGATGCCTAGCATGGCGCATCACAGCGTCTTCTACGCGGTCGTCCAAGCGATATTCTTGATTTTCTGCTTTAGATGGAGGGATTTCTTGGCGGATGTGGGAGAAGAGGATGATCTACTCGGTGAGACGAAACCTATAAAGAAATGGATATCGACCCTCGATGTTGTGCAGCGAGTGGTCACTTCGACACTTAATCCACTAAAGGTGCGCCTAGCCCATGACCGGCTGCTTCGACCACCCGTTAATAACTCGTACTCGATGCTCCGCTAGATATGCTCTGCGAACGTCGTGATGCAATTCGCTCGGGTCGCACAAGCAACAGGCTTCGTCTACTGCTATTCGATCATGGAATCAAACAAGCGCTCGGAATACAGCACCAGTGTGAACAACACCAGCACACCTACCAGTCGCACCCCCGTGAACCCGCTTATTCTAGATAGATCAGTCAATACTGAGTTGAATACCTTCTTCCCCTTTGACCCGTATCGGCTCCCGCGGTCGAGTCCTTTTATCGAGAGCGTGTATCGGGAATGGTCGTCCGTCGCCATAGAGGATGATGATGATGACGATGACGACGACGACGACGACGACGACGACGAAGATGTCGAAAACGAAGATGGGAGGGGCTACGATTCCCCAGCGGCCGACTTGGACGATAGAGCGGGAGGACAATCAGTTGCTGACAGCGACGCTGGTGGGCTAGGCGAGAGTTTCAATGCCATGAGCATCAGTCCTGCCCAACCAAGGGTCAAGACGAGATAGTCTACAGTCTTATATTGACTCATACATCTTGGTTATCATGTTGTCGTTGCATTTAATCTCGTTTCACATCTGCATAGGATGATGATTTTCGATTCCTGAAAGTGTTCTGAATGGTCAGGTCTGTACCTCATATGTATCAACTTTCCCCGACCGTAGTCAGCGGCGTGATACAGCGAGGGATGTTGTACCAACCTTCGCCCATATACAAACTTCAAACTGGACATGGTTTCCTTGCATACAAATATCTGCTGAGAAGGTCTGCCATTTCGCCTCTCGCCCCTACGCCTGGCTCCGCTACGCCATTGGTACCGTTGTTGGTGCTCAGGGAGATCTCGCCGTGACCAATACTCAATCATACACCCCGGTTGATTATCTAGCTCCAAGCATTCCTCTCGATTTCCTTGCTCTATATTATCATCTCGACGACAAGGAGAAACTGCGAATGTTTCCCATCGACCTGACTTACTCCCCGAGCGCATCACTTCTAGCGTGGTCACCGCACGACGTGCTGGGTTCCGAGAGGATGTAGCGAGACGGGATAGAAACAGTTGTGTTGTGTCACAAGCCCCGAGATCGTATTGTGATGCCGCTCACCTTTCCGCACACGCTAAAGGGGACATAGTGTGAACTCATCGTAGAGCATGCTTGATGCATGCTAATGTCTCCCTATAGTACATCCAAGTCAACACTCAGCGCCGCGCTCGATCTGCAGCAGACCACATTGCCAACGTTGATGACCTACAGAATGGGTTATTACTGCATCCTTTCATACATCATGGCTTAGGTAAAAATGTCGCCTTCCTTCTCAACCCCTCGCACTCACGTTTTTCTACACCAGACCCCGAACTTTGCCCTGGAGATGTCAGACAAAGGCCGGAGCGACCTACAATGCGTAGCACACGCATTCATCGACGATCCGTACAGCCTTGGCGATGTTGGATTTCAGCAATCTTGGCGGTACAGGGGTATAGGGGATTCACGTGACTACTGTAATATAGTATCGCGCTCATGTATTATTTTCTTTATGCGTTTGCTGGAGTCCCAGCCAAACGCAATATATCTACTTGCTCACTCAGAACTCGTGCGACCTCACCGGCTTATTTTAACAGGCGACCCTCATCTTCAGTCGGGCACCTCCGTTCGTTTCTGCGATGATCTGACTCAGTGGCCGTCGACCTCGTTTATGCTAGCGCTGTTCTCGTACACTTCGGCACGCCACATCTGCGGGAGCAGTTCTCAGCGAATGGTTTCAGAGACCAATTGGATCCGCAAGGCGTTGGTAATTCAACGCAAGCTGAATGTCCGGCATCGGTTGGGAGACGCGCGCGAGATGGTGCAGGCCTTGCGAGAGGTGAATGGGGAGCAAAGCGGGGGCATAGAGATGAACTTGATGTTTACGATATGATAGCGTTCATTAGTGTAGGTGCAGAAAAGATGTTCCGCATATTTAAGGAAGCTGAGGACAGGGCGGAAGCGGCGGAACAAGCTGCTTCGACGGAGAAAGTGGAGCAATGGAAGGTTCACATTGATTAGTTGTACGTCAAGTGTGAGATCAAGATTACTGTACTATCACTATGTTACCCATGTCTTAAGTTTTGAGAGTATTCAACGGAGAGCACAGATCGCACTTTGCTACGCATTCCAGCAGCAACTTGAACAAACCGTTGACCTAATCAAGTAGTCAGTACTTGTGCCGCCTGAAAAGTAAAACAAAGATTTTACTAACATTCACTGACTGCGCAACCAAGCAGTTCCTGCCTTTAGGTCCCCAGGTCAGGTCGCACGGCTTATAATGCCAAATGTCAACGACCGTCTCTCCAACAGTGTGCTCGCCGATGAGCTCAACGTCCACGCGAAATCGTGTGCAATTGAAAAGTTCGGGTTGGGAGATGTATAAGATTGTAACGGCGTCGTGAAGTGGTGGGCCGTCATTGAAGCCGAATGTGGATTTGTAGGCGTCGGCGAAGAATGTGAGGAGCGTAGATAGTGTGTGTCTAAGATTAGAAACAGCTTCGGGAGGATTATCTGGATTCCCGTTGTATGATGGGTCCAGAAGGGAGGCTCGAATTGTCTTTGTGACGATTGCGGTGTGAGTAACGTTGAGTGGTATCATGGTCTTTTTCACCAGTGTGTTGAGAACGATCTGGGCGGCATGTGCTGTGCGAGATATGGTGAGCGCGCGATTATTGAGAAACAGGAGGCTAGTCATACGGTCACATAAAATATTCCATTCGGCGACTGGAGATCGATTCCCCATTCCAACGCCCCCACCCATGAAAACGAACTCTTCAATAGCATCAACGAGGTCAGGGTATATTGATACGAAGAGCGCCACATTTGTCATCGGACCACTAGATATCATGCAGACTTTGTGTCCCGCACCACCTTGCCAGGTGGCTTTGATATGGTGCACCATACCCTCCAGTGCCCTAGTGGGTTTCCCGTTATCATCATCGACGAACCAATTACGAAGCGCGGGATCGCTCGCATCAGGGAGTCCTTCGACACCGCCCAGTCCGTCTTCACCATGGATCTCAGCATCGTAGCGGGGAGGCAGAAGAAGAGGTTTGGATGCGCCGGGATACACTCGCAGTCCTGATGGCGCTCCAAAGGCATAGAGGCACCTGGCAGCGTTGATAGCTGTGCTCTGGCTGTCAGTGTTGCCATGGGTCTGGAGGGTTAGACTTGTTATCGATGTGATTACAAAGGTTTATTGAAGTACCGTAGATATTCCTAAGAGAGTGATGTTGGGACAGTGTAATGCCAACATGATAGCTGTAGCATCGTCGTGGCCCTTTCACGAAGTGAGTTGCGTAAATCATGGTCTCCTATATTGGGATAATCAAATGGCACCAACGGGATCGCAATCCAGCCAAATGAACCGTTTTTGTCGGTTATCCATGGAAGCCTTCGGATGGATAGTGCAGAGAGTTCGACGTTCAAGGGTTACCCAACAGGCGAATCAGCGCACCCGAGAACAAGGCTGACTGATTGGAGAACAACGCAGTCTTGTTCGGGCGCTTTATTTCAGTGCCCACGCGCTCATGTGATGTGACTTGTTAGTTTGCGCGTTGTTTACCCGTGTGGGTCCCGAATTTATTTATTTGGTTCAAGTTCAACTTGGATCAATTTGGTTTCCTTCCTTCGAGTCCAGTTGTGTTCAAGTTCTTCCCATCGCAGCTCTCAACGCACTCAAGCGGCGCTCTCGCCGACGAAGGCCCTACGCCCTTACGCTCTCTCCTACGCAATTAACGTTCCCTCAAGAATAATAGAAACTCAAGCCTCAACATCTCGACGAATCTCCTCAAAGAAATATGATTCCCCTTATTCCAACGCTCGTACTGGCTTTCGTCTCATTTGCTTGCTCAGCATTTGTTATTCTTCGCATTGTAATTCCCATTTTACCTCCTCATCCTTTGAGCAAACGGGTCGCTCCAGTGAGTTTGCCTTCCATCGGCTCAGAAATACCAACCGCTAACGGTCTTCGCCATCTCAGGCCGAGTTTGGCCTTCCTAACTTTCGCTCTCTTTCAGCCGCCGACAAAAGCCACATCTGGCTCGCATCCTTCGACATTTTGGCCATCGGAATTTTTGTGTGGCAAGCCGTCAATGAACACATCGGAGGACCCACTAGCATGGGTGTTGCTGAAGATCCGCTCTCCGCGGTTAGGCTATGGTTTGCCTTGACCGTCAGACAAACATGCCTACTGGTCGTAGCAGGCCTTACCCTCCTTCACGTTCGCATGGGGCGTTCGGTATCCTTTGGCGCCAAGCATTGGATTCTATGGTCTCCTACCGTCCTCCTGATCCTTACGTCCACCGCTCTTGCAGGTGTACTTGCAGGAGCTGGGATGGACACCCTCTTCCTTGGTCTCTTAGCCTACTCGTCCTCGCTCGCAGTCTTAAGCACGATTTCCTTCGCGTGCTTGATTGTCACCCTCGTCATGATCAAGCGCAACTTGCTTGCAATTCAGGATGTTCATGACCCGTGGCCGCCTGCTCGTGAGGTAGAAGAGAAGCCACGCCCTTCGTTTGCTACAGAGGAGGTTGACGCACTTCGTGATGGTGCTTCTTGGATTACATCTAACGCAAGCACAAGCTCGCGACATAATTCTATCTCGGCTTGGTCCTTTTCCACCCACCACACCGCTGCTGCATCTTCTCAGCATGGACACGCTCGTCACCCAGGAACTGCGTCGCACACTTCGATTCCCCCCAAGTCCTCGTATTGGTTCGGATCATCGACCGTCGCTCTTAATGTGCCCCCTGTTCCGCCCTTGCCTTCCCCTTACGGCCCCCTTTCCCCCACTGCAGAAGCTCTTGGTGACCCAGACCCATTCCGTCGCATCCCCACACCACTCCCTGAACATCCTCGTCAACGCTTCGGCTCACAGACATCTTGGTTGACTTCGGTAGATGGTTCCCAACCTACCCTGTCCGCTTGGTCCTTCCCAGCTTCCTCTGTGCACGAGGGTACAATCCGCATGAATGCAAGCAACGCCAGTATCGCTGATTTACATGCGGAGTTACTGCCTTCGACTGCCGTTTCTCGACCTAACACGCCCGCCCTCTCCAATGCTCAAGTCCTTGGAGGGTATGGTTATGCCCCTGGCACGTACGAGGCAGAGAAAGGGTTGGCTGCACTTGCTACTTCATCAAGTACTTCCCTCGACGTTTCCCTGTATAAAGCTGCCGGATGGCTGCTTATGATCTGGGTCCCTTTGGTACGCTGAAAAAGTGAACATTTTTAATCATGACGCTAATGAGTATCCCCAGGCTCTTTCTTTCCCTTACCTGGGCCTTCTCACCGGAAAAGCTGAGCCTTCGGCTGTGGTAAACATTCTCCTGGTCCTATCTGTGACGTTGTCCTCGCCTCTACTTGCGTTGAACATTATGTTGCGTTCACCGATCCCAATTCCCCACGGTCTCTTTGACTCTCACTCCGATCTTCCTGCGAACGTTATCCGTGGTCCTTCCCCTGCTGGCACCTCAACGACGTATATGAACAAGTTCTCCCATGAGTACAAGCGGAGCACGAGTGCCAGCGTCACCGTTGTGGAAGGTCGCCGGAGTGGTGATGTGTGGCTTTCCAAGGGCGATGCTATCGACGGGAAGAACCGAGTTGGACGCGCACTGGAGATGCTCGCTCCGCGACCGAAACTATCAGTATTGCCACTTGAAGAGAAGGAGGATGACGACCTTACCCCCCCTCTCCCTATTCAGATGGATGATTCCTCTCACCACGATTTCAGCCACAACAGCACACCTCAGTCCCACATGACGGCGGAGATGGGCCGACTAAGAAAGGAAGCATCGAACCTCTCAGACAAACTCGAAGTTGCTTTCACTAGTCGCATCATGGTCGCGGAGAGGCACTACTCGGCTATGGCAAAGACTGTCGTTGTAGACGCATCCCCCGATAAGCAGGGATCCGCTCCCCAGGAGGCAGGCATGACAACTGCAGTGAAGCGTGCCTCCATGCGTCACTCTGCTCACTTGCGTTCTCGCTCGGTGTCTTCCATTCAACCTGCTGAAGACTACAGCAATCCAGGCACTCCCACCGGCTCTGTATTCGGTACAAGTCCCAGCCCGCCACCATCGTTCCCTCTGCCACCTACTCCGCCTAATGTTCGTGCTGCCCGCCTCGCCAAGTTGAAGCACAAGAAGTCTTTCTCATCCGGAGAGAAATTCTCATCTAGCCCCGAAGGTTTTTACTTCGGAGCTGTTGATGATATCAACCAGATCGACGCCCTCACTGCTGGTGTTCTGCCAGTATTGGTTCCCGGTCTTAAGGTTGGCAGTGGCATGAAAATCAAGAAGGGCGACTACTCTCCCCCGACAACATGGACCAGGGCTGCTCGTGGTCCTTCCGGTCCTGGTGTTTCAAAAGCTAGGAAAGCGATCGTGAAGCCTGAAGAGTTTGGTGCTTTGCCAGGTCAAGCTCACTCCACTCCAGCTAGGCGCAAGCCCAAGGTCGCGGATGCCTCGACAAGGAAGAAGCACCATTTCAGTCTCCCCAGCCTTGGTCTAGGTAAAGATGGTGTCCACTCTCTGGCCAGCGAAATAAAGAATGCTTTGGAAACCCATGTCAATCAATACGTCTCCACGCCCAGCAACGTTGATATTAGTTCAAGACGCATTACCGTATATGGTGGTGAAAGCTTGGAGCACCTCGAAGTCCGACAGCGCTCCGAAAGTGCTACCAAACGCGATGCTCTCTCCCGCGCCTTGTCCACTCGCTCCCTCGGCCTCCGCGCTGATGTTCCTCACAGCGTCGACAATTCTCTTCGCCTTTCCAACGCGTCAATCGGCCTTCCGCCCTCCGCTGCCTCAACCGCTACCCTCTTCGAGTTAGAGGCTGAGATTGGCATGGCATTGGAGTCGCCACCTCAAGCTGAGAGCACTCCTCACAACACCATCGCTCCAAGGACTACGACACGATCAAGACCTCCCCCGCTGCCCCTCACCCATTCCAACATGTATAGCGTTGACACTAATGAACGCCGCTCCTCCCGCCGATCAAGCATTGTATATATCAAATCTAACGAGAATCAAAACGAACATGACACACCGCCCCAAACTCACGCCAATAACGATCTTGAAGCCATTACCGATTCGACTGGTTCGACGAGAAGCGCATTCGCGCAGTGGTCCTCACGAGCTGTGAGACCGCTTATACCCAAGGCTAGCAAGTTGCATCGCAAGATGACTTCTATCGTCTCCGAAAACAACGGTGCAGGCTCGTCAAGTACGAAAGGACAAACCAGCTCTCCGCGAGGGCTGCGTCCGCTCTCGCTTTTGCAGGACCGGGATACCAACGCACAAGTCAATAGCACTGTTGCCGATGGATACGCCACACAGGGATCTACCCGCCCACTCACGCTGGGGGGGAAGAAACAAAAGTCACGCATGGCTTTGACAGTCGTAGATGAGAACGGAGAGAATGTCCCACCAATGGCCAGGGACGCTGGAAAGAAGTTGAAGCCGCTGAAACTTGCTCGATCTGAGACGGCAAAGATGCGAGGTGTTCTTCGCAAGCACGAAGTCCTTCCGGACGTGGTTGTACGACCACCATCCAATGCTGACCAGCTTATTGGCTACGCATACAGTTCGTAACAATTTTGATCTTACCGATACCCACTTGTTTTTCATGATGCTTTGCATTGTTTTGCTTTTACTTCGCTTTCGTTCGCTTGATGCTCTTCTAAATGCTAGACGCTCTACTTGCTTTTATTGTCGACCCTTGCTATCATCGCTTTCGAAATTTGCTTTTTCTGTTTCCCATATGTTGTTTTCCTTACCTTTCCTACGTACATCTACTGCCCCCCAGAAACTCAATAGCTATCATCAGCATGTAGCATCACCTGCCCATTGTCTCGCATGACACTCCTATGCTCTGTTCTATATACAAGTATGCCCATCTCCTCGTTATCATCATTATATTATATTCCCTGCATCTGAATTCATTTGACCTCAGCCTGCCCGACTGGTTGTATCTGAGAATGAACACCCTTCAACGATGTTTGTATGACTGAAACCAGAGAGACTATTAATTACGCGTACTGCTTACATCCTAATTGCGAACTTTAATTCCTTCCTACGCCTTCCAGGACCATTGGCCACGAGCACGAGCATGAAGCCATCGTACATAAGTCACGCAAAGCCCAGCCGCCGCCAATAAGACCCCCGAGTAAATAATAAGATCGTTATACCTCTTCCGCAGCAAGTGTCCATCAAGCTGCGATGCAAGATCGGCCGCATTCGCTCCTCGCTTGTGGCTTCCCAAGATAACCCCAGCGATCGGAGCTCCTCCAATGGAACCAAGGCCCCTGATGAAGTAGATGAAGCCATTGACGCTAGCATAGTCCTGTACTCCATATATTTCCGTGATCGTGGTCGGGAGAAGGGCATTGTATCCCCCTGCGTATATCCCATAGAGGACGGTGAAAGCGACAAATTGAGCTCTGGGAGCATTATACCACACGGCTAAGACCGACAGAGAGGAGAGCATGACCTGCAGGAAGCGAGTCAGTAATTGCTTTCATGGGTACAGCTAGTCTGCCGTACACCAGCTATGAGTGTGTTTTGGCGGCCGATGCGGTCTGCTAGGATGCCCATGGATATTCGAGACACGCTGTTTACACCGCTGTTTATGGCCAGAAGCAAACTGCCCATTGAACGCGGGTAATTGAGGACCGCAACGCAGTACGATGATAGATAGTAGACTGGGATGATGTTTCCTGCGGCCTGGAGGAAGGCAGCCAGAGCCTAAAATCTAGTCAACATCATTTCATCAACGAAGGAATAGGTCTTACCTGGTAGATGAACGTACTACTCGTTACCAAACGCAGGTTCAATCTTGTGCGCCCACGAGTACCAAACCCGGGCCGATGTTTGACGACGCACGAAACGGGTAGGCCTATCACAAAGTTCCATATCCCTAGTATTCTGAGAGCCCATCGGACGCCATATTTATCAAGCAGGACTTGAAGCACTGGAGCAATGACTAGACCACCGACCCCACTTCCAGCCAGAATGACACCCATCGCAAATCCACGATGACGATCGAAGTACACTGGCGCGATAGACATGATCGGAAAGTAGTACATCGACGAGCCGACACCATATAGAATGGCCTGTGTCAGGTAGAGATGCCACAGCTTCCGAAGCATTAATCATCAGCGCTCGTGGCCCAGCTGCAGGAAAGATATCAATCCTACCCTTGTGCTGTAGCTAGCGGCAAATAAGCCGATGCTCATAATTAATGCACCAGCAAGGCTAATCATCCGGACATTGTCGATCCGAGCCATGAGAGGGTTAACAAAGATACTCCCGCTCCATGTCAAGCCGCTACCGATCGTTCCAACGAGAGCGACGAGAGCATCTTGGCCATGAGCATCAACGACATTCGTCTCAGCAGAGGTATAAAATTCCTAACAGAGAAAAATCATTTGGCAGTGAGTGTCTCAGTGTTAGTCTCTTGTGAAATAAAGGATGTACCTGAAAAATGCCGTAGACCGAGTTGATTCCAATGACATGGAATGTCATGAAGAAGCCAGACAGTAGCAGTAGCATTTGGTACTGTTTTGTGGGCCGTTCTACCGCTTGCACAGCGGTGCTGGTGCCACTGCTCTCCCGGTCGGCATGATTTGACGAGTGTCTGTCGGCTTCGCTCAATAAGTTGGCTTCCGGTGGTCCTATTCGTTCCTTCTTGGAACTAATGCGCTCAAGCTCGATATCCCTAAAAACGGCGGTCATCGTCCTTGATTCAGTGTTCCACGAATTTCCGGAACGCTGAGTTTCTCACCGAAGATGTATTTCGCCATATTGCTATAAGCGAGCTCAGGGGTCAGGGGACTAAAGTGACAGACAAACTTTGCCTATGATTTCGTCCTTTAAGGCTTTACGCTTCAGCCTCGAGTTTCAAGCTTCAACGAGTAAATCGTTGTGATTCGGGTGAGAACGTCGCTGTAGAGGTGTACATATGGAGCAACAACATAGTAAGGGAAGCGTCCGGTCTGCTTCCAGTCTTCACCATGATATTCTATCGAGGCTCGTCGGTCCAGTAGCCAGTTCCGCCCAACATGCTCTCAGGGCTAACATCAGCCCCTGTGTCCGCAACGATAGTTGGACCATCTATAATGCGTATAGTGACACTCTTTATCCCCACTTCGACTTCAAACGGAATGTCCTTCCCATGTAGTTGTGATACGTCGTCGTAGGACAGGACAGCAGGATAATCAATTGTCGCCGCCAATTCACCGAATGAACCGATGAATTTGAAGCGAGTCTCGCCTATGACGAAGACGGCTTTGAACTTCTGACCACCGTCTGTGTAGGTGAAGGAGCCGTCTTGCGGAGGTGGTGACATCGTGGTATGAGTTGAATAAGAGACCTAGAGGCACGTTAATGATGAGATCAGAATATGTATTCCCCAGTTCGGGTGCTTTTGAAGTAGTGGAGACGAACCTGATAGCACGGTTGAGGTATTTCTTGCTGCTACTCCAGAATGAATGGTTTATATGTCCATGCGGAACCACCCAGGCTTCAAATGTGTATGCATGAAGACATACTCTCTCGCAGCATCGGAGCATCGGAGGGGAGAGTCCAATATACCTCCGAGTAGTAACATGCCTGACGTTATGACATCGTTTCTAAGTTTTCGCCGGCCCACCGCTACACCACACAATAGGATAGCGTTTTGTCAGATGTATAATTTGACCAAAACGAGTTTAACCCTGCTCGCTAACATTGCGAACGTCGCGAAGGCTGTGGATCGCCGACATTCGTGGGACGGAGAACTTACGATCTGCACACCGCAAGAGCCCAATAGCGATAGATGATTATGCACATTGCACAAGGCCTATGTGTCAACACCAAACATGCTGATTACTCCTACAGGTGGAGGTCCTCCCTCTCGGGGTTTGATCTGCCCGCAATACGCGATCGTATATTTCGAAGGGTGCCACGCCACAGTGGGCGATGAAGCCAGTGCTGGAACTCGGTGCAAAGGAATTCCAGTCTCCGTGGCGCACTATGCAACAGTGAACCTCAGCATCAAAACGAATGCAGCGTTTCCACGCACAATATCGATGTAATTGCCAGTATTGGCAATGGCGAGGAACTCTCCATCGTGAGAGAAGCTGAGAGCGTTGATTGCGTGCCTACAGCGAAGTGATGAGAAGGAACGTCGAACATACGATATAGATGGGGCTCACTCGCAGGACGTGATTGTACGAGCACATATCCACTCGGAAAGATCGAACATGTTCACGATCGAGTCGATGCCGCCAGATGCCAGATATCTTCCTCGCGGGTCTAGCGCAACAGCGACACATCCACCTACATGTGCTGCGGGTGTCTCTCGAACCGCCATGGATGGGTAATCTATTACTCGAATTGAGTGCTCTGAGTGGTGGGTTATGATAACACCATCGCCCGTATGGTTGAACATGGCCGTTGACCCGGTCATCGGTTCCTTGTCAGACATCTGCCATTGTTCCTTGGTCGATCCATCGGCCCCGGGGTTAAGTGTCATGAACCAAAGCTGATGGCCTGCCGAAGTGTAGAGGAGTGTGCGGCCATCAGGCGCGTAACTGGTTTGCTGGGGAGACACCTTAAGTGAGACTGATTGCACGCTCCGACTTTCTAAGTATTTCCTGAGAAAGATATGACGCGAAATCTTCCAAGTAACGTACGTCGCGCATCCCAGAATACAATCCGTCTATCCTTTTGACTGGAAGTACAGAACAGCTCAGGATGAGCTGGGTTCCAAGAGATGTAGTCCACGTCGTCAGAGTGGGCACCCGAGTACAGCGTCGCAGCCCTGAGCTCCATCTGTAAAGCCCTTCAGCAATCATATCCATGTTTGACCGCGAACATACACTCTTCTCGGGATTCCACACTCTGGTTGATTTGTCTAAGCCAACGGCGGCAAATTTCTTTCCATCACAGCTCCAGGCGACGTGCGTTACAGGGTGCGATTGCTGCATCCTGTAATCCCTGGGCTTGAACGATGCAAAGTTTGGAGGCTAGAATGCGAGTATTTGTCGGCATCATTTCGTACTAGTTCAGGCCGCGTTCATACAATTAGACCACGAGCAGCAAAGGCCATGTGTGGAGGGGGCGAGGGCGGCCGTTGAGGAGGTGGTACTTCATCTTCATCTTTGCTGGTCGACATTCGTGATGAGGAGCGCGGAACGTGTGGCTGTGTCGCATGTCGGCGAGCCCCTGCCTGGGGCCCCTCACTCCTGACTTCGGCAATGCCTGAGCACTTTGTTTCGGACGATGACTACTGTTTCCAGGGACATTCAGCTCGAGCGCATCCACTATGGGACGGAACAATCAGAGCCAGCCGAAATACCTAACGAAGTTGACGGACTTTCATTGAACCATGGTGAATATCAAGAGAGCGCTGTTGTACAAGCAGCGGAGCGACCCACGAAACAGTACCAGATTCTGTTGTTGCTGTCTGGATTTTTCATGGCATTCCATGTCAACGGAATCAACTCAGTTTACGGTATATTCCAGGTACTTACTCGATCGTCCCAAGGGGCCTACCTTATACTCATCTTTGTTCTGTCAGGAATTTTATACATCAGAGGAAACAAATGTAGTTGATGCTCGTGGTCAGGATACCCTCGTCGCCCTCGTCGGGACGATTGGTAGCGGTTTGACATGGAGCGGAAGTATCTTTGTCAATCCTCTCATGGCTCGCATCGACAATGTCAGGATGATAAGTCTCGTCGGTGCAATAATTATGAGCATCGGTTTATTTGCCGCTAGCTTCAGCACGAGGGTGAGAAGTTGATGTATCTTATTCGGTAGATAGCAGAGGCTAACGACGCTTTGATAGATGTGGCACCTCTATCTGACGCAGGCCGTTTTATACGGCGTTGGTTCGTCGATGTACTACTTTCCAATCATATCTATTGCACCGGTGTACTTTGATCGTCACCGCGGATTTGCAGTGGGTGTCATCGCAGCGGGAAGCGGTGTTGGCGGCCTGGTCATTGCTCCAGTGCTTCAACTCCTCCTCGATAGATATGGTATTCGTTGGGCGCTCCGGGTGCTAGGAATATGGAATTTCGCGGCGGGCATACCTGTATCATGGGTCGTCAGACATCGCCCTGGCCTTGGGACTCGTGGGCGTACACGATTAGACCTACGTTTAGTAACAAGCGGTACGTTTATTTACCAGGTAAGGGTGAATAATCTTTGGGTTGAGTGGGCGTTGAAGAGTTTCAGTCTCTAGCTGCATTCCTCCAGGCCGCAGGAAACATCATCCCAGTCTACTATCTATCATCGTACTGCGTTGCGGTCCTCAATTACCCGCGTTCAATGGGCAGTTTGCTTCTGGCCATAAACAGCGGTGTAAACAGCGTGTCTCGAATATCCATGGGCATCCTAGCAGACCGCATCGGCCGCCAAAACACACTCATAGCTGGTGTACGGCAGACTAGCTGTACCCATGAAAGCAATTACTGACTCGCTTCCTGCAGGTCATGCTCTCCTCTCTGTCGGTCTTAGCCGTGTGGTATAATGCTCCCAGAGCTCAGTTTGTCGCTTTCACCGTCCTCTATGGGATATATGCAGGGGGATACAATGCCCTTCTCCCGACCACGATCACGGAAATATATGGGGTACAGGACTATGCTAGCGTCAATGGCTTCATCTACTTCATCAGGGGCCTTGGTTCCATTGGAGGAGCTCCGATCGCTGGGGTTATCTTGGGAAGCCACAAGCGAGGAGCGAATGCCGCCGATCTTGCATCACAGCTTGATGGACACTTGCTGCGGAAGAGGTATAACGATCTTATTATTTACTCGGGGGTCTTATTGGCGGCGGCTGGGCTTTGTGTGACTTATGTACGATGGCTTCATGCTCGTGCTCGTGGCCAATGGTCCTGGAAGGCGTAGGAAGAAAACTAAAATAAGTCTTTCAGTTGGGATCCAAGCTAGATATTTACTTGGTATTTGGCAACATTATCTACGAAACCCAGCTCCCACATTCCATTTACGAGTCGTTCATTTTCCTTGCCCATTGACACCTCGTGTTACAGTCAGTATTTCTACGAGTTTCTCTAGCGAGACCGCAATTCGTGAAAGGTTAGTATCGATCGACGAGAGTCGAGCAGAGACATCCGCAGGGAGCACTGTTGAAGCCCCTGCACCAGCCCCCGATGCCTGCGCAGGGGCAACTGCTGGGGGTGGAACATAGTCGTCCAATTTATCATCCGTAGGGTAGTTCGTGTCTGGAATGGGTGGCAATGAAGGAATCAACACCTTCTCTGCAGCATGTCGTATCTGCCGCGTATTTCGCAAAACACCTCCATACGGGGGACAAGGAACATATCCCAGGCATGCATATTTCTTGTCGCTAACGTTAGTGCCTTGGTTGAGAAGGACTTTGAGCGCATAGACTCGTCGGCAATTGATATCGACCAGCGCCCATGCCTTCCATTCCCAGTCCCCTCCCGCCCTCTCGCACCCCATACCAAGCTCGATTTCACTTTCCCCACTTTTCAGAGCACTCCAGACGATTTGCTGCAACTTGGTTGTGGTCACTTCGTTACCATCGATCTCCAGGAGAGTGTCTTCTCTAGTGGAAGGCGAGACACGGATATATGCGCGGTTGCATCGGTCGGCGTCGTCGAAGTGGAAGAAGGCAATCTCCTCCGACTCGGGCTTGGGTTTATCGAGAGAATATGGGGTAAAGACATATTCGCAGACGATGCTTGCTTCCTCTCCTTCAAGGTCGGCAACAGTCAACTTCAATCTCAGTGGTCTCCCCCTGGCTATATATGCCCGGTTCCACCATCGAATGTCCATTTTCTCGTCTTCTTCTGGTCGCGGTACTTCTACGAGGAACCTAACGGGAAGGGACTGTCTGGGATCCACCGTAAGAGGGAACATCTCGTTTATGATCTTGATGCTAGTAACGGGTGTGTATGTCTCGTCCCCTACAAGTCGAAAAGCCGCCGAGATTGACTCCAGAGTAATTGGCTCGCCGCCATTGACAGGTGATTTATTGACGATCGAAACGATCCCTTCAAAATAGTCGATGTCGTTGCGAGCATAGTCCGCGTTGGCTGTGAGAGGAGGGCCAGAGGTGACTTTGAGGACAACGGGTAACGATGGCGAGGTCACTGTCTTGAAGGTACGTGGAACCCGGAGAGGTTTCTCAGCCAAAGTAGCGCTGACACGCACGGTCGGTGGAATCCTATATTCACCCCTCGGCGTATAACTGCGTAGACCGCCCTCCGACAATACGACAATCTCGCCAGACTTCGTGCAAGTGTTGATATCGATGGGGCAAACGGATACAAATGGCAGGTCCGAAGTCTCAGCCTTCGCCGTGAGACGAACCGCGTTGATGACACCGTCCCGAGAGAGAAGCCATTCTGCCATCGCATATTCCCTCTCACTAGACGAGGTCCGGAAGATCGTGCATTGATGCGTAATGTTGATAACCTCCGACAAAGCGAGGAGTTCCTTCGCGGTGAAGGTATGGAAGTAATATTTTTCTTTCCAGCTGATGCTTCCAATGCGAATGAGGAGGGTGGGATCCTGGACTCTCTCCCCTCGGGATACCCAGCGCAAGAGTTGTCCAACGTATGCCTTCTGCTCCTTATTGGTTTCTAGGTTGGTATCCTCCACTTGAGCGAACTTGTCGCAAGTGTCCGTATAATTGATGATCCCCCAAGCCCGTTTAAAGAAATTATTGTAGGCGTACTCGCAATGATGATTGGCGCGATGAGACTTGAATGTGCAGGGGTGTTGGGAACCGCAGCAAGGATAGTTTCTATTCCACGGGTCTGCTCGATGGAAAGAGCACGATGCAGGTCCATTTGCTGAGTCCCTATACTCTTCATTGCATTGCACGCAGACGAACTTCTGTTCCTTGTCCGTCTCCCTCATCTGGGCAGCTATATCCTTCAAACCATCGAGAATGGCCTCGCTTACGGTAGCGTTAATCTTCTTCTCCAGTTCGACCTGGTTGTCGTGAATTGTATCAGAGAGGTTCATATTCAGCTGTTCCATAGTTTGGTCGTCTACGCCTTGCTCCAGTGTGTCTGCGAATTGCTTGACTAGCTCTCTGGACTCCTTGACAACATTGACTCCTCCGTGACTCGCGATGAACTTCTGTGCCGCGTCGTCCTCCGGGTCGGAGGGGATCGCGCGGTTGACAATAGCATCAAGCTGAGTCGTCTGGTGAATCTGAAGACTGATCATAAGGTCGTTTATACACGTATTGATGTTCTGCGCGCATATCGAGAACTTTTCCTTATTTCCAAGGGCCAACCTTCTCGAGACCCGTCCTTGGCTTCGGTACGTCTCAATCAGCGCTGCAGCCTGCTTCAGCACACCGTTCATGCGATCGATTACTTGCCGTGTTGCCTCCGTCACGGTAACCGTCTGGAGCTGAGGCAGATGCCCCAGCATGAAATTGATGCGATCCAAGAGATCTGTGCACTTCAAGTCTACATCTCGAGCATTGTTCTCGACTTCCACGATGATTTTGAGGAGGATAAAAGCCGGCGCGACGAAAGGTAATGTCCTCCCAAGATCTGCGAGCTGATCGAGGATACTGAGCGCTGTTTGCAGTGACGGATTCGAAAACATGGGGTCCACGACAGTGTTCACCCCGGAGAGAATAGTGAGAGTGCGACTTCGAGGGGGAGGTCCCGGCGGCGGGTACAAGTCATCCTGGAGGTTGTACATGAGTGGGCTGTGTGCGTTGCCGTAAAAATTGTCTCGAGATTACATACCGGGGCAGTTGTAGGGCTTTGCACTAGGGTCCTGCTCCTTATTGGGTGCGGCATTGGCAGGTTCAAATGCTGTAGGTGCCTTAGGGTACGAGGAAGGGTAGTATCAAGTCTCAAGCTGCTTTCCCAAACCTACAGATGTGCTTTTATTCAAAACCGCGCCCTATAGACCGCCTGTCGAACTTCGACGTTCCAGCTGATTGCATCCTTCAATGGCTTGGGCGAGACAAGTTTTGACTTTGATCACTACATGATGGACATGTCGAGCACAAGGAAATGATCCACGCCCACCGCGTGAGAGAAACACTCTACAATTGTGATTGACTTGGTGAGAGGGGCCAGAAAATTGTAAACATTTCATAAGTGGTATGAATTAACGAATCAAGAAGCCACAGTATAGACTAAACTGACGGGTCATCAAAGGGCGTGAGGTGGGGCGTTGTATGTGTACTACAAATGCGTGCATGAATCAGAATGTACGTAGTAAACTAAGTAAGTACCAAGGAAAACGGGAGGAGACAGCATTGTTATAAATTTAGAGATAGCGAGGGTCAATGGAAGAGCAGATAGATGTAGGGTTTGTTGCGCAGGAGAGGATGGTGTATGGACATATGATGATGTGGACACGAAAGACAATGGATCGCAGGGAGAAATACCAAAATCAAGACACGCGGAGCAAAGTCTGTAATCAGGAAGAGAAAACAACGAGGAGAGTTGGAAGGCCACTAGTAATACACGGTCCCCGTCCCCTGAAGCCGAGGATCAGAGGGGTAATATTCGTAAGGTGGTATTTGCGTCATGTCCATGTATTGCGGATACATATAGTTGGGGTAGTAATATTGTTGAGAGTATGTCGAATATCCCATCATGTTGGGATCCATGGACGGGTGGGGGGCTACATCACCGTTTGTCGAATCATTAACACTTGGCGCAAAGCCTGTTTCTTGACCGTAGGATGATGACATGGGTAGGGGACGAGACGGCTCAAATGTTGCCGCCGCCCCACGGAGGCCAGAGACTCTACGAGTCAGCTTACTGGAGCTCGCTCTCCCTTCATCTTGCTCGGTCGGAGCGCGAATCTCTATTCGAGTTTGGCGAGGGAGCGAGAATATCGGGGCACCAGTGGCAGGATCGATAAAGTTGTTAATAGGTGGAGGATGCTGGGGATGAGACAATGATTGTGGGTTCGCGGGATCTGGAGAATCCATGGAGTGATGATGTACATGTCCGGGAACGAAGGGAGGCATCGTTGGATGCATAACAGGTCGGGGATCGTACATTGGCGGCATCGGCGATTGGAAGTAAACTGGGCGGCCAGTTGCCAACTCATACGCCATACCATGTTGATTGAGGGCTACACCGTGTGGTAATGTATGTGCATAGGCGTAAGGCGAGCCGTACGGCGGTGAAGCCACAGGAGGCGTAAATGTCGTTTGCAACGGGTGAAGAGGTGGCCGCTGATCGAGTCTGTCGGGTTGCGATGGGATGCCATTGTCATCTAAGTTGATCTCAAAAGGTTGGATCCAGCCAGCAGAATCGGAACTCGATCCCCCAGTGGCTTCAGGAGGCTGGACTGCGATCTCAGGTTCTTGGCTTGCTTCAGCGGGAGCGACGGATGCAGAAGCAATGTTGGACGCTATGTCGTCGTGAGGCTCGGCGAGTGATAGAGCAGAAGGTTCAGGCGCTGTTGCCACTTGAGCGGGTCGTGCGGGTAAACGAACTACCAGGTGTTTGGCGTCGTACTCAGAGCCATTGGCAGACACAGGTGGCGCAACCCGTGCGGGTTTCGCAGCGGCAGATGAGGCTGGGTTCAAAGGTGTCCTGATGACGAGACCGTGACTGCCAGGAAGTTTAACCCGAATGCCGAATCCTTGATTGTGTCGAGGCTTGAGAGCTGGATCAAGATAAAGGAATCCTTCCTGTTGCTTAGTAAAAGGACGTTCCGGTTTCATGACGAACCAAGGTCGACCAGGAGGTGGTGTGAAGGTCGATATGTTACGAGATCGAGCTGAAGGTGAAGCCGCAAATCCACCCCGACCGCGTCCACGGGAGGGGACAAAGCTACCTCGGGAATTTCCGAAGCCTCCCCGGACAGGGGTAGGCTTGTGCTGTCGTTGTTCTTCCCGCAGCCTCATTTCCTCGTAGCCATCGTGGGTCCATGACTTCTCGATGGGCGCGACCTCAACGGGGGCAGATAATTGGACATCAGGATTATCGTCCACAGTTTGACCGCCTGGCTGCGGTCTTGTCGTGTGGAACCCGCCTCTACCTCGTGGTGCGTAGCCTCGTCCACGTCCCTGCCAACGGCCTCTCCACCATCCACTGAGACTGCGAAGGTCTTTATCCAAAAGACGATCATCGTGACCCCAAAACTCCCCTACCTTGGGCACAAAGGATGGGTCGTTTTCTAGGCGCTTCTGGTACGCTTGTCTAGCAGTTTGACCAACAGTTCGTGGAGGTAGTTGAGATGAAGATGGTTGCTCTTCATCATCGACTTTGTGCGGTGATTGTGGTTCGGGCTTCGGGGGAGCTTGTTTCGCTGCTTTGGGCTTTCGCGGGCGGGTTGTCTTGGGCTGTACGGCATGAGCGTCGAAATCTGCGAAGTCAATCACTGGTAAATCTGCTGGACCGTGTGCGGTTTCGTCGGCAACCATCTCAGACCAATTTCCAGGGGTTGTGAAGAACGCCCCATGAGCCCCACTAACGTCTGCCAAAACATCCTTTGTGAGCGATGTGTCCTGCGAGGTGTCGGGGGTCAAGCTGTGTGGTTCGTTTGTAATGACGTCCTCTGATGCTGGTTCTGTATCCGAGTCCGACGCCGAGTCCAGTGAGGAGGAATCATCGTCAGTGTCCGAATCGGTGGCAATCTCCCTCACTATCTCCTCATCGCTCTCAAAACCACCCGTAGCCCTGCCTCTCCTTCGCCCGCTTCTTGTCTTCTTGCCGTGGATTTGACCGCGTGCCTTTGTGGCCGTTGAAGAGCTCGATTTCGCAGTGGTAGAGGTTACGGGTACTGGCATAGGAAATGGATGATACCGGATAAAGGGAAGTCGCAACCTGGTCTCAGGTCTGTCAGCAGAAGCTATAGGGGAATAGTAGCACTGGGAGCTCACAAGCTTCAAATTTGAGCGTTCAGCAGAGTAAAAAAGTCGGATATGGGTGATTAATTCGAGAGATAAATCAGGAATGTTGCTGGTAAGGAGTCGTCTGCGGAATTTAGGGAATAAATGGGAGAATATGCGAGGACGATGAGGGCGGCAGCGAAGAAAGAAACTGACTCCAAATTTCCAAGTCAGCTAGCTTTGTCATCATGGTCGTGTTGAATGGCCTGCTGTGGGAATACGTGACTAATCTAAGGCTAACGTTTGCCGGTTGACCGGTGCCCCTATTTGACTTGCTTCCCCGCCTTCGCCTTCTCTGGTCTCCCCACAATGGATCCTCAAAAGCCAGACAGTTTCCAGCATTACACCGCGCGTTTGAGCACAGGTCGTTCGTATCATTACGTTGACCAGCTTCCCAAAGAGTTCGACGCGGGTCTGTCACCAACGATACTTTGCATCCATGGATTTCCTGATTTATGGTACGGATGGCGCTACCAAATTGGCCCTTGGGTACGAAAGGGATACCGCGTCGTAGTTCCAGACATGCTAGGATACGGCGACACGGACAAACCCTTTGATGCAAAGGAATACTCCACCAAGCAGCTGTGCTCCGATTTGGCAGCCCTGCTAGACCATTTGAAGGTCGAACGAGCAGTCAGTGCCATTTCATGCCAACGAAAGCAAGAAACTAATAACTTCTTTCTCAAGGTCATTGTTGGACATGACTGGGGCTCCTTCACCGCCGCTCGCTTTGCCATGTGGTACCCTGTCAGACTTACAGCTCTGGTGATGTACGTATTCAGGCGTGTACGTTATTAACTTGTTCTGACCACCAGCCATCAGTATATCGGTTCCCTACACACCTCCTTCCCGTACATATATTCCTGTCGAAGAAGTGGCCGCTCGCGTACCCAACCTCGGGTATCAAGTTTACTTCTCGCGGCAAGAATCCACAAAAGACATCGAATCAAACGTCCGCTTACTTTCTTTCTACCTCCATGCTTCTCCCTGACAGTGTCGTTGGCATAGCTTGGGAAATTTATTACCTTGATGTTCCGGCCGGGGAATGCGAAAGGACCGAAATTCACTCATGTAGGGCAATTGAAGGATGTCCTAGCGCGTAGTGACATTATTGTCGACGATGCTGGATGTTTCCTCACGCCTGAAGAATTCCGCTACTATCACCATGAATTCTCGAAGGGCATGAACGGACCGTTGAATTATTACCGGACTGCAAAATACAGGCACGATGAGGAGCAAGGTGCGAACGCCATTACTGACTGGCAACCCGACATATTTATTCACTTTCCTACAGAAGCTAGCCTTGCACCGCACCTACGCGCCGATCTACCAGTGTTGTTCATGTGGGGGACCAAAGACCCAACTTGCGTGAATACAGTGATTTCCAAGGCGCACAAGTTCGTTCCAGGGCTCCAAGACTTCTCTGTAGAGGACAAGGGCCATTGGATGATGGTGGAGGCGGAGAACGTCGTAACGGAGAAGGTGAGCAAGTGGTTAGCTGGGCTTGGTATCAAAAGGCTCCCTGCGAAATTGTAGAGTGCAATGTCAAGACAGCAAAGGAATCGCATGTACAATAAGTTCAATGCTCTGCACCTAAACAACGTGTCCTCCGAATGCCTCTCACATTTACTGTCAGACTATCACACTTTAGTTCGACTCGGCTTCCCTAATTGTGTTTAGGATGGGGCTGGTAGCAATTCGGCGCCAGCGCCAATGACTATGAACCATGACCATGGCCTATGTTTGACGACTTGGAGCCCCACGGAATACGCATGCGTATTGCCAGCAAAGTACACCTGGTCGGCTCATGATCCTCTCGCAGCAGTGTAGGCTAGTTTTCGAGCATACCTGCGTTCGATTCGGCAGTACGGCACATCTCATCCGATTACCTAACAATACTTATTCTTCGACGGGTGCTTAATCCGCGCTCGAAGGTCGGAGGCATATCATCTTGTCTTTCTAAGATGAGTCTTTGCGAGGACTGTGTCAAAGGTATGTGATACTCCGAATGCTTACACAACTCCTCAAGTATTAGGCACGAAGGCATCGCCGAAGGTCAGTTCTATACAAATATACGCGTTAACGAAGTCGATAGTGATTGATGAAATTCCTTTAGGCCAAGTGGAGAAAGTTGCGGGGAATGAGTGCTGTATTGCTACCCCAACAGGGGACTTCCCCAAGGATAAAATCCTCTAACTCTGTCAACCTCATCAAATACTATCAGACCTGACTTAGACATCTGACTGTAACACCCAAATCCGTTGACGGCAGCTATTAATGGATGACTTCGCGCGCAATAGGCTCAAGACTGTTGCGCCCGATATACTCAATGGGGCTGTTGCGTCACTATTTCATTCGATACGAACCCACCGGCTTTGTAGCGTCAGTTCCCTTTCGCCGACTGGCTCAAATTGCTTGGACCCGAGCAGACGCGCCCCACTATCGAGAAGGTCATTACGGCACTGAAAGGACAAGGCGTAACCCATCTCGCGGTTATTGGATACTGCTTTGGAGGTATGTTGGCTGCTGTGAACTAGCTTTACGATATTCCCTTCTGAAGACACCTGAAGATCTGGAAATATATAACTAGATTGCATTTCTACCTCGCTTCGAGTTGACTCACACGCCCTCATAGAGATACGCGTAGAATTCGAAGGCACCGCTCCTCATCAACAGTTGTACGGGGAAGGTTGTACCCATGGCTTCGCCATAAAGGGAGATCTCAGCAATCCGAAAGTCAAAGAAGGGAAAGAAGGGTCCTTCAAGGCCGCTGTGCTATGATTCAAACAACACCTGTAAAGGTGGGGCGGTCACCTTCACCTCGCGGTTCACTACTAAAGTGCTCATGCCTATCAATACCCTGCAGCTTTCGAGTAATCGGACCCATGGCACTCAGGTTGTGAATATAATAACAGTTATCTTGCACAGTCGCAAGATGCTTACGAATGGTGAACAGGGTACGCGTCGACATGCCATTCTATAAATGAGGGGCTACGATATTCGGGTATGGGAACTGGGTCGACGGGTACTGTTGGCATGCCAAAAATCGATTATCCCAAGGAGCAAGCCATCGCCTCCCTGCTCGATATATTCGGTGCTCAGCTGGTTAACATCGATTCGTACGCCAATGGGCACGTTCGACAACAGCAGGTATCCAACCAATAAATAAGGGTTCCAGTTGCTCGTTGGTGCATCGCTCATCCTAGCTCAACTACTATGGCCCATAGTGCAGGCCCATATCGTTGTAAGCTGACGCACCTAATTTATATAGTAGCATCAGGCCGTCTTTACTAAAGTCATGTGGTAGGTGACGCGTTAGGTAGGCTTGGAGCCCTATGGAACACCATGCGGCAGACCATGCCATCAGTTCCACGCACTGAACCGGTACAAGGAGATCACACATTGCCGTTTGGGAAAGGAAAGCCATAATTGAATACTAGCACCTTGATTTAAATCTCGATTTGGAGTTGGAGGCTGAAGGTAGTCTCTCCATTACGACGATGAGTCTCTGCGCTGACTGTGTCAAAGGTATGTCGCGCCATTGAATGTCTAGCGATCCAGACGTCCTCAGTACTCATACAATCCCCAGGTGTTAGGCATGAAGGCACCCTCGAAGGTTAGGGCACTATAAAGGCACACGTTAATGATGGTGTATGATCAGAATTATCCAGGTCAACTGGAGAATATTGGGGGCATTGAGTGCTATACAGCTACCCCAGCGGGCGACTTCCCCAAGGACAAAGTGCTTTTATTCCTTCCCGATGCGTTCGGTATCAGTCTTATCAACTCCAAAGTGAGACAACTACTCGAGGAGTCCCGATATTAGGTATAATATCCTTGTTTATGTAGCTTTTAGTGGATGACTTTGCTCGCAATGGATTCAAGGTTAGTTCCATTATCTCTGTTCCCGTATGATCATACTACTACGATGGACGACAGACAGTAGCACCAGATATATTCAACGGGGATCCTGTTCCAGAAGACTATCTAGACAGCAAGGTAACTTCCTTGCTGCGTTACCACCACGTCTGATCAATGTCTGACACCAACTCGCCGGTTTGTCAGCGTCAGTTCTCCCTCGCAGACTGGTTCAAAACACATGCGCCGGAACACACACGCCCGACTATTGACAAGGTCGTAACGGCGCTGAAGGAACAAGGAGTAAAGCATTTTGCTGCTACTGGGTATTGCTTTGGAGGTATTTTTGCCGCTCTGAACCAGCTTTACGACATCTATATCAAATTATAGGACGATACTGCTTCGATCTGGCCTTTGATAACGTTGTAGATGCGGTAGTTGTCTCACATCCTTCTCTTTTAAAGATTCCCGAAGACCTGGAGGTATATACAGCTGCACTTCCTTTCCCCTTCGAGCCAGGTTAACTCAGCTATTCTCCTAGAAATATGCGAAGAACTCTAAGGCACCGCTCCTCATCAACAGTTGTACAACTGACTCTCAGTTTCCTCTCGAAGCGCAAGCTCAGGCAGACCAAATACTCGGAGGGGGTCAGTTCGCTCCTGGATACAAAAGAGAGTACTGGGACGGTTGCACCCACGGCTTCGCCGTAAGGGGAGATCTCAGCGATCTTAAAGTCAAACAGGGGAAAGAGGGGTCCTTCAAGGCCGCTGTTCTATGGTTCAAACAATACCTTTAAAGGTGGCGCATCACTTCCACCTCGCGGTTCATTGTGATATGCTCACGTCTATCAATAGTTGTAGCTATTCCTGGGTGTATAATCACCCCGGTCGGACCTGTAGTCATCCATATTACTCAGCTTGTGAACATGACAACGATGATTTCGCGCAATCGCAGAATACTTAAAGATGGGATCAGGACAAGTGTAGAACAATTCTCATCACATATCATCGTTTGCCTCAGCCATGAGTCACTGCGACGACTGTTTCAAAGGTGCGTGTCGACATGCGGCGATGATACTTTTTATGAATAATGGGGCAATGATAGGGGTCAAGCACGAAGGGACACCAGAAGGTAGAACTCGCATTTCAACGCGATCATTGCCTCACATTGGCGTCCAGGGGAATGGGTGAAGATTAATGGTATTGATTCGTATGTCGGTACACCGAAAGGCGATTACTCCAAAGAGAAAGTTGTCCTCTTCCTCTCGGATGTATTTGGTGCTCAGCTGGTGAACAACCAAGTGAGCTAAGCGACAAATCTCTGTAGCGGGGGCATTACTGATCAGGGTTTTAGCTGCTCGTTGATGCCTTTGCTCGCTACGGGTTTAAGGTGAGTTGGCCAGACTGCGAACTCATATACTACAGCTCGTACATGGGTTTGAGGGTCCTCGGAGGTCGTACTGACGGAGAAGTGACTCGTTAGACCGTAATGCCGGACCTTTTCGAAGGCGATCCAGTTCCTGTGGAGGTAATGGATGGTAAAGGAGTATGTCCTCAGTTTAATGCATCAGAATCCGTATACTAATTACCCTCGCCACAGACCTGGAACCGCGATGAATGGATGCCGAAGCACACCTTTGAAGTCACTCGCCCAATTGTCGACAAGATCCTTACGGCATTCAAGGAGCAAGGCATCGGGTCCATTGGCGCCACCGGATATTGCTACGGAGGTGAAGCAGCTCGATTACCTTTCACTCGCGGACCTATTTCTGAGATATGAGTATAACAGCGCGGCTCGCCTTTGACCTTGCCTTTGAGGACTTAATTAAGGTTGTTGCAGTCTCCCATCCATCCCGTCTGCAAGTCCCCGAAGACCTAGAAGTGTGTAGATTTTCCCTTGATCGTGGAGTTGGCTCACTGACATTGAATAGCGCTACGCAAGCACTGCCAAGGCACCCTTGTTGATTAACTCGTGCACCGTGGACCAGCAGTTCCCTCCGGAATCTTCAGCAAAGGCCGACGAAATATTGGGAGACGGGAAATTTGCGCCTGGTTACAAACGCACGTACTATGAAGGCTTACACCACGGCTTCGCCGTCAGAGGGGACATGAGCAATCCGCAAGCAAAGGCCGGGTTAGAGGGAGCTTTCATAGAGAGCGCAGAATGGTTCGCGAAATATTTGTAGCAGAGATCCATGGTTGATACCCTTTTCCGCGTTCTTGTGAGTATTCAGAATGAACTCGTGCCGAAGTTTGAATATGCGTGCTTGATTGCAACATTCCCTACGAACATGAGTCTTGGGCATGGCAGACCCACGGCCTCGAGGATGCAGCAAGGTCGCTAATAAAGCCCACTACATATACCTTGCTGCGCCTTGGTGGAACCCACATTTCAACCACCATTTGAACAGCTTTCGTTTTGGTAAATCCATAATCTTGATTACAAGGTAAGGCTGCGTGTTGTCTCCTATCGCAAAGAATACCGACTCTGCGTTATAGAGTCATGTTCCCCTACGGCCACCCTTTACAGATGGCTCCTCGCCGAAACGGTTGGCATGAGCAACATTACGCTCCACGTCTTGAGCCGCGGCATGAAGAACGATATATGTCCTATGAATATGAATACCGTCGCCCAAACGTCTACCAAAACTCTTACCCTCAGCCGCCCAACAGATATTCGGCGCCTGGCATGATGCTCCACGTTAGCAGCGGCAATCATGTCTCAGGACATTATCTCCCACAGCGAAGTTTGACGCCGTATCCGGAGAGAGGCCGTTCAGAACCCCCACATTACCCACCCAATCCAACTTCGAATTATTCAGACCACGCCCGCCACTATCCAGAGCCCTCCTACGGTAGAGGCTACTCAGAGGAGAGCGAACATCGCCGCCGGCACGAGAACGATCCATATTCGCAATACGGCGGACCACACGACCACAGGCGCCCCATGCCAACGCCACAACGAAGAGGAGGTTCGTGGGTTGGAGACCAGCCTCCACTCGATGCACGTTTACGTTCGACCATGATCCCCGACGAGCACCGTGCGTCCCGAAGCAGAGCTCATAGCCCAATGTACGAGGATGCGGAATGGGACATGCAACAACACCAGAGACAGAAATTGGAGCGTATTGGGGAAGTTGTCGACGTAGAGGACCATTATCCAGGGCCAGGACATGGAAGGGCGCCTTTGATAAAGGGCGAGTGGCCGGAAGAAAGATATAGAGGTGGCCATGAGGAGGATTCAGGGTACGGCTCGGACGAGGGTGAATCTCTGGTCGATGATGAATGGGAAGGGCCCGATGAAGCATTACACCATGCCACCCCACATCGAAGCCCATGGCCTCGCAAGGGAGATTATGGTCAGCCATACGAGCCAGGAGCCCCACAGGAATACTACCAGAGACCCTCACAGTGGTCACAACCCAATAGCATGAAGTTCAGAGGTGGTTGGCAGAGATGATACCATATTCGCAACACGGACAATCGACTCACTCACCCAATGTACACCAACGTGGTATCCATAGTTTAAGTATACCCTCGAATCCCGCAAATGATACGAAATGATACGACTGGGCGTCGCGTTGCGCGAGTAAGCGTTGGTGACGCCCCAATGGAACGCCACTGTACGCATTGCCGCGTCGCGTAATAGAAGCTGAAGGTTGTTCCATTGTCTTCTAGGAGTTACCGTGGATCCATTGAGAACCGGTCTGTCTACCTTTCCGTGCGGCGATGAGAGTGTCGAAGTAGTCTTCCATAACGCGATTTTGTATACGAGGTCGCGTCAACGTCTTGGGAAATGGTAGCAATAGGAGGGAAAGTCTCCCGACAAGTCCCCGCTTATGAGGGGCAACGCTTTCCTCATGCCGTGATGGAAGATCTCGTAACCTCCCATGTGCCCGACGACTTCTTTCCACCTGCATCATTTTCTTCGTGAGACCGATTCCCAGCCGCTGTTGCCTCGCATGCGAGTATAAATTAAGACCGAGGTTCTGCTCGACCCCATCCATTCCCGAATCCCCAGCCTCAAGATGAGACTCGGGCTCTTAAATCTGGTTATAGCGTTCGCCGGCGCCGCTGTATGGGCCACCCCGCCTGAATTCACGCACAAACTCAAGGAGAGCGTCGCCCCTCCACGAGGATGGGAGAGGCATGGACCAGCTCCTCCTGACCACATCATCAAGCTGCGCATTGGTTTACCGCAACCCAGTTTCCCTGAACTCGAGAGGCATCTGTATGAAGTCAGCGACCCCGATCACGAGCGCTACGGACAACACCTTTCCAAAGAGGAGGTAGAGGCACTAGTAGCACCACACCCGGAGAGCGTCGAGCTTGTTAGCCAATGGTTGGCCGAGCATGGTTTCGACGAGTCTGACCTTGAACGATCGTCAGCGAAGGACTGGGTCACGATTAGAGTACCAGTACGCGTTGCTGAAATGATGTTGGACACGGTCGGTGATCTCCATTGGCAACCCGAGCTGGACTAATGATAAATCAGACCTACTCAGTATGGAAGCATAACGACGGAGATTACCTAGTCCGCACGACTAGCTACAGTGTCCCCGAGCACTTGCACGATCACATCGACGTCATCCAGCCCACAACGATGTTCGGACGTTTCAAAGGGCAGAAGTCCACCATTCACTCCGTGGAGGATGTTCCCGAACAGAAGAACACTGTCGCTTTGACATCAACACATGCCGCCACCGCACCCGTCGTTGATGCCTCGTGTAACACGACCATTACGGTCAGATGTCTAAAGCAGCTCTACAACGCCGTCAATTATACAGTCAAAGCTGCAAAGAATAATTCTGTCGCACTTACAGGGTATCTTGAACAATTCGCGAACATACAAGATTTGCAGTCTTTCTACGCTGAACAAGTCCCCGCAGCGGTGGGGACCAACTTCACCGTCATATCTGTGAATGGTACGTATGCTTCGTTAGCACCTGGTGAAGGTAGAATAACTGAAGGATGATAGGTGGACTCAATAACCAGACGCTCGCTGAAGCAGGTGCCGAAGCTAATTTGGATGTGCAATTCGCATTCGGCGTCTCTTTCCCGACACCTGGGACATATTATACCACTGCCGGTCGCCCGCCTTTTATCCCGGACATTGGAACGCCCACGGACACCAACGAACCTTACACCGACGTGAGATTTCGCTGCCTATTCTCCGCATTGACCACGAAACTGACCTCTATCTTAGTGGCTTGACTTCATCCTCTCACACCCCAACCCCCCTCTGAGTATTTCCACCAGCTACGGAGATGACGAACAGACCGGTAAGCGTTCTTGCGTTCACGCGTTTCGTGTGAGGATGCTGATAGAGGTTCCTCCATAGTTCCTGAATCATTTGCCAGGCGTGCCTGCGCAGGCTTCGCTCAGCTCGGTAATATATATTACTCCTGAGAGGACAACCTTACTCACAGTCCATATTTTAGGGGTTCGAGGAGTGTCGTTGATGTTTTCGTCGGGAGACGGAGGTGTTGGTGATGGAGAAGAAGACCCCGCCCTACAACAATGCTTCACCAACGATGGTAAAAACGCCACAAAATTCATACCTGGCTTCCCAGCGAGCTGTCCCTTGTGAGCGCACTAGTCACCCGATATGTAGTGACTGGCTAACACCAGAGTAGTGTGACAGCGGTCGGAGGAACGACTTTCGTGCCGGAAACGGGCATTTTCTTCTCAGGAGGAGGCTTCAGCAACTTCGTGAGTCTGGATTTCGTGCAGGAAGCTAGGATGTCCTTACCCCTTCGTAGTTCAAACGCCCAAGCTACCAAGACGTGGCAGTTAAAAATTTCTTGGGTAGGCTTCCGAAGGGCATCTACAAGGGATTGTTTAACCCGTAGGTGACATGTCTATCGCCGCTTGATCAGCACTGATGCCAACTGCGAACAGCGCCGGACGAGTGAGCGTCATGCCCAATGCGATACTTTACCCGCTGATAATTATGCTGTATAGGCCATCCCAGATGTCGCCGCGCAGTCCAACCGCTTCCGAATCTTTCTTTCAGGTCGCCCAGTGTTGATTGGCGGAACATCCGCGTCTTCGCCGGCATTCGCAGGTTTCGTTGCCCTCCTGAATGATGCTCGTCTCGCCAAAGGGCTGCCACCACTCGGTTTCTTGAATCCCTTCCTGTACACGAAAGGCGTAAGTGGTTTCAATGACATCACTACCGGTAACAACCCAGGTTGTGGGACACCCGGATTCAATGTACGTTTCCCATGCTCGCCCCTACCGAAGTTATTGTTGACGAAAGACGTTTCATTAGGCTACACAAGGTTGGGATGCAGGTTAGTGTTTCCTCACCAACAAGATTGTGTATATGCTTACCGTATCTCTTTAGTTACTGGTCTTGGGACGCCCAACTTTGGGAAATTGGTTAAGCTTGTTACTTGATGGACACAACATTCGAATTGAAGGACGATGTGCTAAATGCATACAATGTATATGTGCTAGACATTATTTCCGCATACGTTTCTTGAAGCGTTCCATAACCTAGGAACAGTGGTAGACTCGGTGACGACTGGAAAATGTAAGGAACATTGCGCACCATCTCGTCGGTAGCCATTTGAGGACGGTCGTGCTGTGGTCGTCTGGGCTGGTCGTCCTGTGTGGGCAGACCCATAGCTTCGAGTTTAGCATCGCGCATGATATCTGCGTCAGACTTCTGCTTGAGATTTGGTCGGTAGACTGCCGGGTAATTAGACAACTAAGAACCCAGGATGATGTATAGCTCACATCGAGAAGCCACCAGGTGCTCTTCGCCATTTGGTTGTTTCTTTCGTTCTTGTCGCTCTTCCGCGACTACCCGCTTCGCTTTCTCGGTCTCTTCAATATTCTTGAGGCGTGCGCTATCCAACGACAAGTTAGTCTCATTCCCATTCTGTCAAGATTGGAAAGTACGAACTCCATGCCCAGATCAACTTCTGGGATGGCAGTTAACATTGTCAGGCTGTTGGTAACGCTGCCTTCGTCCGTGGTCGGCTTTTGTTTCTCCACCTTCCAGCGGTCTACAATTTCGTAGAGCTCGTCTTGCGGATCTACTGGCTTCCCTGGTTCGTCCTCCTGAGGCCTGCTGCGTATTTTGAGGTTCTGCTCAATGTACTGCATCCTGGGGGCGTATTAGCATGGTGCTCGCGCAACAAATAGATGGCGCCCACATGTGCTTGTCAACATCGAGTACATTGGTTTGCTGGGTGAAATTGTTTGCTCGAACAACTCGTCGCGTTCGTGCCTCCTTGATGGCTTCCTCGCTAAGCCAGACTCGTATGTGTTGGACGTTAAGTTGGAGGGCGGACAATAGGACTTACTCCTCATCCTCCGCATCGACGGCGGCCCCTTGCCTGAGACCACCGACCTCTTCCTCGGGAACCAGCCGTTTCTTCTTCTTCTTGACGTCCCCTTTGTGAAGTTTAGCCACATCTATGCCCTCTCTGGCTTTCCGAAGCTTGCGCAACTCGAGGATTTCTGATACGCTGAAATGCATATGATATGAGTGGGCGGTGAGGAGGTTGTGAGGGATAATGCTGACGGTAGAGTGGTCTCCCCTTCCTCCTCATTCTGCACCTCTTCTTCATGCGATATGGACCGCTCGCGTACCCGTTGTTGAGGCCGACTTCGTTTCTTGATCATGGTGGTTAGAGCTTAACTGGTCAATGTGGCTGTGTAGGCTAATATTCTGCATGAAGTCGATTCCATTGTACTGTGGATTTCGGGAGTAACGGTGATATTCAGACGCTATTGAACGAATATGTGTGCGCACGGCGAATGGAGATATAATACATCAAGGCATCGCTATTTACGGACTTGCCATCGTAGTTCTTACGTCGAGGCTACGCTGAGTCCTGCCATTGCTTCTGTTGTTTCGGCTACCGTGTCCAGTTTTATGACAGCCCGTGTGGTTCCAAGACCTCTCCAGCCCGTCTTTGCACCTTCATGTTGCGAAATCCGGGGGTTCATCTCCGTTAAGACCTTCCCGATGAATTGCGGGTCAGTCAACGGCGTCAAGTCATCCCGCCGAGGTAGTTTCTGTCCGAATCAGACCAGTATACATATACAAGGCAGTAGGAAAGCACGCTCACCCGTTTCACGATATCATATGGAGCTTCCCAACCGCTCACCTCTCGGATAAACTGTGGTGGCTTCGACGCAAACGAATGGTACATCCGTGTATCATGCATGCGAAACAGCACATTGTCGACGTGGAGTGTGAAACGAGCAAGGAGGAAGATACATGTCGGCATCACGCGCTGCGTAGCATCGTCGATAAGCCGCCGGTGCACTTGCGCAATAGACGACTTACGATCTTGATTGTGTAGCTTGCCGTACCATTGTCATGCAACTCGTCTTCAAACAGAGGAACCTCTGCGAAGAACAGAATCGGATCCGGTCGTGTGAGCTCCGCCATAGGGATCTGTAACGACTCGTCGATTTTCCAACCGTCTGAACCGGAGTGACTAGGATGTCCTGAGTACGTTGTGGTATATGTCCAATCGTACGGTTTCGTGGCTACCGTCGTAGGCATCTGGCTCGCAGAAGACGGGTCCGTCCTATCGTTGTGCATTCAGCGAAATGCAGCGAGTCCCTTGGGTATGCCATACCGACTTTTCAACCAAGCGTCTGCGTAGCCGACTTTGACACCGCCATCCCCGTCCTGAAGCTCGCCCTTGCGTACACCTTTGAGAGCGTTCTCTGTATCAAATCTGTATATCCAGCGACTTGGGCGATGCTCCAGCTCAAGGTAGTTGCTGCCGAAGGTCATCTCCGGTAGGGGTATCCCCAGGGAGCCTTGAAGCGCATCGAGTTCAGCGGAATTCGAGATTGGATTCGTGGAGACTTGGATGGACCAGTCGTATATCTCGATTGAGCGTGTATTTGGCGATTCAGCCAGCTTGTGCTCTGGCACGGCGACTGCTTCAGTCATAAGGAACTCTGAGTAGGACGGTATGGTTGAAACTGAAGTTATAGATTAGATTAGATAGATTTTCCGCCCATGTTTGGCGCCGTGCCAATCACGCTTCCTTCATGGACAACACTTCAAGACCCTCTACGCCAGAGGCACCGCCGCAGGATCTATGGTCCTCCATTCTCGACTCGGTCTCGTCCTCGCGCTCAATACCGTCAAAGCAAATCCTGCTGCTCGGCCAGCCGTCGTCCGGAAAATCTACCCTGGCTTCGGCATTGCTCCAGAAACCATTGTCAGATGAGGAGCAAGCTGCGCGCCGGACAGATTTTGCCTTTGGCTATGACTTCTCTGATGTTCGCGACGAGGCAGACGAAGGTCTTTACTGCCCTTTACACGTGGACCATATTTTCTGAACGACCACGCATAGATACCTTGGCTCGTTTGTCCGTGTACACCGTCCCCTCGGCCAACCCAGCATACATGTCTTTGCTCCCGCACTTCATCCCCCCGAAATCCGCGCTGCCTCATACATTAGTGATGATTGTGCTCGACTGGACTCGACCGTGGACGTTCATTGACGACCTTCAAGTCTGGCTTGAATGGGTGGAGACATGGGCAAAGGGAGATACTTCGCGCGAAGTAGAGATTGCGCGTGAGGAGAACCGCGAAAGATGTGGGTAACCCCTTCATTCACAGTGTGGTCACTCCAACTGGTGTTAGTGCAATCACATTTGCAGCATTACGCGGAACCCTCAACCGACCCGCTACCTGCAAGTACTTCCGTACCGGGAACCCTGCTGCCTCTCGGCCAGGGCTCTTTCACACACAATCAAGCTGGGATACCAATAATTGTGACGTGTACGAAGGCAGACCTAATCGACGGAGGTTCGGAACCCGGTCCTGGCGGAATGGTGAAAGGCAAAGGCGGCGAGTGGGAGGAGAGAACGGATGGAATAATGCAGATACTTCGCACAATCTGCTTGAAATGTGTGTTTCATCCTCTAACTTCTTCCTGTCTTTATACTCACGACGGGTAGATGGAGCCAGCCTATTTTATACCACACCGCTGCCAGACACCCTGCAAGTTCTCCGTCAATATGCCCTTCACCTCCTCTTCATGCCTCCCGCGCCATCGCCAGGTCTATCCTCTGGTACAGAGACAGTTGCTCCCGCACGCAACCTCTTCCCTTTCCCGCATAAACCTAATACACTAGATCGTGATCACATTGTAATTCCAGCTGGTTGGGATAGCTGGGGGAAGATCGCAGTCATGCGAGATGGCTTCGAGCCTAAGCTTTGGGGAGAAGCGTGGGAGCACGATCTAGTCGGCGAGGACGTTCAAATGAATGCCAATGATCGCAGTGCGAAGAAGATGTTCAGCGCTCTTGTGCCAGATCAAGGGGCCAAAGTACGTGGATGTTTATGTGATGTCTCGTCATTCTCAACTCTTGTCGCCAGCCAACACCGCTACCCCCCTTCAACAATCCTATGCCAGAACAAACCTTCCTGGCGAAGCACTACGACGAGAACGCAAAGCGAGCTGATCGTGACCCTCGTGGTGCTTTCCGCAATCCCGCAGACATGGCGGGCGCTGCTACTGGTATTGTCGGGCCCATGGGCACTAGTAGCTTCGACCTGCCCGCCGTGGATCGCGCGTTGAGTGAAATGGAGCTATCAAGTGCACCAGGCCTTGGGCAGAGTATCAACGGTATCAACGGCACTGGAGCGGGGCGTGGTGGAAGGGCTGTTGCCCCAACTCGACCAGCAGGCCTTGCGACACTCAGCACTTCTTCAGCCGCCAACGGGCGGACGACAACTTCTCCGTCTCCCTTGAGTTCTTCAACACCAACCAGCGCTCAGTTACCTCAACACGACGTATTACAGAACTTCTTCCAAAGCTTGTTGAGGGACCGTCCTGGCGCAAGCCCTACGAAGCCAAAACCAAATGACACTGTCAATGGTACGGAGGATGGAACTCCTTGACCGTTCTTCGCAAGTTCTTTGGGCTTGTGGGCGAAGCGACGCTGGGGTTAGGGTTTCAGCCACTAATTTGCTTACACTTGTTTGGATTAGAAGCCTTTTGTTCCTTTGTCCGCTACCACCATCACCCGTTTCCTTCCTTTCAAGCGTCTTGTTTGATTCCTCTTCTCCCTACTCCTGCTTCTCGGTCATAATCATATAGGAGGACATTGTGTAGAATACGTCAATCCAGAACATGGGTAAATGGTGCGACAGGTTGGGCGGCTAAATACGCGACGTTGACTGAATTCTCATTGACTCAGGAGCTCCGAATACCATGAAGTAGTCCTTGCTTCGAAGATGGGGGCGTTAGTGTATGATTCAATTGCTTGCCCTGCGTAGTGCGCCCTTCTTGACTGACTTTTGACAGGCAGGGCGCTATAAAACGTCTGAAGCTGGAGAAGCAGGAACCTATCATCAGCTATGAGAACTTCATCCAGGAGCTCGACGGAGGGGACTCTTTCACCGCCTCAATGGTAGAGATACTCGTTAGGGTCAGTCGAGAAGCGCGATTATGTGGCTTCCTCAGTCAAAGGACTGATAATGGCGTGTTTAGGAATTGTCAGACAGGCGGAATAGAGGGACTGCCGCCGACTGCAGGCTTATAGCAGATAAGACTGCGAAGAATCTGCGCCTCCTGGCCACACCCCTTCGGATTTACCGTGACACAACGGCGGGCGTCCGGCATCACGGTAGAAGGAATGTCCATTTGACAGATTACTTGTCGGTACCCCCAGAGGAGATGGAGATGGATGACGACGACGACGAATTCGAGAGTATGCTAAACGGCGTGATGGAAGGTTCTAGGATGAATCCAGAGCTGTACGAGGCTATTGGGGGTGCGCACTCATGGACACACCCAGAGCCTCGACGACTGCACCGCTCGTATTCGGCTGTTCTTGCGAGGACAGACGAACCTTCTCAATTGACACTTCCATCTCTCCCTTCGCCGCCTGCAATGACTAGTCGGCCATCTACGTCTACGTGGTCGATTCCCGTTGTCTCCCCGCGTCAATCATCCTCCCGCCGACCACAACGCAGCAGAACCGGCGATTTCAGCGACTTCACTTCCCGCCGCCGTTCAATCACTCGCGAAGCAATAGGCTCTCGGTCTGACGATCCTGATGTCGCTGACATCCCGGCTCATGACACGGGTTATACTAGTAGAAGTTCACAATCCGCCGCACGTCGTTTCTTCCCCTTCAGTAGAGTGCGACGTAACGAGTCTTCAACGACGTCAAGCTCCAACCATGCACAATCATCTCCATGGAGTGAGCTTTTAGAGCATGAACTTACTGTGGACTATGGCGGCGCTGCCGAACCAAGTCCCTCAAGTGCCGCTTGGTTGTCCCTCCCTACACCGAGTGCTTCGACATCGTCCCAGCAGGACGGTGCTGATACGGAAACCCGCGAAGATGACGCTGGGGCAACCCCAAGATTACGCCGTGGTGGTGTTCGTGCCCCCGAGTCTCTGTTGGCCCGACATTCATCCCCAATCACCATCCTCAATCCCGTCAATGTGCGGATCTCTGCTTCTCAAACCAGCGAAAATGAAGTTAGCGAGCATCTTGCAGAAGATACAGCAACGTATCCAACCCCTGGATCAACGGACAACGAGACAGGACCCTCCGTTTCCGCTTAAACATGTCTGACAATTAAAAGTGCGGCATGTGTGGGCTCTTGTACTGCTGTGAATGTGGTATCTGTGTACTGTGTAGTAATTTAAGTCCTTGATTTGTCGTCTGTTACTTTAGTGATAATCTTGGATATGATTCTCTCATTGACTACATGGATTCTCGCTTTGGTTTGGAAATTCCACGTCTCGAGTAAGGCTTTCGTCCATACGCGAGTCACGTGAGAAGCTCGCAGCCCGTGATCTGATTCTGAACGCGATTCAAGAACTGAACTCTCTCCAACCACCATCTTGTAACTTATATCAATGGCTCCTCTCACGCCATCCGAGGCATCAAACAATCGAAAGCGCAAATCAGATGCACACATAGAGACACCTAAGCCCACCAAATCAACCAAGACATTAGATGCATTCTTCTCGCCGGTTGCAACTATTCATACCACGACACCCACGAGCAAGGGAGAATTAACGAGGATAAATCTGAACATAGAACAGACTGCAGTGCTGAAGATGGCGGTGGAAGAGGGGCGAAGCGTCTTCTTCACGGGCTCTGCTGGTACTCTAAAGTATTGCGGATGCCAAATGCTTGGACACTGATATCGGTTACAGGTACGGGTAAATCGCTACTCTTGCGAGCGATAATTTCAAGCCTCAAGAAGAAGTATGCAAAGAATCCTGATGTTGTGTCGGTGACCGCTAGTACCGGGATGGCTGCTTCGAACATTGGTGGTGAGCTCTGTGTTCTGAATGGTGGCAGACCCTGGTCCTCATTGTGGAATATCTACGTAGGAATGACTATCCATGCATGGGGGGCAGTGGCACCCGGTGTACAGAGTGTCGACAGCTTGGTCAGCTATATCCATAAGTGCAAGCCGGCCTTGCGCCGTTGGAAGAGTACCAAGGTTCTCATTATCGACGAGGGTACGTCCGCTCCCGCGGTGATTATACGTATAGTGAACTTATTCCTTATAGTATCGATGGTCGACGGTCACCTTTTTCAACGTCTGGCGGAGATCGCATCTAGATTGAGGCGGAAAACGGATAAACCATTCGGCGGGCTTCAAGTAGGTGCAGGACGTGACTGAATACCGTTAGACTCATCTTTCATAGTTAGTGATAACGGGGGACTTCTTCCAACTACCCCCTGTGACCAAGAAGGGAGATCCGTTCTTTGCTTTCGAGTGCGAGGCCTGGAAAGCATGCATAGGCGTTGAGAATACAATGGTCCTAGTCGATGTGTTCAGGCAAAAAGACTCAGGCAGGTGCCTCGAACTCGCGTCACGGCCATAGTATTAATAATGTTCTTTTAAAATCTACAGCCTTCGTCGAAATGCTCAATCAACTTCGAGAAGGTGTTATAACGCCCGAAGCTGTCAAGGCATTCCAATCTCTATCCCGTTCACTACGGCCACGCAGCAATCTACTTGCAGCTATCGCAGCTGGCGAGCCTTCGTCCTCTCCATCATTCACACAAACACCTCCATCATCCCAAGTAGCGGCCATCGAACCGACGGATCTCTTTCCCCTGCGTGCTGAAGTCGACCGCGCAAACTCGGCTCGCCTCCATGCCCTCCGAACCCCCCTCCACACATTCATTTCCAGGGACTCAGGGTCCGCCCCTCCAGACAAGCGCGCCAATCTCCTCACCAGTATGATTGCACCCGAGAAACTAGAGCTGAAAGAGGGCGCTCAAGTTATGTTAGTGAAGAATATCGAGTCAGAGGTTGGGTTGGTGAATGGGAGTGTTGGTAAGGTTGTCGGCTTCTATAGGGTCGGGGATGTGAAGGGCTCGAGGAAGGGTACAGATGCGAAAGTCGTCGTGAGGGCGGTGGTGATGGGCGATGACGGAAAGCCTCTATCTATCGAAGCTGCCGAAGACGAGAAAGAGAACGCGACATCTAAAGACCAGAAACCGAAGAGCAAAGCCAAGGTCGACGAAGCCCTCTACCCCTTGGTCACATTCCCCACAATGGACGGAGCATCTACCGAATCTCTCCTCCTTCTACCGGATGAATTCCGTGTCGAAGATAACGAAGGCAACCTCCTAGCCCGCCGCATGCAAGTTCCGCTGGTCCTCGCCTGGGCGATGTCAATACATAAAAGCCAGGGACAGACGATACAGAAAGTCCGTGTAGATCTGGGGAGGGTATTTGAGAAGGGCCAGAGTTATGTAGCCTTATCGAGAGCGGCGAGCATGGATGGGCTTCAGGTACTAAGGTTTGATCCTAAGAAGGTACATGATCGTGATCATGAGTTCGTCTTGTTCTGATTATACGCTCAGGTCTCCGCACACCCAAAGGTCATTAATTGGAACCGCGAGCTGATGGAGGCTAGGAAGGCGACCCGGAAGCCGATCCAAGGATGAACATGACGGTGAACCCACCGCAGAATGTCGATGGCGCTACCTACCTCCCGCGATAAGTCGTCTAAACTACATATCATAAAGCTCACCTCATGTATCCTACACATACATAATTGTATACTCTAGTCGTTCAATACAACTTTTATCCTGACGAAGACAGCACCCTATAAAAAACCCACTCAAGTACCATCTGATAGAGATGGGAGTATGGTGGCTATGGCACAACAGCGCGGCCAAATAACCCGTGGTGAGTGATGCAGTACACTATGCTGAGTTCCCAGTGTAACTGTTCCATATAGGACTACAGGTCAGCCCCAGCCGGGTTCATCGCAATGGTTGCTACAGAGGTAAGAGGTGCACAAAGGCAAGGGGAAAGCGTTCCGTCCTTTTGGACTCATCAAGAGAGCACGCCCGACGCGAAGGCTCACCTTGGCCCACGTACCTTGCATGAATTTCTTGCTACAGTGGGTTCGCTCTCCACAGTGTAGGACGCGCTATTTCCTCTACGTAGTAGAAGCGAATCAACGTAGAGTCGGTTGGCTCATAATGCATGTGCAGGAACGCGCTATTCCTTCTATGCATTAAGAGTGAGCCGTGTTATACCATCTCGGTACCAGCCTCGAATAGACAATCAACGACGGGGAACGAAGGGCTGAGGACTCACGGCTTGCTCGCAAACCGGCCTAGAGGACCCCTCTCCCTCGCTGCTCCTTAACACGATCAGGAGCAGCTCACGTGATGTAATCCAGATAACTCTGCGTGGGAATGCACTGAATGATCTTCAATTTTTGAGTAAAACCAATTCTCTCCAAGCACCATCATGGATGTATCAGGCCTCATTGCCTCGCATGCTGCGAAATTGTGAGTGGACGCCTCCGAGATACTACTGGCCTGGTTCATTGCCCTAATGCAGATAATCTAGCCAGTCAGTGACTGTCGAAAAGGATACACCTCCAGAGGTCGATGTTGGTTTCCTGATAGTGACCGACCTCAACCCCATTGACGAGGAATCCTACGGGTGCGTGCCTTGTAGCTTGTTTTGACATGATCTAATCCCCGCGAATACCTGCAGTGCCGACTTGGAGTCGCATCTTCAGAAGCTTGCTCGCGATGGCACCCAGGCTCTCATTTCCAAACTTTTCTCATTGCCCACAACACCTTCCCCTGACGGCCCAGTAGCCCAACTTCCCCCTCCGACAACCCAAATACCACGATCGAAACCTTTACCTAAACCGAAACCACCCACTAAGTGGGAACGATTTGCTGCTGCGAAGGGGATCCAGAAGAAGGTTCGCGAGAAAAAGATATGGGACGAGGAGAAGCAGGAGTGGGTGAACAGATGGGGCAAGGACGGAAAGAATAAGGAGAAGGAGGAGCAGTGGATTACGGAGGTTCCTCTTAATGCTGGTACGTCATATACCACTCCCCTCGAACCCCTTCACAGTCATTCTCAATCGTGCGTTCGTCGTAGACGTCAACTTCGATCCTGTCAAAGTGGCTCGTGATGCACGGAAGGAAAGAGTTGCAAAGAACGAGAAACAACAACTGCAAAACATCAAAAGGGCGCAGGGTACCTCGTCAAATACGCTGGAAGAGCGCAAAAAGCAGATCGAGAGGACTGTGGCCACCACGCGGATCAGCACTGCTAGCATGGGGCGGTTTGATAAACGGCTGGAAGGCGAGAAGAAGTTGAAAGGCGTCAAACGGAAGGTAATGCACACGTCTCGATCCCTTCTCTAGTCATGTTTCTGAACGATATATTCCAGTTTGACCCAGCAGAAGCGCCTGCAGATGCTGAGCGAAATGCTTCTCTTGCACTTCTGAACAAAATGGAAAGCGACGCCAAAAAGACTCGGCGAGAACCAGATGCACAGGACAGCGTCCTCAACGTCCGTAAAGCCGTTCGCTTCGCCAGCAAAGGCCGGGGTGCTCTCGCGCTCGCAAAAGACTCGCGTTCAAAAAGCAGAAACGCGAAAGGTTCAAGAAAAAGTAGATAGTTCCTTGTCTTTCTCGTCGTCGTTCCATGTAATATGTATTGCAACAAATGACTTGTTATTAATCGTGAGTATATACATGACAATAACTAGTGAAGCATGTACACATGATTGTACAGAGAAAAGTCCCAATGAAAACGCCCATGTCAATGCGAGCAGTCCCAAAGATTAACGAATCGTCTCAACAGGGAGGCGGTCAGGTTTAGCTCTGCCCTCTTCTATCCATTTCTTCTTTACCAGCTTGCTACTCGCATCGTGGTAGAGACGATACACCAGTTTGATCGTCCCTTCGCTAACACCGGCCACCGCGCTAATATCCTTGAGCGCCTTCGGCTTGCCAAGTAAATGGCAAGTGAAGTAGATAGCTCCGCCAGCAATCGAGACGGGACTCCTTCCATCTGCGATACCATGCTTCCGAGCGGCGATAATGATGTCAGAGCATATCGACTGTACATTCGGAGGAAGGTCAAGGTGATTGCAGTAGCGAGAAAGGAGGTTCTCGGGACCCGTCGAGGGTGACGATGCGTTATTGGAAGCTGTGGCACCAGGAGACAAGTTGAACGCCTGTTCCAGCGCTTTGTAACATTGACCCAACGTCTTCTTCGACACATGCGTCAAGTTGCATATTTCACGGAATGTTCGAGGGACGTGGGCCTGTCTACAGGCAATAAAGATGCAGGCAGCGATGACTGCGTCGAGAGGCTTGCCGCGAAGGAGCTTCTCTTCGTCAGAGCGCTTGTACAGCTGCTTGGCTATGTCGCTGATTGTTTTTGGCAGGGAGAATTGATCGCACCAGCTTGAGATGTCTCGGAATGCAGTTAAAAGATTGCGTTCCGATCGTGAGTTTTGCGAACGGGATGCCGCACGCTGGAGTTCGCGCGCAATACCAGAGCCACCATCTCTGAAACTGATGACAGTATCCAGCTGTTCTATCCCCTCCAGTAGAGGGTCGGAAGCAGCACCAACACGAGAAGGGTCGTCTCCTTCGTCGTTGGCAAAGGTCTGAGTTAAAGTGAAGATGTAGCAATCTCGAACACATCTCACAAGATGGGTGGCAGAAAGAAAAGGAACTTACACGCCATTCGCTTCTAGTATCAACGATACGGTCTCCCAAAACCAGCCCACAGTTTCCACAAACGAGGTCGCCGCTACCGAACTCCTCCACGATATTTGGGTTTGGATCTCTGCATTCTGGACAGATTAGGCGCACAGCCAAGTCTGGCCCAAAAGTCGGTGCAGCTGCGGCTTTGGCGGCTTGAGCAGCAGCAAGAGGAAAGGGTTGTGCGAAAGCCATCACTAAAGGGGCCTTCACTCAATGTTCGGTAGCAGGGGGTTCTCGAAAGGGAATGGTGTGGTAGCTGAGGTTTAGACGATAAGCAGCATTCCAGACTATAGAGCTAAAGGTAGTCTGTTCACATACCGCTTCCGTATGGAAATCTGCGCTCTAAGTCAATGTCACAACGAGGGTGAACCGGCTGCAGGAAAACAACGTCGTGGTTGCGGTCCAAGAGTTGAAGCTGTCGCAAACAAGGAGTCCGTCTCCTTGATCCTGTGCTGAGTCACTTTCTCCCACGCATAGAGTCCAGGGGCTGTCAGGAGACTCCTGACTCTTGCAGAGCACTGACAAAGCTCTCAACGTAAAGTGTCTGTAAGGTGTACCACAGATACTGCATACCCTTTTGCTGCTTTCACAGCATGCAAAGTCAGCTGATGGTCAATCGGATTTTGCGAGAAATTTTTAATTTTGTAAGCCTTGCGGTTCAAAGATCACCGCCACGGGATGGGAGCTTCAGAGCACACAAAGGGGATTATGGTAGTCGTTGTGGGCATGGATCAAAGCCGGCATGTTGGGTGATCTACTGAGTATATGTTACATCCTATATTCTGGATGTAAATAAAGCCCCCAAACATGTATAGAGCACAGGTAGCATGGAGATGACCGGACTTCTGGTTGCAGAGTTCGTATTTGTAGTGACAGAGCTAGGGGAATTCGTAGGGGCAGAGGCAGTGGCAGCAGATCCACCTGCTCCTGAAGAAGTTGTAGCATTGGTGAAAAGCGTAGCAAGCCCGAACCCAGCTGCAATAGGTTTCTGCGATTCAATCCCCGAGGTGATAGTCCCAGCCGAGTCACTGAGTCGCTGCGCGTCGTAGGCTGCATATGCTGGGTCCCCCAATGGGGCCTGGAATTGGCTTTCAAGTATCCTAATCAAACAAGACTGAGAATGCGATGAAACGGGTGGGAGCGAGTGACGTGCTTAGTAGAACTCAAAGAGCGTGTGCTGAATATGTCAAACTCCCCATTAGAAACAGAATGGGCATATACTGGGTTCAGATGACACGTTTCGGAAGTGGTAGAGTACAGAAGCTAGGATGGTTGAGCACTGTGAACCAATGGGCAGAGATATCCACATACTGCTGCCCGTGCTCCCTTGTCACGCGCAAGAGTGAAGATGTCAAGCTCTTGAGAATGACCGGTAGCGTTTCTATCGCAAGATATGAGGGCGATCCAAGGGGCGGTGGCTGATCAGAGTCAGTCCGACTTTATGCAGGCGCGCGCACGGGACGTACTGGGCGGGACGTCCGAGTCGATGTCTGCTGAAAAATGCACCAAAGCGCCCTGTAAAGCACCTTTAACGAATGCCTTAGACAAGCAGAAGCGGCGCACCTGGCTTATGTCCCGTGCCCCGAGCTCCCTGTTGATCGTATCGGCGTACATCCTTACTGTTCATTGAGCCAGCCTCTCGAATTGCGGAAACAGACGCAACTAACCTTTCAGGGTAGAATTGCACTAGCAATTTGGGCATTAGGTCGTACGACATGACGGACAGTGTGGTATTTGTAGGGGATGCGGGGACGTATGGGGACTGGGCACCTACATGGTGTAAAGTGAGAAGTAGTAGGAGAGCACTGAATTTCATCAGTGGTAGTAGGTGTGGGATAAACACCAAAATACAGTAGAAAGGAAGTTTATCTGACGTATCAGGTGATCGCAACTGACAGGAGTGCGACAATGATCGATGAATTATAATAGCGATGGTGGTACATGATTCAATGAATTCAAGCAGGAGCTAGGCGTGATCCCAATGAACCTTTGTGTGGACCCCAAGATCCGCCACTTTCTTAGCCCCAATCTGACATCGCTGAAGTTTTAATTCCTGGATCACCATCCCAAATTCCTTGCGCTCCTGTAGCACGTCCATCAAAGTCGGAATCATCTCCCCACACCCTGGATTAAAGCACGCGTCCTCGAACTCGCAATACCTCAGCACGAGCGTCTTCAATTTCGGAAGAGGCGTTGTTGCCACGGCGTTTTTAGACTTTGACAACGCGCGGATGAAAGGGGAAGCGATGTTTGAGGCATCCACTCTCGTGATGGCGTCCATGTTCTGGAGAAGTCGCGACCATGTTGACTGGGGCAATCCTTCCAACCCGTCGAGGCGTAGAGTTTCCAAGTGCTGGCGGGGCAAAGTGCTGCACAGCTGCTCGCATATTTCAGCGAGATGGGTCGTTGGCTCATAGCAATCAAACATGATGTCGCGAACAGGGGTTGCGTTCGCGGAATATGCAGCGATGGAAAGATAGCGTGGTGGGGCTCCCCCGGAATGGACCCGAACTTCGCGTATGGCCGGCGCGTCGTCTTGACAAAGCTGGAAGAACAGATGCCGCAAACCAGATAGACTCGGGATGGTAGTAATGACACACGCCGAGACGCTGAATGTTACTTTCGTAGAAGAGGGGCATTTGAGGTAGTCGAAGATGGCAGAAGATGCGAGATCCTTGGACTTGATGCTTAAAGTGCGAAGGGAGCTGAGCTCGACACTCATAGCGGTGGCGGGGTCTGGTGAGCCCGATGCGACGTAAGATATTGCCAGATCCTCAATGTTCGGAGTATTATACAGAGAATGGAGGAGTACCTCCCACGAAACTGCATTGCCGTCGCTTTGTGAAGACATGTGAAGGCGTACCAATTGTGGAAGAGGAGGTAGTGGTGAGTCGAGCTTGAGGTTATGGAGTTCAATGAGGCGTAGCGCTGGTATATGACTGGAGACAAGTGGGTGAGGTAGCGAGAGGAGCCCGCTGCAATCGAGTTTGCTCGACATGCGAAGAGTCTGAAGAACCGGAAGAGATGCATACTCCGTGGAACTGAAATTTTGGAAGAGTTGAATCATGTCCTGCGTAGCACCCGAAATATTGAACTCTTCAATCCTTGGGAACTGATGGATGACCGCCTTTCCAATCGACTCGTGCAACGGATACTCGAAAGGACGACAACAACGAACGCGCAATGGCGCACCTTTGGATCTTTCCAACATTGTAGTTGCAGAAGCGACGGACGTAAGATCGAGTGTATCCCATAGCTGTGGGGTATCGAGGGCGACCTCTCTCCATTGACGAGAGACGCCTGCTACATTCAACCACGTCCTCTGTTTCCAGTCATTGGATCGGTGTGGCGTCCTTAATGGGAAACAGTGGCCAGAACCTTGAGCAAGGACAAATATCTCCGCAATGAGCTCTACAGGAAACTGGGAAAGGTTGGTAGAAGACTTCGTCTCCGCGTCGGGCGTCATTTAGCGTGTGTCGTCCTGGGAGGTTTCGCTGAGGGGCAGTGGGTACCATGTTGAGTGCGCTGAATGGACACTCACAGTGTTGTGGGATCCGGCTGTTAGATGATCAATGTTTAACTTCGGGTGGCTTTCGCGCAATCGCGCAATATAAGTATACAGCTACACGTGATGTGTTAGTGGGGCCTCACTCCATCTTCCGAAGTCGATGAATAGCTCACCTGGTAAGAACCGGGTTTATTTCCTGTTACGTTACGCAGCAGTCCGGTAGGGGAAATAGGGTACCACAAGTTCTGTCGAGCCTGTACGGGAGCTCAAGTCTGTTTTCATGGGATAGCAGCCATGCATAACGCAGGAAAGTTCCGTCTGAGACCAATCGGGTCTTTGCCAGACCATTAGGACCGTACAGCTTGGCAACCTCACACTGCATTCAAAGGACAAACGTGGGCGGCTTAGGAGATGGTGGGAGCGGGATGACGCCGGCATCGAAATCGGATGGTGAATGAACGTGTGGGGAAACGCGATCACGCCAGCGTGCTTCTCATACGTGTTCCTCGAATGAATGCCTTCGTAGTTCGCACACTATAAGTACAACAGTCGTGCATCCATGTCAATGGGGGAAGAGCGGCCAACCACAAGCTTAGTAGTACGAAATCTAGATATCAAGTCAATCCGAAAGCGGCTCAAGCGTCTCGCACCTATCCTTCCATCCATCTTCTGGCAGCTTCTTGGCCAGAGCTAGCGCGAACAACGTAAGGACCATCAAAACGACGTACACCAACTTCCCTCCGAGAAAGTGGTATTGGACAGAAAACGAATAGAGGGAGGTCGTCATGGCGGGACCAATTGCGCGTGCTACCGAGACGGTTGTCTGCGATAATCCGTTGGTGGCGCCGAGCGATCGTCTGTTTGGCGCCGCGGCAGTAATAAACATGAAGATGCAAGCTGAAAGCACAAGGGGTCAGGAGGTCTGGTTTGGAGAGCGGAAGCAATGTTCCTCTTACAATAAGACATATCCATGACCACACACATCCCTAATTGTATGACCAGGACGATCCAGACATAAATAGCGGGCGCGCCACTCCTTGCGAGGGTATTCATCACAGGAAATAAGCAGAATATTGGGATGAAGAGAACAATTCCTGCGATGAATACGGGTTTGGGCGTAAATCTCCCCACAATGGAAGGGAAGAAGAAGAATTGGAAGACGCCATTCGTAGCTCCAAAAGCTCCAAGGATGTAACCAATTGTTTGCGGACGGAGAGCCAGGCCTCCCAGCTCAAATGGCATAGAATAGAAGAGCGGCTGAAGGGCAAGGAGACCAATTTCGAGAAAAGCTAGAACCACGTAATTGAATACGGGCAGTAGAACCCGAGAATGGAGAAGTGCCTTCATAGGCACAGGGGCATCTTTGTCGAGACTTTCCTGCCCATCGACGGGAGATGGATAGTGGCCGAGAGTCTGCAATTGGTCAATATCCGCCCCTCACTGCCAGTGAACGCAAAGCTCGCCTCTTTAAGAAAGACTAAGCAGAAGAAGAAGCAAACTAGCATGATACTAGCGGCCACGGCGCATGGTAGGAAATAAGGAAATTCTCGCCAGAATGGTGATTGGAACGTCTCTGGGAAACGTTCATACGGTTTTGCGAGGCTTCCCCCAATAATTGGGCTACAAGACAACTAACTGAATGAGTTGTACGTGAATAATGAAGTTGACAACATACGCGATCGTTGATCCCGCGGACCAGACAATGGGAATCAAGGAGAAGCCGCGAGCGCGATTGGTGGAGTCGGTGAGTTCTCCGATGGCGCTTTTCATGACCCCTGTCCGCATGCAACCCGATCAGAAGAGGGGTTCGCAGAGAGCCATACGGACATACCGATATTTCCGTTCAGCATGCCACAGATACAGCGGCTGCAAAAATCAGTCAACCGAGCCGTGAGATCCCCAAGAGGTATGTGTACCTGATGACAAGCGACCAGAACGACCGAGACAGTCCGAAGCAGACGACAGACAGGCAAAGGCCGAACAAACCCGTCAGAAGTACTGGCTTGCGACCAATGCGATCGGATAAGCGACTCCATTGGAGTACTGTACAGGCCTGTGTGGCGAAGAACAGCGATTCCTGTCGCAGTAGCAAGTTGTGAGCCCATATATACCATGCAAAGTGCAGATCGCAACCCACAATGATCCCTGCGTAGTATCCAACCTTCTTTTCATCGCCCCCAGTAATATCCAGCTCGCTGATAAGCTAGAAAACTATCAGAAACGCCATTTAACCGTGAGGAACGCGATATAGAAAGTACCTGGGTGATGAACGGATAGATCGATTGACTAGCCAACGGTTCGCAGATCAGCGTAACGAGAAGAATAAGTAGCTGACCCCATTGCAGAGGGGTTTCGATGGGCCGTGGCGGTGGGTCTTGTTTGATCAACAAGGGGGTCTCTTCGTCGCTCTCGTAGTAGGTCATGGAGCTGGGGGATTGCGTCGAATTCTGGGCGAAAGAATTCGAAGTTCATCGTATCATTGGGGGTTATAAGCGATGACTCAGAAATCAAGAATATTCGACAGTTCGGACCGACCCTGGGTCGAATTATGTGTGGAGGTTGTCGTAGAGCCCTGCAAGGCCTCATGATCGCATATGAGTAGTCAAAGCGTTGAAGGTTGATGGCATGGTGCTTCCACCCGTAATGGTTGTAGTAGCAGTAATACGAGGTACCTGTACGGAATGGTAATCGGGACCTTTGGCTCAACTGATCGCGAGAGAATAGATGTCTGATCATGAGGTACTGTTGTTATGAGATAGAAGAGGAAGCTTCTGTGGATTCGTCCGCGTACGTTCCGAAGGACGTACGAACGATGGATCATTGGTACAAATAAGTACATGAGGCTGGATTCCAAGAAGGTATTGGAGTGCTCAGGCGGCGGCTTGAGTTGGTGCCCCGCCCCTTGCATTCGAGATGACCTCCAATACTGACGCCAGGCCAGTTTTCCATGCAACCAACCGTTTCTCCAATAGCTGCCATTGCTCGTTTTCGAACGTTCGAGGAGTTGAGCGGATGATGTGCATCGTTTGCGTAGTTTGGGAGAGCTTTCCCGAGATCAATCCGACGCGGATGACTAGAAGGCAAAATATAATTAGCAACTTCTATGAGGAACATAGATGAGGTAAATAAACGAACCGTCGATTGCCCATTTTTCTACTTCTGTCGGTTCTACTTGGATCGTCTCTGAGATTTTAGCATAAGGAAGATCGCGACCGACGTGCTGGAACGCCATGGACGCGAGGGAGAGAAGGCGGATTTTGCGTGTGAGTTGGCTTTTGTCGAGGTCTGATTATCCACGAGTCAGAGTGTATTTCAGGGGATCAAAATAAACACCGACTGTATTTCTCGAAAACGTCTGCGTGGCTGGCCTCCCAAGACAGATAATCTGACAAGCCGCCACCGAGGAATATTTGGAGAAGGCCGTATATTTCGTGGTCTTTCGCGGCGACTACTCCCTCGAGTTTGGATAGGGAATCAAAGTCGAAAGTCGACGGAAGGCGTAGAGCGGTCGCGATCGCTTCAACGGCAGCAGGTTGAGAATCAGGGGATGAAGGGGGGATCGAGCGAACGTATGATAGAAGGTATTCATACGATGTTGTCCTAGACATTGCGGTCAATGAGAGCGACAAGGAGTGGAACGCGCAGAACATACGGATCACCTGCTTGCTGGTACGCGTCCGAGATCTTCTTCAGCAGTTGGCTCTTCTGCTCCGACGAAACATCCCACTCCGAAAGCCATCTGTCGATGTTTTCTTTGTTCGGTTGGACGATGCTCAGCTCGTCCCGCTGAATGGCCAGATCCAAGAGGGCGTTGTAAGCGGTTAGACGGAGGGGGGATCGACGATCGACGATATTGAAGAGGTTTGTGATGCTAAGACCAGGTCAGCATCCGCGCAGCAACAAAACCACCACATACATTCGGTATTTGATGGAAGGTGCATCGGTTGAAGCACCAACTATCGTTTCTATCAACGTAGACACGTGCTGCGTGGCCTCTGGCGAATCGCTAGCATAGAGAGAGAAGAGATGGGAATATATCAAGTTGAAGAATCCCTCGATTTCTGAACAATTATCAGTGCAAGACGGCTATTGCAAACGGCATTCAGGACGCACCTCTGTCTGTACCGTCTCCCAGGCCTTTCACGTCGGCCAGGACCATCGAAAGCACCTTCTGGCGCCGTGCGAGATCCAACTCGGCGCCATCCTGTGTCTTCAAAGCGACTTGGAACGGACGGATGGCCTCACCGCGTTCTTCTTCTGATCGTCCTCGAACGATGTAGTTTACCAATTCCTGGATCTTCGGGACATTTAGAATTTGAAGGGCGCGCAACATGGATTCCCTCACCTGCTCCTCGAATGTCCCCTCGGAAAATACGGATATTGAGTCTGTGAGAGACATTTTGATCAAGAGAACTGTAAATTTTTGGGCCCTTAATCTTTGAATCAAAGCTGATTGTAGTTACTGACTTAGCAAGGAGCACATGAGTGACTGTGAGAAATTTATATAGCCCGTGCGAATATGAACTTCCTCATGTAGCTAAGGCATTAGTTATCTCAAGGGGATCTGTGGGTCTTCAGTTTGACAGAGCGAACTATTAATATAAACCCACAAGAGCCCGGGACCAAGGTGTGAGTGTAAGAAATGACATTGCTATGTAGTATGCTACTGTGTTCCTGATTAACATCTACTCTCGACAAAGCGAAGTATCAGATAGGATATATCGACGTAAGAACTAGGGTATATGTGCTGAGAATCTACGGCATGTTCGTGTAAATGTCCTTGAGTTTTAAGAAATCAGGCGTCCCAAGGCCAGTGACTAGAGGCACCATTATCGTTAGTATTGACGATCTATCAGTATCACATCATGTAAAGTGCTCACCGGGATCCCACCCATCCGTCGCCTGTCATACGTTAAACAAATCATCATTTCAATCAGTGACCGACAATCGTGGACAACACAACGCGACACGTACGGAGAAGCCATTCGTCCCACACCCAGGGTTATTTCCCTCCGTAATATCATTGAGTCCGGGGATCGCGCTTTTGTACAGCGCTGGGTTCAAGAAACCGAGGACAGATTTCCCTTGGGCGAGGCGAGCATCATTGATCAGCGAAATCACGGCAGCGAAGACGGGTGCTGCAGCAGATGTCCCTCCAATCGACGCCCATTTGCCTCTGGAGTGGATTGCATAATGGCGGCCTTGGGCGGCGACATCTGGAATAGCTCTACCAAATCTATTGACAAAATATTATTGAACGCCTGTACTACGCGAATGTAAAGAAAGGGTGTGCATACCGGTTGTAAAGGCCTTGGTATGTGTTGCCTAGTTTTCCAAGGAACTGATTCACTGCCTGCGATTGATAGGCTGGGCGAGGGAACTGGACGGTAACGTCAACAATCAAAGATCCAAACACTCGGAGACAAACTCACGTAGTTGCTGAAACCGCCTCCAGAAAAGTATACAGCAACCTCAGGATAGCTGTTCGTGCCTCCAACTGCTGTGACACTATTTGAGAGGGTGTTCAGCTTAGTTGTTTTCACTAGATATACCCGCAGGTAGCACGCACTATGGACACGTCGCGGGAAACAGCGGTGAGAACCTAGTGGCATTTCGACCATCGTTGCTGATGCATTTCTGGGTTTCAGGATCTGGGTTTCCGTCTCCAACGCCACCATCACCCGAAGCGAATATCAGCGAAACACCACGAGCCGCTGTGTCACAAACATATATTTAGAGACATCTTTGGATGGAGACAAAAATGAGTATGACTGACTCAGCTTGGCGAAGCCTCTGCACACGTTTACCGCATACGATCGCGGCACGGTCTGTTCTGCATCACCGTAGCTAGTTGATATGACGGCGGGCGGGTTGGGGAACGACGACATGTAGTCAAGCCACTAGCAGTGACTCCTGGTTATTTACTGGACTTAGGAAGAAATGGAAGCATATCCGTACCTCTTGGTAGGGCTCGTTGGTATTCCTCACAGTTGCGATATCAGCTTGGAAGGGAGGCCGACCGGCGGTTGACCAGTAGACACCAGGTATTGGATGGGCGAGTCCAAAAGCGTACTGTACATCGAGATTGGCTTCAGTACCGGCAGCCTCTATGCTCTGGTTGTTGATCCCGCCTTGAAGATGTAGATACGTGAGTCCAAGCGTTTCCAATACACTAAGGGACCTACCAGCCACAGAGAAATATTCAAAGTCGGAACCCAAGGCATCAGGACGCTGCATCTTGTAGAACGACTGAAGATCCTCGATATTCGCGAACTGCTCGAGATACCCTGTGATGCCAATTCGTTGCTGGTCAATGGCCTGGGGTGTGTATTCGATGTTGTACATCTGCCGCAAGCAATTGAGCGTGATCGTGTAGTTGCAATTCGGGTCAACGCGACCGGCAGGAAGAATACCACCGCCCACAACGTTGAAGTTGTTTACGTTCATGAGTGGCGAGGCAAGAGTCTTCGTTTGGACTTCGACGTCCTCGTAAAAGAGATGTGATTTGAGTCCTTTCCAGCGGGCAAAAATAGTGGTCGGCTGCACAAGCTCAATGTGTGCATGGAGTTTTGCCGGTAGACTGTAGCGTGTTGTGCGAAGGATGTACTCGTCGTCGTCGTGCCGCCAGACGTTGTATTCCTGGTAGCAGTTTACGTTAATGAGTTAGTATTCCCGGGCGCTTAATGCAATATTCACCGTGTCCAACATCTGTTCTGCCAGCTTTACAGGCACTGTGAAGCTTAGCGAGTCCTTCGACGACGAGCGAGCGATGTCCGAATCCTTTAAACCGTGACCAGCGAGCCATTCGTCCACCAGCCTGATACTATCAGAGTGCGGTGCCGCTAGCGCGTCAACCTCCTCCGCCGAAAGGTGCGCGCCATACCGCGGGTGGTCTGGGTCACTGATTTCAGCCAGGTGTTGTTCCAAAGTCGAGAAATGGGGTTGTGAAAGAGCGATTCGAAGAGTGATCGTGTGGTAGGGTGGCGCGGCGGCATACTTCGTCCAACCGTGAGGCGGCGTGATGCTCTCCTTCACCTGGTGTTCGCAGCCATTATCCCTGGAAACGTAATATGATGGTACCGCCAGACATGGCAAGACGGCCAGTGCCAGACTGGCAGCAGTAAATATGGGTATCCTCATCGCGGAAGGGCAGAGTTGACGGCCGGGAGAGGTAACCGCTAGTGGTGGTAACGAACGAACATTTATAGCCCATATCAGACTCGGCGTCGACCACGTTTCACAAGTCTCTCAAACGCTCGTCGCAAGGGAGAAGCATTAGGCACATCAGGCTAGTCCCATTCTCTGAACGCTGGCAGTTTTTCTTGAGAAAATTCGTCAGTGTTCGGGCCAGGTGCGCCATTTGAGTCGAGTCGGCGCGGTGCTCTGGTCCACCACGAAAGGACGCGTAAAGGCAATTGTTTTCTGATAATTGTCCGAATAGGAACTCAAACTCGGTGGGTGTGAACAATGAACGGCATGGCAGGAAATATGAACAGTTCCACCAAGCATCGCTGCTGCCAATTCGAAAGCGGCGACATGTTAGCGCCACATAATCCAACCGTGCGTGTGATTCCAAGGAACTGCTAGTCCATTAGATGGCCCGTGTATGGTCGCAGTATATAATATTGATACTGAGAAGTTGCGCAAACAGACAAACGAATGTGACTCTTCAACTACTTGGGATGAGCCAAAGGGGTGCCCGAGTCCCTTTGGTGATCCCGACGGGGTATACGTGGTTCGCAAGGACAACGTCAGAATTACTATGAAGGTTGCTAGAATATGGTTCTCAATACGTATTATGTACATCCAAACATACAACGCCCTGCGTGAGGTATACGCCATTGTCCCGTAAACGTCTGTAAGGCTGCACTCTATGTGGTACAGACAAGATTAAATAGTGCGCGCTAGAAAGTCTATACATAAACAGGCGGAGGGTCTTCCGACCGTGTTCCCCTGCCAATAGTTACTTGGGAGCTGGCCATTCGAACATGGTCACTCTGGGGGAAGGTATCGGAATGCCCTGAATGCACCTGGTCCAAGCTATCGCTGAGCGCTGACGAGAGTTTGGGCTCTGGGATACGCGGTACCCCCAGCCGCACCACCGATTCGCGTGGTGGCTCAAACTGAATAGGCGATACCATCCGCAGCCATCTGCGCTCGCGGTGGTGCAGGTAGATGATCAAGCCGACTACGAGCCCGAGGCCCAGGAGGGCGGAAATGGCACTGATGATGATCAGAAGGCGGGTATTCTCGGCTTTGATGGTTTCTATCTCTTTCTGGATGTCCATCCGTGGAGCGCTTGAAGGTGGGGAAGAGCTGGGAGAGGTATGAGGAGGGGTGACAGCCGAGACTGAGGTCGATGAGGTTGGACTGGGTATAGTCGAGGTAAAGGGAGGTACGCTTAGTTGTGGCAGGGTGGAACTGATAGATGGAACACATTAACATGACTCACGTAGCTAAGTAATATATACGCACTTCTTATTCGTGGTATTGGTAGTAATGAGGAACCTGTCGCTTCGAGAGAACAAATCGTCGGAGCTGCGTGTTTCGTGACATGTTAGATGACGCATGTACGGGCAAAGAAACTCGCTTACTCTGGCTCCGCTGCGAAATAGATATAGAAACTGGCAGACCATTAGCTTTCCAAGTTGACCTTACGAATGTGATGCGAGCAATTACCCGTCAGGCACTTGTGGTATGGAGATTAACACAGTGAACGTGGAAGAGACGTTGGTTATATGTTGAAGCATGGTTTGAGCACGGTCCGATTCTGTGCTCCGAAGAATTAAGTCGAAAGGAGCGAAGTTGTCATCCTTCCCCATCTCCAATCCGAGGGAAACATTGTCACCGACGGCTACATCGCCCACACCGTGGAAATTCAGAGCCGAGACAAGGAGGTTAAGGCAGAGCGTCGCTAAGATGCTACTCAATGGGTCCGTCAGTAGTCGTATTCGTAGACACAAGAGCCGAGACTGACCTCCACCAGCAAAGCATCTTAGGCGACTATGAGCGGGGAAGAGACCAAGGGCATTTGAAGGGGCCAATCCCTACAGCCTGTCCGCACGTTATGTAGCAACATAAGTATGATGAAATGTAATGATGGGTCAGTGGCCAGCTTCTGGGAACAATCCATCAAGTGACAATTGAATATGGAATGGAGGATCATTTTTCCCAAGTCAAACCCATAGGGAAATGCGTCGACAGCCTGTCGATATGAATCCACCTCCGGTCATGGCAATGGCGCTAAAGGCAGGATGACAGTAGCAGCTTATCTAGTAACTGATACGAGCCATCAGGCAAGTGCGCACACACGGAGCCCGATGCATACCTGATGGTACTCACGGTAAGAAACAGATCTAACCGCGTCAATCATCAAAATACGAAGCTTTTAGGTAGACCGGCATACAGATAAGACACATTTGCAAAGCATGTATCATACGCCTATCATGGCGCTAGGTTGCTATCCTGCTGACCATAGCTTACCACTCGCCATCAAACCCAAGGAATCCTGATCTTAGTTAGTCCCTGGTGAGTATCAGCCAAGTACGGCAACTCACCTGTAAGGAGGAAGACATGGAAATATCTCTTCTTCTCCAGAGACCCACACCAGTTCCACGCACTCGTCAGCCTTCCATCAATGCAGCTGCCAGCATCGAAGAAATTATCGGCCCCAGAGCCATCGAATCCGTGACGGAAGAAATCACCCAATATTTCACAGACGAGGTTCTCCGTTGAGCCGAACTCGTCGTCGATATACGATCTGATCGCAGGTTTCTGCGCTAGCGAAGGGATCAGCGATAGAGTGTTGCAAATGGGGAGGAGGATGCGGTAGATCTGAGTGTATTTATCAATGAAGAGGAGGGCATTGGGTACGTTGTGGTCCCCCATGTGAATGACACTGGAGCCGATCCAAGTGCCTACTCGTTGTTGGGCCTTATGGAGGATTGTGTGCATCATATGAGACGTCTTTGGGGCAGCCTGGACACGGTTCAAACCTTGCCCAGTGTCGCGCAAACGGTAAGAAACATTCTCCGAAAGTAAATCTTGTTCTGCGAGGAACCACAGCCGGAACATGTCTAGAGAGAGAGAGCTTCAGTAAATAATAACGGAAAGCTGGGTATCCTTACCGTGCAGGATTTCCCGCCAAAGTGTCAAGCTTTGCAAGACATAAGCATATTGCTTATTGTGGTCGTGCGACAGGCGTGCTCCGCCTTTCCCACTACGGATAGCTAAGCTGGTCTTCGAGTCCTTGGCTTGGGTGGGATGGAAGTATTGCTTCAAATACGCTATCATTCGTTCGCACGGATCCCGATTCACCCTCAGGAATGCATGGTTATCGCCGATGCTATAAAGACACTGCCGGATCGTTTCTTGGGATAAACCCTTGCGTTCGTATTTCGAAGAAAGCGTCTCTATAGCGCGCTCCTTAGCTTTGATGTCTTTTTGTATGTCCCTCCGTGAACGACCCTCGGAATATATCTCTTGGGTCGCAACGGTCACGAGTTTGTCGCGCAGGAGATCCGTCGCGCCGTGCTCCTCGAGGACGATATGCACGGTTTTGATAGGTTTCACGCATGAGAAGCTAAGCAGATCCTTTACTTCGGGTGTTTGACTGTCCTAAATTCTTCATATTGGCATTGCTGAGGTACGAGATGCGAGTCGTGATAGAAACTGACCTGAAGAAGATAGATTAGCTTTCCGTACGTAGTCCGCATCTTGTCGGGATTCATAATTTTGTGTCTACGTCCCAACTCGAAGATCTGCTGATAGAAATCCGCATTCGCCTCGAAGTCACGATCGGTGAAGAGTTCTTGTCCTTGTTTGTAGTCTGCCGCTAGCACGAGGCCAGACATAATGGCGCAGAGTTCCCTGATTTGGTGCACAATTCGTTTGGCTTTCGATAGACCGAAACCAAGAGTGTCAATTTTGTCTGTGTACTCCGAAACGTTAAGAGCGGCTTCCAGGAGGCGCAGGTACTTGCGTTCCCCCAGTGTCAACCGGAGCGGGATGTATTTTGACCGTTCAACGAACCATTCGCCTACGTCCGCCCCGAGCGCTGGTTGAGCCCCGAGAATCTCCAGTTTTGGTGCAGGAGGCTCTGAAGAGATGCCTAACCACTCCTCTTCGTCGTCGCCATCATCTTCGTCCATCTGATGGCTACTGAGAACGTTAAGTGATTGGAATGATACCAGCACTCACCGCGTCCTCATTGGGCACTTCAGACTTGGCGACAACACCGTTCTCTGTTTTGGCTTTCTTTTCCTGACCACTCGACAACGGTTTGGTAGCATGCCTCTTCCTAGACCCTTTGCGATGCTGAGCAGCGAAGCAAACCTCGCAGAACTTGTCCAGGCAGGTCTCGCAGAGAACTTGCGCTGGCTGGTCTAGTAGTAGCCAATGTGTTGGTTTGACTGTCCAAAAGAGTCGACAATGTGCCCAGCGCACCTTCACATTCAACGCAATACCCCTCTGCGACCGGCTTTTCGGTAGCTTCTTCATCCCAGCCGCCCGACGGATTTCCGTTTGCACTAGGATGTTCTATGGTTTCATGGTTCTCTCCAAGGATGTTTTCTAATGAGAATTTTGAATTGTCGCTGGTGCTGGGCCCCTCTATTGACATGGAAGAGTGGCTTCTATAGTCTAGGGAATCTAGGATGCGATTAATGAAAGGACGAATCGTGGCTATGTGGAGGAAGGGGGAAAGAAATGATGAGGCGTGGCCTCTGATTGGCCTTGGTCATTCTCCACACGTGCATGCTGCATTTTTCTGCAGTACGGTGAGGCGGCCATAGTTGTCAAAGAGTACCTGAGAATTAGGGCATGGTATAGTACAAACGATGACAAGAATCCCAATGTATGTAAATTACGAACGTCCGTTATCATCCAACCTGTATACTAGGTGCAGTAAATTCCCATCCACCGAGCAAAGAATGTTTCTTCAGCTCGAGCCGCTTCCCAGTCCAATCTTCCTCGCCTACCCGGTTGGCCCAATCGTCACTATCCTGCCAAGAATCAGCCCAGGTAGTGATGCTGGGTTTCGGCAACGAACCGTGAGCCGACCTTTGAGGCGAGTTGATAGCTGGTTGGTTGGTCAATGGAATATGAAGCGGAGCTGGCGGCGAACGGCGTTTAGTTGCTCTACGCCCGGATAGTGAGGAGATACTATCACTTGATGAGTGTGACAAACTAGTGGCTAGGTCGCGTAGTTCCATGGGTTGTGAAGTCGTGCTCGATCCAGATGACTTGTTTTCAAAAGGTGTCGAAGAAGTGGAGGATGAAGACTTTTGGCGGTCACGCGCACGAGCCGGGGACTGTGAAGGTGATCTTACCCGCTGACGCGCATTCTCGATGTCCCGTCCAGGACCCTCATCGTCTTCATCATCCATCGACCCACGGAATAGTGGCTCACGGTCGGCGCCGTCAGCATCGATTTCTGGAGTGAAGGAAGATGTCGTGGAGGATGCCTTGACAATCGAATCAATCAACCAGAACTGGAGAATGTTCATTGCGATCGGGAAGATACCCATTACGCTATAAAGTGTGGATGATAAGTATAAGCGGCGAGATGAAACGATCTCAACGTACAAGGTAACCTGCAACGCGTCCCCTTCTCCAGTCCAAGTCCAGCCTAACAGCCACTCTCCAAATTTGAATATCCCGGGGAATACGGCGAAGATTGTCAACACAACGAACTTCATGGTCGTGAGGGCGAGGACATATGCCGCGGCTTGCTTCAGCCAATATATAAACGACGGTGGGCGACCGTACTTCCCCGACTCGAATCCTTTGAGGTGGAACTTCTCGGTGAGCAGGTATGTGAAGGCATGTAGAAAGATATATATCAAGGCAATTCCTAGGATAATGGGATTAGCAGACGCCGCACAGCTCCCGCCAGAACATACCCAGTGTCGTATCAATCAGTATGTTCAGGAAATACGACACGCAAGCATTCGCGCTCGAATGATGCGATATAAGGTCTGATACTAGCACATTGACCCCATGCACAAACATTTGGCCCACCACTTGTTTCGAGACGTCGAATAACCTGTAAACTTCGTCAGCACTGTTGCGATATAGTTCCGCGACGGCAAGAATACGTGCCATATTCGCCATGGACGCTTCGCAGCCTCGCGTTGCCTTTTATACACCAAAGAAAGGATGACCAGCACTCCCATCAGGCCCTGCACAATCTACGCGAAGTTCAGTCCCGCATTCGATAGATATGAACCAGCTAACTTACGAGAGCAGTAGGCCCAAGCAGGGCGCATGATTTCTTGTCGATGTCTGGGTATCGTTCTAAGGCGCTCTCCGCCGTACGCAGAAGGACATTGCGGGCCACAGCCATTGGAGTCACGTCGCTGGTACTTCAGCGGAGGATGAGGTTAACAATGTAACATCAGAGACTGGTCGGTATTGACTGTGGGAATATATTGACTGATCTTCCTTACTCTGAAGACTTGGCTGCGCTTGGTGAAATCGTTCCCATGCACCCAGTCCAAAATCGATGGTATTAATCAGAGTAACACCAGATCTGCACAGCGCATGACCACGAGTATTCCAGGCATTTGGGTAATTATGTGTGTTTCCGAGTATGGTACGAAGATGCATAAGTATAATAAATGCAATGCGAAATATAGCGACGCCGCGACTACGGAAATCCATTGAGTGTCTATGAGTGGTCGACCATTGATTGCATCGTCTAAATTATTTTCGAGGAACGAAGCTGGGGTTAATGTTGCCATTTAAAGGAAAGAACGAGGCATCGGGAGTGGTGGGTGTCTGTGGTCTCGACGGGGTAGTCGGCGTGGCCAAGCCCGACATGTCATCGTCCAGGAAGTGGATTCGTTGACGATGCAGCTAAAGGGGATCAAAATACACGGTCGTGGCATCATTTCGTACTGCGCACCTGGGGTAGCTTAGGTATCAGGGCAAAGATAAGTGCGGTGATATTGATCGCAAACAACCAAGGGTTGTAATTAGTGTAGTGCGTGGAGATGAGAAATCTACAAGCATTGTCAGCGACTAAATGCGCGTAAGAGAAGTAACGCACAATACTATCGGAACGCTCAGGAGCCATTTCTTGGCCGGAGTGTACTGCGCGCCATCGTCAATTTGCTCCCACATAGTGAGCTCGTCGTAGGCGCCACCGTGAAGGTCGTTTTGAAACGGTATTCCAGTGACCCAGTGAAACATGAGGTACGAGAGCTATTACAGTATATTTAGCGAGGATTTCATTGAAGAATAAACGACATACCGTTAAGTAACATAGATTCACCAGAGTCCAGCTAATTTGCTGCGACATGCCCGGGATAGTGTCGATGACAATCTTTCCAGCGCATATCAGGACTACATGGATCATCCACGCACCTGAATGGCCACACAATAAGACAACTGCTCTACAAATGATTCAGAAAAACGCACCCTTCGCGTTCACCCAGTCTGCATTGATGTTGACATAGGCACTACGGTCGGTGACCTCCTCGAGCGTGCGATCAGTGATAGATTCGACCTTGACTATGCTAGTACTTCGAGCTCGACCGCGAATCATCGTAGAAGACATCTTGCATGCCACAGAAGAAGTTCACAGTGAAAGACATTTGACTGCGGCCGGAAATGTCAGTTGCCAGCAGTAATTACGTAATTGCAGTTTAGGAGCTGCCCCTGACACGAACCTCCAGGTAGATCTTGCGTTCGGGGCAGATGCTATGCTTCGGCACAGACAGCAAGCTTCGGACGAAGCTTTGCAGGTAGGGCGAGTCGAAACTTGGGAATCGGCGAGAACCAAGACGTGGGCGGAAAGCAAGCAGTGCAGCCGGGCCGTACAAACCAATATGATCATTCACTAGATCCCTCGGGATGTGTGGCGTTGCCGTTGCATAAATTTTCTACTACACAATCCACATCATTTCTGGAAGTCATCCGGCAAGAACCAAATCACGAAAGGGAAGCAAAACTGGGCGCTTTGGCTACACGAACGTTCATTTAGTTCCTAACGGTGATGCAGAATGTCCGCAACCGTTGAACTACTGCATGGTTCCATATTCCATGCCAGGTGCGGATATATATCAAGCAATTTATGGAGCTCGAGTCTTCATCGAAGATCAACTTGTAATGTTGCTTCTTTGTGTTTATATACCAACATTTGCTCGTCCACCGCATCTTACTCATGCACGACCTTTAAGGGTGTCTCTGTACTCAATGCCGCTCGGAATTACCAGTTATTCCGCGACCAATGGAGATCGAGGAGTGGGCTGACTTTTCATGAGACGTAGATGCGGCGATTTATCCCTGAACGCGTACCTAGGGCACCTTTTGAGCAAACGCTGAGCTGCTGCAACTGATTGGGATATGGCTGTATGGATACAAAGTAGCGCTGCACTTGGACATAAAACAGAAACCATGAGTGATATGTATCCGACTTGAAGACCATGTCAACAACTTCCCTTCGACCGGACTCAACTACATTTGTTGACGAAGATGGCGCTTATACCGACGTTCACTTGCCCAAAGCCCTGGCATCTTGGCCATGGCCACGTCGGGTCAACCCTCACTATGAAAGCGTCAAACAGCAAGCGTCCGCTTGGTGTGAATCGTTCCAAGCTTTCAATCCTCAAGCACAGGACGCCTTTAACAAGTGTGACTTTAGTAAGCTCTGTATCGAAATATTTGACCGCAACATACTGACATAGTGTGCCCTAGATCTTCTCGCATCCTTGGCGTACCCTAGATTAGATGAAGGTCAGTCAACGAAAATTAACGATAGCGCGATACTCACTAAGGTGACAGCTGGATATCGCGTCTGTTGTGATTTGATGAACCTTTTCTTTTGTATTGACGAACACACGGATTTGGCGACCGCAGAAGGAGCAAGGGCCCAGGTCAATATTGTTATGGATGCAATTCTACATCCGCAGAAACCTAGACCTTCTGGTGAATGGGTCGTAGGGGAAATGGCACGCCAGTGAAGTGTCCCCCCTTACCATTTGTGGTTGCCATATAATATTCAACATACTTTACACAGATTTTGGGCCAATGCTGTACTCGTCGCCACCCCCACAGCCCAGACTCGCTTCGTCAGTAGCTTCCAGAAATATCTTGACGCGGTGGTCCAGCAAGCCGAAGACAGAGTCAAGGGTTCTGTCAGAAGTGTGGAGGATTATTTTAGGGTGCGGCGCGATTCCATTGGCGTTGAACCGTCGTTCGCCATTGGGGAGCTGTATATGAACATACCTCAAGAAGTCATTGACAACCCAGTGATTGCCAAGCTGAGGGTGATCGCCATTGATTTGATTCACATAGCCAACGATATCTACTCCTATAAAGTAGAGTGAGTCCCCAAGCTTTCAAAAGCAAATAAAAAAAACCTAACCTTTCTTGATGATAGATGGGAACGTGGTGATGAAGGTCATAACCTTGTGACAGTAGTCATCCAGCAATTCGGGATGAATATCCAGGATGCGATGGATTATATCGGGAAACTCAACGAGCGCCTTGTTGATCAATTCTTGGAGCAGTGGAACCGTATACCTGTATTTGGCGGCTCCGTGGACGCAGAGATTGGAGATTACTGTAACATGTTGGGAGAATGGGTCCGCGGCAACGATTCGTGGAGCTTCGAGGTGCGGGCTAACCCTTGTTCATGACCGCGTTCTAATCAGAGTCTCCTAAAGAGCGAACGGTATTTCGGGAAAAAAGGACCCGAGATACAGGCCGACCTAATTGTTCGTTTGACCAGGAGTAGAGGAGAGAAGCGCGTCGGCTAAGAATTGGCTGCAGCAGGAAATTACGAATTGAACCACGATATTCGATGAGCAGGGAGTATTCCCCACAGTTTACATACTCAAATATATTGCGTGTCTGGTGTCTCACCCCCATCCAACAACATTCTTCAGCCACCGGGTTTGGGCTTAGTGTGTGCAGCGAACCGTTCTTCACGTCGTGACAAACAAGTGGGGCGGTCCTGGTACGTCTTGTCAAATACAGACGAGGCCTGGAAGATTGACCAGGTGTGCGATGAGTCCATTAATGCACAGCAGATTAAAGTTTGGATGGACCGCATCGGATACAATGGCAAAGGCACTACGGTCGTAGCCTCTTCAAGCGTGCAAATAGTGGTGGATTCGACCTTCATTGCCCCAAACTGTGCACAGGGCGCTTCCATACCTTTGCTACTTCCATATCCGATACCCGCCGCAGGTCAATATGGTTCCGGTACCACAGTAATTTTTGCAGAAGCTTGAAGGATCAGTGATGGCTTTGATTCAACGAACACTGGGTGTTGCATCTCAAATCAGAGCGTATCAGGCCTAGCAAAGGAAGCTCGGGCCCGGGCCTGTCGCCGAGTGGTCGGATTTGAACTCAGCGACGAGATACAGCAGACTGTCCGGTGAGCAAAATGTAGAGGTGACCCACCTCTACTACACATGTGATGATGGTTCCTCGAAATCTGTGCAGTTGTCCAACGACTAGACCGGTATATGTTCACAACGGCACTTCAGCACTTCCAATTTGCATTCTCCGAACGCTGCATGTGTAGTGTCGTTGGCGCTGATCTAGATGGGGGTGGTCTTAGATTCTTAATCGGATATTCCCTACTACATGTGGCTGACTTACCCTACATTATAATGTCCGAGTCGCTGAGCGCGTCCAAGTTGTGAAGTTGCCGGGTCCTAGTAAAGCATCTTGGCAAGGTCCGCAAGTGGCAATAACAGAGGGACGACGGCCATTCTGCGGTCGTCCACACGAATCATCCAAGTGACCCTTCTTTCCCAACTCTTTCGGTGTTGCAAGACTCGTTGCAAGGTGATGTACATCCGAGACACCTAGAACTCTTGCAGCCGAGGTAAACTGTGCACCTACCGAGTATGTCCATGGTCTCTGCTACACAAGAAGGACCGACCCCCGGAAATTATCCAAAAGATATGGCAAGTGGACCTGTGCCCTCGTTGTGGCGTTCGCTTGCAACAGGATTCAGACGAAGGTTGGGGTCCTGAGTATTCTCTCCGCGTTTCAGTGCACCTAGCGTGAGTCGTGGGTTTGTAAATTGTGCTTTGAGATTCTGATTGGTTGCTTTCAAGGTTGTATCAATGTCTATTCACGCCCAGTTCAGTGACAGAGGTCGTAGAAACAAAACGGGGGTACTGTACCTGCTGGGGCTGGGGCCAGGCTCTGTGCTGTGTTCCAGGGCCACCCTTGGGTGGTATCGTATCCTCACTTTTCTTATCGCTTGCTCGTTGGAGAGCCCCCAATGCACTCAGCTGCCGCTATCTATCGCGCGCGTTTCCGGGCTCAATAAAACGAGTGAGAGATTTATTCTGTCTTTGGCCGTCCTCACCTGTATATCAGGACTGATTCTAACGATTTTATGTTGCCTAGAGCAGGAAGATGGGAGCCGCTCTCGTTCATGACCAGTCCGACTCAACCACTTTGATTAACGAAGATTCCACTCGCATTGATGTCTACTTGCCCCAAACCCTGGACTCCTGGCCGTGGCCGCGTCGCGTCAACCCGCACTATGCTAGCGTCAAGCAGCAAGCTTCGTTGTGGTGTGAATCTTTCCAGCCTTTCAGTCCCAAAGCACAGAATGCGTTCAACAAGTGCGACTTTGGTAAGCTCCAGTTCCAAAATCTGACCGTGATGCCCTGACATCTCGCACCAGGTCTTCTCGCAGCCTTGGCGTATCCTGACTTGGATAGAGGCTAGTCGACAGTGATATCTAGGCATGGCGACACAAGCTAACAGACGTTGCAGCCGGATATCGTGTCTGCTGCGACATGATGAATCTTTTCTTCTGCATTGACGAGATAACGGATTTATCAACCGCAGACGTGGTAAGATCGCAAGTCGACATCGTCATGGATGCAATTCGGCACCCACATAGACCGAGACCTTCTGGCGAGTGGGTCATCGGGGAAATGGCACGCCAGTAAAGAATTCCTCCCTTCAGTAGCGTATTCTGTGGGACGCTCACCACGGATTTTTAGGTTTTGGGCGAACGCTGCACTCATTGCTAGTCCAACAGCCCAAGCTCGTTTCATTGACAGTTGTCAGACCTATCTCGACGCACTAGTTCAACAAGCCGAAGACAGGGAGAAGGGACATATTAGACTTGTGGAAGACTATTTCACAGTACGACGGGGCTCCATAGGAGCTGCACCTTCAATTACCATCGGCGCATTGTATTTGAACATACCGCAAGAAGCCTTCGACCACCCCGTTATCTCGAAGCTGACGGAAATATGTGTTGACATGATCATCATAGGCAACGACATTTGCTCCTACAAAGTAGAGTAAGCTCTGACCGTGAGCAGCTTAGTCGACGTCTAACCGGCGCATATGTCAGATGGGAGCGTGGGGATGAAGGCCATAACCTTGTCACAGTGATTATGCAGCAATTCCGGACGGATGTCCAACACGCGATGCATCATATAGCGAATTTGCACGACCGTCTATTCAACCGATTTCTCGAGCATTGGCGCCGTATTCCATTATTTGGCGGGCCAGTAGACTCAGAGATACGAACATACTGCAACATGTTGGCAAATTGGGTTCGCGCAAATGACAGCTGGAGTTTCGAGGTGTGGTCCATTCCCTCTCCATTAACATAGTTCCTAATACCTCCAAAAAGAGCGAACGTTATTTTGGTACCAGAGGTCCCAAAGTACAGACTACCCGACTGGTCTATTTATCGGGGAGCAAGCGTGAGGCACGTCTAGTGAGTGACAATGCTGTAGCGCCTCGCCGTGATAAATAGATACTTTGATCATGGTCGGACCGGCCTTGTGCAAAGGATGGATTTCAAAGCCAACATATCTATTGCTCTGAGGGCGGGCCGTCGACTGCTCTCCTATTGCCCCTGTTGGGTTCAATTTGCCTTGAGCTTCTCACAGTGAATTATTCACGGCATGGTATATATCTATGTTGACATCTTAGTTTTCCGTTTCCTTTATCTGCCCACCTCACACGTCTATCACATCAGGCTCAAACTGCTAACGATGACACCAGCTTTTGGTGAGTTCGGGCCGTTGTAACGTCAGGTGGAGATCGCAGTGGACTTCAAAATGTCAAAGCTTTAACAGCCGGTAGTGCACCCTTTATAATCCGCAAGACCGTTTGGTTCCCAAAAATTTATCTCACATGTGTCGGGCTATTGCTGTACATGGTTGAAACTACTGAACCGATCTGGAACCCGGCCGCCGGGTTCGATGCCCCTTGACCTTTGCTAAATGAAGATTACATGAACTACTGTCTACATCAGTTGTGCATCATCAAATTTTATTTATACACTACCTTCTACCTTGAGTACTGGTATATTTTCCACTCCGAGCTCGACTCAGTTCGGATAGCAGGTCAATCAAATCGGTGGTTGTTCCCGCTTCCTCTCAACCTCGGCCTTACTTGCCAGTGAATAGATAATATGTACCCGCTCGAGGGATAACAGCAGCCTCAACTTTGGGAGACTTCGGCCATTCGACATACCCCCCTGCCATGCCCCCTGCTGTCTTGCGAACCACGCTCGTAAGCCGTGGTCAATAGAATACAAGTTCCCGCTTTGATCGTGCCAAGAAGCTATAGTTCATTCGGGAATCCCGTTCCCCGGGGAGATGGGTTTTCAACGTGCACCGGCGGCAAACGTGCACCGGCGGCAAATTCGAACATTCAGGGATGTCCCTTGTGCAGTCAGGGGGGGCATACAGCACCAATTAATAGCATGGCTGGCTTACTTCTCGGATTGGGTAGCTAAACAGGAGACAACGCCGCGGGTTGAGTGTGGGTCAAACCACCCATACGTGCATCCGGGAGAGGCTGAACCATACGAACTTCTTGTCCGGGCATCCGCTTTGTGCTGTTGGTACTCTGCCTACATAAGGGCTGATTCTGTGAGTGTTATGCATCCTACAAGGTCATGGAAGCCACTCCCCTCCAGTCCCACTCGATCACAGCAGTTGACGGGGGCGTTACTGACGAAGGTGTTTCTTGCCTCGACGTTTACTTGCCTAGGACCCTTGACCATTGGCCATGGCCACGTCGCGAAAGTCCTCACCACGCCAGTGTCACGCAGGAAGCCTCCTCGTGGTGTGAGTCGTTCCAGGCTTTCAGTCCCGAAGCACAGGAGGCCTTTAATAAGTGCAACTTCAGTATGCTCCAGGTCCAAACTCTTGGTCGCGACGTACTAACATATAGCAATCCTCTAGATCTCCTTGCATCCTTGGTATACCCTGCGTTGGACAGAGGTTAGTCGAGAGCCAATAACAACGCGTCACGCAAACAAGCTCATCCGTATTGCAGCCGGGTATCGAGTCGGTTGCGATGTGATGAACTTCTTCTTTTGTATTGATGAACACACGGATCCCTCAACCGCAGATGTCGCTAGGTCGCAGGTTAATATCATAATGGACGCAATTCGAAACCCTCATAAACCTAGACCTGCCGGTGAGTGGGTCATAGGAGAGATGGCCCGCCAGTAAAGTGTTCCACCTTGCCATTTACCGTATGTCACTCAACATAGTTTCCGCAGGTGTTGGGCGAGTGCTATCCTCATAGCTACTCCAACAGCTCAGACTCGCTTCGTTGATAGCTGCCAGATATATCTTGACGCCGTGATCCAGGAAGCCGACGACAGAGCAAAGGGACGCATCAGGAGTCTGGACGACTATTTTGAAATACGGCGAGCCACCGTCGGTGTTGAGCCATCCTTTGCCGTCGGAGAGTTGTACTTGAACATACCGCAAGAAGTCATCGATCAGCCAATCATTTCGAGGTTGAAGGCGATAGCCGTTGACCTGATCACCATTGCCAATGACATATACTCCTACAAAGTAGAGTAAGCCCTGCGACTCTAGAACGTAATGATGACATCTCACCATAAAGACAGGTGGGAACGCGGAGAAGACAGTCATAACCTAGTCACAGTGGTTATCCAACAATTCCGGCTGACTATCCAGGGTGCAATGGATTACATCGGGGATCTAAACGCTCGCCTCGTTGATGAATTCCTGGAGAAGTGGAATCACATACCTGTATTCGACGGACCTGTGGACACAGATATCAGAGCGTACTGTGTCATGCTCGCGGAATGGGTTCGTGGTAACGACTCGTGGAGCTTTGAGGTGTGAACCGTTGCCCGTTCATCTATACATTTTCTAATTCCCTGCAGGGCGGGCGGTATTTCGGGGACAAAGGACGTGAAATACAGACCACGCGACTTGTTCGTTTGACTGGAATTAGAGGAGAGAAGAAGATCAGCACTAGCTGCCGTGGGTAGTTGAGATGTGAATAACGAATGATCCCAAATATAGTATGCGATGCATTACATCCCGATCCCTAATAATGCCCCCGTCAATCTATCAACAACGTTCTCCGGCTCTTGTCTTGCCATTTCGATCGTACTGAGAAGCTTCTTGATCCCAACATGCATCTTCGACGACGTATCCTCATCCGCAAATCCAGCTTGGCGCAACTTGCCTAGGGCCTGATGTTGTTCATTGCTCGACTGGAACAGTTGAAGTTCCTCGAGCACGTGAGCCAGCGCCGACAGTCGCGATATCGGCGGTACGTATAAGTCTGCGGTAAATATGTCGAAAAGGTCGAGTTCGTTGAGGAGAGCTCGTTTCGATGTCGTCGCGATAACAAGCAGACGACGGCCCTAGACCACGTATTAGTTCCGCAGCTAAGAGTTAAGCTACTTCAACATACCTTAGGCGGTCGTTTGGCACATAACACCGAGAGCGCTTGAAGCGCGGCGTTGGAGTAACGTGGACCGATTGGGGCGTAGTCTATGCCACATGTTTAGCAACATCAACACGAGAAGAACATAATACTCACCAAGCAGCCGCTCAATATTATCTACAACGATGACACTCAGAGGACTCTTGTAGCTGTCGCCGAACACCTTTGTTATCGCAGCAACCTTTTGGCTCTCTCCAAAGCCAACCATTGCGTCTGGCGATATAAGCTTGATGAAGGGGAATTCGGACCTTTGCGCGATGCATGCAGCCAATGCGGTTTTCCCAGACCCGGTAGGGCCGTGCAAGAGAATGCTCGCGAACGTACTAGTCGAGCTTCGGACCTGCTCAACGAACAGATGCCCGGAATGGAGAATCTCCTAGAGTGCATATACATACTGTCAGTAGTATTCATAGGAAGGTAAGGCCACTGACGTCGATAGTCGGATCGAAATGGATAATTCCATTCTGGATGACCTGCTCCAGTTCCTCTTCTGAGACACCGAATGCTGGGTGAACCTCCTCAAGAGCAGCAAGGAAATCCTGTCGTTTCACACGAAGGTTCTCGACGTCATCCGAAATCCCTGCCATCGTACCAACCTGCATTGAACAAGGGTCAATCGCTTCTCATCGACGATGTACGGTTGATGTTACCTTAACGTGGCGCTGGAATGCGAAACTCGTCGCGCTCTTGATCAGACCACTTATTTCAGCACCAGAGAAATTCTTTGTCATCGCGGCCAGCTCGTCCAGGTTCACGTCTGTGTCCATTACGCCATTGCGACGCATCTGATTGGTGTGGATCATGAGGATCTGCCGACGACCGTGCTCGTCAGGGAGTGATATTTCCATGTGTACTTCTAGACGACCAGGGCGAAGGAGGGCCTCGTCGATCATGTCCTTTCGGTTCGTCATACCAATGATGAGGATGTTGTTGAGCTGATCCACCCCGTCCATCTAGCGGCCATGTTAATAAAATTGAACCGGTGCCTGTAAGCGACTATTGTACCTTCGAAAGCAGCTGGTTGACCACCGTGTCTCCAACGCCAGTGCCGTTGTTCGTTGAACCACGCTGCTTGAATATAGCATCCAGTTCATCGAATATGATTATGTGGAGTCCGCTCTCGTCCCCCTTCTCTTTCGACTAATGATGAAATAGAAAAATGTCACCATACAGGAAGACGAGAACCATGTATTCGTACCTCCTTCTCTGCGTCGGCAAATAGCTTCCGGATGTTCTCTTCTGACGCACCGACGTACTTGCTGAGGATTTCGGGCCCATTGACGATCTTGGGCTCGCGTGCATTGAGCATTTTGCCGATTTGCCTTGCTATCAAGGTCTTCCCCGTACCAGGAGGGCCGTGGAGCAGAAGACCTAAAGCTCCATGAGAATAGTGTATGAATAGCAAAGGATGTATATACCTTTAACATGAGTGATTCCCAACTTCTCAACAAGGGCCGGAGGGAAAACTCTCGACGCGAAAGCGCGACGGAAGATCTCGGCGAACTCGGTGTCCAAGCCTCCAATCCCCATGTCCTCGAATTTAAAATTGGGAGCCAGGATGGCGTTCGGGGGAGCTCTGTAATAATGCAGAATTATGTGAGATGTCTGTACCTCGAAGAAGGGGATAATCGTCACTTCTTCGCGCTAGACTTGATTTTGATAGCGCTATCCCCGGCCTTCATGACCGTAACGTCGGTCTTGTCCATAAGTATCCCTGCATCTAGGTTTCTCCGTTGGTTCGACGAAGGTATCCCTTTCCGCTGTTCGTCTGCTAGCTCTACCGTTGAGATCGCTTTGACGACACACTTCAGGTTTTGGCCGTGGTACTCGAACACAAATATCTCATCTATGGCAAATACGATATCGTTGAACGCGCGAAGAAAGTTCTTGGCCATTTCGTCCGCGGAGAACGTTTCGGCGATTTCGTGCCCTCGACGCATAAAGCCCATTTCAAGGTCGATGGATTGCAAGTAAGAGGGTGCGAGTGGGTGTGGTGAGGGAGGTAGGGGTTCAACGGTGATGAAGTCGCCCACAGAGAGACCCATCCATTGTCTTTGGAGGGCAGACGCGCCAATGAAGCCTGGCTTCAGCATTCCAGTATCATCGTGTCTAGGACGGAGAATGAGCAAATTTAGACGATCAGAATCATTGAATCTAACCTGACTGTGATCGGAAACTGTCCTTTAACAAGGACATGCTGCCCTTGCGAAAAGTCGGAAGGATACACCACCAAGCAGTTGGTCAGTGCCAGTACATCGCTGGGGCAAGATTTCACTTCGAACTGGGAGCTGTAACGCCCGTTGTGTTAGTTAATTGAAGTAAGGCTAAAGTGTCACTTACTTTCCTCCTTGTCTTGATACCGGCGGTCCTCCTGAAGGTGGTCGACGATCAATTCCCCGTCTCTCGAACAAGGCTCCAGAGGGGTCGTTATACCCACTCATCGCGGCACTTCCTTGAGTAGATCGCGATGGTGATTGTCTCATACCTGAACGCGGGCCTGAAGGTAGAGAGTTGTCGAGTCCACGATCAGGAATGCGGTTGTACTGTTGTGGCGGGGGAGGAGGATTGTTGGAACGGCCGAAGAAGCTCATGGTCGATGGACGATGCTGCGAGAATCAACGATTATAAGGACTGTGATGTTTCGCGTGTTCTGTCCTCGTGTCGTGTCGTGTTGTTTCGTGGAGGAAGATAGACAAGTATTGTGACTGGCTGTGCAACCGCGCATTACTCAAGCGCCCAAGGTCAAGATCCATAAACCCATTTGGGAGTCACTAGCGATTTATTACGCATCCAGTGAATAGGCCTCCCCTCCTGTTGATTTCTCGTCTAGAGTATCTAGAATATACATACTAAGTACGCGATAAAATCTATAGAATATCTCTAGAATGCCCCCCTTCGAGAGCTAATCTAGGGACCCGGGGCGACCGCCTTATACTCAATCAACCGCAGGCTGACGGAGAGAAGATGAGTCTGCTTCTCTGCCATACATGGACTAGAGCAACTCACAGGTTCCGCAGTAGCATCATAATCGTCACCTTTCCTACGGCTGGAACGTACATCGAGGCCTGGAATCGCTCCTTGATTAGCAGTGATTCTAACCTGGGAAGTATCATTCGTACTTTGTCTCGGACCCCTTCTTGGAAGTTCTTCTCTGCACTAACGTTCACGCAGATACATCCGTCTTTAAGTGATGAAGTAGGGACCTTGTAACCCTCACTTGGAACGGCAGATATCACTACGTCGGATTGTGATAGACATTGTTCCAAAGTCAGTGTCGTGGGATGTGCGACATGGTGGGGGTGATAACGCCGGGCAGCAGCAGATTCAGAAGTGGTAGGGCGCTTGGTGTATTCCTGCAAAGAAACAATGATTATGACAAAGGTCAGGATGTTTGCTCGTTCTGCTCACTTGAATGGAATCAATGTCGACAGAGAAGACTCGGGCACCGTCATTGGCCAAGAGGGCTGCGAGTGGACGTCCGACAACTTCTGATCTATAGTTCACTGTCAGGAAAACATAGTAACATGAAGCAAACTATAGATAAAACCTATTGATTACGGTGATGGTCTTTCCGTATGCGCGGTCTCCGTATGGGAGAATTTTGTTGTACACCCCGACGTGCTCCAGGCATTTCACGATGGCGAGGGGTGTACATGGCAATATTGACTTGACGGTCCCCGGAGGAGGTATTTCAGTATTCACTTCGACGCCTACCGGCAGTGTTGAAGAGGCTTGGTTCAGTGACTGAGGCTGGATAAATCGGATGCTACGCGACTTCAGCAATGGAAGAGCCTTCGTCGTAACGGCACTGACTTATGGTAGAGGTTGTAATGAAATTTGAAGTTGAGACCTTCAACATCCTTAAAGGGAGATACGATCTTTTGAGAGTATTAGCTTTGGCAGTGGCACAGGGCACTAATCTTCCGGCCCACCTGCTGGAGATAGTGGTCCTACAATTCATAGTTTTCAACGACGCTGTAAACGAGATCAAGGGGTGCCACAGACCTGCTGGACCCCAAAGATAGGATAGTAAACCTGTAAGTAAACAAAGGACATAAGATCGCGATGACATTCCTGCCAGGGGACGCGAATGTACCATGATTCCATCAATACTGTCGTCTTCGTTCGCTTCGATGATCGCCTCTTCCACGCCCTCCCCTTCTCCCTTCTTTATACCTTCTTCCCGATCTTCATCTTCAGCAGCTCCGGTCTTCTTCAGAATGAATTCCACGCCCAGTCGTTCGCATTGCTTCCTCGTGAACTCGGCATAAAATTTACTCGGAGCTGAAGAGGTGGCTAGGATGCCGACGAGTTTCGGTTTGCGGCCTAGTTTTTCTAGCGAGGCTTGTACTTCTGCTTGAAACGTGGCTGCTATTGGATCGCCCTTTATGAGAAGGCCTTTGCGTGGCTGGTGCTCAGATGCCATTGAGTCGTTTCGCTCAAGTCTAGAGGCCTAGGGGCTGATGAAGAGAATCAAATGATATCGATAGGGGCTTCGCGTCTCGAGCACGCAGCCTTGCTTAGTCTGTACACAGGGAGTCACTGATTTCAGCCCTCAAAACTTCAAGATCATTTCTACGACGCAGATACCTACATTCATATTGTTCGCGGTAAAATTACAGAAGGGGACGAATAAATGGAAAGAAGGGGAGTAAAGGCCTATTTAAGTGCGACGCCGACCCCGTTCGACATTATGATCCCCGTTGATTTTGGGCACGGGTGGTATTACAGGTTCATTCATCGACGCGTCGTCGCCATCACCACCAGCGTCTGGGGCCGGCTCTTCAGAATCGTTATCTTCGTCCTCCATGAGCTCCGCTGCACGCTAATCCCAACGATAACGATAAGCGAACGAATAGAACAGACAAGTAACAACGAACCTTCATCGCTTCAGCTTCATTCGAGTAATGTCTACCTCTTGCTCGGACGAATGCTGCATGTTTCGCAGCGGCTGAAATTCGTGTTATCGTCGTAATCAGTGTAGATAGACGATTCATAACTTACTTTCTTCATCCATTTCCTCGTCCTCTCCTACTTCCTCACCCGTCTCCCCGTCTCCATGAATAGCCCTTATCTGCGACCTAGCCTCGCTGGGGAGGTTGAAGCTTGTGCTTCGACTGGAAGTAGCACTGCTAGATCGCCCTGATTGTCGGCCACCGGCACTGGATATAGATGTACGACGAGACGATGGTCCCGAATTACCTCCAGAAGCGGTGTCCCCAAATAGCGCTGAAGAGCCGAATGCATTCGTAGGTGAAGACGGTGTAGGTTCTGCGGCCGGCGTGCTATTCAGTTCGAACCCTGGGATATCTGATAGTCTGCGTCAGTCTGCGCTCATGTTATATACTCCGAGAAGCTTGTGCTTACCTCCTTCAACAGTATCTAGCTCTGCATTGTATCGTACATAGGGCGTCTTGGGCTCCGTAATCTTCATTAAACTATCTTTCTGTATTTCCGTCAAGGCCAGATTCTCCTCGTCCCATTGCAAACTACTGGAGGGGAATAAGATAACAAGTGCATCTAACCTGAAATTTACTCACTGGCCAACGCTTCCGGGGACTGGAGGGGCATTCTTCAGGATCCCTTTGGGCTTTGGATTTGAGGCTGAGCGAGGCAACGGGGGAGGATGGATACGATCCGGACTTTGGGTAATGTCATTTGACATTGTCTAGTATTATAGGATTATACGATTGGGTGATCAAATTCAAAGACGAGGACCAAGTGGTTGTAATCGGATCCGTGGAGTCGTTGGCAAGGTTGCTGCAACGGGACGCAGCCCCTGAGTAGGGTTGTGCGGCCGCGTGCCCAGGCAACAGGGGGAATAGGAGCTTCAAGTTTACCAGGTAAGGTTGGCAGACTGCGGTGGCACCTGCATCGATGGAGAGGCACTTTAAAAGAGATGCCTTCGGGTTATTGGTAGGAGTATATACTCTATAATGCCTTGTTTGACAAGAAAGGTCCAGTGAGACATGGGCAGATATAGGGACCAAATAGGAGCAGCACGTGCACGCGCTCAATTGACTGTTGGTGTAGCCTAATTCCCTCCTCTCGCCTTGAACACTCTCCCTCCTCGGCGTCGCCACCGTCGGCGTTGAAGTCGGAGTGTACTGGGTGCGATGCAGCTGCTGCACTGGTCAAATCTCCAGCCCAAAGGGCCCGATAATCTCGCTGTCATCAGGTTCAACCAACCCATTGTCGTCCAATCTCTCAGAATTTATCCAAAGCACGCGACACCGTTCCAGAAATGCCCTGGAGTCTTCGCGTATGTCCCCTAAGACGGTCGTTGTCGACTCATCTCAATCACCTACCCAGTGAGACCGAGCCTGATGCCTTCTTTGTCGACGTTTACCTCAACGCCGTGCCAGACCCACAGTCCGGGGAGAAATGGTCCCCGAATATCCTGGGTCTCACTAGGATTGCGTACACAGGAGGGATGCTTGATTTTCCTATAGCTTGGAGCACCCCCGTGAGTACTCGGACACCGATGAAGTCGTAATATACTAAACCTTGAGCGCAGTGCATGACGCGCTTGGTGATTTTGAAGGGCTCGTTTGCAACGCTTGGAATAGCCATCTACGGCGCAACGCTAGCTAAATCTGGAGTGTTGGAAGAGTACAAGCCCACACCCCTGCCAGAAATAGAGAAACGTCCACTACACCCTTCCTTGGACCCCTCCGCCAACTCTGATCCTACCATGCTAGCGCAGTCGTTGCTCGCGCTCATACCCGATGGGGGCCCATTCCCGCGACCTACAGTTCCCATGGTACTGCGCCTTATGTTTTGCCTCAAAGCGCCAGACGAGGATTGGGAGACGCCAGGATTCCCGTTTGTCTTTACGGACTTGGAGGGTTTGATTCGTCCTCAGCGGCGACAGGCAGTAAAGCGAGAAGAAGATGAGGAGGATCCTGTTTTGTTGTCCGATGACGATGACGATGACCAGGTCGATGTACAAGTGGGCGTAGAGTTGCTGCAACAGGTCGCACTGGCAACAACTCGGCCTGCATCCGACGATACACCATACGACAAGTTCTCCCAGCTAGCAGCACGCATCATGACTGCAATCGAGAATGATAGACAGAATCACCCGCAAGTAAGATTTGAGCTTGACCTCCTTTTCCATTAACTAACCAATCATCTAGGAGGTGGCTATTCAATTTGCGCAGATCTTGGCCAATAGTGCATCACAACATGCCGATATGGCGCGCACTTTGATCGTAAGTTAATCCCATCAACGAAGAGGCGAGTCACTGATTTCGTATGACATCAAGGAACACATTTCGCTACCTGTATTCTTCTCTACCATTGAACTGTTGACGGATGGCGTCCTATCTTGCTTACGCGATGCAGCAGCAAACCCGGATATTGCCCACGCGTTGAGTACGCCTGGTTTCATCAACCTATTGCGCAACATACTCGGCCTACCGAGTCTCACCGATCGCCGCGGTACCACTGACAACGCCAGAGATATGCATGTAGAAGACGGCAGGATTGATAACGATGACACAGTGAAACGAGAATCCCGTTCAACCTCACCACTCTCTCCAATATCTCCGATATCGACATCTCATACAGCTACCTCTTCGTCCACATACCCCACGACTACGCATAACGAAGACCTAGAAATCAACGTGCCTACGATACCTCCGGTGACGGCCAGTGAACAGCAGCGAAAAGTCGCTTCGGAGCTTCTCCAATTGCTCTACATGCAGTCCTTAGTAAACGATGTGCTGTGTAACACAAGGGCGCATTTTAACATGTGCGCGGAGACTATGTGGCGGTCGTTGGGAAGCAGAGAGGCGGTCGTTGGCGCGTGGATAGAGAGCATGATAGGAGGACCCGCCACACTAGGAGAACAGGAGCACTCTTCTGCGGCGGAAAGGCTCAAGGGAAGCCCCGTCGTTCCTGGGATTCATAGCGAATCTTGGGCAAAGGCCTTGCGTCTTTTCAAGAGCGACGTTCGAAGTCGGTTGGAAGAAATGCTTCTCCAGTGGGACGGTAGTGGTGAAGCGAGAGAGGTAGATGAAGAATATACTGAAGGAAGGATAGGTCATGCTGAATTCATTGCATTCGTGCGAGCATATATTGGCGTGGGGTCCGTTGTAGGTGTATTTGCCTGGGCAGATAGCTGCCCAGAATCTGCCTGTCGGGAACGCGCCCTCGGAATCATTCACCTCTGGCAGAATGTCGAAGGCTACCGCGAGGTCAGTCAACAGCTATTCCTCCGTATACTATTTACCATTATTGTGGCCTTTAGATCGTCAAGCATTTCCTGCTACTTCCGCAGATCGTTACGAGATTGGAGTACAATGTTTCCCGCCACGAGGTACCTCGTTCGGCAGGCACGCTCGCCGAGAAGATCCTCGTATCGACGGTCTCGGAGCCCAGCATCCTCTCGTCCTATAGCGCTGTCCCGAGGAACGTGCTGAAACTTGGGGATGGCGACGACGACGGGAGCAGAGAAGGTTCCGCGCAGGGCCAGCTATTCACTTATATCCCATCCAACACCCTGCTGGAAATGCGCAAAATGGCGTGGGTCGCGCATGATGGGATACCTGGGGCTTTAGATGAGCTGAGGTACTTTGCGGAGGAACGGCGGGAATGGGAGACGAACGCGACGAGTGGTCTGCCACCCCGCCAGGAGGAAGGAAGCGGGGAAGAGAAGAAAGACGAACCCACCGACTCTTCTTCTCGTCGACCACTTTCACTTCGACGGCTTCGGACGCTACGGGTCGCCATATCTGTCGTTATGCAAGAGCTAGCGGTTGTTCAGAAGGGACGGATCAATCGGCCCTCTGATGGCTTAGAGGAACAACAAATATTCGAAGGACTGTGGCAAGAAGATGGTTTCGGTCTTTTCTCTATCCTTGTAGATCTAGTTGACACTATTGCCGAGGACCTGGCAGATCAGCTCCAAATCGCCGTTGCCAATACCTTCAGTAGTGTTTCGCCTCCACTTTCGTCTCCAGCTGTTCTCGAGCAACTCTTGTCAGGAAGCCGCGACGCATTGACACTCATCCTAACTTTGATGCGCTTGGGGTTTCCACCTTCGTTGACGATAAGAACCATCCGCGCGATCGCCGATCCTGTCATAGACACCTACGTATCTTGCGACTTGGCGCTAACCAATTACCAGACCAGCGCAGGGAACGGCGGACTAGAAGGCTCCTGGTGGGCGATCTCCGACAAGGCGGGCGATGGGGCTACTGCCGGCGCCAGTATATACGATGTGGCATCGCGCTTGGTGTCGATATGCACGGAAGTCCTGCATATGCTGTGCGACGCTGTTACTGCTTCCGGTCAGGAAGGATCGGTGATAGTGATGAAATCGTTGCTGCGGGCGGGGGAGATGTATGCACGGGGCTGGAGGAGGCGGGATCCAGCAACTAGTCTGGCACAGGTGTGTCGTCTCGTTGACGAGGTCATACCGTCCCCAGACCCCGGAGCGCAATCCGACGAAATTGACATGAAGGAAGAGAATGGCACTAGAGCCGAATCGCCGGCTAGACAGGAACAGAAGGGACATCGATGGAGTCAAACAGTTCTTACCCAAACCCTTCCGGACTTTCAGGCGTTCATTAGATTGCTAGATGTTGATAACCGAATGCAATTGACCAGGAGACTAGTCGCGGTCGATAACGACGTTATTGGTATCGGGCCCTGGTTGGTGATGGAAGATCTGCGATTCACGACGTCCTTGCTGCAAACTTGCAAACTCCGCGACGATCCGGCGAAGTCCCAGGGCAAGGCGCATGAAGCTCTCTGCCTTCAGCGTGCTGATCAGATCGTGCAGTATCTCCATTCCCTGGCTACTACAACCTCGCCTTCGTGGCTGCAACAGTGGCTGTCCGAGTCATCAGAAGTCACACAAACCCTGAAGCAGTTCCTCGACCTACTTATAGAGGGACATGCCTTCTCGCCTCCGTGCCTACTATTCTCAGAATGGCTACAAGGCCACATCAAGAATATAGGCGGCCTAAACACTAAAGGCCTTCACTTATGCATGCGCCTCCGCGACATCCAGAGTAAGCCGTCTGTATCTCTAGATAGTCGGCCGTTACTGTCCATTCTTCAAGAGTGGAACTCGACATTGCATTTGGATATTTTGCGGCGAGAATTGGGCCACACCCTCATGGCGTATGCTTTCCCAGAGGCAACTCTGGAACACATTTCCCTCGAAACCTCTGAATCCATATTATCAATACTGGAGTGGATGATCGAGCAGAATGAGCCGAAGCTGCTCGCGCTCACCGGCGTAACGAATACTCAATATATCAGGCTTTGTGACCGAATGTATCAACTGCTACCCTACAGTAGAGCAGACACTCTACACGATGTTCGCTCGCGGTTCTACGTCGAAGAACCATCCAACGGTGTACTTAGCGAGCCAAAGCAATTGCTTTCGTCTCCAGTGCTTTCCATCAACGACATCCAGGAGGCCTTGCAGCCTATGCGGCTCGAGACTCCACAGACTCCTACTCGGCGTACACCAGATGTTCTCGGTTCCATAGTTTCACCCCCAGCGGCTCTTCTACGTTCCCCCGCGGCCACTGGGCTAACCAAAACCTATTCCAACAATGACTTTCGACAACTTCGTGTTACACCAACCGCAAGACAGAACACGAGCAGACTACCAAGCATGCACGTCGACGTGGGTATACTCCGCACGGTCGATTGACCTTGTTGACGCCCTGCCTCGCGCACCACCTGGTGCCGCTTTGGCTTATCGATATAGGAGTTCGAAACATCACCACTGATGATGCCAACTGCGATAGCTGGGGGATTACCGAACTTGAATTTGAGCGCTTTCGAATGAAGGCGAACAGCTCAACCAATAATTTAGCCCCATGCATACCATTTTCCATAAATATACGGGCTGCAGTACCCATGCTTTTCTTCATATGAGTCGTGAGCACTCCTATGCATCGTTGATGAATTAATGCAGTTTGCAGGGTCCGCCACGTCAGGCACAGGGATTGTGGAGAACGCGGGTTTTGAACCAGGGGATCGGAGTATCGGAATTCAATTATCACTTCCTTGCCAAGCGATAAGTGCGATCTGCTCACTGGTTCGATGCTCACTCCGTCGTCTGTAGGCTAGCTGGCCTTCGAATTCTGAGGTTCGACAAAAATTGTGGACGGAATTGGGATAGCGGTTGCCAGACCAACCCCAGGTTCGTCCCCCTTACTACTGTGGAATCGGGAAACTCATATCCTTCCGCCGGATAGGTTCTCACTCTTCTGGCAGAGACAGTGTTGCACGTTTTATGCGCACTATGGTAGTCCAGTACGTGATGCACGCAGCATGCCGCATTTACAAGCATTCCAACTACAGCGGTGCACTAGAACATGTTTTTAGTGATCTCCTGATTCCAACGTAACTGTGCGCTTACCCCTTCGTTGCACAATTCTCAGGCCTTTCAGTGATCGCGTTAGTACTTCGGGCACTGAACGCTGAACGCTGAGCTCAACTCGCCACAGAGGAACCTCTGGAGCTGGAGGGGGTGATTTCCTGCATCTTGTCTTATAGCCAGGGCTCACCACACTTCACACCGGTGAGTATTCTTGCATGTCTCTCGCTGAGTCTGGAGTACTCGTCAAAAGCAAACTCAACAAAAGATGAAAACGGGCAGAACAAATGTACCAAGGACGCCAACACCTGAGTCTTCGCGCTCCTCTAATGCAATCGCGAGCTATGAATTGTGCATGGTGAGTAATTTATTCGTTAATTAGGATGGATGCACACTTGCTCTGTATCACTTTTTTAAAGTTACGCCGATCTCCCCATCAACGCCCTCGGGGCTCGCCGGCACCAGATATGGGGGGTCTGGGAACAAAAAGCTAGTGACAAACAAAGCGAAATGCGTAAATGAACGTACGGACGAAGAGAAAAAGATGTAATAGAGCTGAACTGAACTGACTGGACGAAAGGGAGCGAGAATGGGGGACGCGGGAGACGAACGAGCGCAAGGACGAGGGGTACCAAACGAAAATGACACGAAAATAAACGAAGTCGAAGAAATGGACCGCCCTTCTAGTCAGCAATGCGAAAGCGTGAAGACTCGGAGACGGACGACTCAGCAGGAACTGAAGTTCGCAGAACGAGTACGCCAACATACATTGACCACACCAATGACCATGACCACAACCGCCTACCTTCGACTTGACGGTGGGGGAGATTGACGATGAGAGCGGGAGCGCTGTGCCGTTCGTAGCGATGGTGAGTACACGCACAGTTTCGGCAGAGGGGCGGGATTCACTCACCAGCATTCTAGTTGCAAATACCTTGAGAATACGCAGTCAAATAGAACAGCATAGGAAAGGAGACCCGTGTCAGTCTTCAATGCTGCGGCGGTGGGTACTCTGAACAGGACTTCCAGGGTAATCGTCCTGAATCTCTTTGCTCCCTTTCAGGCCCCCAACACACATTCTTCACCGCAGAGTCTCGCCCTACAAGCGTTGCATGCTCCGACCACGACATAGCACGACACTTGAAGCAAGATTCTACCCACTCCAGCTGTTCTTCCCCAGTGTACTGCCCCTTGCGCTATATTGCTCAAGCTGTAGATCTGCACAGCGCGTCCGGCCATTCTAATGGCAGCGACTCTTACCATCCCAACCGTGCGATGGTCCTACTACACATCCTACGAGTCTCGAGGAGCACAAGGTGTTGGGCGCGGAAGATTTCGACCTTCGGCAGGAGGTTCTGTCTTGCATTGGTTCATCGGTCTATCGCAGGCTCTCACGGACGAAACGGACTCGAACAGTTAACCAGTGTTCTGGTCACGGAAAGACACTGGAAGAGGTCAAACCTGGTACTGAAATACTCTAGTTTGGTGCACCGAAGTACCGATGGGGCGGTAAGTTTCGAGGGCGGCTTTCACCCCTGGATATGTATGACAGGACACTTTCATAGCTTCCGACCCCTTCGTGCCTCTTTGCCTTGAAGCATGAGGGTGACGATGGCCAGAATGCTATCAGCAGTGAGGAAGAGATGGATACCACACCTCGGACTTCGAAGAGGCGCGCAGTTAAGCAAGTAGTGGTGTCCAGCGATGACGAATCGGAGGATATCCTCGAGAGTCATCGGCTTGGGAACCGATTTATAGGCTCTCCGGGAAACGAGGTGAGGTGTCTGGGAACGCTATGCTATTACGAGCAGCTCTCATATGTTCTGTTGCATATTGAAGCCGCCGATAACTCCCATGATGAAAGGGTGTTTAGAGACACCGACGTCTAGGCGCTACCCGAAAAGGGCTTGCAAGCAGGTATCCCGATATGCAGACCAGAAGTCATCTCAGGATGATGAAGGTTCTGAAGGCGATGACGAATCGCTGTCCCACTGTACGCCCCTCAAACGTCGGAAGACGGTCGTGAGCGGTCGAGCACACTAAGGTTTTTTGTCGCTTTGAATCTCTTGTCACCGATCTATATATATACATCTGCATTAAACATTACGCGAACTCACAGAATATAGTCCTGTATATCTAGCTCATCAATAACTTGACTGCTTCTTCATATCGTTCTTTGGTCCCAAGTACAACTTCTTCGTCGATCTCCCAGCCCTCGCCCTCTTTCCCTGGTGGACCACTCTCGAAACCTTTCTTGAACCCAGCCTTTACAAGCCAATCTCTGACAAATTGCTTGTCGAAACTCGGCTGTGGTTGACCGGGCGTGTACGAGGCCAATGGCCAATATCGAGAAGAATCGGGGGTCAGTACTTCATCCACGAGGATCAACTGTTCGCCGTTAACCAGGATGGATGGCTGCGCCGTTTGATCCACTTCGGCAGGGCTTATCAAACCAAATTCAAACTTCGTGTCTGCCAAAATTACTCCCCGACTGTAGGCGCGTTCGGCAGCTCGAGTGTACAGCGAAATGGATATCCGGGAAATGTGGTTATAAAGCTCGGTGCCAATGAGAGCAGCAGCTATGCGTTAGGCCATTCACGCCATTTAGTGTATATCTAGACATATGGGGGAGCACGAACCTGTATCCGGAGATATGTTTTCGTCGTGCGCTCCCTGTTCAGCCTTTGTAGAAGGGGTGAACAGGGGCTCGGGTAACCGTGAAGATTCAGCCAGCCCTTCGGGCAATGGAATTCCATGGACGGTGCCATGTTTCTTGTATTCGCTCCACGCAGATCCTGCTATGAATTGAGACCCACAGCTTGTCAAATTACCAGCAGAGACTCGCCTGTGATGTAGCCCCTGACTATGGCCTCGAGTGGCACTACCTTCGCTTTACGCACAAGCATAGCTCGTCCGTCTAGCTGATCCTTGTACTTCCGTATCTCCTCCGGCATCTCGTCAACGCTTGCGGTTACAAAATGGTTTGGGATGATGTCTTTGAGTTTGTCGAACCAGAAACATGAGATCTTGGTCAACAATTTCCCCTTGTCCGGGATTCCCTGTAGATGGACGACTCAGATGTCTGCGTTGCTTTCCGTAGGGAAAAAGAAAGGACGGCGGCTGACATTCTTCAAAATGACATCATATGCAGAGATTCTGTCCGTGGCCACGAAGAGGAGATGGTTTGGTGATGAGGTGGAATAAATATCGCGAACTTTGCCTTTGGACAAAAGACTCAAACCAGGAAGATGGGTTGTAGTGAGTGAAGACATAGCGGACAGGTTGTCCTTGGGCGCAGTCTAAACGGCTGAATTCCAAATCAAAAATTTACCTTTCATCGATTAAGGAATCAGCCAGGCACGGATTCGGAGATGTCAGAATGCTAATATGATGCTTTGCTGAATGCGAGTTACCATTACTTCATTATTCGTTAACAAACAATTGCGACGAGTGATAAATACGACTAGAAAAAAGAATGGACGGGTGAATAAATTAGACAAATGCAAATCTGGACATCATAAGAATAACCAAGAATTTAAACCGCTATGAAATTATTTCTTGACCGCTCGCAGTTGCGCGCGAAGATTGCTGTTCTCAGTCTGCATGGAGTTCAGTTCATCCATGAGTGCAATACGCTGAGATTGTTCCGAGGTTCGCATGGCCTCGATTTCTTCCTCGGCAGCTTTCAGCGTCGCCTTACATTCAGCTAGTTGAGCTTCCAATTGTCGCTTGACCATCTCGGGGGCATTTGCAGCTTCCTCTGCAAGGTGCAAGGCTCTAGCACTGAGGGTATTGTTGGCGTCGGTGAGTTGTCGACAAGTCTCCGCTTGCTCTGCAGCCTGAGTCTCAATGTCGAGTTTCTCAGCAGTGATACGCTCAACAGCCTGTTGCAGCTTCTGTGCCTCCTCTTGCCTGATTATTCGTGAGTAAGCCATCTCTATTCTCTATGGCGACGAGAAGTACGTACATCTGAGCATACTGCGTAGAAAGCAAGATGGTCCTATCTTCAAGCATCTTGACTTGCTTTTGATAAGTTTCTAGGGCAACATTGCTCTCTTGTGCAAGTTTCTGGGCGCGTTCAGCATTCTTCTTGAGCAAATCGTGAGCTTGAGCAAAGCGAAGGAGCCGTTCAATCAAGGCACGGTCATCTGCGACAAGGGACTGAACACGAGCCGCGAAGGCCTCAATGGTGAATGTGCTTGTTCCACCTGGGAAGAATGCAGATCGAGAGGTATTGGGGTTGGCTGTGTTGGGATCGTAGAGCGTCTTCAGCGAACGAACGTCGAGGTCAGAAAGGGAAGCAACAGTTCCGCCAACCGGGCTACCAGGCGTCGGTGAACCAGTACGGAAATTCCGGTTGTTGGAGAAGCGAGCAGCGCGAGCTTCAGCGGAAGGAAGGATCGACCAAAGGGGTGTTAGGATTGACAGCATCCGGGCTGCCTCGCCCTGAACATCAGGAAGAGACGACGTCGAGGTAGCAGGAGATATTATTCCACGGGAAGCTTGTGGACTAGGCGGTGTATCCTGATCAATAAGGTCAGCAAAAGCGCTCGGTGAAACAAACGGTTTACCAACCTTCAACTTCGCCTCTAGATGTCGGCTCTCCTTTCGGGCCTCCTCTCGTTCTTTCCTTGCCTCTTCTATCTCCCTCGCCAAGGACTCTCGTTTGTCGAGTCCTATCCGCACATCCTCCTCAAGCTTGCGCCGCAAAGCCTCCCACTCTTCCTTTGCCGTGTCGTGCCCCTCGAGTTTGGCCTGGATGCCGTCAAGATGGACGCCGACGCTGTGAAGAAGACCCAATATTGAGGAGTCACGGGAGTATAGGACAACACCATGTTTCTGCATCAACTCTCGTATAGCGGCATGGCCGGCATCGAGTTCCTCGTTTGCATTCTGAAGCGACGTCCGATCCTCCTCTCGCATGCGCTCCATCTCGTCCTGCAGCCTAGCTAGATCCTCCATCTTCTCGTCCTCCATGGCAGCTTTATCTCGCTCCCACATTGCTCGTTCCTCCTCCCATTGAGCTTTCAACCGCTGGATTTCAGCCTCTTTCTCTTCTAACCGGCGTCGGCTGTCCTCTCTCGATTCTGCCTCCGACGAATTGGCTTGGCCACTCCTTAGCTCAAGCTCTGCCAGTCTCGCACGAAGGACATCCACCTCCTTTGAGTTACTCTGAAGTGTTGTTCTCTCCTGCACCCAAGCCTCCCGTTCCGAAAGCAACTCTTTCAACTGCTGTTCCCTAGTCGGAAGTTCCTGTTGTAAAGATGCTATCGTCTCCTCCGCACCTTGCAATTCGAGCCCCATATTCATTTCCACTTCTTGCTTTTCCAACCGTAGCAGTGACAAGTCACGAGCCATCTCGGCCTGCTTCTTGCTCGCAGCATTCAGTGAAGCGGTTGCCGCTTTGAGCTTGTCCTCCAATGTGGATATCTCGCTGGCAGCAGTCGTAAGGGATAGCCGACGTCTCGGCACAACAGCATCTGCGTGCCCAGCGAAGTAATGTGCGCCGTCGAACCTTCCGCGGGATTTCGAGGACGAAGAGACACCAGTCATTGAAGAAGTGGTGGGGCTCATCGGTGCAGGAGTATCGTAGCCCGAATCGGAGGAACCGTTGAACTGCTGAGGCGCTGCCTTCTTTTCCATGCTACGGATAGATAGACTCAGAACAGCCGCGCGGTGCTCCATAAGTTTCTTATGAATCTCATTTGCGCGCTCGGATATTCGCCGTTGCTCCTTCTGGGCAGCCTCGAGACGAGTATTTGCTGCATCCAGCTGATCATCTGTCTGTTTCGACGTCTTCTTCTGCGTGGAGTTGACCTTCGAAAGTGAGATGGCGGCATCGCGCATTTTGGTCTCAAGCGCCAGTTTCTTGTCTATGGCTACCAGACGAGAGCTCAACACTTGGTGTTCCTACATTTGCGGTAAGAAGTAACCTCTATTGAACCCAGAGCGCACTAACCTTCTTCAGTTCCTCGACTTCCTCTCCACCCAAGATGTTAAATCCCCTGCTGTCCACAACGGCCTCGCTGGCCAGCAGACTAATAAGGAGTTCATCGCGCGTATTGAGTACCGGCGGTGACTGCTTGATCTCAGAGGCCGTGGATCGTCGCTGCGGGGGAACACGTGATGGCGATGAAGAAGTCGGGATGCTGGAGCCTGCCAAGGGAGGTGTTCGAGGAAGATCTTCGCTCGGTATGCTAGCCTGCGATCTGTTCCGTTCCTTCCTCAGAAAAAGGGCTGCCGAGGACGTTTTGGGGCTTCCCGACAAACTCGTGGCAGGGGGTGATTGTGGGCCAGCTTGCGGAGGCCACGAGGGACCCTTCAGCGGGATTATTAGTGGAGCCGTAGGGACTTCTTGCTCTGGAGGTTGCTGAGGCAGCTGAACTGCAGTCCCTCCAAGGAATCTGCGGACGCCATTCATCCTCGTCGGTGAGCGGGGAGATGAGTGTAACTGTGCAAAGTGTTGTTATTTTCAAACGGAAGCAATTCTGCGCAGCCACAGGAATGTGACTTATTGATCCTCTCACGATCATAGAATTCTTCTCACAGTCAGCAAAGGTGCGGCGTCCTTGCCGTCCAGCTTACGCCCGCTTTGAGCCAGCTCCAATCTAGAACTTCGACCGCGAACATGCAACGGGGCTGGGTATTGTAGCGCAGCGACCATCAGCACTCTGCATGAACCTGTTCATCTCCAACTTCCATGTCATTTACCTTCAACTGGCCCAGATTCTCGGATCAGTTCCACTACGATGCGATACAAATGCTTAACAACGCCCTCAACAAGGGCAACAAGCCTCCTGTTATAGCAGACAAGATTGAGGTCATAGAGTTGGAAATGGGAACCCAGGTTGGTACTGTTACTTCCTTGAAACGTCGGCGATGAAGTTAAGGTGTCGTGTGCAGCCACCAGAATTGGAGATTCGTGACATTGGCGAATTGACTATGGACCAGTTTCGCGGAATTTTTCGTTTGACGTACGCGGGGGACGCACATTTGGTGCTAAAGACGAAGGTTCAGGTATGATCTAGTCCAGATCTGACTTTACGGGTTTTCTAACTTGGTGGATAGGCCAACCCATTGAACCCCAAGCAACCTGATATCCACCTAATGACAGGATCACGAGGTATGCTAGCAGCGAAACAACCACTCGTGGTTCCTATGCTCCTTCGCCTCTCGAACTTCAAGCTTAATTCCTATGTCGTTCTGGTGGTCTCCAAGCAGAAGGGCATCACGCTTGTCTTCAAAACTGATCCGCTGCAAAATGTGGATATCAATAGTACTTTTGACTCTATTGCAGTTATACAAAAGTTCATCCAACGGGAAATTGAAGGCCAACTAAGGCAGATGTTTAGGGAGGATTTGCCGGGAATAATACATCGGCTCAGCCAACAGTGGGTCAAAGCTAAGGTCGAGGCTCCCTACCTATTGAAGAGACCCCCGCCCCCGCCAAACGCACCATCATTCTACGCAGCTTCAGCCCCAGACCTATCTATGCCGCCTAATTCGCCTAACACAAGTCAGGCCTTTTCATCGCGCCCGTATCCCTCGACTACTCGTACTCGACCTCCTCGATCTGTTTCCGGCGTTTCCATGACGAGCACTAGCCGTCGTCCTACCCATACGGTAAAATCGCCGCCACCCACCGTTGAAAGCACTAGCTCTTTCCCCGACCTTGAGAACTTTGACCCAACGTACGGACTCCGTCCAGAAGGATTACCCAACAAAAGTCTCTTTCATGGCTTTAGCAGCTTATTCACGCCGAACAAAGGGCTAGCAGACCTTGCAGAAGAACCTAGTGATATCGAAGATGGGGACGAGGAGATGGAATCTTTCGACGTCGTGGATTGGGACACTATGATCCCGCGAGCCTCACCATCACCGAGTGTGACATATGCGGACGACAATCGAACCGAATACGAGACCATACCGGCAATTGGGGGTGGGACCGTCACACGTCCTCGCGTTGTGCATGCTCAATCCAGGGCTTCTACCGATTTCTCCTCTGGGGCCACCACGTCTCCGACAGGACGGTCTTTTTCCTATGAACGCCTCATGTCTCCACGAGCTGCCGGTATATCTAGATCTGGCTTCACTACCCCTGGTCTATATCCAACGCGAAATGCATCCTTCTCCTATTTCTCCCCAGAATTTGCTGCTTTGCGCCTTCAACGTGGACCGGGTTCGGACGCAGGCACTGCATTCGAATCGTCCATTCTTCCTCCAGGTTTCGGTACGCGGCGACCATTGACACCTGATAGTGCAGAGACACAGCAATCCAGGTCCAGTAGCAGTGGATTTGGTCATTCCTTGGAGACACCTCCTTCGTCGGATCCTTTCGACCCACAAATTTCGAGCGGTGAAGCTTCCACGAATCCGATATTTATTCGCCGTGCACCTTCGACCCGTAGACCGTCGGTATCTTCCGCGTCTGCCATTCCAGACGGATCCCCTTCTTCTCCATTCTTATCTTCATCATCCCCTCCCGAACATCCGGACCCCAAAATCATACTGAAACCTACTGCTAATAACACAATCCATCAGTTATCGACATTGAGCCATTCCAACCACACACTGTCTCCGTATGTGCGTTCGTTGGAGCACTTTACCGTGAGGAGTGTTCCTCCTCGAGACGCAGGACTAGCTGGGCCCTCGTCGTCAGGCGACCGCCAGCCAGTAAAGGCACGGCGAAAGCGCATGTATCGCGTAGGTAGTAAGAAGAAACCTGCTGAAGATACGGTCTCGCCGGACTTAGAAGGGCAGATGCTCTCCAGGCGTGCCTCAGCATCTCCCACACCTCCTTCAGAATTCGACGCAGATGATATGGACATATATTTTCGGACTCGCGACGATTACATACCTCTCTCACCCACTTTGCATCCTTCGCACATACGACGGCGACAACCTTATGATGACACATAGTTCAGAACCTTAGATTTCGAACTCTATTATATGTCTCATTGTTTATCTCCACCGACTCCCACAATGACCAAACGAGTAGCGACGAAGACCTTCCGTCCCCTTAAATTCCTCAGGTTCTTTGTGCCTCCCATCCACCGTGGGGGCCGCTAAAAGTCGAAGAAGGACAAGAGCCCCTTCAATGTTAGTATTTATATTGACTCGGTACCCGCTCTCCAATTGTGCTGTCGGAAATCTTCGCGTTGTCGATGCTCCATTGGTGTTTCGAAGCTAGAACCATACACCAAGTAGTTGTGTGGGAGCCCGCTGGCTGTAAACCTGACGTCTTGGTTCTCAGGTGGGGTCACAGGTACGTTGGTACCAGCGCTCCTGAATTGTTCAGCATACTGAAATAGCATTGAGGGCTCACATCTTCGTACGCAAGTAGAGACCTTAACATGAGTATGAATCAAGTGAGATCACGGTCTTTGGCCAGCTGTGAGGGGACTAACAGCATGATTCTTTCAGGAGATTCGCCGTATCGTGAATCACCTACTGGACCGTTGCGATCTCCCTCTCGAAAGCACGCCTATCGACGAAGAATTCTTTCAGACATGCGTTGAGGATGCCGCCGCTCGTGGCTTTCCCATGGAGGCCTCACCTGGGGTCCCTTCTTTCTGCCCCTTCATCATGTGTGGTGTCTTCGTTGCATGTACTGCATACGGCCACCTGGAAAGCCTTTCAACAAGGATGTACATCGCCCTATATACCTCTTCGGTCACCTATGTAGACGATGTCTACAACAATCAACCCAACCTCCCGAAGGCTTTCTGCCACAACTTTATCATGCATTTGCCGCAGGAGACATCAGTACTGCGAGCGTTCGATCAGCTGCTGAGGGAGACATGGAGACACTTCGACGGAGTTCAAGCGAATTTCATCATTGCAAGCAGTATGTACTATATGAACGCTGTCGCTATCGAGCACGGTATCAGGCCGCTCGAGGTGAGTTCGGAGATCCGATGCATTCACGGGGTTTCCACCGTTGCTGACTTCGTGGCGCAGACTCAGACCTCCGATTTCTTTCGGTTCTTTCGAGGACTATCTGGCAATTCTTCTTCTTTTTGCGTCTTCATTTTCCCGAATGATGTCCCCCCCAATTCGTACATCCAAGCCCTGCCGTTCATGATGGATTACGTGAATTACATGAAGTAGGACCGCCTTTCTAGTCACTCGCTCCGTTCTTAACCTCGAGTTATAGTGACGTTCTCTCTTTCTACAAAGAAGAGGTTAATGGTGAGGATACAAATATTATCACTATCCTCTCGATGCAGCGTGCCGCGCCGAAAATAGCGATCCTAGAGCAACTTGCCAACCTAGTTGCTTCGAGTTACGTGTCAGCAAACGATATTTTGGGCACTTCCTCTGATGCCGCTCAGGTAGCTTGGAGGAGGTTTGCACGAGGCTACGTTAGCTTTCACGTATCCTATGGAGCCCGTTATAGATTACACGAGGTTTTTGAAGGTTCTGAGGATTCGCCTTCGTAAAAAAGGTTGCCCCGCGACCAGGTTTAGAATGACGGCCTAGGCATGTCCTTGTGTCTCCCGGCCCTCTCTCCAAATTCCATCCGTTTGGCTCACTTATTTCATCCGACGTAGACGTCAGTGCTGTGTGCACAAAGGTACTGGTGATGACGAAACAAGTTACCCTTCTCTTATCTCAGGTTCTTCGTTCCCGGTGCTGACCCGATATCTTGCGCACCGTAAATTTCAGCTCTGACCGCACAGCAAATCCGTTCCACCATTGAAGCTGAAGAGCCAATCCCTCGACGGGGAGCATGAGTATGCAGTTCGTTAGTCCCTTCTGTTAAAGCATATATCAAAAACACTATAAAACGCCAGCTGGCACTCAGTGTAAGTCAGAAAATCAGTCCTCAAATGTCTCAAGTGAGGTCATTTTTCATCCGACAATAATTTCCCAGCTTATCTCCGTCGTTACAGGAACTCACTAGCATCGTGGGCGACCTCCTGGCTCGTTGCGACTTTGCTCTCTCGAGCACACCTGTCGACGATGGGTTCCTCCAGCTATGTCTCGAGGATGCAGCTACTCGCGGCTGTCCCATGGAGGCATCTCCTGGGATCCCTTCTTTTCGTCCGTGGAATGTCAGCGGTGCCGCAATTGCGTATATTTCGTACGGCCACTTGGAGAGCCTTCCAGCAAAACTATTCATCGCCCTATACACATCTCTCGCGGTGTACGCTGAGGATGTCTATACCGATCAGCCCGACCTCGTGAACACCTTCAATGCCAACTTCGTCACGCGCCAACCCCAGCGAACAGCGATATTGCAAGCTTTGGACAAGTTACTAGGAGAAACGTCAAGACATTTCGATGCAGTTCAAGCCAACCTCATCACGTCAATAGCTGGGCCCTCGTCGTCAGGCGACCGCCAGCCAGTAAAGGCACGGCGAAAGCGCATGTATCGCGTAGGTAGTAAGAAGAAACCTGCTGAAGATACGGTCTCGCCGGACTTAGAAGGACAGATGCTCTCCAGGCGTGCCTCAGCATCTCCCACACCTCCTTCAGAATTCGACGCAGATGATATGGACAGATATTTTCGGACTCGCGACGATTACATACCTCTCTCACCCACTTTGCATCCTTCGCACATACGACGGCGACAACCTTATGATGACACATAGTTCAAAACCTTAGATTTCGGACTTTACTATCTGTCCCGCTATTTATTTCCACCAACTCTCATCATGACCACCGTATCGTTTGCACGAGTAACAACGAAACATCCACGCCTTCCCTTAAATTTCTCAGGTTCTTCATGCCTGTGTGTATCTCCCATGCACCGTGGAGGCTTGCCTGCAGCCGAAGAACAAGAGCCCAATCAGTATCTTGACTCGGCTCCTCGTTCTCATCGATATCTATGCTGTAGAAAATCTTCGCGTCGTTGACCTTCCATTCGCGGTTCAAAGTTTGAACCGTGCTACAATCAGTTCTACCGCTGGCTGCCGCTGGCTGCCAATATCCAGTATGGGCTCTGGAGGTGGGATCATAGGTACGCCCAACCCTCTGGATCGTCCAGCAGGTTGAAATAGTATTACATCAAGGCTAACAATCACGTACTATCAATACAATCACGTACTATCAACCAGAAACCAGCATGGATCAAGTCAAGTCTATTGAAGCGACTAACAACATCCTTACAGGAGATTGGACCGCTGCGATCTCCCGCTCGCAAGCACGCCCATTGACGAAGAATTTTCTCAGATGTGCCTAGAGGATTCCGCCGCTCGCGGCTGTCCCATGGAACCCTCACCAAGGACCCCTTCTTTCTGCCCCTTCATCATGAGCGACGTCGTAACTGCGTGTGTTTCGTACGGTCGCCTGGAAAACATTTCCACAAGAATGTACATCGCTCTGTATACCTCCCTCGCCACGTATATTGACGACGTCTACAATGGTCAACCCAACCTCGTGAACGCTTTCGGTCACAACTTTGTCATGCGTCTGCAACAAGAGACGGTAGTACTATGGGCGTTTGACCAGTTGCCGGGAGAGACGTCAAAACACTTCGACGGAGCCCAAACTAATCTCATCATCGCAAGTACTAAGAATTTCATGAGACTCTGGGTTTAGGAGGACATCCCAGGCATTGGGCCTCTGTGTCTCCTATCCTTCCCACCGAATATTATCTGTTTGGCACAGTTATTTCATCCGATATTCAATGTGAGTGTCAGTGCTGTGTGCCGACAGGCAACGACGTAAACGACTTTCCCTTCTTGCTCAGCTTCTTCGTGCCCGGAAACAACCCGGTACCGTGCGTACCCATGAACCACTGCCATGGGCCTCACTGCTCGCCTATGCATACGAGCTGAAATTAACTCCGGCTGTACAGCAAATCGGCTCTACCTCTGAAGAGCCAATTCAGCGACGGGGATCATGTAGTTCTAGTGCCTTATTGAAATCAATATTAAAGGCTAGCGAATGCTCAGTGAAAGTCAGAAAACCTCTCCTCAACATGTCTCAAGTAAGGTCGCGTTCTCCAGCCAACCATTCATTTGCTTATCTTCGTCTACACAGGAAATTGCTCGTATCGTGAACAACTTGCTGTCTCGTTGCGACCTCGCTCTCTCGAGCACGCCTGTCGACGATGGGTTCCTCCAGCTATGTCTCGAGGATGCAGCTACTCGCGGCTGTCCCATGGAGGCATCTCCTGGGATCCCTTCTTTTCGTCCGTGGAATGTCAGCGGTGCCACAATTGCGTATATTTCGTATGGCCACTTGGAGAGCCTTCCAGCAAAACTATTCATCGCCCTATACACATCTCTCGCGGTGTACGCTGAGGATGTCTATACCGATCAGCCCGACCTCGTGAACACCTTCAATGCCAACTTCGTCACGCGCCAACCACAGCGAACAGCGATATTGCAAGCTTTGGACAAGTTACTAGGAGAAACGTCAAGACATTTCGATGCAGTTCAAGCCAACCTCATCACGTCAAGCACTTTGAACTTTATGACTTCGATCGCCATCGAACATGGGGTCGACAAACTTGATGTACGGTCAGCGACACTTGGGACGTTGAGTTGTTACTGACTCCCTGGCGCAGATAACTCCTCATGCAGATAAGTTTCCCCTGTTCCTTCGGGGACTATCTGGGATTGCTTGTGCATATTGCCTGTTCACCTTCCCCATGGAAATCCACCTCAATTATTACATTCAAGCTATGCCGTCCATGATAGATTATATCAACCATATGAAGTTGGTCCTGCTTATCGGCATTCACCTTCATTCCTAATCTAAGTTCACAGCGACGTGCTATCCTTTTACAAGGAAGAGGCCAACGGCGAGGATTACAACTACATATCTATTATGTCGAAGCATCGCGGCGTGCGGAAGATAGAAACCCTAGAGCAACTTGCCAATCTAGTTGCTTCAAGTTATGAGGTGGCAAACAATATTTTACCCACTTCCAGCGCGGCCCACGTAGCTTGGGGAAGGTTTGCTCAGGGATATGTTAGCTACCATGCATCATATGCCCGATATAGATTACACGAGGTGCTCCAGGTGACTCAGAACCTGACATCGTAACAGAGTTGGCGGTGCATGTATATCATTTGGATGTTCTCTTTATTTAAATATGAAAACATTACAGCCAAGAAAAAGTGGCGCTGAAAGAAAATTAAGGCTCAAACCCACGGCGGGATTCGAACCCGCAACCTCCAGATCAGCTTTGCGCATAGAAGTCTGACGTCATAACCATTAGACAACGCGGGCTTAAAGGCAATGCTCAAAACAGTATACATATCCCCTTGCCTTCCCAGTATTGTATGATCCTCATCGATTAGAGTGCATCGCGGTACAGGTGGTGGCACTTAGGAACATGTCCACAATTTATGATATCTTTGTTGTGTTGCCTCCTGACATCGCCGCATCCCAGAAGCTTTTCTCAAGCCATGTACATTTCTCCCAAACTTCACACCACTCTTGCAGCCTCGCAGGAGAAGGTGGATCACGGACGGCTTGTTCCTCGACCTTGGCTTCAGAGTGTAATTCATCAGTAAGCAACCAATGTGTAGTGTGTCACTACCACGAAAGGTGGTACTGACCAAGACCCGTTCTAACAGCGGCTTGATAGTCATTCCCAGAATAATCCTCGATCCACTTCAAGTACGGGTTGCCTTCTAATTTAACCCAGCTGCCAGGCATATTAGCTTCGCGCTTCAACCACAGCCCAACCTCTCCGTATCCCAGTAAACAAGCAAGGAGAGCCATGGTCAATTTAGCTGGGTCGCCTGAGTACAGAGTTGATCACCCTCATTGTCAAAGGTGCGACGTCGGCGTACCTTGCATGCCTATGTCGATTAAATAACTACCATACGCAATGGTCGAAATAGATTGCGGTGTTGACTCTAACTCGTCTGCGGTGATTCCAAAGTGCGCGCAGAACGATTTATGCGTTTCGAGTTCTCGCAGGATATGGAGGATGATATCCGCGGCCGAGTGGATATCACTGAACTTGTTCGACTTGGATGCCAGGAGTCTAGTTGGATACTGTTAGTCACCAGACGGCAAGCTGGAATCAGAAATGTACCCGTGTGCTCGCGCATAATATTTAAGATAATGATAGTCTTGCCTACGCCAAATAGTCAGGATATTGATGCAGCCAACCCTTTGTCCGTGCTTACTTGATAAAATAAGTAAACGCTTCCTTGGGCAAGATACCTTGACCCAGGAGCTTCACAAAGTCGTGTTCGACATACTGCTTCCAGACCGGCTGGCTCTTCTGTATCAGCAATCGAGTGAACGGGAACGGATTGCTCGGCGTTCGTCTATCCCTTCGTGAGCTTTTTACATACGATGGAAGACGAAGCACCTACTTTGGGATAGTTAATTGAGAGGTCAAGTGAAGGTGGTTTAACGGGCCATGCCCTCGCCCTATTTTTGGGGCCGTGGTGATGCCGAGGTGTGTGAACATGACGCCTGACCGAACGGCTGACTTTACTGTAACCAAAGGTTAGATAGACTTTATACCAACGACGAACACTGAAAACGGCTGACAATCCAGGCCGCGACCTAGTCCACTTGCGATCGCGGAGCTGAGGGTACACCCAGTCCCGTGTGTGTTTTCCGACACGATGAAAGGTCGCACAAAGAGAGTCAGGTCTCCGCCGAGGTCCAGGACATCGACGACAAGGCGTGGCGACCTCAATCCATCGTCACCGACCTGCAGGATTTCCATGTTCTCTTCCAGGAGCTCGTCTTTAACGACTGAAACCTGGGGGTGCGTTTTGATGACGCGCTCAACGTCCTGCAACGATGCGGTGATATGACCGCCCTTGACTAGGCAAGCAGACCCATACTCCGCTAGACGAGTAGCAGCAGTAATCATATCCTCTAAGGAAGATATCGTGAATCCGGGGTACTTGCTAGAAACCAACAGCTCGGCTTCGGCCTTGTTGGGCGTGATCAGAGTCGATATAGGGAAGACGTCATTGATGAGAGCGCCGATGGCCCCAGGCTGGAGGAGCGTATGTCCTGAAGTTGATACACACACTGGGTCACACACTATAGGTGGCATCTTGGTGCCCGTGTAATGGCCCTTCAGCGTTTGCACGATGGCCAGTATGATATCGGTATCATGGAGCATGCCGGTTTTGATGGCATGTATCTCAATGTCACTCAGTACCGAACTAAGCTGGAGCAATGACTCAACAAAAAAGTCTAGCGTGCAGGCGAACAAAGACTTGCCTGCTGAGAGACAAACTCTGGCGGAATTGGATGGACTCCTTGGACACCCGTAGTATTCTGTGCAGTAAGGGCGGTAATCGCGCTTGATCCATAGCACCCTAGAGCGGCAAACGTCCTCAGGTCGGCCTATAAAATCAGCGTTTGATACACAAAGAGACTGTCAAACGACTCACCTGGATTCCAGCCCCGCCGCTTGAGTCTGAGCCTGCGATTGTCAGTATTGCTGGAGGTGGTTCGTTATCGACCATGACGGACGAAGCCAGGTACGGAGCACATGGTGGAAATGCCGCGGGACCATAAATGGTTTGTTTGCTCCTGACAAGGTTAACAAATAGCGAAGTGTTCGCGCGCATGTCAAGTGATAGAATTACTACTGAATAAATGCTAGATAGTCACTTCCGAACCATAAAACGATAGGTAGAGTATCCTCCGATGAAAGCGAAAGCAGCAAGGCATGCAATGATAGATCCAAACCATCTGTAATTCTGCCGGACGCCCAACCTATCAGTACGCGACGCCGTTGATAGAGGTACATTTAACTCACCTCCACGCCTTCCCCAGGTACATGCACGTTCATGCCCCACAAACCAGTGACCAAATTCATGGGAATGAGAACCGTACCAAGAGCCGTAAGCTTGGACAACACATCGTTTATCTGGTTGTTCGCGTCCGTCATCTCGATAGATATTTGCGCCAAGTAGTTTGAATGCGAGCGAGAAAGGATTTTCTCGTAGTGATTCAAGCTTTGCGTCATGGTAATAAGATGGTCCTAGCAGACGACGGTCAATCCCGCGTTCAGCTGAAGAGTAGGGTGATTTACCTGGATATCTGACAGGTAAAGGCCCTACAAGACTCTAAGCCAACGGACGGAAAGCGCGTAGGATTAATGTTACTCACGATATCCGAGGTTGGAGCAACTCTCCAGTTCTCATTGCACCTCTTCGCAAGTCCCTTCACTACGTCCGCCTTATTACCCATCAACCTCAACAAACCCATGACCTTCTTCCTACAAGTACCGATTCGCCTCAACATATCGGTCTGCTCCGCCTCCTTCAGGATGAGCACTAGCTCGTCTATACTATCGACCTCGTACTCTATGCTTTGAATTAAGGGTCCAAATGCGTCCGTGATGTCGTCAATAAGCGCATAAGATATCCAATCCGATGTAACGTTAATATAGTCCTTGAGTTGTTTAATGCGCCGCCGAACGTTCTGTGGGTGAGGGGTAGGGCGGAAGTGGAACTAGAGAACCGAGTTAAGGAGGACTCAGATGACGTAGGCTGAGGACATACCGATAATATACCTTCGCGGAAAACTATTATATACATATTCAGTGGTTCTAGGTGGGTTGGACTGTACTGATCCTGGTCGAAACTGCGGAAACAGACGAAGTAATAATTGCGGAATAATTCTATTTTCTCTCGAGTTTCCTCCATTTGGATATCTTCTGTCGTGAGAGGATGGATCCCGAAGACCTGTACGATTGCACGTTGAGAAAGCAACAGCCATGTAGACAGGGAAAGATCTCACCTTGCTGAGCATCTTCATCTCCTCGTCCGTGGGGCTATTGATGTCGAGCCACCACGTATGTCCATCGTAATCGTCGTTTGTCGACATGCCAGGTCGCCTCGGATCGCCTCCCAATCGTTGAGAGTTGGCCACGAAGGCGCGCTTAGCATCTGCGGGGAAGGACGACGTCGATGATATCGGACGCTCCTTCGTGCCGCTACCGGGAGGGTGAGGCTGGGATTGAGGTTGAGGTACTGAGGGCTGGCGGGATCCCACTCCGGCGAACAAATCTTCGAAGGATTGGTTTTCGGCGGGAAGTTCGCTCAGGCTGCGAGCATGAATGGTGGCGGAATGGGCGTTTGAATAAAAGGAAAAGCGGTAAGGCCGATCGTGCCCAGTTGAAAGGATTCCTGAAGGTAAACCAGGAGCACTAGACATAGCGCCTGCAATAGCTGCACCCGCTACATGCTCTATAGATGCTGACGAGCTAGAGGGCCCCTGTCCACCAAGCATGACGCTTAGCCTTCCGGGGAGAAATGAATGGTCGTTGTTATTTTCAAACAGAGCCATTTTACCCCCGACTCCCTTTCGATGAGTACGAGGAGCTGGAGTGCTTTGACTCAGCCTGCGTTGTCGAGCTGACTTCAATATAGATTGAGGTGAGCTACTCCCTTCGCCCAAGGCTGGCGCGGAGGCATCCCCACGATCAGTGCGAAGAGAATCGAGGTTAAATCTTGCGGTGGGGGATGAAAGACCAAGGTCCGTCTTCTCCTTTGTAGCAAATTCTTCCATTAAGCCAAAGTCGAAAGCGCTTGGAAGTACGTTCGCCTGGTAGGTCGGCAGACCATACGTCGATGCCGCAGGGTCCTCCCCGGGTTGCGCGTCATTATTTAGAGAAACTAGCAGAGACGGGTCTTGTGTCTGATGTAGATGTTGTTGCGACAAGAAGGAGGATTGCCTGTGTAGACCTGGATGTAGAGTTTCGTCGTCGTCGCGTGCGCCATCCATCATTTCGTGGACGCCGTCCCCCTCCTTCACCGATCCTCGCGCCACATCAATATCTCTCTGCTCGTTCTCCGAAAGCGCGGATATGGACGCATACAGTTGCTCCGGGGACGATGACACGACTGGTGATACTGGCATGGTTACTGTTTCTCTCCGAGCCCTGGAAAGTTGCATAGCCATGTCGACGTCCATCGTGCGCTGACGCTCCAGAGCTTGTGGGTCAGTCGGATCGAACGACCGCACAAGAGTCGGAGAGTGTCGAGGAAGCCATTCATGGGTTTCATGAGGTGAGCCTGTCACTGGGTTCAGGCTCTCGCGACGACGAAGTACTGGAGAGCCCCCTGACTGAGGAATTGCAATGCTATCCCTAGGCGGCGAGGACATGATACTAGTCGCTGTCCCGCCGGGGCCTGAGCAAGGAGGGATGGTGGTCAGTTCGAGGAGAGCGTGCTGGACAATTTAGCTTGGCCAAGATGCGCCCTCATTATGTAATTGACAGCGCCTAACTTGGCGCCCATTTACCGCTTGGATAAAAGAAGCTGAGCAACAAAGAGACGACCAGGAAATGCTGGAAGATTTTATGGAATGTTGGATTCAAAAGTGGTCATCATCATTTGCAAGTAGTTCAGTGTACAACACTATTGGCTACTATCCTTCTGTCGCAAACACTTGTGCTTCGTAGGCGATTTCAGGGCGTGCTTCGCCCAAAGCAAAGACACGATCAGTTGCTGGAGGTGGATAAATCAACTTGGTATTGATTAAGATCTTCTTAACCTTGGCCTCAGCTGCAGTCAAGCCACTGACAACCCTATCCCAGCTAAAGAACGGGTAAATGAGTAAAATCACCCTTGCATACTACTGGTGAACTGAAATCATACCCAGTCGTAAGAACGGCACCCCATGGGCCCAGGTCCAGGCACGTCACGTAAACAGGCTGACGGTATGTCTTCGTAGGCTCCCCAAGCAAGTCTGCAGCGGCATTGTATCCAGCGTACCTCCCAAGCATGAGGGCATGCTGACAGGACAACAGCGCGATATGGCCTTCATCGTCTGTGGCTGCATAGGCCGTATCGCCTGTTGCAAAGACATTCCTCAAGCCAGGGACCCTGAGGCTCTCATCGACGATGATTCTTCCGAGCGCGTCCTTCTCTCCAGGAATTTGTTCGGTAAGTACGCTGGCTCGAATACCACCAGTCCAGATGACAGTCTTGCTTGGGATCCGCAATCCCGAAGCAGTGGTGACACCTTCTGCATCAACACCGGAGACGGTTTCATTGGTGACTATCTCCACTCCCAGAGTCGATAGGGCTTCGATGATCACCGGCCGTGGACCAGGCCCTAGCTCAGGACCTATGTCCGCTGCCCTTTCGACAACGACAACTCGAATGCTTGCATCTTGGCCTAGAATATCACGCAACCTTTGTGGCATTTCTGCCGCCGTCTCGATCCCAGTGAATCCTCCTCCGCAGACAACAACCGTGTTGCGAGTAGCAGAATCCGGCAGACTAGCCAGCCCCTGCAGATGCTTGTCCAACACCTTGACCTCGTCGTATTGATCATTGCTATGCGCGAACTCGGCGAGTCCGGGGATGGGGGGTCGGTGCACCTTGCTCCCCGTGGCGAGAACAAGACGGTCGTAGTGCAGAGTGTGGGTCGAGTTGTTCGGCGACGTGTATTCAACCGCATTTTCATCCTTTGCAATGCGCTGAACAGAGCCGGCGATGAATTGAACGCCTACAGCTTTGAAGAGGTCTGTCAAATCTGCTTTGGCGTTCGATACATCGGCCTGATAGAATTGCGGGCGAATATATAAGGTAGGCTCGGGGGCGACGAGGATAACTTGAACATCACGACTGTTTCTGGGGCTTTTGTCAAGCTTAGCGGCTGCACCTAGCGCAGCCCACACGCCGGCAAATCCAGCGCCAATGATGAGGATCGTTGCTGAGGATTGGTCCATGCTGACGGCGAAGGTAAGTCCCGGAAATCAAATATACGGTGGTCTGAACTCGCCTTTATAAATGTGCAAGTTGGTAATTGAGTTTGTTGGGAGTAGTTTATGTTCTGGTCAAGCTGTAGATCGTCCTGTATTTAAACTATGCGCACCGAGACCCTACCTTGCGTAGACTACGGAGTAGAGAACCCCAACAACTGAGTGTCTTTGAAAGCACAGGGCGTGACCACTTACCAACGAGGCTCGCAAGCCAATGGCGAGATGGTAGAGTGAGCATATTACTCTTGCCCATGTACGAATGACCGACGGATGCACGGAAAAGGGGGAACTTGGGCATGTGTGATGTCAATTCTAGGAAAATTCTGCACCCCAGATAGACATGGTCAGACAATCGTTGGGGATTGGGGCCCTGGAGACCATGGGTCCGCAGACGCCGGGAAATGCGTCGACCAGTCCCAAACGAGGATCTTCAAGAAGCCTCGGGCATCGTGATCTTCCTGGGGCCGGAATCAACGGTGGGTTGGGAAGAATCGCCCGAAATACAGACGGGAAGAATAATTTCCTATTCACATATTTGAAGAAGGTAAGAGAACCTAATCAATGCCTACTCATATATCATAATATGAAGCCAACCGCTCAGGACCCATTGCGTAATACACTAAAACTACAGACCATTGTGTGAATAACCAATGACAATATACGAGATTGAATAATTACGAAGGAGAAAATCGGAACATGTTGACAGACCCAATTAGAAGGGGCGCCAAGGCTTTGTGCTACCACCAGAGGAAGGGGGTTTGGCAATGGGGGAGGATACATCGCTGGTTCTTCTCCTTCCTGGCATATTAGACACAGAGCGGTGGTGCATGTCGTCGTCAGTAAGATCGGGTGGTGAATTTGAGTACATCGTAGGTGGTGTCTCGATGGGAGAGACGATAAGGGCTAGAGAAGGCGAGAGCGTTTGTACGTTACGTGGTTGTGCTAACTGTGGCTGGGGTAGACCATGGTCCATCACGCGTCTCTTAGAAGAGCTGCCGTTAACAGGCTCTTCCGGCGGGCGAGGTTCGTCAGTTAACTTTCGCTTTCTACTCGGCTGGGGAGTATCGCGAGGTGTGTCTGGTGCATGCCGTCTTTGAGTTGAAGGAGGCCTAGAAGGCGTTGTGACCGTGCCCCATCTTGACCAGGGAGGTGGCGGTGGAACGTGCTGGCTGGCCATCGAGGGCGGTGAAAACGATGCCGAAGGTGCAGGCAGCTGCATTGGCGTATGCTTGTCGTGGGGGGATGGAATGTGGGGCATCGGGTTGCCTTGAGGAATGGATGGTATAGACGGGCGGGGGGCGGGCCCGCTTGGCGGAGAAAACTCCGGCTGGCCGGGGACAAATCTGACGAGTTCTACGAAAAGCGTCTGGGTATAAGGAGGGGGCATTTTCTTGTATATGACGTCCTTGCTGAACGAGTCTAACATCTCTTTCGTGTTGACATACGTATCCGAGCTGTGGGGCATGGTGTCTAATTCCGTATTAGTTGGGTTCATCAATACGGACAAGCGACGACTGACCTAAGGACGGTTTAACTCTAACTTCTGAGTAGACGTAGGTCCTATTCTTGCGTAGGCAACACAATGGGCAAGCAAATTTCTTGTTTGGCGAAGTAGGGTCGAAGGGGAAAAAGACACAACCGGCGTGGTAGAACTTGTTGCAGCTTTCGCACTCAACTGTAGGATAGTTTAGCAGATATGGGGTCCGGCCTCTGCATATGCAGCGGGTTCCATCGGCCCAGTCTTTGTCGATATCCTGGCCGAAAGTAAACCGGGGCCGTCTACGTTTCTTTGCTCGGGCCAATGCTGGACGACCAGCCAGAATACGATGCAAGCCAGCGAGATCCAAACCGAAGGAAACGTCGGGATTTGGGGATACGGCAAACTGAATCCTGAAGAGCTTCCGCATGTAGTGACGAACTTGGTGTATGTACTCGGGCCTTTGGTTGCTGAGCTGCGAGGTGAAGGCAAGGAACTGACCTATGACAGCTGAGAGGCGATCGATACGATGGACAATGATTTCAAGTTGTTTCCACTCCTCAGAATAATTCTTGGTGATTTCGGGGGCGTTGATAAGGACCGGGGGAAGATAACAGAAGTGCCAGCTACGTTCCTTGTGAATGGTGCCGTTCCAATGCGTATGGTCGCAGAACGGGCAAGACCCGCCGTTCTTGGCGCACACACCATGGAACCTTGCAAAACAATGATCACACTGAACGGCATCTGAAACGACCCCAGGCGGCGGAGGACGAACAGGCTCGGTGCAAATGCATGTGAAGTATTCATCGGAAGGAGGGAGGTCATCTTCTGGTCGTGTAGAAGAAATGACATCGTCGAGAATCTTGAGTCCGTGTGCTTCAGCATGTTCATCACAGAACCACGGAAGATCGCGTATCCATTTGTGGTGGTATTTCAGCTGCGCCTCAAGCTTGTCACAGTAGGGAAGAATGAACATAGAGAGATGTTCGCGAGCGTATGTTTGCCATTGGCTGATAGCTTCGAAAACATCCTCCTTTTCCACCGTGAGTTCCCCGCGCCGGCTTTCTTCTTTCTCGCGGGGGAGATATTTGCCCTTCAGTACCTGCTCACAGCGCGCCTCCAGGTCCATCGCAATCTCGACGGTGCGCTTGAGATCGTTGATCGCCGGGATGCTGAAGTCCTTCTCGGCCCGGTCAACAAGCCTCATAACATCTTGAACTCGAGGTCGGGGTGCGTCAGGTTCGGGTTTTAGCCAGGCGTTGGCTTGTTTCTCGTAATCGAGTGCCTTCGCTCGAGCTGCTTTTAGACGGTCAAGGATGGGAGGGTTGAGTGGAATCATGTCGTCGGGAGCCGCCAAACGCTCGAGTTCCTCAACTGTCTTGATAGGTTGTGCGAGTAAGGCCTTCGCGCGATCTTCCCATAGGTTCCCAGCTCGTTCCCGACTGATGAGTAAACTCATCGTAGAGTTATCCGTAGGCAAGCTGCAAGACTCCGCCCTTGCGATGAGATGGCGGACCTCCTCCATTGACATCGATTCATGTTGGTCGTCGACTTTGTCTTGTAGTTCTTGGGCGAGCTGCTCCCTATTGACTATCCTCTCGACCTCGACCATCATGGGGAGGACGACATTGAAGGCAGTCCCTTCCAATAGAACATCCTTGCATTGTGTGAGGAACTCATCTAGGCTGAGCCCGCCTCGATCAACCGACTTATTGATGTTGACGAGATAGGCGGCCTTCCTCGAAAGTCTGTCCGCCTGTGTTTGCATAGACCGAAGAGTCGCAATTTCGGGACAATCGAAGCCGAGGTTAAGAACCTCGTCAAGTAAGCTGTCAAAATCGGCGATTGTGTACTCGAGCTTGTCCATGGTCGCGTCATCATCTTTGGGTGGCCCGGCTTCACTTGGGCGGCCAGTTCGTGACTTGCGCGAACGCTTTCTAGGCTTCTTCGCCAGCATAGCGCTCGCTGCCTCCACCCACTCATTAGCCCGATTGACGCATTTTCTCAGAGAGGCTATTTCGGGGAGGTAAATGTTGATCCGGTCACCTTCGGAGAGAAGCGCTCTGAGGGATCGTAAAGGTGGGCAGGCATTTTCTGTTAAGAGCTTCGTCAACTTGACCCGCCAGGCTGCTGGGATCTTCGCTCGCTCAGCGACTTTGGTTTGGATAGCGAGTAAGTCGGGATCTGAGAACCTCTTCCGTAAGATGACATGATGGGTCCCACGCTCGCATAAAAGGTCAGCATGCTCCACACAGACAACCTTCGTCGTGCAAGGGCAAGTGACCTGTGAGAGATAGCAAAACATCTTGCAGACGGCGCATTGATATTGATCCTCTGGTCGATCTTCCTCCTCCAGTGATTCACCAAAGTTTCGAGCCCTAACTTTGCGCCGATCGGCCATCTCCCGATCTATCATTTCGTTCAAGCTATCAATCAACCTACGCGGACGTTCATCAGACTAAAATAACCAGTGGTATCGCGGACTACATACCACATGGCGGTCTTGATCGACTCAGATTGCTGGGTAATTGTGATGAGGAGTTCATCGTGAGAAAAGACCGGAAGCTTAGCATGCTCGCGGTAACGTTGAACACATTCTCGACCAAAGGGAAGCCAATCTGGAAGGGCGAAATTTACCGCCTCATTGAAGTTGAGCTGACAATTGAAAACATCAACAAACAGCATCGCGGGAAAGCGAAGTCGTCACTTACGCCATGGTTGAAGCCGGCGTGATATGCCTTCGGGAAGGTGATTACAAATTCGCCTGCACGCTGGTTGCATGCGTAGACGCGGACGTTGGCGTCCTTCACTCGCTTGGGATTCATGAGCGTCACGAGTTGGAAGAGTAGGTCGGGCTGAGCTTCGAAGAGGTCTGGAGCTTCGGACTTTATAGCAGCCTCGAACTTCTCTGCATCTTCTCCTGGAATGCCATACCAGGTCTTCGTCTCCCCCCAGTGCACTAAGGGGTTATATAAGCCACTGCGAGGTGAAATCAGCATATAACAACTTACTGAAGTTGATGCTATACGTGTAGTGATCCTACACATTCGGTCAATACCAATCGTAGAATCAAAACCTTCTGACTAACCTCGTTATGCCAACAAAAGGTAGAGAACGCCATTCCGACGTAAGTCCAGGGAACCGTCATGCCAGATATGTCGGATTTGATGAAACGAAGAAGAGAATCAGAAACGATGGGTATATTGTTTAGATTCCAAGGGTCCTTCGAATAGGAATTCAATGGATGCGTTTCCATTGTTGGCATCGCACTATCCAGGGAATGAGTGGAATCAAGCATGGAAGAACACTCTCACGCATACCTTCCATGTGTGGTGGAGTGAACGTCTGCGCCATACTCGATTTCGACAGTTTCGGTGGTAGATTGAACCAAACGCCAGAACTCCCTTTCCACATCGTTCTCGGTAGCGATGACATCTCCGAAGCGATTCACAGTGGGATCGTTGGCATCAATCATTTCGTCGCGCTCTGGCGGGTGTTGCTCAAACCACATACGGCGGAACGCGAGGTCACGGGCTTGGAAGCTCGATAAGCTATGTTCTTCGCCTTCATCGAATCCGAAATCCCCCCCGGTCCCGAAGAGGCAAGTATAGCAGAACCATTGATCTTTCGGAATAGTGTCCAACGGCGGGTCCAGGCAGAACATATGGAAGCCTGGGAATCGTGAGACCATATTACCACTAACGAAGAACGCAGGGACGCACCACAGTCACAGCCATCGCATAATAGCATCTCTTCGCCACGATTCTTCTTATGACATATTTCGCAATGTTGCTGTTGTTCCCGTTTGGTTATTGATCTTGATGTGGCAGAAGTCTTGGTGATCAAGGGTCTTACCTCGGACGGTTCCTTAGGTCGATTACTCTCGTAGAAAACAGGAAGAGCAGAAGGTAAGAGCGAGCTTGACGATACCGGTTTCTTGGATGCGGCTAGATCAAAAGATGGTGATGTAGTTGATCTGGGAGGGAATTATGGTCAATCTACTCACGAGTTGTACACTCTTGAGACCCGACCCTGGTGCTACGCCGGGGGCGCCCGTTGGCAGATTTCGAATCCCTAAGATCGTTCTCATCGGGAGGTTCCGATAAGGGACTGGAGGTAGCTGTCAAAGGACTAGATGGAGGACTTTCTACGGAATTGCTCATGCGAGACGATGCGGCGTCGTTGAAAAGCCGGTGAGGTGCCATGGGAGAAATTGGCTGATTCTTAGCGCGCTCACAGAAATGCTCGTATGGCAAGATGACACGAGTGTATGAGTTCTTGATTTGCGTCGATAAACCCGGAACACCTCGATATCCTAGAATCGCACCCAGTTCGGACCACTTTTTGCCTTTGGTCACCTGGACAGATAGAAGTGGGCAGAATTCAAGCATATAGCTAGAAGAATACGCACAGCATCATATCCACCCAATTTATGCACCTCCTTTCGCAGAAGCCACAGATCAAGTGGTTTGTGGTTTATAGTGGGGACAACTACTCGCGGGTTGCCCTGCTGCTTGTGAAATCGATATAGCTGCTCAAGGAAATTGAGCTTGGCCCGAGATGATGCTTCGATTGAATTGAGGCGTTGCAACCGAGTTTTGAATCGAAAAATCTGGATATAGGATATGAGTCAGAGAACTTGATAAGCTCAGAAACGCACCTCCGTATCCGTCACAAATGGCATTTTCCATCCCTCCGGAGGAATAATCTTACAGATCCCATATTTCTTCCCCTTGTCTGAAATCGACTTGATATACGCCATAGGATCTCGAAACTCCTCCGTCGTTGGAAAAAATTCCGGACAATCCTCCAAATCGAAGGGTCGAGGGGATGTGCGAGGTGGCATATTTCTTGGACTCGAAGTTTTGACGCTACTCAAGTCCAGCTTTGGAGAAACGGGAATAGGCCGAGCGTTGTGATAATAGTCTAGTAATGGGTCTTCGTCGTCAGGACTTGGAGAAGTGGCCCTAGCATGGCTATTTAGAGCTGCGAGAGCGTCCGTCTTCGACTTTCTTGGTGCTCTTTTGGACTCCTGGCCCGACGCCGCTTGTGGGAGGTTGGTGGTATCGTTCTGCTCTGGAGTAATTATGGGCTGCGCACCCTCGACACGGATACTGAGAGACGACACAAATGATGTCGGGAGTTTATTTGGGCCATTATTGTCTGCAAAAGCAGAACTAGGACCCGGCTGGCTGGGACTGTCAGTGGAAAATCTTGGGGACCGTCCTCGCCTGGAAGGAGTGCCACGAGGAGTAACTGAGCTTGCGTTTGCGTGCATGGTCCTCGAGAGGCCAGCAGGAAGTCGGGAGCAAGAGAGTTGAGGCACCCGAGCCCGAGAGATTGTTGGAGGTAAAGACTGAGAGCCTTCGCAGTGCTTCAGATGGGTTGTGCCCTGCTGAGTTTGAATCTGATGCCTTCCTTTCGGCCTCTTCCCTATTCGGGACAGATGTTCCTTCTTTGCCACAGCATACCTCCAAGAACTTCAGCGGCACGCTTCCCAGTCACTTACGGCTGCCTCCGCTTCTCGCCTCAAACTGGCCCCGGACCCCATAATCAGCTCGGCTCATAGATGTCTCAGATTCTCTTTTTATATGGACTCAGCTCCCTTGTCTCACTTCTCGCTAATTTCTCATTCCCCTCCAAGTTTTATTTAAGCTTCCCTTTCTGTGGCGTGAACGTGGAACCCACGTGAGCGTAGGTCAGGAAGAAGGCTGGGCCTGAACCCTATCACTCGGCTAAATCATTGCCAACAGAAAAAAACAGAAGGGACACAGAGGCAACCGATATTCGCTACCTGTGTGCGGCCACTCATGAGTAAAGTTAACGGCCGGGAATTGACTAAGTATAGTGTGAGCCAGAGTTCCAATTGACAGACGGCCCGGAAGTAGAGTACATCATTTCAATCATATAGCGTGTACTCCGCGCCTCCATAATGCCGTAAAAATGCTAGCAAGATCAAGTACCGGAATCAATTCAATGAAACCTCATGCAAATGATGACAGGAATTGGACGATGCTCAGTCAGATACGGGATGATGATGAACTGGATTTGTTCAAGTATCACTGATTTTCACAGCAACCTTGGTCAAGCTAGTGGGTACTAAACAATTAGAGTGCTGAAAACGGTTGAGTATAGCTGCGTACTAGATTCCACAGCCACTATCCACGTAACTCGCCGATTTAGGGAGTCCAAGAAGGTCCTCCCCAGTAGCGCCGGCCGATGCGAACCATCACAACAACGCCTGCTGAAATCGTCGCCACGTCGAATACCAAATATACCCGTCTGGCTCCCAGAAGCATTGCTACTAAAGCCACGCCAACCCATAGCCATCGGACCGACCATCTACGCTCAAAGCTACACAAATCAGGGGAACAATCAGCAATCTCAACAATGAAATGATTCAAACAATCACCCACCTCTGTCTTTGAAACAACGGATCGCTACACCGCGAAACAAAGTCGGCCAAGACCAGAAAGGGGACGACGCGCAAGAAATTGTGATCTCCGTCAAAGGGGGTTGTCGGTCCAGCCGTGATCAGAGTTCGCACCCACACCGCCAGTGTCGGTGCTGTCAGGGGAAGTAACCAAGTCATGAAGAGTAGCAAATGCAGATGGTGATGGTGATTATCCAAATCGTGCCTGCTTGAGGAGGTATCATCATGACGATCAATCGGTTGATCATTCGACGCTTCGAGCCCCGTCTCGCCATCGGACCCCTCACGAACGAGGAGGGGAATGGTTGTAGTAGACCGGGTATGTTGTACAGGTATCTCCGAAGCGCAGGTAAACAGATGGAACACCCAGCACCCCAAGTATGCCACTTGCCATGGCACAAACAAAAAGATGAGCCCACAGATCAATGTTAAGGATACTGCCGTGCTGCGGTGCGCACTACGCACGTCCCCCCTGTCTCTACGGTACCGCGTTAATCATATGGGTGAGGACGCATGATCGATGGAGAACGAACCTCGGAGCCCACGATTTTAATCTACTAATCGGCCAGATCAACACCGCGAGTATCATCCAACTAATGCACACGACCCCAGTCGCCAGGCACAGTATCAACGGGGCAAGGAACGAAAACCATAGCTGGCCCCTATTTCCAAGATATATGCTCACGGGGAAGGGCAAAAAGGATAGGACAAATGACATCCACAGCAATCGGGGTAGTGCCCGACGAACGAAGTCAGACAACGATTGAGATACGCTGGGCATCGGGGCTAGACAAGGGAAATTGGTATTTTCGGCCATGTTCACAATGGATTTGCGTACCTCCTTTATCATGTACACCCCATGATCTGAACAATATGAGAGCGACAATGCCTACTGCCCAGCAGACCAATGTCGTCGGATAACGAGATGCCCATCTCCCGACGGTGGCAGACCAGTCTAGTTCGATAAACAAAGCCTCTAGATCCGACAAACAGCCTGCGCTTCCGGACGAATAAATCACAATGTTTGTGCCAACGGTCCCACCCGGTGTTTGTGGGACATACGGAGCAGTGGCATGAGTATGAAGCAGGATGCGCTGCGCTGGCTCTGTTATCGGTACCAACGGAAAATAATGCGTCTCAGCGGAATGCGAAGTATGCATGACAACAGGCGGCAAAAGTGTATCTGGAGACAGCGTCAGGAGCGCAAATATAGACGATATTGTGTCGAACAATACCTGAGCATGACGGATTCTTGTCCTGCGGCTTGAATTTCGCTGTCAGCTTGTAGACGGCCAACACGTTAGACACGAGGTTTGGAAAATCAATCTGAGTGCGTAGTTGCACCTCGCGTGGGAGCTCGACGCGGTGACGCCAGAGAGCAGCAGCTACATTGTCATCGCCTTTAGCTCGCGTTCTGATGAAGCATGACGAAAAAAGACACTTACCGCCCGGCCAAATATTATAAACCACCTTCGACTGGGCGAAGCCAGCAACGACCCAGCCATGGCCGTCAGCGCCATCAATTTGGAAACCTATCCACTGATCCTCGTTGTGCCGTTTATCGGCGGCGATATCCGCTTCGAAAAGCACCACGCCCTCAGATTCATCTGCCCCGCGCTGCGGGACGGGAAACGGCTTCCCCGGAAGGGGATTTGGCACCAGTTTCAACATCGTTGGTTTCAGAGGACTGCATATAACCGACGAAGAACCAGCGACACGACGGTGGCACGTATAAGGAGACACGCGAAGTGGTGACCGATGGTACGGTGCGATACCATTGACAGAGCCGCTAGAAACATATAACACCACCTTTTCGACGTGTCGAGGGTAGGGAAGCAAGTACGTCCTGGCATCCCCATGGGGATCCTTGAGCATCAGGTCCGAGGCTTGAGGAAGAACCTCGTAAGCGTCGCCGTCGGCCAATTCCAACGACCCCGGGACAGGTTGAGTTGTGGGGGGGAGCGTGTGGCCGTCCCTCAACCAGTTGTCCAAGATTTTGCTCCTTCCCGCCGTCTCCAACATTGCCCCAAGCTCTAGAGCTGCCCGCGCAACCCGCCATCGCACTTGGTGACACCAAACCATCTCACGGTGACCCACGCCCGTCCAAGCACCTTCCAAAGCCGACGTAAATACCGTGCGCCGGAACGGCTTCACGTCATCATCAGTGGGCGGCAGAATGCAAGCCTCGGATGGTATCATCATGTCTGTCGCTCCTCCGCATAACGAGACGATAGGCGTAGTATCGGTTGCCAGCAGCTGTTGATTTCGAGAGTATATTTTATCAATTCGCGCGTCGAATCGCGCGGGAGGAAGAGTGTGAGGTGTCGACATGGTAATGATGGCCGAGATATTCGGAGACGGCAGCAGGGAATCGGCGACTACGCCTCCCATGGAATGTCCCATGACAATAATTTGAGTTTTCGCGGGGTATAGCGAGAGAATGTACGAAATAGCATTCGATGCATAACGTAGCTGCGATTCTAGCGTTGGCCCGTGGAAAGCAGAAAGATCCTCATTGAAATCCACTGTGCATATGGAGCATTGAGTGTCCCGTATACATTGGGCGAGAAAGAACCAAGAAGACTCACACGCAAAAAAGTCCAACGGTTTCACTCCTCTCTTCCAACCCGTCTCGAATTCGTCGGCAACGACGCCTGGTCGTTGAAAGTACTGCCTAGTTGCAGACGATGCGATCGAACGAACTTGTCCCGCGGCACCGGCATTTCCTGGAATGAAGAGGACAGGAATACCGCTAGGCAGCTTTTGTACGACAAGGCCGAAGGAAAGAAAGAGGAAGAGATCAGCCTCGAAGTCACGCACGCACGCACACCGCTGGTGGGTCCATAGAGCCGCGCACCTTGCCATCGTCCCAGGCGACTTCTCTGTACAAATATAGCGAATACCGCCCTGCTAGGTTTGACCACCGTTTATCGAACCCCGTTTGCAGGACGTATGAAGGGGACATATACGACATTTGACATCCTTGCGGCGAGAGACTAGTAGATATGTCCAATGTAGCCAGATATGAGAAATAAGCTGTAAGGAGCGTAAATCCTATAAGCAGAAAGTGGGCAGACAACAGTGCCATGTGGTCGAGGGCATGCACGCCATAACTCAAAATGCAAAAATTAATTACTCAACTCTCACGGAGGACTCTTCAATTAATTCAAGGGTACAGCGAATCAATGCACTCATGTTCACACCAGCATGTAGGATTTCAAGCTTTGTTTCATCGTTGAATGACCAAGGGAATATAATAAGTACGAAAAATGCATGCAAGAACTGTATCGATGACGGGTAAGGGATGAGGGCAACAATGCAATGGTAGGGTAGGGTAGGAGCAAGGGGAGGAGACAAGGGTGGATGGGGTAAGTGGACGGAGCGAGAGTCAAGAGCAGAGTCGCCATAACGAACTGGCAGCAGCACACCGGTCAAGGGCCATGCGTGGGGAGCGAATAATCTACTCGTCGGCCGGGGCATCCTCCTTCGCATCAGCTGGCTTATCGGCTATACAATAATGATCAGCCCATGACAATCGAACATAGTCCTTCAACTCACCAGAATCCTGCATGTCAGAAGTCCAAAGAGTCAGGTTGTCACGAAGGAGTTGCATGATGAGGGTCGAATCCTTGTAGCTCTCTTCTGACAGTGTGTCGAGTTCAGCAATAGCATCATCGAAAGCTTGCTTAGCAAGATGGCAGGCACGGTCGGGGCTGTTGAGGATTTCGTAGTAGAAGACAGAGAAGTTGAGGGCCAGACCAAGACGAATCGGGTGTGTAGGAGGGAGTTCGGTGACAGCAACATCGGAAGCGGCCTTGTATGCCTCTAGTGACTTATCGGCGCTGTCCTTGCGCTTATCGCCAGTGGCGAACTCGGCAAGGTACCGGTGGTAGTCACCCATCCTATAAAGCACATATATGCGCGGTTAGACAGGAAGCAGCCAAGCGGAGTTCTTTTCCTCACATCTTGTGGTAGAAGACCTTCGACTCGCCGGAGGCAGCAGAAGGGATAAGGTGCTTCTCAAGAACGTCGAGAATGTCTTCACAGATCTTGGCGAGTTCGCTCTCGATCTTCTCGCGATAGCTCTTGATCATCGACACCTGAGCCTCGTTACCCTTCGACTCCTCCTTCTGCTCGATTGACGAGACGATTCTCCAGGAGGCACGACGGGCACCAATAACGTTCTTGTATGCGACAGATAAAAGATTGCGCTCCTCGACGGTAAGCTCCTGATCTGATGAGGCGACGCGCTTCATGTTTTCAACCATCTCTAACAGAACCAAAACAGTGAGCAAAAAGTGGGTGATCAGGCGATAAGAAGAACTAACCTTCGTAACGCTCAGCCTGCTCAGCGAGCTTGGCGAGGTAGACAGAGTCTTCGCGGGATTCAGGCATCTGGATGAACAGACGATGTTAACATTATGAAACGACGCGTAAATAACGCGTCGGCGCGCACGTACGATGATAATGGGGTTGTTGGGAAGGGTTGATTGGGCGCTATCAGGATGAGGAAGGGTGAGCTCGTCGTCCTCGACGTGGAGCACGGGTCAGGACTCACGTTGAGCGATGTGGTTTGGGAGAAAGAAAGGATGATGGGAGGGACTCCAAAATACACAGGCGTAATTAAAAGAGAGCCTGGGCGAAGGGCTTGTTGTCATCATAATAGGGCAGAGGGTTGGGGCATTTGGGCAGATTTGCCACGTGGCCCATCCCATTTGGTGAGGCGTCTAACTTTCTCCTCCTATTCTTTTGTTGCCACAAAGCGGCGCTGCCCAAACGACGATCTCAAAGGAACCACAAAGGCGGCAGCGCGGGCGCCGCAGCTGAGGCACCACATATCCCGAATTTGGGGCCATTCGCGACATAAGTCGGTGCAAGAAGTGGTATCTATCTATACACTCGAGAAAAGCGGTATCTGATGGTGATGAACGAAGCCCAGCATGATATCTGTCGTTTCCATTATATCAATCATCGAAACGGGTAGGCTGTATTCTCAACTACTACAGCTGTGCAGTACCAAGGCGCCTTTGTGGCCATGGAACTCGCCAGGAACCCTGATGGATCCAACAATAGTAATCAGTCATACGGATAGGGGTGAGCATTGAAGCTCAAATCGATGCAGGAGATTAAGACTTATGTCAGGGACACTTTCACAATCGATGGGCTCAAGGAAGAGAAGACCAGAGAACAGCGCGGAATGCGGTTCGTCCTCCGTTTTTTTTTTCGAGGCTTGATGTGTTGAGGATTCCAATTTCATGGGCAGCTGGCTCTTCACCTTCTTTTTAAACGCAAACGTGCAGAATGTGTCACGGACTCCACTTGGGGGTTACACCACAAACCCGGCTCTTTGAATCCAACTTACGGCAAAGACTACTTTGGCGGAGGTAAGCTCAGTCGCGTTTTGTTTGCTGGGTAAATCGTCGCTCAAAACATATGTAACGATTCATTGATTTCCCAGCCTCTACACTTCTTTCCGGCGCGCTATCTCTTATGCTTGGGAATGCTGCGCATCACGCGACCCCAAAACCTTGAGGTATCAAGCTTCAATCTTCTTACCTCTCCATTGATTATCATAATGTTCATTTGCTTAGGGAACCGACCATACTTCATACGGACAACCTTTGTTATCGCTAGATGCCCTGGTTTAAGCGCGCCCCGTTCCGTTGGGTCCGAGTTCCATGAATGAAGCTGTATACAGTCCATCATTCTTTGCCTCACTATCCTCCGTGCCAGCGAAGGCCTGCAATATATCACAGTGGGGAGTCGACGCGTAGCACAGGCAGTACTTAAGTAAGCTCCTTGCTTCAAGTCGCGAAGTCACACCTGTTAGGCGAAGAAATCGAGTGGTTTTCGCTTCGAGTCGACTGCACTGACTGCAGCCACTTATTGATTCGTTATTCACCGAATGGTCTTTAACAGCATTGTGAAGTGCTACTACGCTCCTCTTCGGTGTGACTTGGAGTGGAAGTGTTGATTGAAAGGTATTGCATCGAACGGTGTCAAAAATGATGAAGACGGAAGTACATTCCTAGCCCACAGAATTGCCAAATATACAAAATAGAACATGGAAGCAATAGTAAGTCAGCCACTCGTCCTCTACAAGCGGTCAGTCGTGCAACAGATTATAGGAGAAAAGTGTTTCGTCCTTTTGGACTCATCAGGAGAGGCACACACCTCCCAACACAATGACCTACCTTCGTACTTACCAGCTACCAGTCCCATCTTGAAGTCGACCTTGCTTTATCGCCGAACCTACAATTGACAAAGTCCCTGACTCACGCGAGGTCAGCCACGGCGTACGGAAGGCATTGTAACACACGCTAAGCAGTACGATCGCTGCAACTTGCTGGGCCGGCCATGAAAGTTGCACGCTTCTTGAAACCACGAAACCGCCTAGACGCAAACCGGTACTGCCACCGGCGCACGCCTCTTGTTGTTGAATAAACGCCTAGACATAAATAACGCCCTTCGAATCGCTCCATCGGCGAGCGATCTCAGCACCACGCTTGCGGCCAATCGCCATCGACCTTTGCAGCCCGCCGTATCTTGATGGGGGGACCGACGCCTCCGAGTGTGAGGACGGGGAGGGAGACGATGAGCTCTCCTTCCACCAGGCGACCGTCTTGCCGGAGCTGAAGGAATGAAAGGATGGCGATGGCGATGAACTTGAGGAAGTCGAACCAGCGACGAGGGTAGAAGCGTTGTAGGTGAAAGGCATGAGGAATATATGGGATATAGCAGAGATAATTGTGGTAGCAGATCAAGAATCGTGGGGGGTATATTCAGCATACGTGAGGCTTATATATCTTTCCCTCCTTGTCGTTGGCTGACGCCGGATAATCCAGATTTGGGGTATAGACGTCATGAGTAATCTATCTGACATCGACGGAGGCTGGCATACATTGTTTCGGCGCATTGGAACCGCCGTTGGGACAGAGCGTCCGCCCGCCGACGCTACCTGAGCGCCTGAGCCCTCGAAATCACGTCCCCGACGTTCGACGCGTACGGACCACCTGTCTACTCCTTCGCGGCAAGACACCATGGCGATCATTTTTTATTTCTACTATAAGCTGCTACGTTTCTCAGAATACGGATTCGGGAGGACCCAATTCGGCAGTCCACCCTTTCTGCGAGTCCACCGGATGATGAGCACAAACAATTCCCCGCCTTCATCAGTTTGTCCTGTCGCCATCACGTGGGCGCGTAACTATACTGTTAAGTATGCGTACCTCCCGCACATTGCCAAAAGGGCCAACTTACGACTGGTGGGCAATAAATGTCCGCACCCTGACACGAAGTCAAAGCACAAACATAGGTCTATGTACGTAGTACATGCTGTGTTTGTGACGAAGAGTGGTTGCCTGAGAGAATATCTAGCCGTTTCAGAGGCGTACTTATTTTCCCCATTTACGAGATCTCCAAACTCCACCAATCCTTTGGGCACTGATGTGAATGTCAAATAAAATCAACCACCACGGAAGGAAGTAGGCCATACTCCTGCCAATGCTATTGTTTCGACTCCCCATGATTCCCCGTAAATCGGGCCGTTGAAACAGTCACCCTTGAAATATGTTGATGATCTTTGGATTGTTGCTTTCATTATTTAGTCGATAATAATAATAAAGGTTTTGTCTGAACGATTTGGTCGTGTATAGAAGGGGAAGAAAGACTTACGTGCCCTCTTTCTTGACCGGGCGTATGACTGCGCAACAAAGGAGTAGAAGCTCCATAGTGCTGACCCGAGCCATTTTAGGCGTTAGGGGACAGACGGATATCGATCCCTACAAAGACAACCCGTTGCTCTACACGTAATTTGAATCTCAGCCCAAGGAATTCGCGGTTGTTGAGTATAGGTGAGAGGTCGCCCAATTCTCTTAATGAGAGGTGGCGTAAAGGGGAGTCCAGACAAATGAAATGAGGATTGTACTAATCGATTAGTCCATACAAACAACAGCGGGTTAGCTCACTCTATGAATACGTATCTCACAATAACAAACGAAAGCAATACGAAGTCAATGCAACACATAACTGAAGCATGATGCATGCATACGCCAGCCTGTTAGCCTGTGTCCCCGTCCTTGACGCCGCCTTCTGAAGCTGCTGATGGGGACGGTGTCGTTGAAGGAGGCTGCGCAACGGCGAGGCTGCCCAGACCAAATTTCACTTTGATCTTTTTAGGTGGATCATCACCAGACTTCGAGCGCACCGAAGGGACGGAATTGGTGTCCTGCCCCTGATGCTGTTGCTTCTTGATCTTGGCCAGACGCTCGAGGAGTCCGTCATCATCATCATCGTTCCGCCGACGCTTTTCGCCCGGTTTCATCGTATCAAGTGACGGAGCTAAAGCTGATGATGTCGATGTAATTTTCCCCGTGACCAAGGCTTCAAGAAGGCCATCTTCTTCGTCCTCGTCTTCTGCTGGCGGACGTTTTGGCGTAGGGTTTACTGATGAGGGTATTTGTCGATGGGAAAGTTTAGGGCTTGGGGGGAGTTCTGAGTACGTAGACGATTGTGGGGTGTTGGGTTTTTGTTGGGCGTCCATCTTACCATCATCGCCCGGTGATGGTTCGTCGTCATCGCCATAGTCCACTAAGGGTAAAGGCGACCGAAGCGGTGAAATATTTGTCAGTTTCAATGTCCTTGGTGGAATCGCAATTGCTGGTCGACGCTTGCGCTTCAGTGTCATTTCGCCTGGTAAAGGCGAGAGGGGAGCGGGGCCGCCACGTGTCCATTGCTGCATCGTTATCGGTAGAGGGCCGCTGGCAAGGTCTGACTCATCGTCATTGTTGAAGTAGTCCTCTTCCTCAGCATCAACAGCCCGGCCACCAGGCCAACCGCGTGCATCCGGACGTCTGAAGCACAAAAAGTCAGTTAGATCCATACAGCTATGACCGTCATGAGCTTACTTAGCATCTGTGTTCTTGTCTTCGACGGGTAGCGGCTCTATGTTCATCTCCCACCGACGAATGAATTGCTGGAACCTTGAGCCGCCTAGTGGTGTTCCGGCGAGCTTGCGAACCTGCTCCTCGTGCTTGGTCATACAATGGTGGATCAGTTCCTTCATGTTCTCCTAGCAGCGTGTTAGCAACACCATCCATGACTCAAACATCGAACGAACCTTTCGTATTATCTCAAACAACTCGTGACAAGATGAACTAAGGAGGTTGTCCCTGCGTGATTCTTGCAGCGTGAGATCGAGGATTGGCTTGAAGATGTCATGTTTAAGGAGATGTTGGTGCATGTTTCGATTGTTTTGTTTGACCAATATTCGAAAGAATCGAAAGGCAGCTGCAATCGCCAGATGAGCGGGGTGAGTAGCTTCAAAGATACAAAAAAAAGCTAACCATGCTGAAGGTGCTTGTCCCTAGCCTTAAGAAGAGTGGCAATGCGGATGGAAATGTTCGAAGTGAGGACGAGGAAATGACTGCGGAAGGAATGCTGAAGGGAGAAGTTGCATAGTAGATCGCAAAGGTAGACATATAGGTTAGTCTGTTCTCTCGTGAGTGGTAAACGTAGTTCTGGGCAGCGGATCAGCACATTATTGGGGGGAGATATGTGAACGTACCTTTGAAATCCTGCCACGGCGGTATATCGTTGAACGGGCGAAGAAGCGTATGAATGCAGTTCCCATTGTAGAAGTACTCCATATACTTCTCCGTACCAGGATCATCCTTCCCTCGAGGTAACATCTTCACACCGGGTTGCTGCTGCTATTCACAGAAATGTGGTCAAATTGGGCATTAGGTACACGAATACCATCACTCACGTGGGCCGCTTCTGTTCCGTCGTTCAGAGGAATATCCATCCAAACTTTTAATGCGTCACCAACCAGGCTCTGGACAGCCAGATCCCGACTCTGAATCAGAATCCGACAGACCATAGCCAAAATTGTTTCAGCCTTGTCCGCACCTTTCTTCCCCGCATCCTTCTCCTTCTCGATGGCGGTGACCTGTTTCAACACATGCCCGCGCACGCCAGTCAAGTCGTGATCGAGCAAAGCCGCCAATATCTCGCCCCCAGCGGCGATTATGGGCAGGTTGACAGGCAGTTTCTCTGGAAGGCCTACAGCCCACTGGACAGCAAACAGAACACCTCGGTCGACCAAGGTACGGAAGAGAGCCATCCTTGCGGGAAGCTGGACGTTCTTCGCCATGACACAGAGTTGCTGGATGAGAAAAATGACCTCGCGTCGCAGAGTTACTTCCGCTTCAGAGAGTTCCTCCGGTGGGGCGAAGGAGTAATGTGATGAACGCGAAACCTGACCATTAACGACGGTATGGGTGAGGCCATTGACTGGGGACTTCTGGTCGACATCCATGGAATCTGTGTCCGTGGACTTCCTGAACACCGAGTCCTTACTGGTTTTGCCATTCACGCTAGCATCTTCATCGGCATTCTCAAGTTTAACAACAACCAGCCCGCCCCCCATGCCGCCACTTAATGGGAAACCTTGCGTACCTGGTCCTTGACTAGAGCTTGCCCTTCTCCCGCCTCCGCTTAACATATCTTCGTCGACATATAGCTTCACCACTTCCATCAGAAACCTTGGGTCTTGTTGCACGTGTGTGATGATATCGATTTGATTGAATATTATGCAGGAGCTGAGGACATTGAAGGTCGAGTCGTCGAGCACACGAGCGAGGACCACGTCCTTCAGGAATTGCAACCTATATGTGTGGTGTATCTTGCGGACAATGGCCTGATCAACGATTGCGATCGGTTGGTGGAACTGCGTGGTCTGGACGAGGAAATCGCGGTAATTCGCTTTGTAGTCGGGGAACTCGGGATCGTCTATACGAAGGGGGAAACGTAGGAAACGGGAGTCAGAAGCGGGGCTGGATTTGCGCGGGTGATAAAGGGTAGATGTTGAAGGGAACATGACGCACACTCGAGCATCCCGACGACACCGAAGAAAAGACTCTCTTCGAGTATGTGCTCGTACAACCCGTGATCGTTTAGGAGTACTACGAACGAATGTCAGCAGAGATTGGCGTGTGGATTGGCAACGACACTTACAGATAGTCTGCATGAGTGAGCACAAAGCATGCAAGTTCTCCAAATTCTCCAAGTCTTCCGCTTGGTGTAAAACATCAACAAGTTGCTTGATGTATTCCTGGATAGAACAGACAGGAATTGATTCCATATCAGTATACGAACCACGGACAGTTCAGTAACCAAATGGAGGACGTAACGATAAAAGGATACATGGAACACGACTTCATATTATTCGCATTATCGGCAAGGGTACACGACGGAGAGTATGGAATACGGTTGGCATTAGTTAGTTGCGAGGTGCTCACCTCGTGTTGGATATACTCGCACATTCGTTCTTTGACCGGTTGCGTTCGAGAGAGCGATTTGATGACTTTCTCTATCTCCCCGATGATTCCGAGTTGTGGTTGAGGTAGATGGCCAGAGCGAATAACATTGGCTGCAGCCACGGAATCACTGTTTCCCGGCGTAGGCGACGACGATCCAACGAGACCGGGCTCTTCTTTTCCATGTTCAGATTCCCATGTTCGCTCGCTCGCGAAACAACAACTCACCACGGTTTAGGTGCCTCTGGACCTCAAGTATGAAGTTCCAAACCTCTGAACAGCCTTCTGGATCTTGAAAGCTAAGCGCGTAGTCGACTCCATCGGGTTCCGTCCAAACGATGAGCGTGTCTGGGAAATAATTGGTCACGTTATGGAATGCAACAGCTATCCTCACACCTTGCTGCCGCTGGTAAACATCGTTGGAACGAATCGTCGTGGAAAGGATGACTTCCGCGTAGTTGGATTCAGAGCGAGCTATGAGCAGAGCCTCGTTCGTCTCGTCGTTGAATTGCCCGAAGCAAAAGGCTGTTCCCTGGTCAACCCATCTCGAGCCTATCAATTCGTAGACCTAAGCAGCAGTCAGAAATGAGACGGTGAACCGACAACGCAAGCAACCTTGACGCGTTTGAGCTCGTAGTCGCTATCGGGGAACCAGTCGTGTGGATCGTCCTGAGAGCCTCCAGCGTCGGCTTCAGCCCCGCCGGGCGTGTGTTCGACCAATTCTACTTGCTGAAAGCCGTTCAACGTCCTATCCGAAGGCTCCTGCTGCGCATTCTCGACGCTGTCCGGGTCCGTTGGTTGTGCGGAGGTGGCAGAAGCGGCGTCTGGCTGAATCTTGGAGCTGGAAGATGGGGGATCCTGAGGGTCGACGTTCAATGGCTGCTGGTCGTTGGCCTCAGCAGTGGCTTCACTGCGGTCCATGCCCGAGGGTTGAGGGGTATATACAGAAAGAACGCCGCCCCTGATATGATCTTTGTTGGCGAAAAACCAGGACGAGCAGGACGTGACCGCTTCCGGAATTGTATTAGGCGCTCACTTACCTAAGCAGCCTTTATTGCGAATTGCGAACTCCCGTGACCTAGACCGTAATCCAACCTGAGTTGGACACCTTCCTCCTCATCTTTCAACGTCGCAATGACCAAATCGTCGACTGTCCTTACCGTCGCGTCCGTGACGGCTGCAGGCCTCCTCGCGTACGCGATATACTTCGACTACAAGCGTCGAAATGATGTCGAGTTTCGCAAGAAGCTGAGTCCGTGTTCTTCCTTTTCTCAGATGGCCTAGGAATGGCTAATTTTTCTCGTATAGGAAAAGACAAGAAGCGTGCGGAAAAGTCTGCGGCAGAGTCGAGGGAGTCTCTAGCTGCCTCTGGCTCCAGCAACGAGCTGAGTCCCGAACAGCTAAGGGAGGCTTTGGAGCTAGTGAAAAACGAGCCGCCACCGCCTGGGGCGGCGGAGAAGGAGAACTATTTCATGTCCCAGGTGGCCATGGGCGAGCAGCTTGCAACGAGAGGTCCGTCTCTGCTATGACACCTTCCATGCTGCCTACTCAGTTCGCCATACAAGGTCCCGAATTCCACCTTCCAGCAGCTTTGGCGTTCTACCGCGCGCTGAGGGTTTATCCTTCGCCCCTTGAGCTTATTGCCATTTACGACAAAACGGTTCCCCCTCCCATATTCAAGGTAGATTCGTCTACCTTTGGAACTTACTCGTCTCTAACAACCCTCTTCGTAGATCGTTATGGAGCTTACGAATCTCGATGTGAGTACAATTCTAGTAGATGGTGCCGTCGTCGAAGGAGGCGAACAAGAGGTGGAGTCTACCTCATCCCGGCACTCCGCTGAGACGAGTCCTTCAAGGGCACCCTCTGAGGCCTCTTCACAAGAATGGGATAAGGTCACAGATCCTGGCTCCCAGACGCCTAGCACGTTTTGAATGTGAACACGCACGAGCGATCTGTAGTCACCTGTACCTCCAACGCACATTCATTTACTCCCGCTTTGTTCTTTCTCGATCCTATACATCGTCTTGGTTTCTAATACATCATTGCATGTCTCCCTTGTATGGCATTACAGGTCAAAGATCGTGTTTCAGGTGAGCTGACCACGTTCAGCAGAATGCTTGAGCCATGCTGAGGACTTGATATTAGCCTATTTCGACTATTTCCCGCCCAAATCGATGGGTGTTGCTATCGTAACTCAGGACAGCACCAGCTCACAAGGCTCACGGAAAGTATTGGTAGCATCCAAGGACTACCAACCTGGGGACCTCATCTACAAGGTGCGTTGCCACTATGTGCCCTGTGTAGTTTGAGGCCTGCAACAGTTTTCAGGAACAACCCGTCGCGACTGTCCTCGACAATGACCTCCGAAGGCAAGGCACCTACTGCACACACTGCCTGAGACACATCGAGAAGGGCATGGCCATCCCTTCGTCTCCTTCTGAACCCTTCCCTTCCGTCTGGTGCTCAAAGGATTGCCAGCTCAAATCCAGGACGCAGTATCACTCCCTCCTTTTCACTCTCGATCCACCTTTGCCACCCGACGTCCCTACGCCTCCCGTATCTCCCCAAGAGCTTGAAGAGCGCCGCAAGGCTCAGTCACTGTTTGCCGAATACCTCGTAAAGAACGGCAACGCCGCTCCTCTCCTCGCTGCCAAGTTCATTGCGCGGCAGGTACAAAATGAGACGTCAAAATTAATGGCCAGCGCTCCATCCACCGAGATCGACTATCCAACTGCTGAAGGGGGCGATTATGGCCTCACTGATCATCTGGAACGGTTGAGATTCCTGGAAATTGTACCATCACCGGAAGAAATGCGACTCCTTACGGACGTCCTTCAGCATGCCCTCCCTGGCCTGGAACAATTCGTGACAGACGAGCGGCATGCTGTTCTCCTGGGCAAGATGGCGTACAATGCATTTGGTGTCTGCTATGGCGGAGGACGCACCGACAAGGTTAGTATTCCCCATTGACAGCGATGACATCCATTGATTGGTCCCCTAGCCGGAGACGGACAAGCGCCCTGAAGACGTCGAAAAGACGCGCACACCTTATGGAACCGCAAAACAGATCGGCTGCGGACTGTACGTGGTGTCCGCGTACTTGGTGCACTCGTGTGCGCCTAATGCTCGGCCTTCGTTTTCCAATGGTACTGCGGAGCTCCACCTTATCGCGAACAAGCCGATCAAAAAGGGAGATGAGATCTCCGTCGCGTACGTCGATGTCACGCAGCATGAGGGCGAGTCCGCTGTCGATGCCCGGACGCGCAGAAGGAAAGAAATCGCCCGGGGATGGCGGTTCGCCTGCAAATGCTCGAAATGCATGGCAGAAAGTGAAGCAGCGGAGACACCGACTGAAGGAGACGTGCCTGAGACACAAAAAGATGAGAGTAAGGTTGACTCGGTGTTGACGAGCTTTGAGGAGAAGGAGGGTAAGATCTGAGGCTTTCATATTTCCTCATACGGACTTCTTTCAACTTTACGACATATCGTAGTTAGACCATTTGTTCTTCATCACAGTGCTTCGTTACGATAATCTCACCGCATCTCTTCTCACTCTAGCACGATTCGTGTGAAGAAGGCAACGCAAAGCAAGACGCGATGCGATTTCTAATCCTTGGCACTGTCTGTGGTCTGGAGTCAAGAATGATATGAGCTGGACAGGTCTAACCGTCGGTTTATTATAAAAGCAAACATTCCGAGAGTATATAGCCGTGTTGTGGGTTATCGACCTTCTTTCGTTTCTCCCCTCATCTTCTCGCACATCCTAGAATTTCCTGCTCGCAATTTCTGACATCAAGATTCAAATACTTCCCGGTAAAGTTGTCATTCTGCTTACGTACTGCTGGAGTCACCAATCGGGACTTCAATATGACAAAGAAAGATTGGCGAGAGACTCGGCAAGCCAGCGTACTCGGCAATTCAGCCCTCGCCTGACTGAACTTCCTCCCTGTCCTCCATGCTCCTCCTCAACTAAACTACTACATGGCCTCAAAGCGAATTCAAGATGATCAAAACAACTCCAGAAATCGTCCCGCGAAGAGATCCAAGGCCAGCCAGGCCTGCTCGACTTGTCGAAAACACAAAACGCGGTGCGAGTTGCTAGACACGAATTGCACGACCGGTCCCATCCAATGCCACCGTTGCAAAGTGCTCAATATCGAGTGCTCGTTCGAGAACTCGGATATCATCATCTTACCGAAGAACTCCTCAGGTCCCCCTGGCGCAGCTCCTGGAGTTGAGTTCAGCCCCGACATTACATCCGAGCCAACGTCGGACTCGGCGCACAACTCTGTGCAAGCGGAGAGTCCGCCTACTCCCCCGGAGAATAGCAATAGGCTTCTCAAAGTTGATGATTTCATTCCGACTCCACGCACACCTTGGGGGTCTCTGAATCTACCAGATGGCTTCGACTGGGGAGTAGCGCCTATAACTGCGGTTCAAGGGTTCACGACGCCCCAGTTAGCCCCTCAAAGGCATAGCCCATATCACGATACCGCCCTATCCGCGATATTAACGCCGTCGCAAATCGCGAATTGCCTCGAAATGTGAGTCCACCCGGTCTCCCAATGCACGCTACTAACTGTATTTCTTAGCTTCGAGAGTCGTTACCGGCCATGGATGAACCTACCGCCGTCGAAAGAAAACACCCCGGCTCTCGATTTAGCACGATGCCTCATTGCAGCTCGACATCTCGACTCGCTGACCCGTAGCCGGGTTGCCCCCCGCCTTCAGGTTCTAGTAGAGAAAACTATTTTACAACCAGGATACATGTCGATGTCCGCCGAATTTGTGGAGGTGTTGCTGATGTTCTCGCTGTGGGAACCTCTGTGCGGGGACGGCTACGATCTTCCGCGAGAAGGACGATTGCTGGCCACGTCCGCCGTGGAAGTCGCTCAGAAACTTGGCTACGACCGTTACGGGGTGTTAACCCTGAGACAGGGTGCCCTGGATTTAATGGACGCGAACTCAGACGAGATTCGGTTTACTCGTCTGTGGACAACGGCGAATAACATCGAACAGCTGTGCGTATCAAATTCTCCTACTTATCGTAGCTAATGCCCTTGCTCCTAGGCTCCTCCTAGGTACCGGAAAGGCCAGTCCGACGCGAAAACGGATGACAGATCGCGATTTTATGTCAGTTTTCACGACGGAGGACTCGCGAGACATGAGGTTGGGCTTATTCAGTCGGTTATTCGATCTCACGGACAGAGGGATGTCAATACATATGGAAACCTCGGCAGATATGGACCAGTTTCATAAGGAAGCGACGGACGTACTCAACTCGTTTTCGTGGCTCCATCGTCTCATCGCGCCGCTCCCAGGTAAGTTCTTCTCCTCGATATCCCCACAACAGTCATTGAACGGAGTCGTGCTAGTTGTATCTCAATTCGACTCATTTTACTTCCATATACTGGAGATCAACTATCATATCTGCCGACTACTAATCATCCACAACATTCTTCTCAATATGAGGAGAGTTTTTGACACTTCGTCTCAACGAATGTGGTTTCAAGTGCAACATAATAACGTGTACCTCGCGCACGGCTGGACTGGTGATGCCCTCTGCACAGCAGAAGCTGCGCTCATTGCCCTCCTTTCCCGCCCCGACTTTGTCTCCCTCTCTACCGTCCCAGATCAATACTTCACCCTTCTCACTTTCGCTTGCACATTCCTCATTGTCGCGCGATTTGCTATCTACCATATTCGAGAAGGACCTTTGCACGGGCAGACGGAGAACTTGCTGATGAAGACTGCGGAACGGTTTCAACAAGCCGCACTTTCGCCCAACCACATGCCCAATAGGTGTGCTGAGGCAATCAAGGAGCTTCTGGGAGCATGGGAACGCAGAGGCCCCAGGGTCATATCCACTTCCAAAGAAATCGCTCTTCGGCCCACAACGCAATCGGGAGAGAATCATCATAGTTCTGGTCCAGGACATAACGGAATACCCGCTTCCTCGTCGTACCCTCACTCGCAATCACATACAACCGTCCCTCCTATTCCACCAAATATTCCACCCGGTTTTGCAACATTCTCCGACCCTGATATGTTCTTCGACGCCCAATTCTGGTCTTCATTCATCGGTAACCTCAATCCATAACAATGAATTATGATCACCGTGTGGCAGGACTACAGGATGGGAGACTGGCTAGCGCTGTCCTCTCTGGTAGGACGGACGTTTGTGGATCTTACGGACTTTATATACGTCAACCAACATCGCAAGTTCAGCACTTGTGGATATAACACGAGTACTTGTATTCTACATCAGTACCATATTATCCCATAATTACGATGGTAGATCTCCCTTTTGTATAGCTGTTTTCCTCGTATCTCCACATAGTAGTTGTGTTTTTTATCATCGCTTCTTTGCTCTACTACCTGTGGCCTTTTTCGTGTCCGGGGCATCCAGGATTCCGCCTATGTCTAAAGCATTACGGGCAGCTTGATTGATATGCTTGAACCTGTCTGGCCCGAGATGTATCCCTCCGAAGTAGCGAGTGACAATGATGAGTACGTTGTCAACATCCTGAAATAATGGAAGCTTATAATGGACGACAAGGGAAAAAACAAGCGGCTCAAGCACTTACAAGAATTTGTAGCAAGTGGGCGAGCCGCCCACCAGCAGCTGTCTCCCCGTCGTCGTCGTTATCTACCAGAGTATCCTTAACGAGGACAGCTAAAAAACGCGGATGACAATAACGTCTTACCTTGATGGAGCACGTTGCCTACATGACAACGCCAAGCGTTGATGATAGGATGCGCAGCACGAGAGATTTTTCGATCTGACATCAGGTGGGAGAGGATGAGGGGCACTTGAGACGGGTGGGATATTCGGCAGGCGCGTCCTACAAATGCGCTTTTGCGGTCTGTTATGGGTTCGGCTTCGAATATCTGGATCCCTTCGGGTATGCCGAAAGTTGGCGCAGCAGTTACAGTAGGAGCGCGGTGACTCTCGTCCGTGTCGGAATTAAGGAATGCTGTAGAGGTTGTGGCCTTCGAATTGTTGGTTTCCTCCGCAGCATCGCGGATGACCTGGCCTATCGCATAGTTGGTCAGTTTCTCATCGTACCATTCCGTGCACAGCTCCAACATGCGTTGTAAACCATCAAACACGCAGATGGAGTCCGCCGCCCATTCCACACCGTTGACGGAGATGTAGACACGGAGGATGGCGCCGAAGAGGTTGGAGTCTGCACCGAAAGCACCGATGTACCGAGAAAGGAGCTGAAGCTGGGGAGGCGATGTGGATGGGTATGTTGGTGGCAGGGATATTAGAATGTGGACGGTTATTTCTTCGTGCGGCGGCAAGAGGCTGCACGGGTGCTTCAACTTCAGTACCTCACGCATACCAACTTAGACAACTGACCCTAGCGTGATTTCGAAGCGCAGGGATTCATCTAGGCTACCTTTCCGTGGGCTGGCATTGTTGCCATCGGGTAGCCAGATCTTCAAGACCCCCTCGCCGTAGATCGACTGGAGAGCTGCGAGAAACTTTCGATGACCCCGAGTAGTGCAATTTTGCAAAGCGCCGCACCTCCGAGCTCTGCAGCGACTTGCTCGCGGTCAGGCATCGCAGAGAGCTGCTCAATTAGCTCCTCGAGCTCTTGGGCATGGTTTCTTTCGTCGGCGGACATGAAGAACCAGGTTTGAAGCGACAATGTGCAAGAATTAAAGCCATATGTAGATAAGATAAGATCATCTGGTGACTAAAAAGGTTTCCAACGGTAGAGCAATGATTAAACAATAATATGCGTGCCACAACTGAAGAGTAATCAGGGATCTGCGGGGGAGTCTGTCCTATTATTCATGAAAGAGTTCCAAAACTGAGGGTCCAAGAAGAGGCCAGGATCCATCTCGTCGACCAATGAGACTCCAAAAAATGGTTCAAACATCGAAACCAAGGGATCACTTGCAGAGAAAGGCTCCGAGCTTGTTCCGTGTCCTGATCCCTGCGTTACTTGCTCAGACACCGGCACGCTACAGTCAATTGGCTTATCTTGAAACGCGCCATTCACGCACTGCTTCGCGGCAAGCCCTTCCTCCCTTTTTCTGTCCCAGGTAGCCACAGCCTCCCGAAGCGTTGTAACACACCGTGCAGCCATATGATCAGGCGAAAGGGCGGCTTGTTGTAGTCTCTCTATCGTCATGTCCAGTAGCGCGTCTCCGTGACCAACAAGCGACGGGAATCCTATGTGATACACAGCTATCTTCGTGATGAGCAGGGTTAATCCGGCGTAGGTGATGAGGAGGAAGTAGGGGTCGGGCGCAGTAGAAAGGGAGGCGACGTCGAGGCGTGATAAGAGGGAGACGATGGCTGCTTCAGATAGAGCAACCATTTCTCGTCCCCATACTGCGGCAATAGGTAGTCCGTTGAGTTCTAGTCGTAACCACTCTTTGTAGGGGCGATCGAAAACGGACTTGAGCCCGTAAAGATTCCTGTATAAGGTCTTCATCTTGTAAACGTGATAGGATACCTCAAGCATGCTGAAGTAGAATGCGTCTAGCTGGAAGACAACTGCATTTACATATTAGATACGAGGTTGCAGTTGAAAAGAAATTATAAACCTGGTAGAGGTGTGATGAGACGGTACAGCCAGTTAAAAGAAGCAATGAGATCATTGATTTCCTTGGTGGCATGTTCTTGCTCTGTACGAGAGGGTCCCCAACACACGCTAGAACCGATGTCCGCTAAGTCGAATAGCCGTCTCGAAAGTCCAAGGCGGATATCTCGCGGATCCAAAGTAAGATACGACGCCGTGAAGTCAGCACGACGTTCTTCAGGTGTACGTCGGGATTGGGGATCGCGACCAGCACCAACGAGAAGCCTGATTAGCGTTAGCATCAAGTCAGTGTCATCGAATTGTCGTATGCAAAGGAAACTTACATATGTTCAATATTTGACGCTGCGCACCACTGCCAACAGTTATTCCAGTTGGTGCGGATGGAGAGGTGGAGCACTTACCAGCCTCGTCTTCCTGACAACCTCGGGGTCAGGATCGTTTGGTGTATCCGGTTTACGTTGCTGGAGTACTTGGATGTTGTCGTATTGATTCAGCCCCAGGCTGATCGCGATTTGCATTGCAGACGATGCCAACAGACGACTGTCTCGTTCGATAGCATAGCCAGATCCGCATATAGGAGTCCATAGAGCCAGAATAAGTAGCGCTTCCATGAACTCGATGGTATTTGTGTGAGGATATCCTGGTTGAAGCAGGGAGCTCTCAACCAACGCTTGAAGGCGGGGGGCGACTTTGGATCTCGTCGTAGAGTCAAGGTGTCTCGCAGCAATCGTGCAACGAACGAGGTCTAAAGCTGTGTCGTTCACATTGGCCGGTGGCAGGCTCATCCACGGTCTATATCGCGTCTCGAAGCTGTGCACAACAGTGTGTGATGAACTGCGCAGCAACACCATAAATCGTAGGCACCCACATATCTATAAGGTAACGAATTCGTCCATGAGAGAGGATAGATGTCAGGCTTTCGTCTTGGTGATTTATTAGACCGTTGGGTTCACGTGTAGGGAGTGGCGGCAGGATTCCTCGAACCGCTAGTATAGGTTCTCTCGTCCAGTAAGCGTCGTCCGCAATCCCGAGTACTCGCCAAGGACCCAAGACGTAGGTCTCGGCATCTAGAACATCAGCGCCCTCTTCTGGTAGTTCGAATTCATTATTTGACGTGAAATCTTTCTGCACGCCAAATTGTTCCGTTGAGGGCGAAGAGGGCGTTGGTTGCTGTTGACCTTGTGTATTTGGCCCGGTGTGACCAGAAGTGCTAGCTTCGTTGTGCCTCGCGACGATGATTATGTCTGAGTTATGGAACGAGCATTCGATATCCAAGACTTTACAGCGGTGGCATTGTAGCCGTCCGTTGGGACCAGGGGCTACATCAAGCAGCTCGCAGCGACTTTTTGTTTTTCGGCATGTAGCACACGCTCTACTTGCTTTGGGGCGTTTCACTGGGTTCATATCCGGCGTATTGGGCGATTCTGCGTCTTGAGCACGCTTGGGCGCCATCGCGGTCGCTTGCAAACCTGTGGATCGCAAACGCGCAGTAATTTGGGGGCTAATTTAACCGAACACAGGGGTAGAAGTAGAAGGGTTTCAACTGCGGGATTGCTCCCTACCACTATAAGAATTTATACATACACTATAGGGAAGTAAGATAATAGACAAATGCCACAAGTACTCTAGCCACGCGTCAAAAACTAGCCCCCATCCCATCGACTCACTACGCGCCGTAGGAGCCGCTAAATTTGAAAGTACCTTCTTCGGCCTTCCAATGAACGTTAACGTGATCACCCTTGAGGTACAGGGTGTTGTATCTAGACGGCCAATCAGCCCTCTGCCATCCTCGCGACTCCTGGCTTACCGAGCGTGCCCTTGAATATCACCCATCAAGTTCTCAAAGTCTGCGATAGGTATTTTCTTCATCTTGAACTTAATGGGTAGCTCCAGCCCCAGCATAGCTGCAAACACTGCTGGATCGGCGCATACGCCGTCGTATGCCCATTTAGACGAGCCCGTCTTGCACGACGGCTTCCACTGTGCACAGCCATCAAAGATAAGCAAGCAGCGAAAAAGCTAGGAACAAGAGTAACACCCACGCTCATCTGTTTCTGGATACCGCTGACAGCTACGGCCCTTAACTTCCCAGCTGCTGCCTGGATTTCCTGCGGAGACTTCGTCTTCGGTTTCAAAGCTTCCGCAGCGTCTTCAAGACTGCGAGCATAACGCGCCAAGCGCAGCATGTCTTCGAGAATGGTTTCATCATCTTCGGGGAATTGAAAGTTTTCGCCTTCATCTAGGATGGACGCGACGAGATCAGACGCGTCAACCGAGACTTGCTTGCGCGCTTTCTTCGTGGGAGCAGAAGAAGATGTATCGCTCTTGCGTTTTCCGGCCATCGCAATGTGTCTGAAGTAACGGTGCAAGGATGTTTTCAGGTTCGTTACGGGGAGAAAACAGGAGTCGCGTCAGGTCGCGTCGCGCGTTCTACATGCAATGCTTTGGCTTATTTGTCCCCTGCCCTTTCTGGATACTTTCCTGTCCAATTCAAATTATGCAGGAAGTACTGCTAAAAGGGCAGTCCGTTGAATAGGCTTCTGAACACCCTGTTCACCCCTATGTGGGCTAAAAATAGCATCAAGTTACTGCGCGTGGTGGTTGGGAAACGACCACGATGGCACCAAAGCGTGCTCAAGACTCAGAGTCGTCTCGTACGCCAGAAGGCAACCCCGCCAAACGCCAAAAAGCTAGTAGAGCGTGTGCTACATGCCGAAAAACAAAGAGTCGCTGCGAGCTGCTTGATGTAGCCCCTGGACCCAACGGACGACTACAATGCCACCGTTGTAAAGTCCTGGATATCGAATGCTCGTTCCATAACTCAGACATAATCATCGTCGCGAGACACAACGATGCCGCTAGCAGTCCTGCTCAGGCTGGGCCAAGCACTCCAAGCCGACAAGTCTCAGCACAGTCGACACGGTCGTCACCCTCAACGGAACAGTTTGGCGTCCAGAAGGATTCGACATCAAATGGTAATCATGAAGTTGAACTCCCTCCTGAGGGCCACGAGAGCTACGTCTTGGGCCCTTGGCGATTGATCGGTATCGCAGACGACGCTCGCTGGACGAAAGAGCCTATACTAGCGACCGAAGGAATTCTGCCGCCACTTCCTGCACACGAAATCAACGGTTCAACAAATCACCACTCCCAAAATGATACCCTTACATCCATCCTTCCTCATAATCGAATTCGTTACCTGATAGATATGTGGGTACTTACGATATGTGGTGTTGCCGCCCATTGAGTCATGTTTGTACAGTTTCGAGACGCGATACAGACCATGGATGAACCTACCGTCAGCCGATGTCAATGATGCGGCGTTGGACCTTGTCCGTTGCACGATCGCCTCAAGACACCTCGATTCTACCACACGACGCAAGGTTGCCCCCAGGCTTCAGGCACTGGTAGAGAGCACACTGCTCCAACCGGGATACCCTCATACAAAATCCCCTGAATTTATCGAAGCGCTGCTTATTCTAGCACTATGGATGCCCATATGCGGATCTGGATATGCTATCAAAAGAGACAGTCGTTTGCTGGCATCGTCCGCGATGCAAATCGCGATCAGTCTAGGGCTGAATCAATACGACAACATCCAAGTGCTGCTGCCGCATAAAGCACAAGGCAATGCCGATCTTGAAGTTGTCAGAAAGACGCGATTGGTAAGTGGGATTATGCCCCTTCCTCTGCATCATGTGAAATCATTGCTGTCCTTTCAGTGGTGCGCGGCATCAAATATTGAACATATGTGAGTTTCTCCTGAGAGCACCGTTCGACGTCGCTGATCCAACGCAAACCCCGATCAGGCTCTTATTTGGTACTGGCCGCGATCCTCAATCTCGGCGTACACTTGAGGAGCGCCGTACGGATTATACAGCGTCGTATGTCACTTTGGACCCGCGAGATGTACGGCTTGGATTATCGAGACGACTATTCGACTTAACCGATATCGGTTCAAGCCTTCATTGGGGACCCTCTATTACCGAGCAAGAAAATGCCAGCAAGGAAGTCAATGACCTCCTTGCATCTTATAACTGGCTATATCGTCTCATCATCCCCCTACCAGGTTCGTAATTCCCCTCAAAGCACAAATCATATTCTCACGCGTGAACGCAGTTATCTTCCAGCTGGACGCATTCTACTTCAGCATGCTCGAAGTATCCTATCACGCATACAAAATGAAAATAATATACAGAAATCTATTCGAGCTCAAATCCCTCTTTAACCTCTCAAACAAGGAGTGGTTACGATTTGAACTCAACGGCCTCCCTGTCGGTATAGCATGGGGGCGAGAACTACTCTCTCTATCTGAAGCAACCCTCGTATCACTCCTATCACGACCCGACATTGCCTCCCTCTCTACTGCTCCCGACTCTTACTTCCTCCTCGTCGCCTACGCTGGATTGAGCCTTCTCACTACGAAGATAGCTGTCCATCACATGGGTTTCTCGTCGGTTGCCGATCACGGAGACGTCTTACTGGACAATACGACGGATAGGCTTCAACAGGCTGCCCTTTCGCCCGACCATATGCCCGCGCGGTGCGCTGCCGCCCTACGACACTCCATCGCCACCTGGGATAAAGTAAGGGAGGAAGGTCCCCCCAAGAACAACAACTTCAAGGACATGGTTCAAGATAAGCCAAACAATCCGTCGGAGCCTCAGTCTGAGCAAGCAACGCTGCCATCGGGCGACGGCTTCTCCTCAGACGATCCCTTCCCTTCAATGTTCGATCCATTCTTCGGAACCATGGGTATGGTCGAGGAGATGGATCCCGGACTCCTCTTCGACCCACAATTCTGGTCATCTTTCATAAATACCAGGACAGATCCCTTGCAACCTTGACCACATATTGTCTTATTGCTATTCTATTTTGTCCTACCTGAAGCTGAAGTGTTCCCGACCTCCATCGTCAGTAAGTACGCACCGCTTATACCTGAATGATATAGTGCTTGCATCAACATACTTCGTTAGATTCAGGAGATAGATCTGAGAGACACAAACCACACGTATCTCGAATCTTAGCTAGTAGACTTTGATAACATTGTTCGTGTCAAACTTCGCCGAACTAGTATCGAAATCTAGTACTTCAGCGAAGACGATTTCGGCCATGTTATAACTTATCACGATATCTGATTGCCTGAGTATCTAGTGATTGCCTGAATTGCTGTGTGTGGTGCACGAATCTGGCAGGCGTTGGCCCACGAGTGTCTATCGAGTAACTAACCGGTAGACATGTATTTGCGACTCGGTGGATGATCAAAACTGGCAACATCGTTAAAATAAACTGCTGAGGGTCATTCGACGTATAGAACAAGTGATGTATTGGGTTTGAGTGTAACTTTTAATCGGGCTAAATTGGTCATAACTTCAACGTTTCAACTCGTGTATTATGTCGCAGCAAGGGCACGTGGGTATCACTCAGTATAAGCCAAAGTAAGCCTTGTAACCGTCGGCATCATACTGAATGTTTCAAAATGATCAGATCCTCTCACTCCCAAGCCAAGAAAATGACTTACGGAAATCGTTCCGTCCATGGGCCTTCATATTATCATGAGCGATGTAGAGGTGAATGACGAGTCCACCCACCGATAAAAAACCACTTTGGAGAGATCCTTTACTTCAAGGTTCCAGTTATAAGCGGTTGAAATTTCTTTGCCGTTATTGTCCGTTTTGCTACCGAACATCATGCCACAGAGGATCCCAAACCCCTAAAAGAAGAGGGAGATATGAAACGCAATCCTGTTATCGAGGATCAGCAGTACTTACATCAGCTTTGAAGGTTTTGTTTCCCCACTTCGCAACTTCGGCCTTGAAAACTGTGGAGGTGGATCAGAACCAGACATGTATAGAGAGGTTGACTTGGCTTGCCCAATGCGAAATCGTCAGAATCAAAGATTTCCTCCCTCGACTGCGTGCTCCCAAGGCCAGTTTCCCCCCATATTGCATAAAGCCTCTGCGAAGACGATATGAGGTACCTGAAAGGAGATCAAACATATCCATGAGAAAGAAACCATCAGAGCAGTAAGAGTGTAAACGTACAACTTATCACTAGCGAAACTTTGCTGGACATGCGGGCTTGCTTTGAGGATGGTGCGAATTTGGTCGTTCGTCTGGCTGATGCATTCGAATCTCCATTGGCGAGTTCTTCCGATTGACTCTGCCTCGGTCCAGCTACCTTGCCATCCTACAATGGGGGTTAGGTGAGGCCCACTAAAACAGAGAACACGTGAATATCTTGGAGACCAAGACGTAAATAAGGACCTCACCCCCCGTAGAGGTCTGCGAAAGCTAACACCGACAGACGGTGAATTACATCCGTGGCGAGTTCCAAAAAGCACTCACTCTTTGAAGCTTCATTTTGCATCCTAAATAATGATGGTTGTGAACACCAACATTGAGTCATAGGACAACAAGGCCTTACTTCCATAGGGACTCTTTCCGGGGCTCTTGGTGTAAGTCTCTCTTTATGATCCACTTTTGATTACTGCCTCCGGTTGATGCGCGGCAGTAGATGGAAGTTCCGTCGCTCTTAGAGCCTAAGATAAATAGCTTGAGTGCATGTAAACCGTGTTACCGTGCAAGAAAAGGGCACCATCGGTCAGGTCGAGATAATTCCCAGAGGCCAGGTTGCGAACGGTGAACGTATCATTGAAGCATTCGACTGGCTCTATCAGCCACATGTGGTTTGCAAGGTCCTCCCAGGAATGATATACAATGACTCGCGCGTCTACATTCCTTGTCAGTGGTTTGTCAAATTTTGAAAAGCATCTCGAACCTGAGTCAATTGCCATCCGGACGTCTGTACTGTGAGCATGAAAAATGTGGTCTGCAAGTCAGATAGTTAACGGCTATTGGTTAACTTCTTGGGGAGTCGGGTACGCTTACAAATTCCCTTTCCGATAAATGTCATCGCGCAGTAGAGGAGGACTTCGTAGGAGGACTTGGAGGCTGAACTTGCTCTAACAAGCTCATTAATGGGCGATCATTTATAGGGAGTCCCACCGCGGAAAATGTTCATCCTTGCACAAACATATCTGTACTACCGGAATCAGTTTGACGAGTATGTTATCGCTGGTCCATACATACTGGTCGATTGGCCAAAGCGTTGTTTTCAGACAATGTCCACGCCGTCACAGCTGCCCAGTGATGCCACAGTATTTATAGGATACCCTTACACATCTCCCAAGGCTTCCGAGACGCGCTAAAGCGGATCAGTCTTGTCGTTTCGGGGAAAACGAGGTAAGCACTGGTTGGGTGCCGTGCATCCCACAATTTCCTTTGTGCTGGTGTCAAGGGACGAAAGCTGGGGCGAACGACCGAGAGTTCCCGATCATCGTGCTTGACCACAGAAGTACCAAGCGGAATATCGGGATTTCCTTCACCGGCAGCTGGGTTCAACGTATATGAAGAAGAGCCAGGGGATATTGTGCTCTCTGCTCCGACGAGACATTGGACTCAGCGAGCTGTGATACTTTAGGGTACGTACTCATGAGGAGCTTGTACGCTGGGAACAACTCTGGTTGAACTAGGCGACGCAACAGTGGACGATGGCAAGAAAGCGCTCTTTGCGCGTTCGTGAGATCTTTTTCAGATCATCTTGATATGGGGTTGAAGCCTCTTGGCGGTAGCTATCATTGCGACCTTGGATGGAGAGGATTGCTAAGCAGAGCAGCGTCATTGCTTCCGGTGGTAGATTCAGCGGCTTACTCATACTTGGCCCTCGATTGTATATAAGTCCAATGTGTCGATTAGTGGAGAAAGCACGCAATTGATCATGTCTCTTCCAGCGACCACCAAGCACTGGGTTGTTTCAAAGGTCAGTGTGTCGGACGGAGATCAGAGCAAAAGCGATCCAGCGACTGACTTGGTTCAATTATATAGATTGGCTCCTTGGACAACTTGGCGCTCAAGGAAAGCCCCATTCGACAGCCGAAGCCCACCGAGGTGCTCGTCAGGGTGCACGCAGTCTCGCTCAACGTAGGTCTAGCAACGCGGAATAACTGAATTGACAATCTCACCCCCCTATCATCTCCTAGTATCGCGATCTGATTTTAGCAAAGGGGTTATACGGCCAGGGGATGTACGCTGCTATCTTCCTAAGCTTTGCTCTCAGAAATACCGACCTGGTTTCATTGCCACTAGAATCCAGGAGAACCTGATCCCATGCTCTGACTACAGCGGCGAAATCATCGCAGTTGGCGAAGATGTGCCACAGGACAAGTGGAAACCCGGAGATCGAGTATGCTCAAACTTCTCGCCCAACCACCTTGACGGGGACCCATCGCCCGAAACCATGAGCGCCGCGCTTGGAGGTCCCGTCCACGGCGTATTATCGCAATACGTTATTTCGCCTGCCGAGGTATGTTGTAGTGTCGTTTCTTCTGTTCACGGAGTTGTGAGCTAACCGGAGCTGTCTTTGTGCTATTCAGGCCCTCGTACGTGTTCCAGACCATTTAACGCACGAAGAGGCCGCGACGCTACCGTGCGTAAAATCATCCATTCAAACTAACCGATATGCATTGTCCCTAACGTACGAAAATAGATGCGCCGCATTAACGGCGTACAGCGCTCTCCTCGGTCCCATTCCCGTCAAGGCAGGCGACTACGTCCTCGTTCAAGGAACAGGCGGAGTATCCATGTACGCACCCCATGCCCTATTGTCCTCGTCCTATCCCAATGTCATGGCCTTGCCGTCAGATTTGGGCTACAAATCGCCGTAGCTTCTGGGGCAACGGTCATCGCGACTTCCTCCTCTGACGAGAAATTGAAACTAGCGGCCAAACTCGGCGCCAAGCACCTCATCAACTACAAGACGACTCCCAATTGGCAAGACACCGTCAAGGAAATCGTGAGCACCTAGCACCTATTTCACGATCATGAATAACTCGATCTTAAACCGCGTGTGCTTCTAAATTAGACGGACGGTCGTGGAGTTGACCATGTAATCGAAGTATGCTTCTATTCCGCTACAAACAGCTAGACGTGGTTTGCTCAACCTTTGGTACTAGGTGGGCGGGCCTGGCACGTTGCTCAAGTCCCTCCAATCGATCAAACACGCTGGTTGGATTCATGCAATCGGCTTCCTCGCTCAGGTCAACGCCTCGAAAAAACAAAGCTGTACAATGCTCTCTACTGACCGTTGAGTTTAGGGAGCTGATGCCAGCCTCGTTGGTCCTATCATTGGGACAGCCGCCTACGTACGGGGGGTCTTGATTGGTTCAGTCGCACAGTGAGCTGAAGTTCATTTTATCCGCTTCGAATGTGCTTGTTAAAAGCACAATGCCAATCTACAGATTCAAAAACATGAACCGTTTGATCAGTGCTCATGGCTTGCGACCAGTGGTTGACAAAGTTTTCCCGTTCGACCAAGCTCTCGAGGCGTACAGATACTTGGAGTCTCAGGCCCATTTCGGGAAAGTAGTAATCAAAGTCACATAGGATGAGTTCAAATGTACGGCGACGTATCCTGTCGTACATGTATCTGTGCATTCTCCATGAAGAGGAATTAATTAACGTTTTAACCCGCGTAGGGTTTCTCAACGTCATTGTAAGCTTTCAGGATGGAACAGGGGTCCCTTAATTATACATCGAGGCGAATGGGCAATACAAGATATTATAATAGATTTGTTCTATGTCGACGATGTAGCGTGGAAGATGGCAATGATCATGTCCTAGATGCTCTATGCGTGCAGTTGTGACGGTCTACCAGCCAGGAGTCGTGCCTTCTCAGCCTCCTGCTTATCCCTCTCCTGCTGCTCCAACAGGTCTCGCCATGAATGATCCGTGTTGTGCTTAAAATAACTCAGTGAGCAAACGCTATAACTGTAGTGGGAATGGGGACATACATGTTCAGCAGCCTGTGCTCTCCGCGAATGCATAAGCGCGCCGGCGGCAATGACAATACCAATTGTCAGCCCTTGCGCCCACATACGAGCCTGCACGACCTTCTGCGGAACAGTCTGGTACCTGCGAAATAACCGAGTCAGATGAATTCGAAACTGATCCTCAGACGACCGTTGGGACTGGTAAAGCGCACCCAGCCGCCCGTGTATGAAAGAAGCAAAACTCACTTGTCTCGCGAAATGATAGCCGCAGCGACGCCCAGACTTGAAGCCCAACCGCCTAGGATCAAACTGTACTGATGGCGGGCTGCCCAATCGCCGATCTTCGACGACGTATCCAAGGAATTCCATCGTGCCTCCTTCTGCTGCTCCTTCTCATCAAGAACTCGAACAGTTTCACCCTCCCTACATCCAAATATCAGTATATCGCAACGGAGGTAGATCTCGCCCAGCGCACCATTGAGATTTATCGTACTCAATACCACGTCGCTCGCCTTGGATTGCGAGACAGGGTACGACAATAATCAGGACCGCCAAGGATTTTAGCGAAAGAGGAAGTGCTCGGTACGCGGGGTACCGCCTGTGCGCCCAATATGATACACCGACGGCTACAGCGCCTGAACCGACAGCTCCTTCGATGGAGCCTCGCAGGGATGCCTTATCGTGGGCTTTGAGCTGTTCTGGTGACACGAGCTGCAATTTGCTGTCAGCACCCTGAAGATATCGAATCCGACGAGGAGACTGACCTTCATAGTTGATGGGGGGGAGGAGAAGGTGGGGGTGGTGGGTGAATGAAAGAGATTTGTTGTGGAGTTTCGTTCGCGGAGGTCGAGAGTATATATATGGTCGTCGGAGCAGTCCGTTGCAAGGCGCAAAGCCGACCCGCACGAATAGGGGGTCTAGACCTCACGTGATACATTGGTGATACATTGATCGGCAGATTTCGGGTGGCGGCTGCCACACGCGCGAATTCTCCGCGGTTCAAAACTTAAATTCGAACGTTCCAACATTCATTCCAAAGGCATACATTGAATTGATATGTATATACTACTAACTAACGGGTACGGACATGAAGGAGGTAATACTATGTATCTACTAGAACTAGGTGAATATTAAGACATTCTTGAATACAGCCGAAGCCAACAACAGCGCGATAGAACGGAAATGGACAGCATCAAGAACGATGGGCACGGACGAAGTCGCATCTTCACGGCAATGTAGCAGGAAGGGAGGAACGCACACACAAATGATATCATTACACAAACCCGGAAAAGACGGTTAACCAATCATTGAAGTACCGGGTGCGTTAAAAATGGTCAACCGTGAACGTCCATCGTCCATCCTTGATGTCGAAACCCTCGAACTGCGTGTCCTTCATATTGCGTAGCCGTTTTAAGTGTTTCACGGCACTGGGGTGCTTTTCGTCCTTGATGGGTTCCCGAGATGCTTTGTCCGTAGCCCAACACCTATCCAACATCAACCGGGCCTTCACGTTCAACCCGGATCCTGGAGGGGGCTTGTCTACATCGTCCACGTCAGGATAGACACTGCACTCCTTGTCGTCAAACCGCACAACGTCTCCCAAAAGCGAACCAAGCTTCGGTAGACCTGTCAGATCCACAGGTTCCAGGAAATGTATCTCTCCGTAGCCCTTGCGACCAAGCACAAGACCCGAGAAAGAGCTTAATTCCTGGAAGCCTTTGCCTTTCAGCGTGTCTAGATCGGGTTTGCACCAATAATCGCCCTCTTCCAGTGCCGTGGGATCCTTCTGAGCTTCTGTAACCGGGCTGGCGTTCCGAGCTTGTGAATTGTTTGTATCCAAGCGAGATGGCGTACGTTGATCTCGGGGTGCAGGTAGAGCGACAGCTTTCTGTGGGGAGGGTGCCGCAGCCGCCGCAGCCGCCGCTTCCTTTTCTCGAGCCGCGACACTCAACGCGGGGCTAAACATCACCTTTGATCCGCCCAACCGAGCTGGCGACCCGCCAGACTTAGAGAAAAGGTCGATGGGCTCAACCTTCTTGTCAAGAATCAACTTCTTCACGCTTTGTCTTTGGCTGCTGCCCAATGAAGGGCTTTGACTGCGGAGAAGAGAGTCGGAGGTCATTGGCGACTTGCTGTCTCCACGGCTGAGTGACAATGCACCAGCCTTACCGGATATGAACGACATGCTGGAGAAGGGATTTCCGCTAGTTGAGTTGGAGGTGGATGACGCAAACCCACGCAATTTCGAAGCAGCTGGAGTATATCCAAGCTGAACGCGAGGAAGGGGAGCCCGCGTGGGAACATCGACAAAGAATCCGGCCTTTTTCTTTGCAGGCTGAGGGTCTAAATTAATTGACCGCGGTCCTGGTGGAAGCATGGAAAAGATAGCGAGATTGTTGCCAATTGGCTCAGCAATGGATGCAGTGAGGGTTCCTTGAGCGCCTTGGGTTGTTGTAGCAGAGAAAGACCCAGCAGGAGCAAACGAACCAAATAGGCCACCAGCAGGAGCATTCGTATTAGAAGTGCTGGCGCCCATCGCTGGCGCAGCGGGCTTGCCGAAGAGGCTGCCTGCACCAAGTGTCGATTGTTGGTTCGTAGACTGACCTAGCGTACTTCCAAAAAGGCTACTCTGCTGCGGCTGAGCAGTATTTGCGGTGTTTTGTTGACCAAATCCTCCGAAAAGGTTGTTCGCTGGGGGGGCCGGCTTCCCGAAGAGTCCCCCAGCACCGAAAGCGTTTGCCGCAGGTTGCTGGTTTTGCTGTTGTTGCTGCTGTTGTTGATTGTTACCGAACAATCCGCCACCGCCACCAAACAATCCACCACCAGCATTAGGTTGTTGTGCCGTCGTAGCACCGAAGACTAGCGGTAAATTCGTAAAAAATCATCTCAGACAGAAATAACTACTCACTGTTGGTAGCCGGTTGTTGGGGGTTCTGCTGGTTTGCCTGCGTGTTGGTGCTTCCAAACAGCCCTCCTCCTCCTCCAAAGAGGGATGGTTGTTGTTGCTGTTGTTGTTGCTGCTGCGCTGGCTGTTGCTGTTGCTGATTCTGGCCAAAGAGGCCAGTTCCAAAGGCGGGTTGTGTGGGTTGTGCAGCAGGCTGGCCAAACAGCGGCTTAGCGGCATTATTAGCAGCAGTATTACCTTGTCACCTAAGTTAGCGATGTGTCTATACGTGGAGGGACGGGCTCACCAAAGGCGTTAAAAGCGTTCGATGCAGCAGGCTGAGTTTGTCCAAATAGCCCAGTGGTAGCCGGTTGTTGTTGTTGCTGCTGCGGCTGGCCAAACGCGTTTGTGGTGGTCGCAGAGGAACCAAACGTTCCACCTCCAAATGTTCCAAAACCTGTCCCCGCCGGCTTTGGCTGACCAAACGCCGTTGTTCCTCCTCCAAATAGACCACCGGATGGCTGTTGATTTTGCTGGGCGGGTTGTCCGAATGCTCCAAACGCGTTCGTCTGCTGGGCGGGCTGTTGCTGCTGTTGAGGCTGGCCAAATGCTCCGCCACCGAATAAGCCTGTTGATTGTTGGGGAGTTTGGGTAGCTGCCGATTGACCAAAGGCTCCAAAACCAGTGGAGGGCGTTGTCGTCGGAGCACCGAAAGCATTTGGCTGAGGTGTGCTTTGTTGAGGTTGCCCAAATATACTTGTGGTTGGCTGAGCCGGAGTAGCACCAAACGTAGCGGATTGGCCAAAAGCACCAGCGGTCTTCCGGCCCTGAGCATAATCTTGGTATCGCAGTTCCTATACGAGATAAGTTAGTCGGTGCTCCGTATTGGTATAGGGTGAACATGCCCTTTCCGAAGGCGATACGCGTTCAGGAGGGTCCACGAATTGCTGAACAACGCACCTCAAAGGAGGTCCCTTGGTAAGCGGGCATGCACGAGATGGACTGATAGTGCAATGTTACACTGGTCCCACTGCCGGGATTTTCTTTGTCAGTAAAGGCATTATACGGAGGATTGGATGATCCTGTAGTAACAGCAGCCACTGTATTTGTCCCGTTTTGGTTTTGTGCTGGTATGAATCAACAGAGGAGTATAACGCAAAGCAATAACTGTACACACCTTGAGTTGTTCCAAAACCGGTGGTAGCTGGTTTGCTGGCGCCGAAAAGGCCCGTGTTGCTACCAAATGCTCCTCCAGCCGTCGTCGTGTTATTGGGCTGACCGAACAAGCTGGTACCAGACGTGCCCGCAGGAGCGGCTGTAGATCCAAACGCGGGTGTCGAACCAAACGTACCGGTTCCACCACCAAACGCGCCAAATCCAGTCGCAGGTCTGGGTGCTCCGAACGCACTCGTTGTCTGATTGTTGTTATTGTTGGTTCCACCTCCAAACGCGCCTAGAAAGCTATTAGTTTTCGACCATTGCGATCTCGGAATACACACCAAAGCCCGATGGACTGGCAGTGTTCGTCGAGCCTCCCAGATTGCCAAACATCGGGTTAGCTTGTGGTTGTTGCTGTGGTTGACCAAAAGCCCCAGTTGATCCAAACGCTCCTGGGGTTGCCGCGTTTCAGAACCAAAAGTCTATCTTAGAATACACAAGGAACTCACCACCTGTATTGCCAAAAGCGTTCGGTTGCCCAAAAGCAGATCCACCTGCAGGCTGCTGCTGCTGCTGGTTTTGTTGGGGATTCCCCCACGTGGATGTGGTGTTGTTGCCAAACATGCCCGGCAGAAGTGAATCGTTTGCGCGATACGGTACAACGAGGACGGCCACAAATTGAGTGGAGGGCTGAGTTTATATCGGAGCTATTGCGTAGGCTGTCTGAGTCAAGTCTGAGTCGATCTGAGTCGAAATAACTTCCCACGTTAAGCCACGTGAGCCTGAAGTTACTCCCCTGTTGTCGACTTTCAGAACCCCGAGATTGCGATTACAGAACCTTGCATATTTTCCATAGCGTGTTACACATATATTGACAAGAAGCCTGAAGTACTTACGTAGCTCCTCATTCATTCTGGTCTGCACATAGAAGTCTATTCTCATCACCATTCTCGCACGTGTGAAAGTTCAATAATATTTGGAGACAGGTCCTCAGAGGCGATTACAGTGTTTGAGCGTATCTATACTCTACTCAAACTCTACTTGATCTTTCTCTTGGGCTCTCATAGACTCGGAAATTATTGGTCGCTCACTCATGTTTTACCTGGTTTTCGTGACGGACGTGATTGTAAGCACTTCTTTAGCAAGAGAACATTATCTGCGAAGGGCGTTAGCGTCTACATGGCTCCTCTGAATGCAGCTGAGCGGGATGATCACACGATAGTTAAACGTCCCTAGCCCCTAGCAAACCATCCTATTTTACGAGGTTCGTCACGTGAAGTGTAGCTTTCCAAAAAAATTCCCCTATAAGTTTGTCTTCAATTAAAAAAATATGCCTGATGGATCTCTGAGGCAGAAAAGAGGGCCTACATTTGACACATTACGACGCGAGAACAGGTTCAAGCACCCTCCAACCGATGGCGCGGCATACGATATCCTAAACGAGTTCGTAACGCCTCACATCGAATCATTCAACGCGCTTTTCGACGACTCTGGACTACCTACTGGCGACGGGGACGGTAAAGGCCTGCTGAGTCTCGCATTGGACGACATCGGACCCCGCGTCGTGTTCGATGGAAACGGCCAAGCAAATTCCGAGAGCGGACCGAGAGGCTGGGGCAATCGCTCGAGCAGTAAGTTACCACTATGATATATGTTTGCGGAGGCTTTACTCGTTGAACAACAAGTTACAATCGAAAAGGTCACAATCGCGAGACCAATGGTTCCGGACAAGGACAAATTAGCGATCGAGAGAAAGGTGTTTCCGTCAGAAGTGAGCAAATGAGCCAGACACACGATGTGCTGCTTACTGAAGCCATATATAGGCTCGCGAACGGCTTACATCGTACAGAGGGAAGATGGAAATTAAGATCTGCTGGACGGATAACCATGGACAAAGGCAGGAGGAGACGAAGAATTGCGGGCTGGTGCCAATCATGGTTCGGGTCAGTACACCCTACTTGCGCGTGAGGGGACGCTCATAACTCGTCGAATTCTAGTCGGTTAGGTGTAACCTTCGCTCGATGTCCTCCGCCGAGCTCGTGAAGCGCCACGAGGAGCCAGAGGAGTTTGGGGGTTATTTCGTGATCAACGGGAACGAACGTCTCATTCGATATCTCATCCTCCCGCGCCGAAACCACGCCATATCTCTCATTCGACCGTCGTTCACAAACCGTGGCCCCTCATATACGCAGTATGCCATTCAAATTCGCTGCGTGCGTCCAGATCAGACCAGTGCGACGAACACTCTGCATTACCTTGCCAACGGGAGCGCCATGCTTCGGTTCAGCTGGCGCAAGCAAGAGTATGTCATCCCTATCATGCTCATCCTCAAAGCACTCGTAGGGGCCTCCGACAGGGAGATTTACGAGGGCATCATGATGCAGGACTACGAAAATACTTTCTTGTCAGATCGTGTCGAATTGCTGCTTCGAAGTTTCAAAACATATAGCTTGCATACTGCTGATCACTGTCTTGAATATCTTGGTGACAAATTCCGCGTGGTTCTTGGTTTACCGGAAGATATGACGAACAAATCACTTGGAGCGTGGTTGTTGCAGAAGATGGTGTTTGTCCATCTACGGAATCCACGGGACAAATTTAGGATGCTACTGTCAGTTCCACGGCCATACTAAGTATTTGATGCTGACATATTTTTCAGGTTCTCGCTTCGAAAACTTTACGCCTTAGTTTCGGGCTCGTGTAGTGCGGACAATCCCGATTCACCTCAACATCAAGAAGTCCTACTTCCCGGAACACTTTACGGTATGATCATCAAGGAGCGGATCGAAGAGATCTTAAACAACGTCCGCACGAATATAATTACCGATGTCAGGAACGGTGTGGTAGTCGACTTCAATGATCGTACGTTCTTAAACTTTCTAACAGTGAGCACTATCGAACCGATGAGCAGGGCGGTACATTAACAAGGTATTCTCTCGGGTCAATTTCGACATCGGATCCAAGCTATCCAATTTCCTTGCCACGGGGAATCTCGTCTCGCCCACCGGTCTCGATCTACAGCAAGCGTCTGGCTTTACCATCGTCGCAGAAAAACTCAACTGGCAGCGGTACATCAGCCATTTCAGGTGTATTCATCGCGGCGCGTTCTTTGCCGAGCTCAAAACTACAACCGTTCGCAAACTGTTGCCAGAAGCATGGGGTATGCATTCTCTTCGCCAATCATCAGGAAAGCAAGCTGACAGACGGAGTAGGTTTCTTGTGTCCCGTCCATACACCTGATGGTGCGCCCTGCGGGCTTCTAAACCATCTTTCCCGAACATGCCGCATCATCACAGCTCCTCTCGCCGTTGCGGATATCCCTGCCCTTCTTGCAACACACGGCATGACTCAAGCTTTCACACCATCAATAGACGGAAGACGCAATTTGTGCATCCAACTCGACGGCCGCGTCATCGGATGGGCCCACCCAGTTATCGCCCAGCAGTTAGCCACGAACCTTCGGATATGGAAAACAGAGGGGAAGTTCGGTGTTCCTCTCGATCTGGAGATCGGGTTGGTCCCCGAGTCGAAAGGTGGGCAGTATCCAGGGATGTTCTTGTTTTCTTCACGATCGCGGATGATGCGACCTGTGAAGTACCTGGCGAACGGCAAAGATGATATGGTCGGAACCTTCGAGCAGGTGTATATGAACATTGCATGTACGCCCGAAGAAATCGAAGCGAATACATCTACTCATGTCGAACACGAGCCCACAAATTTCTTGTCTATCTTGGCCAATCTGACCCCGTTCTCCGACTTCAACCAAGTGAGTGTCCCTAATATATTCAGCAGCCTGCCTTTACTGACAACATCTTCCAGAGTCCACGGAATATCTACCAGTGTCAAGTCAGTAAGCTCGACACAAAAGGGCCGTATTCTTGCTGACCTTGCGTTAAAGATGGGTAAACAATCGATGGGGACGCCTTCGACCGCTATAAGGCATCGAACCGACAACAAATTGTACAGGTTGCAGACCGGACAAAGTCCTGTCGTCCGCCCCGCCCTCCATAACACATACGCCATGGATTCTTATCCAAACGGCACCAACGCCATCGTCGCCGTTATTTCGTACACAGGGTATGACATGGAAGACGCCATGATCCTGAACAAGTCAGCACACGAACGTGGATTTGCGTACGGCACCGTCTACAAGTCCCAAATAATTGACCTTAAGGATGAACGCGGGGCAGTGAAGAATGCCGCTGTGCCTACGCTGCATTTCGGATTAGGTCGCGACATACGGCAAGACGGTGATCGACAACACACTTGCTGCCAATTCCTCGACCGCGATGGTTTACCATTCATTGGGGCTCACCTACGGTCTGGCGACCCCATTGCTGCGTATATCGATGATACGACTGGCCGTACACGATTTGTGAAGTACAAAGGTGATGAGATGGCGTTTGTCGATGAAGTTCGACTACTAGGTAAGTGGGAGTTGCTAACTTCTTATTTCCGTGGCTAAGGAATCATTAGGCAGTGATGCCGGCGATAGCGAGCTTCAGAAACTTCATATTTCGTTACGCATAGCTCGAGCGCCCGTTATTGGAGACAAGTTCTCGTCCCGGCATGGGCAGAAGGGTGTTTGTTCGCAGAAATGGCCCATGGTTGATATGCCGTTCACAGAGAGCGGCATGCAACCGGATGTGATCATTAACCCCCATGCTTTTCCCAGTCGAATGACGATCGGCATGCTGGTAGAAAGCATGGCAGGAAAGGCGGGAGCGATGCACGGACTTGCTCAAGATGCCACGCCTTTCAAGTCGGTGACGCCCATAAGCCATTTCCTCTCAGCACTGATGATTGGTTCCACAGGTTCTCTGAAGAAGATACTGCCGTCGACTACTTCGGCGAGCAACTCTTGGCCTCTGGCTATAATTATTATGGAAACGAGCCCATGTATTCTGGGATTACCGGCCAAGAGTTCGCGGCGGACATCTACATTGGCGTCGTGTACTATCAACGTCTGCGACACATGGTCCTTGACAAGTTCCAAGTGCGTACGACCGGCCCTGTCGATCCCCTCACCCGACAGCCCGTAAAAGTGAGTCTGTGTTTCCAGCAACCGCATGAGCTTGCTCATTTTTGTTATCGTAGGGGAGGAAACGCGCTGGCGGTATTCGTTTCGGAGAGATGGAACGTGATGCCCTGATTGCTCACGGAACGTCGTTTTTGCTTCAAGACCGTTTGATGAACTGTTCAGACTACTCGACCGCCTGGGTATGCCGCACATGTGGGAGTCTGATATCACTTGGCTACGAAGATGTTAGCCTCGGGAAAGCGATGATGGGCAACACTTCCATCAATCCTTCTGGACCTGGGGGCGAGTACTGCCGCACTTGCCGCGCTGCTGCAGAAGAGCAGGAGGAAATAGAACGAAGACAATTCAAAAACGGTGGGAGCCAACAAACGCCCCAGGCTGATGTCCGTGTTGCCATCTCGTCCCAAAACTATCTTGGGAGGGCCTCTCAAAAAGGCGACCTGGATGTTGTCGCCATCCCATTCGTCTTCCGGTACCTCTGTGCCGAACTAGCTGCAATGGGAATATCTGTATCTCTTGAAGTCGCGTAATGTAACACATCTTGTCCATCCGTATAATCCAACCAGTTATTCGCATTGTATTTTACATTACAAGACAACGACCTTCCACGCACCAGGCATTACAAAATGGATATACAAAGGCCAACGAATTATAAGCATTGGTGAAAAACGTTCACAAGGTCAAGATAAGGCGAAGATGATAAGGCCAACAATCATTAATCAGTGTCACCCAGAAATTACATGAGATAAGGAGAGACCATGATAGCCCAGTTATGCGGCAATCGCAGTTGTATGCACACGAACCCCGCGTGGAGCTGGTGCTTTAATGTAACTGGAGGGTGGTGATGGAAGGGGAATGTTTTCCTTCTCTTCCTCATGCACAACAACTGGGGTTTCTCTGGGCTCCTCCAGAGATGCATCGGTCTCCAGGGGACCGTTACCAAGGAACAGTTCGATCAAAGTGCTCTCGAGGGCAGTATTAACAGGCACAGTACTTCGTGCGGCAACTGCTGGATCGACTGGGGGGTCTACTGCTATACCAGAGGCAGTGAGAACAGCGTGAAGCACCAAGCGACACTCGTCTGCGTTCGTTGCAATGGCCATGAGACGTTGTAGGTCCCGCGCAGATTGAGCGGAAACGTGAGGCGTGTCGGGGGTAGGGGGAGATCCATTTGTACCGGTTGATGCCTCTCTCGTAACTCTCCTTTCGATCGCAGCTGCGGAGGGAGCTCTACTCGTGGTTTCAGGGGTAGAAGGCACCGGCGTAACAGCAGGAGATGGGCGCGCACTAGAGCGCGGTGGAATGTCTAGCGATGGGTCCACCGACGGGACCGGGACTCTCTGCAACAACGAAGCCCTACGAGTCTTCTTGACTTGGTCGTCCTTGACCGGCTCAACTTCAGGTGCTTGAGACGATGTTGAACCGTTAGCAAGTCTAGAATGTAACACAGGCGGTGGCGGCGGCAATGGTGAGGTCGAGGTCGGAGGGGCGACTCTAGATGCAGCTCCGAGGTCGGGGCTCCTGGTGCTATCAGATCTGGAAAAGTTGGGTTGCGTTTCCATGGCCTGTGGTTCCCACTCAGGGGCCGTCTTGCGGGATACCGCCGCTCGGGATCGTGAACTAGAGGACATGACATCGTCAAAGGAGCTAGCCGGAGGGGACTCCGGGGGAGAAACTGGAGGTGGACGAGGAGGGATAGGCCTGTTGGCCAGAGGTGAAATATTAGTGATCGAAGGTTTGCTCTGTAAAGTGACGCGACGCGGCCGACTTGGTGATTCAGAGGTCTTGCTTTTATCCGAATTCCCCATGGATAACTTGGACATCATCCGCTGCAAACGCCCGGAACCTCTCTGCTTGCCCCCGTCCAAGGATGGAGGACTCGTTGGGAAGGGAGGTTGAGGAAGATCAGGTGGACCTTCTGCCAGGAAGTCAATCAACTCTCTCGTACTAGCGGACACTTTCATGGGCCTTCCATTACGGGATGCAGGTGGTTTACTTTGAGTGTCGACAGCGGGCCTCTCGTCGTCAGAGTCCCCCATTATATCATCGAGATCTAAGGATTCGCGATTTCGTTGAATTTTCCGTGTGCGTGGCGGTCGTCCATCTGAATCCGGGAACACGGCCTGGCGCTCAGGTCCTTTCGAATATGACCCGAAACTCGAGGGAGGTGCTTTGGTACCCATGATTGCTGTCATCTTTCCTGGAAGAGAGTGCTCACTGTTATTGTTGGGCACAACTGAGGATGATGGCGCTGCTACGGATGCGGAACGTGTGCGATTGGCGTCCGGAAGTGGGGACGGCGATGTGTGATCGTTGAGGGAGATTTTCACTTCTTCGTCGTCCTCTATGATTGAGTCGACGTGTCGAAGGGATGGCCTGCGCCCATTTGCGCGCGTTGCGTGGGTAGCAGGAGGTTCAGGTTCAACTTTGGGGGCGAAAACTGGCGGAGGACGATTGTTCCCTTTTTGGTCCCTTTTATGTGCCTATAAAAATGTATCGGTATTTGTTTCAGAAGCCCATAAGGTACAGTCCATACCTCCATAGTCCTGAGCCTATCGGGCGTCAGCGAAACTTTCATGGTGGCATTGGAACGCATAAGATCATCAAATTCCTGAAGGAGAGCAGAATCCTGCAACGTGGTCGCGCTTAGTTCTCATCAAAAAGAAAAGATTTAGGTAGAACGGTACCTCCACATCAAATTTCTCATTATCACCTCTCGAATCTGCGCTATATACAGAGTCGGATCTCTTGTGGCCGTTTTGCGATTCATCGTGGGACGAACGTCCTGGTATGAACTTCTTGACTCCCCTGGGCTTATCCGTGGAGGTTCTTGGGGGTGAAAAGAAAGGGTCGGCGTTGGCAGATTCTGAGGATTGTCGCGACTTAATGGGCACAGAAGGTGCAAACGGCTCCGGGGGAGTAGGTGGCAAGTCCAGCTGCGGGGACGATGTACGTGAAAGAGACTTGTCGTTGCGTGTGAACGATTTACTTCGCTGGTGTTTGGAGCTCTGGGAAAGTAACTCAATCTGATCATAAACTGTACGTAGATTAGCATTAAGATGCACGGCAAAGAGGTCCAGAATGGAAGAGAAATTGCCCACCTTTCATGCCTTTAAATAAGCCATATATCGCCTCATCCTCACAGAGAGCAACGAAAAGATCTTGGACCGAAGCGTTGGCTCGGCTGCTATCTCTAGAAGCTACGCGTCCTACGTTGCCCAAGACATGCCTGAAGAAGAATTAAGGGAAATTTAATAAAAGGATGGTTACGCTACTCACTCGCACATTGCCCTGAGTTTCGGTAAGAATCGTCATGATAAACAATCACATATATGCACTGGACACTCACTCTAATATTGCTGTGAGATAGAGGGCCGCCGGAGCCACCAGCGTCGTCTTTGGAGGAGTGAACCCTCCATGCTGAGACATGCGCTCATTCAAGCTTGTCTCGGCCGCAAGGTTTTCGTCGTGTTCATTCAACGTTGAGTATGCTTCACACTTCAGGCGTAGAAGCTGCAGTATAACCTTCAACCCCCCTTGTTGCAGGCACTAAAAGGACGGGATGACGAACCTCAAATGACCATTGAAGGTTAAAGCCCTGGCCCTCTTCTAGCATCGGCGACGAGGGGCCCCCTGGAAGCTTGGTACGTTCCCAATACGCCCTCAATTCCACTTCAGCCTCCAAAAGGGCTTCCTTCCCCAGATTCGTGGGCAGGACTTTTAGGAGCCCCGCCCGCAGCTTGTCGGTAGACAACGAACGCGCCGCAGCCAGAATGCTGTACAGGAACTCGTCGAGAAGTACATTGATACATCGCAGAGCCTCAATCTTGAGCTTTATGGGCCGAATGTCGGATAGAATTACATCGGCTGAATGAGATGATATGTACGTCGGGCCTGGGAGCATAATTTGAGCCACGATTGATTCGGCCACCGAGTCGGGATCGAAACTCACCGTTTATGCCCGCTGCGAACGACATGCTGATGAGGGAGGAAGGGAAGGTTGTGGTCGGGATGAGCAGTCTCGTTTCTTGGAACCCTGATGCATGATGTGACAGCCATGCCCAAATGTGGATAAATAAATGGCGAAAAGCAATTATCAAAACTCCCTGCTTGATGCCAGCCAGGTAAGCGGTTTTACGCCCAGTGTGCCGCCATCATGCAACATTCCGCACGCTGAAACCCAAAGCCAATTTGAAAGTTCTATTCACAGCATGGGTATCACATGCACAACATATCGACTTTATATAAATACGTGATGTCAATCGGAGGGTTCACTTTTCGGTACATCTTCGTTATCCAGTACAGGCATGACTACCTTTAAAACGCCGGACGACGAGGAACTAGGCTGTAACGACATGCCATTGTGTGCGGCGAGCGACACCTCAGCGGAGTTCAGGTCTTCTAACTGGGGAACCTTTGCAGGGCGGGAGAATCCACTTAAAAATTCGTAGGGGTTGTCACTGTCAGTTGACAGGCGTATCGCACCACGATGGTGACGTTTGGGTCGAACATTCACTGGTGGGAAGAGTCGCCGCAGTACCTATAAGTTTCTTGGTTAGACAGTATATACGTATACATCCTGAATGATCGATTACCCATGGACCAAGAGTGTTATGCCGCGCCTGTGATATAGTCGCGGGAATGACTCTAGCAGCTAGGATGTAAGGGGGGATGGTGGGAGGAAGTGCAGGCGGCTCCGCCAACGACGGCCGAGGGAATGGATCCGGCGTTGGTTTCATGGCGTCGCCCTCTTTATGGCTTGTTTCATAATGGTGACGGAGTTGGCGCGTTGAACGCGAAGTCTCGTCGCAGCCTATAGGCGAGTGTTAATCCAGATGTTGAGACCCCAGACGTAAGGATGAAGGGGATAGCTCTTTCACCTTCATAGATACAGCATAGAGGATACCATGCATGTCGATCTATATGTTTGAAGAAACTTTCCTGATCGGCGAAGATCTGGCCGCAGTGATGCCAACTACATATGTGCACCGACTATGTCAATCGTTAGCTAACCGCGAACCAAAGAATATACAACCACGCACCTCGTCTCCTCCTAACTCTACACTGTCTCCATGGAATCTCCTCAAATGAGCCAGCAGAGTTTTTGCCGAGTTCAAAATCATGTCGCATTCCTTCCACATACACGGTCGTCTTCGGGCTTTCTCGCCAGCTTCCCAGACCATCTTGGATTCTTCCAAATCTACAGAAGAACGTCGATCACTCCCTGATACCTTCAAGTCCAGCGACACGACTAACCATACTCTTCAATTACACTACCAGGAATCGAATCTACATATTTACATGATCAAATTTCAATTAAACCACTTGACCAAGAGTGCTTTCATACCTGCACCCGCCGACTCTCGTCTCGATGACGTATCTTCCGTGGATTCTGATATAGAATAATTTCTATCAACGGCCTGTCGCTTGCCCGCTTTCTTAAGATACCTCGCAACATAGGGCGGAGGCGGGGGAATTACAACTTCAACCTGCCGAAGTTTTCCCGACTTTCTGGACTGAGCGGCGACCCCGTGTTCTTGTTGACCATCGAAGTCTGTCGGCGTATCGGGAGGGCCATGGAAGTTCATGTCGGTGTCAGGAATAGATTGGTCAACAGGGGAACTCGAAGAGCGAAGAAACAACGGTGTCTTAACGTCGTCGAGTGGCTTCTTTTTGGGAGACCTCGGGGGAGACTTGATTGGGATCTCAACGGATACAGCCGACCGTGGTCGTTTCTTCGGAACCTCCCGCTGTGGGGGGAGCGCGATGCCCGACGAACTTGGAAACTGATTGGTCTCCGCGCCGTATGGCTGCAGCTGTGGGGTTGGTTTGGGGAAAGAGGGGAGCCTGGACACCATGGGGCGAAGGGGGAGAGAGGCAAACGCAGAAGTAGGGCTAAAGACAGGATCCGACGATGATGGTTGTGGAAGTGCCTTTATATGGGGTGGAAGTGGCTCAGGCACTATTGTCGTGGCCGTTGCTAGAACCTTTGCTGATGCCTCGTCGTGTGGGCCAGGAGACGAGGGTGTCGGTGAGAGATGCGCGATGGGAGGTATTACGCCGTCATCGACGTTCATATCTGGTGCAAAGGACTGTAGGCCATTGACTGAACTCGAAGCAGTAGCTCCAGGTTCAACACTCTTCTCCGGTTGTTTCTTGCTTGTGACGCTGTTGCCGGATGGGCCATTAGTAGGTGGTGTCTTCCCAAGGGCTCGTAGAATGTCTCTCGCTAGTTGCCCGGCTTTCTTCCCCTTTGCAGGCGTTGTTTGAATGGGATCAGCGGCAGTCGCATTGGATGAATTCGACGGCTTCGCTGAAGACGTAGGTTGGACGGTGTCATGCTTGGTCGCATCAGTAGATTGGGATGGCTTAGCTACGCCGGACGGGGTGAAAGTAGAAGACAGCTGCGGCGTTGAAGACGTCGTTGACTTGGCTGCGGGTGTCACCGCTCCCGGGACTAGTCGCTTCCAATGAGTTAGAAACCGAAGCAAAGTCTCCTTAGTGAGTTCCTCCAATTTGTATCTTTCTTCCGGTACCCCATTCGCTGTCAATGTCACCCAGACCTGGCTCAGTTCGTCCTTGTAGACTCGGATGGTTTGCATATCGCAGTAGTAGGTCTTTGGCCTGCCTGTCGCAGCAAATTTGGGCAATTCCTGCTCAAGGAACGTAACCAAAGAAGGTATCCATTGCTTGGCTTCTTCTTCTGGTAGCGCCGATCGTGTCGAAGATTTCTGGGTTTGGCTGCTCCAAGTAGGCAGAGCAGAGGCCGATGATGAACTTGAAGCCTGAGACATCTTCGCCGGCTTGCCCTAGGAGTAATGGTATCATTGCACAAGTATACACGAAGTATACATACCATAGATGAAGGGGTAGATGCGGCTTTCGGCCCAAGGGCACCCTTTAGGGACGAGAAAGATGATTGCTCTGAAATAGATAGAAGAAATCACACGTAGGTTCAAGCGAGTGAGACTCGGGTTGATTACCTGTAATTGAAATATTGGTCTGAGGTTGGGCCGCGATAGGTGCACCCTGGATATGTATTCCCTGGGGAGGCCACCGTTGACCGGACACTGATGCAGGATTGACGTGTGATGTATTCACACTACTGGGACCAGGCGCACGATACTGAGGAGATAAACCAGATTGGGGGCGCTGGTTGAAGGGCATGTACGGTTGTGCAATGGGTTGAGCTAAGCGAGCACGTTGCTGGGAGGGGTATGGATTGTGCATCGAGTTTTGTTGGGTCTGCTGTGGAGGAGGGTGAAAAAGTTGCGATTGGACATGTTGTTGCTGGGTTCGATGAGATGGTCCCAATCTTGAAGATGTCCCCTAGCAAAAAAGAAATATGTATGGTTCCCGAGCACAAACAAGGCACTCACTGGACTGGGAAGCTCCTCGATTCTCGCAGAAGGACGAGGCCCAAGCAGTGTCTCATGCGGCTGGACGGTAGGGGAATATGCAGGCCCAGACCTCAGCCGCGCGAGTTCCTGTCTTTATGAAAATGATCTCAATACTAAAACATAACTCAGGTTTGTCCACTCACTTTGCCCTCTCTCCAGATTCAACCATTTTCTCGAGCGCCGTATAGTGCGAGTACCCACTGTCGACTGTCGACTTGAACGCGTCGAGTTGAGCCTGCATTGCCTGGATCTGTCGGTCGTATAAGGCCTTGGCTTCGTGGTCAACGACCGGCCACGCGTTTGTCATAGGAAGAGCAAGAGCATTATTGGGCACATTCAGAGGCAAGCCACTCGGGAGGGACACATTGCTTCCTGGTCCATACAGCGCGGCGTAAGGGTTAACGTTCCTATGATCATGATTATCGTTGGACATGTCGCGTAATGTCTCCCGTCCCTCGAGTGACAAGGCCACAGATACGGTCTTGGTAAAGGCTAAGGCAAGTAGTGCAGCAAGTCGGCCCAGCGAAATCTCGCAGAAGTGGTCTCTAACGACTAGCAGGTCGAGAAACCACTCGCGGCAAAGCTCTTAGCTAACGGTGATGGAGGAAAGGGCGCAAGGAAGTGACCGTGAGAATTATCGTCACTGAAACTTCTGTTTGTGCCTGCTTGGAATAGAGGTGCACGGAACGGACACTGAGCGTCCGATCGTACCTTCACCTATGGCTTCTCTCTCCCGGCTCTGGAGTCGCTGTGCGGCGCGTTCTTTTGCCTCGGTTTCCTCTTCTTCACCGCCGGTGAACACAGGCTCAGTGGGCCCATATCAAGTTTTTGATCGGCACGCTAAAACCCTACAAAGAGACCGCGCCGCAACGCGCGATGGCGGGGAGCGGAGCAGGACGGTAGATTATCTTCGGGATGAGGTCGCGAGTCGCATGATGGAGAGGTTGCTGGTATGTAGTGCTTCAAAATAACATTGTTCTTGGTATCCTCACAGGACGAGCGCAGGACATTAAACGACAGTTCAATACTATACTGGACCTTGGCTCAGGTCCCGGCCACTTTACAAAGCTGATTGGAAAGGACCGCGCGCAGAAAGTCGTGATGCTAGATTCGAGTGGTCCGTAATTTCCCCCGGCAACAAGTAGAAATAATTCCAAATTCGCGTAGAGACACTCCTGCACCGAGACCCTGCGTCTACCTTCGAAGGTAGGTCAGTGGCGTCGCTCACCCGTAGCAATTGCATGACACTTCCCAGTCGAAGTAGAACGAATATGCGCCGATGAGGAACAACTGCTTGATGTTGTAGGCCGCAACTCACAGGAAGCCGTCACTTCTTGTTTGAGCCTTCACTGGGTAAATGACTTGCCTGGTATGAGTACTCCTGCCCCATCCACTCGCTACTGTGCTGACAATTACCAGGTATATTGATCCAAATCCGAGAATCTCTCCAACCCGACGGGCTGTTCCTGGGAGCCATGTTAGGCGGTGACACACTTTTCGAACTAAGGTCTTCTTCATCCGCATTTTTCAGGACTACCCTACTAATCACGCGTGTATGACCATGATATATGCAGAACATCCTTGCAACTAGCCGAAGTTGAGCGTGAAGGCGGAATCTCTCCACACGTCTCGCCGATGACGGATACGCGGGACATGACGAATCTCCTAGGTCGCGCGGGGTTCACGCTTCTCACCGTGGACACGGACGAAGTGAAGGTGGGGTACCCAAGTATCTGGGAGCTCATGGAAGATCTGCAAGATATGGGTGAAAGTAATGCTATTTTTGGACGGTACGTTGTTCTCCGTTCTCCGTGTAGGCAGAATCGATGAAGAGGAATGGATGTGTTGATAGCCGACCGCTGATCCATCGGGATACACTGACTGCCGCATCAGCTATCTACAAAGGTACGCGGTGTGCTTGCTCGTAAAATACCTACCGCCGAGCCAGGACTATTCGTATTGTAGCCCTCCATGGAAACAAAGACGGTTCGATTCCAGCGACTTTCCAGATCATTTACATGGTACGTGTCTGATACTCACGAGAATGAGACTGAGACTGAGACATGCCACACTGCGTGTAGATTGGATGGAAACCATCACCTACGCAGCCTAAACCCTTGGAGAGAGGGTCAGGCAAGGTTAACTTGAAGGAAGTGTTGTAGTGTACGTATACTTATTTGGCCTACTCCCCGAAGCTTTGTGACCTCCCGAGCTCGGTCTCGCAGTTGTGGGTACGGCAGTCGTGACAAGATGCGTCCTCAAATTCAGACAATACCTCTAAAGCTGTACCAGGAGCCAGTCATACGTAGATATAGCACCCATATGGAGCCGACATCCGGAACGGACCAGCGTTGACATATATTGAAATCTGGAGCGACGCTCTGGCTGTTTGATGTGAATTTGAGTGGAATATGCTCTTCGTCTATCAAGGGTTATGTGCGTGAATTCGAAGGTTAGGGTCGCAACATGATCAATGGTAACACAGGTTGTATAGTTGGAATATATTTAGACCTCACATCCGATATCGTCGTGCCACCGAAAGCAAGAATGTGTACCAGTGGCCTTCTTAAGGCGGAGATTGCGTTTGTCTAGCTCTATGAGCGGTGATATGAGTCACACGATCAACAGCACCTTGAAGTTCGACCAATCCATTCGTCGCTGATTTGCAAGGAGTCAAATCAACTACCGTTGCAGCAAAGCCTATGAAACGCACCGTTGTTGAGGTTGTTGAAATTGTTTCTACCGCCAACGAATCCGCCAAAATTGTAGATCGGACCAAAGTATTTATCGCCTTCGTTGATGTTGACTCGAGGGAGGTTGAGACGCGCAGCTTCGGTAATCACTTGGGTCAGGTCCCTAATGCAGTCTGAAAGCTGGTCCGCTAATCGTCCAACCTGGAGGGAGCTGTTGCCCGTCACCGTTATCTCATCTGTGGAACGTGAGATGTTTGCTTGTACGGAGCACGGGAAGGACCTGAATGTGACGACAGATGCAGTAGCTAAGGGGTTGATATTGACGGGGACGATTGAGGAGTCGAAGGAGTTCCGTCGGGGCCTCTCATGAGAAGCAGAAGCGACGAAAGGATGGCCCCCACGTTCAGGCGTAGACGCTGAGCCTTCCGAGTAATTTGACCATGTAAAGAGCGAGTAAAAGGGTTCAGCCTCGGAAGACAGGCTTGCAGAATTGAGGCGATTGCTGCTGGATAGATCAATTGATCCTGTAATTACAGACGCGTCTGTCATGGTGATGGGTGTATTGCTTATGTGTACAGTACTTCTAGATAATGTGGCTCGTTCCAGCTTGAAGACCGGCTTCGCGTGAAATCACTGCGGTGTCAGAAGGCTTCCGGAGAACGGCATTATGCAATAGAAAGCTACCTGGGTTCTAATTGGGATCAAACCCATCTTCATCGGTATCTTCAAGAGTAGAAAGTGTTTGAGCCTGCGGGAGATAGGAATCTTGATCCCTTGTGTTTGCATCATTGATTTATTTATTAGATCCTCGATGCGGTCGAGCTCCTTCTTGAGTGTAGCATCCCCTTCTGCACTTGAGACTTCCCTACGCAGCTCTCGAGTGATACGGCTCAGTTCCTGACAAAGTCGCAGATGTTCCTCAAAGACAATTTGCCCTAATTGAGTCAGCCTAATAGACAGCATTCAGTGGCGTACTACGGGAAACGGTATCAGAACATATACCTGATCGAATCGAGTAGTCTGTTATCCACGCGTTCCCTCGAGAGTCGCCCCCGAGCTTCTGTTGTGACAACACGGATGATATTCCAGGCAGACTCGACCGTGTTCTCGAAACGCATTAAGCCGGACTTGAGCCGAAACGTTGGTGTCCAGAAATCCTCCAAGAGGTGCTCTTCCCTTCGTTTACCTTCGCCCTCTTCCACCTCCGTCCACATCGTCGTGATGAAGGTGACATGCCGGACAGTGCCTTTTGTATGCAAGACCTTGCATAACTTAAGGTTACGTGCGACGGATACTCGGCGATTGTCCGTTATTCGATGGGCGTAGATGATGCCTGTGAGGACAATGTTCCGGGTCCTGAAAGATAGAAAACTTTCATTATTATCAGTAAAACGATTGAACAGGAACGTACACTTTTTCCCACCATGCTGCAGTAAACCCCAGGCCATCAATATCTGGCGTATCTATAAAAACGATATCCTCCTTGTCATCACGATACCGAACTACCTCCAGTTGCCTGGTACATGGATCCAAGTTATGTCCTACATGTCTGTTGTTATGCCGTGTGGCGGTGTTGATGAACTAATGGTTAGATACGTGCCAGTGAATAGTAGAACCAGATAACTTCACGGAGAATCAACGAACTGTGCTTTTCCCGGAACCAGTAAGGCCCAAAAGACTGGGGTGTAGTAAGTTAAGAGTAAAAAGACTCCAAGAGGGCAACGTACACTATAATGATATCGCTGGGCTTAAGATCTTTGACATCGATACAGGCGACCGTAGGCATTGTCGTGCAATGAGGAATAGACGAGACAGACGCAAATCCGCCTGCCTTTCAATGAACGTTGTAAACGCGAGGCCTGACAAACGAAGTGAAATGATTGGTGGGTTGGACTGATTAACCAAGATTAGGCCGCAGGCAATTCCGGATAGTCATGACATCTGCTATACCAGATGTTTTCAATGAGGTACAATTTACTTCGATTTTTAGCGTCTGGTCGTCTGAGGAGGATTTAGTCCACTTTGATAACGACTTTCCCAACATGTGCCTGAGACTCCAAGTATTTGAACGCTTCGGGCGTTTGGCCGAACGAGAATACTTTGCCAATGACTGGTCGGAGGTCGTGGGCACAAATCAGCCGAAGCATGTCATTGAATCTATGAGGGGAGGAGATAGCATCAGCAAGTATATTCACTGCCTCCTACGCGAGGGCGATCGCGGTCGAACGTACTGTGTTACTGAACCAATCAAGACACCGCGCAAATGGGCGGCTTTCCCGATGATGGGACCAACAAGGCTGGTGTCATCCCCCTACAGTCGCGGTTGTCGTTCGCTGATCAATCAAGTATTTTCACTGTTTATAACGGAATTACCTGAGCCAGGAAACCGATCATATGAATCCAGCCAGAATGTTTGATGGACTGGAGTGACTTGAGCAACGTACCAGGCCCGCCCACCTTATACCATGGAAATGTATCCGTGAGTTACTGCTGCCAACTGGCAATGGCACCAATGGCACCTACTTCGATCACATGGTCAACTCCACGACCATTTGTCTGACAAAGGGACGCGGGGACATATCAGAATCATCTCGTTTTGGTGTAGAAATGGATATGAGATATCCGCTCACAATTGTCTTAACGGTCTCTTCCCAATCTGGAGTCGTCTTGTAGTTGATAAGGTGTTTCGCACCGAGTTTAGAAGCTAGCTTCAACTTCTCATCTGAGGAGGAGGTCGCGATGACCGTGGCACCGGATGCCACGGCGAATTGAAGTCCGAAGCTAATTATAAGGATATTGATTTAAACCATGAGAGTAGAGGGTCGAAACACTGGTTGCGCACATGGATACTCCCCCTGTTCCTCGAATGAGGACGTAGTCGCCGGCCTTGACAGGAATGGGACCAAGGAGAGCATTGTACGCCGTCAATGCAGCGCAGCTGTGTAGGCCAGACCGTAGTTCAGCGGGGCTACGAATCATGTCATATAAACAGGGTACGTACGGAAGAGTCGACGCCTCTTCGAAGGAGAGATGATCGGGAATACGCCCAAGGCCCTGGAGAAGTCCCATTTAACTAAACAGCTTTGTAGTCCAATGAGAAGCGCACCTCAGCAGGACAAATAACGTATTGGGATAATACACCGTGAACAGGTCCACCACTCATAGCTTCCGGCGCGGCATTTCCATCGACGTGCATCTGAGCGAAATTACAGCATACTCGATCTCCGGGTGTCCACTTGCCCCGCGCGTCTTCGCCGACCACAGCAATTTCGCCGCTGTAGTCAGAGCAAGGCACCAGGTCCTCTTGCATTCTAACAACCTTTCATTAGCATGGCATAAACCATCAGGATGAGATGATAATGCACATCATATCACCCCCATAAAGCCCCTTTGCTATAGCCAAATCACGGTACTAGAAGATAGGGGGAAGATAAAGAGAAATCCTCTTTGCGAGCTCGCTTGGAATTAACCTACGTTTAGCGACACTGCTCGTACCTGAACTAGCACCTCGGTAGACTTCAGAGACCTAATCGAGCTTTCCTTGATCGTCAGGTTGTCCAAGGACCCAATCTACGAAGGAGTCAATCGTCAAATCGTTAAACAGCGCCCTCTCTGAAGAAACGGACCTTTGAAAGGACGTACTGCTTGGTAGTCGTTGGGGTAGACATAGTTCTGCAGAGCGGAACTATTTGCTCACTGTGCAGAAGATATATTGTTGGGCCCTGCAAGGATGTGTAAGCTATTTACCACTAAAATCGGAAATTAATCGTGCCCTCTTGGCTCAGCTGGCGTCATCCGGTCGAGCATCCGCTGCAATAACTGAGGCAGATCAGGCATAATGATGGAGTTGTTATTCCAAACGGAAGGCTGACACGACAATGAAGAACAAGACCATTGGTCATGCGTCACGGTTCATGCATTGGAGTCGGGAATTCGAGTCAGGGAGCTCGGTGACTTTGTGGCTTGCTTGCTTGCCCTTTTCCACCCACGTGTGTAAGTCTCAACGCGAGGCATGTCCGGAGGCCTGAGGTCTAGCGGAGACACACTCTTCTCCATTCGACTCGTGGCCAGCTTCCTCGCGTACTATTTGTAGTACCATGGAACACCACACGGATCTGTTATCCATCCGGTTCGTGTCCATGAAGCGCGTGATCATTCACCATCACATTTCAAAGCTCCTTTTCATAGTCTCATCCCTACAGTCTATCGACTGAACTAGCTCAGCACGCGAGACAAGGGAAAATAACCGTGGCATCGATATCGCGACGTACCCAAGGATGTTGACGACGCCGATCGTTTGGATTCCATGAATAATAGGTACATCATCTATATCTCTACGGCTGGCCTTGCGCCGAGGAGATGAAGTTTTGTTTCCAAGACAGTGGGCTTGGGGCGCTCGAATGAAGAGGACATATGTGGTGGCGGAGGAGCCAGGCTGGACGGGCCGACAAGGCTCCACTTAGTCGACCGCCTTTTGAATGGGAGGTTCGACTTTCGTATCGGCAACGGGTGGGTGTTTCCCATCATCATCACCTTCATGGCCTTCCTTGCCATCATCTTCCTCTGCTTCCGGTTCGTTTGTCCGGAACTTCCGCTTGGGTACGACGGCATACAAGGCCTGTTCCCAGTCTTTAGTCTCCGCCCATTTGATGAGGATCTCCATTACTTGGTTCACGGTGAGCACTTTGCGAGTGGGCATCTGGGCAAGGTAGCGCCCGATGGGCAGCCTCGCAGCACGAACACCAGATTCTTTGGCTTTATTCAAGCACAAGTTCTACAACGGTGGCCGTTTAGAGCTTAATTAATATCTCTGATAAAGAATTCCAACCTTGTACCGATTATGATCGCATATTCCGCCGATGATGTAGGTTTCGTCTTCTTTGAGTTCCAGGAGTTCATAGTCTGCATCTGCCGTGAGATAGACGACGTTGCCTTGTTCCGTTACACCGTCACCCCACAGTTTCTCGTATCCCTCTTGCCACCATTGCGTGTTGGTCCATCGCTTATATCCAGCATCATTCAAACTTTCCAGACGGGCCAAGGTGCGGCCGTTTAATGACGAGAAGAAGAGGGAGAATGGATACATTGCATGACGGTTTGCGCTATAGGTATACGCTAGCTGCGATGTCAACGATACAATTTCCTGTGGATGCTCAGTCAGTTGCAGATCGCGGGTGTCAAAGCCGAGGGCCTCACCTTCTCATTCATCTTATCATCGAAGCCAAGATCGAGGACTACTTTCCCCTTAAAATCGGTCACGACGCGCGGTTTCTTGCTGGCCCTCTTATCATCCTCGTCGTCGAGCTCGCCGGCTGCTCGCTTCAACGCGTGCAGTCGTTTCTTCTCTTTGCGCGCTTCTTTCTCGCGCGCCCGGCGCTCGAGCTTGTTGGCTGCAAACCGCTCTGCCTTTGCCTGCTTCTTGAGGGCGTTTTTCGAAAGGGGGGCGGGGGGAGCAGTGTTATCAGGCATCGGGCGTCAGGCACTGCAGGAACGATATGGGACGAGGCTGAATTGAGATGGACAGAGTTCCCGGTAAATGCCGAGAAGGCGGACACAGTGAGTTCAGATTGGGACTGGGTCTGCAACTGACCAGCCACTATCACTGTTTCTCCTCGACCACCATGCCGCCCGCCTCATCGTCCTCATCGTCGCCGCCGTCGCAGGAGCCCCTCAAGTTCATTTCCCTGCCGCCAAAGTCGAGGCACTCAGCCACAGTCTTCTTCATCCATGTACGTGCTGCTCCCCCATTTTCTCATTTTTCTCACAAGCCTTCCAACGGTGACGCCAACTTCTATGATTCACGATCTTCTTCATCATCCCTCCTCTGACCCCCATTCTTCGACCCTCGTATTCCACACCGTTCTGCACGCGCTCATCACATCAATGTCTCTCAGGGCCTTGGAGATACAGGTCATGGCTGGAAGCCCGTAGCAGATATGTTCCGTCTCGACCCTGCCCTTAGCCATGTCAAGTGGATTCTCCCCCATTCGTGAGTCCCCCTCGTCATTCTGCTTCTCTAGTCATCAACGCTCGTCATCGTCTGGCGGCGAGGTGATCTTCAGTGCATGGTTCCTGGCTCGCGATCTGGCGCCTGGCGCCCATTGATTCCCCGTATTCGATTGGCTGAAATTGACATAATTGACGACACATACGATAGACCTGTACGCGCGGTCCAAGCAAACTTGGGCATGGAAATGCCGTCGTGGTGCGTGGACAACAGAACCCAAGTCTTGCTTTGATCACACTCACGGTTATTGATAGGTTCGATATCTACTCATTTGGATTTAATACGGACGAAGACGAAGTGGGAATGATTCAGTCCGCGCGGTCCATAAATCAACTTATCATGAACGAAGTCGAATCTGGTATGGATCCCAGCCGTATCATCTTGGGCGGCTTCAGTCAGGGCGCCACTATGTCGTTACTCACAGGCATGATGAGTGAGCTCAAGCTTGGTGGCATCATTGTGTTGAGTGGGTGGTTGACGCTGCGGTCAAAATTCAAGGAGGCGAGTTGCACGTTTTTCATTTGCACCATTCGCCTCCGGTGATCCGATCTCAGACTTTATCCTTATCCCCATCATGATTGGGCGTCACCCACTAACACCACTCTTCTGTGACCCCACAGATCGCTTCTGCACACGCAGCATCAACACCAGTCTTCTGGGGGCAGGGAGCCCAAGATTCGTTGGTAAAATCGACATTCGGGCGGGAGTCTGCCGATTTCCTGGTCACGGAACTGGGCATGCCAGTTGGTGTGCCCAATGAGTGCCGTGGTCTGTCGTTTATAACTTACGACAACCTCGGCCATGCTACGAACCCCATGGAGCTGGACGATGTATGCAATTGGATGAAGAAGGCAATACCTGCGGAAAAGGCTCGAAAATGAATCCCACTCGGGCAGTTTCTCTCTTCTCTGCTTTCTTCTCGGGTTGTTATCTATGGTTTTGCATTGTACTGCTCTGTCGCTCCGCATCTCGTCGTCCTTGTATTTTTTATTGTTGGTAATGGCTGGTTCAAGCGCACTGTTGCATGTGGGTTTCTGACCGGGTCCCTTGTTTCACTAGTCGATCATAACTGCTTTCTCCAGCCAACTGTACAACTTGATTATGGAAGCTATTGTGCTTACCATTATCATTTCCCCTTTCCCCCCGTAACTTAAAACGGTGCTGCTCGCCCGTTCCGCGTTACCTCTTATCGATCATTACGCCTGCCCTTCTTTATACCTATCGGACTTCATTGATCACCAGAGGTTGTAATGACCTCATTTGGCTGTGGAGTTTGTTTCTTCTGTTGTACAGGTCGTCGCCCTTAGATTCTCTCTGTCTGCTATGCCATCTACGCCTCCCCATTCCCCTCGACACATAGTTCTAGGTTGTACATATTGATTCGGAATCATGCACATACACACACACGATGTACAATGACCTCCTTGGGACCTTGCTGGATTATGTTCTTTAAAACTATTACGCAATGTCAGGTACCTTGTGCGGAATTGGTCTCCTCCTCGATTCTCGATTCTGTGAGATTTGGACGATTAAGGTAAGTCGTAGACACTCGAATAAATCTAGGGACATTAGACGCTAAGCCTAAGTAGGAAGGCAGCCTTCTATAAAAGGAGCTAATGGATGAGCCACGAAGTCCAACAAGAACCGGGCTTATTGCAACACTACAACCTCCGCAGAATCAGTGGCATTTCCATATGCTCCAAGGCATCTACTTCTGCGCAAATGATATGTCCTTATGTCCGTCAATCCCCTCGTTCGACAATCAGTAACTATTTAAGTATAAATCGTGATACACATGGAAAACATGAGTATTCGTGTAGATCTTTCTCGATGGTTCTGATGTTGAGATGGAGAAAAGGCGCCGCAATGTTGCGTGATACCAGCTGGTCAAGCTGTGGTGAGTATGTAGCTCCCTTTGGCGTAGGGGGGATTGAACCTTCCCTCGGTACCATCAAACTCGGGCAGGGGTGGAATGGTCCGAATAGGCTTCGTCCTCTGCCAGCTACAGGCTCAAGGATCATCCTAGAGACTTTGAGAAGTCGCTCGGATGGGCGGAACGTCGAGATCGTGACGCCATGTTGAAAGTTCAATTAATTCATGGCTGTACGAATCCTGGCATTCTTCGATGTCAACTCACGTCCTCCTCAAAGGGCACGTTTGTATAAGCGACAAAATACATAACGGCATGCCGAGAGATTACATGTCACCCACTGAAATGAATTGTGGATGTGGTATCAAGGGACGACTAGAGACGGAAGCACTACGAAGGCTCTGCGTGCTCATTGGTTCCTCGGTCGATTGTAACGGTATTCGCCATTCTGGACTGCGTGGTTTATGAAACTCCTATCGCTCATATGGCGGTCGACATTCCGAGTTTCAAGGAACTCCTAGAGCTCCAGATAACTTCAAGGGGAATAGAACGGACATAGATACGGACAAGCCTGTCATACATAACTCAGGCCAGTCACTCGGTCGATGGCCGACTCCACTCTGTTTTTGTTGACAGACCGCGAGTTACTGTGAGGCACATAGCACGAATCTAATCTTCCGTGTGAAGGCCGTACGGAGAATGTCATACGGCGACTCCAGGTCACTCGGAGCCGAGGACTTAGTCGGTTCGCGGAGCTTCAGGGTCTTTGCTGAGGGGACTGGTATTGTCTTGGTTCTGGTCATGGCTACGTGGAAGCGATGCCCTACCTATTGGTAGGATGTCCTTCACATAAGGGACAATGAATATGCCAATTGTCGCGGTACATATAGTACTCTTCATTCCAAGGCTAAGAAGCTATGGGGTCAATACTCCCCCTTGTTTCCATAACCGCGCGACCACGAGGCCAGTGAATGCATTCAGTCAGGTCAACTGCAGCTACACGCTCCGATGCGCCCGTGGATAGATGGTAGTTCAGCATCACAAGTTCAATTGGCATATCGTGCGGGTTTGTGATACTCCTCGTGCCCCTACCAGATTCGTCGACGGTGCTAGATCTCCTTGAAGGGAGGCTTTTGAATCCTTTCCCCCGGTAGAATCATTGATGATCTTCATTCTTGCCTATCGATATCAACGTCAGTGTGTCATGAGACAGCTTCGGGATAGTATAAACGCTGGTGAAACTAATCATCCGCATCATGAGACCGCGATATACTTTGCGCGATAAATAGAGTCAGATAATACCTATTCCTGCCCTCCAGGTAGGTTTCATTTACCATCGCCCTCTGTCCCTCGTCCCCTCTTCTGTGGCACTTGGAAGTAAGTGCGATAAGGTCATGGGAAAGTATCGGAGATTGCCGAGTTTGTTATCGCAGCATGCTCGCAATGGGGCAGCAATCGCAGCGGTTCACCACATTTTCCGTCTAGTGACCCAAACATTGCTGTTATGCACGATATAGAGAACCCACCCAAGCCTGATGATTCGCCGCCACCATACACACTGATGGACGAGTCGGGCAATCAGGGAGCATCTTCCTCTGCGCCTCCGGGTGGTCCCCCCAGCACGATAGTCGTGACACCCCCTTCCCCCGTCAACGGAAGCCGGCCTATTTCGCCCTCGCAGAGACAAGTACAACTCTTCGGGCCAACACCATTGCAGCAATCGCAACCCCTGTTGATTCCGTACTATGACCCCCATTCGCCGTATTCCCTTTCACGAGCCGATTCGAGAACTCGGTGGCGGTTTATCGGTGCGGTGTTATGGACGGTCGTTCTGTGTGTCATATTCAGTGGAATATGCGTAGCATGGGACCAGGGATTCAGGTTCGATTGGGAGAGGAATTGGCCTGTAGGGGGAGGGAATAGCACACACCAACAACACTGGCAGGCTAGTTGACGGCGGTAGCCCAGGATTGACGCATTTTGTGGGTCAGTTGATTGCATTATACGGTTCTTGTTGTATTCTCATCGATTCTCCCGTTAGGGTACGCTATAGCTTTGGAGTCCTCTATTTCTTGAGTGACGGACTGGTTAAGACTTGGATTTTCTTTTTGAACTCATTATATCTTATCATAATAGGGACAGTCACGTTAGATCGCATCTTGTAAGCTACGAACACATTCTCTTTCTTTGTTATGCGCTCAATTACCTTCTGTCCTTGAGAGTATCAAAAGTCATAACCAACTTCTCCAGCCGCGCCCCGTAAACACGAGTACGTACCGACGAATGTCATGGCTCATTAGGCGTGCAAGTCGTCAACGCGGGAGTCCGTGGAGGGAGATCTTCACATTGGGCCATCTTCTGAGCAGGGAGCGACGTTCCAGTTTGCGCTTCTCATAGGCTTTGCAACCATCAAACCTCAACCTCCCACCGTTACAAAAAACCAACGCCTCTTGAATCTAACCTTCGGACTTCAAAGAAGTAATACCGCCACTTTCGATTCGCTACCGGGAATTCCTTCGCGCGGGGATATCAATGTCGATTCGGAAGGTTAGGTTACCGCAGGCTAGTAACTTCGATGAGCTATGACGGTGTGTGGGGGGATCATGAGAACATTAAGGAGTTTGTGTGGGGTACCGGGGATTGGTATCGGATTCTAGACCATCCTACCTTCCACCAGACATCGCTTCTGGGAGTGGTCCAAATGTTAATACAGGTCGGATACCGTCCTGCGATGATTTTTGCACAGTGCACGCAGTTTATGTAATAGACAAGCTCGACAGGCCCGGGAGGTCACTGGAACTCCCCTGCACCGTTATCGATTAACAACGTGTAGCAGCATGGTGCGGTTATTTAAGACCAGCATCAAACACAATATGTTGAGGCAGCTCTCTTTTCAGCTACATACCAGCTACCGACTCGACATATGATATCAACCGAGCTCGAGGCTCGGCATGCCAATCAATTTATCAACAGCAAGCCTGCTCGGCGCCGTGGCTGGCAGAAGCGGCCGAAGACCGCAGCGTGCAGTTTATTAGCTCCAAAAGTCCATGGGTCCTGTCACAAATCATAAGAGCAATTTGGCGTCGCAGCACTGTTCTCGCATGCACTAATTGCACGATGCAAAATTCGGTGCAGAATTCGTGCTTCCATGCAATGCTTAAGCGCAGCCGGTCTGTACCGTTTACGCTCCTTCAGTTTTGACCATTCGACTGATATCTCCCAGACAATTGCACCCTCCAATTGTGAAAGCTACTTGACGACGAAAAAGGAACTACAACGACCTTGGGCTTTTTGTGGGGACAGGCGGATTGTGAAGTGTGTGAAGGGAGAACAAGGTCGCCCTCACGAGCCTTTGACGTGAAAAGAGCTACGGCTTGACCATATCCTCGTTCTTGCCCTTCACCCGAATCCCCTCTTCATTTCGCTCGACGAGCACCGCTCTCACAACACGGCCGTCCGCATGCAAATACTACTAGTACGCAGTGCCTGTTTGCACACCGCAAAATGGAGTACAGCAAATAGGATAAAGGGAAGCTAGTGCTACAGAGAGTAGTCGTGGGCACAATGGGAGGCATAATAGGTGTGTCCGTCGCTTTGTCCATTGTGCCTTCGTCGAGGCGAGCATTGACGGCGACAGTGACAATGGCTGATAACGTAAGCAAATAAGGTTTGAGGTTAGGGTTTGATGTTGTTGAGTGGTCTGTGCGCGGGAATGTTTATGGATTGAGACATCTGTGACTTTTTGTTTATCGGCCCCGCCCGCTTCTCTTCACCCCATCACACTTATATCCTCTCGATCGCAACTCCCCCTTTCCCCGACACCGACAACGTTCCACGCACCCCTTTCCTCGCCGTTCTCGACAACGAGCAACCACACCCGTACCCTTTACCCACTGCTGCTTATCCTCTACCCTGTTAAACACATTCAACACAATCTTCTGTGCATTTAATCCGAAGGAACTACATCCGTCCCACGCGTCGCGCAGCCAGCACCGTCCGTTTCCCGACGTTCTGCTCGCCGTTGACCACAGCCCCCGACACCGGCTCTCCAGTGCTCTCGTCCATCGTTCTCTCGCTCATTTTCACATTCGTTGCGCCGCTGCTGCGCTCAATTTGTTGATGTCAGTAGTCTGACCTCGACATCTCCTGCCAGTACCCCCAGATCCTTCCACTCGACTCACCTTTGCCCAACCTGGCCTCTTCAACACACCCTGACCCTCGTCTTGTGGACGAGGACTACATAAACAAATCCCTCTTAGATTCGCTCGACGCTACAGCTGACGCCGAGCCAATGAACTCTGTCGTTGATACCGAACACGCGCAACACCAATCTCATTCGACAGCCCACTCCAACTCCTCCGACTCCCCTTCTGTACCTTACCACATCGCCATGCAATCCCAACAACAATCTTTGCTCAGACCGGAATCTCCCTCCGACAACAACATTAATAGCCACATGCATCTCCACCATCCTATCCAATCCCAGCAAGCGTCCCTTTACGATCTACATTCTCAACAAAACCAAATGTACAGCGCTGGCGCGGATTACTCCTCCGATGTCGAACAGAGGCAACACCACTCCGCCAAAATAAATGGCTTTCCTCCCATGTCAAACGGACCGTTTAGGTCACCTCCCTATCAGTATGGCACCAATGGTCGCTCTCGAACACTTACAGCATCGTCCATCCTTCCACCTTCCATATCAGCTCGGGATGGTCCGACTTCGTATTATTCACCATCGGCGTCTGACGTTTTCTCACCTCAGATGACATCGCCCACCCAACCCCACATGCAGCCTTTCGATGCACGAGCCAGTCATGATTTCGCTGCATCTCAAGCAGGTTTGGTGGGCCCGAGTCATAAGTCGTTTGGAATTGATGCGTATGGTAATGGTGCAGTCGGCTCCGGTCTCGGGGCTTACCAAACGAATGGCAAAGCCCTTGTGCATTCCAATGGCTACGCTGTACAATCCACCACGTACAACAACGTCCAGCTTTCCTCGCAAACGCCTTACGGGCCTCATGTAGCAACCCCACTGCCCTCTGGATCTATCAACGGCTCTAGTGCCGGCGCTCCCCATGCCATGTTGACTACTAATGGCATCGGCTTACTGGGAGCAGGGGCTACCCGTAATGAAGCATCCCATGAAGAGATATCCACAATTTTTGTTGTAGGATTTCCCGACGACATGCAGGTAAGTTTGTTACGTAATCATCATCAATATAGGTATTAACGTTGCACCCAGGAACGCGAATTTCAGAATATGTTCACTTTCTCCCCAGGATTCGAAGCTGCAACTCTGAAGATACCCAATGGCAACAAGGATTTCCATGCTTACGGCACGTCTGCCTTGAGTGGTCGAACGGGTGCGGGCTACAGTAACGGGTATATGGGACCCAACGATCCGTACAACCTTGTCACCGTCAATCAGGGTGGCGTAGTCGTAGACAACGGTCGCGACGGCATGCTCTCGTCTTGGGGTCCAAATACATCTGGCGACGAAGGTCCCTCAGGTCAATTCCTAGGTCAAAACGGCTTGGGTATCCCTCGCAAGCAAATCATCGGATTTGCTAAGTTCAGGACTCGAGAGGAGGCACTAGCAGCCCGTGATGTGCTGCAAGGCAAACGCGTTGATATGGAGAAAGGCGCCGTCCTCAAAGCTGAAATGGCGAGAAAGAATCTACACACGAAGAGGGGCGTTGGCCCAGTGACCGGCCTTGCAGGCGCGGGTGCCTCCGACATGGTTGGTGGAGCTCTTGCTAGCATGGGTTCTCTTCAGCAAGGCCTCGTCACCGGGCTGGGCGAAACTCTTGGATACGTGAATGGCGCGGAGCTCAGTAACCGTGATCGCGAAATGGGTATGCTTGGTGCCATGGGTATCTCCTACAATGGTCGATGGCGTGATCAGCTCGTCGATCCCAATTCTGTGCAAGGACGGAGGGAGAGGGATGAAGAAGACAGGCGGCGCGAGCGTGAAGCTGGCATCCTCAACGCCATGGGCCTTTCTTCCACTCGTGGAGCCCGCGAGAGGGCTGAAGAAGAAGAGGGTCAGCGTCGTCGTAACAAACTTCGCGTAGGGAATAGCGCTGCCTACGATGCCTTCCACTCCGTCCCCGCTATGGCGATGTCGAGGCAAGGGTCTCAACTCAACGGCACCAATTCGCTTCTCAATGCAGAGCGTGAGGGCTTGAACGGAGCTGTCACGTCTAATGGATACGTAGACCGAGGCTTCCCAGCTCTGAGCGATGATGGCATGCCGCCTTGGGAACAAGTTGTCAAAACTGCACCTCTGCCGATATCTACGTCGTCGCAGCGCTCGTCCTCCCCCCACCTGACCTCAAGCTCTGCGAACTCCAATTCTGATCCAGCTCGTTCCTTCTCTCCGTCAGTTGGCGGGCAGGATCAAGGGCGCCAGCACTCCCAGTCCAGTTCGAGCTCCTCGTCAAGTGTCATCGGTCCCGTTCAATATGGTGTAACACACGTGCATGGTGTTATCGGCGGCCCTCTTCGAAATGGTGATAACGTTGATGCGGACATGGCGAGAGCAGTAGGCGACCTCGCCGTCAATATCAACAACGGAAACACGTCGCCTCAATTGCCGTCACCCTCTTCCGGCACCAGTTCTGGCGGGAGCGGCCGCAATGGTGTAGACCAGAATCCTCCTATTAACACCCTCTACGTCGGAAATCTGCCAAATTCTCTGTCCCCTCCAGGTCAGTCCCAAGACTGCCTGGAAGACAGGTTGCGCGACCTTTTCAAGGCCCAGCTTGGATACCGTAAAATGTGCTTCCGCCAAAAGGGTAATGGTCCTATGTGCTTTGTTGAGGTATGCCCATCTCTTGAAATCTCTGTTGGTCAGATCTAACGTTACCCATTAGTTCGATGATGTTTCATACGCCACCAAAGCTCTTCAGGAACTCTACGGGCATACCCTGAACGGCTTAGTGAAAGGCGGCATTCGACTATCCTATAGCAAGAACCCGCTCGGAGTTCGTACGCCCACAAGTGCCGGTAGCAATGGACCGACTATGCAGCAGCAACAATTACAAGCTGCTTCTATCCAGCAATCTAGTCCATACAGTTCAGACGTCTTTTCTAACAGGTTTGACGACCAAGTGAGACCAACAATCCTTCGCCGCGACACCAATCCACCTCCCGCACAAGGCAACTACATGACCTCGCCTCCTCCCCGTTTCGTGTCACCAGTCCCTCCGACAGTGAATTTTAGCTCGTCCAGCTCTGTGCCCAATATCCTCCCCAGAGGTAGCCAACCTAACCTCCAGGGCTACGCTTCCTCCTTCTCTCCCTTCGGCCTACCAAGTCCTTCATCATTCGACTCGGATTCCGGGGTACCTGAGCCTGACCCATCCTATTCACACCATGGTTCCAGTCCCCCATGAAGCCAGTAATGCTAATTGGGCTCCGCATTCTCCTCTCCATCCATCTTCTACTCAACAACATTCATCTCTCAACTCTCAATCGCAACCCAGATCGTCGCAATAACATATGTAACAAGTCTCCCACATCACATCGCGCACCGCGCACACTACATGTTCTTCTATCACCATCTCCCGTTCCACTTCGTCTGTTTATTTCTTGATTGCATCAGGTCTCAGCCGGCTCATGTGTATTGCTCGTCGGACTGCTGTTGTTTTGCTCATTTGTTTATCTATAGCCTCCTGCTTCTTTCGCAAAACACATTCATCCCCTCGCACGTCACTTCACTGCTCTTATATCCCTACATTTAAAGCACCGTATTTCTCCCATCCATCCGCAGTGACTGATAATTCACTCCCATACTGATCCTTTTCCTTATTTATTCGCTACATTCCTGCAATTATCGACCATCGTTATATATATATATATATCCTCTGTTCTTTCTTATCCATTGCATTCCACATCCTTGTCATAGCTCTAGCCTCCCCCGTATCCTCGTGCGACCCACATCGTCGCTCCATTCACGATCATGTATATTACGACTTTTGCAATTGAACCTATACCACACTTCCTCACCACACTTCCTCGTAGTTTCATACCGGAGTTTATAGAATTACAGCCCATGTTTTTACCTAAGTCCAATTGAGTCTTTGAATGGGTTACTATACTTTGGCTGGGGAGTAATGTCGCATGGCGCTTTTGGGGACAGTTGTCCGTATACACATATTGTTACAACTTTAACAAGACACTTTTTTCCAATACATCTTACGCCCCCAGTCCTCCAAATACGATGAGCTTGTCGTTCATATACTCCGTAATCCCGTGGCCACCCTCACGCCCAAGCCCACTCTCCTTGACGCCTCCAAACGGAATGATAGCTTGGGAAATCAGCCCCGTATTGCAACCCACCATCCCAACCTCCAATTTCTCAGCGACACGCCACACCCTCCCGACGTCCCTCGAGTAGAAGTACCCCGCAAGGCCTACATCCACAGAATTAGCAAGCTTCACGACTTCGTCCTCTGTGGTGAACTTGATGAGCGCAGCTACGGGCCCGAAGGTTTCTTCTTGGTTGACGAGGGCGGTGGTGGGGACATCAGAGAGGAGGGTGGGGAGGAAGAAGGAAGTGTCTGGAATGGGTTTCCCGCCGACGAGGACTTGGGCTCCCGATGCTACGGCGTCGTCAACGTGTCTGGTGACTTTTTCGACTGCGCGAGAGTGGATGAGGGGTCCGTGAGTCCTATACATTGGCATGGAAATTCCTCGAGTTAGACTGTGATTGTAGTATGGATGATGAATGGGTCTGAGTACTTACGTCGTAGAATCTAACCCATTCCCAACTTTGAATTTCGCAACTTTATCTGCGAGCCTTGCAGCGAACTCGTCATAAATTGATGCCTGCACGTAGATTCTGTTAGCACAGACGCAGGTCTGCCCACTTCCACGGAATTTGCAGATGGCAGCACCTAAGGAAAACGGGGGATAATTAGATAGACATAGCGATTACTGAAAATGACTCGCCCTCGACGGCATCATCCATATTCGCATCGTCGAATACGATGAATGGAGCGTTACCACCAGCTTCGAGTGACACCCTAACAACATAACATCATCAGTGCACCGCTGAAAAAAAGCAAACAGCCACGAAGCCAGAGACCAAGGCCCTGAACCCAGTATCATGTACTTACTTCTTAAGGGTGGACGCCGCCATGCCGTAGAGAAGTTTAGCCACGGGTGTGGACCCAGTGAACGTCACCTTGCGGACTAGCTTGTTTTCACACATCTCTTTCCCGACTTCGATGACATTCTTCTGAGTTGTGACGACATTGATCACGCCGTCTGGGATACCGGCACGTTTTGCGAGCTAAAACACGTCAGATATTAATATGCATTGGTGATTGTACACACACCTCGACGAGGGCCAAAGCAGAGAAAGGGGTTTCTGGAGGAGGTTTTATGACAGCCGTGCAACCAGCGGCGAGGGCAGCACCCAGTTTGCGGGTGATCATAGCAGATGGGAAGTTCCATGGTGTCAAAATAGACCTGTGTGCCCCGGCATGGGTTTGAGACGGTGTCCGTCGATAATTAATTATAGCGGTGAGGATACTCACACAACACCTGTCCAAGGAAGGCTAGGTCAGATTGGGCCGCGTGATGGGGTGTGGGGTGTGGGGAAGGTAGGCGCAGATATGTACCTATTGGCTGCTTGATGACGACATTGCGAACGCCTGGTAGAGCGCACGGTAGGTGTTCTGTCGGAAAAGTGTTATCATCAGATAGTCAAGGGCCCAACGGTGAGAATATACCCCCATAGGTCCTAACGGCCTCCTCCGCTGTATGATGCGTTAGAAGACATTGTATGGAATGAATCCCTGGACCGACCAAACCACTATAGTGTATGAAGTAAGCATAACCCGATCGCCGAGAGTGTAGTAGAGCTTGCCTCAATGAACGACGCGCTATATGTCATTTCGCCCTGTGGAAGCCGTGAGGGCGGTGTCATGAGGGAAGGTTGGTTGGGCTACCTTTCCTTCAGCTAATGGCTTTCCGTTCTCGATGGTCTATACAGCAACCAATGTTAGGATGGCCTTCAGCAGGGCGTGTCTGCAACGTACAATCATCCTTGACAGATCATCATGGTGCTCTTGCAGCAAATGGAATAATTTTATCATGAGATCGTGTCGGTACTGCTCTCCTATCAGTCATTGGCCACATTAGCCAATATAAATCAGTTGCTCACCTTCGCGGTCGTCTTCCCCCATGTCTGGAAGGCAACCGACGCAGCGTCAATAGCCTCTTTCGTCTCCTCTAGACCCATCTCAGGTACGGTGCCGATTTCCTCATTCGTAGCTGGGTCTGACCACCGTACATGAGCGGTGAGCTTTGTGGAGTACTTGCCTGCGAGTGGGTTCAGTACTCACTATTGACAGAGATCGTGGCGCCGCTCTTGGCGTCAATCCATTGCCCGTTGATGAACCCTTGATTCTTGATCAACGAAGCGTCTTTCAGACCAAACTACGCGCATGAGAACGGGGATAAGTTATTGAACGAGTACTTCGTGTCGTGAAGCTGAACGGCTTACTGCTGAAGCTTGTGAGCTTGCCATTCTTCGGAGCGACGAGAGGATGGTGGGCTGGTGCCTTGTGATATGTCCCAGGCGTATCGCTGAGAACCTGACAGAATTTGAGAAATGCATCACAAGTTCAACCGGCTGTGGGACAATATTGCCGATCGGCCCTCAAATCCGGAGACGGAGTAGAGTGATCGAGCGCCCGCGCGCCGATTTCCACCTTTGGCCCCCCCGCCGTATGTGTAATATGCCGACGCTAGCACGTGCTCATCCTCACGCTTGTACGCCATTTCGATTTGAGATTCTTCATTTCTTCACGGCGACTACCCTCGACCGCCCATCCCGGAAAATGTCCTCTGCTGGTAATGCAGCGCCTGCTGCAGCTCAGCCGCAGAACGCTGCCCCCGAAGAGTCTACGTACAGAAAACTCTTCAATGTCGCGCAGGTACGAGCTATTCCTTATCCCGAACTTCGAAGCAAACTAACATGGAGGGAAATAGCAAGTGTTCATAGTGTGGATGATCACCCAAATTGGTGCGTTCTGGGCTTGTAGCGTTAAGTGCGGGTAAACTCATATTCCTGTAGCCACGAACTACTTCTCTGGCAAAAAGCCCGTCAGTCCTCCTGGGGGCAGCCCGACGAAAGATGCGGCACCTGTTGATCCACGGAGTCTTCCAGCCGTCCAAGCAATATCTGCGTGGCCTTTGGGAATCCCCCTCGACATGCACGTATACCTGTCGACCGCGCCTTACGGCGACGTGTTCTCGCGGCTGTGGACTTCAGGGTATAGAAAGGACGACGACGAAGGTCTTCCGAATTTCGTATGGAAGAATATCACCTGGGGCGACTGGAACGATGCTAGAGTCGAGGAATTTGATATCAAGTTCCCCGAGGTAAGCCGATTATGGCTTTTGACCGACGTACACAGCTGACGACGCACTGTAGCGGGTGTTGCACAACGGTACATTGTGGGCTGACGTATTCTTGACGAAGGATCATACAGACCCTGACCCCCGGCATCCCTCGTTCAACGCAGACAACATACATCACGTTAGAAAACGTGAGTTCGCGTTCTTCCATCATCGAGTGCACAGTTAAACCATACCGCCAGTCTTGACTCCGTACCTCCCGCGCGTCAAAGTCCGCAAAACGAAGAACCTCATCTCTGGAGACAAGGGGGATGAAGAGCCCGAAGAAGTTGAACAGGATATGATTGTTCCGCACTGGCATAAAGTACGCCCTTTCTCCCAACTTCATTATAGAAGGCCACTCAGCGTTGGCCGTAGAACCTGACACTGGCCCTCATCTCCGATGCGCCCGTCGTGCCTATTGGCCAACTCCCTCCTCCAATCCGTGAACGTGCGTAACTGTCCGTTCCATCGTTTTATTGCGCGCTGAAGCATATATAATATCCAGATATCCACACCATTCCAGACCTGCGTGATGAGACGGGTACCAAAGGTTTCTACAAGCCCATTGTGTTCCCCAACGAATTCTGGCACCTCCGGTCGCACATGGTAGAGGTCAACACCAGCACACCAAACCTACCGCTACAAATCACTTTCCAGCCCATGTCATACATGAAGTTCCAAATGTTCGCTTCAATGACGCATGGCTTCAACGAAGCCGCCAAGCAACAAGGAGCTAGTGCCGGTGCTGAGTTAGACGAAATCAAACGGATGTTGCTCGAGACGAATCCGTGGTTTTTGGGTCTGACGGCGGCGGTTAGTATCCTGCATGTTGTGTAAGTGATCTAGCCCACAAGGAGTTTACGCCCTAATCTTTCGTAGCTTTGAGATGTTAGCATTCAAGTCCGATGTTTCGCATTGGAGGCAAAAGAAGGAAATGGTTGGGGTCTCCCTCAGGTATGTCACGCGTCTACGTAAGGTTCCGCTCAGCGTCCTAACCCAGTTACAGAACAGTGAGATATTCTACCATCCGAGGAAGCTCTCTGAGCACAGCTGACTATTCCTCCGTAGATCATCACCAACGTCTTCGTTCAGCTGATCATTTTGCTGTACTTGATCGACAACAACGAGAACACGAGCTGGATGATTTTGATGGGCTCTGGGATGGGAGTGCTCATCGAAGCGTGGAAGGTGACTCGCCTTCCCTTCCTCATTGGAATATACTAAACGACCGCATGCGGTTAGATAACCAAAGCTGTCGATATCTCAGTCATTCCTGCCCCCGCTGGTTCTATGTTGCCATATAAACTAGACATCCAAGGTCTGCCCACCTCCTTTCATCCACAATATATCCTGACACGAGGCTCCAGATAAGCACGTCTTGACTGAAGACGAGAAGAAGACACAAGAGTGCGCCTTCCTCCACCTTCCGGACAATCTGGTCTCCTAATTATCTCAATTGCAGATACGATAAGCTGGCCTTCCAGTATGTGTCATACGCAGCTGTACCAACCCTGGCGGCGTACACAGGCTATTCTCTGATGTACGAGACACATCGAGGATGGTACAGTTTCGTGATCTCGACCCTTACCTCATACGTCTACATGTTTGGCTTCGTGAGTCTACCTACTATCCGCACTGGGCACAAAGACTGACTTAGTCGTCTGCAGGCACAGCTCGTGCCGCAGCTCATCATTAATTACAAACTCAAGGTCAGGACGTCGCTGAACAGCGATTATTCTGGATAATTGATGGCTCCACAGAGCGTAGCGCACATGCCCATGAAGGCCATGATATACAAATCGCTATCCACCGTCGTAGACGATCTATTTGCGTGCGTCCCATCGTTCCCGAGTCGGGCGTCCGGCGCAACCAACCTGATTTCCGTACTAGGTTCTGCATCAAGATGCCGTTCCTGCACCGCCTAGCGTGTTTCCGAGATGACGTCGTCTTCCTTGTCTTCTTGTACCAGGTGAGTCGCACAAAGCGACCTGGTGCTCTGCTTGTGACTCACATTGCCCCCCTCTTAGCGCTGGATTTACCGGATAGACCCGAAGCGAGTCAACGAGTATGGTCAGGTGCTGCCTGAAGATGCCATCGCTGCCATAGACGGAAGCAAGGAGACAAAGAAAGATCGGTGATTGGCACGCAGCTCCTCGCTGTACCGCTGATCTCTCTTGTGGTTAGTCTCGTGGATCGGTGCTCCAGCCATCGTGGCTTTTGACTCACCTCGAGTAGATGTGTATTAGACAAGCTTGATGTACTGCTTTACACTACAACACAATGTCAATCATTCGAATCTATTTGCATGTAGGTAACAATCTATCCAATCAACTTGACTCTGCCTTAGCAATACTCAACTCAGATTCGTGAGATAACACGTAGATAAGTACCCTCACTCCTCCTCGCGCGATCTCACTATTTCTATGGACGACAGACAATTGATGCATCTCCAAGGACGTGGTTCACCTTGGGAATCATAGGAGATACATGGATACATGGAAAAAAGGAAGCCCACAAAGGAGGTGGGCTACCCCGTGACTCGGAACTCCTGCAGAACGGAATATTGTTTCCGTTCTGAACTTGCACCCGACCTGGAAATGCAATCGTCGCAGTCGCCGCTGGCGGAAGTAAGGAGACAAAGCAAAATCAGTGACCGGGAGTACTGTACCTCTGGCGCGACGGATAGTTCCGTTCCAGCAATCACGGCTTCTGACTCACCTGCCTTAGTATTAATTTGAAGATATTGTTGCCCTTTTGTAGCACTAACAGCAATTGTTTGAATCGATGGCCTGAATTGCTTTGTGCTTCTGTATAAGTTCAGGGTCGAGCGTTAAGCGCGGGAGGTCGGATCCGTTTGTCCGTTTTGCCCGCATCCATTCCTTCCTTTACCATCTCCTTCAACTTCATTTTGGCGCCAGAACCGAGTCGACGCTCTTGCCTCCTCGGTCGCCAGCATGCACGATAATGGCCGCCAGTTTGCATGCAAATGTCTGAATATGCGCATCCGCGAACAGCCCGCGGCACCTCCTTCACCATCCGAATGGCCAGTTGATTCAAACTGGGAGAGAGTCTACGTTGGAGACAAGGGCATAACTATTGTGGGCTTTCGCTATGCGTATGCCCTGATTTGACGTGCTGATGGTCTCTGAAAATGCCAGGCTCACCCCCAGCTCACATCGAGAGTCAGGTCGCGGGGGCCAGTCTCAAATGAATCATCGAGATCGCCACGATATATTTCGCTGATGTGCCTCATATGCAAGGCTTATGTCTATCGTATCTACCAGAATACCCCAAACGAAGCCGACAAAGATGCGCCAAACGTGGCGCCCGAAGGATGGATAGAACAAGAAGTCATGAAAAGCCTGAGCGGTTGGATCGAAGTACAAAAGGAGTGTCTGGTGAGGACCATTTTCCGTTCGCGGGGATCCCCATTGGCGCAGGTCGGCATGGCGAGGGCACTTCTGCATACGCTCAGACCAGACGAGTGCACTCCGTGCCGGCCCCTAACGCGGGGTCAACTCTGAGCGGTGGACTTACCAAATTCTTTATGCTAGACTGGCGAGTCCATACAACGAGCGGAATCCACGACCGACTATTCGACCCTTTTCTCTGTCGTCCTACCGTCCCCAACGGTGCTCCCACCATCACCCCAGGCCGCCGCAGAGCGTTTGACGCCGGTTACGACACCATCTCCACAGCTACCAAAGGAGCACTTACCCGAACGCAGTCCGCTGTTCCCACCACCGCCATTCTCACCTTCGCATCCCGTATTTACCCATCTGTCGGCAGTGGCGTCCGCCCAGGTCATCAAGTTACGCGCCCAGGCGGAGGAATCTATTGCCGAGTTCATTCGTAATAAAGTGGCGGAGCTGGATCACGCAGAGTCAGTTTTGAGGGAGCAAGTCGGATGCCTGTGGAAAACGTATCAGATAGGCTCCAGCGAACTCCGTCAAGTAGCTGACGCGCCCCATACGCCGGTCCGACACAATAGCGGCAAGGAAGCATCTGCGCACCCACAAGCAAGCACAACAATACGCGATTTCGTACCATCGCCGATACCTCCGACGCGACCCATGTCCGCTACAGCGACTAGACGGATATCCTCGTTATCTGCATCTCTTGCCACCTCCACGTTCCACCATCCACGCGCAGTGGAGGAAAACAAGAACGAGTCGATATCACAGAGCGTCGTATCGAACCCTCCTCCCGCTTCGATTCTCGTTGCGAATCCGCAAGCCCTCAACGGCAGTAACGTTCTGCAATTTCCTCGGAACACTAATGACGACATCAACACGGCCGCTAGCTACCGCTTTTTCCTCAACCTGGAGGAAGAGATGGCCCGCAAGAAGCAGCAACAAGAACGTGTAAAGAATGAATCAAAGCCCTCGTCACAGCTCGCACCTGCCATCGCAACACGCGACAAGCCTTCTGCAGATCAGGAAGGGGAAGCGGGGAAAGGTGTCACTGATGAGACACATGGCCAGGATAAAGGAAAGCGCAAGGAGAGGAAAGTTACGTTTGATGTGCAGCCAGCCGTGGTGACAATAAAAACCGATGTGAAGGCAGAGAGTGAAGAAGAGCGGGCTCGTGCCCGTGCTCGAAAGGACCAAGACTCAGGTTAGTAACGTCTGCGCATTGATTGCAGTCATCTGACCATCAATCCATGGGCTGCGACACTTTGTCCGACATCACTAGATATGGTCTTTGAATTGGAAGAAGGCAGTGAGGCTTCGGATTCTGAGGAGTCGAGACCCGTCCTGCCGCTGATCGAGCAGCCAGCACCGTCCCGATCCAACCGACATCGTACAGCACGTCAAGCCAACCTTCGTCTCGGTGGTCTACCCGAGGCATTCGCTGGGCTCAGACCCGCGTCGTTACCTGCACCATCAAGCGTTCGTCCCCCATTAAGAAGTTACCATCAGGGTGTCGATTCGTCGTCGTCCCAGGCCGCCATGCTTTCGCCACCCCCTCGGGTTAGCAAACCTAAGGCTACGCCGCCTCCACCAGAGGAGCCGCCCACTCCGCGCGAAGCAGAGATATTATCATTACTGGCCGCCGATATGCCCAGCCATCGAGGCGCTTGGAGGCGCGATGGTAGAGCTTGGAAGTCATTCGTCAACCGCATGCACGCCGATGACAAGGTTGACGATATTCCCGAAGAAGACGAGGACTCTGTTGAAGAGTCTGGGATGAATGGTCGTAGTGGTAAGTTCAATTTCCCATCGCTCCACTATCCCCATTCATGCTCGTGTAGATCATTTCATAGGCTCGATGCCCGTTGCTATTAAACACGTTAGGCCGGCAAAACAAGCCTTGAGCCTGGCCTCATACCAGCCTACGGCCGCGATACACAACCTTACAGAGGGCAATACCAATAACAACTCTGGCGCCGCGCTCCGCCGGATGAACTACGCTAAGCGGGATCCAGGTGCTCTGGACTTTGCGGCAGATCGAAGTGACGATACCGATGATTCGGACGAGCGTAACCCCGTCGGCGCAGAAGAAGGTCGTGCCAGGAAACTCGCACTGGAAATTCTGAAAGCCCGTAATAACATACCGGAGGAAGGCATGTGGAGAAGTCTAGCATAACCCAGAACAACCCTGGCAGCAACTCAGCGTCCAACGTCCAATGTTCCACGCCCAAACCTCATTGCAACACGGCCAACGGCCGTCGTCACATCCATACTCTAATCTTTTGTTTGCTCAATTTTGTCTGACTAATTTCTGTGACTCTTTCCGTCGAATTGCTGTATCCATTTCCTCGCTTACTCGATACCAGTCTCAGTGGGTTTTCGATTTGTACATGCATTACCACCATTCCGCGCACACACAATCGTCGTATATGTATTCAATGGACTGCCAAAAGCGTAGTCTCGTGTATATGTAGCCTGTTTTAGTGTCTTAAACTACCGTGATATGTCTTAATCCTCACCTTCGCTTCTCTCTGATCAGGCAAACAGGCTTTGAAGAACCGCTTTATTCTCGAGACGAGGCTTTCTAGCGGTAAGTGACGACCCTGTAAATAATGGCCAACGCAAGTGACTCAAGCAGTGGTTTGTAGTATCGTTTTTGGTATATGTGTCGATTCTTCTCGCATCGCTATTTCTAATTCTTGTATATCCAGGTAGAATACCGAGGTATATCTTATAAGTAAGTCTACAATATACCTACGCAATACTGCCCAACTCGTTGGTGTCCTCCTGGATTGTGCATTTCGATTTACAGGAGCAAAGTCTGCACTCTCATACTCAGAGCGCATTGCTGATTATTTGCGGTTGGGTTAGTGACTTGAGGATGCTGCCAGTCTCACTCAATGCATCATACTGGCCGCAGACCTCGTTCTACCAGCGTCGAAGTAGGTGCTTCAGTCTTACAGATTTAGAGCGTCTTTCTTGAAGACTACATTATAGCAGTCCGCGTCACATCATTGTTAGTAGTTCTGACTGTACAATAACGGGGAAGACCCCAACAAAGGTGGGCGATGTGTGTGAAATAGAGTCCAAGTGTCGCATACGAAGGCAGCTTGGTTGGATGTGCGATGACAATGATGTGGAAGTAATACAAAAGTGTAGTAATCGAAACTATTATAATAAGATAAACAAATTTTTGAATGTTGTATCCTCTACAACAAATGCGCAAAGAAAATGCATTATACAACGAAAAAAAGCCCGAAGCTGAAAGGCAAATTCAAACATTACTTGCTAGGTGTGGATGGAACGCCGAATGAGAAACCGCCTGATGCTGGTGTACCACTGGGAGTAGTGGATGGAGCGCCGAAGCCAAACACACCGGCTGGTTTGTCAGTGTTTCCGAACACCGAAGAGGGTGCTGCTGACGGAGCCGAGCCGAATGGTGACGGACTCGCAGCCGTCTTATTGCCGCCGAAATTGAACGAGAAGCCCCCAGAGCCGCTTGCTGCAGGCGTAGATGCAGGCGCTGCGGTAGACGGTGTTCCAAAGGAGAAAGTCGGCGCCGCTTTTGGCGCATCGGCGGGTGTGCTGCTTGGCGTCGATGTGGTCTGCCCGAAGCCGAATGTAGAGGATGGTGCAGCGGGCGTCGACGAAGGAGCTCCAAAAGAAGACGCCTGCTTTGGTTGTCCACCATTACTCGAGCCAAATACATTCGCACCGTTGACCCCTCCAAACGTGCCGAACGGCGACGACGCAGGAGTCGTGGAGCCGAATGCACTTGGCTTGCTCGAATTATTGCCAAACCCGGAGAAGGCAGATTTTGGTGCCTCGGCGGGTTGTGACCCGCTCGATGGCGCCGAAGCAGCTCCAAATATGTTGTTGTTTGACGAGGCTGCAGGTGCTGACGAACCCCCAAACACGTTGCTGCCGAACGGTGAGGATGCTGCAGTGGCGTTGGGTGCTGACGTTGCAGAAGGATTAGCTGCACCAAACCCGCCAAATGTCGACGTAGGTTTTGCGTCTGACTTCGCGGGTTCGCTCTTGTTGCCAAACCCGAAGGAAAATTTGGGGGTCTCACTCGGTGTAGCAGCAGGGGTAGCTGACGCAGCCTTTGGAGCACCGAACCCAAACGCAGCCGGGCTAGGCGCGGCAGGTTTCGAAGCATCGTTGGAAGTTGTTGGGGCGGCGGTGGAAGTAGCTGCATTGGGCCCGAAACTGAATGTGTTTGTCTTTGGCGCCGTGGGATTTGAGTTCATAGGCATGGAGGGGTTGCTTCCGTTCTGACCGAATATATTATTCGACTGTCCAGGTTTAGGGAAGGAGAACTTCAACGGCTCTGAAGAAGGCGCGGTAGGCTTGGGTTGTGACGAGGCATCCGGTGCACTGGAGGGCTGAGCTCCACTAGGTTGAGCAGGTGGCGCACCCCAAGCGAAGCCTCCAGGAGCAGGCGTGGTCGTCGCGGGTGTCGAAGACGCACCGCCAGAAGTTGGGCCAAAAGCAAATTTCAGAGGTCCAGACGTACCAGCGGGCTTGTTAGACGTGGCATCTGTAGGGGCAGAAGATGCAGCGGGTGCTGGATTGCTGAAAGTAGGGAAGCTAGTTGTGGGTTGAGCGGGAGGGTTGAACGAAGTCGGTGGCGCGGTCGAAGTCGGTTCGGCGGGTTTACCAAAAGAGAAACTGGGTGTCGATGAAGATGATGACGAGGGACCACTGAAAGGATTTGAAGGCTTTTCCTGAGGTTTGGGAGCAGCAGGGCCACCGAAGGATGGTAAGGCAGCGGGAGCAGCGGCAGGAGCAGCGGCAGGCTTTGGTGCATCGTTCGAATTTGAGACTGCAGGCGGGGGGCCAAAACCAAGTAACGAGGCAGGCTTGCCGGCAGCAGCCGCAGTGGGTGCAGGAGCTGCACCTGAGATTGGTTTGTCCTTTTCCTCGGCAGGTTTACTGAAAGCGAATGTGGGGAGTGCAGGTGTCGCCGTTGCAGTAGGAGCAGGAGCAGGAGCAGGAGCAGGAGTAGGCAACGTCAACGGCGCCGCCACTGGTGCACAGGCCTCTTTCTCTCGCTTTTCTTTATCTTCTCTTTCCTTTTCCTTCGCCCTTTTAGCCTCTCTCACCTTTCTCATAGCCTCAGCCTCCCTATCCTGTTTTTCCCATTTCGAAAACCCTCTTCGCGGGCTTCCACGATGTCCCAACATACTCATACTCAATCCTGCGCCACTGCCCAGAATGTTCGTGCTGTCAGCCAGGCTCGTCATAGAAGATGCCGAAAGGGGGCTTCCAGGAGTGGACGACTGAAGTGCTGTGGAGGTTAGGAGACTACGTGGGTTGGGCGAGGATAAACGTCTGGAAGAAGAGACAGGTGCCTGTTGTTGGAATGGATTGACTCGGAGACCAATGTTGGTTGCAACTGACTGTCTGAATGGGTCTTTAGGCAGTGAATTGTTGTTGAAGTCCCGGTAGTGCGAAGAGTAGCGGCGCTGGCTTGGTGTCATAGGTGCCTCCCAAAGTAGATTCTTGCCAGTCACCGGAGGTGCTGGAACAGAGGCGCGCGACGAGACCGTCTAACAGATCACTAGTCAGCATCAAGAATTACCCATCAGAAGTGTGTTAACTCACAGTTTCCTCAGGTTGCGGTGTCTCAGGCTCAGTTGACGAAGTCGTTGAGGTTGACAACGAGTCAGTCAACTGCTGTAACTTGGCCGCCTTGTATTCCTCGTCCGTCAGCCATTCACCAACCCAGATTTCCATATTCGCATCCCGGTCAGGATGCTGAGAATCGGCAGGCTTGAAGATACGGAAAGTCAATCAGTCTCCAGGGGGAAGATCCCACAAAGGACATACCATGACGAATTTGTTCCGGGCTTGCTTCATCAAAACCATGCGCAATCGCTCTCCGCTGGGCCCAACCTTATACCGAACGCCGCTACTCTCCCATTCCTCGCCGATCTTTCTACCTTTGCACCCCGGTTGACTTGATACTCTACTTCCATCCATGCTCACATCGCTGCCACTGCCGCTACCATGTTCATTTACATTGTACCTGGGTGTGCCGGCCTCATGCACATGGGATCCTCTCTTGCCCCTCTTCTTGTGTTTCCTCTTTCCCTGGCCATGATCCATGATACCATCGCTCTCCTCCGAAGACTCCACCTCAGAGTGTTCGCTTTCGGATTCTCCTCGATCCCTTTTTCGGCCGCGAATAGGTATACCCGCGTCCGATCTCCTCTTGCTAACTGTGCGGCGTTTTCTGTGTCTCCGTTCCTTCGTCGACAGGTTGGCCACATTTTCCTCGGGCGGGCTCTCGTCATCGTCGTCGTCACCGCCAAATGTCGATCCCGCTTCTGCGCGGTCTCTCTTCTTCCCCCTCACAACGTCCCTTAGATCAGTCACTATATCATCACCCTCGCCTTCTTCATCGTCAACTTCCATGTCCTCACTCACGTTTCCACTGACCACAACGAGCTGTCCGTTTGGATTCTTCTCCATGGATACCTTCCTAGCACGCTTATCTCGTTTTCTCTTGGAAGGGCCTGCAGCTTCATCGCCGTCATCATAGTAATAATATGCGTCGTCGTAGCCCTCAGCATCATCCAACCCACGCTTAGAGCCGCGTGTAGTCGTTCCTTGCCCATCGGCCGCCTCGCCTTCACCGCGTTCATCAACAAATGCCAAACCATTCGGGCCGTCAGGATCAAAACGCCGCTTGCTTGGACTGCGCTCAAAGTCAGCCTGTCCAACAGAAGCACCACGGGCATTCGAAAGAGTGTTGGAGTTTGACGATACGGTCCTATGTTGCTTGTAAATAAGTAGTATCGAGACACTACGCAGATGTGCGTACCTTAGCCTCGACCCGTTACCAAGCGCCGAAGAGATGCCTTCTGAAACGTATCGCCCTGGTAGACCTGGGGTAGACCACGAGGACTCCGCGTGTCGCAAAGGCGCGCCTATTTATGATTGATGAATGATGTAGATATACAACAAAGGAGCAAGCGATTAGATCAAGCAAGCGATGATGAGTCATGAGTCACCGTCAGTAATCGTGTCGAGAAATCGAACAAAATGAGAACCCACCTTGGCGCTGTCGAATAGATCCCGCAGCTGAAGCTGTTGTGTCTAGCGGCGTGTAAACGTTTCCGTATGTCTGTTGTGCACCTTGACGCTGATCGGACACAGCCTGACCGCCTTGAGTTATGACTGGCGTTCGACCTGCTGGTGCGACATTTTTGTTAGAACCCTCCCGTTTGGCACGCAGGACTGCCGCGTAAGCGACATTGAACGGGCGGTGGTCGTTGTCTGGTATGCCGTGTTTTCGCCTAAGCGATCTGTTTGATTTACGTGTTCGCGTCAGCAGCAAGATATTTGGTGAGCAAGCGTGCACGTACAGTCGGTACGACTTTTCTCGCCACCTCATAACCTGTCTCCAAACGTTTGCAAACGCAACGTATGCAATCAGAACCAAGACCAACGTGAGCGTCGACTTGGCGGTGAAGGACATTGTGTTCCAAAGGCCAGTTTTGGGAGGTGGAAGCGAGTTGATTTTCCCGCCCAAGATATCTGAAGTCTCGTCCACGGTAGGCATCGTTGTAGTACTTCAGTCGTCGGCGGTCCAAAGTTTCTTTACAAAGCCAAGGAAGACAAGTTGACAGAACGACGTGGAAAGAAGGAGCGAAGGAGTAGGCTGCGGCTGCCTGTCCACGTTCGTCGCAGAGCAAGGTGCTCGCGCTAAATCAGCTCCCGAGGAGTCTTGAAGAAGAAGAGAGAGATTGTGATGGAGAAGACGGAAGCGCACTGAGAGTCAAGTCAAGTCCGACTGTTGATTGTTGACGCGTATTTGGCAACAGCATCAGGCTCAGACATAGCTTTGTTCTTGAGGCGAGTGCTTACTATGTTGGCCACACTGGTGTCGACCCCAAGTTTCATGATGTGGGAGGAAAAGAAAATGTAGAAGGCTCATCGGGTAGTGCACAGAATTGGTGCCACCCAATTCTCCATCATTCTTCACTTGTACTTGAATATTGGTGTGAGGCCTGCTGCGCGTGTAATTCCTTCGCTCAAGGATTGCCAATGAAATTCTGATTCCAATATTTCGCGTTCGTGGTGCTGCTCGCGATTTTTCGAGGATTTATTTGCGAGGCAACCATGGTCTGAGAAATGAAGTCGTTTAGATCGGAGTCTCAACTTTATCTACTCCGCCAACTAGTATATTTTCGTTTATTTTTTTACCTTGCTGTCCTCGTACTGCGCCGTTACAAGTTTCAAGATGCCCGAATATTGCTTTCTCGAGGTAGAGTCTATATCCGAAACCGCCAATGATAGGAATCTTCTCCCCGATATCAACACTCCAGTACAATCAATACAATCAGCGCCTTGTTTTCAAAACACCACTCGCTCATGCCTAGGAACACGGCTCACAGTGCCTTCGTTACCTTTACTAGCGACGTGGAAGAGTAACTTTCTGCTGCGTCCACGCTTGAATGACCAACTACTTTATGTGTAGTTAATTTCCATGGTCATTCGAGTACTAAACCTGGCTCACATTCCGTATTTTTTCTACTGTATTCATGTAAATTATTAGCACAGCAATCTAGACAATCTGCAGCCCAAGCTTCACTGCGAATGACCCATTGATCTCATGCTCTAGAGCTGCTCGTCTGAGAAAAATAACCCGTCTCCATCGCGCTCTCGTAACCGACCCAGCGTTAGGACTGTGGGAAAGATCGGCTTTCCCGTGTATTAAAGAATCGAACGACGTGTTCAGCTTCCCACCTTAGTTGCCTTTGCCTATTTTTGTTGTCCTCCTCCTCCTCTCCTCCACTTCACTGTCGAGATGGCCGCCAAAATCGTTTCCGTAGATGAGCTCAGGCAACATAAGACCAAAGATTCACTCTACGTCTTGATCCACGGCAACGGTGCGTGTCCGACTGCCTCGACCAATCACGTCGCGCGGTTTTGTCGGTCCTAACGGTTTCTTTTCTGAATAGTATACGATGTCACCAAGTTCTTGGATGAGCATCCAGGAGGCGACGAGGTCATCTTAGCTGAAGCCGGTATGTTTTTCTCTTCATTGCCATTGTCCCCTTGCGCCACATTAGCTGACTTGTTCGATTCTCATTCTCATAGGCCAAGATGCAACTGAAGCCTTTGAGGATGTTGGCCACTCGGACGAGGCTCGTGCTCTCCTCCCTGGCATGCTCGTTGGCGAATTCGAGAAAGGCTCAGTGAGTAGACCTTTTCCCTCTCTGTCATGCGTGCTTCGGAGGTGCCGTGTGATGCAGTATCTTCTGGTCGATTCGCCCCCCTGTTTGGCTCGTTTTGGTGGAGCATTCCCAAGTAGAACGCGTTTTCCGCTGTCTCTTTCCCCCATCGACCCGATTTCAAGCAGAGACTCTCACCTATTCTTTTCCGTATTCGTACCTTTTTTCTTGGCTTGCATAGTGTTAGCCCTGGTCCCCGTTGTTCAGATGTTTACAATACTGTTGACCATATTCTGATCGTTTTTCTATGTTTTACAGGAAGCCCAACTCAAATCCGGCGCCGCTGCTGCCCAGGCACAAAGAATGAGCAGCGCAGTTGAGCAAGGATCTAAGTACGTTCAAGCGACCTTGCTTGCCATTTACCTTTGCTAACTGGCTCCCTCTTCATCGTCCCTCCACCCGCATCGCCGACTCCCTCCCAATGTCCGCTCCGGTCTCGGCTATTCCTTCATCAAATCAGCATGATGTATTTCGTTCCCCTCGGCCTCCTAGGCGCCTACTTTGCGTGGCGCTACTACGCGACTGGTGCTCTATAGATTACTGAGTATCTGTGGCGTTGGTGGGGCTGTCGGGTGGATCTGTTTCTATGTTCATCGTTATCGTTATCTTCCCTTGCAATATACAAGATCTTTCCTCCTGGACTATATTGAACGGAGGGTGCCCGACTTTCGATAAGCTATATTAAACGGACCGAAGAACTTCTACGTTTGTAAGTCCTTGGGCATATCTTAGGTCTGGTCACACCGGCCCGGGATTCGTCTACAGGGTCGCTCGAGAGACAGAACTCGTAAGAGGACAGTCCCGCGAGGAGAACACGGTACGACCAACACATCAGAATGCAGTTGCTTCACGTACACACGTCCATCCAAGAAACACTGTCTAGCTCGTGATAGGAAGCTAATGGCCGCCAATACATTGGAGTTGCCGCCCTCCCTTCTGTCGAACGCGTAGTGGAGTCCTTGGGAACATCAAGCTTGTGTCATGCGTCTTCTCTACCGTTATTGATTTATTACTGACTTGGTAATGATCTCAGGTGACTGTGTATACTCTCGCAGTGTCGTTAAGTGCGCCCGTGATGGTGGGTAAGCCTTAGTGCCATTCGAACATCCATTGATCGCTCGTATGTACGTTGTGGGCACCACCACTTTAGCGGGCCACACGGATCAGTGGACAGAAGGACTTCAACGCAACGGACACGGTGTAAATTCGCGATTAATATCCAACCGCGTAAATAAATACACGATAGTCGAGGAACATTGATATAACGGCATAGAAGTGAGTACATGATGATTTAGCCTTTTCGCACAGCGTGTTGAACACCGTGGCAGACCATATCAAACGGAACAAAGTACCATAGAGAACGGAACAGGCCGACGAAAGGTAAAGAAAAGAAGGGACCTGAGTTAAAGGATGATATCATGAACCTAGAATGTGGAACTGGGAGGCTTGAACCTAATCACAGTGACAAGGAAAAGACAAACACAATGAAAGCGCGCTACAAATACAAGGGTCCGCACCAAGAGTTTCTCCGGTTGTCCCCCTTCCTACCGCCCTTCTAGCAACGACGATAACGGCGCGCACGACGGCTACACACATGTGCAGGCTCTCCCGGCGATCAAGGTTGAACCACACCGCCAAGAAGCCAGCACATGTCTGGAGAAGTAGTGCTTCACTCCACGGTGGATTCTGGAGAGGAAAATGAAAAATGAAGTGAGTGGACAAGATCTCGGAGGAGCCCTCGACTGCCCGAACGCGAACTTTGGAGTGGGCGCAGCCCTGAGCTGCAGTTGCCTCATGGACACCAACAGGCCAGCCCACGCGCTGAGTGCGAAGCGGTAACGGGTGAACGATGAACGGTACCCAGGCCTTTGCGCCATGGACGCGGCAGGTGGGCGAGAAGCCGCCCGGAATTCACTCACCAAACATTGATCCCCAGGCGCTGCAACCCCTCCTTTGCAGCAACATGCCTAGCCGCCTTCTTGGACGTACCCTTGCCGCTTCCATACATCTCACCATTGACGAATGCCTTCACCGTCCACATAGGCGTCGTCCTCGTCGCCTTCTTTACGACGGGGTTCACGGCAGTAATACCTCGGGCTCCTGGAGCAGGATCTTCCGTACCGACGATGTGCACGACATCACCCGGAGTGCCCGACGGATCGAAGGCTCCAAGCAAGCCCTCCATTCCAATATCGCCGTCCTCGGTGTACACCCACTCGATGTCCAGGTTTGCCTTCTGCAGCTGTTGGTTAAAGAGGGCCAGATGGCCGATGGCCAACGCCGCTTGTGGGATCGATTCCTCTTCCATATCTAAGCCGCCATGCTGGGTGGCAGGAGACAAGCTCCCGGGCTCCGACTCCGACTCTGGGGGAGATGCTGTCCCGCTCGAACTACCGGAAGATATCTTCCTACTAGGCAGTTGCGGCCCCGGCGACCTATGCAAGCGGTAGTGAAATGTAGGGAGTGTCCCAGAGGACGATCTGGTTTCAGGCAGACCATATTGTTTGCGGACGAACTTGTACGCTTCCTCGGCGTATGGCAGTAAGAGAGGGTGCAGCCACTTCTCGACAGCGGCAAGTCCTTGGTCCTTGTATAGGCCACCTACATAAGACTAAGAACCGTTGACGGATTAGTGATCGAATATAACCGTTAATGTCACCGTCGAGGAATAAGCCCACGGAGACCCACCTCGAAGACGTCGGCTGATATCAGAAGCAAGGTGTTTTAGTCAGCGAATGTCGTGTGGGTACAGTTACACACTCCTGACCTTGGATATTCGTAGATGCACGCAAGGTGATAGCTTGAGCCGCATGAAGACGGAGCCGATATGGAAGCCTGTATCTCAGTGATCTGTCATGTAAAGTGGTTAAGCGACCATATGCACATATTGGGATGTAAACCAATGGAGTTCTGGCCGTAATTTAGGCCAGGGACGTTGTCAAGGTGCCTGGTACGCCGTGTGGCGGGGCAGGGAGGGAAAGATGTAGAAGGAGACGAACAGAAGGGTGGGAGCTATACTGACATATCTGCGAGCGTTGCGTTCCCGACGACAAGCGCTCTGATTTTCTGCGGCCCAACAAACGTCAGCGGCCTAGTTCGTACGGGTACGCATGTGCGTTGTGCTTACCGTAGAAGGGCCCACATGTAGGCCGGGGAACGCCTTGATCATCATGTCAGTGACAACGAGGGCGAGGACGGTGTCGCCCAAGTGCTCGAGCCTATAAATAATAAGAATATGTCAGGAGGTCGATGCGAACTCTACGGCTGGCATCGCTGCTCGGATGCTCGAGGGAAACGTTGGCCGGAGCAATGGTACTTACTTCTCGTTGTCCGGGGAGAGATCATTGGGCTGATCCTCAAAGATATGCGTAGGACGAGCATAGTAACTCCGATGCGTAAACACTTGTTGACGAATTGCGTCGGAATTGATCTTTGGGATGGGCGGAAAGCCCTCTGGCCCGAAGTCGGGTCTGAAGGGACACGGACGCGGCATAGGCATTAAATCGAGTAGAAATTTACGGATGGACAAGGATGTCAGCGATTTCTTGAGCTCCCTATCAATGGATGTATGGGGAGGGGATAAGTGAGAATTAGATGGAAGACTTACTGAAATGCCATGGCTTTAAACGGCGCAATTGAGAGTCCAACGGCGGAGGTTGAACATACAGGTGGGAGTTGAAATCTAAGGCCGACAGGGACTACAGTTCAGGTATCTGTGACTGTGTAGCCTCGGCGCGGAAAAAAAGAGGAAAATCACCAGTGGCTATTCCAATGGATTCCGTTTATGGAACAATTGACAGGCCATCATATCCGATACGAAGGCCCAGGGGCCGAACATCATGCATCAGTTTTCCATCCATGAGACGAGCATGTGTGTGGCTGAACGGGTGTTCTTCCATGAGCACCATCGGACGAAATGAAGTGAACATTCCTCAGGGACACATCACATGATTACGGACATACATCCCAGTTGAGTGAAAGTCTCTCTGTAAAGTAGCATGACATGGAGAAAACGGCTTGACGAACACCTACGACAGGCTTGCTGAATAGTGTCAATCCATAGATCTCTTTCCGGGTCGCTGGTCAAAGGGGATAGAGTATAAGTTCTATCAGCAAGCCCAATCGGATAAGAAGTATTGGCCAGCTCGCATCATCTTTAGCTGCTAGCTCTAGAAAAATCCATGCGGAAGGGCAGATCATTCTCCTGGTCACAAGGTTAACACGCAGTATTATTCGGAACCGTTGAACCGTTGATTAGAACTCACTCAAGGCTTCGCCTTGGCTTTCATCACAAAGTAATCCTTATGTAAACCACACTCTGACTTCTCCTTGCCTGCCCATCGTCCTGCTCTTTCGTCTTGACCATCCGCAACTTTCGACGTGCTATGCCAATCACCAATGCTCTTATACCCCTGATCAAGTAGCTTGTTGCGAGGAACGGCGTTTTGCGTGATGTACCATTCGACGAAATGGAAGTTCCATGAGAAGAGTGGGTTAAGCTTGAGCAAGCCAGTACTATCGACTTCTAACGGCTGCAACGATGCTCGATCCCCACCCTGAGATGAACGCCGGCCAGTAATTACGGCTTTGACCCCGAGAGCTTCGTATGCTCGTTTTGCAGGTTCTACCTGGACATGCAGCAAATATTGAGACCGAGATCCGGCGACTGTAGATGTCCGGAACAGCATACCTTCACAGCGTAGTCGTAAGTGTCCTCATCATTCTCCCATAGTCGCTCGCCATATTTCCGCTCGAAATCTTGCACTGTTTCACATCCCTCTGGCTTGTAGACATGCACGGGGACGGTGTACCGTTGTTTAACCTCTTCCACCAGGTCGTATGTTTCAGGAAAGTGGTAGAGTGTGTCGAGGAATATCAGGGGCGGAGGGGTGCTTGTTATCTTGGAAAGCATGTCGATCGCAACGAGGCCAGTGAGGCCAAATGCCGTTGTTTGGTACAACCCCGGAACGTAGCCAATTGCCCACTTCAGGATCTCTTCTGGCGTCAAGTCCTTGAGGTAGGAATTGATGAGATCGAGAGCATCAGGAGCGAGCGGCAGGCCCAAAGGTTTTGGTAGAGATAAAGCTGGATGTGGTGCATTCGCCATCTTGAGATGCTGGTATGTGCTAGGATACTAGGATGAGCCTTCCCTCGCCTTGATATCCATCCAATGTAAGCACCCATTTCGTGTTGCGATATTGTCGTGATTTCGTCATGTGATCAAGGTACGAAAGAAGAATCCGAGTCCGAGTCCGAGCGGCGAGCGGCGAGGACGCCCACCCGCTACGGTCGCGCGACAGTCTGCAAGAGAAGTTCGGTCGCTATTGTGGATGTCGGGTGCTAATGCAGCAGGCCTGATTCCCATGATTCCCAACCCACAGGCGCCTGTCCCACGCGATTCGCGTCGCAGGCGCCTGTCCCACGCGATTCGCGTCGCAGGCTGGCCGCCCAAGTCTCCGAGTTCTATCTGCGCGGAAGGTGCACCTTTGTATAAGGTAGTACAAGGTCGAATCCATCGTTGAAGAGGATTAGCGCTGAGCAGTGAGCATGCCCATGTAATTAAGCATGGGTTTTTTCTTTATGATGGTTGAGGATAAGGATGGTTGGGGCAAATCACGCGATCCCCTATTTCAACTTTCATTGAAGCCAACACCTCGATCCCAGAGCCAGTCAGTACTCTACGCGCATAAGCAACGGCAAGAGACCAGGCTCTCAATCACTGGTGCAGAACCAAGGTGAGCTTTATTGGTTTTATATGGCCTTGTGCTTGTGCTCACTGTCTAAGCTAGGTTGCAATCTGGACTCGACATGGATCCGTTGTCGTCTTTCTTGCGCAGCTCCCCATCTCTTGAAGATGTTGACTCAAAATCGATTGAAATCAGCCGCGAAGTGGCCCGTATGCAGGACGAAATCCGTCTCCTTGCAGAATATAAGAACACGCGGTTGATTGGTGTATCCAAGATCCCCGCTGAACTCTTGTTGATTACATTCGAGTTCCTCGTACTGGACCCCATTTCACCTGCGCGGAAAGGCATCTGGAAGCCGTACACCGACATACTTTCCGCCACGCAGACGTGCCACTCGTGGCGTCAGACCGCGCTTGATTCACCCCGAATTTGGAGTTTCATATACGGCTCGGCTCCCTTGCCTCTTGTCAGACTGTTTTTGGAGCGCGCCAAGTCTGCACCACTGTACTTTTGGACGCCATACGGTCGGCTGAGGGGAGTGAATGTTCTGACGGTGCTCGAACATCTCGGCCATGTCAAAGAAATCGCCCTGGAAGTCCCCTGCCAGGCCGAGTGGCTGCAGCGTATCACCTCCACGCCAGCTCCGCAGCTCAACACTCTTTCGCTGAAAAACAACCAGTTCCATTCTGAGTCCTCGGCTTCGTTCGAACTACCCCCGAACATGGCATCGACTGGACCATTCCCCTCTCTACGACGTTTGTCGTTGGATGGATATATCTGGAAGGCTGATGCGTCATGTCTCCGCTCTCTTCACTCCCTGCACCTACAATTTCCTCGTATCCCTGGCCTTCAATCTGAACTTCCCGAAGCTGTAGCGTTCTTTGCCTCGTTGGACAACCTTCCCCTTTTAACATCCCTCTCCTTAAGTGGCGCCTTGTCCCCACCCAAGTCAACCCCGTTGCTTTCGATAAGTCTTCCCCACTTGACCAAGCTAGCCGTCATAGACCACGATCTCTCCATTCCCGGCATGGCGGCGTACATTGACATGCCTCGTATCGAAGAGATGGAGCTCTTTTCTGGGGGTTCAACAGATTCCTATACCGCTGCCCCAATCTTGTCCGCCATCTATTCTAAGCTCCTTACCCCCGCCGAATTATCTTCTGAGCTTACGCTCGAAATTGGCGGCTCTCCTACCGCGCGGATCGCATTACGGAAGAAGGATGCGCTCGAACTTCCGCCATATCTCGCGCTGACTGTCTCCGGTACAGAAGACTTAGAGACAGAACTTGCTGTCGTAACACTTCTACCACATGCTTTGAGACCTTCCCTTCTCATTTTCGCCTCAGAGGTTGAAGAGCACGATAATGATCCTTGGATTATCCCTCAGCGAAATCTTTTACGAAGACTAGTTGACGTGACAGAGGTCCGCGTTGATTTCCTGATCGACCTCTTGCTCATCCTGCGCGACACCCCTCCGCAACCCGGACCTATGTCACTTCCATCCATAAAAAAGGTGGTTGTCCGCCTCAGTCCTAAGGACCTGGCGCCCATGTTCAAGGCGCTGCTGAAAGCCCGAAAGGCAGTGAACGCCGCGATCGAGACCTGCGTTCTGCATGATTGCAATTTGTCACCTAGCAGTATCGACGAGTTGAAAGGTCTTATTCCTCGTTTAGAAGTGCATCGCACTCACGCCGAGGGTACATAGCCCCATTGGTTCGAAGACAGCGATTACTTTGCTTAGTGTCGATGGCTGGCGAGGCCTGGGGGCCCCATGCGAATCGGAATAAATCATGCACTCTTAGGCGTCTGTCGCGTACAATGGACATAATATGATGGTCTGCGGTTGACGCGTTGACATTGAGGGTTGCACGATCGACGGTTCCTGTACCTACAAGACAGAATATAAAGCTCGAGGAAGTTTCTGTTTATTCAGATTTCGGAATTGCCCCCTTGTTCGGTCGTTTCAAACATGGGTCCTCTCTTCCTGCTGTCGATTGCTGGCGCGGCACTCGCTTTTCCTCAGGTATCGAACATATATTTACCTCGGTTGTGTGGATGTTGTTCATTTCTTCGTTTAGGCGCATTCATTTCTGAGTCGACGCCAGAGTGTCCCTGCTGTTCTGCCCGGAGGATGGACATCGCAGGGCTGTTATACGTACGCGCCTCGATCGTGTCGAGAGTCTTCCTACCTCTAACTAGTAACTTCTTGTCAGCGATGAACCAGGGGCCCGCACGCTGACCGGCGCGTCGTATTCCAGCGGGGATGCAATGACAGTCGAGTCCTGCATCTCCTTCTGTTCCGACGCTAGCTTCCCCTTAGCTGGCGTCGAGTTCAGTCGAGAATGTTGTACGTCCCACTTCGCTACTCGTGTTTTTGCAAGTTCCAAGATACTTATGGTTAATTTCAGTTTGTGGATACGCCGTCCAAAGTCCTGGAGCCCCCGCTGCGTTGAGCGAGTGCAACTATGCGTGTACGGGCGATAGCTCTCAATCCTGCGGCGGTGCTGGCCGTCTCAACCTCTTCGCAAGCGGCTCGTCTGCTCCGAGCGTCCCTCAGACTGTCGCCGAAGACTGGGAGTACCAAGGGTGCTACACAGACAGCGTCAGCGACCGCACACTCTCTCACTCCCATCACGTCGAAGGTGGAATGACAATTGAATCATGTGTCGCGTTCTGCAGCGCAAATGAGTTCTCCTTCGCGGGTCTCGAGTTCGGTGATGAGTGCTGTGAGTCCGAACTCGTTCCATTGCTTAGTCTGTTCGCCGACGCTCAATGATATGGCAGTCTGCGGTAACTCCATTGGCTCCTCTACGAAGAAATCCGATAGTGAATGTACAATGGTCTGCACCGGAAACTCCGCCGAGTTTTGCGGTGGTCGTGATCGACTTACCCTCTATTCTACCAGCGGCGCAGAGGAGCCGCCCACAGAAGAGCCTCCCACCCCTACATGCATCTCCACTAACGTTGCCCGCTTTAATCCTCTCGCGGTGTTCAAAGCTCCTCCCCCTTCTGGCCCCCTCTCGCGCTCAATAGGCATGATCAACGTCAACACAGTCCCCCACGTCAGCTATGGACTTCTATCCAGCGCCGGCACCGGCGGATGGCTCTACTATGCGCTTCAGAACGGCGCCATATATCCAAAGGCCGTCGTCCCGTTCCCAGCTCCAGTGTCTTTCAGCCTCGTGCCGGGCTACTCTCCCATCTTCGTTTCTACGCAGATCCCACCGCCTGCTTATTCCGGTTTCTGTTCGATGGTAGGAGGCTTTGTTTTGTCTGGGAACGTGCGAATGTGAATTCTGACATCGTCGATGTAGGTCAATCCATCGGGAGGGCCTCCATTGCTCGCCGCCAACCTTCGAGCCGATCTATGGTCATTGTGTTCCAACACTACTGCTGGAGGGCGCAACGACCTTGTCTACTCCCCGCAAGCAAATCACCCCCACTATAATCTTCTTGATTGTCTTGGAGTTAATGTATACATGGTACCGGCTTGAACATAGAGTGGATAGATAGATCATCGCTGCTCAATACAAGGATGCGAAGATGAGTCATGCAGTTCACGCATGTATGCGGACGTACAGGTAGTTTTTAAATTAGGGAGCGCTGGTACCTGAGCCTGTGGGTAGGGTGTAGGAATGCTATAATACGGTATGCAAAATATAGTGGTAACATTACAATCTGGCGTATAGGTGTGGGGTTCAAAAACGAGTGTAAAGTATAATAATGTAGACATCAATACGAGCCCGAGCTCTTCCGCCTTTCAGCTTCGTACAGAACGGCCTTGGGCCCTCGCCTCGCCATCGCCCAGAGGAAGACCAGGATGATAACTGCGAACTGCAGCCACAGCCATATCTCCAGCATGAGGCGACCGAGACCGCCTCGTTGCTGCTGTACCGATATCTCGGATGCCTGGACAACGGCAGCTTCATGCTCGTCCTCCTGCTCCACAGATAACGCAGAAGTGTCGCAAGCAGACAGAGGGACCTCTGTTTCACCCACGGGCGAATCAGGGAAATCGATTATGGATATATCTTCCAAGGAGGGCAGTGGTGGGTCTCCGTCATCGTGCTTGTCTATCCTGTCCGCAAACGCGTCCATAAAGACATCAAACGCACTCGCGATCGTCGATTTCTTCCTTATGACCGTTTTCGCAGCGGGGTGCCCTGGGGGAGAGCCGAGGCCTTTCAGCGTTTCTTTAAATCGGCCATCTTCCCACTTCTCTGCCCTTGAACGCACTGTCTGAGTCATACGTCGATAGCGCAGTGAATGTTTGCTCCCCGAGCTAGGAAGCAAGCCATCCGCTGCGCCCAAAACCGGGCTACCCTGAGGAATAACAGGAGTAGGCTCCTCCACCATAAGATGAACGCCCCCAGGGGGTACGGGGGTTTCCGGGTCGGGCACGGGTAATGTTTGATCTTTGACCGGAGATGTGAGCATCCTCGATGGTAATGACGAGAAGACAGGGCTCGGTGAGACTGAGTGTGTGTATCCCGCCGACGGAGTATCGGAAATGGAAGGGCACGGAGAATGCATGGGCGTTGTTGAGGTGGAACCAATACAGCTCAGATCATATAAGCTTGTCGTTCTAAGGTGATGATTCGACACATTGCGAGGCGCGCCAACGGGACTGGCTCCGTCGAAGGCAAGACCAAGCCCATCAAGCTCCGCACCAAGAGTCTGCGCGCCCGAGGGACTCAAGGAGACACCCCTCTCCAGTGAATCAGACTTCGAGCTCGAAGGGTCGAGATTCAGAGTGGAGGGTGTAGGTGACGTGTCGAAAAGTCCAACAACGCTCCTGCGAGACTTATGCGAAGCCGGGAAGCCCATAGTTGAAGCACGTTTAAACCCGTTGCTCAACGATCCCCTGGAGTGTCGCTGCCGCACGGATCCACGACGGCTAGGGGTACCACGTTCGCTGACGCTGCCAAAGGACTTCTGTGAAGAGCTGCGGACCGTTGACTGATCGAACGCATCGGGTGCCCGCCCTTCAATAGATCGTCTCCAGCTTCTGAAACGCATTGCCCCATGCTGAGAACCGTCGCCGAACTCCTCCTCGGCTTCTTCGTCAACGTACAGTGCAGCCTCGCCATCGTCGCCAACCCACATAAACGCACCGTCGCCACCCAAGCTCTCGTAGACCTTGCTCATGTTCTCCGTTTCCTGCTGGACGGCCTGCAACTTCTCGGTGGTCTCCGCCTGGCGACGCATGATACGCGTATTTGTCTCCTCAAGTTCCGCGATCTTGGCTATAAGTTGAGTGATGAGAGCGGGAGATGGTCGAGAAGGAGAGTCGTCAAGGTGAGAGCGACTACCAGAGTCTATCTCTTCGAATGGAGGGGGAGAGGCATCAGCGAGTCGCTGTTGCTCTCTAAGAACCTCTGATCGTGAGGGTACGGCTCTTTCCAGGGACGTTTCACTCTTCCTACTCATTGGAAACCTGAAGGCAGGTCGAGGGAAGTCTGAAGGTGGGGCGAAGTCCCTTCTCTCATCGTCATCACTAACACCGGTAGTCAGAGTCGATCTACGCTTCCTGGCGTCTCGTTCTCTCTCCTTCTTCTTCCAAATAGCTTCGATACTATCTCCCAACCGCGCTTTCTCTTCTAAAGCTTCCCCGCGTGCTTGTGTCTCTTCCAGTTCCTCCCTCAGCAGCTGAATCTCGCGTTCTAGCCGTTTCAGAGCTCTTCGACCTGACAAATCTGCTTGCGCGGATTCTTGTTCCAGTTTTTCGAGTTTGACGAGGAGCTCAGAGTTTTGGTCCGCGAGATGAGAAATATCGTCCTGGGACATGGATATCCTGCGGGTTCGCCGAGGGCGCAGATTGGGCGGCGAAGGGGAGGTCCGTGGTGAATAGAAGACTGGTGTATGAGATCCCGAAGAGGACGCCGGTGGTAACACGGAGGAAGAGACGGTTGGGGAGTTGGGTATCCTGGCAAGGAACGCCTGATGCTTGGATTTGAGTGACACATTGCTCTCAAAGAGCGTCTTGTATACGGCAGAGGTCAAGTTCAACTCTAGGTAGAATCAGCAAAGGACGACCAGGTGATATAACGACCAAAATGCACCGTTCTCGCGCTCTTTGATCAGCCCGTCCGCTTTGAGGAAAAGTTCGGTAAGTTCTTCACGCGATCTCTCGTTGAACCAATCCTCTTCTCCTTCGTCCTGGCGTATTGGACTAAGAGTGGATCCAACGGCGCTTCCCCGGATACCTTCCGATTGATCCAGTTCCTCTTGCTTGCTGGTTGGCGACGCGAACGAAGATGCATATGGAGGGGGCGGTGTCTGCAGTTTCATCGACATGGAACGCCGTACATTACCTGGTGGACGAGGTCTCGGAGTCGCGGGGACATCGTTGGACATCATCTCAGGATATTCGCGCGCTTGAGGATAGTCTGTGTCGTCGCGTCCGCCTTCCCTTCACAGCGGGTATACGTGGAAGAAAATTAGGCTGTTGGCGTAGTGCTTGTCGGAGGACGACCAGGTGTGGGTGAAATCCTGTTACGTAATGGATTACCTAACGCAATTATCCAACCAAGCTGTAAATGGCCTATAGACAGTTGACGGAAGCGCAAAGGATGTATCATTCTTATACTACCCAGCGTATTCATATCCTCTGTGAGGACTACTTGCTGAACCGGTCGCCAACTGGTATAAATATTTCCCAAACGAAACATAAGTACTGGCTCATCCGAAATTGTACTAGTACAGTATTGAAGAGTCAAAGCTGGCGCCTCGAACGCTGTATCGCTGATGTATAGCGCGAACGACTGGAAAGTATCTTCATAAAATCATAAATCATGTGGCAAGCGAGGAAGGTTTTATACCTTGATCGTTCAAGTTATCCGGAGTATGCCGGCGGTGCCTGTCCGTTGTCCTCGAAAGGGTTTGACGACAATAGTGCTGCACTCGAACCCGTAGTGGATCCCATGGCACCGTGATATGAACCAGCTACAGGGGTAGGTGGTGATAACACTATGCGTTTGCCACCAGATGCACTGATCACAGGTGTATTGCCGACCCCGCTGACCTCAGACATCGAGCTTCTAGGATCATAGACGGCTTGATTTGGTTGTGCCCCTGATTGTTGGTAAGGATAAGGGACGGCCGCAGGAGGCGCGTCTGGTGACCCAGGGTCGGCCGGAGGAGGGACGCCAGGCAATGTTTGCGCGTTTCGCTTCTGTTTGCGGCGCCAAATCATGAACAGCGCGATCCCTGCAATCAGACTCGTCGACACGAGGGCACCGACTAGAGCAGCGATGAGAGTGGTCGTGGATGAGTTGGAACTACCGCTACCCCCGCCTCGTGGTGTATCAGATGGATTATCCACCGAACCGACAGAGTCAGAAGTTTGGGACGGGGAGCCCGAGGAAGTGCTCGATGTGCCGGCAGACGCCGTTTCATCTTCGACAGTATAACTGCAAGCAGTGATGAGTACCGAGAGATAACACTTGAAAACTTGGTAAATCCTTACGTGAAACCATCAACAACAGTGAATTGACCAGCCGGTTGCGTAGTGTTCCGTGGCCTTCCATAAGTGACGACTAGAGTGTGCAAGACATTATCTAGGCCTGTCATAGACCATCGTCTGGCACTCGTCTCTGCTTCCCAGGCAGTACCCTGTGGAGTGTCAAGGGTTTGCAGGTCGACAACATCAGGGGGCCTCTGGTCCAACGTCAAGGTGACAGCAATCGGGATGTACCACAGCGGGGCCAAGAAGTGCACTGCGATACCTACAATGTCAAGAGCGCCTCTGAATCAATGCTACTACAAATTAAGTACTATGTCTGACTCACCAGTAAATCTGAACGTCGCTTTGGCAGTCGTTGGGTCGGTACTGGATGCATGCGTGCCCCCAAAGCTAAATGCGTTTTGATCACTTCGGTCCCATGCTCCTTCGTAACGGATGAGTGGGGAATCATCATCGATGGTAACATCCCGGGCTGCCCGGGTGCCTATGACATGGGATAGGGCAAGGAGGGCGCAAGCGATGAGCAGACGGCCCCTCATTATTGGGCGCGAAGTAATGAAACGTCGATGGCGGAAGGGAGGAGAAGGGGACAATCCAACGGCACGTTTGAGTATCCTGAAATAGCAAGTTTTGTGCCACTCTGTCAACGTCCACTATAGCGCCCATGATTGCTGCAAATGCATCGATGATTTGATGATCCTGACTCGGATGTTAAGACGCGCACGTTTCCGACGTTTCAGTCCCAGCCTGTATACGTCTTCATAGTCCTTAAGTCCATGCGACCACAGTTCTCAAATACAGCACGTATGTAGCGTGAAGTTCCCAGATGAAGGAGGATCCCAGAGACTTGGACCAAGGTCCAGCAGGGTCGCGTATGTTCAAAACCGGAAGATATACATGGCAGAGGTGCTGTATCTTGGATTGCCTCTTCGCGTGGGTTTATTCCGCATATTTTATTCTTCAACTGCTATACCCGAGCACCGTGACCATCCTGGTGATCATCCTGGGACTGCAAATACGTGAATCCAACCTGAATCCAACCTGAATGGTAGTGCCCTCCGATAGGTTGCTACAGAGATATCGGCAAAAGCAGGCATACCGTGGGTCGTGGGTTCGCTCCGCACAGGCATCTTCATTTCCGTCAATCGATGGAGGTAGTCGGGTGCGTAGACAAACCTCACAAAAAGTAGAAGCAGAAGCGCTGAAGCTCCCAAGGACGGAGAGTCACGTTCGTCAAAGTTTGACATGCCAGTGATCGAACGTTATTGGTCGGCGTTGTTGCTAACTTTAAGGGTTGCTTCTCCGACGCAACTTTCCACGGCACGACGCCCGATCAAGCTCAGATCACCAATGGCCGCACATCTGCGTAAGGACACTAGCAAGGAATATGGGTTTACCGCCAAAGATAATATCCAACCAGAGGCGAGTAAAACCGTATATCTAAACTGACTTACAATTGATGGATCTGTAAGTTCTTATTGGCTTAGCACAGTAGTTTCGTAATACGAACTTGGAATATGAGAGTCAGGTCTTGTTAGAAATGCTGCGAAAAGCTTGAAGCTGGAAGCTTCTAACCGGCCGTTTGTTAGCCACATCGCCAGAGGCGCACCCTTTGGGTTACGGTAGGAGTATGATCTTCTCTGGTTCAAGGGCGGCGTTTCATTGGCTGAGGCTTAGCCAGCTTTAGGTGTCACCGCTTTGGATGCTTCTCGCAGAGAAGGGTGTGTGATATTCGACCTTCTAGCTGCGAGGAATGTACCAGAACCTACACATCATATAAGCTCAGGCGTCGTAACGTCGGTGAGTGTTCCCAACACCTTGCCATCAACTCTAAAATCCAAATATTCCACGGGTCTGAGTTTCGGGCCTGAGGTACTCAAGCGATACAGATGATCTACTGGACGGCGCCAGCGTTTGTCAATTGCTTCCGTGCGCCATCGTGCACTGAATTCTGATGAGTATGGCAGCAGCGCCCGATCTGATCACGTCTCAGCATCGCATCTGAAGCAAGTATATCCAAAGTATATATCGTTCGACGGCCGCGCCTTCACCTACGCACAAAGAAGGAGTTCCCTTCGGTGACTGACCGCGTGCTAAATTTGTCGCATCGACTGGGGCAAAGCTGGCCAGCGCAGACTGCTCTAATGGGTCTTAGGGTACCCCCTTCTCAAGCACGACTGCTAGTACCATCACCTCGTGCGCAATCAAGTTCTGGTGGGTCCAGACGGGTTTCCCTAGAAAGCCTAGATTTAGGAGCGGTTCATTTTTTTCATTCCAGGATAACTGTTGACTCATAAGAGCGTTTGTATGTCGTTTCTTCTGGCGCCGGTGTCGTACCTCAACTAGACCGCCCTCTCCAGATCGGCCGCAGGCACATACGTCCGAGTCAAAATATTTGAGACCCCCGGGTCGCCTGAGTACTCTCAGGAATTCCGGGTATCAGTGATGTCGTTGATCGATGTACAGTACAGCTAGTTCGAGCGTACTCCCTGACTGAACTTCTGGCTCACGACCTCATGTCATGCTATTGGTCGACAAATACAACCTAGGAACGAAGTGGAAAGTGCTGGAACTTGAAGGAGATGTTGAGCGCTCCCATATTTAGTTACACGACGGGTCGACTCCATTGGGATAGCAATCAAGTGGAATTGTGTGGACGAATCATCAAGCGTGGGAATGGTGATAAGTGGTCCATGGGACCTGTGGATTTGATTCTCGGTGAGCCTGGAAGGGGAGTACATATTGAGGAGGGACGGTGGTAAAGCAGTCTAGGCCAGCAATTCCTTTTCCATTATATCTCTGTAGTAAACACTCTTTCTCTGTTCCCCTCACCACCAAATCCTCCCGGCTCAATTTCCGTCGCATTTTCTCCCTTCGCGGCGCACTTGCGGCGGATTTACCTTGCATTACTTCTTCAATTAGCCAGTAGCATCGCATCCCCTGGAATGGCCAGGACACACGAGCGATCTCCTTCCCCAGAGCACGGTGACGCACTCATCAAAAGGCTCAAGACCACCCATGTCTCGCAGATTGCGACCGGGGACTCCGACCCCACTGGATGCTTCGCAAACGGCGTCCTGGACCACACTAATGTCCAGCGGCTTCATAAGGAATACTCTGCCAGCGAACCTTTCAAGCATGCTCTCGTAGAAAAACTTTTCCAGGACGACCTGCTGAAGAAGGTGAAGGATGAGTGTTTGAGTGAACTCAGCTTTACGGAGAAGGAAACGGATATATACAAGGTCGGGCGATATCCCACACATTTCCACCGCTTTAACTGACCACGCGCCTACCCCCGCATTTGAAATGCTTATAGGTTAATCAAACTGGAGATCTGGCGTCCCTCAATTATCTGTCGGCGGAACAGATATCCCTCTTGCCCAATCTCCTTGAGCTCCGAGATGCTCTATACTCCCCGACCTTCCGTGCTTTTCTCCGCACCGTCACGGGGTGTGGGCCGCTCTCGGGAACGAAACAGGACATGTCTGTAAATTCGTATACCAAGGGTTGCCACCTGTTGAACCATGATGATGTTATTGGCACGCGTCGTGTTTCCTATATCCTCTACATGCCTCTCCCACACTATCAATTCTGGCAGAAAGACTGGGGTGGGGCGTTGGAACTTTACCCTGCAAAAGTGGGCCCGGAGGGAAATATGGAGCCAGAAGCCATCCCCGCCAAAAGCGTGCCGCCCAGTTGGAATCAATTTATATTTTTCGAAGTTCAACCTGGTCGAAGTTTTCATTCTGTAGAAGAAGTCGTTGTCGGAGGGGAGTCCGAAGACGGCCGGGTCCGACTGAGCATCAGTGGTTGGTTTCATGCAGCGCAGGAGGGAGAGGAAGGGTACGTCCCCGAACCGGCCAGTGATACCAAGAGCTCCAGAGAACAGCTTGTGAGTACCTCGATATATCCAAGCGATCGACGTTCTGAGTCTGTAGACGTCTACCTCTACTGTTTTCAAATCATACCCCCAATCCGTCCCCCCACCTATCTCCGAATCAACGCTGTCTGTTGAGTATGTTTCCTTCCTTTCCGAGTTCTTGAATCCCGTATACCTTCAACCCCGGACAATGAATACCCTCGCCAATCGGTTTGTCGAGGAATCATCTCTTGAATTACACCATTTCTTGGCCCATGATCTGGCAACTACTCTGGAACCCAAGCTGCGTGAGCTTGATGACAAGGACGGTCTAGGTGCGAGCCGGGGAGGTCGCATACCTCCTCACACTGCGGGAACAAACTTGCAACCTCCGCCTCCATCGACATCGGCATCACCCAGTCCAGCGCCCACATCTTCGTGGCAACTTAACGGTCCCCCGCACAAATGGCGATACTGCACTCTTCGGCCGCGCGATGGTCCAGTGGAGGTCGTTTCACCACGAGCGGCACTCACTTCATCGGACGAGATCATGCGCAGTCTTCAGGACGAACTATTCTCTTCCCCAGCCTTCCGTGCCTGGCTTGCGATCGTCTCACGATTGTTGCCACTGCGATACTCCGTTGAAGCGCGGCGGTTCCGCCCAGGATTAGATTATCGATTGGCTACTAGTGAAGAGAACGAAGCCAGGCTCGATGTCTCCCTTGGTCTCACCCCAGACGTGCAAGACGTCGAGGACGACCATATCGGAACCAGAGATGGCGTAAGAGGGTGGCAGGCGGCTGAGTGGGGTGGTTGGGAGGTTTGTAACACCCTGTGTCAGTTCGTCGTCATCAGAAAGTTAATCAAAATCACCCTTAGTGTTACATGGCCCCTCATGATGAAGAAGACGATCCTGCCGTATATAGGGCTAGCACACATAAAAAGAAGGACCATAAGGGTGAGGCGTCCACCGTGACCTCCAAGCCTCCCAAGGGAGATGACGTCAAAAAGTCAACCAACGGGGCCGACAACTCTCACCCCAAAACTAATGGAAGCAACGGGAGCGGGAGCAACGGTAGCAACGGACACGCTGTGGCGACTCATCGACCTTCTGTATCTCCTCCACCGGTCGGCGAGCAAGACGATCCTATGTCAGGCGACGAGGAAGAGGAAGAAAGTACCTTGCTTACCGTTCAACCAGGATTCAATCGTCTTCTCCTGGTTCTACGCGATGAACGGGTTATGCGGTTTGTTAAATATGTCAGCGCGGCAGCCGAAGGCTCACGGTGGGATGTTTGCGGAGAATACGAAGTCGGCATGATCCAGGAAGAAGACGAAGAATAATTGCCAATATAAGCCTACTTGCAGCCAACCCTACGGTACTGTTTTGAGTAGTATACAACGTGCGCCATGTCTTGGGTATACAATACAGGTGACTCTTCAATAGGCAGACTAGCCGTGTAGATGATGGCGTATTTATTCTTTCACACGAACAGTTGAGAGAATAGTGCCATATATCATAGGCGCGATACCATTTTATATTGATGTATGTAGCACGCATTACAAGAATGCAAAAACACAGCTCAAAATACGATCTTCTTCCCTTGACTGGGAATGATGGCGGCTGATTCGCGCTTTGCGAGAGCCAAAGCAGCGCCCGGCTTAGGCCGCACTCGCTCCCGCTTGCCTGAAGTCCTGTAGACCTTCTCACCGGTCTCTGTCCGAGGCTTCTTCGGTGCCTGCTCCTCGACCACATGCTCGTGCTCGAGTGAGTGTTTCCTGTCATTGCTGACTGTTGGCCGATCAGATTCGTGGTGGGTAGGCTGGTCTCGCCTAGAAGGTCGCATAGGCTTGGAAGGGCCACGCTGCGTCCCAACCGTCTTCGCATGGGGCCCGCCTCCACGCCGTACCGCTTCCGCGGAGGCGTACTCCACAACCAATCTACGCCCGTCCATTTGGTGATTTCTGGGGTTTATTAAGGCCGTCGTTGCATTTTCTATCGAGGTGAAATCCACGAAAGCAAACCTAAGAATGAGGACGTCGTGAGTACAATGATTACAATGATAGAACCACGGACAAGTCGGGTAAAATTTGTCGAATAGACGATTTGAACTGATAAGGGACGGGGTAAGGGAGGAGGCTCACCCTTTGCAAAGGCCGCTATCTTCAAACGTCCCCATGCGGACTTTTCGTATCCACGGGTCGTTCGACGAGGTCTGGCCGCTGGCAGGCTGACTTGTCTGCTCCGTAGGCTCGGGATCCAGAGCACTATTTTCACCGCCAGCAGGCGTTTTAGTACCCTTCGCCCCCTTTACAGCGGGCCTATGAGCCTCTAGAAACGCTCGGAGGCTCACATCAGTGGTCTCGAACCCCAGATTGCCGAAGAAAAGCGTAGGTGCCGGTGGTTGTTTTTGGGCACGAAGAATTTTCTGTGCGGTTTTTGATAAGCCAGTACCTGTATTAGGTTTCGAAGAAGAGGCCTCTGGAACCACATTTTCGGCTCCAGGTACAGCTGGCCGACCTGTATAGTCATTTCCTGGAATATGAAAGAATGAACATCCACAAGGAAGCGAATTACATTTCATAAACACGGACCGTCTTTTATCAGAAGTTTTCTGCCCGTTAAAGGCTTCTCCGATAATGCGATCGCGGCAACTTTGGCTTCCGGTGTAGCGAAGTCGACATATGCAAACCTTTGTTGGTGGAATAGGGGATTTAGAGAGCGTCGCGATCAGAAGTAGCGCCAAACATAAATTATTGCATTAGAAGGACGTAAAACATGTAGATTGCCCATGTACAGACCCACGATTTTCACCCCGTTGGCCTCGTTCATTAGGCTTCTTCGTAGGCAGATTTATCCGCGTTATCTCTCCAGCGCCAGAGAAGAAGGTCCTAAGATCGTCCTGTGTAGTTTTGAACGAGAGGTTGCCCACCCAGACAGAGTTCTGTCTTTTAGAAAGCGTGGTCGAGGCACTGCCACCAGTGCCCTTGGAGTTTCCTTCCTCCGTCGTTGGTGGAGCCTCCTGCACTTTCTGCTGCTTCTTTTTCTGCTTCCTCTTCTCAGCGTGCGAGACTACTGGTACTTCAGGAGACGGCGACCTGCTGGAGCTCGAAGAAGAGGCAGAATCGTCGTCTTGAACTTGGATGGACACAGCGGGACGTTTTCTGGCCTTGACCAATACAACAGATGAAGACGAAGACGATTCCGCATCCGATTCGCTGGAGCTTGACATGATGTCGATGAGCGTAGTGTCAGTGATATCTAAGAACTTCAAGCGCCCATAAATTTTGAATTCTTTCCCAGGCAACGCAGCGGACTTCTATTCTACTACCTTACTTCCAGGTTACATGCCCTCGATGCATTTCATTGGCTAGCTATCTCAGCTTCTGTGTAATGCGTGATACGGCGGACCCTACTCAAGAACTTCCCAAGCCGATTTTATAAGTAACACCAGGACCCACATCAGAATGCCTTAGGCTTGGAGCAAAACACTACATACACCATCCGCATGCAAAGCCGACTTGTATACGCTAGACCCAATGCCAGTGTTTCTCACCCTCTTCTCCATCGAAGCCGCCAGAAATCCAGACCAACGGAGCAAAATTACGTAGCCCAAAGCTGCTGTGGTATGGACCTGTGGTCAGGTCGTAGACAAGGCTTATCCACACAAGTCCGGTGTGCGTTGTTACTCGAGACAACGCTACAATAGTGGTGTCTGATTTATGGACGGTTCTCCCTTGGGGCAGAGCTCTCAGTAGCCAGAAGCCTCATTAGTGTGAGTCTGTAGTCGATATATATATCGTGCCGTAATTATGCATGGTAGGCATCTCGCCAGCGTCCCACCACTACTTCTGAGATCATGATCCAGACCCACATAACTACGATTCAGCAGGTCTCATTGTCTCTAGCGACCACGGCCCCTTCCCTACGCACGCCTCGGGTCTAGTATCCTGAAGCAACACCTGCTTCAAATATTCAATAGCAAGTTACATTGTGAGTGATTGTTGTTATTCGCGCTGATGAACAATGTCGCATTGTGGTCACAGAAGTGATCAATTAATCAAAACGAGTCTCGTGCGTGATGGCTTCTGTGAAGTTCGGGCTTGCGCAACTCCTCACCTCACGACAAAGGCATGTCTTGCATCTCGTCATCTTTTAGTAGTACCGGACGGTGCAGTATATAGCATGTAATAAATGACAAGTGTAGTCTACATGAGGACGGAACAGTTGTGAGTCCTACGCGTGCTACGTGAAGACTGAAGGAGAGTAGCCCGAAAGCTATTTCGAGATGAATCGAAGCAGCTGCTGAGAATAGAAAAGACGAGATGGGGATAGGAATGCGGCGATTACGGTGGTGACATTTCGTCAAAGTAGGAGTACAACTTCCGTGAAAGAGGATAAATAGTTCATTGAACTGAGATATGCCTTGTATAAGAAACAGGAGTCGTTGCGGATAAGGAGTTTGAATGGAGAAAAACTATAAGATACAACAGATGCCCAGAAGGAAACAATACGCCCGACGCCCTAAACAAAAGATTTGTTTATGCTTTGACATCATCGTAACCAGGGAGCAATGGTTCATTCTCCCTGATTGGTAGGCTTATTCTTCCAGCGTTCTGGACCCTGTTTTGGTCGGCAGAATGGTGAGGGTGCGGGTGCGGGTATCTGTGTCTGTGCCCCCTAGCTCGATCATGATCATTTTCTGGGCGGGATACCCAGGCTTCCGTAGCATTGGCACGGAGTTCCTGAGCCTGCTGAGGTGATAACATGGATAGAGGGATGGGTGCGTAGACGAAGATGTTGTCATCGGTAGGTGACTCGACGCCGCCACTTGAGGGCGTTGGAGGTGCCGAGAATGACATCTGCGGGGCTGCCGGCGGTGGTCCCGACACAACGCTTGGCGGTAAAGTAAACGTTGTGAGGCGGGAGAGCAGCAGGATTCTCTGAGAATCCTGGGACCTCGAAGTTGACCGGGTTCGCAAGTGACCATGCGAATGAGAATGAGAAAGAGATAGAGAATGACAGTGGGTGGGTAAGCTGCACGAGCGTTGATGATATCTCGACAAGTGCGAGTAAAAATTGGATATCGCAATCAAGAAATGAAGCTATTATGAAAACACCGGAAGTTGTAAGTTGATAGTAAGCATGATCGTCAAAAGAACACGTACCCGGATGATGATAGTGATAAACATCACGGCGACCGCCACGAGCACCGCCCGCTCGAACCAGAGTTCACAGTTCTCCAAATTTAAGCCCATTTCGGCCATATCACGCATGAACTCTGGTTGGCGGGAAAGTTCCTCGCAGACACCCGTTCTGACGAACGGTCGGAAGGCCGTGTATGTTCCAACAAGGGTAAAGAATGTGCAGAAAGAGAAGTCGACAATGGAGTAGTCGCGGTAGATGCGCACGTGTGCTGATTTGTTCTGCATTTTGATTGTTAGTCGAGAATAAAGCTGTAATCGATATCGATACGCACCTTGAGTGATCCCCAGAACCCTACAGCACACAAAGCAGCGGATATGGCGAAGTAGCTTGACAACAAGCCCAGGACAATCTTAACGCCATTGAACCGCCACCCCGAACTCTCCCATTCTGACTCTGGCTCCCATTTCAAAACCCTCCAAGCAGCTGCAAGCTGAAGAGCGAGGATGAGGTTGGTCAAGGACCCAAAGAGGGTGATAGCCAACGAGGCAGATCTGTATTTTACACGAGGCATGGCACGGCGAGAATGCGAGTTCGCAGTGGAATCCGAGATCATAAGAATCGTGAATGTGAGCCTCGCTGTGGTGGTGGTACGAGAACAGGAGGAGGCTTACCTAGCAGGGTACGGGCGTGTCATGGTGAAGGAAAGAAGATGAAGATGACTAAACATGGGAATAATGCGGACCATTCGGCATGTTGCCACATCGTCCCATTTCGGGAAAACTCTGACACAATAAATTGTCGAGCCACTTGTTTTCCACGCTTAAATCGAGCCTGCCTCACATATGTCTCCTCATTTTTGCTTGACCTGGGGCAGTCGCAACCAGGTAGAAAACAATAAATGACGCGATATTATATTCTGTGTCCATTATGAATCGATTACCGCGGTCCCGGGAAACGCAGGGCATTTGAGATGACTGTCGGCGCCGATCCCTGTCCGAGGACGCGCATGTCGGCGTACTGTACGTAAAGACTACGATGTAAGCGAGCGCTAAATATCTTCTGCACGTGCTGTCCACCGTCACTTGACGCCCAACCCTCATTCAACTCCGGACGCGATGGAACCGAAACGATATGTCGACCGGAAGGCGGCCAGTCAGTCCTATAGGCCAAAGAGCAACGTACGCGAATATACTTTCTGCAAGGGTCTCCCTCTGACCGCCCACACCCGCAGTTGATGTCCCCCGGGCTCAAACGGGCTCGTGAACCGTTTAAATACCGAAACGCGTTCACAGGACTTGTATTGGGCGGATTTGTCGTCGGAGTATGGGCGTATTCCATAAGCGCGGTCAAGCAGGATGTCTTCGATGATATTGACGAAGAAGCCCGCGAAATGGCCAAGCCGACGGGCAATGCGACCGCAGCGACCGCGGACGTTGAGAAAAGTCTTCCTACACCGAGCGTACCCACTATCATCACTGCGCCGCAGGTACCCCTGCCTGATGTGCGATCGGGCGCCCCGCCGAGGGGAATACTGGCCAAGTTCCTGGAAGCCAGGTATCCGGCAGTGCTTGATCCAAAGCAGAAGACAGTCGTTTGGGGCGCGCCATCAGTAGATGCGCCGGGTCGAATTCAAAAGTCTTGACAGTAAGAATAAAATGATATTATAACATCCGTCGTATACACTAATGGTTGCAAGCAGAGGAGACGATTCATGAGGGTATACGGTAATGAACACAGGATAGCAATTCGATAGCAAAACTTTTAAATAGTTGATTGACAATAAACCGTCTTTCGAGTCCAATGTTGTCCCGAGCTCGTACCTCAAATCAATCCCCACACACCTGCTTTTCGAACGCCTTCAACCAAGGCATCGACGTTGCCTAGCATCGTCCCAAGCAACTCCTTTTTCTCCTTGGTGGTCTTCGTTCGGACATCCGCTTGCTTGGCTTGGACAGGTTCCGCAGTCTTCGTTGGGCTTGTCTTCGACTCAGGTTCTGTGATGCTAGCGGCCGAGCCCAATCGTGAAGGCGGCCGAGGCGTATTGTTACTGTGAAAGTATCGTGACCTTGTAGCACTTCCGGACGGCGGCCTGACACCCAAGTTTGACACCTGCGCTTTCTTGGGACTCATCGGCACGTAATCTACGTCCTTTCGCAACATCATCAAGGGCCGTGCCTTCGCAGCTTTAATGCCGCTGGGTGTTGAATCTATCGGCGCTTTGCACGCGGAGGACTTGTCTGGAGAAGCTGACCGCGAGGGTGCAGCTGAAGAAGCGGCTGTGGACGACGTTGCAACGGACGAAGTAGAAGAAAAAGATGATGTCGAACTCGATGAAACTGATCTCGCTGAGCCGGCAGATGTGGTTGTCGAGAATACGTAAGTCGAGGAGCCGTAATTTGAAATCGGGTTGGAGGGTGTAGGGAAAACGAAAGGTTTCTCTTGTCGCGTCGGTGTCACTGGCGCCGTTGGAGGTAAAGCATTATCGACCGATAGGGCGTCAGCAGACAGTTGGTCGCCGACTGAGGAAGCAGACAAGGTTTCATCCAAAAGATAGAAATATAAGAACTCCAGGCATTTCATCCTGCACAACCGCGTTCAATCAACCGCGTCACAAACGAACGGATTTGAGCTTACCTAACTTCACGAGGGGTTCCTGCCCGCTTGAGAATTTTTACAATGACTTGCAGTCCACCTGCTTCTTCGAAAGCACGCAATGCAGCCGTAGAGTCAACCATTATGCACAGAAGGGTATCAATTACAGTCGAAGAGAGAGGGGCTGGTGCGGGGAGAGTGGAAGCCGAGGTGGGAGGGGTGATGCTGGGAATGTGACGCGAGGCGAGAAGTAGATCCAATAATATCTTATGTATGTTCTCAATTGACGATTGGGAATGATAGAGAGCGCTCGTCGTACCTCGAGTGAATATTTCCGCCCAAGATAAGATTTACTTGCGGGATGGTTCAAGGCGACCCCTTGTAGAACGGAGAGGGCGAGAGATACATGATACGAGAGGGCGTTGATCTCCTTGTCCACTACTGCTATCATTAGAGTCAGCAACCGACTATGTAGGTTCTTCCGAAGAACTCACTGCACGAAGCATCGAGTCTCGGTGTGGAGACGGCAATCCAATGCAGCAATCGCGACGGTACTGTATCAACCCTTCAGCCCAAAGCTAGCAGACAACTCCAATGCCACGCACCGTTACATTCGAAGGTATACTGTAACGCCCAGAAATCGTGGTTCTCGTCGCCACTGAGGCAGACCGCTGCTACTTGACGTTCCAGCGATGCGATCGCGGCGTATATCCGCCTGTCAGAGGACCTAGGGGACAATAGCTAGATGCATGCGGTCAGATCAATCCGCCATAGTGTATTAGGCGCCCCACCTCATCTAGGACGTCCTGGAGGTCATTTAACGAGGACGCTGTTAGGTTCATGAATATATCGAAGGGCGTATCCAGATGGTGGTAAATACAGAAAGAGGGAACGTCGAGGCTGTCTACAGGCTTATAATTGTATTCTGCCGGGTCAAGACACCTTTCCGATTCGAACTGTGGCTTCTATTTACAGTTGTTATGTTCCAAATCTATTGACGCGTGTCTCATGTGACCGTTACCTTGCCGCCACGAGGACGAGTGCTGCGCCTCGCATTTGACAAGAGTCAACACATATATATAGGTTTGTAACGTAGTATACAGTTCATTGTAGTTATCTCGATACTATTGGATATACAAACCAAGAAGACACTGAAAAGGGACATAAGAATGGTGAAGGTCTCTGGCTGGGGATTGTTTCAGAAACCAACGAGGCGAACAGCCGAACCAGAGGCCTTGAAGGTGCCGACACACGAGGTTGACATCGATATAGAGCCCTGTAAACGGAATCGAATGAACACCAATGACCAAAAGTTAGAGAAGGCGTCCGCGGAAGTGCTAGGCGTTCTGTGTCTAAGATCCCAAGAGAAAGGAATGGGAACAAGTTACAAAACTTATTGAGCGCCAACAGTGCCAGTGGCTATTGATACGTTCTCGCCAAACGGTAGCTCAGGTGCCTTGATGTCCGGTCGGTCCTTGTTGTTATATACTTCGCTCATTGGTGTCAGAGGCAGGCCCGGTATTGTAGATATTGAGGGGACAATCTCTGCGGTCTTCGGTGGTTCTTGCTCCGTGTGGGACGCTCTGCAAACATAACTGGATGAAGACAAAGTGGAAACGAGTGAGATATCGTGGATCCACCAACCGTCGTTTCTTGTTAGGCATATCTGGTGATGTATTGCCAGACTTGCTAGGTCCCTGTGTGACGTATACACGGGAGTCAGCATACACTAACGAGATGAGATCTATTTCACCTTAGCGCGTTTCTGGGCATGCTTGGGTTGCCGTTCGCCAGGTCCAAACACATTGTCCGGTAATGCAGCACTGCCAAAGAGATCGCTCAACGTCGGAGATTCACTTGAATGGTAGAATACCTACCTCTTGATATGTCGAACGACAATTCCCATGCGTGGCTCTTCGTACTTCTCCCACATCTTGACGAGCTTCACAAATTCAGTCGTGGGGTATGATATATCCAATCGTCTCGGACCAGTGGTTCCCGCTGCAGACTGTGAGACCTAAGTAGATTCTTTGATTGCGACATGACGTACCTGGCTTTGGCTCAATGGCTAGGCCAATATAGAACGTGGTCGAATAAACCGGTCCGCCACCTTCCTTGCCTTCGATGTCTTCTGGTTTTCGCTTCTTGATAGTTTCAGAGATTTCGCCCTGGGCAACGGCGCGTATCTCGTCTGGCGATGCACAGTACGACGTCTGTTCAAAGCCTTTAATAAACGGATGAGCCAATATGAGTGAGTCGACGTATTCGAGTTTCATAACCAACTGCCTTATTCGAGATTCGACAGTTCCCGACCTACATATACAAATTAGTTAGCTTCAATGTGAATTGCCGTCACCTACCATTTTATTTGCAAGTCGGGGTCGCCTGTGGAAGCAATTACTTGAAGGTAATACCGATATTTGTGGAAGAAGTCGTGCTTCGCGAATAGCTCCGACCACGACGTACTGCCGATCATGACTCGGTCGACAATCTCGGAAGCTGAAGGTCAAAGTCAGAAAATAAATTGTCTGCCCACAGGAGCGATCCGACCTTTCTTCAATTCTTCCGTCATAATCATTTGGGTTGACTCAGTCACGTTATGGGTAGAGCACATAGCAGGGTAAGCGGGGGTAATAATGGGCATTCGGTGTGTTCGGTCTGCAGGATATAGCTAGAGGATGTAAGTAGGCGAAGTCGCCCAGTTATTTTCCATTCACCTTTGGATTCCAAACTCTGACTTGCAACGGCCCGTCTTCAATTTGTTTCAGTAGTACTGGTTGCGGCCATGACCTAATACATAGATAATATGTTGGGGAGTAAAAGAGAAACATGAAAGTAGCGCACCATTGATACATGATTATGAAGAATCGGCTGACAATGGCACCAGCGGTCGCATTAGGGTAGAGTTGACATATTCGAGCAACAAGAATCGCCCATGCTACTCCACCCAGAAAACCGTTCACATTGGAATATATGGCTCGTCCTGTGATGGATGAGCATTGCCACCGATATATGCGGCAAGGATGACCTACTCTGAGCCCAGAGCTTTATACATCGTAATGAATCGCGGAATACTTGCACATTCGGCACTAGCCTGAGAATTTCCTCTTGTACTCGACATCCTACACAATAGCGATGAATTCTAGGCCATGTTGGCCCCGCTGACAGACTCACCTCCCAAACTTCGTACACAACGCTCGTCTAGATTTCGTAATAAATTATCGTCTTGCAGTGACAAATCGTCCGGTATTGATGATAGAGTCAGTCGTGCCATCAAGAAGTCTAGTGGGATGCCGGAGATTTTGGTTTTTATGATGGGGACGTAGGCCTCGGGAACGCCCTATAGTCAAATGAGGCGTATGTATACAGACATATTGGTCAACCGAACGCACAGAAACTTCCGTCGCACCGTCCATATCTCGCAACATTGGTTCAAAGATTTCGAAGAAGTCCTCCCTTGTAACGTGCTTGGGCACGACGCATAGTGTATCGATATCGGAGCCGGGACCGTGAACGCCTAATCGGTAGGAACCAAATGTATAGATCTTGCCACCCGCCGCTCGTGCAGCGGTGTCTGACAAGCCGCGGGCAATGCCAAGGTCGTATACGAATTTTTTGACAAGTGCGGCGACTCGGCCAAGGACAAGCTCCCTGTGGGTTGTGGAGTCGTGAAGTTAGTATGTGAGATGGCGGGCGACGTTCAAGACTCGGAGTACAGTGACTATCGTTGTTGGTATATGGAACAGCTACAAGCGGGTGAATTGTCCAGGGCATCGCAGATGACTAGGGCTTGCGCGGAAAAGGAGACAGAGTCACCAGCGTACTGAAAGCCGCTACTCACCGCATTTTCGCCTCATCCTCGCTTTCGAACGTATTTTGGCGTCTCAGTTCAGCCATCAAAGTGACAGTGACTTCTTTCTCTCTCTCCGAGGATTCGCTCTGCGATATTGGTGGAGTAACTCCCAGATATCTACATGGCGCGAGAAGTCAGCTTATGGGATGGAAACCTATAGCAATTGCAACTTGCCCCTTGTCTGTCGCCATATTCTGGGAAACTGTGTTGAGGGAAATGGTGCTGGGAAAGTGGTTGAGAGAGAAGGCGAAGGATGTCTTGGTTATGAAAGCCGTTAACGGAAGGTCCTTGCTGAGTCAGCTTCTGGGTCAAACAAACCACTCAAGTGCCGGTCAAGTGTGATGAATCTGTAACAATGTAGTGCTATAGTCCTTTATATATATATATATATATATATTGCGTACATGCATCAGCGGTACGCCGAGCAGAACATACAAATTAAATACCATACCGCAATTCTAACAAGTATATATCTAACAGCAGTGGGTCTAGATATGATTGGTCCACCATAACAAAAGCGACAGCAAGCCCAGCGCTATGCCTTTGGGCTGGACGGGGCAGGCATGATGCGACTTCCATATGCTGAACGAGTACGTACACGCCTTCTAGCGAACCAACCCAAAGCAGCGACGGCAGACAAGCCGAGAACTATCCCAATCACAATTCCCGCAATGGCACCGCCAGTCAACCCAGAAGAACCTCGGTGAGTGCCATCGTCCGAGCTACCTGGAGAGCCTCCATCCGTCCAGGGTGGACCGCCTACGGGCCAAAAGGCTCCACCGTCCGGGGGTATCACACAGGTCAAGGCATCACCATCCGAGATAACTCTGAAGTCTGGCTGCAGTTGCAAACCTGCCGAGTTATTCCCATCGACCACAAATGGGTAAGGCTGTGGGAGCGTTTGGTCTTCGCTGCAGTTCGGGCCAGCAGCACCAATGAATGAAGTGTTGCCAACCAGAACATTGTTTTGAACGGTGAAGTTGCGCGAGGAGCTGACTGCCATGGCGTAACTAAACGCGCCCGTAAATTCGTTGTCTGTCACGGTGCCGGACACAGACGTGTTGGTGCCAAAGCGATCGCCGAACCAGGTGCGAGGGCCAATTGCAATGCCAATTCTGTCCAATGTGCAAGATGAACGTCAATCTTCTGTAGTTGTCATCAGCGACCTGAATTCTTACTTGATGATCGCGTGTTCGGTATTGACGCCTTTCGTTTCAGCGACCCCTGTGGGAGCATTGGCAAACGCTCCAGCTATCCTGTTGTTGCGAACCACAGTGCCGGAGTAATCCCCGCGGTATGGTTCATAATCAACCATATTTATACCGCCAAGCAGTGTTTGCTAGTAAAGGTCATTATAAAACAATAGATAATGTAGTGCGGGAAATGAAGACTTACATTTTGCGCTAGTATAGTGTTATTTTCTACCACTGTTCCCGGCGCGCCGAACAGCACTATACCGCCATCTGTCGGGTCGACGATCGTGTTATTCCGCACCAAGCTGTTTCGACAGCTCATACTAATCCCATCAGCCCACTGTTGAAAATCATCCGTTCCGCATGGACCGATGTCATTATGTTGAACAGTGACATTGTTGCAGTCCAGGCTACCCTCGGCAATATGCAGGCAAGACCAGCTTCTCGGGTTGTAGGAGGCGACATGCTCTATCAGTTGCCCAGAAGTTGAGCCGCCCATCTCAATGTTGGCACCTCCTTCTGTGGGCGGCGCGCCGCTTCTTGTCCCATTGATCTACAAATATAAACTGAATAGATAGACATATACGGAGGGTATGTGATATACCTGTATATTCCTTAACTTTACTCCAGAGCAGGAAGGGCAAGTACCATCAACAGCCGTGGTGTGGCCTGTCCCATTCGAAACCGGGCCATTGACAACGAGAGTAGCGCGGTCGCTCCCAAGTGGATATCCTAGCGTGCTTATCTCCTGGTCTTGAGCGGAGAAGAACAGTGGGGTCAGCAGAAGGTACTCTCTGCTAGGGCATAGCCGCAAGATAAACCCAGACCCAGATGAGTTGAGGGCGCTGTTCAGTCGGTCGGTTACCGTACTTGCAGGGTCGGGGGACACGCATTCCGCGTCGTTCTCACTGTGACAAACAGTAAGACGGGCAACTTCACTCTAGAACGGGATCTCACCTCATGGGGGAGTGGAAGAAAGGATCTCACAATGGGCGGCGAACCGAGTCCGTGTGTTTACTAACCATGCATCATTGCAATTCGTTCGCCTCGTGCCTAGATAGGATATTATTATACATATGAGATACTGAAAGTTTCGGCCAATTGAGCCGCCGTCTCGAAGTTACGCAGCCCGGAGAATGAACCTTGGCAGACATCTGCCCGAGGGCCTTGGTGACTTAAAGTATATGTGACCTTCACGATGAAAGGAATGGGGGCAAACGTGATCAAATTCTATCTTGGAGGTTACAAGCCCATCTACGCCTAAGAGTCTTTGCCCTGTACATAGTATTTCAGTACTCTCCCAAGGCGACGAGTGTAGAATACGCACTTTGATCAACGAGAACAGACCGTACGTCGTTCCTAGCATACCGAGGGTGAAGGTAGTGTAGTACGCTCCTGTGGACATGGTGAGCCAAGGTCAGGCCGTAGTGGCAGAAATAGCGCAAACCCATGTAAAGGTTGGACCTGGGCAGTCTGTAGAAGATTTTGCGGTGGTCGTTCTGACATGAACCCAAGTGTTAGATGCACTCCGATTGAACCGTTACGGTTGCGCACCTGGACAAGCTTCTGCTTCTCCAAAATGTGGTTGGGCTCTGTAACACCGCTATAAGAGTCGAATTCATGTAAAAGGACTGTGCTGCTCACTGTTGTAAAGTGCGCTCAGCATCTTGGTTGGTCGACTGAAGGTGAATGTGGTGGATGAGACGGACGTTTGCGGAGTTTATTTGGACTTGCTTGACCGGCGACATCCGTTGCAAACGACAAGTCTAGAGGCGGGCCAGCCCCTTTCCTTCCTACTTCCATGTCGAATGACCGAGTTCGCGTTAGAGTATGTCCCTGTGCTCAATTTCAGTGAACCTGCAATTCATCCGTGCTAGGGCTTGAGTATATTCAGGCCAATTATCTACGGCAATACAGCGACAGTCTTGACGCCAAAGGAACGCGAATCACTCTCGTCTCCCGACCACACGCATAAGTGGACGGTAGCTGTGCGAAGTGCAGCGTCGAATCCAAATTCTGACATTGTTGGAGGGGCTGACGACCTCAGCTACTTTATAAAGCGCGTCGTGTTCAAACTACACGAGACATATCCCAATCAATCGCGTAGTAAGTGTTCACATTACAAGATGTTACGCAACGCGAGACTGATTGGAAACAGCTGTCGATAAACCACCATTTGAAGTTTCCGAGACTGGGTGCGTTAGGTTGATTGGCTGAATCACTATGGCTTACAAGCGAATGCGGTAGCCAGATGGGGTGAATTCGAGATCCAAATCCGCATCACTTTCATATCAGAATCGGGAGAAAAGGCCATTTTGTTGTATCATCACCTCAAGCTTCATCCTTGGAACGCGACAGGCGAGGCAGAGATCCCACCTCTCGATGTAGCTATCAAGTATGGGCCTGTCCACTCATGGCAATACGATGAAATCGTCTTCAACGACCCCTTCCAGAATTTCCTCTCCATCTTGACGGCGCATCCGCCCACACCGCTGCCGAAGGGAAGCAAACGACCTGTACCATTTCATCTTTCAAACCCTGCATCCTTGGAAGCATCGAAGGGCGGGACACCAGAGTTTACTACCCAAATGGCAAAAGAGGAGGCTGATAGGCTGGACGCGGCTAAGAAGGAGGTTTTGGCCCAGCAGGAGGCAATGCGGCTTCAGATAGTCGAGAAGGAAAAGGAATTAGATAGCTTGCAGAGACAACTCAACTCTATGGCGTAGGTTTGCGTTGAGTTTGCCCTGGCGGGATTCGTTCCGGTTATACAGTTACAACATTCAAGCAACTCATATACAAATTCACTGCCAGAACTAGAAGGAATCGAAGGAATTGATCCATCAAACCAGGATTACATATACAGGGGGTACCGGGTTAAATCTAGTAAGAAATGATAAATCGAAGCCTCGGGTTGACAGAAACGTCGAAGGAGCATGAAGACGACCACGTCAATACCACGGCGCCCACCCGGGATACATTCGAGCCTAACCAGTAACCCGTAAGATTGATTGTGCCACAGCCGTGATGTCGGAACAGCCTTACCAGATTGTCTAGGTCAGTCGCCCCTTGGATGAGCAATTGTACGAGGTTGCTGACAGACACTTCTTTCGTTGGGCCACGATGTAAATCCTTCGGAGAATAATAACCTTTAAGCCTCTTTTCCATGGGCACCAGCGCATTTTTGGCAAGCATCTTAAGATCTACAGAGTCTTTGACTTGATTCTTTCGGTCCCGTTCCTATCAGAATGGAGTGGGTCAATCATTGAAGTGGGTGGAGCGTCATCAAGTGTACCTTTGCAGTCATTTTGCGCTTCTCATCCTCCCATTCAACAAGGGGGTCATGAATGAACGCATCCAGGATGGACATAACCGTGTCCTTGTGCTCACGTAAGAGGCGAAGTGTCAGCTCGCACGCAACGCGGAATACGCCTATAAAGCACGTCAACCAAAGCCGTTACAGACAAGGCATACCACCCACCTTCAGTACCAGTGATCCCCAAACCATCGACCACATTCTGTGTTAGCCTGAATGGTACACGCTCCGGAGTCTCCAAAAGCTTGCCCTGAAAGAGGTTCATCAAAGGCGTTCTTTGAAGTTAAGGTTGCGCTTTACCTTCTCGAACAAGCAGTTGAAATCACAATGTACGACATCTCCGGTGTTTGTGTCTAGCAAGATATTCTCACAGTGACGATCCCCCAGACTATTGATAAGTGAGCTTCGTTATCCACCATCGGGAGAGTTGACAGAGGACTCACCCCACCATGAACCCAACGATGGACATCACGGCTACAGTTCTACTGTAGGTTAAGCGACCCGCCAACCAAGCTGAAGGCTCAGGGAAGGTTTCTAAAAGCCATTCGTGAAAGACGGGACGATATCTGGATCATCTAATCAGCACTTGAAGTGCCACCTGGATGAAGAAGCTCACCGCGCCAGAATTGTAGCCTGGAAGACTTTGCCCACGTCTTTGAGCTTGGCCTCTTTGATCTTCGCGCAATCCTCGTTCAACTCACCGCCCTGTGTAATCAATTCATGAGCAGAGTATTTAGGTGTATCTTGTACGCAACGAACCCAAGGTGGTAGCTTCTTGGCGTGGTATGCCTTCACTAGGATTGGACGCATGCAAACCGTATTCGGTACCCATTGTATCAACCCACATTCATCATTCAAAGGAATGGCAGCGTAAGTGCGAATGTCTGAGATCATCGCGAGCTCAGTGAAGGAAGAAAGAGGGGAGATGATGGGAGCGACTTACGCAGTTGTCTACGGCGGGAGTCCGAACTACCACTCAACAACTTATTGACAACCGTGTTAAGATCCATAATTCTTGCGTCCTTACGCAAGTCGTCTTTCGGTTTGGCGAGGAAGGAATAGATCAGCCCATCGCTCCCCTTCAACGTGACTTTGCGTGGCTTCGCGAGGGAACTCATGACCTCGACGTCGTCTTGGAACTCTACAGGACCGGCCAGATGAGTTCATGAATACGCAGCTGGACGACAACTATTTTACCTGCAAACGTTGGTGAATTCTGAGGAAATGGATGATGCTGTACCTGGGTTGCTGCAGAGGGCGGCGGCATGCTGGCCGTCAACGATTGTTGGAGCGGAATGATTAGGGAACATCCAGTCAAGGTCTGTAAAGCAGGGAAATGCCGGGCAATGCTCAGCTTCGTCTCTGAGCGAGCTGGATGTTGGCAGATACGCAATAGCTCCCTTATCATTTTGAGACAGTTTTGTATCATGGTGCTCACGCCCCTCTGGTTCTTTGGGTCACTCTACTCATTGCTAAGCACCGTCCCATCAATGCTTTGGAAGGATACGCACCCGCATCTTGTCTAAGAGCAGTCGGCCCCGCTCCGCCCGTGTTTGGTTGTTTGAATGGATGATGGAAGCAAACAGCCATGAGGCCTGAGGCATATACGTGCGGAGGATCGAAATCATGAGGGGATTGAGGATTTTGATAACGTCTTTATTCTGATGGCCGACTCGCGAGACGATCTGAGGGAACGCTATGTACCACTTTCGAAGGGTTAGCAATGCGGGTTAGCGTTCTCGAGAAGACGACACACTTTGTACAGCGGAATTTCTTGAAAGGCTCGAATAATAAGTTCGTTGATCTTTGGGAATTGATCAGATGTGACCATTTTCTCGTTATCGGCCATATCCAGCCATACTGTAAGAAGCCGTGGCACAGTTTGATATACGTGCTTCGAGCCGTATTTGAGAGATTTGATGAAATACTTGACCGTATAATAGCATAATTTAGGACCCCTGGTGATAGTTGAGTAAGGATGAAATGAACCACAAAGCCATTCCTCGTACCTGGTTGGTATTTCTCTTTCGTCAAGAGCTTTGTAAGTATTGTCGTGATAAAGCCCCAAGTGGTAGTTGCAGCCCTCCCATCTTCACACGGATGTTAGTAAAGGACCTTCTAGAATAGTGAAAACTCACTTGGGAAAGATGTTTGCGGCATACGTAAACACCCTTAGGACATGTCCATCCTCAAAGCGATCTGATTCCGCCATCCATCGAGCACGAAGAGTTTCCGCCTGACGAAGCTCTGAGTGAGAAAGCGACCAAACTCAGAGGAGCTATGATGTTACCTTTGCCTTTAATTTCTTCATTTCTTCCTCGTCGAGAGTAAGATTCACCACCGTCGAATCCTCCGACAACCCAAGCTGGCGCATGGTGTTCTCTAACTCCTGCAAAGCGCGGAGTGGCTCGCCAGTTGCCTTGAGGAGCTTCGCACTCTCGATAAAGGCGTAACTGTCATCAACCTGCCGTGCGTGCAATGTCGCGCTATAAGCCGTTTGCCATTGGCCGGCTTTTCGGGCAATCTTGCTGCTAGAGAGCCAAGATTTTCCTACCTCTGCAGCAAACTTAGCTAACTCTGGGCTAGTATAGAATACAGTAAGCCAAGTGTGCCACGATAATACATCGAGATAGCTCAACTGGATTGCAAACGCGGTCCGCCGGATACTCAACACGGATTCACGCGCCCGGAACGTTGGAAGAACAGTGTCTAACCGACCTTCCAGCGTTCTTGACAATTGTTTGAGAGCCTGGCGTCGCTGTTCGGCCGAGCCAGGAATTCCGCTCTTCAAATTGACGACATTGCTGATCAGCTCAAGTTCGTACGTTCTATGCAGGTCAAGCAGTGAATCGTAAGCGTGCCGGAAACCCTTGACACCTGAGGCCGTGATAGGCGCCCCAAGGATAATTCGACCTGATGACAAGGCCTCTTTCAGAGTATTTGGTTCTCCTGTACGCATCGCCAGCAAGACCTGGGCCATAATCACGGAGGGAGTCTGCGACGACGAGGTTTTCACCAATTCTTGGACTTCATCCCACGCGTTGACTAACCAGGCGCTTTCAACTTGGAACCCGGCCAAGGCTCCTTGCCAGCCTGGATTGCGAGTCAAGATGCCTTTGACATGGGTACGCAATGTATCTAAGACTTAGTTAGATACGATACCCTTTGAAAACCCAGGCACAAACCGTAGTGGCCCAGATTACGCAAACATCGCAAAAGACCCAAGTGAAGGTCGAGGTTGTCAGGCTCCTTCTGTAAGCACAACTCCCAGCAACTTTGTGCAGACGTCCATTGACCCAAGCTTTCATGCTGTCGAATTTGATGCTCGAGAGACGGATTGAGTATCAACGCCGACACGCCTTCCATCCCATCGGGCTCGTCCAAGTAAGCATATATTTCATGAAGCCGTTCGTAAGAAGAATGTAGTGTCGGACTCGCGGGCGACCGCTCCCTCGTGGTCCGAACAAGCTGTTCGAAGTTCATCAATGAGCGTGCATACGCCTTGCATTGCAGTGCCGCCTTCGCCATCAACTCTTGGTCGATGCTCGAGAGGATAGAATCGACTTGCAACAATTCCTCGTCAGATACAGACGTAATTCGAGCCCTCCTGGCTGTGTCCTGCTTCTTTGAATTCACCTCTTGGCGCATGACGCGAACCCATGTGCTCAAGTGGTCCAGCAACATGAAGATAGCCTGTTGATATATGAGTGCTGGGTGATATTGGGAGGCAGCAACATACCTGAGCACTAAGAAGCTTCTTGTCGGGAGAAGAGGCACTGTCAGAGGTATCTTGATCCCGCAAAACGGCTAGTATTTCGAATAGAATGGCTTCCCTGTCGTCTTCTCGACCAGATATAAGAATGTTCAAGATTAAGTGGGGAAGAAGAAAACGGGCAACGCCAACATCCTTGTTTCGTACGGCAGAGCGGAAAACTCCAAATATTTTCTGTGCAGTCGCGCCCGAAGCTCTACTTATGAGGTGGACCGTCCATAGCTGAATCCATTCCCGATAAGTAGATTGCTTTGGGTATATAGGAAGTTCAGGTGTCGAGGTAGGATTCAGGGTTAAAGTGAATCGTCCGCCGAGCAGCGGAGTGACGGTCTCTAGAACGTGCTTAGGAAGTGCTTTCCACCGGTTCCGTACCTTCAACGGGATTGATTGCGTGATTGTCGCAGCGACTAGCCCCGGTGTAAATTGACAGAATTTGAGTAGCTCCTGGATGCAGAATCCTAGATGTCCTTGATAGTTGATGTCGCTGGTAGACCGGTAGGCACCGACCAGGAGATCACTGATTAAATGTAACACGAAGGCCGTGGATTCATCTTCGTCAACAAAGTTTCGCATCATGATCATCCGGGAGTCACTGGGCCTGATATCACACCTATCAGGATCGACTGCGCCTAAAATCCCAATGCATTCGTAGGCTAAATGGTGCACTTCTTCGGTCCCTTCATTGTCACGGCATGCGGCAGAAAAGAGTGTAGATAGAATTTGGCCCACAAGGGGATCAAACATGTCGCCAGAAGCCAACTCCCGTATGAAGTCTTGGTGTTCATCCGCCATGAACCGTTTTAGTTCGCGTAAGGATTGTAGGGCAACAGACACATTTGCATTGTGCGCCCGATCCAGTATGCGGCTCAAGCGTTGTGGTGGCTCGCTGCTCCCTCGGAGTACCCCCAGCCTGTCAGCTTCTTCTCGGAGTTCTGGTACGGACGACAAGTCCACAATTTCGTCAAGGTTGTTGGCCAATCGTGGGCCAAGCACAAAAACGATGTGGCGGATGAGTTGCTTCGCGGAGTCTTGGGCAATGGAAGAGAAGGCTGGCCAGCAGGATACCAGCGTCGCGCTAATCGGGCCAACATGAGGCCCAACATCGCTATCACCGAGAGTCGTGACGAATTGCATCCAGCTGTGAAGTGTCACCTCCGCAAGCTCTGGTATCACGACCATGGTTTGAAAAGTAGCCATTATCTGACAACAGTCAGAGTGTGTATTTTACATCAGATGCTTGGTCATACCTGGGGGGCGACGTTACTGATAGAGGAACCAATGATTGTAAATAAGATCCCGAAACTGCGCAATATACGACGTTTTGAAGCCACAGATTGTTTGCCCCGCAGTTCTTGAAGCATTTGACTGATGCTTGTGATGATCCCCAACATGTGCTCTTTGAGGAGCTCGCCTGAACCCGAGGACTTGCTGCTTGCCTGGGGCTCCGAGAGAGCCTTATTAACCTTGTCAAGCGCGTCTACAGCCTGCATTTCAGGTTAGGCAGTTCGGTACGTTCTTACATCAGCGACGTACCAAGTTCCCTCCGGTTTCGTCGCCTAAGCTGACAACTAGTTCTGCCAGCAGTGGAACCAAGCAACTTGTGATGATCCTATGAATCGGGGTACTATTGGCATTCCGGCCAGAATTCATGACTCCTTTCACAAAGTTCAGGCCTTGTTGGGTAGCGAGTTGACTCGGTAGTAGAAAGACGTGTGCCAAAATATCGTGTGCGTATTTCATGAAGAGCTGAGTGGAGTCCATTTGAACCTCTTGGCAGATTTTTTCCAACACCCTAGCCTCCGAATTGGCGAACACCTGAGGGAGCGTCCGTGGCAATGTCGTCGAGATGAAGTCCGTTGGGTTTACTGAAATTAGGCGACAGGTCTCAGCGAGCAAGCCTGGCTGTGTGACCATGCGCATCACAAGAAAGGGCGCGACCATATTCATGGAGGGCTGAACAAGGTTGTAGGGCGACCTTTTGAGGTGCTTAGCCACTGCCAGAAACTTAAGAAAATGAGTTGAAGGAACGAACGCAGAAGCCCGGCAGTCGAACCTGCGTATAAGAGAGTGACTTCAACAAGGGGTTTTGCCTCGACAGGTGAGATATCAGAAAACAGACACTGTGCTCCAGTAAGTCAGGCTCTGACGTTCTTTGACCATCGCATTAGGCTTATGTACGACAGAAGTGTTGGCATAGACTTACCTTGCAATCAAGCCCACAGTGATGAGAAGTGTCTCCGTTTCTCGCATTGAATGCATCTCTGTGATACGATACAGATGATTAAAGATTGAAGCGACAGGAAGACCTTCTGCAGTCCCATACGATCGTGTCATTTGATGGAGAGTGCGCCTGCAGAGTATCAGAACAGGACGCACTTGTCAAGCGGAACTACTCACCCGGCAGATAGCCTAACCGTGCGGCCCTTGTCGCACAGTCCACGTATAAGAACCCCTAACGTTTGTTCGAGCTCCTGCTTACTATAGATCGGTGCGTCATGGGCCATGATGGCACTGTAAGCATTATATACCCTCGACCGCACATCAGCGTCAGCCTCTTCCAACGAACCATCAAGAAGGCGTGCTAATAACGTTTGGACGAAGGGGAGGAGTGAGATGTTGGACAATCTGCGATGTACTTGTGGGCAACACTTCGCAAGAACGCATGGCAATCGCGTCAAACGATCTGCTAACGCAAGGCGTGCATTCGACGACCTGTCTTTCAATGGCCTAGATTTAGGTTGACAAGTAAGTTTCTGGAGGACACACTGTCTCTGAGCTAGCTGACCTCTCAAACCGGATTCGAACGTCGTTCATTGCTTGCGCAATGGATGCTTCATCGAGATTTCCGTTATCTTCGTCCATCCAACTGAGTTCATCTGGAAGAATCAACTCCGAGGCTAAGACTCTGAATTGAGCCTTCCAAGAGGGGGACTCTGATAAATTGTCGGCCTTCGGCGTTTGGTGTGTTCGAGCCTCAACAAGGATCCCTTGTAGCATCTCACTAACAGGGCCCACCGAGAGGGTTGCAGCCTTGTTGGCAATCGACTCTAAAGATTGTGGCGATAGGCGAGGAATACACTGGCTGAGGTACACTCCCACTATGGCCTGAATATATATGAACTTTACACCACCCGAAAGAATACATTCGACGTACCAAAAGCTCGTCGTTTTCGCCTGCCCATGGATGATACCGTAGTAGTTCCACGACAGTATCTGCATCTGCTGCTCTGCTGTTGACAAAACCAGGGATGGAGAAAGCTGTGCGTAGATCATGCTCGTACGGCGACGTAACCGCCTTCGAGCTTTCTCCGATTCGATAACACACAAAATGAAATGGTAGACCGTGGAATAAGCTCGTGATTTGGGTCCTGTTTTCTGTGTCCTGTTTGCATAATTGGCTGGCTGCGAGAAAAAGACCGGCTAAGGCCACGGAGCGGAAGGTGACGGTGGTCGAGCAAGCAGGCGAACGGACGTGGTGAAAGAGGCGAAGCACTAATTCCGTGGCCCTGCGTTGTATTTTTTGCAGAAATACAAAATTACGAAGTGGGATATCGAGCGTCTGTACCAACGCAGAGACAATGGTGACGGCGAGGACCGGAACATCCGCTATGCTGTCGAGAGTGGCCCCGAAAGAACCATCACTCTCCTACATAATCCCTTGAAAAGGGTCACATATTTTCGTTGGAAGTCACGTACATGGTTAATCCTGGGGACAGAGAACGGTCTGAAGGTGATTGGAAACTTGGACAACGGCAACAGTTGACTTAGTTCTAGTTGTGATCATTGAGCGAGTAGAAGACAGGGAACGGAACACCACATCGCACCTTCTAAAGCGTGAAGTTGCTCTTCCATGATATCTGAAAGCAGGCTTGCACTGGTTCCCGGGTTGGCAGTGGGGGCATCAAGAGAACGACATATCGCTAGAATAGTTTGTAGTACCATAGGTCTGAGTGTTGTAACTTCGCGAGGGATAGCTTCGTCTATCCAGTGGCCCAACGCATAGTCGAGGTTCAGCAGTTTCGTTAAGGTTTTCCGACCAATATCGTCATTTCCGATAAAGACGCGCTCCACGCGAAGTGCAATCAATCCCACCACCTGCAAAGACATCTCCACCATGGCCAGTAGGTCCGCCTGGTCACTCCAGACAATTTCGCCGTGAGAAGGGACCATATCGAAGAACGTATTCAGGCTGTCCACTGCTGTGAGCCATTCGTTAGTGAATGGTATTCGGGGTGTTGTTTCGTCGCCTGCGAGGGGTTCTTCGACGAGGTTGCGCATAAAGGTGAGTAATCGCTTGTAGTCTGCATCCTTAACGGAAAGCTCTGACAGCGGTCTGATTTGAGAGGTTCTTGGCTGGTCCATGGCCGATCTGTAAGTTCAGAACATGGTGGTGTTAGGCAACGAAGACATCCCGTGATCGTGCAAACTTAGGGGATTAGGGAGCATTAGGAGCATTCTTAGGAGCGTTATAATAAAGGTCTGTATCCTACTTCCGTCCTGACCTCCGTTTGTCCTTCGCCTTCTCACGTTCCATAGCCTTTTGCTCCGCTCTTTCCCCTTCTAAAGACCCAAAGACACGCTTCATTCGTTCGTGATACGCGCGGTCCTTCTCCTTTTGCTTCTCCTGCTCCACCGTCGCCAAGAACCTAGCATCCTTCCTGAGCTCACGAATTGCACCCTTGCGTTCCTCCTTATACTGATTGCGTAGTTTCGCGGCTTCATTACGTTCTCTGTCTGGATCTTGGCGACGCATGTAAGATGACGACGAGGATTCGAACTTGGGAATATAGGTCGCAATGGGGATTGGCTTGTGAACCTGCAGGAGGAGAGGTTGACGGGATTGACGAGCGAAGTGGAGCATTTTCTTCAGTCTATCCTGCAGAGGACTCAGGCTTGTCTACATAATTGTTGAAGTTAAAATAGCGCCCTAAGATCGTACCTAGACGCGCACTTACTTTGAGGCATGCTGGCAATCTCTTTGTTTCTACAGCCTCTAAAATATCTCTCACCGGGTCGAATAACTCAATAAATCCATCTAGACCCTTGTAGAGATCTGCAAACCGCCCAATCAAATCTAGCGACGTGTTGAGAAGGTCCACCTTTACTTGCTGATCGGAGGAGGCGTTACTGAGGAGGGCGAGAATATTGGTTTTTCGGATAACAGCGTCTTTGGCTTTTTTTGCGTCGAGGGCAAGAACGCGGCAAGCGTCCGCCCGGAAATCAGGAAGGGCGAAAGTTCCCGGGACAGATGCTGCATCTACATATGGAGTGTGTGCGAGATGTAAGACAACGGCAACGGAGAAACTCAGTGCTTCTGGCACGAGCCGTTTAGAGACTTGTTCGTACTGGAGGAGGAGCGTAGAGAGGAACAGGCCACTAGCGATGTCGGATATCGACCTCACGCGTCCAAGGCCGAGATACGCACCCATGAGCAGACGTGTCGGTGATACAACGATGTGATTCAAATCACTAGTTGGCCAAATAGCACCAATGACTCTGAGCAGTGTGAGCTCGGGAATGCCGGGCCATGTTTTGGCTTCGGGATCAAGTGGTCCTTTGGCGACGCCTCGCCGAAGGTTTTGATGCATCAAGCGAAGCTTTGCGACAAAGTATTCAGCCGATTGTGTTGGGTAGCTTCGGGAAAGCGCGAGGAGATGGGGAAGTAGGGAGGTGAGGAGACCAAAGCGTGGGGATGGGGGTGAGGTGATGTACAAAACGTAGTCTATTAGAACATGATTGAGAACCTGCCAGAAAACGAAGATCAGCGAAAGTAGTAGGTGGGAGCAGTAGGGGACTACCTGAAGTTTATGCTTATTGTCGGGAGAAAGGCTAGGGTGGTGCAGCACACGTATACGCTGAACGACAGTAGGCACGTCTCCGTCGTCCAGGCCATCGACGATCTCCAGGAACTCATCATGACTTGACGGGCATTCAAATGTAAACGGAAGTTCACTAGATGTTTTAGGTTTGGGTCGATTGGCTTCATTGCGCGAAGGGACGAGAGTGTCGTGCTCCCCTAGCTCTCCTTCTTCGTCCTCACTATCCTGGCTATCGTCGTCATCTTCTTCGTCTCCCCCCTGGTCTTCATCGTCGTCTTCTGAACTCTCGGCCTCTCCATCATCCTCTTCTTCACCATGGTCGGGCTGACCTCCCAGGCCATTTCCCAGGCCATCCCACTCTTCCTCCACCTCCTCATGGAAATCATCATCAAGGTCATCCCCTCCTTTTCTACGCTTAGCTTTCGGTTGTCCGTCCTCGTCCTCGCTATCCTCTAGCCCTAGCATCCGCTTCCGCCTTCGCCGCTCAGCCTTCTCGAGTTGCTCCTTTTGTTCCAATGCAATTTCTTCATCGGTTTTCGTCCTGTCCTTTGGCTTCGCTCGCTGGTCAAATGCGAGCTCCCTGACGCGTTGATCGTAGTCTGCGTCAATCGTCGCGGGAGTTTCCGTCGTAGGTTCCGCGGTTACAGTCGTGGAAGGAATAACGTCGGCGACGGAGGGTTTCTGCGAATATAACAAATCGCGGATTGAGTCGAAGTCTTCATCAAGTTGATGGCGGATATTTTCATCGCGTTCTTTCTCAATTTGGCGAAGCATCTGGGGGGATATTCAGTAACGTTATAGACTTCGAACAACGACCATACCTTGTGTTCTTTACTTTTAGCGATGACCTCAGCCATGACTTCAGCTTTAGATTTCTTCCGCTCGGGCTATATTGTGAATGGTTGCTTTACATCTTCTTCCAGGCAGGCGAATAAAACAAACCTCATCTTCGTGATCCGACTCGTCTTCAAAGCCACCAAAATGGGCCTTCTCGACTGCTTCCCTGCTGATTTGGCCTGTAGCAAGTTAGCGATCGGTGCGAAAAGCAAGTATAGCCCATACCTGGATCTTCATCATCATCGTCCTCAAGAGTCAGGCCCGCGTTATCGAAATCATCCAAATTAGAGAGACTTTGGCCATAGTGGGTGAGTTCGTCCTCGTCCTCCAGGTTGAATGCCCCTGCCCGAGAAGCTCTCTGCCGTTCCTTGGTGAAACGCTCCAACATGCGCTCTTCGATGGACATCGTGGGGTCATTTTCTCCGAATCGTCGATCAATGATTCCGCCAGCGTGGCCCTTTTCTTCGTACTCTTTCAGCAGAGTCCGTTTACGCTATTCAGCCCATGTTAGCACCATACACGAAGAAGAGCATCAGTCCCACTCACTTGTTCAAGGCCTGCTTGTTTACTTTGGGCAGGACGGCCAGAGACTCCTCTGATTTTGCGGCCTCCGACATCGTGCTTCACTTTGGTGACCTTGACATCGAAAGGGTTCAGTTTTTGTTGGATTTCTTGTAGTTTGGCTGCCTTTTTGGCTCGATCTTTCTCCTTGTCACTGATGGCTCGTGTTCTCTTCTTGCCATTCGTATGGTTTCCTGTTAGGCCGGCTTGCGATAGTGCAGCTTTCAGCTGCGATAGTTGAGATCCCTTCGCCATGGATTCAGCCAACGGATTGGACTGGTAGTATTATTTTATCTATTCCACGTGACTGACAATGAAATTCAGGGGCTAACAGTGTCAACGCGAGCGAGCATCAATTACGTTGGTTAGGATGCGGACGATACAGACGAATTCCTGCGTGTAAATAAGGCTGGAGTATAAATAGTCCATTGAATTAGGGTACTATACGCTCATTTTCATCGCGATCGAGGGGTGAGGCTGATAGCCTTCTACCACAATATCTTCGTACAAAAAGTGGTCTATCTCGGTGATCCCCTCTCTCGCCCATCGTAGTGTTGGAAATGCTCGAGGAACCCGTTTGAGCTGCTGTTCAAGCGCCTCAACATGGTCACGATATACGTGCGCGTCTCCGAGCTGAATGATGAGTTCATGAGCGTCAGTGTTCGTGATGTGGGCAATCATATGCGTCAAGAGTGCGTATGATGCGATGTTGAAAGGTATCCCAAGCCCGAGATCCGCAGAGCGCTGATACATCAAGCAGGAAAGCTTGGGCTTCTGGTCTGGCGATGTTGCTGGTGGCAAGGAGACGTAGAATTGGCATAGCAGATGACAAGGCGGCAGGGCCATTTGCGGAATATCTGACCGACTGCTTTCAGACATTTGAGTCCACAGAAAGTAGTGTAGCTACCTTTTGGATTCCATGCAGTCATAATGATCCTGCGATCAGTAGGATTGTGCCTGATCTTGTCGATGCACTCCTTCAACTGATCAACTCCTTGACCCGCGTAATCCGTTTCGCAGTCAGTGTAATCCGCCCCAAAGTGTCTCCATTGGAACCCATACACAGGACCAAGATCCCCTTCACGACGATGACCCAAGCCTCTACTCTCCAAGAACTCTTTCGACCCATTCCCATCCCATATCCTGATGCCTTTCTTTGCGAGTAACGTTGAGTCAGTTGAGCCATGGATGAACCATATAAGCTCTTCGACAATTCCTCGAAGGAATGTACGCTTTGTGGTAAGTAATGGAAGGGTGTTGTTTGCAAGGGAGAATCGAAGAGACGGAGGCGCAAAGAGGGCGAGGGTGCCTGTTCCCGTGCGATCTGGTCGAACATCACCCGTGTCAATGACACGTCGGATGAGGTCCAAATATTGGTATTCTTCATGTTGGGAGTTCGCGTCTTTGGAGGAAGCCATGGTTAACGTTCGAACGTTCAAGTGTTAAGTGCCTCGGACTCAGAGTCGCGCTCTGTCACACACACGTGATCGCTTGAGAGGTGTGACAATTACGGAATCGATATCGCCCTGGCGGCTTATTGTCGGCTCTAATCCAGCGGGCCGGTCGCCCTGCACTTTCCTTGTCTTGCACCCCTCATCATCATCGTACTTACGGATTGCACAGGATGGCTGAATTCAAGCCCGTTCTGCTCACTCTGCCATCTTTTGCGCCATCTCTGGCCCTCGAGGTGCTTTAGATATGTTCAACATAGTTCCAGGACGGTAACAAGCTTTGCCTCTAGGTTCTACCCTATGGGCTCACCATTCATCGAGTCATTGTTCAGCCTGACGGACGAGTATGTGGTATTGATGAGACAAATGTTCCCCTATATAACCACCAATTGCAGACGCACGATCTTGTTATCGGCCCAGAGGCTCCTGAAGACCACATTGGGCGCAAGTACAACAATACGATAGTGGGGAGATATACTAATCGAATTCCGGTTGGGAAACATATTCTGGAGCGCAATGGGATCAAGAGCGAGTTCACGGCGGTAGCGAACGGTGCGTTCCTCGCATGCATCGAATCAATGGAGCCAGACGTAGCCATTAGAGAACCCGAAGGTTTCCCTTCACGGTGGTCCGACTGGCTTCGATTCTCTTCCATGGGAAGTGATGACAGAGAAACCAACTCTTTTCACGCCCACTGAGCTTGTCCACCTTACCTCGATCTCTGGCACGGAAGACCCAGTTGCTGCATCTGAATCATTTGCCTTCTTTCGACTCATCTCTCCAGACAATGATCAGGGATATCCCGGAAAGCTCTTAGTTGAAGTCCTTATTGCGTTGGTTAGCCCAGGGGAACAGGAGAGGAAGTATAGGCTTCCAGGTCAACCAATCCAAGAGCAAGAGGAGTTCGACCTTGGCAGTATCGTGATTGTGTATAGGGCCAAGTTAGACAGTGAGACGCCAGTTGTTAGTCCAATCAACCTGACACAGGTATGTGGTAACCGTGCTGAAAGGTCATGCTTGACTAATGTAATATCCATGTAAGCACTGGGGGTTCAACCTAGATGCTAGTTTAAAAGAAGGCCCAGAATCGTTATCCATAAAGGATCATATTTTGACAATCAAAGTGCGTTGTGATTCGTATCATCTCTCTAGCGATCATCTGAATGAAGCTCTCTATATCTAGGCTGACAAGATTAATGGCCTAGACGAGCTCAGTCTCTCCACGGGATCGTTCATTGCAAACGCTCCTGGGCACACGCATGAGAAGAAGCGGGTTGGCGACAACATGCCTTCCTCTGGATACGGTAATTATACTACATGCAAGCCCCAACGCAACTCAACCTAGAATGGCATAGACGATTACTACTTATTCACGAAGAGCCCTACACTTCTGAGGCGTTTCGCAGCATCTTCCTTAGAAGACCCCACCTTCGACTTGATGAAAGACGTCTTACGACCTACACACGACCCAACAAAGCCTTCGTCACCCCCCCTGAGGGGTGAACCCGTCGTCGAGCTCTCTTCAAATAAGTCGGGTTTGAAGCTCGTTTTCGACACGAATCGTACGTCCTTTTTAATGGCACTATGCTTTTATGCTTTGGTAAATGACGAGGGTGGATTCAGAATCGGGTGTGATGTTCTACTCCAACAACCTAGCGAATCCTGCTACGGGTATACGCAAGAAGATCCACGGCGGGTCTGGTAAGGCAGGTACTGGAGATGGGTATGGTCCAGCCAGTGAGTCCATTCTCGTCCTGTCTGAAAACATTGCTCACCATAAACTCGTCTGTGATTGCGCAGCCGCTGCCTTCCTGGAATTCCACGACGTGAGTGTCACCCGTCATCATGCTACGAATAGGACTAATCGATGATGTCTCTCAGCCTTTGACGGCTTTCCTTGATCCTAAGAATAAAGATAGCGACAACGACACACTTATTACCACTGGCGAGGTTTACCATCAATACGTTCGCGCGGATGTAAAGTTCAGAGAAGTTGGCCAGTGACTAGTGATGGTTTAAACGGTCAAATGTATAAGTATATAAAGTAAGGTCCGTAATCTTAGAAATTTAACAATACTTGCAAGGTGTGGTTTTCTCCAATTTATCGACTATCTCGCTGCGATTGTCGTCTCTGAGGGTGGAAACAAGCAGCATGATCTGCTCTGCTTCCATGCATTCAAGGTGATCCTAGGTGGTCCTCGTACATGCGAACGTAATCAACGAGCAGCCTGCGTTCCCTTCCCGTCGGAGACCGGCCGAAGTCAGTAAATAGCGTCTCTTGGGGAACTACTCAACGAGAAACTTGATGTCTGTGAGCTCCCCTTTCACCTGTAAGGCTCGCGAAGACGCGCATCCACCGTTTGAGCTTGCTCAAGACCAGGACATGCATGAAGCACGGGCGGTTCGTTCAACGCTGAGACGAAGCTTGAGTGAGCGTGAATACTCTCTACTTGTGCTGCGGACAACGTATATTTTCTAGTTCGGTCGATGACGTTGATGTGGGGGGTCATCTTCGATGGCCAAGGATAGTGGATATCGGAATGTCCTTTGAATATGATTAAACAAGCCATGTACAAGTACCTACGCTATGCCAGTTGTCCGTTTTAGGATCCACAATTTCTCGGTTTCTTCCATCTTTATTACTAAGGACGCCAGCCACGCCCAAGTCTCCGCGTTCCAGGGGTTCGTAGATAGGTTCTTGGCCCCTTCAGCAAACATCCGTCTAGTCTTCTCCCTGCGTGATCCATCATGCAATGATCCATTGGCGATGATCCAGCGTTCGAAACCATACAGAGTGGCAATAACTTCCCATTTATCCCGCTCGGTGCGAGATAAGGCACCGAGGAATAGGGTTGGATGATTTTCGATTATGAGATGCGTGAAATCATATGGTGGTGCTCCCGAAGTAAGCTGAGAGGGGGATAAAGACTCAGTCTTACTATACACCACTGATGTGTCGTTATTGGGGTGTGTAATGAGGTTTGGAGGAGACTGTGTTTGGGTGAACAACGATGCTCCGGTTTGAGCGGCGAGGTTGCAAATGTGAACGTGTACTATAAAGCTGTGAGTTTGCGTATTTGCGCATTTGTGGGGATACCAACCATTTTCTTGGGAGCCACTGGGTAGCAGGCTATGGAAGACATGCATGGCTTCGCCTCCAGGATAGTTTCTTCTGGACGAAAGCACGAGAAGGACCGTCACTGCGATGTTTATTGCCAGGCAGCCAAACGGAAGGAGTCGAAGAGGGAGGGAAAGTAGTTTAGATACGAATCCTCGCCTTTGACTTTCCCCTTTTCCAGATCTGAGCGGTTTAGTTTTTATTGTTGGATTAGACACAGTGGTCCCTGAAGAGAGGCGGCTTACCCGAAGTTGTTCGCCCATGCTAATGCTCTGGCCGCAGCGACGTTGAAGACCGGGACGACATAAATGATGAACCGCCACTCCTTGTGAGCAAGACATGAAATGAGGAGAACGAAGGTCAGATACGGGAAAACGGCCGATCTACGACCCAGTCTCGCCGTGAATTTCACCCCCATAACGATAGATCATGAAGCATACCTTATCTTGCTCCGCCTCACGGGGGCCATCAAGGTGATCATGGCGAGTGGATATGCCGTCAATAAAAGCTTGGGGAGGGAGGAAACCAAGTAGGTTCGATATGGCGACACCTACGGTCATCAGCACGGCCAAGCACACTCGAGAGATAGAAATCACTAACACCCCACTCCACAGATTTGCCTTCAACGATGTTGAACCAAACGCTGGAGAATTCTGGCCATAGTGGGGAGTTGAATCGATCCCAGAAGTATGAATCGACAGCGGTCGTCAAAGCTAACAAGGGGATATCTTAGCAACCAGGTGGTGAATAAGTAAAACACCCACTAATGGAAATGACACCCGTTGTTGCACCAACCACAAGCAACTGCCTGACGGTAGAGAGAAATGTATAGGATCGGAAGACGGATCGATACAAATGTTGAATTATTATGGGCACCAGTAACAGAGCGAGTTCGGCGCGAAAGACGACCGCGGTAAATATGATGATACAGATGGCCTTGAGACCAGCTCTCCGCTGCGCGTATGGGTTCGCGGAGGGGGAAATAAGGATAGATGTTGATACATTGACTATATGGAAGCCATCAAGCTCGCGTCAAAAGTAATGCTAGGAGCTGACTAACCCGGGAATAGGGCAAACATATTCGGAAGTGTTCTGCCCATCCAGAATGGTAGATGAAATTGGGATATCGTTAATAACGTGTAGAAAGACGCGACAGAGCGACCAAAGCGTCCTGAAACCGCTCGACGTATGAGTATCAACCCTAAAGCATTCAAGGTCGCCAGTACCAGCCGAACTGATTATGTTCCGTCAGTGCATGGAATAATTCAATATAGAAAGGTGCGAACCAATAATTTGCAAGTCAACCTTGGACTGGGCAAAATTGAATGCATTGGCGATATGCAAGAAGGGCGCGGCTAGGTATGCTAACGCTAGGCTTCCGAGAAAGGTTCGTGGCACCGCGCCAGGGAATATGAAATGGTCGTACTACAGGATTATTGGTTTCAACCAAGTTCGATGTTCTGGGTAACTCACCTTATATAAATTTTCGCTGGCAAAGTCCGACAATGGGTTTGTGCCATACATGAGTACATCATGAGTAGCATGAAGGTTGAAGCTCTCTTCGACTTTCGTGTACGGTGCCAGGATTACATGGAACCACGCAGAGGCCAGAATGAGAACATCTTGTAGGACCGGGAGCATCTTTGAAGCGGTCGTGGTCGCTTCAGCCTCAATCCGCTCAGGAGATAATTAGACCAGAAGAGCCCTTGGCAGTAGGTCGCCTGGCCTGTGGGGTTGGTTTGGGGAGAAACGGCGATCGCTGCGTTCACCGACACGTGATATAGGGGCATCGTTCGTTCCCAATGCATTGACAACTCTTCGCAAGATCCCTTTTTCAATCATGACAGCAGATTATTGGCTTTGGTTTCTGCAGGTATATGAGCAACAATCGCATGGAGTGCGAGCACCCTACGATTGCTCTATTGCTCTTATGGTATATATATTATATTTATATTATATTGACTCCTCATCCGCGTCGATAACCACCGTGATTGACATTCTCGTAGCAGTTCTGTCACTCGTAGATACCGGCCGTCGAGTAGCCACGGGGATCCGGATATCCGCGCGTACCATTCATTTGGTGAAGGCCCTTTGCGGCGTAAGGGAGCTCGTTCGGCAGCGTGTCGATGTCGAACGCGAGGATCGTGTCGCAAGATGTTATTCGACAAGATAGTGGTACTTTGTCCAGAACTCCTGGATATCCCGTTTGTTATAGAAATGGTGGAGGAGCGAGGGGGCTTGTGGAATTCAACGTCAGGCAGAACAAATTCTTGGGCATGGGATATGATATACTCTTGCGCAATATTGACGAAGCACTTCGGAAGAGAGGGAAATATATGCCCTTGACAACCTGCTCCTGCTGCCTTCGTGAGAGTAACTGCACACCCAGCGCGTTTAGTTTGACAGGCAACAAGTGAGTTTTTACCGCTATCGCCCTCGCTTGATCTTCCCGCTGCGTAACAATCTTCCCCCGAGCTTCCAGCCGTCCTGATACAGCGGACAAAAGTTCAGGTCCAAACACAATTGCCTATAATATGGTGCCCATCTGGCATGACCTGGCGGTGCTGACCTCCTTGTCAATGTCGAGGTAGATCATTTGCTACTTGCACGGCAATTTCCGAATGCCACAAGGACAGGCAGCGCGTCTCGCCCACAAAAACACAGTGTATCCATGCCTGTCTGACATGGCCTCCGTTGGCATGACCCTACATAGAGTAGACGACAAGAGAAATAGACTACTCTTCGAATTTATATACTTCCATGATGGTATTAGCCATGGCTCCGAATGCAAGACAATCACGTACCACATGCACCACTGCTTGGTGTCGTAGCAAATATGACTTCACCGAGTCGGTCTCCTTCCAGATCTTTGTACGGACCGTATGTCTCCTTAACCTTTGCGATGAACGAATCAACAATAGCCTCCGGGACTAACGAGACTGTGCAACCACCCCACCCCGCTCCTAAGAACAACGGCAATGAGTATAACGGCCTGATAATGGCAACTATCATGACGCACCTGTTACCCTGCTACCCAGCGCTCCTGCTTGCCTAGCAAGCTTCGTCAGGTTGTCAATTTCGAGACACGAGCACTCATAGAGCTCGGTGCAGCTAGCCTGGGATTCGTTCATCAACTCGCCTAACCTCTGAAGGACTTCAACAGGCTCCTCCTCGCCAACCTCACCCGATACATCTAGACAGGTCTGTCGGAATTGTAAGACACGGAGGGCTTCCGAGAAAACATGCTTTGCTCGTTTGTAAAGTTGGAAATATGTTGCTTCAACTAAGCACACAAGAGCAGTTAGATATTATTAAGGTGGGGGAGATATGATGCGTACCTTCGATCCACGATAGGTACGTTTCTGTGAACTCCGCCTCAGTCAGCCCTGACAAGTCAATCATCTCATCAATCGTGACTCCCGTTGCCCCATGTTCTGAAGCCTTAGTCGACTTCAATCCATTGAGGTTCTCCAATATACCCTCCAACGCCTTGGTCAACTGATCCACGGTCAATTCGGAACCAGCCTCTTCCCCAGCGAAACGACCTAGTACTTCCCTATATGTAATCTTTTCCTTCTTGGTATCCGTATCATGAAGCTGGACACCAAGACTCCTAGCGAGGATTCGAGCGCCCACAAGGGTTTCGACGACGCGAAGGTTGTAATTGGTCTTCGCAGTGACGGCTTTGTCAGAGACTACCAAAGAGTTTGCGCATACGAACACAGCTCCCTTGGGTAAAGGTGTTGGGGAAGCAGCGAGCGATGGGAAGAAGGTGATATACAGGGCTGCTCCGGGGTTCGAGATCACAGATGCGGCTTGATCAAGGCTAGGAAGGAGTGATGTTAGTGAGGTGATCGCTGCGGTGACGGACGGTATCATACCCCCCGCTGTTGACACCTGCATGTTTGGGTCAATTTATTGAATGAAGCAAGAACAAGATGTGCTTGCCAACTCGTTTCTCGTTCTCCATTGCCATCATTACTAGCTCTCCTTTCGTGAGCTTTCTGCTCGCGTGACTGTCATCTAGCTGCAAAACTGATCTCAGGTGGCGTTCAGAAATACAGATGAAGTGTGTCCTACCTTGTCGTTGACTGCAAGAAAAGCCAAGGTACTGGCGACCACCATAGCTGCGCTCGACGACAAGCCGGAGCCTGCTGGGACTGTTCCTGTCACTAGAAGGTCGACAGGCACAGGGTGTTGACCGGAAGAAGGGGGGAAATAATGTTCCAAAACTCCCTGTCCGTGGTCATCAGCCCAAAGTTTGCGAGTAAACCAGTGTACAGTTTCTAACGTAGTAACCAGCTTTCACATAGCTCTCCCAACGAAGTTCCTTTGGGTTGATTTCCAGATGCCACCCTTCGGCATGGACGGCATCCGACCCTTGTCCTGATCCTTGGGTTGGTCTGCGCGAAGGAGCGAATACCTGGCGAGGATATTTACTATGCAGGTTCTCGATAATAACGCTACCGGATGTCTGATATGGTTCTAGCGCCGGGGATGGGTCACCTTCGTCACTGATGGTCGCCGATCTCGGAGCACAGGCAATCAGGATATCCCGTTCCACAGCAGCAGGAAATGCTCCAAAGAGGGCGTAATCGATATGTTCACCTGTTGCACCAAATCAAAACATCCCGACGATCGCAGTGAAAAGGATGCGCACCAATCAAGCTATGCAGAGGATGTAAGACGATACCCTGATGACTGTTATCACCGTTCCACTCACTTGACCCGCCCAGGAGCTCGAGCAATATAGGCTGGCTTTCGTCCAAACCTCTGGGCAAACTCTTTCGCAAGATGGTCCCACCGTTCAGCATGATTTAGAGTCGTTCCGAGGTTCTGGTAGAGTTCGTTCAGGTTCGTGTAGATCGGTATGCTTTGTTCTGCTGCCATTTATCTGAGCTGGTTCTAGTCAGAGCTTGTAAATCGGCCTCTCGACCCACATCCTACTCCCTCAGAGTCGGAACATACGGCGCGATTTCGGCGCGTCAAGAACCGTCAAGTAAACCGCCATGTGATGCAATACTGCTCAAGTCGAACGAACTGACAAGAGCATCGGATTTACGATACGATTGGAATCTTATCAATGTCGAGCGGCTTCTAGTCAGTGTGAGTGAGTTTTATTACGAACTAGTAGCTAAAGTCCCGTCGACAGGCAGAATGGGTTTTGAGGACGCTAACCGCAAGGAACGTCTCCTACTAAGGTCGGCGCCGTGGTAGTCCCCGAACTAGCGGCCAGCTCTTCACTATCTATATAACTTCCTCCAGAATGGAATTCCCTCTTACGTGTCGACCCAACTTCGACTCGTTCATACCTGAGAGGACTATCAGGTGAACCATCGACGCTATGAAGTTCTCCCTTGCCTTCATCGCGCTCGCGGTTCTTGTCTCTACCGTACGCGCTGATAGCGAATACGACGATGAAGACCAAAACCTCGCAAAGGCATGATCGCCATATATTTTTACTTTTACCGGGACGAACGCTCACTCATCCTTGTAGTTCGATACGCCCGACTCACAGATGGTGCTTTGTCCTATAGTGCCCCCACCAATCTTAACGTCGCTGGCGTCCACTCCCAGCGCCAGGCCAGGTGTCCCGTCTCCTTGGGCTGCGGCCACTGCGACTGCTGCACCCGAACCTGTGATCACGACAATTGTTGCAAGCGCTGCAACAGAATCTAGCTCGACTGAAGCTGCCGCAACAAGCTCAACGGAAGCTGCCGCAACAAGTTCGACTGATGTTGTTGCCAAGCCAGCAGTTGCGGCGGCAGCGGCAGGCGGCGCTGGTGTCCTTGCGAAGGCAGCAGGAAAAGCCGCGCCTAAAGCAAAAGGACCGCCGAAGATCCCCGCTAAAGCTCACCCTAAAGCACCCCATCGCCATCATCACCATCACCACCATCACCACCATCACCACCAGCACCAGCACGGTGCTAAGCCCGCCCACTCTAAGTCTCCTCTCCGCCCTACTCGCCCTAAAGCCCCCGCTTATCCTCACCCTAAAGCGCCTGCTCATCCCCGTCCTAAAGCACCTGCTCATCCCCGTCCTAAAGCACCTGCCCATCCCCCTCCCCCTCCCCACCCTAAGGTGCCTGCCTCTCATGCCCACCCTCATCCTAAACCCGTCGTTGCTGCACACTCGTCCGGTACCTTGTGCTATCCATCCAAGGCTACGACACTCTACAGGTCGTACAATCCTGGCACACATGATCACTTCTTCACTACTAACCAAGCCGAGTGGGTGAACGCCAATAACCACGGTTACCGCGACGAAGGAAAGGCAGCCCGCGTCTTCAGTTGGAAAGCACCCGGCACTGCGCCCCTATACCGCGCTTACCATCCCTCGGGAGATCACTTCTACACTATGTCGGCATCTGAGCGCAACAATGCTGTTCATCACCTTGAATATCGCGATGAGAACAATACAGGATACATCTACGCCCGCCAGCTTTGTGGCAGCATCCCCTTGTATAGGTTGTATAACCCGGCCCTCAGAGATCACTTCTACACTACCAATTACGGCGAAGCCAACGCGGCCGTAGCTCACCTTGGATATCATCGTGAAGGGATTGTGGGATACGTGCTTGCTGCGTAGATCACCTACACTTATATATATTGCTCTTGATGTGCTGGGGGCGTATCTTTAATCAAAGTATGTACTCTTGCGAACTTACCATGACCAATAAGTTAGGCGCAGTACCTGCATCAAAGTTCATGAATCCTAGTATTACTACTGCAGTAATTTGTGATCCGCAGTGCCTTAGCGCCCAACCTTCATTTTCCACCACCATCATGGTCTGGAGGTAATACGATACAACGTACCGTACAAACTACCGCTTGCAACAGACTCCAATCATGCCGGCTCCATCTGTGCGCGTGGTTGTCAGAATACCTACTCCTCGACCAGACCAACCAATCCCGGATCCTCCTCGAGTATGTATCTATGCTCGCATTCAAACTGCCTTACAACTTCATCGCGCCTCCAAGTGCAGATAGAATGGACTCCGGAAAAGGCAGACATACTCTGGAAAGTCATTGAACTATCACGATCCAGTGATAATGGCGGTACTGACTGTAAGTTAATCACTCTGATTCGTAAAGTGCATGGGTATAACACCATGCGGACGTGACAGGGAAGGGCTTGGCTGCTCATCTCGAAGTACCATTGCCATACCTTTTGTATAGGGTGCACACGCGTTTTGAGGAGGACCTACGTGGCTTAAAGGACATCGGCGAAGTTTTGAGTCCTTCAAGTACTCAGCCACCTGGCCATGAGGAAATGTTCCCTTCAACTGAGCGACCATCCATAGCTACACGAATGACCAGCAGGATGTCAGGTAGTGGGAGGCGAACATCTACTCGGCTCACGACCCCCCTTGCCGTCCGTGCACGGCTACACTCCCTTGGTCACGCATCCCAGCCGAAGAAAGCTACGTCTTCATCTACACTGACGTTACAAGCCCCGAGGAAGGGCCAACGACCATCTTCAACTTCGGATTCGTCAGAGGAGACTGACTCAGATGAAGAAGCTGCACAAAAGGAAGACGAGACTTTGCGGGGTATAGAAGAGGAAGAAGCTCTGGCTCGCAAACTCCAGGACCTCCAGACCATGATCAACAACGATGCCTTGGGTCTCGTTAGCTCCCCGCGGCCTAAACAAAATAAAGGAAAAGAGACAGGCCGCGGTCGGCTTGGTTTAACCCCTTCATCATCAGTAAACAGTAGTTTGCGAGGGGACACATTGAGCAGTCGAAGTACAAGCCAAAGCTTGTCCAGCACAAATTCTCCCCAGGGATCTATTCCCGACATTCCATCCCCTCCTCCTGACTCTCAGCTAAATTCGCCCCTCAGCAGACACATGTCGGCGCCCAAATCATCCAGCCCACCTGCTGTCTCCCCTCGAAGTGCGATTGGTCAGTCACACCGACACTATGGCCTAATCGACCGAGCTGTGAGTGAGCAAGGTAGCAGCGTAGGCTCAGAGGCATCCAGTTTTAGTGATATTAGTGGTGAGCCCACCGACCCCTCATTAAGAATAATCTTATGCTCCATTCAGACGCAAGCCTCTCCGCCTCAGCGTTAGAGAGTGCTTTACTGAGCAATATTCGTGGTCAATCGTCGCGATTGTGAGCTTCTTCCGTCCGCCTCCTACGCAACACGTCTAATTCTCAAGTAGTTCTGGCTTCAGCCGGAGCAGACTAATAGGTCGAGGAAATAGTGTACCGCATTAAGAACCTCCTCTCTTCCTAAATCGGAAACAACACATTCGCAACTTGCTTAGTTATGATACCAGCACAATACAGATCAATTTGGTGTCAATTGCTTGGCGTAACCTAACCCTTAGTTAGAGGTCAAAGCGGTTTGTTCTACTAGGCCCAACGCGTATGCTCGTGCACATGTCCGAGTCGCGTCCGTAGTCAGCAGCTTAGCTAAACTATACGCGTATACACCACTATATCAATGACCTTTGTCTTGCTTCTACAGCCTCATCCTCTTGAACTTGGTATCCCTCGTGTTGAGTGCTTTGGGTGATAAATTCTTGACAGCTATAATCGTCCCACCCTCGTGACCACTCTATCTGCGCTCCTTCACTCGACTTCTTACTTCTTGACTTCTTCTCGACTTGACATTCCTCGACTCGGATCCTTCTCAACATCATGGAATTGACATTCCTGACTGAAACGGGGAACACATTCACAGTTGAAATCGACCCAAACATGGAGATGCAAGATGTAATGGCTTTGTTAGAAGCGGAGGTGAGTTCCCCCACGGTACCGATGTCGCTTGCTCTGATCGTCTGCAACAAAATCGCGTACGGATAGTCTGGCATACCTATAGGCGAACAAAGCATTTCCTACGAGGACAGAGATCTACACAACCCCGGGGCGACCATCAACCAGCTTGGTGTCCGAGGCCCGTCTGCAACTCTGTTACTTCGACGGAGGGTTGTTAACTCGGCTGGACAGTACGCGTTTTGTCCCCTTTACTCAAGTATTGCTGATCTCATATATGGTATACTAGAACTATCGAGCAGGACTCGGAAATGATGCGATTACAGCTGCTCGGAGATCCTGACCTCATGGGACAACTCCAGCAGGTAAACCTGCTTTCACCTTTATGTAGTACAAGTAATCTCGTACTGACAACATACGAAAGGCACAACCCGAGCTCGCGCAAGCAGCCCAGTCAGACCCGGCCCGCTTCGCTGAGCTCCTTCGCCAGACACGCGACCGGCAGGATAACCTAGAGATGGAGCGCCTACGCGAAATCGAAACCCTGAATGCCGATCCCTTCGATGTTGAGGCTCAACGAAAGATCGAAGAGGCCATTCGCCAGCAGGCAGTCATGGAGAACATGCAACATGCATTGGAATATTCTCCAGAGAGCTTTGGGCGAGTTCATATGCTTTAGTGAGTCCTATATATCATCGTAGCTTAAGTATGAGCTCACAACGCATATCAGTATCCCAGTCGAGGTCAATGGTCACCCTGTGACAGCATTCGTTGACAGTGGAGCTCAACAGACGATCAGTATGTCTCCTAGTATATACATCTTGCTCGAGTTCACAGAGTGATATTATAGTGAGCCCTGATTGTGCAGAGAGTTGCGGGCAAGTAATTTACTCATATAGCTGATCGACAATGCCTCACAGCACCTCCTAGGATAATGAGACTAGTTGATAAACGGTTTTCGGGCATAGCCAAGGGTGTGGGCACCGCTCAAATCCTTGGAAGAGTCCATAGTGCACAAATCAAGGTGTCCGATTTATTCCTTCCTTGTGCATTTACAATAATGGAGGTAAGTTGTTGTATCTATGAAATAGCGCGTATCGAGTGCGTTGACGAATGATAGGGAAGGGATGTTGATTTACTTCTTGGCCTCGATATGTTGAAGGCGCACCAGGCATGTATAGACTTGGAGAAGAACGTTCTGCGGATACAAGGTCGTGAAGTCAAGTTCCTCTCGGAACACGAATTGCCGGACAAAGCTCGCGACTTCGGCAGCGGCGAGCCTTCGGAGACATCAAATCAACCGAGCGGGTCGTCCGCAGGCTCCTCGTTCCCTGGTGGTGGCAACACCTTGGGCGGCGCGCCTGCTCAGAACCTCGGCCGACCGAATGCTGGCCATTCGCGTCATAGCTCATCGGAATACCCAGAAGCACATATCACGATGTTAATGGACCTTGGGGCGACAAGAGAGGTCGCGATTAGCAGCTTGAAGGCAGCTGGAGGAAACATAGACGTTGCAGCTTCCCTCTTGTTTTAGCGGTTCAGAGAAAGACCTTTTACGAAGTACGATTGAATCACTATGCTACAGAACTGATGTTACAAAAAGTACAACGATGTACATATAGGTATATAGATAAACTGGACTAAATCAAGCTAACGCGCGTTCTCGCTAATCCACCTCGCCAATTGCGCATGCCTGATGAACGGTGGTGAGACCAATCACCTTGCATTCGAGCAAAGGCATCTTGGATATGATCGGGGCGAAGGGCAGTCCGTGCTTCCAGCGGTGGGAGGAACAGCGAACAAGCAGGCAGTACAGGCTCTACCTCGTTGTCGGGAGATTCTTCACGGCGTCGTTTCTCCGCTGGACCTCCGGCGGAAGCAGCCTTGCGTTTTCCTAGTAGCGTCGACGTGGAGTATTCCTCCCGAAAAGATGCCTCCTCCAGGGATTTCTTGACCGCAAGCCCAGCCAGTGTGAGTGACCGTACCATCTCGAAAGCCAGGAAGCCCACAATGTCCACAGTGTCATCGCCAGCCTTGAGGTCAAGATGGGGTGGCAGGTTTAGAAACTCTCGGAATCGCTTAGCTGTGGAATTGCAGGGTCAGCATTTTGAAGGTACAGTTACGAAAAAAGGCTGACCTTTGCGGTATGTGAAAGAAGCCTGTCTGCAGTCTGAATAGCGCTGGTATTCTTCGCGCGTCATTTGCCTTGTTGCCTCATCTGCCTCCTGGATTTCGATATGTGTGGGCCAATGATACCAGGGGGATTGCAATTTGGACTAACCTTCAAACGTTGAATGGAGGCTTCGTGTGCCTCAATGTCATCCTCATCCTCCTCGTCATCAGATTGATGTCCACTCTGCCGCAGCACTTCTGAATATATGGTGGTAATTTCCCAAGGAAGCTTGATAGTGATCTTCTGAGCTTTGGCCGCAAGCTTATCTGTATGGGATTTGTGAAGCTGATTCAGGGCGGATATACACGAATAACCCACCATCTTCTTGTTCTAAAGTTTCAACTTCGACAGCACCACCTCCGTCACCACCGGAGTCCTTCGCGTGCTTCCGTACATCCTTCCAAGACAAGTAGGTTCTAAGTCTGTTGACCTTTCCCCTGTCATGCCGAATCAAGAATATTAGGTCTTCAGCCGAGAGCCAGCGTGCCCCACGCCTGGTCGCAAGGGCACGAGCCTGTACGATCTACATCAAGGAAAATGAGCTACAATGAAGCCCGGAGCGACAGTATACCACACGCACCAACTCAATAAGCTGACTGCGAATGATATCTTCCACGAGATTCACGGTCTCTGGAGTAGGATCTTGAACTTCCCCGAAGACGAACATCTATAGTCATGTTCAGCATGCGGTGGTTACGCTGAGGGCTGCACTGCTGACCATCTGCGATATTTCAGCGGTGTATTTATACTCTCTTGTACCGTTGTTCGAGGCCAGATTGATGGCTTCGCCACCCGCTTTCTTCGTAGGGGAGGAGGCCATGGTCACTGTCGCATACTAAGGCAAGTAGGCGCCCATGCACGGCACGGCCACACAGGGTCGGGATATCCAAACAGGTTCATCTCAAAGAACAACCAGAAGACTCCAGAAGGCAATGGCTTCGGAATGTAGTCGTTCGACGGGATGCAAGTTCGTCTCTCAACGACAATGTCAGGACGCGACTTTGATTTACTGGTTGCACTAACTCTGCCAGAAACAAGTTGTGGGATTTTGCCAGAAGCAGAGTACGAGTGTCTGCTCAGAATCGCTGCTCTCGCACGCAGAAGGTTAATGGGTATCCGGCACCCTATGCTCAGACTCTGCCTCGGTGGAACTCGTGACCTTTGTGCATACCAGCGTGTCCATTCACCACCCCGAGTACTCACGACCCATTATTTGTATAGAACTGTTCGCTCAGCATATCTACTAAGCACTGCTCCGGGTATTCTCAATACCGGTATGAACAGTAAGCAGGTTGCGAGACGCTGACACAAGAGTTAGTAACCAACTCCTTGCCTTAGACTCGGTCGCAGTACACTAGTAGCAAGATGGCAGACCTGAATTTGAACTCTGTGGTGAAGCTTTCATCAGGTATGTTGTAGACTCATCGTTGTAGACTGACTAAATTAACCTGTATATGATTAAGGCTACACGCTACCTTTACTCGGCTTTGGAGTCTATAGAAATGACGATGCTACGCCCTCCGTTCTGGAAGCCTTCAAAGCTGGTTATCGGTTCGTGGCATTCACCTACAACCAGTTTCAGAAGTAAGCTGACATGTCCTCCAGACATATTGACTCCGCTCAGATGTATCGTAACGAGGAGCAAGTCGGTAACGCCCTACGTCAGTCAGGGCTATCCAGAGGCGAGGTCTTTATCAGTGAGTCTCGGAAGCGGATATCGGGTGCCCGTCTGAAATGCGGTCGTAGCGTCGAAGGTTGCAAGCAAAGACCACGGGTACGAAAGAGTGCTGGCTTCGATAGATGGCTCGCTCAAGTCATTTGGCTTCGGTGAGTGGCGATCACACTCACAGTTTGCCTGGGTTCTGACCCAACGCCCAAAAGACTACATCGATCTATTCCTGATCCACGACCCGCTGTCAGGAAAAGAGAAGCGTTTGGCGACCTGGAAAGCGATCCTGGAAGCCAGAGACGCCGGTAAGATCAGGACGGTTGGGGTATCAAATTTGTGAGTGCGATGCGGATTCTCGTTTGCGCATTGGCTGAAGGGTGCCAGTTCTGCCAAACATTTGGAGGAGATTCGGGACGCTGGGATGGAGATGCCTGCAGTAAACCAAATTGAGGTGGGGTTTGTTTGTTGACTTGACCGTGATACTCGTTGACGGGTAAACCGTCCAGTTGCAACCGTTCTGCCAGCAGAAGCCCATCGTCGAATATTGCCGCAAAAATGGGATTGTAGTGGAAGCGTACTGCCCAGTTATCCGTGGCGAAATGAATCACGAAGTTATCCAGTCCATCGCAAAGAAGGTGAGAGAAACGCCGCCGTCGCGAAGTGTCCAGCCGCTAAGAATTACATAGTACTCTCGGGACCCAGGCCAGATTCTGATAAGGTGGTCCCTCCAGCACGGGTACGTGACCATCGCTTGAACAATGTAATGCCATCTAGAACGTCGTTGAATAGATTCGTGCCCCTGCCAAAAAGCGCTACCCCGAAGCGGATCCACTCCAACGCACAAGTGTTTGACTTCACATTGGCCGATGAAGACATGAGAGCACTTGACGAACTTGATCGTGGCGCGGACGGTGCGGTCAGCTGGAATCCAGTTGGAGGGGATTAGGCTAATTATAGTAAGAAACAAGTAAGAAAGATCAAGAAATCGTGAATTGTTGTATGTACATATTTGTCTCCAATAGATTGAAGTAGTTCGCCGGTTTTTGCTTCCGTCCACCACCATGGCCCCTGCAAGCGACACACGGCCAAGCACGTCGCTCTCCGACCATGCGCGCAATTCATTGTCCATAAGTTCGTTGCAGCCTGCGGCGCTGGAAGTCTGCCATCAAATGTACGGAGAATTCACGCACTCGAGTTCTCAGGAAACGCTAGAACGTTTCTACGAATCTAACGCCGGTAAGCCGCTGAACCCTTAATACACTTCTTTCTAACACATCCGCGCCAGTGTAAGCTCGGGAGGCAAAGAATGCACTTAATATCTGACATTTAGTCGATAAAGTTATGAAAATCCAGTTCTCACAGCTACTTCAAGATCCGTCATAGCAGACATCTTTCATTTATCGCGCCAAATAAGCACATTGAACATTCCCCGCCCCTTTGCCACCTTGTGCACCATTCTGCGACTTCAACCTCCGGAACGCGATCATTTATGGCGCGCATTGCGAGCGTGGTCTGAGATCAACGATGTCTGCGAAAACGAGTCGTTCGGTACGTGTATAGTCGCGGTGGTGCATTGCGAATTGCGGCTGAAACTAAAAGAAGATGGTCACCGAAAGTGCATAGTCGAACATACGTTCCACGTTCTGCTCCTTCCGGGGATCCACAAAGACGAACTGCATTCGCGTCGAGGATCGGATTCGATGAGTTCTAACCATTCCCCACTGTCAGTGCATCGAGCGCCGGCTGGTGTGGGGCCGTGCATGTCAATACCCGGAACATCTGTGCAGATACCATCGCCGTTCCATTTCAAGATGCACATAATTACCCGGCTAGCATTCAACGAACAGGGTCGCATCACTCACCATCGAGACTTTTGGGATATCAAAGACGTCATGGGGTTGGTTCCAGGCGTCTCCGTGGTGCAGTGGCTGGGTTCGAGGGTGATGGCTCGAGGGCTGAGCTTTGCCTACCAGTCTCTGTCTAACGTCCTGGGCCCCAGCGTGCCCGAGCAGGACGTCGAGAGCGCTCCTCATACGCTGACAGCCGCTGCTTCGTACAGTGCCACCGTCAAGAACGCTCTTGGGTTAGAAGGCATATGACATCTCGGGGCTGTGCTGGTCGATTCTTCGCAGTGTATTCAATTCACCCACACATAATCTATTTGGAGGAGGAAGCACTAACTCCGGTATATTCGCATGCATGACTCGGGAGATGTCGAAAGCACCACATGGCTCTCTCTGGTTGGCTAATTCAAGTCGGATAAGGCAAGGTCCTGTTTCCATATCCTGGCTTGCTCGTACCTCGTACGGAAGTGTTTCGAATGTGACAGCCAAGGGGGGTCGCTAACATTAGCATCCGCAACTTCAGGTCTAGCGATAATATCCGGGAAGGAACGCACCGCCCTGCGGCAATATATTGGTTCAAATTCAAGGCAGATACCGAACGCGAACGATGGTATGCTTCCGAGCTAGGCGCCTACAGCAACATCTTGATCATCAAGGCATCGTACAGCATATCCAGTCGATGTCGATTTTGTCGGTCCCAAATAGCGATGGCCAGAGAACGGCTGAGGGCAGCTTGGTCGGCCAAAAAGTAGCGACGCCTTCTGTCTGACGATTCGATGGGGTACCTGTCTCTACTCTGCATTGCAGGTCCATGCGGACTGGCGCGGCAACCGATGCAGCTTTGTTCCCTCCGACACATGATTGCAGTTCCTCCCGCTCCAACCTGATCTCCTCCCTCGTCGTGGGATACTTCAAGTAAGTTATGCTTCCGGAACACAGCACGGCCGCATTAATCATTCGTGCTTCTCAGATCTCATGCATCATGCCTTGCTTGCCTTTCTATGTACGACTTCTAAATATGCACTTATGCACTTATGACGACGCCGCATTGACAGGAGTTCTGTGCGCGACTTCCCAGGGCGATGATTAATGAAATGAACCCTTGGACGTTTTGTGCGTAGACGTCCGTTGCCGCAGCCGCAAGTCAGAAGGAGGGCCGTAAGTGAGTCGAATACGTTCGTATTCCTCGGAAGAACTCACGCTTGCCACATCTCGTAGGCCTGAGCGGCGGCGCCTGGGAGATATGCTGGGAAATGGCGAACATCATGTAATATATCTCCTTCTGCTATTCCCACAGCCGCTAACTTGGAGATGTAGCGCGGGCCTCCCTTTTCTTGCGTGGAAAACGTATGTAAGTGGTTCCGTTACTGTTTGCATGCAACCGATCCCAACAGGAATAGATAGGTGCTTTAGCCGTTAGAAATCGAAGCTACTATCCGATGTCCAATGTCTTCTCGATTCCTCCAATTTATCTCCCCAGCTGCGAACGGGGATGGCTCCAGCGTCTCGTCACTTTTCTTCCCCCATTGTCACTGAGGTTGTCGCTTGTCGGCCAGTCTGCCCCTCTAACCAAGAACTTTACTCGTTCACCAGAGGGTATGAGAACAAATATCATCCGACGGTGCAGTTCCACCGAATAGCCCCACTACTAGCCTGTTGCTACTAGGTTTGAACGAGCATATGGCCAAACCAGTGGCGTAAATTAAAGAAGCGGCCCTCGGGTGCAGTTGACCGAGCTTGCTTGGGACTCTTCGCGGCTCGACCATGTCACCAATGCTTCACTAACGGCACCCTGATTCCTGAGGCCTGAGGACTTAACGCGATGCTCGAAGAACGGTCGCCAACCGCCACCGCTGATCGCCATCACGAAGAACACTTCGAATTCTCCGCACATAGCCTGGCATTCCTCTACTAGCAGCGTAACCATACACCATCGGAACTAGCTTCCGCCACTTCGAATGCTACTCGCGAAACTCCATGCTCCATACGTCTCGGTCCAGATCACAAGCATAAGCGAACAACGGTTTTGTCACTCGTAGAACAGGCGATCGATGCTATTTGCTGTAGTGCGCGGGCTCTCACTACGTACACGCCGTCTTCGCTGCTGATAATTCCCTGAGGATAATTAATTTAGCGCGGAAAATTACTCTAGTTTGGCGACTTGTCGCGGGACCAGGGAAAACATTGGAATAAGAAGACCTGATCATGAAGCCGAAAGCTTTGCGTCTTACGAACCATTTTACAAATGTAAGTCGTCGCTATTGACGGATCGTCCATCTCTAGTAATGGAACTCTGCTCAAGGAACATTAATACTAGCGCCTAGTGTGGTAAAGGTTTCGTGTTGGTTTGGACCCGCGAAGCTTGCTGGGAGCGATCCAGCGTGGATCGCTATCGCCGATTGCGCAACTCCGAACGCGACAGCAAAAATGTAGCGAGGTCATACCAGTGCCAACGCCAGTGCTATCCGAAAGCTATGACCAAGTGCGTTATCTATCTATCTTGCTAAGCTTTCATTCCTCCGCAAAAATTAACAGGCTCAGGCTCGCACGTATACGCATGATCACTTACCGTCGACCTATGTCGTTAACGCATGTCATGCCTGAATTTGAATTGTGCCGCCCCCCAGCCCGAGGTCTCCATCGTGCTAGGGAAAACGCCGCTTGACTCGAGACGATATTGACAAGGCATTATCAAGACAAGGCACCGTGCTCACTCCATTAATGAAGCATTTGATTCCAGCGTATCCATGATTTGAGCAACTGGTCAAGTCTGCAAGGCTCAAAACGCGCACCGCAACCGTTGTGCTGGACCCTAGCCCGAACCCTGGAAATCAGTTTCGGGGGCCTCGCGATCGATATCTACAAATACAAGATAGCACCCAACGACGTTATCGGACGTGTTGAGCGAGGGACTGGAGGGTCCTGCATTTTCGTCTTTGAATTTCAATTCGACTTTGATAGCCTAGCTTAAACCACGCGTCTTTGTCGTGGTGGAATTTGACTTTCAAGGTAGGTGGGGATGGCTCACGTTCATGCCAACACCGCCAACGTCACAGTTTGCCTCCGTAGATCGTTGATCCACCATCTGCATCAATACCGGCGCTACCCCACAAAAACGCTTTGAACGCGCTTAGTCTCGGTGCGGAATTGTTCCTGACCACGGTGAAGATAAGCCAAGCGAAGGCGCTCATATTGCGTATGTGATATGGAAATCCAATGATTCCATCGAGCTCATATATAACGCATGTATAGCGATATCTAGAAGCGCCGGGCAAATAAACGTCCATGTCGATGTCATATATGAAGTAGACACTTGACAGACATTGACATTATCAAGCCATTGTCTATTGCGCATATTAGCGGATTCAACAATCATATTCTCTGCTCCATCCGGGCATGTCCGGGCGCAGCTCGTTTGCGTCAATCACCCGCAGATCTAAGAGGTAGTAGGTCCAGCGGCATGCGCGCCCACCGATTGTGCGGGATACGAACGCCTAGATTCAAGCACCCTCAAGTTGACGAGGGTTTACATGAATCAAGCTCCGGTGATCTACCAATTGATCAAAGTACATTGTCGTGATCCAGTGCGTATCTACGGCTTCTCATTCACACATCTATAGGAGTTCATGACCATAGCAAATTGGAGATTGACCACCAGACCCCAGCCAAGAATCAAAAGCTGGATATCGATTTGCGCCACCATGTCTGTGAACCTGTGGAGTGGTACTTTATACGGGGCCACAGTCACGTACCCGCCGATCGTCGTTACCAAGGCTCGCTCACCCTGTAGGACCTCATTCCGTGTACGATCGTGATAGAGACCACTCAAGAAAGGAAGGACCTGCTGATCACGATCAACTCCGCCTCGTGAAGGGACCAAGTCCCCAACTCCCAGTATTTCCTGCAATTCCGTGTACATCAGATATATGTTTACTTGGGTAAAGTTTTTGACTTTGTTATGGCGATGTCTTCACTGATCTTAGCATCCTTCTTAGTATTGCACCGGACAAAGATAAACCTTTTTTCTCAGCTGGGAGTATGACAATTACGCAGGAGCGGGAGCAGCAACGTGACTGGCAAGTACCACTTCCGAAGTGTTTGAAGGAGACGTACAAATTCCTTTCCCTATAGCTCCAGCTCTTTTTCCGGCCGTACATAGACTAGTTACAGCAATCGGGTTCCTCGCTGGTTCTCAAAGTGACATACATAGATAAGGAGTTGTGGTGGCTGTTACAGGCACGATAGTCGGCGACTGCCACCACTCTTTCGAGGTTAGCGCCAGTGCCTCTTAGCGCCCCTTCTTTCGACAGCTGCGGGGTCCTTCGCTGAGTTTGCCTCTCCTTTATGCCACTTACATCACCCGAATAAAGTGTTCCTCTTCAGGACACGCGTCTTTGAGTTGTCTGACGCGCTACTACCGAAATGGTCAATACCTATGCACGAAAGGGAACCGGCGGCCCAAAGACCAACACGATGCATCGAATGTACAGACTTTCTTTCGGCTAGCCTAAAACGACACCCCACGAGGCTCGGTCACTTTCTACCGACCGCGGAAGCTCTACAGAGAAAAAGGAAAACAAACAAAACAAAACCTTCCTTCCGTTCGCTTCTTCCTCCACAGACCTGTTCCTTTGTCACGTAAGCAACGGGGGAGTTGCTTATACCCGACGAGCCTGGAAACGCGTGTTTTCTCTTCAATATATGAGTGTGGTGGGTCCCTTCGATAAGTCCTTTTCGATGTTGTTTGCGTTCGAAATTTCGTTTGCTAGTTGTAGGTCCCCATGAGGATAAGGATAATAGTTCAGTCCCAGCGGAGTGCTTGCTTGGGTGCAGGAACAGGTGGCGGGGTGCTTGGATTTATCGTCATGTTCGAGGGTTAGAACGGTTACACCATTCTACCACGATGATTCTCGTCCAACCGGAATTATTTCTCATGGTCATGAAAGGTGCGCTTTTTGGTTCCTTCATAAACACGTTTTTCGCTCCAATCCAAGCTACTTCACCAACCCTTACGCCGAAATTCTTACGCCTTTTCTTTTAGTCCTGCATCAACCGGCATGCAGCTTGAGCCTTGAGTCACCCTAGCCCACGATGTGCGTAGACTCCAGAAACCCACCAAGACAATCACACTTACTCTGGCTTCTTTCTATTGTTACCGCCTCTTCCCCGCCAAATGTTGACTTCTACTTGGTATTAGGTGAGTTAGTTGTCTCCACTTAGTCGCGTCTTACTTAACACCTAGCTGGGTCACCATA